AAAAAAAAAAAAAAAAAAAAGAAAAAAAGCAAGCCTCCTATACGGCTTTGTGGGATTGAGAAAGTCGAAGCCACCTGGCGCAACTTTGATAAATGGGAGACTAGAGATCCATGAAGATGCAAGCGACTATCTCTACTCTGTTGAATCAACTATCGAGGCTGAAAATCTACATGCTTTTAGGAGGGAAGAAGGGTTACTGATTTGCAAAAAGGTAAGATAGAACAGATTGAAATCTGGCACAGTAAACAAGGAAGGGCAAGTACCAGTGGCTGAGTGACTGAGATTTGTAGAAACCAGTACATAATTGATCTAGACTGCTAGAGTAAGGCCCACCAACCAAGATGCATTCTATAACATGACAATCATTGCTCACAGACAAGAAGTTGACATTGCATGTCCGACACCCACTTATCGTGGTGGTCAAGATTAGATAAGGCATAATGCAGAACCTGAGTGGGGAGTGGCTAGCAATTTTGCGTCAATATCGAGTATGTTTTCAGCTACAGGCAGGGATTCAAATATATATATATATATAGTTGACGACCAGCGTCTCGCAAGCTTGTATTCTTTGTGTCATATGTATCAGCATATAAAGATCACGCGCTGTTGCTTATCATCCATACAGTCAAATAGTGAATTTTGCAACTCCAATTTGTCTTTACCAGTTAATATGCTCTGGAGCGCACACATCTTATCTTGCTCATGACTAACATGAGGTATATGTCTCTGGCTTTACTCAAGAAGTCCTGGAAAGTTTTCACAGCATTTTAAAGATTCTTTAATTACAACCAGCCCCTATGAACCAAGCGATTTTAGCAGATATCAAACCCACAGGATTCATCTCATGGATTATGGGAGTGGCCAGCTTTACTGTAATGTTTCATTATAAGTAAGATAAACACAGCAGTTCTTATAGCTCTGGATTGAGGGAGAATAAATGATTCTTAAACCAAGGTTCCCTGTTCATTAATATAGAGGAGATGGTAGCTTTATCATAGAATGACTAAATTAAAGTACGAACTTAGCTTTGACTTTAATATGGCTCAATTATGACCCGCAAATACAGGGTCATATGTCGAATTAAGTATTCGGCGTGGTGTCTTGGTTTAAAGTCCTTCTAATAAGTATATGCAGAAATTCTCATCTTGATGAATGGAAGGGATATAGGACTGTTTAATATAGTGTCATAAACGCCTCTGAGTAACTAATTTAGCCTGAAATTCAAATATGTCCTCTGGTTAGATACAAGAAATGAGGTGTATAATCTGATTCTGGGGATATAAGTCCCAGATAATGCCCAGGAGCCTATTAGGATTAGACTAGGGGCTGCTATCTTAATGGTATATAAGTTGCTAGGCCATAACTATAACTGAGAAGTAAAGCAACCATCGAACATAAGCAATCTCAGGTTTAAAATAATGTAAGGAATTAATAATCACCTACAGAAGTGCCACCTGGCGTATGATCAGACACTGGTATTAAGGCTGTTTAATGTAATCATTTTAGAGCCCTAATAATATGGCCCCTTGATTGTGAGTGGACATACGCCTGAATAGCTAGAACATCCTAGGATTATATCTGAGCTTCCTGCGGCTTTAAAACCATTCCCAGACAGAGACATACCGCATAGTATGTTGTGGTTTGCGATTTGGAATTGTTTCCCACACACAGCCTTACACCTGCTCAACTTGTCCGAGGACATTGACCAAGTTGAGCCAGTATTTGGGAGCTCAGCTTGCCATATGCTCTGGCAAACCAGATAATCTATAATTGAAATTGGCTCCTAACTTCTTGGAAAAGGCGCTTCTGTGGGCATTATGAGTGAGCACTGGCCTCTGGGTGTTTCATGTACCCTCAAACCTATGTATCAATGAAGCGTGCCCTCCTTTACTTTAGGCTGTAGCTATTAGGAGCCAACAGAGCCTGTTGGCTGCCAATTTCTTGATATAGAATGGAGCTGGTTCATTGAAAATGAGTTAATGTTTCTGGATGTTGATTTTATTACTATAATTCTAGATGGGATCTGACAAACAACGGAGACACCTCTACCAAGTAAGTAAGCCATGGATATTATTTATTGTAAAAATAGGATTGTGGCGTCGCTATCAGCTACTAAGTGGAAATCTCTTATCTGAGGTCTTGGATAACTACGGTGAGATGTTTGATCTAACAGCAAGTGATGGCAGTGGGTGGACTGTACTCCATAAGATAGTAATGTGGCATACTGCACCTCCTGTGAAAATTATTCTTTAGCACTGTACTAGGATTAATAATTATGATGTTGATGGCATCACCTGACTGGTGTAGCTGCATCAGCAGGGAGTCTCTTAACTATCTATTAGACCTAGGAGTGAGGCTCTCTATATAGGATGCTTACTTACTCGATGAGGGTGTAAGACTTAGATAAATATAAGCCTTATACCTTAGTATACTCAGTCTATTTCAACATTAATAAAATCTTCTTAAATAGGATGTTTTAGAGTGTTTTCACTAAAAGCTGCGGATGACCCCTTTGGAATTATATGTTCTAAGTAGAGATGCTGAATGATCAACACCTCTAGCATTATCCTTGTGGAGAATGCCAGACAGTACAGATTTATATGTAGTTTAAACTATATGTGGAGTTTGCAGCAACCTAATAGACTTTCTATATTTACTTTACTTTAGGTCTGAACTAAGCGGCCACACATATTACTAATATATATATAAAAGTGTTGCTATAGATAACAGTGTTCAAACTGTCATCTATTAGTTATGAATGATTAGGTGTCCACGGTTGAATGAAGAAGAGAAGAGAATAGGGAAGACTGCGGTTTTTCTCAGACCACTAGAGGGCTCTGGGTTAAATTACTAACTTTATAGCATATCTCTTAACAAAGGGAAAGGGAAAAGGGAGAGAATAAGAAAAGTATACAGGAAGGTATAGTAGTAGGCAAATACACTAGTAAAAAAAAGAACCCATGAATGAACTCTATGAGGGTCAGTATAATAACTATACTAACGCCGCACATATACCCTCATGCATGTTAGACGCAGTTTCCCCACATCTTCTGGAAATTCAGAGCTGTATCAACATGTACCAATAGATCATCGATGCAATACTACCTTGGGAGCTTTCAGTAGTTGTATAACTGCTTGCTATTCTTTCTGATCCATCCTGCCTAATGTAATGGCTACCGAGGGCACTACCTCTGAAGATGTGAGAGCTCACTACAATCCAGTCAAACATCATGATATGATACCTTTCGGACTTACCAATAAGTTTTTGCAATCAAAATAGTATGTGGTAGCCTATCTATAGTATTCACAGCAATACATGCAGAGTAAATGGACTCCAGTGTGTCCACGAGCGTTTTGCTTCAATAAAAAAGAGGAAATCAACATATCAAAAGACGCCAACGACACCAGCAAAATGAGTATAAAAAACTGCAAAAAAACATACAACAGCAGGGATTCGCTGGTGGTCACCCACCCAACTACTAACCTGCCGGCGTGTGGCTTAAGTGCGGCTGAGCGGACGGGAAGCCCTGTTCTCCACACCCTGTGGTCGTATGTACTAATCTCTTATTAGCTGGAGACTATATAGAAAGAGATAATATATAAACACTGGTGACAATACCTACTTATGGTGGGCGTCAAGGTGATTTACTAAGTTCATGATAGATGGATGGATACGTATAGATAGAGTCGTGAATTTCTCCCCGATCAGCAAATGGCTATCTTGGTGCCAGAAAGAGAGCAGTCATGAGAACTTCAAATCTTTGCCAATCCAGTGGCACAACCTTCCTAGAATTTACTTTCGGGTCATTGACGTTCAGAGATGTTGCATCATCAAAGTTCCAAGAGATTGCTCATTTATCACACAGTCATATGTCTAGGGTGCCGTAGACCAGCTCAAGCTCAAAAAAGCTACAAAATTACTACTAACAAGCGATGGCGGTCTTAATTATGCCTAGTGATACCAACCACTTTTAGAGACGCCATTATAGCCTGTGAAAGACTCAAGACATAATATCTTTGGGTTGATGCACTTTGCACCATGCAAGACTGTTAGAGACACCAGGATCCAGATTTTACAGATGTAGCAGATATATAGCACAGCACGGTGCACCATTACTGCTGTTTTAGCTGAATCAGAATGTGCTGGATTACGTGGGGGTGTAATAAAGCAAGTCCCTAACAGGCCATTAGTTTATAGTAAGAAGGATTTTCTGAACAGTCTACTAGAGTCATCACTGTGGACCTGCCGTGCATGATGCTATTAAGAACAGGTGTTGTCACGCTGTCTCATTCTGTTTACTCTAAATGGGATATATATGAAATGCCAAAGCTGCACTTTTAATATGGACAGAGACTGCCTGTAAAGCACTAAGGTTAATGATCTTTCTAGGTTTAACTCTTGAAGATATGCTCTCAATATCTCGTAGTGAAGATCATAAATCATAGCTAAAAATCTGGGAGGTAGAGGTGAAAGTGCATAGATCATACCTATTTAGTACTCTAGGATCCACAGGTACTAGGTGATTGACTTACTGCATCTATCACATTCCATCTCATAAACTACCCCTCAGTCACGTGTCAGGAGTTCTGTTTTAAATCGCCAAACTCTTCTGCCCCGAAATCAAAACAAACATCCACCTCCATCGCGATGACTCAGCCAGTTGAACCCCCGTCTAGAGAAGCTCTACCACCATATGATATCGTCCATTTTTCACACGGTAGCAGTGTTTTGACTTGACCATACTATGTTACGGCAAGCGATTCCACATCATGGTATCTCCCAAAAACCTGCAGGGTGACCTGAGAATCGCAACCGAATATGAATCTCGATTCCAGAAGCTGGTCTCTGACGAACCGCTCGGGGAGACCGAGGATAGTGAAGATTTTGGCGATCCAATGGAAGAGCTCTGTTTCTGGATAGCTTCTAACTGTAACACCCACATGAAATCATTAGCCTCTGCACAACCACAAGTTCAGACTCTCCATGACTGGTTTTATCCTGACACCCTTGTTCTTACGCCTCAAGTGGTTAACGGGATACTGCATGTGCCGTTGTCTAAACCAAACCAGCAGCTCCTGCTGCAACTAACACCAAACATAGAATTAGATCAATCTATCACAAACCTGGGAATTCCAGTTATTCCACCTTCAAAAGTCTTCTTACCACAATATAATATCAAGGACGGCTTGCCTCAGCGACCAACAAAGGTCTTCACTAACGATGGAATGACATGTTTTTTCAAACCCACTCATGTCCCCGAATCTGCAATCCGAGAGATATCAACATTACTCCGTCTTCAAGATCTTGGCTTATCAGAAAACGTTCGTGCACCTAGGCTCTATGGACTTGTGCAATACCAAGACTCTTCCAAAATAACAGGAATGCTGTTGGAATATATCGAGCATGAAGATGACCTGGGCCATATCGACGTGCAGGCCACTGCTTTGGCAGTCCGAGAAAAATGGATAGATCAGATTAAGTACATAATAAAATCCTTACACCCTGCAGGCATAGTTCGGGGTGATGCAAAGCCAGAAAATCTCCTGGTCGATACTGACGAAAATCTGTGGATCATTGATTTTGGAGGGGGCTACACTCAGGATTGGGTGGATGAGGGAAACGAGGGAACGATTGAAGGGGATAACCAGGCACTTTCTAGGATTGTCGATTTTCTTACAGGTGAGGCTGAGAAGGACGTAACGTGAGCGGGTCGCTTCGGCACAAGCCCAGAGCCTCTGTATATGTATTTAATCATTCGGTGTTTCTAGATGATAGAATCTACTAATTCAGACGTTCTCCCCGTTTGGGATGACCTTGCTAGGGGAACAGACATTTCAGTCCAGCTGCTTTATCGGGGGAAGGGATAATCCTTATGGAAATCAATGGATCTATGTAGTATGGTATACAAGGAATACCATATCGAGGACCACAGATGGTACCGATATTGAATGGTATACAGGTACCGCGAGAAGGACCATTGGTGGTATATGGGATGGTATATCTAGCATAGATATATAACGACACTCATTCCATATACTTAGAATAGTTGTTTATGACTAATACAATTGTCAATCTGATACCCACAAGTCATTAATCTATAGCTACAGTTTCATTACCTCTATCACTGATTATATATTATACTTGCTCACACTTACTTCCTAAAATAAAAAAGTATACGTACTTTAGACTTCGCATCTTCCTAAACAGCCACCACACTCCTTGGACACCTTCGGCTCATAGGAGCATCCCATCAGTTCTTAGAAACACCCATACAGTCCTGGACAGCCTGCTACAGGCAGCTTGTAATCTCATGATTTATTACTAACTGTTCTTGAGACAGAATAGCAACTATTTTTGATGTCTTGATAAGTGGCTGCTGCTTAACCATGGATGGTGGTTCCAACAAAATAACCCTCGTATATGTATACATCCCGTGATCATGGTCATCTGCACCGGTTATTGTTGACCGATTGCTTAGTCCGAATTCTGTGCCGTACTTCCTACTGTTTTCGGCCGGTCGGACTGTTGTTGCTCTTCGCTGCCACTGGCAGCGCTGATGTATCGATAGGTTGGAAGAAAGCTTCGTGATGCCCTATAGGGAAATTTTCTCTAGCTCCAGCGCCTGATCCCCCGCAGTTTTCAGTTAAGCTTTTAGCTAAATATTACTTGGGAATTTATAAGCTCCCCCTTGCCTGCCACTTTTTCCAAGGGTATCATCAACCTGTACTAATTCCGATCCCACTGACTTGAAAAGCCAACTGACTAGGAAAACCACCATGTCTGACCCGGGAAGTGCTTTTCGCCTTGTTCTCTTTTTTATTCGCCTTTTCCAATGGATGAGCGCTGTGATCGTACTTGGCCTCACAGCATGGGCTGTTGTTCACTTGGACGGCTACCGGGTCGTCTACACATTAGTGATTGTAAGGACTCTTCCGGTCGTCGCGCAGTCTGTTTCTCACTGATGCGTTGCAGGCGGTCCTCACTACCGCATTTTACATCCCGTCACTCTTCCTGGCATTCATGAAGAGTAACCGTGGCTACATGTACCCGGTGGATGTTGTCTTCTCATATCTGTAAGTCAAGGACCCTCAACTCAAGGAAGGTAGATGGACTGTTTAAAAACGTGATACTAATATCAACGAACATTTAGGTGGATAGCGGCATTCATATTCCTTGCCCAAGCAAACAATGATAATGGATGCAGCTGGTTTGTTTGGACAGCCTCTAAGCTTTGTGCGAGGAAGAATGTCGCCGAAGCGTTCACCTTCCTAGCGTTGTGAGTGACATCCCAGCTACAAATGGCTACAGGTTTAATGTACTGATCCACGATCGCAGCTTCTGGACTCTCTGTGGTATGTGTCTTGAGGCAGTGAACTTTTATTACTACCTCAAAGACACACGAGGAGCCGGTCTCAATCATCGACATTTCTCGAAACATCCACCAGCTCATAACGGCAGCGCTCCTGATTCCCAGGCCACGAATGGCCACCGCACCACGGTGTAAGAGCAGGTGAAACACTTGATAGTGTCCAAGAGTTAATCTATGTAATATGTGTGCAGAGGCGTAACGAGTTGTTAAGTGCAGAGTAAGTTGTATGTCAAATCCCCAAACCACCCATGACCGGACCAGTTCTGTTCTATTCTTCACTAGGTAGTAATTTAACTTTCCAGAAACATAATTATGTAATGATTTTCTGTGTTGAAGTTTCTGGATTTATAGCCCAATGAGAATGATCACTGTGAGTACTATAATATCGCGTTATATACAAGGTTTTGTGGATATACTTATTGATCCCTCTAATCTCAGCTTCCCAGGTACATATATCATCATGACATGATATATGTGCATTTTAGAGCTCATAGACCATGGCAAGACCCAATCACCAGGGTGGTGAAGTAGACGCACCCACTAACCGCTCAGTCTCCACATAAAGTCTAGACCCGGACTCTGTAGTTCGGGATTGCAGTGTTTTATCTCGATGAAAAACTAGCGTTGGAGAGAAATGCAAATATGGCCAGTCTATCTAGGGTTACATGTAAGCATCCCTTATCAGTGGGTGGCAATGTTCAATTACACAAGCCACAACGACCAGGGCCCCAGGATTTCTCATGGCCGAGAAGCTCACTTGTCATCCCCAAAGCAGTTGTTTTACTTCTACTTCTTCTATTGGTCCGCTCATTGCAGAGCGCCATTGGATTCAGTCAAACTTTCAAGAGTCATATCAGGCTAGGGCGTCTGGGATGTCCTGGTGAAAGACCTGACTCCACTGCATTTTATGATCGGAGCGGAAAGGAACAGTTGGACCTGAAATGACTTGGATAATAAAAAATTCTATGTAGTCTAGCGGAACCAGCTAGTGGAGTTGGATCCCCTATAACTTAACTCTCCAGGAGCAGTTGGGACTTGTGAATGTCAAAACAAGACCAGGAATCTGCGCTGTAATAGATTTGTCTTCTTTCCTTTTACCTGGGGCGGTAGATCGCCTTTAGAAACCACGCAGGACAGTTTGATGACTTACAAAATGGGGGTTGCTCTGGATAGCCTTCCCCTCTTATTCCAAGACGCCATACGGCTTTGTCGTAGACTTGGCTATCATTTAATCTGGATAAATGCCTTGTGCATAATCTCTGATCAGCGGGAGGATAGGGATCGCGCTCGTGAATGAGTACATTCAACCGCATTCAGGGTCTATGAAGGTCTGGCATCCGCACAAGAAACTCGTGTTTCCCTGTCCAAATCAGCTATACTGGGGCTGTCTTGAAGCTCTCAGATCAGAGGCAAATGCTTTAACCTTATAGACAGTGAAGCGGCTTGGTCGTATCATCCTTGTCATTTTGGCACCTTGGGCTTTCAGGCCTGGATCTGAGCATTATCATTCAAGGTGGGCGGGTTTGGTGCCAAAGCGGATAGAGCATGATTCAAACAGGTAAGTACATAAGAGATGGTGTTCTTCTTGGGAATAGCTGCCATGAGAGCGTGGAAGGCTGGTAGAGAAAGAGCTTGAGGATTATATAGTTGCAAGCCATATCCGGCCTGTTAGGCAAGGTACTCTATATCAAAAAACCAGGTCAAGGCCGACTGTGTATGTTTCTTCTGTCTGTTATCTGACGCTATGTTATTGAATGAGCAGGAATCGTTTATAGAGATCTACCTACATTGCCAATTGGATGTGACGTGTCCGAAGGTCTAGGTCCATTCTTCTCCAGTGCTGTAAGCTTATTACCTACTTGCATTTACTTGACACCAACTGTCAAATTTAATGAAACAACCAAGTTGAACCTTACATTGGGACTGATGACAAGCAAGAGTCATATTGGAGAGCAACGCCAGACAGCGTTCAGTAAGCTAGATACACAATTGCCGAACTCTTGAATTCCCTGACATATTGACATCATCCCAATTCATACTTTGCTTGATTTCCTTGAATGATAATTTTATTCATTTTGAGATTGCGCATTATGGGTAACCTGTGTAGCCTCGTCAACCAAAGAACGGGAAGTTCTAAAGCTCAAAAAAACTTCATTTTTCGAACTCACTAGCTCCACGTTATTCCCAACTGGATCTATGATGAATGCCCCGTAGTAATTCTCGTGATACTCTGGTCGTAATCCTGGTGGACCATTGCAAGTTCCCCCAGCAGCGAGGGCAGTATGATAGAAGGAATCGACAGTATCACGATCTATTCATTACTCAGTTTGCTCATCTCCTTTTCTAGGAAAGGTGAGGGATACCTACCAGGAGCAGTGAAAGCAAAATGAAGCTGTGACGGCGCGGTCCTCTCTTTCTGCGTAACCCAGAAATCTGGGACTTCTTTCCCCATCCCTACTGCACCAGGGAAACGCATAATTTCCTTGTATTTGAGCGGAGAAAGAACCGTTTTATACCACTCAATAAGGTCTTCGAATTCCTCCTCTGAGGCGATAATGCTGAGATGGTCAATGCAGCTGGCCGGCATTGTTAGAAACTAGAAGACTCAAACTACTAGAAGGGATATTAGGTAATGTTGGAAATGCTGGAAAATTTCGTAATAAATTTAAAAGTATTTTGTAGATAGTTAGACTCTACTTATACATCTCAACTTGACAATGGTGATGTCAGGGGTAAAGAAGTGAGATGATCATGGACTAGAACAAAAGCCACTCTCTTTAAGAGTAATAATTTCGTCATGTATACATTTCTTGGCGTTCTTAAAGTGTTTGGTGTTCATTGGAACCTAAACATGGGCGGTCCAAATTCTAATACACCACAACTTAAGATCCCTAGGGAACTAGGTTTTTGCAAATACTAATTTTGGAATCAGAAATCATGTCCGAAAAATTAATCAGCGATACGCAAGGTAACTCAGGGGTTGATATTTTGCCACAACATCAAGCTCGCCAGAATATGTCATGTTGAAGTAAGTATATAGAGTGAATATATATTGAAAGGACATTTCATCAAGATCTGGAATTTCGCAATCCCATAGTCCACCAACGCCCACTGCAAGCAACCACTTTAATATGTCAGACACATCACATTTTACCTATATACCCGCAGGGGCGCTCGCTTCGCGGAGAATTATTGAAGAATCTTCATACAGAACCACTCCAGCTCAATCCTCTCAAGATAAAACACCGCCTTGTGGAGAGGCAACATACAAGCATTCAATTGGGGAAAAAGAGACTGAAGCTATCAACGCGGCTCTTCGAAATCGAACCAATGCCGAGGCCCTGGAAGACCAGGCAGCTGGCGGCTGCGAATCCTCGCCAGATGAAAACAACGACCAACTGCATATGAAAGTTAAGGGTGGAGAAGGCAAGGCAAAAGGGTTCCCGATGTGTAAAATGCAAGATTTTCGAACGGAAGGTGTACACAATATATACAACAGTCGACCCAGAACTGCCTGAGCACCATTTATCTCGTACAATCTTTCAAACAGCAAAACCGAGTCTGAAAATCCTTTACTTGTTATAGCCTATTTTAGTTCTACGGCCCGGAGCCTTCTTGCTTATAAAATATCTTCAATATTGGGTCGACAATTCATGGTCGCTAACTTGAATATAAAATGAAATATTAGAAAATTTGCAGGATTGAAGACAGTATTTGTCTAGGCCTCAACATGGGTGATTGTAGATAACATCATTTTTACTCTAGATTTGTACAAGATTACAAAATCTTCTGACTAAGGCTAGCCTTTCCGAGACCGTCTATTAGATTTCGCCCGAATAGATAAAAGAAAAGAAGAAGAGAGAGGGAAAAAGGAATTATTAAAATATAATTCGACTCTTTATTAATATTATATATAAAGACTATACTATAATAACTAAACTATAATAAATTAGGCTGTATGCCCAGTTATGGGTGAACGACGACGTTGGGTGTCACGTTGAATTCAAGGCGCTCGAGAAATACACAATTCGGTTGACCAGGTTCTCAGACTATCTTGAAAAGCATCGGGATGAGGTTCTACAGTATTTCAGCTGAAAGGACTCCGCCCATGCCTTGTCCCGTCTGCAACCTGAGATAGGAGCCCTGTGGTATATGCACAGGGTTATTAGAGATGGGGGTAAATAGGAAGTGCCATGAAAATAATCAATTGCTTATAGACATATTAAGAATCGTAAGTATCATAATTCATCACCTCTGCCCATCCAGCTCTACCATATCCGATGACTGCGGATTAGTCCTTGTAGGCAATTCTAGCGTTGGCTTTGTAGGCAGCTCATTCGGTGTTTTATACACCAACCCTGGAGTATTACCCTGATACTGGGGATGTCTTTTCAGTCGTCTGATAAAAAGTAGCGCTAGGACGAGGGCGATCACCAAAATCGCACCAACAGCAACGCCAACGCCGATGCCTACTTTCGCTCCGCTTGACAGCCCTGATCTGCTGGATGGTGGGTCTGAGTTTGTGGGTGATAAGGACGAGGATTCAGAGGTAGAAGTGGCATCAACAAAAGCGATGGTGGATATAGCCGCCGTGGCAGGGGGAGTGCTGAAATCGGTTGACTGCCATCGGATGGAGACGCCGTATGCATTGACGTGGCCGTTGCTGCTCATCGATCCGGTTGTGCTGGACGTGTAACCGTCTGAGTCGACCCAGGTGTAATTGTATTCGGTGGTGGCGGTGGATTCTGGTCGCCATTGGCAGACTTCAGACCATGCTGTGTATGTGTCTCGGGGTGAGTATGTTCGTCCGTCTACTCTGAGACATTGTCAATTAGATAAGAAGACTAGATAGGATTAGAAAACATACACTGGACAACATGTTGCCGCAGACTCAGTGACGGTCCCAGCATACACAACACCGCTAGAAGCAATCACATAACCACTCGGACATATCCCCGGCGAAAAGTAACTCGATGTCGCCCACCCAGACGGCAGACATTCAGAAGTACTCGTGGGTCCTAAATTCATCCATCCAGAACCGCTCTTGCCGACAAGCCAGAGATCGTTGAGACACGAGCTCGGTGGTGTGAAAGTTGTCGTCAAGGGGATATGACCTGACGATGCTGCTGTCATGGTGAAATTGGCGCTTCGAAAGGTGGGAATACGGCTTTAAGTGCGAGAAAGAGGTTCATAAGACAGGGCGGAATGGGGTATTACGAATGCCAAGGGGCTGAACAGCCTTGTGCTTCATATCCTGCTTGGCCGGCATCATCTCACAAGGCTGTGGGAGAGGGGGAAAATGAAGAGCTTAACGCTGAGTGGTGGATGCTCGACATCCTTAAGGATTATCCTGCAAGGGGCCGTTTACTGCCCCTTTCGGTCGTCATTCTGGTGTCTCTCAACGCAAAGGCACAATGCACTCTTGCTATCACATTGATAGATGATTTCTGGTCATGTGTTGCAGGTCTGATCTGTGCTGACATACAGAGAATTCCTCAAATGAAACGACATTGGAATCTTTATCCAGTTGGAGATTGACGCTGACTTGGTATAATCAGGAGATAAAGGGAGGGAAATATGGAATTACTTTTGTTATTTTAGGGAAACTTCCTTAACAGAATAAAGACAGGTTTCGCATTATGAAAGGAATCAGTTCAATGTTTTCTAATTCTATGGGAAATCATGAGTCCCAGTCAGGGTGAGAAGCATTCTTTTTCCCTGCACAAATATCACACAGTAATGAGTTGACTCAGTTTAAGGCCGATTAGACAGAGCACCAAGCTATAGAATTAGATTATCTTATTCATCCAGCGTGAACTTTATATCACTATGAAGCTAGTCAGCTAAATGTGTACACATATTAGAATATTTTACAGCCAGTGGTATTATGAGGCTTTTAGCCTATCCTATTCCAGCACTCATTTTCATATAATAATTGGGTCTTAACGCTCTTGTAGCGTTCATAGCTTGTTTTAGGTAGATTTGGAGGAGGCGTTGGCGGAGAGAGATGCTGCGTTTGGTATTAGAGATAAGGCAAAGAGGAGAGAGGGGGTGGAGGGTGTAGATATACAATATTTGACTAATTCGTGGTGACGAAAGGGACGGATATAGCTAGACGTATTTCATTTTCTTTCATTACATATATATATCTATATACTGAATGTGGTTATTTATTCTATTCTTTTTCTATACGGGTTGGGCCTATCTCCAGCCTCGGCTCGCCCATAGAAGGTGCCAGTCCAGGCTGCATCGCTTGTAAAGCAGGCGAAAAAGATGCGATTTGAAAAAAGCCTATCTGCGATAGCTGCAACTGCAACTTTCTGATTTGCTCCTCGAAAGATGGTCGCAATGGTGTTGCAGGAGATTCTCCCCAAGCATCAACACTGTCTATCCCCACCTCGCCCGCCAACACGCTGTCCGCTGTTATTAAACGCCCCGAGTCACAATTTCTATATTCTGATTTCCTGCATCTCACTGCCCTGGCCATCTCGACACGACCACAGGACTCGAATCTCTTTCTGCATGTCCTGGTGCCAATGGCCCAACAGTCGGATCGGTTCTTCGGTCGCTGCTGACTCTGAGTAGCATTCACCATCTGCAGGAGTGCAGCAACTACTCTCAGACAACGTGAGAACACAATGCCCAGGCTCTGCGATCTTTGAAATATGGTCTGACTCGATTGATGGCTCCAGAACCTGAACTTGCTCTGCCTTTGTATGTTTGTACGCTGCTGTTTTGCTTCATGGATTTCACTCGAGGAGACAGGTATGGCAATGTCTTTCACCATCTCAAGGCTACTCAGTATATAATTTCCAACATGTCGTGCAATATCCAGCAGCACATGCATACGTCTAGACTACCACTAATAAGGTTAGCCTAACCTGCTCTTATCTACACCTTATCGAGATCCGAAAGTCAATTCGTCAACTGATCTCTTGGCACTTATCTACCCACTTTTTCTGGCAGATCAAGGAAAGTACAGTAGCCATCATGGATGCAAATTCACTTGATATATCTCTAAACCATCTACGGTGTCTCAGCCAAATATCCTGTAAGGACACTCGAAGTCGGAGCAAGCCACAGAACAGATAACGTAATATACAGACCAGCTTGATAATACCGCCACCCAACATATCCACCACAAACTATGTTCACGCACAGAATGCACTGTTCAACTACAAAGTCAGGTCCACCCGTAGAGGACCATTTGTAGTTTAACAATGCTGAATATATTAGTATAGCAACTCCAGTCAGTATGATACCTATTATCTCGCCCAGAGTAATAAGTTGCCCATTCACCAGCTCCCAGGTCGCGGGTGTGATTGCCTTGGCTAGGGGGAACTAGGAAGACTCGGTGGAAGGGATAATGGCAATGGCGGGTTGAATGAGTGCCGTACCGACTCTGAGGTGATTGGGTATGATGGGCATGTGGAGGAGGGAGGAGGTGTAGGAGAGGGATGCCAAGAGGGAGGACATGTTGAATTGGATTTGTAAGTGAGATAGTTAGATGTGGGAGGAAGGGAAGAATATTATGGGACGAAACCTCCCACTTCCAGAAGAACAAAAACAAAAGTTGATCTTTAATTACTCCATTATGGTCCCCAGTACCTTCCAGAGCGTGGTCTCAATAACCCACATCACCACCGCCGCCCTCTTACAAATCGACGATGTAGTCTTCCTCACCGATCCCGTCTTCGGCAAAGCAGGCATCAAACATGACCTTTCTCATCTCTTCCCAAATACCACAGAGCCTATCTTCACCAGCAGTCTCGAAATCCCAGCTCTGAGACTAGATCAGCCCCCCCACATCGACGCCATCCTACTCAGCCACGAAGACCACTGCGACAACCTTGATCCGACTGGGCGACAGCTCCTCGACGGCAGGAAGTTGGTTACAACGATCAACGGTGCAAAGAATCTAGCTTCACGACCGGGTGCTTTGGGGGCAAAGCCGTGGGAAACGCAGACGCATTTTATTCAGGGCGTTGAGTATCAAGTTACAGGTACGCCGTGCGTGCATCTTCCTGGTGGAGAAGTCACTGGGTTGATCCTGCGCACTGAACTATTTGGATATAGCACAGATGACCTTCCGACTGCTATCTGGGTATCAGGCGATACGATCTATCTAGAGGAGCTGGTCGAGATGAAGAAGAAGTTCCATATCGTTATGGCCGTGGTGAATCTGGGTGCCGCCAAGGTGGAGTATTCAGGTGCAAGTAAGCCATTGCTGATTGGCATGGGAGGAAATGATGCTGCACGGTTAGTGCGGGAAATTGGAATTGGTATTACCGTGCCTGTTCATTATGAGTCTTGGGGTCATTTTTACCGAGTTTGGAGGGGAGTTGAGGAAGGCTTATGAGGCCGAGGGAGTACTGGCTAAAGCGTGCTGGATGGATGTGAGGGAAAGAATCGGATTGTGTAGATAAATGATAGATATCATCTTGAATATGGAAGAACAGCTGAATTGCGGAAGAGAATTCCGCAGCTGAAAACAGGTGCGGGGCTGCGGGGTAAGCTGAAGCTGAACTCTGACATCAATCCGTATACGTTGATGAGTTTCTGCTACTATTATTTTAATTCTCCATGTGATTTCATACATAGCGTTTGATTGGTTCTATTATAGAATAGTGATAATAGAAAGATCCATGGCGTAGTTCTGTTGCTCTTGAATCTCACGATATATCCCCAGCTGAATAGCGACCCACCCAGCTGAGGTTTACAGCCGCACCCAGTGTTTTGGCATCCAATCAGCAGATTGATCGACAGCAGCTGTAGTGATATAACTGGTTTGAATTTAGCAGCGTTGTTGTGGTCCGCAATTGGAACAGAATAAATAAAGCCACCGGGTCTCCCGCAATTGACGCAGTTTTGCTTTCTCAAATATTCTGCAACAGCCCGCATAACAAGTTTATCTATAACATCTCCAACACCTAAATTTTCTATCTTAACAACATGGCAGGTATGTCCTTATCTACAGGAAAACATTATATAAGACTCGACTTATTGAATTGGTTTAGACAGTGGAAATATGCCACTCGTTATCGATGCTGGGACATCGTATATCAAGGTCGGATTTTCCGGCGATGATGCCCCTCGCGGTCTTTTCCGTATGTCTGCCCGTTCCTTTGCTCATAATCTATGCTGATATCATATCTTCAGCTTCTGTGGTCGGCCATGGGTAAGATTCCTTCTAACAGGCCTACGGACTTCAGCTAAGATATTCTATAATACAGATCCGAAAATCCCGCAGTTGGCGACGAGGCCGTCTCACACCGCGACAATCTCGAACTTACGCACCCGATAGAGAACGGACACGTCACTAGCTGGAATGATATGGAGAAAATTCTGAATTATGCCTTTTACAAGGTCCTCCAGCAAGCACCGGAAGAGCATCCCATTCTCCTGGCCGAGTCCGTGTTCAACTCGAAGCAGAACCGCGAGAAAGCAGCCCAGATGCTGTTTGAAATCTTCAATGCGCCGTCGATCTACATAATTCCTGATGCTGTGCTGTCTCTGTACCAGTCTGGACGCACGACTGGTGTGGTTATCGATATCGGTAGCACCAGCACTCGCGTTGTCCCAATCGTCGAGGGCAAATGCGTCTCCAATGCTGTATCTCATGTTGATATTGGTGGAGAACACGTAACATCCTACCTACAGCAGCAGCTAGGCGGCACCTTCTCTGCTCGCGATCAATTTGAGCTCCGTGAGATTCTGCAGAATATGAAAGCGCAGCTCTGCTTTGTCGCAGGTGACTTCGATGAAATTTCTACATACGCCGACACCAGCAGTGATATCGACACTGAGTATAATCTCCCTGACGGAGAGACCATCACACTCGGGGCGGACAGATTCCGGGCTCCTGAGGTGCTCTTCCGGCCTGATATGCTTGGTTTGAATTTTGCTGGTATTCATACAGCCGTCGTGAACTCCATCGGCCAATGTCCCGGAAATGTTCAGGAGACGTTATACAGCAACATCGTTCTCTCTGGGGGCACTGCATTGCTTCCTGGCATGAGAGAGAGGCTTAGCATTGAGCTGGCTGGTCTCGCGGGAAGGTCCGTGGAGGTGACTGCCCCTGCTAATGCATACACAGCTTGGCTGGGAGGTACCATTGTGGCATCATCATCTAGCTTCGAAGGCCTGTGGTTGTCCAAGGACGGATATGATGAATCGGGTCCTGCTATTGTGAACACGAAGTGGGCTTAAAGTATACCCTGTCACTGATATAAGGCTTGTGTTAGTATAGCCGACTGTACATAGTGCAAAGCGAGTCTGATAACTAGCTGAGCATATATAGCGTTGAATCTAATGCTCTTCAATACATATTCGCGGGGCTACTAAAGTTGGTGAAGGCATAAAACGGTGGTGTTCGATGCGAGGGATCGATTTCTTGAGGGGTTTCGCGTGGGCGATCAGTGGTATGGCAGGATATACACCAAGCAACTGGTTATGAAATATGATGATTGCACTGTGGATGTATATTTGCTCTAACAAGTAAACTGGTACAATGAGATTGTGGGTCTTATGCAGCTAATAGATAGCGCAAGGCTGAACTGCCACGTCAGAAACCCCTCATGATCTGCCATCAGAATTCTAACTTGCCTGCATCACTCAGATCATGTCTCAGACTCTTCCTAACTGCTCGAGGCAAAATGTCAAAACAGAGTCGATTTAAATCTTTGCACAGATTATCCAGCAGCCAAAATGGGCGGAATGCTGACGTTGACTCGGGTGATACATCCACCTCATCCTCTTTCCTGCAGGTTCCGGTCGTCAAAATATCAAAAAGGAACCGGCTGAAGGGGCTTTTTGGGTTATCAAGTACTAATTCTCAGGGTGGGAAAGCCGATGTGGCGAAGAGTGATTGTCCCACTGAGGATGAGGATGAAGATGGTCATTCACACCTAGAAGCACCAACTGCCCCAGAGACTTCGATAAAAGAGGGAATAAAGCTTGAAGATGAAGCGATGAAGGATCTTTGGGGCAAAGCTTACAAGAAGCTCTGCGAAGAAGATGCCAGCCTAGTTGAGGCCTACAAGAAATACTTGATCGAACAGACAGACAAGGAGACTGGGGGGTGTGTTTTGGAAGAAGAGCAAATCAAGAGCAATGCAATGGACGCCCTGGAGGTAATAAAGAAAGGGAAATTTGAGATACCCCGACGGACGAGAAGGAGTGTGGTTGGAGAATGTGCTATTCGCATCGTGCATGGAATCATGACGGCAAAGGATGTGATCTCGGCAGCTGTCAGTGCAGAGCCACATGCATCTCTGGCATGGGCTGGTGTTGCGATGATACTTCCGGTATGTTTTAATTACATTGGACATGGGTTTTATCCGCTAATGTGATTGTAAGCTGCTGGTGAAACCGGTAACCCAAGGGGAAGATGCTGTTGCAGGACTGGAATTTGTATCGGACCTTCTCGTTCGATATCGTCTGATAGAAGAGTCGTATACCAGATTCCATTTTCCCGAGTCAAAATATGAGTATGTTAAGTGTTGCATTGAAGATGGATATGAACTTAACATCAAGTAGCCTCGTTGTGTCGATTTCGGAAAAGACAGTCAGCCTGTACATGCATGTGCTTCGATACCAAATGCGACTGGCAAGGCAGTACTCTCACTCAGCGGTATTCCGCTATATAAGAAATGTTGGAGGCATTGACGATTGGAAAGAGATGATTGCCACTATCAGGGATATCGACAGCATCATCAAGGATAAACTGTCAGCCGTTTCTAATGATACGGTGCAGGATATCAAACACGCGGTTTCAAAGCTCCACGAAAAGATGAACAGTTCTCTCTTATTGGCTGCCGAGGCACGAGATGACGTCCACGTAAGACATTCTCAAGGTATTGTAGATGATGTTTGCTGACTATTGACGAGACTGAGCGGAATGAACGACTTCTTGACAGCCTGCCCCGAGTGGCCCGAGCAGCCTATGGTTTCGATCATCAAGATCACGGCAGTAGATGTCTCCAAGGCACTCAAGTGGAGATTCTGCAGAAGATTCAAGATTGGACAAACGATCCATCAGGCAAGCCAATCCTCTGGCTACAGGGTATGGCGGGCACAGGAAAATCGACCATTGCTCGAACCGTTGCAGCTGCCTTCTACCATGGATACGGGCTGAGCGAGAAGGAGCTCTTACCAGATGAAGCCTGTCTCGGGGGCAGTTTCTTCTTCAGCCACCAAGACGTCAATTGTCGCAATCCCCAGAAGGTCTTTCCTACTCTCGTGAGAGATTTGATCCAAGTGCTTCCTGAAATGAGAGACCTGGTATGCGACGCGATTGCAAGCCATCACGACATCCACGAGCAACCATTACGAAGCCAATGGCTACATCTGGTTTTGAATCCCCTGCAGACATTGAGTAACAAGCTTGACTCGCCGGTAACAGTGGTGTTTGTACTTGATGCCCTGGACGAGTGCGAGGACTCGGAGAGGATAGGGGAGATTCTAGGCTTGTTTGGACAAGCTCGGAATCTGGAACCGCTGCAGGTACGAGTGCTTGCTACCAGCCGGCCTGAGAGAGAGCTCTTCCAGAATGTCAAATCCGGTCTGGATATTCGAGATGAAGTGCTTTACAAGATCCGCTCATCAGATGGAACTGAGGCTAGAAAAGATGACATTACCCGTTTTGTCGAGCACGAGCTGGAGAATATTCGGGCAAAGCATGATCAACATCAAAGCTGGCCAGGAGATGAGAGTATACAGCGGCTTGTGGAAAAGGCAGATGGGCTGTTCATTTATGCAGCTACTGCTTGCCGGTTTCTTTTGAATGCCACAAAGCGAACTGTCAACAATCGCTTGAAGGTCATTCTAGAAAGCAGGCCAAACACCGGGAGAATCGGGAGCAATCCTCAGTATAGTCTAGACGAAATGTACACTCGCATCCTGGAGATCAACCTCACCGGTGATTCTGACAATGATGAGGATATGTCGGCTCTCTTCAAAGCTGTCGCCGGTTCCATTGTCGTTCTATCCAAGCGCCTTGCCGTGCACACGTTGAGCAACTTAATTGGAATAGCGCATGGGGATGTCGAATGGATGATAGAACACCTGTTATCTGTTTTAGAAGTACCGGCTAATAAGCAAGAGCCGGTCCAACTGCTACATCTCTCCTTTCGGGACTTTCTGATTGATCCGCAACGTTGCCAGAATCCCGTCTTTCAGATTGACGAGAAACAAGCAAATCACAGAGTCATGGTGTATTCCCTTCGTGTCATGTCAGCAAGCCTCAAAAGAGACATATGTGGCTTGAAGAAACCTGGCACAAACATCAAAGACATTGAACCTGTTGTCTTGAGTAAATGTTTACCAGATCACGTGCAGTATGCCTGTGCGCACTGGATCGACCATGGTCTACTGTGTGAGATGAATGATGACAGAATGTATGACTTTTTATCAATTCATTTTACGCATTGGCTAGAATCCATGTGTCTTATGGGTCTGGCCTCCAGAATGATCATCTTATTTGACAATCTTCTGAAACACCCGGTAAGTCACCGTTGACTTGGATATGCTCTCCACTGACAGAAAATAGGCCACCAGTCAACGAACACGTGACATAGTCTGTGATGCGAGGAGGTTTACTCTCAATTTCAGGTCCATCATCGAGAACAATCCATTGCAGATATACGTTTCTGCCCTTCTTTTTGCACCGTATAACACCCTCATCCGGACCCTTTTCAAAAAGGAGATTCCTCGATGGATATCACAGCACCCTCAGGTCGGCCAGAGCTGGAGCCCGTTATTACAAACAATACATGTTCACGGGAACTGTACTTTGCAGAAAGCCATATTCTCACCGGATGGCAGCTTTATGGCGGTCCATTCAACTGACCATTTCAGCGTCTGGGACACAGCTACATGGAAATGCCTGTTGGTGATCCATGCCGACATCAATTCTTTCCAAGACCTAGGCTTGTTGGCGATTGACCCCTCCCTTAATCATATCAAAGATTTGTGCTTTTCACCAGACAGTCAAGAGCTGGTAGTGATATGGCTTGATGATACAGTGCAACTACTACATATATACAAAAGCCAATCAATTTTTCTGGAGAGTCGTCACCCGATGCACGGCCCAAACGCCCTCCTTCGATTCTCTTCAGATAGCGAAAAGATCGTATACGTATCAAATGGGGACCAGATTCTGGTTTGGCAGAGAGAAACGGGAGAACTCGTTCAGAGGATTCTGATTGAGGTTGACCTTTGTCAATATTTGTCTGTATCCAGAGATGCTAAATATGTCGCAGTAGGCTACCTAAATTGGGATCAGGAAACGTCAGAGAGGTACAATAGAGTCACTGTCTGGGATGTCAGTACAGGAAAAGCTTTCCATACCCATGAGGCACCAGGCGTTTGTGCAGTGGCCTTTTCAGGTGATGGAACTGCCTTGCTCTCTGCTCTAGAGAATGGTGCCTTGAATGTCTGGGATTCTGCTACGGACGCCTTGCACTCGTGCCACACAGAGTCAAAGGGAACATGGCATGCTGTGTTCTGCTCCGATGGCAATACTGTCACTTCTTTTAATCGCCAAGGCCAGATCATTTGGAACTGGACCACAGGAAGTTTGAGACAAATACGAGCGTTCTCCAAGACCATGGCCTACATTGAAAGTATGACTGACAATGTTTTCACGCCCCAAGTCGTCCTCCCCTACAGTGGTATAGATCATGATAGATGGGCAAAGAACATTGAGAATCTGGACGATCTTATAGGCCCCCATATCTTGTCCTTTCGAAGTATCGCTCTATCACCGGATGGTAAGATGGTTGCGACAATGGGCAAGTATGGGCAATATATTCAAGTCTGGGATACAACCACGGCAACAACGGTTGTGAAACCAGAAGGACACACCGGCAAGATTTACAATTTGTGCCATTCTCCGGATGGCACCTGGGTTGCATCTGCTGGTGGAGATAACACCATCCGGCTATGGGATGCAATGACTGGACTACAGACTCGATGCTTCATCTGCCCCCATCGCCTCCATCCACCACCTAGACTCGACAGCAGCCTGTTACGGATAGCCTTCTCCCCAGACGGTAAATATCTTGGAGGTCTTACCAAAGACGGGGTTATGCGAGTCTGGGATGTACAGACATGGGCAATCACAGCTGAGATTATTGTCTGCCCCACCACGCAAAGACATTTCCACGAGATAGACATGTCAATCAGCCGAAACATTGCTGCAATCAAGTATGATCATGTATTTGATATCTGGAGACTAGATCCGGCAACGCGTATCGGTCAAGTCAAGACTGATAGAGAATACAGCTGGGTAAGGCTTTCGCCCAGTGGGTGCTTCTTCGTGGCGGGTACTGGGTTTTCGAGCCGCTTTCGCATATGGAAAACAGACACAGGGGAGCTGATATCGACATGCCTTCATGAAGACTCGCCAGACGGCATCATCTTTCCGGTATTTGCACCAGATGGTGAAACTTTGATATCTGCTTTGGAAAGCTCGATAAAGATATGGGAGACACAGAGTGGGGAGTTACTGGCTGAAGCGAACTTAGATGGGGAGATTCAAAAATTAGCCCTCTCCAAGGATGGCAGATGGATCGTGACGGACCAAGGGCGGTTTCAAGTCGAATCGATTCTCCATCCGTACCCTGAGCAGCGAAGGGAAGAGAAGATGAAAGGGAAAGGCATTTCCCTTCGGGATGACTGGATTAGGGATGGAGAAGAGCCAATCCTGCATATTCCTCCCGAGTACAAAATGGAGGAATTGTCCATCTATGAGAATCACATTGCGATGGCTCATTCAGAGAGGCTTTTCATGATTGGATTTGAGGAGGGGGAAAAGGAGTTATAATTAATATCTCGTATCATTTGAGGTTATACGTAATGTCATCCTTAGTTCATAAATACTTGACCACGCATTCAGTTCTCCAAATCATCCTGCCTTTCCAATATCAATCCCATACCTCGTCCCTTCCCCCGTCTTCCGCCATCCCATACTCAACATCAACCCAGCAAGCCTAGAATTCCCAACCAATTCCGACTTGCGTTGAAACTCCGCACCAGGAGGCACAATACCCTCTCCAACCAATTGAGACGGAACGAGATACGACGCCGCAGTGGCGATGCTGCATGGGCTAAGTGGGGGGATATCTCGCGATCTGAGAGAGTAGAATGCCACGGCGCAGGACACCACCATTCCGGCAAGAAGGCCCTCGAGGATGCGCGTTGAGATAGCGCTCTGCTTCAACCGTGTGACGTTGGGGTTGGTGAGGGTGCCGGAGAGTGTGAAGGGGTGTTGTTATTATTGGGATGCGAGTGTACGAGGAGAGTGTCTGGGCGAGAAGGATGCGAAAGGTATGCGTCGCAGCGTCTACTACCTTGAGGGGCTGCTCGGTCAAGTCGGTGGTGGTGACATTGTTGCCTTCCATCACGGCAGACTAGAACTGGTCGTATCCTTTGGAAGTATCGTTTCTGACGGGGAGCATGTACATGAAGTTGTCTTCGTAGGGCTCGTAGTGGGGGATGAACTGCTGCCGGGAAGACTCGATAGGGTCGGCTGTGGTGATGGTGTGGTCTGGGAGAGAGTATGTGACGTTGACATCGAGGATGTCGATGGTTGCATTGCAGGCGTAGGAATGGATCTGGTCGGTAGAGTGGTCGTCCAGCAGATAGCCAAAGTTCAGAACCACCCTCGAGCAGGTCTCATCCTTGAGTTGTGTGCTGTCGTACATTCCAAGGTAACCGCCAATATGTGCGTTTTCGGGTGTGTAGATTGTACCGTACCTTTCGCATCCCTCTGCGAAATCACCATCAGGTATGAAATCCTCCGGGTCAAAGGTCAGGGACTGGCTGACCATGGGGAGACAGTCGAGGTTCCCCCGGAGAGCAGGAACCGTTACCTGTAGAGACCGATCTGAAGGTTCTTTTTACCTCATTCTCCAGAATGACTTTAATAATCCACTGCTGACTGCTATGTGGATTGGTCAAGTTGGCAGGAGTAAAGAATGTGTCGAATTCGGAGCCTGGCATGTGTAGCTCCTTATGCCCAAAGAACCAGAATGGATCCCTCGATGTCTCCAGGCTAGATAGTAAGCCTAAACTCAGGTCTATTGGCGATGGACTGGGTGGCATCTCTGCGCTGTTCGATGAGATTGGGTGGAAGGTTTTTGCTTTGCCTGAGGCTGTAATGGAAACAGACTGTCGAGTGATATTGTAGGTCGGTGCACAGGCAAGAACCTCCTGTTTGTCCACTGAACTACTGGTGTTGCAATGAGCTACCAAGAATACGAGCCAGTCGTTCTTATTGTCAGCAGCTGTCCCGCTGCAGCTTACGTGCTTCACATTTGCGAGATAACTAAGACCGGCCGTATCAGAAGCAAAAATCTGCGTCTGCAGGTATCCAGGACATGATTTTGTGCTGATGGTGAGATTGACATCTTTTGAATTACATGGCGTGTTGAAGCAAGAGAGGTTGTGATACACCACTTCCCACACCTCGCAATCCAAATCTGGCGTGAAGACGTCGACTTCCGCTGTGATCAGCGAGTTTGTACTGGTCTTGATATCACTCGAGACATTGAACGGCTGTAAGGCATGCTCTGCAGTAGTGCCAACAGGGTAATCCAGCCCTTTCCAGCCAATCGCTACCGTGATGAACTGGGGAACCCCATCCTGTTGTATATTATTGTAGTTGAAAGGTTAAACGTGGACTGCGAGAAAGGCGTCGTGTCGATTTGAGACAGGAACACCGTCTCTAATGTCAACAGACCGGTGGAAGCAACTGCGACCAGCTGCAGAAACAGCGTGCCGATGATGGCCATCACAACGGGCCAGTGGGAGTTCCTCCCTGCCCTGAACATTGCAACCACATTCCAAGGGGATATATAATCAAGCAGAACAGTTTTTCCGCGCGATGTCTGGCTTGCTATGGAGGGCAGCCCACGGGGCGAGTTGCTTAGTGCGATGATCGATTTGATTCCAGATGGCAGAGATGAGCATAAACACTGCATAAATTAGTATTATCATTTATTTCTCCAGCCATAAACCTACCAGCAGTCGGGCCATATGTCCACAAATAATGATTTGTCGAGCTATTCGTCCTTAAACCATGGTTTTGATTCGAGTACTGAAAGAGCACCTCAATAACGACGAACAACGCGACAAACAATAGCGCAAGCGCGATAAACACCCAGCAACGCAGGGCAAGCGGGGTCCAAGCGGGCGGATCCTTTGGCTTGTTCACATCTTTCACAGCTGATTTCCCCTGCTCCTCATCTCGACCTGTGACCAATGAGGACGCCGGAGAGGTCGTGGAGAGTTGCTAGAAGCCATTTTGACAGTTGAAATGACAATTGAAACAGGTTTTCAGGAAAGGAGGGCGAGATTTTATTCTTCGCTTAACCTCAGCCTTGTGCTGGTGATTACCCCCTGCATGATGCTCTCGCAGCCTTGTGTCTTTCGGAAGGCTGGCTCGTGAGGGGGAATTTCAACGGGATGATAAATTGAAAAAGCAATTTTCCTTTCAGCTTCACCCACAGCTTCACTGTGGGCATAATTCGAGGGGCTGTCTTGTGCTAATAAATAGACCTAAATCCCTGCCTCACATTGCAAAATTGGTGAAGTCCAAGTTCAACACATGTTTATATCAAAGAATCTATTTTTTATATTTAACCAGTGGAATTTCAGAGATGAAGAATTATTTATATGAGGGATATATTTCTGGCACTTTGTCCATGTTCTGAACGGCTTCATGTGGTGGTTGAGATATATGATATCAAGAAAATCCAAGGCTCACACGTGACTGATATCAAGCTGAGGGGATTCAAAGCATGCTATTGCTATGATTTTGACTGCGGGCATAGATAGGGGGCTGTGATGTTGGTTAAATGCACGAGAGCATCCATTTTAGGGCAATGACTAGTATCATAAAAGCATATACTTCTCGACATTGCTGAGGCGTGAATGCAAAGAATATTTTCAAAGTATTCGAAATCATACAAACTAGCCGTCATGCAACTTATCATACAGAAATCCTTCAACCAGAAGCCACCTATGCTGAAAATGGCAATTAAAATACAGGAGGGGGTTGCGAGACGATTCGGCCCGATGGTGAAATAGAACCTGGTATTTCCCAGGGTTGTTGAATTGAGTATTCGGGAGCATGAAACAGTTCGGTCCGAATGCATTGAAGTTCGTATCAGAATGGTGTATACATGCAGGGTGGAGAATATTAATCACCATTCTATTATATTATTGGATTTGTGCTGTATACCCAAACTAACAGGGAATAAGACCAAAAAATGCGTCTCCCTATGTACATATCATCTATGAGGACATTTTTAACTAAAGTGAGGAGCATTCAGGAACAGCCCCATGAGGATACCACCAAGAGTACCGGCGATAGGAATCGTCATGATCCATGAAATCAGGAGCAGACCGCAGCGCTGGAAGTTGACTGCCTTGAGTGTTCCGTTGCAGAGACCGACACCGATGGTAGCGCCGGTGATGCACATCGAGGTCGAGACGGGGAGGGAGTATTGCGAGAAGACAAGGACAGTGATGGCGGCGCCCATTTCCATGGAGCAGCCTCTGCTGGGGGAGTGGTAGGTGATTTTGTTGCCCATGACTGTGGAATGTTAGTATGATGTGAATGGATGGAGGGGAGAGTGAGTGCTTACCCTTCATGATGTTGTATCCGTAGGTGATGAGACCAAGAGAGATGGTAATGGCAAGGACGGCAAGTTGCCAAACAGGAACGGCAGCCTTGGAAGCAGCAGGGCTACCCGTCGACCAGGCCGAGTAGATGGCGGCCCAAGGACCAACCGAGTTACCAATATCGTTGGCACCGTGAGCAAAGGATGCAGTGCAGGCTGTGATGATCTGAATGAACGAGTACAGATACTCGACCTCGTTGGGGTACTTTTTGGCGTTGGCATACACACGCTGCATGCGGGCACCCTCGGGGGTTCCAGAAATTCCAGACTGCGCGGCGTGGATGTCATAGTGCAGACCGTAGAGTGCACCGACGACGATCATGGGAGGAAGACGCTTGAACATGAGCTTGATGTTTTGCAGCTCGTAGATCTGGCCAGCACCCATGGGGTTCTCGTGGAGGGTGCGCATGGCCCAGCCAAGGGGGCCACGGCCTTTCCTGAGCTTTGCGTGGAACCGGGCTTCACCGTCCGCCATGAGGTCTTTGTATGCATCCTGAGTGGCTTTGGTCTCGGCCACGGCCAGTCTCTTCTCAGTTTCGTTGGCGGCGTCGGATTCGCGTGTTTTGCCATCGTGTTCGTTGATAGACTCAGGGGAGCGGACAGAGGAAATCTCCTCCTCGTCTTCTTGGACAACGGCGTAGTCGGGGACAATGGCCTCTTCTCCTTGCAGGGGCACAGGGCGGGTGAACAGGATAGGACCCAAGATGAACATCCACCACTTGAGGGAGGCGTCCTTCCTGACGACCTTGGAATGCACAAAGGGGACGAAGAAGAGAGCAGACAGCAGGCAGACACCACCGCCAGTACCGAGGGTGACGGCGGCGATATACCAAGCGGGCTTCTTGCTCAGCCCCAGGTTGGGAGATCCCTTGTACACAATCGACAGGGTACAGATGGTGGCAGCGAGGAGGAACCAGAACGGGGAGGTCCAGACAGCCCAGCGCACGGGGTTCTTGCGAAGATGCACCACACACTTGATCAACATAAAGATGATAGCACCGAATGCAGCAGAGATAGCAGGTGCCATGCCCAGACCAGCAAAGATGGCACCCAGACCTTTACCCTTGTTCCATCCCCACTTGACCTCAGAGGCACCGGCAGTAGCAACGCCAACACCAGCGACGGCAGACACGAGCGAGTATGTGGACGAGACGTGGGCCGAGTGTCGTGTACACCACATCACCCAGGACGAGGCGGCAGCCAGAGCACAAGTGAAGGCGAGCATCTGGACTCCAGCGTTGCCCTGGAAGGCAGAGCTGGGAATGATGCCGTTCTTGATGGTGTCTGCGGTTCGCGAACCGACGGTGACTGCTCCGAGGAATTCGAAGATGGTTCCTAGTACCATGGCCTGTCTGTAGGTGATGGACCGGGACGACACACTGGTTGCCCACGAGTTGGCCACATCGTCTGACAAACAAACATATTAGAATCCATCTATCCTATCAGGGTCTGAGTACTTACTGGCACCGTTGTTGTAGGCATCCAACAAGGCGAAGATGGTGCCAATGGCAAAAACGTAGGTATACTCGTCCAGAGCCATGTTGATACTCAGCGAAAGTGAATCTGCATGAGAAGAAAAAGAACAGAAGGAATGGAAGGGTCTGTAGGTTTTAATGCCCGTTCAGACAGTAGGTCTGATCGATTTACTTCGATTTGCCTCATCTCCCAGTGACATGCATGTATGCCATATGCTTCCATCCACGAATTCTATTCGCAGAGAGCGCATCACAGCTGACTTCCGCCACCACTTGGCGCTGACACTCACAATATAGCCCCAAACGTGGATGGTCGGGGGGGCAGATGTTTCTGGATGGCCCATGTGCCGCGCAGAAAGAAGCAGCCAAGCACGAGACCCATCTTTCCATGCTTGAATGGGCGCGGCAATTGGCAAACTCAATGTTCTGGCAGGATAAGACCGTCATCGTCATATTGGCGGAGCGGACGGCAACTCTTGGCAGGGCTTGGCCTGGAATGGGCCAATCAACGGTGTTTGACTCCCCACGTGTAGAAAGAACTGGTGCTTGGCATTGTGGCCGATCGAACGCGATGGGCACGAGGCTTCGTTTGAATCCTTTTAGACCTGGCGAGATGAGCCTGAAACATCGGACTCTGATTGACTGGAAGAAGATCTCTATTTCTGACTGGCTCCCACCGGGCCAAGGACCAAGAAACAGTGCAGCGAACACGAAGCAACCCGCGAAAATGCCACGGAATCTTGATTCTAGCTAAGCGTGCTCGGTTTTCTTAGCTATCAATGCGAAATGCAATCGACGAATTATAGCAGCCCGCATCGAGCCAGTTTCCTGTGACGTTCTTTACAGCCGTGCCATTACCAAACTCGAGAACATAACCCCCGTCTACGCCGTATGGATCAAAGGCTTTCCACCTGACGGTCGTGTTGAGAGTCGCGGGATCCTTCAAGAATGCTAGGAGAAAATCCTGCATCGTAGCAGACGTGTCGACTTCCAGCTGGGTAATTCCACCCACATCAAGGCCGTACGTACCGAATATCATCAGCAGGTCTGTCCAATGAAAGGCACCAAGCCAGGGAACAGGACTAATATTAGAGAAATTGCCTATTTGATCGGGTTGGTAAGAACCGGTTGAAAATGCCGACTCAGGTTGACTTACCCGCCCAATAGTAGCGATATGTATCCAGCCCGAGTGAGGAGCGCAATTTAGCATCGGATAACGCGAGACAGTCAGCAACCCCTTCAGAAACGTCAACCGAGGTGGTGTTTTGGTCGGGAAATTCTCTAGCGGCATCAGACCGGATCGATGGTCCCCTGGCTACTTTTCCCTCTGCGTATCGCTGCGTCTCATTGGAGAAGATGTATTTTTCGTCGGCTATAACTTCATTAGCGTCGAATATAAGGGGTTAAAATCAGGCGACGCACGAATATAGTTAGTGAAAGCAATCGAAGGGGTGTTGTTATATCGATTGATATATTCCTCAATCTGAACCCAAGACACCTGGCGCATACATTCAAGCTCAGCTTCAGCATCGTCTCCGTAGTTGCAACCCAGACCTTTGGCAACGATATCGAAATCCTGGTAGACATCTCCTGCTGTTGAAAGGTTAAGTGTGGCCGAGGCCCCTTGAGAAATGACACCAAATTTTGCTGCAAGAGGGTCGTCGGGAAAGGCGAGTGTGTATAGATGGGTTAACAGTGCACCCTGTGACTGTCCCCAGAGCTAAGGAATAGTTAGAAGATATAGCTGCTTTAAAATGGAATACCGACCATGATATTGTTTGTATCACCCCCAAAGGCATGGATATTCTCGTGCACCCATTCCACCGCAGCCCTCACATCGAGTAAGGACAGCGACGTGTCATTCAAAGCCCTAAACTTGGGATCTAGCAAGCACTTAGTATGTTATGCAAAAAGGTGTTAAGAAGGAAAATCTCACTCCCAAAAATATTCACTCGATAGTTGATCGTAACCACAATATGCTCCTGAGATCGTGACACCCACTGAGTAGGCAGTTGAGAGGGGATCTCAATACCACCAGTGATGCCTCCTCCCCCGGTGACAAACAGCGCCACAGGAAGCCGCGATGTACGATTAGCAAAGGCAGGAGTCCAGACAGCAAGAGACAGACAATCTTCAGACGAAGACCAAGCCGTGGATCCCTGGTTAAGAGCTTCACCAATGCTGATCAGCAGGTTGGGAGGCTCATATTCATTCCAGAAGCTGGTTTCTGCAGACACATACTGCGGACAAGCTGGGCCATATCTGGTCGAGTCATATTTCCTACTCGAGTTATCGAGCTTGTGAGGGGGAAGCCATCGGAGATCTCCAACTGGGGGCTGCAACCAAGTTTAGGATATATACCGGGAGAAAGTGTATGAGAGGCATTCTGACCTTGGCAAAAGGAACGCGTAAAAATTGCCGAACATTGGGATAAGTACCATTGTACATGCCAATAAATGTCCCAGTACGTGTTTCAACAGTGAGATTGGACCAGTTGGACAAAGAGCGAGGAGGCTCCCACGTCATGTTGGCATAGTAGGGGGGTTCCTGAAGCCCTACAACCGGTGCGGCCAAGGCCAGCAACCCGAACAAAGTCCAATTCATCATTTTAAATATTTGTGAGAATGAAACTGATGAGGAAGAATTCTTAGGATACAGATGCCTTTTATATAACCACTTAGCCGTCCGGCTGTTATGCATCGCGATGGTATCGGCCATCGGACCATATCTCATTCCCCGCGCCGGACATTTTGGCTGTCTGAGGAAGTCTCGTCCGTAAACATGCTCGGCCATATCGCAGTAGACTACTATGTCAATATATCAAATGACCAGTTACCTGGCGCGACAGCCAGAACTAGAGATGGTCCAATTGCGGAGATGCGGGGAAGTTCTCGACGCCTTGTATGGCAGCCCCACGATCGTTCCAAGCGGAGAAAAGCTTCGTTTGCTCTTGTATTTCTCCGTATGTCGGAAAGAGTGGTCTGATATTACTAGAAAGGATTCGCATTGTCACATCTGTTATGGTCCATGGGGCCATGTCGGATATATTCACTTCCGGAACAGAATGCAATCCCCACCCTGCAATGCTAATGGATGCCTACACGTGTTGCTATGCACTATTCTATCTGGAGGAACGCGCTCTCCAGTCCGACTGGTAACTGGCATTTTATCTCGTTTCCTAACGGTGTTGTCCATCGCACACTGTGCTAGGCGTTTCAACCTAAGTGTAATCTCCTGGGCAAAATTAACATTTTCCGAGGACGATCCCGGAAGCTGGTTCATATAACTACTTTTTAATGAGTTGAGGAATCATTGCAATGAGATGCAGATCCTATTGCCTATTTTGATCCAGTGGTCTGCTCAGAGGATTACGGAGAAGGGTGACGATGGCGTGGATAAAGTACATAAGTGAGATGAATCACTGACTGTCGTTGATGTATTTCTTTCCTATGTACTTCTATTTCGATCCCAGCATTTTCTTTATCTGGTCACATACAACCATAATGTTTGGAAAACACTTGACTAACGAAACAGTTAATATTTAAAAGTAATAGTCATTAACTGCTAGAGTACCGAATCTGACGCCAATTTATATTTGCAAGTCTAAAGATGCTCTCACAAGGAACTCGTGATAGGAAATGTAAAGTCGTTCCCTATATTCAACCGTCAACACACTTCACAATCTAGAAAAAAAAAAAAAAAAAAGAAATAGCGCCAGGATACTTACGCTTCGCCAATTGCAATCTCGACATCTCACGAGGCCCAGCCTCTCCCTCCTCAAGTCCGTTGCAGTTCTTACCCTCCTCGACAGTCCGCCACTTCCAGATAGGTGTGAATCGGTCTGGCTTTCGCTCAAGTTGGTTTTTGACATACTGTGATGTGATTAGCTTTGTATGGTTATACTGGGGATGGTGCAAGACGTACCTTGCCGAGAATGGGGAGGAATTTGAAGCCGTGGCCACTGGATTGAGTTAGATGAAGGAGACACAATAAAGGCTTGTGGAGTACTTACGAGCCACCGGTGCAGATAAAGAGAGAGTCGGAGTAGCCGGGTACGTAGTCGATGACGAACTGGAGAGTTAGTATTTCTTGCCATGGTGGACTGTCGGTGGGACTTACTTCATTGTCAACGCTGTCTGTGTACCAACACAACTGAATGTATGTCAGTGAACAATTCTACATCTGGTTATAGAAGAACGAACCCTGCTATCTGTGAAGCCAATCTCAGTCAACTCGGGAAACAGTCCACCAATAACCCGCTTCATCAGCTGGAGACCGTACAGAGGCACCGTGTCGATGGGCTCTGGACTATATTTTGTTCGAGGAGTTGAAATTCGCAGGTTTTGCTGTGTCGGATGGTCTTGGAAGTTGGTGAACTTGAAAGGTCAGTATGACTTGCCAACAGGATAGCTGGATTATAAAAACACCTTTCTCGCACGGAATCCAAACTTGAGTCGACCTTCTTTTGTGACAGGGAAGCCACCTCCTTCGTAGGCTCTGATATGATGTTATTAAAATTCCAATTTTATATGTCTGAATACGTACGCTTCTCCCTCGCCCTCGATGAACCGCCAGACGGGGAATCTGTCTGGATGGAATCTCTGTCGCAGATCCTGTCTGTCGGCTGGGATGTCGATGAACATGACTGTTCCCATTGTGGCTTCCACGGACCGATGGGCTTCTGGGATGACTGATGATGACCATGGTCCGCCTGTGGATGATGTTAGTATTTGTACAACCCGATCAAATGAGAGATACTTACAAGCAACAATAACAAGATCTGCAAAATGACTTTGACCATCACGTGTCTTGATACCAGAGACTCGCTTGGAAGAGCCCGACTTGTTGATGATCAATTGGTCCAGTTCACCGTGAGGTCGACCCAAGATGAATTTCACGCCTGCCTGTTCGCACAGATGGCGGGCATAAGTACAGGCTTTGTCCGCGAGAGTGATTCCGGATCCAGCATCCAGAAATCCATTTGTGCGACCATTTCTGAATTTATCAAAAAGGTGATATTTCTTTTCCCATTCGGGGCCCAATGCCTTTGCTCGGTCTTCGTCTTGAGGACTATCCTACAACTGTGTTAACATGAAGTTTAGTATACTACTTTTCAGTTGATCATACCTTGATAAATTGCAGATCGCGGAATGAAGGCGCCGTCTTCTCCATCACATTCAGGTTCTCAACATAGCGACCAATCATCTCCTTCCCATCGGCCAGATGGTAAACACCGCAGAGAGTAAGCAATTTATCCTCAGGCGTCAGTGGGAAAGGCAGATCAGATGGGCGACTCTCCTTGATGGCCCGATTCCACTCAAGCCATACATCTCGGGCTTCCAGAGCAAGGTCTTGGTTGCTAGATTTTGTCAGTATTTATAGTCACATTGAAGAGGGTACATACTGGCTCTGCGACCCGTAGGTCGCACGGAAGATTTTATTGATATCGGCCGAGGCACCATCGCATCCGTTGGCTGGATTATAGTGGTTCTTGTCGAATTCGCATCGGTCGAAGATGGTGACATTCTTGTAGCCATCACGGGCCAGGTACAAGGCAGTGCTGAGGCCAAAGACCCCACCGCCGACGATGATCACACGAGATTCGGGAGTAGTCATTTTGTTTTCTATTTTGGATGTTAAAATCAAGTCAACCTTGCCTTTTGATGAGGTTTTATAGTACCTTCTATAGTATATCTTATCTGACGGCACTCCCGATGAAGAGCGGCAATTCCGTCGCCTTAAATGAGTCAAAGCGGGGAAATCCACGCATCAACGGCAATCCCGCCTTGGTTATCTCTGCCCCCTTACATAATCCCCGCATCCTCGAATCAGTGTTTGTGATCGCTGATAAGCTGGCTGATATCGGATCTGCCGTGTCTGGGAATGATGCTGCGCTGGATGGTCGCCCTTGATAGCCTTGTGACGGGTTTGCCGCTGGTCGTAAAATATAAAAACACCCCGGAAGCTGCTCGACTTGGCTATGTGTTTTACGGAACCTTTCACGCCTTTGCAATATGGTCTTCACGGATATACTCGGTAAAAGTACACTGGCCGACTATGGCAAGAAGATTAGATCGGCCCCGCGCGAGGTGGTCTTTAGTCGCACTTTGTTGCTGTCGGCTATGATGTTTGCGACCGCAGCTATTCCTTTGAGTGAGTTATCTCAACTTAGATGCTTTGCAGCTTCACTGACCCAGTATAGCATGGGATCAAGGCTCCGCATCGACTGTTTCCTCTCTCTCAAGCTTTGAGCAACAGTTCGGTATCTCGTCTAAATCCGGTGCCAATTCGACCAGAAACTTTGTTTCGCTTGTGTATATCGGTGATGCAGTGGGTGCTGCGTTGTCATTCTTCATCAATGATCGGATCGGACGGTTATGGTCATACCGTTTGTATACATCTGTGTGGATAATGGGGCAGATTGTGGCCATGTTCAGTCCCGGTGCGTCTGGCTTATACGCTGCTCGCATCATCTCAGGATTGGGAATTGGGGCTTTGAGTGTCACTGGGACTGTCTCGATTGTTGAGATCGCACCGGCTGAGATACGAGGGCTGCTGACTGCGTGGTATTCTGTCTGCATGGGAATTGCTCTGATGACGGCGACCTTTTGCGTTTACGGGATTGAGATACATATGGGATCAAGTCGGCTGCAATATCAGGTTGTCTGGTTCTCGCCGTGTATCTTTATGTTTCTCTGGATTGTGGCCAGTTTCTTTCTTTGCGAATCACCACGATGGTTGATTATGTGTGGCCGTGATGAAGAGGCTGTTCAGACTCTGTCTACTCTGCGATGTCTGCCATCTGACGATGCTCGTGTACAAGCAGAGATTGAAAGCATCCACCACTCTCTCCAATCCGAGGGCCATGACACAGACAGCCGGTCTTCCTTTGGTAACATGATCAGCATTGCCCAGGAGACATTTACTGATCTGTCTAACCTGCGCCGTTTCCAGCAAGCGTTGATCATGTACGCCTTAGCCGAGTTTTCTGGCGGCAACTCCGTTACGAACTACTTCATTCCTATTCTGGAGGTCGCTGGGCTGAGTGGGAGCTCCACGCACAATCTCCTGCTGAATGGCATGTACACACTCGCCAAGTTTGTCTTTAGTCTGGCTGCGTCGTTTATATTCATCGACTTCTTCGGTCGCCGGACCTCGCTCTTCTTCGGCATCACCCTGCAGATGGTGTCTGATATATACCTGGCGGCATTCATCAAGGTTCTCAACGACAACAACAAAGACGTCCCTCGTTCAGCAAGTGAAGCAGCCCTTGCAGCCATCTTCATCCATGCTCTAGGATATTCAGTTGGTAAGTTTACTGTCTAGCCTCACTCTAGTATATATTAACATATCAGGCCTCCTCACCCTCCCCTACGTCTTCGGTGGCGAATTATGGCCCAACCGCATCCGCTCATTTGGCGCTGCTGTCTCCCAGACCTTCCACTGGCTTTTCCACTACGCCATGACATTCGCCCTACCCTCTCTTCTATCTCGCACCAACAACTGGGGTGCATTTGTCTTCTTCGCAGCCTGGTGCGCCACTGCTATTCTCTACGTGTATCTTCTCGTACCTGAGATTGCAGGACTGTCTGTGGAGGAGATTGATGCTATTTTTAGGGGACCGTGGATTATGGCGCGTAGACGAAAGACTATTCCATCTGTTTTGGAGGGACAAGAAGTGGGGCCGAAGAAATCCAGGGACGAGAATGAGACTGGGACGACGGTGAAGGCTTCCAAGGGGGGCGGTGGAAGAGACTCGGTTGAGTCAGTAGCTTAATCACTTTTTATGATCTGAACCAATCCATGACTTCACTATTGAATGCATTTACTGCGTACGACCCATTGCAATCAAGCATGACATGCTGACGGCGCTAAATTGCCGATCAAAATGCGGGCACCAATCAGAATGCACAGATAGAGCAAACAAAGCAAAGATACGAGATAACATTTTCTGCCCAGTGTGGTTAGCCTCTTCCCCACACTATCTCTTATCTGTCTGACTCTGACTTTGCAATATCTGACATGTTCATTTAACACCTTAGATACTTGTCCATGCCACCTCTAGGCATAATGGAATCCCCCGACCAACGGAGGATGTCAAATCGAACACAATCTCGACACGTAAATGCAATCAGACGAAGCACGAATGCCTGTGGGTACCCACGTTTTTCTGAAACGTTAGACGATGTAACTAGCTGACTTGGTGGGAAGGTCAACGATGTAAGCGGAGGAAGATAAAATGTCACTATAATAGTGATAACAGCCATCAGTGAGAAGCATATTTATATTGAACACCAGGCATCTACTAACAGAGTATAGCAAATGTGTCGCGTGTTCGAGGTCGTATTCAGGTAACCACCAACTTCTTTGGTTTGAAACATATCGATTGCTAACTTTGAAGAATGTATATTTGATGCCCCTCCTGATGGCGTGCTAAGGGGACATGCGTAAGTATCGTTTTACCCATATCATGAATCATTGTTAATGTGGGTAGATATGTGGCAACCCTCGAGGCACGAATCCAACTGCTAGAAAAACAACTTAGTTTAGCAGAATCTGAGAAAACAGGTTTAACACCCGACACCGATTGTTCCGATCAACCTCAGAGGGAACGGACAGACACAACTAGTCGAGATCGACATTCGCCACAGAGGCAATCAACTTCTGACATGACAGTTCTCGACATGCTTCCTAGTAAGACATTTGTATCGAATGTTGAAGAAGAGAATCTTCCGGCCCTCCCCTTCAGCAGTGGAGCCAAAGCGCTGGTAGATACGGTTTATTTCTACACCCAAGCACGGTATTGCATTATAGACTGGACGCAGTTGCGGGAGTGGCATCGAGATCGAGAGGCTATTGCCTATGTTTCCACTGACAGCCCTGTGGATATACAAACAGGTAACTAGCATTCAAGTTGTAACAGGCATAGCTAATACTGGCAGGCGCCTTTTTCATTTGGATTATTTATGCCATTGGAGCCTGCTTGGTTCCGAATCCTGAGAGCTCAACGGAAGTATGAATATCTCGAGTCATCAATAGTATCATTCTAAAAGTGACAGGCCTATTTCTCTCGAGCACGAATATACCTCCCAGCAGTCCTGGGTCTACAGAACTTGACTACAGTGCAGGCTCTTTTATGTCTGACGCAGTACTATTTCCGAGCCCCGACTGAATCTCCGATATGGTTTGTCTACCTATTATTATCTCTATCAGCCTACTCATGGATACAGGGACCTGGTTGGACTTGCACTGCGCCTATGTATCAAACACAGATACCACCGCAAGATCATCACTCCAGATGTAGATCCGTATACGATTGAGCTTCGAAAACGGTTTTTCTGGTGTGCGTATTGCTTTGATCGGCTACTTGCAATTTTGTATAAACTGCCTTTTGGAATTAGTGATTCGGATATTGATGTTGAGGTTTGTCATTCTTTATGAAATCGTATGCTGGCTAACTAATATTGAAGACCCCCGTTGATATCGACGATACTTGCAGAGATCAGCAGATGATTTGCCAACTGCAATTAAAGCAGGCTGCTGGTGAGTCAGAGGAAGGGGAAATTACCACAGTAATTAGCTTTCCTATCTATGGTGTTGAAGGAGTATACTAACAAGCAAGATGACTGCCGCGTTACACCATCTGCAAGTATACCGAATCCGGTCAAGAATACTGTGAGCCATCTACGCCTTTTGTCTATACAGTTAACTAACCATATAGAACCAACTTCACCGGCCCACATGCCCGCATCCCCTCCCTAGCAGATGTTGAACATCTTCTATCCGAACTCGACCAATGGCGCCAACAAGCACCTCGAAAACAAGACTCACGATCCTTCCCCCAGCAAAACCCAGATCGCGTACAAGCAAACTACTTCCAGGCCGTGCTACTCCTCCTCCGCCCAATCCTACTCGGCGATGTCGTCGATTCCGATCTCATTCGGTTGTGTGTTGAGTTTGCGACTGACGCATGCGAAGTAAACCCCCTCGTCCCCTTGCCCAAAAAGATCTGCTAACACAATCAGAGCGCAAAAATCCTCAGCCTCAACCCCCTCACTCTCCCCGACCGCATCACCGTATACCACTGCTTCTACGGCGGCATCACACTCCTCCAGTGTCTTGCGATTAAGCCAACGGCATTAACGCCGCGACGGGCACACCAGGCCATCAGTGCGTGTTTGAGTGCGTTGGCAGTATACACGCGCGTGTTGCCAGCTGTGGCACCATTCCTGAGGCTGTTTGAGGATGTATCGAATTTGTTCGTGTGTGACGAGCATATGGCGGGGATTCATCCGAGTGGAAAGGTGAGGGGGCTGTTGAATAGAATTGTTTCGAGTGATCCGTCCGAGGCATCGGGGTATGTAGACTTGATATTGGGTTGATGGTGATGTGATGTTAACTGGGTTGTAGGATTTTATGTTCGCTATCGCAGAAGGAAAGTCACCAGGCATCGCCGGAGCCGTTGGCAGAGGAAAAGATGGTATGATGCCCTACTTTACATCTATGACTTGGCTAACATTTCAGACAATCCAATATGACTCTATCCTGGGTGGTCAGTCGTCTGTGCTACCGCTTGATATGCCATTAACAATTTCTCCCCTCTACGCACCTGATCTGGAAATCATGGACTTATGGACTGGCTGGCTGGATCCTCCGTCGGTGGCTGGAAATATGGAATGAAGGCGAATGTTGTATATTAAGAGGATAGGACTATTCAAAATAGCATCTATACATTGCAGATCCGCTATGCCCTATTCACATCCTATCATTCTGTAGTCGGCGATTTGAATCTCGATCTATATAATGGAGTTTCACAGCTAATTTAACCCTTCATATCCACTCTGGCAACGTTTTGTAATTAGGAGATCCATCACTTTCTCCTTATCATTCTGCTGAGACTTCCTAACCACTTCAAAATGCTGGTCTGTGATTTCTACGTCTGGTTTGTATTCGAGAAACTTCGTCACAGTTTCCACGTTGCAGTTGGTCAAGATAATCTCCATTGCCCTTTCAGTCCCAGGCATTGGCACTCGATGGCGAACACATGTGGATAGCAATGTTTGAAGCACATGAGAAGACATGAAGCTATTGCCCTGATAATTCAGTGATAATATAGTCTCAATTATTTTCTCTGTGACTTCGACATTCGAGTGTACAAGGAGAGCAACTGCTTGCTTCTCCCTGAAATAAAGAGCTCTGTCCTGCCAGAGGGCCTCCCATCCTGCCTGTATATCTAGATCATCTTGATGTTCAAGGACAAACTTCAACGTTCCGACATCGGGCCGAATGGCTGCGTGTATCAACACATTATCCGTAATTGGCAAATCTGGCCCCATTCGGTCAAAAAGAAAGCGCATGACATCAGCATCTAAGACAGCAAGCATAATGTCTTCGGTAATTTCGACGTTGTCATTCAATGCATCCAAGAGTATTCGCAATGAATCAATATTGCTTGTAGCATTTATTAGTGCTTGGTGTGTGATGGGCAGATCGGGTCTTCTGCGGGAGAAGAGTTCCAGCGCCCGATCGTTGTGAGCAAAACTTTCCACCAGCCATTCATCGACCTCTATCAACTCTCTCTCGAGAAATTGCTCTAGCACTTCTGCCCCATTATAGCTCAACTTCGTAAGGGTCTGTACTATCTCCTTCACGGGTGCCTCATTGTCAGACCGGTCCAGGAGGAAGGACATGAGATGCTTGTTGCTAACCGCTGTTTCAAACACAGGGGTTGTGAGCTTTACCGTAGGAAATCTGTCCAGAAGGAGCTCAAACAAGTCTTTGGGATGCTCTGCGAAGCTGCTCGCAGCAGAAACCAGTACAGTTTCGGTTATGCTGATTGCGTTTCCACCGAGCTGCAACAGGTATTCCATGACGGGAACAGGCTCAGGTATATTGCTTGCTGCGATGCATAGTAACTCCTCTGTGATGGCGATATTTGACTCTGGAATGTTGACAAGGAGCTCTACAACTTCACGAGTTGAGTAACAAACAGCTTCGATAAATACAGCCTGTGAGACTGTCATATGTGCTTTGTGACGCTGGTACAGCATCTTGACCATAGCGTCGCTCTCAGAACTCGATCCTACCAATTTTAGGAGCACCTCCTCGCCAATAGGTTCGTCGGATCTCCAGTGGTTGAGCAACAGCTCCATCGTTTCAACAGACCTTGCAGCAGCAATGACGTCCTGGGTAACATTTGCCCCTGATTCCAAAAGGGAGTGAACTCGTTCTATGTTACCGGTCATTGATGCTTCAATCAGCAAACGCTCTTCGATTTCAGCTGGATTAGCATAGCCCTGGGTTAGGAGCTCAACCATTTCCCGGCTCTCTTGCCATGAAACATACTGCAAGATGGATTTATTGGAGCAAATCTCATCACGTCGCCTTTCTAGAAGATTTGCAACGTCAGGCCTATCCACCCACCACCAAGGAGATATTTTTGTGAAATGGACGTCCGCATCCCTCCTGTCAAACAGCGTCTCCATCATTTCTCTGCCATGTCGCTCGTTGCGAAGGACCCCCTTTAAAAAATTCTGAGTGATCACAACTTTCGCCTTCTCTTGGTTATCAAGAAACCACTTTAGTAACATGTTTCCGAAAGACTCATTTGCCACTGCTTTCTCGAGGATATCACCGTCAATAGTGACATCCTGTTCGGACCGATCAAAGAAAGTGTGTTGGCCCCAAAGCATGTCGAATAGCACTCTGATCTCATCCATGTCGAGATAGGCAAGCTTGAAATGTTCAATCATCCCTAAAGAAGTTTCCTTGGTGGGTTGCTGGCTTTGCAAAAGCACTTTTAAAACATCAAAATGACCTGCCTTCATGGTAGCTATGAATGCGTTGTGAAAGTTGAAGTCCGTGGGGATTGATTCGAACGAATTTGCGTTTCTGTCAAGTAAAGCCTTGACAATTTCGGCCAGTCCGCGGCTTGAGGCTGTGTATATGGGGGGAGGGAACTCTCCGGGCGGCGTTGTCCACCATCGAGCAGTGTCCCAGTAGACTTGGGAACGAAACAAACGAAGTGAGTTGATGTAGGAAACATGGTTGGAGAATAGATCATTCACCTTGTCTTGAAGCTCTGGGGGTTGGGGGTTTCCCGCTTGTCTGAAATGTGCGTCCCAAAATTTTCCAGCATACTGCAACAATGGTTGCTTTTCTGCGGCTTCCTGTGTCAAGTCTTCGTCTGTGTCTAGAAGGCACTGAATTGACCTTTCTGCAATGAGAGCGTGACATAGGTCTGCTGATGAGATACACCAGTTCACGTCTTTCATAGAATCTTCAGAAACCAGGAACTCCTTGACTGAGAAGTGGGCGAGTCGCACGATATTGTCGGTTGGGCTTACTGAGATCAGCGCGGAGGTGCATATTTCCATAACACTTCGAGTCAATGGGAGCGATGCAGCTGCTGCAACGGCTTCTAGGGTCATTGGTACCATGGAGAAGCTGAGCCAAGTCAAAATCAATTGTGCTTTCTTTTGGTGCCTTGGTTGTATTCTCCCCAGGACGTTTCGGTAGGTTGCCTCCAAATTAACGGGGATTGTATCCAGAGCATCCAGGATGTCATCCTCGACATGGCATTCTTCGAGTCGCTTGATTTGAAGCTCTGCCCATCGGAATCGCCTTTTCAAACGGTTAGTTAACGTGATATCCTCAAATGAACAGGCGTTTTAACTCTTAGGGATTTCCAACAATCGCGATTCAATTTGAGCTTTGATCTCTGAATCCCATACTGACAAAGTGCCGTGCAGAATCTGATTACTAACAAATACTGCTACATCATTACTGAGCCCTTCTTCCAAGTCGAGCTTGTGTAGGTTAAGATTCTGGCTGTGCTGGAGCTTCGCAGCGATATCAGGTTCCGATCGACTGGTTGCGAGAATGTGAAGTTTGCTGCTGTGTCGTTCCATCAGCTGTCCGAGGAACTCAAATAATGAATCTCTTTCGCGGTTGCCAGGTTCCCAGGGGCATTCATCCAGAGCATCTAGAATCAAAAATGTCGTTCCGCTGAGATCCTCGATGACCTGATGCATGACGGCCATGAGAAGCTCTCGTGCTGGCTCCTGGCCCTTGTGGTGCTCTTCCCATAGTTTGTTCACACATTTTGGAAGTGGAACAGGACTGAGTTGCCGAAGCATGAACCTGATCATAGCTTCCATACTCAGTGTCTCTCGGTTACTGAATCGGAAATACCAATACGCGACTTGCTTGGTCCGGTCACCTTCACAGAGCGTTTGGATGTTATGAATGATTGTAGAGCTGATAGAAGTTAGAACAATGGCATTTCATGGGCTAGATTTTATATACATACCAGAGCACGGACTTGCCACAGCCGACTATGATGAATCAATATTATTTCTAACACAAGGCGGCAATACTCACCAACGCCATGTAACCAAAGAAACCGTCCCGGGGTTGTTTTCCAGTCAGCGTATGCTCTGCATTGCAAAAGCCAGTTCCCAGTTTCCGACACTTGACAGGTGCGATTCTCATTCTGTATTTTTGAAAATTCGGCCGTGGATAACCATTCCCGGATTTTATTCTCCCGGTCACCTAAATAATCAGCAAAGTAGGTCACCAAAGTAAGGGGCAAGTGTAATCACATACTGTTGTTCTGCGACTGGAATATTGTTCATTTTCTCAGGCAGCTCATGGGTGTAATCGAGAATCTTATCTGCCTTCTGCCTGAGATCTTTAATTCGTCAGCGTGACTTTCATCGACAGATTTCGAGCGACTCACCAAGGTCAGCACCTAGATGCCTCCATATCTCAACAGTTTTCCCCCTTTCTTCCACAGCTGCTTTCAGACGTTCGAGAGGGTTACTAAAGCCTTTATGCTCTGCCACACGTGTGCTGCTGTACTTTCTCTGTGAGCCCTTTTCACTGCTGCCGCATACCGAAGCACCGCAGTATACACCTCAATCAGGGCATCCTCCAACCCCTGATCGGTTTCCACTCCTTGGTCTCGGTATCTTGCATCGACGATGGCATAGTAGACCAGTACCCCTGCCAGAAAGTCAGAGGCTTGCATCACGGCATCTTGACGGTCTTTGCTGTTTTTGACAACCTACTTCAATAAGCCAATATCGCAAAGGTACATCTGGGATTCGTCATACCGTCAGTCCAATCGATATAACAGACCACGCCGTTGATGCTTATAGGTGTCAGCAAGACCTTCAAAAATTGTTAGGGATAAACCGACCGTGCCCAGTTGGATCAAAAGCGGCACCTGCTTTGATAATATCTTGGACCTGCAGTGCTGAGATGAGAATACTCTGCACTGAATCTCGGACATTGATATTCTTCCCATGTATCTGAATCCGGAAACCACCCTTCTCGTATTCCTCGCACGCGGCCCTTGTCTCATCGACTAGAGCCTGGATCGTTGCATTGAGGTCACTGTTTCCCCCAATATCCAAATATTCCTGGCTTTTCTCGTCCAGCCTCGCTCCGGCAATTTTCCAAAGATTATCCTCTTTTGGTTTCGCTTCGGCTGTTCCTATGGATTGTTCGACGGATTTGGAGGTGCTCTCGACACAGTCCACTGAGCTATGGCTGTGAGAGTTGTGGGAATTCGCATGATCGGAGGTTTCTCGAAATACTTTCTTCCTTTTCATTTCGTTCGTGTCGACGTTAACCGGACGAGGTTTTCGATTGTCATCGCCTTGGCTTTCGTGTCTTGTGCCTGCAAGACAATTGCTACAGCACAGCTTGTTGCTGATTCTACGTAGCATTGTCTTGGGCTCTGCAGTTTTTGAGTTGATATCTCTTTGTGTCGCCTGTGCTGCCTGAGTAGGCCTTTGAACGGAGGAATGAAGGTCCAATGGATCGAAGATAGGAAAGAAGATGTGTTGTCTGCGGGGTCCAACCCATGTGATGAGCGCGCTGACCGTGCATCAGGCTGGCGCCAACACATCCCTTTTGCCTTTTTGAGCATTCGGGCTCTTGCGATGTTGATTTAAGGCATTGTGATATCAAAGCACAGATCTCTCAATCCAAGATGTAGTGTATATTGAAGCACGTTGCCTGAACCAGGAACAGGAGAAATAGTGCAAAATGCATGGTTGCAGGATGGGTGGATACTGTATCAAAAGCCCCGACTCCCTCGAACCTGTTCGGCTGCAACCCCGGCTGAGCGGGCCGCACCTTATTCGTGGTGATCAAACCACGATATTGTACGACTGCACTCCTCCCACTGCAACCTTCACCGTTGCACCCCTACACCTAAACGTCATTGCTGATCAGCTGTTTTGGCATGATAAAACTCTTTACCTACTTCCAGGCCTTAGGTAGTCACTCTAACGTCACCCCTAATCACCCTAATTAGAGTAAAAAAATATTCCCCAAGTTAATATATCTATCTATATCGCTTAATTTTTACGTCTTAGCTAGAAAGTGCATATAAATAGAAAGTGCAATTAACATCATTAAACGGTAAAGGTATATATGGGCACTAGGGATAATGCTTAGTAGTAGTGAATCTCCCCAGAATGCTTGATCCTCTGCTCAATTAACTCTTGATCAACGAGGAAGAATATTAAATCATGAAATTTGCATGATAATAAACTGGGCTAGACTTGACTTGGACAAGACCAATGAAAACAAAGCTTTGCTCGTTTAATTTATCCTGAGCCTCCCGTCGGCTATGCAATCAATCATTTCATTTCCTTTTCTTCTGCTCACCCAATCACATTAACATGCCAAGACGTTTAGATTTGCCAGAGGTCGAGTTTAAGCTTTGATGAATATGAGTAGGCAAATAGACAAATCACAACCATCATATCCAGAGCCTCATTCAAGGAATACGAGATTGAGCGCTTGGCGTCTCGTATTCAAGTCCCTTGATCTACTCTTGGCAGAGAAGACCCTTCTTTCTTTCTCTTCTTCATTCCCTTCTCTTTCCTCTCCCTGAAAATCCCATTCGAACTGTTATAAGGATGAAATCTACCCCTCATGCTGTCTATATTTCTCACCCGGATCTTTCTTCTGTTCGCCATTTTCAACGGGACTGTCTTCGCAAAAAAAGGCGGAGGGTCCGACAGTGACGGCGACAGCAATGGCAGCAGCAGCGGGAGCAGCAGTGGAAGCGAGGATGGGAACAGCGACAGTGACAATAGCAGCGGCGGGACCGGCAGCTCACGATGCGGAAATGAACCCTTAAACAACGCTCTGAGTACAACATATCTTGTTCCCCGAAATGCGTGGAACTGGACATCCCAAAGCGGCGCGTACAGTACCGCCAATCCAACAATATACGATGGATCATACTTCCAGGGGGAAGGGACTCTCTCCTACAACATGACGGACGGAACACGATGTGAGGATACGAAGCAGCTTCGTATATTAGGGTATGCATGGATAGGGCCACAACCGCCCTATCCCAGAGGAGCTCAGAATCCGTTTATCATCGGGTTCAAGGCGTGGCAATCCGACAAGGCCCTTAGTGAGATTTACACGGCCTATGATCATATCAAATGGGATGGAGATGTGTGTCCCTCACAGCCGGATCTCTTTCGCATCGTCACAACCAGAAGTTCCGCTTCGAACGATGAAACTTCGGATACGATGAATTTGGACATTTTTTCTAATTCGACATTGCCCGGTGCTGCTCAATTCAATGCCACAACTGCCACTGGTTTAAATCCCCCAATTAGTGACGACGTTGGCCTGTTTCGTCTCCGTGCAGGCACCTGTACTTCGTCTACCACGGACATGCACTGGCCGGACACAACGTCTATGAAAGGATCTGTTACGAACACCACAATGGAGCTCACATTTTCTGGCTCTGTAGACATGAATTCAACCCAATACCAACGCTACGGTGGCCGCAATGAGGACCTCAAGGTTAACTTTAAATTAACTTTCTCTGGGACATTTGACAGCGTCAATTCGACTCATGCGGTGGATATCGGACCTGCCGATCAGACTATTGCGTGGGTACCTAATACCGCTGGTTCTATTTTCTCAGCTGGCTTGAGGTATCTCTTGCTATGGACGGCTTGCGTACAAATTATGACTTTAAATTTGTGGTAGATAATCAACGAACGAATGTGTCGTGTGGGATTCCCCGGCATGATATTTATGGAAGCGTATCGAGTAAACTGCATATAGCACTACCATGAAGATCTATCTTTTTGTCTAGTATGAAATGGCATATTTAACTTTGTTATCTCTGCTCGTGCTGTTGATCGGTTCATGCTTGAGTGAACGTGCGCTCGGGCCGTCTTCCATTTACAACAAGAGAATCTCGGCCCGAAACACGAGGGTCTTTTTACTAACACTACCAGCAGCTAAGATAGAAATAAGATGGCGCAATATACTAAAGATTTTGCGGCATGAAAATGTCCACCCACCTTCCTCACCGAGGGCTGTATATAAGTATATAAATATTTGAAAGTATCCTGGACAACAATATCTCTAATCAGTATCTTTCCATTTTTCTCAAGTTGTCAATATGTCCTCGCAAATCCATCTCGTCCGCCACGCGGAATCAGTCCATAATGTTTCCAAAGACTTTTCTCAACTCGACCCCGGCTTAACACCTCTCGGCTTTGAACAAGCCAAAGGGCTAATCCAAACCTTCCCTCACGCATCCCAGGTGGGCATAATACTCACTTCCCCTCTACGACGTGCTATCCAAACCACCATTGCTGCTTTCCCGCACGTTCTCGATAAAGGGTATTTCCCTTCCGACTCCGGGCACGGCATCGACAATGGCGCACGACTTGCTTTGGATCCGGATTTGCAGGAGCGCAGTGAACTTCCCTGCGATACGGGGTCTCCGGCTGAGGCTCTGGAATTGGACTTCCCACGACTGGGAGTGAAAGATTTGGGGGATGGTTGGCAGGTCAAAGAGGGGCTGTATTCGCCAGATGACGAGGCAGTGGAAGAGCGGGCAGAACGTGTGAGATCCCGGGTTGCAGAGATAGCTCAGGATCTAAAAGATGAAGAGAGGAGTCATGTTGTGATTGTGACGCATGGTGTTTTCATGAAGTTCCTGTCTGGAGAACCTGAGATTGATCTACCAAAGGCGGGTTGGAAGAGTTATACTGTTGAAAAACAGAACTCTGGAAGTATTCTGCTGCCGGTTTGATAGATAAAGACAACTTTTTGCTCCAATTATTTAGGGTATACCCCGCGGTTATTACTGGAAATATTCAACGTCCAACAGCACCATACCCGCAAAGCTCTAAGATAGTGGCATCTAGTCCACTGATGGCTTGGTAATTTGCTAATGGTCTGTTGTTCGGAAGATGTATAAAAAAGCTATGAAAAAGACTGCGTCTCAAAGCGACACGCGCTGAACGGCGGCAACCGGTTTAACTCATGTTATGCAGATTAGGGTATCGGTCAAATACCGGACTTGGCTCCGTTGACGTTGGAATAGAGACGATGTTTATAGGGAAAGAAACACGAGTTTACCGACATGTGGAGACAATGGATAATTATCGGCTGGGTAAATGCGGGATTGAATGCGACATAAGCTGACGATCAGTGGGGAAGATCAGGCAATGTTTGCATGGAGCGGCAGAATCGGGGATTTATCGGACAAGGATGGGATTAAGCATATAAGGGAGTGTCCTACCCGTGTGCTATTTCGCAGAAGACACCCAAGTCAGATTTATCCACAATGCGCTCCACGGCGTACCTCCTTGCCCTTTCCGCGGCCTTCCAAGCCGCCCAAGCGGTGGTGACAGCAAACAACAGCCAACTGCTGACCTGGTGGCATAGCACCGGCGAGATCAACACCCAGAGCCCGGTTGCCGATGGCAATGTGCGCCAATCAGGACTGTACTCGGTCCAGGTCCGCAATGCTGCTGGCCAGGATAGCCGCTACTACGACTCCTTTGTCTATCATGCCATCCCCGCAAATGGCATGTCGGACCAGTTGCAATACGCGCAAAACTACAACCAAACCCAAGCGTGGAGTTCTTTCCTTTATTCTAGCGACGCCACTTTGAAGATCAGCCGGAAGGATTCCTCTGCCAGCAGCGTCGTCATTCGTCCAACGACGCTGAACTTCCCCGTGAGATACGACGATAGCAGCGTTTACATCACCGTTCCTTACAGTCCCAGTGGACATCGCTTCTCGGTGGAGTTTGATGATGACTTAATCTCCCTCTCCCCTAGCGGTGCAAAGCAACCATCCAGTGCTCTCCTGATTTTTGCAAGCCCGTTCGAAAACTCCTCGCTCAAACCCCAACCGGACATAGCCAACGCCATCGCACCCAACCCAGGACGAGTCCTTGGTCTTAACACAACCACTGCATCAACAGTTATCTTCAACCCGGGTGTATACTACTTCACCGGCCAAGACCACATGATCCTCAGCCCTAGTGTGACGTGGGTATACATCGCCCCCGGTGCGTACGTGAAGGGCGCTGTTGAGTTCCAATCCACAGCATCCGAGGTCAAGGTCAGCGGCCATGGAGTTCTTTCCGGAGAGCAGTATGTCTGGTATGCCGACCCGGACATTGGATACCTCAAGGCCAATGCAGTTAACAACAACGGACTCCGAATGTGGCGCGGGACACTGGGCAATAGTAGCCAGACATTTGTCCTGAATGGGGTGACTGCCAGCGCTCCTCCATTCAACAGCATGGATTGGACTGGGAACAGTTTGGATCTTATCACATGCAGAGTGGATGATTATAAGCAGGTTGGTGCGTTCTACGGCCAGACGGATGGGTTGGAGATGTACCCTGGGTCGATTGTGCAGAACGTGTTTTACCATACAAACGATGATGGTCTGAAGATGTATTACTCGAACGTGACGGCGCGGAATATCGTCATGTGGAAGGAAAGCGTGGCGCCGGTTGTCGAGTTTGGATGGACGCCCCGAAACACGGAGAATGTTCTGATTGACCATGTTGATGTAATCCATCAGGCATATCAAAGTGCAGACAACAATCCGGGTATTTTCGGTGCCGTCAACAACTACCTCTACGCCCCTAATGGTCTTTCGTCGAATCACTCCACAGGCAATAGCAACATGACAGTCCGAAACATCACTTGGTCGAATTTCAGAGCTGAAGGACCGTCATCCGCATTGTTCCGGATCAACCCGATTCAGAATCTGGATGGCATTTCCATTAAGAATGTGTCCCTGGAAAAGTTTGAGCCTTCATCTCTTAACACCACCGAGAGTTGGATGCCTGTGTGGTACGACATCAACAACGGAAAGCAGATCACGGTTACAGACTTTTCAATCGAGGGATTCAAAGTTGGAAATACGACCATTACTGCGAACAATGCTGCTAGGGTGGGGCAAATTGATGGTGTTGGTCCAGCCTATGCAGGCGCTGTGTACTATGGATAGACTTGTAGAGTATTCAACCTAGTTGATTTACACCATTTCAAAATTGGAGCTTAGAACAGAGGGCTTTTTTATTTATTCTTTGTGTCTTTTATTTGCTATTTGCTATTTGTTATTTTTTTACTTTTTTACTTTTTTATTTTTTATTTTTTCAAATTCTTTTTCAAATTATGTTTATCAATGATATTGGACAGATGCATAGGCAGGGATTAACCGCCGAGTGTGCATCGACAAATATCAACCATTCAGTAACTGCGCCAGGATAAAGCGCTCTGCGCCGCGACATGGCTCCCTCCAGCGCGTATGCATATTGACTGTGCCAGTTTATGGACACATTCATAAATATGGCAACACCAACTGCATTGTATTCTGAGCTCAGGGTGCTACCATAATGAAATTCGTATCTCCATCGAATATCCACAATGGATGTATTTTCTGGCTTCGATGGGACACTGAATATGCAAGACAACTGTTGCGTGATGATATGCCCCCTGAATGCTTGAATCATCCTGTTATTATCATTAATACTGAGGGGCTGGATGACTCGGTGACTGTTGTTTTGGTATACCCCCCATCTTCTACACAACTCGAAATAGACACTGACCGTGGGTATAGATGACTTCGTTCCACAATAAACCCCTCCCAGAAAACTCGAGAAAATGGGCGTTTCACCTCCCCGTCCAATCAGCCACACCTCACCCAACATACAGAACCATCTTACGATTGACGGATGCGTCAGCTTGGGACAACAGAAGGCACAGCTACGCAAACATCAAAACAACGTACCAGGTCAATCGGAGACTGATCAAGCCATGGTGGGATAATAAGTGGTTTCAACTTACACCAGAGTCATTTCGAGACTTGGTATCCATTATTTCCGTCGCTCAAGGGTTGAGAAGTGTTTCATTGTCAAGGCCTACCAAATATAGCGGAACCCCCAACTATGGCACTATGGGTCCTGAGATGAGCCCTGAACGGGTATCTATCTCTGCTGCTGGGATGGATAGCTCAACAACAATCACTCCCCTGCTTCGAGGACATCCGGAGGAACAACGACAGCTGCCCTACTGGAGTGCACCTTTGCCAGATCCACCACGTGTTTACTTCGATCGGAATCAGTGGGAAGAAAAGGGATATTCTGCTATGTGCACTAAGTGGTGTCTTATTGTTTCTATCTGCTTGTTAGTTGTTGGCTTATGTGTGATCGCGATTCTCTTTAACGCTTATACTTGAATATCAGTTTGGTGGTGTTCATTGGAGATTGGAATGGGGGGATATTCCTCTAGATCCATCTTTTAACGTGGGGATATTCTATTAATAACTTCTATAATGGTATACATGATCGACATGCAATCTGGCGATGGCTTCAAAGGAAGAGAACACTCTGAAATGTAGTGGTAGGTAATGTCATCTGTAGCAGAGTCCCCACATAGACGAGTTTATGAATAATGATTGATAGAGACCGGCGGCTCACATCCCATGTGAAGTCGTTGAGCTAGGCAAGTGACCTGATTCGCGGCTGACAAATTTGATGTCTAGAGTAAAATATCCACCACCTATCCGTGTTGCAGTTCAGCACTTCTAGCTTGTCTAGAGGAGACTTTTGAATAAGTAGGTATACTTATAGCAGTAAGTAAATGATACAGTAAAGCAAGTAAACATTTTCTTAGTATTCATACCATCACTGCTATCTTTATATATTAATATCGCTCAGACAACTCTGCTCCCTGCTGAATATCATAGTAACCCAATCATAGCTCCCTTCATTCTTGAGCTCCATGTTTGATCTTAATAGGATGGACTCTCCACATGCAGGTGGAAGCGTTGAATATGAGGGATGGTGGATATTCCCAATTCTCTGTCTTCATTATTCCAGGTGTGGCCGTGACAGCGTGCACGGGCGATCCCCAGTATTATTAGAAAATATTGTGTCCCTGAAACACTCAGCCCCCCAGTATTTCCACATAGCCACTTGATAGAATGGGGCCTAAAGGGGGCGGAAAAGTGGAAACAGAAGATCGGAAGATTCTTGCACTCTGAACTTGCAAATGCTTGTCTCTGTCAGCCCCGCACCCAAGCCGCAGCATAATCTCCGCTATGAAGATCTCTTGATACTGCCAGTAGGATCAGCGGCTGACACTGACATAATAAACCAACCAGGATGCTTACCATCCACTGATGTTCAGCCATATAGGCAGAGTGGAGTGCTTATGGGGCGCTTGTGCAGGGGCGGGGCCAATAGAGGATTTCCGCCCTGCAAGATGCGTAATAAGCCTCATAGCCCACTAAGGCCTCTTGATACTGCGATTGTGGTCAGTGGCTGATGATAAGCATTGTACTTACCGGATGTGGGATGCTCTGCGGGCCCACAATATGCTAAGCAAATCCTGGCTGTCTGGGGAAACTGTCACTCACGCAGGGAAGTTCATCCACTGGCTAACATAGCCTACATCTTTGGATCGCACAACTGGCCAGGTTGAGAAGAGAGGCAAAGGCATACAGTAAATCCTTCAGAAGGATCTTGTTGATGATCAAGGGGCGAAAGCCAGCGAGGATACTTAAAAGGTACGCTCGTCCTCGCTGTTTGCTTCTCTCTACAACTCATTCATCAAAGCAATTCATCAGAACAATTCATTAAAACAACTCAACTCACCTTTACACTCTTACATCCCTTTCTTTCAAAACATCCATCAAACCTCAAACCACAATGCGTTTCTCCATCGCCTCTCTCAGCCTCTTCCTCGCAGTTATTGGATCTGCCGCTGCTATGCCAGCTGCTGAGCCGACTGAGCAGATTGACCAGACCGACCAGCTTGCCCGTCGTGCCAGGTGAGTACATTCCTTGCCATTGGAGATAGACCATACTAACACAGGAAATCAGTTGTGGTATGGCTTATAGTGGCCTGTCTAACTGCAAGAAATACTGCGGTGGTGGAACCTGCCATGTTATTGCCCTGGGTCCGCTCCACAAATGCAACTGCTAAGTGAAGCGAATTGGATTGCTTCGTTCCATGGCTTCCAGTATGGAAGTACTATGGTGGGTTAGGATTGGATCAAGATGAGCAAGGGAGTGACGGTCACTGGTGATCACCTGTACAGTTCCCTGATCAAGGATGTGAGCAGTGTGTATATAAGCTTGAATAGATAGGAGCCTGGTGCTCCACTCACAATACATCAATTACAGAAAAGGATGAGCTTCAGGTGAATGGGAATGACAGGAGAGTAATGAAGCTAAACCAATTTAAGAGAAAACACCAATGAATTATGTTTTTTATTTATTTGTTTATTTTATTTTATTTTATTATTAAGAACGGGTTATAATATCATATGTCTGCTGCGGTGGACGTTCGCCACCTCTCTATCATGTACTTGACTTGGACTCCAAACTGGCAGGAAAAGGCAATCATGTATGTTTCACTACAGAAAAAGGTTAAGCCGTGGAATGTATTGCTTGAATACTCCTGCCTACGGGGTATTATTCACTTCTCTTCCTCTCTTTAACTAGGATGATGATATTAACATGACGCCGTCTTGTCTCCTAAAATGCGCATCTCTCTGAGAGCCGGTTACCCATTCCCGGTATACCCCGCCCCACAATCCTGCCATCCTCTGCAGTTAACAGGTGTTGAGCTTGAGCATTTGAGATATCAGCGGACTAATATGTAGAGTAGAATGTTTCCATTTTGGGAGAATATCAAAGTGCTAGTATAATATCCATGAAATAATCTAAAGAGAGACTGTGCTATTTATTAAGATCTTCCCCAGGGCAGCAAGCATAAGAGAGTAAGTAAGATATTCAACCAAGAATACAACGAACCCAATAGTCTCCACTGGTCGGACCCAGGACAGGTTTTTTCTGTTTTAGTTTCTCGCTTTGTAAATTTGTGCAGTTGTGGAATGTAGGTGAATTCAAATTTGTTTCCTTCTTTTAGCATCGAGGCCCCAAACACGTTGACCAGCATTGCTTCTTTTGATCTCTTTGATATTGAGTGTCAGCACGGCTGCTCGCGTGAACATTTCCTTGGGCAGAAGTACTTACCCTGATTACCATTCGCTCAAAAGCTGGGATCCATCGCTGCAGGGCGGTGATGACCACGAGGAGCCTACACCAGCCCTTGAATGAGGCATAGTAGAACATTCCGGGCCGAGAAAGCCCCATCTCATCGCCCATCTCATCCCCGCTCATGGCGCGACAACCAACCTCGATCATTGATTTCGATACATTGATGCCAGGAAAATCCTGGATTGCAGTGACAAAGTTCAATCCAATCAGTTTGGACGACTCTGTTGGCGGAGGCTCGCAGAGCATGATGCTCTCCATGGTCGCCTTGCATTGGTCGACTCCATCGAAATAGGAATTTGGAGTGGCCATGATGTAGGCGATGTAGCGGAACAACGCGAGGAAGTCTCTCGCCTCGTCTGGGCGGGGCTGGATACCGATATTTGGGAGTTGCCGGAATAGGGGCATACAGCAGAAGATAGCCGTCGCGTGGATTGAATCCCTCAGATTGACTGGTGCCCCATACTCGGCTTCGTCAAAATAGGCCGAATCCTGGTCTATGAGCTTCAGCATCCGGTGGCGTACGGTTGCATGAAGCAGCCGCACGCGCACAGTCGAGGTATGTCCCTCCCCACCCGGTTGGATGGATTCAAGGTCCATTGTAACCTGCAGCAGCCATAGGAAGGTTTCAAGAAACCTTCTGGGCATAACTCGGATCGAAAACCCTCCGGTCCGCACAAGAACTTCGGTTCCTCCTGCAATCGTCTGAGAAGGTAGTTAGTGATGATCAAGATCCGAAAGCTCAGATGCAGGCTGTCTTACTGCGGTTCCTCCCAAGAAGCCTTGGAGTGCAAGCCCGGTAAGGTTGGGGATCAAATAACGCCAGAGGAACAATTGACCTCGCTCAATTTGTGTCCAATCAACCCACTCGGGGACTGAGTTTATTTCCTCCCATAGCTCCTGCAAGCCACGGTCTTCTTCATGATGCTTCTTCAAAGTAGCATACATGTCGAATCGACCAGCACATGGCACAGCATTGCTTTGTTTCTGTTCGGCAGCGATAGCCTGTAGTCGGTCCACGGCATTCACGGCGAGATCATCAGCCCGCTGTCTTAACGGAAGTAGTTCTTCAGGTGTGAAGTGCTTGTCGGTCCATTCAAATGTGTGGTTCCACACTTTGTGGGTGTTGCTCGTCAACTTGGGAGAAGTCATTTCGGTGGTAAATACTAAACGGGTTGCTTGTCGGTCTTAATCTTGAAGGTTTCTCAGGAGAGAGGGCTTAATATAGAAGAAATGCCTAGCACGCTGACCCGTGCGACTCGCTATCTCTGTCAAATGACAAATTTCCACTAGGTTTTCGGGCTCTACTTGGCACATATTTGGCCCGAGGTTGCCTTACGTGGACTCTTTGATTATCGAACCAGCATATCGCCGGGTCTGTTCTCAACTACCAGGTGGCTTAGAAGAAAATCTTGCTCGATGTAGCGCCGCGGAGCTACATTTGGTATAATCGTAAGCACGATTGAATCTTTCGTGAGGAGAGACTCGGCGCTACATGTGGTACAACCCATAAGTCCATGCACATGTAGGACCGGAAACCAACGATTAGTTGCCGTGCGTATACGGTCTTCCCCAATCACTATAGTTCATGCAGTAGATGGAACAGCAAAAACAAGCTTTCTGCCCCCAACCCAGTACAAATAGCATTCAATAGTTGATTGAGGCTTAGTGTTAGCATAGCTAAGCCAGCATGGCTAATGTCAATCCTGGGGGCATTGGGAAGGCTGCAGTCTTCATGATTCCCATTCGACAAAATCCAGAGCCTCATCGAAACAACGTATCCAAGATTTTCTCGACCTTTAAACCAAAATCGGAACTCTGTAGTGCTCATCCTAAGCCTCCGAATCACTCTATGATTTCTCTCTGTCTTTTTCTTAAGAATATCATCTTCCAATCTTCTGTTGGTCACTTCTTGAATCAGCATGTCTGCCAACAGTTCTTCTATTCATGTTCAGCAATTACTTGAAAGATGCACCGGGCAAACAGTCAAGATTCCCTTCTTGTTCTCACTATTCCCGGCATGGAAGGCACAGTTCAACCCAAACTACGAACAAGGAGTGCAAGATGAACTGTTTCAATTCCAACAGAGGTAAGTTTCGATATACGCAAGCACCAATTTGACCTTATTTACAAGCTTACTGGCCTGAAGATGGATGAGAAATCCCATCTCTCTCAAACGAAACTGTGCAATTGATTCCATCTTCTTTTCGCGCAGTGTTTTCCCCAATGCCAGCTTGGGGAACCTGAAGACTGTGGTGTTATGGCTTTCTTGGGTAAGCAGAATATGATATAGAATATGAAAAACCATTACGGATCATCAAGTCATCAGCTAAGGCTATATTATTGTCTAGCTCTACTTCTGGGACGATGGTATACATATAAAAGAAAAGCATCAGCCGCCTCATTATTAGATTGTGACTGACCTTTTCAATGACAGCTCTTGATTTTGGCGAGCTAGATAACGATCCCGGTGAACTGCAAAGACAAGAACGAGAGATCCTTACCAGTATTCAGCAAAGTCTCCTGGGTCCGAGTACTGCAGATTTATATGCTGCTTCCTTCGTATCAAGCTGCTGTGCGGCACAGGCGTGGTTTGATATTGGTATCAAAATTCGTCAAGGGGTCAAAACAGGCAAGTCGAGTCTTTCAAATCTTTATGCATTGACCGAATTGGCCTACGAACCACTAATAATCAATTTGCGTAGCATCTGCGAGAAACTTCATGTACAAATGCTTGCATGACTATGTCACTGCTACAATTAAGCTTCAAAATCACTGCGACCGGGCCGACATCTTGGATATTGAATCCTACCTTGCCATTCGCATGAATACTTCGGGTGTATACCCAACCATGTCTTTATACTTGTATGGACAACTTGATTTTTTTTTTTTTTTTTTTCTTCTTTTGAAAAAAATTGGCACTAATAAGTTTTCATGTAGATTCACCTTCCCCTCCGATCCACCTACCTGGTTTTTCTCCCACGAACTGGTCAAAGAAGCCTTCCTTCAGATAAACAGAATAGTGTCGACGTATGTAATGTTTTTTCCACTCTATCCCAGAAGAATCTCATGAAATGTTTGTTCCACAGGTACAACGACATCGTTTCAGCCCATCAGGAAATAGTAAGATAATACTCTTGCTTTCTCTATCAAACCGCATCAACAATGTACTGATCTTGTCTTAGAAATCCGGGCATGTTGACAACATAATCCCGTTGCTTATATACCAAAAGGGACTGACCGCACAAGAAGCTGTCGATGAAGCTATCGAGATTATCAAAGTCTCATACGTGACTTTTTTGTCCCTTGAAACAAAGCTTACTAGTCTCGGCCAAGAGCGTGGGATTACTAGGGAAGTTGAGGATTTCCTTCAAGCTTGTATCAACCTATGCATGGGTGCTCTCCAATGGACGTGAGTATATCACACACAACTAACCATCTTCAAAGTCATATTTTAACCGAGATGCATCCAGATATCATATCAAAAGATATTTTAATTACAAGCCAGGAAAGGGAGATGGAGCTATCACTGTTATACTTGGACACTCTAGCCAAGCTTCTCCAGGCACAGAAACTGGTTGTATTAGTAGATTTAGATCCCTTTTCGACGATATTGGTCAGGTCGTCGCCCAGAGACTTCAACATATATGTTCTTCTCTTGTTTATAATAGTTAGTTCCATTGCTTGCAGGAATCTTACTGAAAGCCACCTGAAGATGACTTAATTTTGTTCAAGGCCAATACATCAGATGGATGCCGCATGGCTGTCTGACAAAATTGTAACATAGCTACTATGAAGCACGATATCCCCTGCTTATCATGAAAACAATTGGCTTTATATGTGCATCTTATCTGTATTCTGACTCCTGGTATTTCACCGGGTTTAACCCTCCATCCCATATCCCCATTATGTATTATAAAAGCAGGATACTGTCATTAATAATGATTAGGTATTATTAGAGGTTTATATCTAGATGCGAACTTCAAAGCCTTAGGTATTTAGATATAGGATCTTTATGGATTATCTTATATCAATCTCTATATGTTAATTCCAGACCCTATAAGATGGAAGTTGCTCCTACTTTAGGGAATACCTTATATCAGCATTATAATAATGTTATAGTCTTGACCAGTATAACCAAAGGCGCCTATGCCGGGAGTGGAGAAATATACCCACTAGACTGCTCTTGATTGGTACTGTCTGGGTGGGAAGGGCTGTCGCACAACAAGGCTAGCATAGCTACTCATAACTCAAGATTTCCATAATTCACCCGGGTGAGATACATTGTCATTCTCCACACACACACACACACACATTCATGTGTGGCAGCTTAGCCCATTTATTATCCCGGTACCTCAGACCATGGCCGAGTCCCGTTTTTGACACTTAATTTTGATTGATTATGTGGTGGACTTGGTCGGTGTGCTCTACCCGGTTCGTTGTTGGGAATAAGAGATGTTTGGTAGAGAAATCTTCTGGCACTGCCCCTTCCGGCAGTAATAACAGCTTGTCTGTCAAATACCTTGGAAGTTGAGTGGCGACTGCCCAGATGTCGACCGTTTCCCAGAACAGATGCTCATCCATAAAATGTAAATGACATCCCGTGTGGTAGAAGGCTGTGTAATGAGGGGGAATATTAATGCGATTGGGTAGGTAGGCCTACCCACTATGATATGACTATCTAAGTCATTCATGGCATTTACAGTTCCTCCGTCTTTAGCAGAGCCTTACCAAGTCAACAGGGAATCTATTTTTGGGCAAACACTGACGTGGCTTCTATCCTTGAAATCAATGTTTTCCAAGAGATCATGAAGTGCTTGGTTGATGAACTTGCTCCCAATATCCCATTAACCGAAAATGTCGTCCAGACAATGGTTAGAAATAACTCTGCTGGATTCGACCTGACCAAGATGGTTGTGGATAGGCAACAACCGGGCTTTATCGTATCTGAGATCGCGCTGATGATAGCTGCTTCGGGACGGGAAGAATTAATTGAAATGTTGCAACTCTGGATGGACAATGGTGGATCTGACATTCCGATCAAAGAGGCTCTAGTCTTAGAGGCAGCCCGAAACTACTACCACGGTCCACTTATCATTGACTATCTGTTCGAACTCCATCGCCATTCCCTCCCTATGACAGAGAATGTACTTGTCGCTCTAGCGGAAAATCCCAGTCCCGATACTAGCCACATGCTTGCAGAGACTTTGGAAAGATTCCCAGAAGCGGTATTGTTATCTGTCGTTATGCAAGTAACAAGCCAAAATATCAGCACACTCTGGTTGCTTCTTGAGCGGGCCACTGACCTAGTTCCAATTCGTCAAGTGCTTGAAAAAATAGGAGCCAAAAGAGGGGAGCCAAGACAAGAGGAAGCACGGAAGACTTTGACAATTTTTCTCGATTAAAAATTCATCGATGCAGATGAGTCGGTGCTTGAAGCTCGCTCTCAATCATTACGCTTTAGGTTTTGTTATCAACCAGAGACCAGATCCTCATAATTCTGAGTGGGGGGAAATTACGGATTTAGGTTGCTCGGCAGCTGGGCACCAAGCTTACTCTCCTAGAAATCATAGAGTATTCTTATTCTATCTTGAAGCTCACCAAGGTTGTGTTGAAAATTTCAAGAGGTCTTGATTGCGTTGGGTCTTGTTTTTATTAAAGACATTTGAAAGTTCTACAAATCACAGATAGACAATCTTGAGTGGTCAATACAAGGATATCGGAGATAAAGAAATATAAAATTCTTATCTGATAATATTATCGTTTCTACTTTATTATCACTTTTCTAAGGTATTGTTAGGCTCTGAGACCATATGTATATACTCTTCTAATAAAAAAACGGACCAGCCCTTATAATTATCCGTTAGTAAGTCTACTGCTATTGCAAGTGGCGCAATGATGGTTACTTACAAATAAGCTAACGGTCAAAGTCATGCGACTTGACAACAAACCAAATCATTCCCTGGCAGCCGCAAAATCCAGATCACCCGGGGTTGGTGACGCAGATGATCATCATACTTTATTTAATATAAGATAGCCCTGTTATCCACATCTTCATGAGGTAATTATTCTTCCACAACAACAATTTATGTCAATACCCGAAAATGCATTATATGGTGAGTTGCATTATGACAGTAAGATGATCTTTACTAAGATCCATATCAAGTCTGCCAGTGTCCGTTACGCAAGTGTTGAAGCATGGGAGAACTTTGGCAAGGGCCATGATGAAGAAGAGTACGCTTCTTTCTTTGTTTTTTTTCCCAATAGATTCATTCTACCGCTGACTGACCGACTGATCAACTCTTACTAATTTATTAGAGTGGCAAAAGCCTTCGCGATGAAAGGGGCAATTGTCCAACAGCCAATCAGCTCCACACACGGGATGCCTCCGATTCATAATGTCTCGTAAGCAAACCCCATCTGGATAATTATAACTACTTAATTATTGATAAAAACCGTTCATGAAACACAGTCTGGAGGCCCCAGATAATGTGGAGGCAGAGGACCTGGAAGCATCTGATTTCCCAGAAGGTGTTCTGGTTCATGTTGAAGAGAATTTCTAAAGTCTATGAATAATATTGGAGTGGGTTCCGACTGGAATGCTATCGGGTTTATTTGATATTCTGTTTTGAATAAATAATCATAAAATATGATACCATAAAGTGTTTTTGGCCAAATGCTCATTGTTGAGAAAAGTTATCGTCTCGTAATAGGACTAATCTCTCATATGACTAGATATTCCATAGAATCAAGCCCTCTCAATTCTTCTGATATTTCACTTCCCAATCTAGAGTATTTTAAGCATATATGTACCATCTCATTGAAGCACAACGCAACTTTCTACCTTATTTTATCCCTTCTTCTCTCCTTCTCTAGGGCTTTAGGACATATCATCGTAGTAAGTCCCGGTTTGCTATAAATTATTCATCCGAAATACTGACCTTATATTTTAATGAAAATAAAGGTGATACCGAATCAAATACTTCCTAGGAGCTTTGGGGAATTTTAATTAGGATAATGTAGATCTCTGCGCTTAAGTCTAAGTCTTTGGTTAAGAGTTACGGTGGGAAATATTCCGGTGACTGTAGCTGCCTAACCCTGGTTCTTACTAGAGTATCCTAGATGAATTCAGTCAAGCTGTACAAGATTTATCCTCCCATGAAGCCTGTAACACCTGTTCTGCAACCGGTTGGTTCCACTCAAGTTCTGGCAGCAGTCAACATCAACGATTCGCTAGTGTCACATTACCAGTATTCTGAAATAAACTAGGTATGTGATATATATAATAATTTGTGAACTAATATTCAACGCCCAATATGTAATTTATTTGTTAGTCGGATAGTCAGCTAGAGATATCTTCATTGATACTTTCAGTAATCTTCTGAACGATTAAATTTCTAGTTCCTGTAAGAAAATGACAGGAACAAGGGAACAATTCCTTCAACCAGAGACAACTCATAATAAAGCAAAAAAGAAATGTATATGTAATATTTATTGAAATACTAGTATAGAGAAAGAAAGAAATATTAAAAGGTAGGAATATAATACAAATAGAAGTTGGTTTACTTATAAGATAAACTAACTAGATTAGATAAACACTAGACACGCTACATAAGCAATGCAGCAGTAGGTCATCATAAAACCTATTGTAATTGTCAGGCAAAAAATATAAGCAATGTCTTTTGAGGGTGGAGAAATACGCTCTCCCGTTGTAAATGATGGACGTTTGCGGGTAGGAACCAATTCCATCCTTGCACGCGCGCCAATGACTGGCCATACATCGTTTTCTTTCTTCGCGCGGGATTGCTTGCACGCGTCACAGCATTATACATAGCTCTAATTCCATTGTATAAAATATACCATTGCAGTGAGGCTACTATAGGAGCATTCCGAAATCGGAAATGGTTTTTATAGTAATTGATCTACGCGTCATTTAATTGTCAGATTAGAGTTGACAGCGGGGATAATGTCATGTGGGGCTATCAAGGCCTTCATGCGTCCGCCAACCAGATATTTGAATGAATGAGGTCTAGAATCGACATATGAATAAACTTGTAAGTTGTGAATCCCATTTCTAGTTAGACCCATCATAATGTCATTGCTCTACGATACCCCACATGAGACTGGAATTGGCTGGCTAGACCTTGGATGGAATGACGTTTCTATTTTATCCAAAATACGGATCTCAGCTGTCTATTGAGTAAAATGTTCCTCATTCTCAAGTACTATCTTCTTATATTTACATTTTCCATGCCCATATTTTCGTTGAATATCAGATCCGTAAACGGAAACCATGATAGCATGGATTGAAAACACACTAGGATTTATGGCAATAAAGCATAATAGAAGAATGAAAAAGTAAGCGATTGATCTAGAACTCCTGAATGCAGCAATGGTATATCTCATGATGCTCAAACCATGATGGCATTGATGGAGATGTATAGCCGGATTTCAGTCAAAGTATAGTTTATTCCAAGCTTCCGCGGCCCTTCTGCATAGTATCCTGACAAGATACACGGGGAGGTAAATCATGAGTGAGAATGGGATCAAAGATATAAATAAAGTAGTAATTCCCACAATCTTCTTCTTCCACTCGCCCATCAAATGTGAAGAGCATTATAATATAACACCTTGAACAATATTACTATCATATAACCACCCAATATGCCTGTAAGTCACAATCAAAATCTCCGTTTTAAGAATCTTGACTAATCAGACATGCATCATCAGAAGCACTATGTATGATCCCTGATCTTGTCAAGCATAATGTAGTTGACTAACCTTTTTTCTTCAACAAGCAACTCATGATTCGAACTCAAGGCGGTGCTCCTAATCTCGGAGGATACCCTGGCTCGGCGTAAGCCCACCCATATACCTTGCAGAAGCATTCCTTCCTGACAGACACATTCAGTGATGGCACCGTCCTGAAAATTGCCAAGGATGCCGGTGCTTCAACCGGCCAGAATTTACCTGCTCCCCTGATCTATCCTCCCATGTACAGTGCCAGGTAGGAAACCCCTCTCGCTAGTTTCGACCCCCAATATCCACCCAATATTCAGCTAATGCTTCCTCTTTGTCTCATGGTTACAGAGTTGATGTCGACTCAGCTGTCGGCGCCGATGAATATAAGAAGCAATACGAGCAAGCTTGGTTGCAAGGCAAGGATGAAGAGGGCGAGGAACTCCCTCCTGCTTCATTTGCTGTTCGGGATATAGATGATGACTGACTGGTTTAAATTTACGCTGGCCTGAAGGGGGATAAAGAAAACAATTGCTGTCTGAGGTAACAAAGGAAACAAGCCAGATGAATACTATCAAATTATTGTGTTATCAAGATATAATAAAACATTCTCGTACATTTTGCTGTCTGAGCTTTTTACAAGTTTATCTCTATATTGCGATTGAGTCTGTCTAATAACATGCAATATTACCTCTGGCGGCAGTATGATAGTGGTGGTGCAAGCTACCAGAATATGCCATCTCCCAAGAAAATTAGGAAGAGATCAACATTTGAATGGCGATTGTACTGTTCTATTCGCTCTAGTGCTTGCCTCTACCTCTACCTTTGGAGCTGTTTCCATCGACTGCAAGCCACTGGAGCTAGTATGTTCCTGCAATAATGCTTATTGGATTCCATACATGGATTCCATCGATGGTGAGATACTCCATGGCTACATCTATACAACTCTATCCACTAACCCTACGATAGACTCATTCTGACTTCCCGAAATGCCGTACAAGAACTGTAGGCGGGCTTTGTATAATATGATCTGTTCAAGCGAGTTCAATCATCTCTTCGAGTGCACGTTTCTGTTGAAGATAGACCTCTCCGCCACACCGAATAGCGGTGAGAAAGCGGTTATTCGCTATATTGAAGCTTCGCCGCGGAGAGGTCATCCGACGGGATAATCGTTCGTTCGTCTCGGGTAGTAATCATAGGGACTACGTGAACGAACGGTCATCCTGGTCAATATTGCAGCCGATGACTTGCTTCGTTTGAATAGAGAGAAAGGGTCGCTTAGGAATAGTGCGAATAACCTCATGTATTTAAAGCGATGATATTGCTGTAGTCAGATAAGCAAGGACGTTGAAGAATTCCAGCCTTTCTCATTTCCGTAGAAATGAGCAAGATCACCGTAATTAGGCCTGCTGTACGGATGGGGATATATTAAATATACTAATGATCTTTACCTTGGCTAATTATAGCATTGCTAATAGTAGGATAGATCTATCTATGATACAATCCACGCTGGCCGCTATAAATAAGGAAGAAATTCCAGTAATATATCTAGTAACTACACTCATCTTAGCAAGAGCAAAGATTAAACAAATTGGACAAACATGAGCAAAATTTAAACAATCTAAAAAAAATAAAAACATACGACAGCAGGGATTCGCTGGTGGTCACCCACCCAACTACTAACCTGCCGGCGTGTGGCTTAAGTACGGCTGAGCGGACGGGAAGCCCTGTTCTCCACACCCTGTGGTCGTATGTACTGAAAGTCTATAAATAATAACATATATAGGAAAAAAAGAGAATATCAGTTCGACTATTTCATCCCGTTGATCAACAAACGCGTTCAATCATACGCGTCAATCAGGCAAAAATCATCCAAAAACCAAGTAAATCAAAAAATGGAATCACCCGAGACTGAAACACCGGAGACAGCTATACCAGAGATAGATCTATCCAAAATCCGCCTCACCTACCGCTATGAACTATGCAACCAGAAGAAAATGATGCGATGTATCCCCCTGGACTATCGCATCATCGCCAGCCTAACCTGCGAGGATTTCACTAGAATCACCCTCCTACACAGGCATACCATCTTCATTCTCAACCTCAATGTCCACAATGAAGGGGTTAGTAATACCCGCCTGCATCGGGATTACAGCAAGCGATCGAATAAATTCATTCGCCCAGGCAGGAAGACCTCAAATAGCCTGGACGAAAGCTACGGCAAATTCTGTGAATGGATTATCACGGCGTGTATTCCGTTGATTGAGCAGTTGGCGTCGCCGTTTGAACAAGAGCAGATGATTTCAATGGAGGAATTCGCGTTCCCGAAAGTGCATCATATCAAACTACTAACACAGAAGAAAGGCATGATAGCGAATGCAGCAATCGATGAAGCCCCGCCTGATCATCTAGGTCGCTCTGTAATGGAGACGGCGCCGATCACTGAATTAGGCGATTTGGCAGACAAAGTGGAGAGAGTATCTGCATCTGATATCTCCATCCGACTGACAGACCCCGACGACAAAGACAGCGATGCCTATCCAGCCGGCGGGCGCGGTGTTAGTTTTCCCACCACACGACAGGCAGTATACCTGCCCACCGGCGAGAAGAAGTATTTCAAATCATTCGACCAAAACGTACCAGTCTCCAGCTTGCTGCGCGAAGTCAAATTTCTCCACCGTGCCTCAGAACTCGGTCTAGACAAGACGCTCCGCATCCCCAAACTGTACAGCATAGTCACCAGCCAAGACGGGGAGAAAATCATCGGCATGCTTCAAGATTGGCTTCCCTTCGGACGTTTCGATCTCACGCATCCTGACATCCGTCGGATGAGAAAGGAAATGTACTCGAAATGGAAGGAACAGGTCATGGATATTGTGACCACTCTGCATTCGCATGATTTGATCTGGAATAAATCAGAGCTCTCAACAATTCTAGTCGACTCGGACCATAATGCTTGGATTTATGGCTTTGATGGGCCGTGGTTCAACCAGTATCATCCTATTACCTCTGTCTCGGAGTTGAGAGAGATTTATAAGAATGGTGGGAGTAAAGAGTGGGATATAATCGGTGTGAATAAGGTATTCAAGGATTTTTTGACCAGGCGGTGATTTATTCTACTTGATCTTATCTTATATAGGGAAATAGCAATATACCATCGATGTTATTCTGTTAAAAATATCCGACGGTAAGCATGTCAGATTATCAAGTCAAAAAATGCCCACTACCAAAAGCATGCCCTACGGTTAATCACTAATTGTAACCAAAAACAATCTATTACTTTCTATAGACTTGAAGCATGAAGCATAAGACACAGATGATAAACCCCGAAATGTGAAAAGAAGCAAGAAACAAAAGAACCCGAAATGATGCTCAATTCATGCGTTAACCTCCATAAGGCCACATTTTGCACCGCCAACCCCCCCAATAATTTCTCTTGCTTCTTCCTCCCGATGCTCCTTCGTCTCATCCGAAAGCGCCGTCGTTCATCACTCACCAACGTGGCGGAGGCATGGAGGGTCATTGACCATCTCAAACGTAGTGTATTTGGTTCTAGCTGCGATCTAGCTCTGAAGGGAGATATCAGGCGATCCCATGGTGGGAGGTGACAGGGGAATATTAGACCAAGATGGTGTAGATCTCGCATCTGTTCTATGGCTTGCCACTGACATGGAATAAGGGCTCTCCGCAGAGATTATAGGTAGGCTTTGAACAGACAAAGCCGGAGAGAGCAACATGCCTGCAGCAGGCTGGTTGGGCTGTACAGACGTTGTAGAAGAGGCGGCCGGAGAGAACGCCATGGCGGACGGACCCGTAATCGGTGGCTCAAGAGGCTGAGCAGAGGCTCGAGGTGATGATGCAATTGTTGTATTGCGGGATGCCACTGGCCTTTTGGTGAAAAACTTTTTCCTTTGAGTGTGCTGAGACTTTACCTCAACCACAGCGCCATTATCCTGGAGGATTTCGGCAATTTCGGAGGGCTTGTCGCGCAGCATTCCAAGTGGTGTTTGGTGTGTATCAGAATAACTGGCACCAGCTCTTATTCATGGAGAGATCCGCCAGGATTTCACATCCTGTCCGGGTCAGAATATTATTACCCAGAGATATTTTAACTTGACATGTTATTTGAGGATATCTTGTCTGAGGCCAACAATGGCACCCCGAGTGCGGGCAGCTGTCAACCCCATCCTGTCAGAGCTCGTCGAAGTCCTTTTTTGTTCATGGGCAAATATTTTCTTAATTTTGTCACCGGTCGGGTTCGCAGTGAATTTTGTTGCCATTATTGGCCCCTCGGCGATCCTCGATTTAGCGTCATGGAGATCAAACGACGATCTCGGCCGCTTATAGGCAGTCTCGTAAGCATCACTTTCAGGTGTGTCACTTCCCTGAATGATATGAAGTGTACACTAATCGCTGAATATCCAGCAATGCCGTTCAGCTGATCACTTCAATAATGCTGTTAAGAAACCACCAAGTGGTGGTCCTTGAGACTTTCTTGTCGGCAGTCTCTTGTCTAACATACACCTTATGCTCGGCCTGGGATTTCTTGCTGGTGGCATCAAGTACTCCGAACAGACATTCAGCACTGAAGCCACCAAGGAAGTGGGCACATTGCTTCTCCTGGCTGCTATGGCCATCGCCATTCCCACAGTATCCCATGCCTGGTCAGATAATCAGCACACTGTTCCCCAGTCCCGAGCCACCGCTTTTGTTCTTGTTGTCACATATGTGATCTTTTTGTATTTTCAAATATACTCCCACAAGCCACTCTTTGAGACATCCCCGGAACATGAGGATGCCCCAGATATCGAAAATAAGACGCAGATTGTCGTCCATGTTCGCAAATGGCGCACACAGATAAACAAACCAGCCTTTCTTGGAAAAATACCATTCCCATGTTTTCATCACCAGAAAAGCAGAAGACTAGTATAGCCGATCCTTCCCATGCAGTGACAACACTCATCGCTCTCATTGTCGCCACGGCTCTCATCGGATTCCACTCAACCTTTGCAATCGACAACCTGTCCAGTCTGATGGAAGATACTCATATCAGCAGCACATTTATTGGCGTGGTCATTCTTCCGCTGCTCAGCAATGACATTGGACCCATAAAGGCCGCATTGCATAATAAGATGGATCAATGCATCGCATCGACGGTGGGGAAACGCATCCAGACATCCTTGCTGGCGATCTCATTGATCATATTCATCGCGTGGGGAATGGGGGTAGATACAATGAGCTTGGACATTGATGGGTTTGAGGTCATAACATTATTTATTAGTGCTCTCTATGTAAACTTTGTCATTGCCAATGAAAAGTGCAATTAGTAAGTTTTCATTCCTGGGGAGTGGCTTTCATTTTGTTAACAATCTGATGTTAAGCTTTGAAGGGGTTGCTCTGATTGCACTCTTCATTATTATCTCTGTTGCTGCATGCTACTACTAAGTATTTTCAGGTATGGCGAGTGGATTTGTTGTAAGAGTTATGATAGATGATGGAAGATAACATCAGATGTAGCTATGCAGAACAAGACCTTAAGGGTTCAAATATAGAAGTGACAAGACACACCAGTTACTCTGCCATATCAACCAAGGATTGAACAATCTCGATAGCCCTCTCAAAAAGCTTCTTCTGGTCCGCCGATGCCTGAACATAACTCGAACCACCCTGTACTCCACTATGGCTGCCATTCAGCCATTGAAAGTCATTGTCAAACCAGGCAATGGAGGTATCGTGTCCGTATATATCCTCCGACCCCGCTGGCTGTTCAATTGGTAGTTCTTTGAGAATATTGTACAGCTCATCCACCAGGTCCAAAGCCTCGTCCGATGCGTCGAGTGATTTTTCAAGAGCAGCCCCCAAAGACGGCGTCCCATCTTCTCTTTCACTTTTGGAAACTTTGATGCTGGAGCCTTCAGATTCCTTATAAAGCTGGTAAATTGCCGTGGGAGTTGGTGGTGCAAAGCCTCCAGTAATGCCTAAAAGCTCGGCGGGAATTGGTGTGAGAAGATAACTAGACAAGTAGTAAATGGGGGTGCGGAAGAGATAGTGTACCTTTCTGCAGGCGAATGCCGTATTCCGAAGGTGCCATTTTGATGATTGTGGGAGGTAGTGGACTAAAGAGTGGACTGTAGTATGGACTGTGAAAGACTCAAAGCAGGAAAATGGGTTTCTGCAATTATCAAAGACCCAAGTGCGTTATATATACACCGACAGATCTGCATTAATTTCCCTGCTACGTCATCGTCTAATTAGCCCCGATGATCTCGTATGGAGTATTCATCCGTTCCAGCTTTCTTGATTCTTTTCAGCTGAATTAGATCTCGGCTATGACGGAATGGCTTCATTAGCGGCATATTTAGACTGCTGATTGGCTATACTGTATCCATACTGCAGTTCAGCTGGGTGGAGAGAACACAGATCAGCAGGATTATGTTCATGATAGGCTTAGTCGATAATGGGAAGCTCTTTGCTGGGTAAATATATCTTGGGGATCTTTTGTCAAACGGGCCTGCATGATTTAGGATTGTTTTATGTTGCCTAGTCCATTAGACCGGCATAACCACCAATTCGCATCAACTCGAAGATGACTCTATTTCGAGCATGACAGTCGTTATAATCTCTTCCTAGGAGTCAGGATTAATTCATGGATAATACTCACAGTAAAAGCAGTTTGTATTATATAGGTAACAGTCTATAAGCATAATAAACAAATGAAAACTCCATACAGTCATATCACATTCGACTGGCAATATCCCTCGCCACATAGATCTGCCCATACAAATCCGTCACATTGCAGAACATCTGAATCTTCTCCATCACCCTCACCTTCCGCTTATCCTCCCCAGCCAACTCCCTCAGCTTGCTCAACCCAAACTCCATATTCGCCCGCTCATACTCAGCAACAGTAAACAGCGCCTTCCGTCTCGCGTCATCTGACTTGGAACTCTTATCCGACCCTGCCGCCGCAAACTCTGGAAAGTTCACCGAGTTGAGGTTCTCCTCGTCGCGGTCGCGCGCGATGGACCCGTAGTCGTTGTACATGCGGCACATCACCGCGAGGTGGTGGCCCATGCCTTCGGCAATGTACTTTTCCTCGGGGGTGGTGAAGCAATCGGGCTGGTTGTGTTCACTAGCCAGTAAGCATTGGTAGAAGGCGAACGAGTACGGGCAGGAGGTGTGGTTGGAGGAAGTCGAGTTGACCCAGCGGTAGAAGCTGGAGCGGGGGCTGGTGAAGATTTCGCGGTTGTGTTTGGCTTGGGAGGCAAAGTTCTCGCTGTCTTCTGTTTGTTCCATGTGGGCGATGAGGAAGGTTTCGAGTTCGTCTTTGACGCGGAGGGCGTCAATGGGACTGGCTTCGCGGACGCTGGGGTGGTTCATGGACCAGTGGATGAAGGCGTCGAGGACGCGGGCGACGTTTTCGGAGACTTTCTTCGAGGCGGACTTATCATTTGATAATTGCTCGATTGTGGGAGTCTTCTTCACGGGCTTGACTGGCTTAGCGGTAGTGCCATCTGAATCGCTGCCCTCGTTGCTGCTGGAGTCCACATTGTCGAAAATCTCGCCGATGCATGCAACGACTGAAGCATCCTTGCCGCTATAGTACCGCCCCACGACAGCCTCCATAAACTCATCCGCCTGGTAGTTGAGGAAGGAAATAATCATCATCTCCTTCAGCGTCTTGTTGCAGACAAATGTGTTGTCTCGGTTGTTGCACGCTGTCCAGGTGAACGGGATATACTCAAAGTACTTGTCCTCCTCCATTCCCGCGCGAGGAAAGATCTCAAGTCTCTTCTCACTCAACTGTGGCAGGAAGAGATAGCCCTCGATAAGGGCTGCCCGGAGCTTCCATCGTGGCATCTTTGCGAAAAGAGGAATCATAGAATAGAAGCGAACAAACTCGCTGATTTTCTTTTCGGGGATGTAGAACAGCTGGGAAAGAGAGTCTGATGGCTGAGAGTGCTGGTGGTCGACCTTCAACGCAGCGAGGACGTAGCAGTCGGACAGAGTTAAAGAGCCATAAGTCACCTTTTCCACCCAGATGTACTCAGGCTTCTCGTTGACGGTGCCTTGGAGGAATTTGCGGCCACGGTCCAAGGCTTCGTCGATCTCGGGCCATAGGGAGTCGAGAAAGGGCAGTCCACATGCGTTGGCGATGGTGAGGACTGCATAGGCTGTCTCTTCGCGGCGGTGGCTCGGTCCCCAGGATCCATCTTCGTTCTGAGTCTGAAGCGCTCGCAGAAGGGCTTGGTATAGAGTGATGGACACCTTGTCGCGGATCAGCTCGCTGGGAATAGCGTCGAGAGAGCCCTTGCCCCAAGCTTCCAACAGAGATCCGAATGCTTCTGCCATCAACATGGATGGGTAGTGGGGTGAGAGGTTCTACAGAATTAGCACAGTCCCTTTCCTCTCACAGTAGAGATACTCACCCATTTGTCTCCAATATGCCCATCCGCCTCCCACCAGGTATCGCACAGAAACGTCGTGGCTTTCTCAATCTGCGGTGCAAGAGCAGCAAGGTCCGGCTGCGACAACAACGCCAGCAAAGCATTGCAATTTGCTGTGAAACTCGGGTCTCGCTCGCCCTGATATGTGCGGAAGTGGGTTTTGCCTTCGAATTCAGACAGTAATCCAGTAGCTGGGACGGGTTCGCCCAGCATGCTGACGGAAATCAGGGCTTTGGCTGTGTCATCGGCGTCGGCTTGGAGGGATGGTGCTGTGGACGTTAGAATTATACAACCGAATGTCTATGGAGATGAGCGCACCGAATCCTACTGTGCCGTTTCCTTTGAGTAGTGCCAGACGCAGCTTTTCGTATAAAGCGTTGGTATTTTCGATGCCGAGGTCTTCCTTTGTAAAACCATTGTGCAGTAGTGTTGTGAGGACCTGATGGGATTAGCAATTGAATCACCATGCAGTGAAAGGACCTACCCAGGTAATCTCAAAATAAGTAGATGGATAAGCACTCGGAACGCCTCCATTCCCCTGCCCACTACCATTCTGCACGACGGTCCTTAAATACTCCTCACACTCCTCATCCCACGAAGAAGCATGCATAAGATACGCCGCTGTAGACGAAGGCGAAGCCATAAACCCACCCGACTCCTTGTGATGCGAGACCTTGTCAAAGTCCACAATATCGATAAAAGACTCCAGAGAGTGCAAGGCAGTGAACTTCTGCGACGAGTAGAGATACTGAGGCTTGAACTTGGACAGCTTCAATGCATTTAGGGCGTCGAGGTCGACCCTTCCGTCGAATTCAAACCGTAGGCCCTTTTTCTCGAGCAGACGGAGGATGGTGGGGAGGATGATTTCGAATCCGACGTGGACTGTGTTGGGGACGTCCCAGGATTGCAGCTGGTGGGAGAGGGCTGTGCTGGCGAGGTTAATGCGGCGTTCTAGCTCGGATGCTGGGACGTGGCCTTCTGGGATGGGGTGCTCGGCGTGAGTCTTGAGAGCCAGCAAGGATGCGGCGGTGTTGAGGATGCCGTCAATATCGGAGGCGTATGTCTCCCATCCGCCATCTGGTTGCTGAGACTGCAGGATGTATTCGAAGCATTCGGGGAAGAGCCAGTGGGCGCCATTGGCAGTTGGCTTTCTCACCATGGACACCCACGCGGTGTCGTAGATGGCGCAGGACATGAAGCCAACATCGCCATTGTCGGATATCAATTGGCGGACGAGTCGAGAGGCTTGAGTGGAGAGGCTGGTGGTGTTGGGGGCAAGCATGATGATGATTATTATTATTGATTCTGTATCTGTGAGTCTGTTAACAACCAGACATGAAATGTTTTATATTTTATAGATGCCATCAACGATATCCGACGTCAGTTGGAGGCCGAGGGATGATCCTTCGATCCTCTGCAGAACGCATTGTCACATAAGCAGTCAGACTCCATCGAGGGATCCGAAGATATGGAACAGACCGTTGGGCCCTGCAGAGAGCGGCTGATTCATGCATTATACAGGCCCAAGAACGGATAAATCTGATTATATGCCGTTGTTTCAAGGAATCTACACGCAGTGCATTGACTGCTTCTACGATCCCACGATGAAGGCCGAAACGAACGTGGAGTCGACTGACTCGTTGACGGTCTCTGCGCCTGGAAAGGTGATTCTGTTTGGTGAACATGCAGTCGTGTATGGCAGGGTATGTTGCATCTTGACCTTGCATCTTGCATCGGTAGCCATGCTAATAGATGCAGCTGGCCATTGCGGCGCCCATTTCGCTGCGTTCATATCTGAAATCAGATATCCTGCGAGAGCAAGATACACCACAAGTCACTCTATCCATGCCAGATCTGGGGATGCAGCAGACATGGACCATTTCCGAGTTGCCCTGGACGGTTGCCATGAAAGTACGAGACAAGCCAGAAGCAGACCTCGCTACAGCTCTTGAACCGGATCTGACGAATGCAATCTCGTGGTTTCTTTCCAAAACATCGCCTGAGCTGAAGAAGAAGAAACACCATTTTGAAGCCCAGCTGGCCTTTTTGTACCTATACATGCTGCTCTGCTCCCCCAATGACAATAGCTACACATACACCCTCACCTCGGAAATTCCCATCGGCGCAGGACTCGGGAGCAGCGCCAGTGTCTCTGTGTGTATCAGCACTGCGCTGCTTCTTCGATCTGGACATCTCCAATCTGTCCGCTGTCTAGAAGATGAAGAATCCAAACAACAATCCCTGGACGCCATCAACCGCTGGGCCTTTGTCGGCGAGATGTGCATCCACGGCCGACCCAGCGGGCTGGACAACACCGTCGCCACGATGGGCAAGGCCATCTGCTTCTCGCGACCAGGCGGAGGCCAACAGATGAAAACTGCAGCATTAGGAACCATCCCCGAACTGCCTTTATTGATCATCAACTCGAACATCTCCCGGTCCGGCGCGACGCAAATCGCCAAAGTGCGAGACGCGCGCGACAGCGATCCCAAACGCGTCGATCGTCTCTTCGACACCATCGACCGGGTGACGCTGCTGGCGATCATCAAGTTGACGGAAACCGTTCGCGATGAAAAGACGCTGGCAACGCTCGTCCACTGCCTGGGCGAGTTGATCCAGATCAACCATCGCATGCTGGCGGCGTTGGGCGTGTCGCATGGCCGCCTCGAACGCGTGCGTCATCTGCTGGATGGGCGAAAATTGGCGTATACTAAGCTGACGGGTGCTGGGGGCGGAGGATGCACGATTTCCCTGTTACGAGCAGAGGGCGAGGCGCTCACCGAGACGCTGCAGCAGTTGGATGAAGAGGGATATTCCAGTGTGCTGACCAGTTTTTCATCCGAGGCTGTGAAGATATCCGTGGACGAGAATGTTGAATAGGGGTGTTGTCGTCTTTGGCCGTGATCTTTTCTGTTGATAGACTCCGAGGCGTTTTAAGAAATACAAATCCATTCCGTATAGCTCCTTTCAGACCGCTGCCTCATTTCCTCAAGGGGACATTTCCCCGTAAATCTACCTTGATTCTTACATCGTGAAGTCACTGATCGCGATCCATCGTCGGCGTCGGATCCGATCCTCTGATCCATCGCGGCGATCATATGTAGACCACGCGATGAACTCGACCTCGGTTTTGACTTTTTTATTTTCAAGATTCCAGCTATCGTCACTCGTTTATATTAAGAAGGATTCTCTGTTTTTTTTCAATCATCATCCTGTCTTTTCTGGCCTGAATCAGCATGAGTTTCGGAAAGCTATACACGTACAAGGTCAGGTCCTCTTCACTATTCCCACTGTCTATCATCTAACCCTGTCGCAATAGGGAAGCCCCCGCGCCCTGGGCATTCTGGCGGTCGCAAAGTCGATCGGCCTCGATCTGGAGGAATCCGAACTGCAGCCGGTGAATGGCGTGCCTGATTTCTACTGGAAGCTGAATCCGCTGGGCAAAACACCGACCTTTGAGGGAACGGATGGAGTCGTGTTGACCGAGTGCATGGCCATCGCGCTGTACAGTGCGTGTATCCCAGTCTTTCTATAGTTCGATATTGATATACAAAAGTCACCAACCAAGACCCCGACACCACCCTCATGGGCAGCACCTCGCTCGACTTTATCAACATCATCCGCTGGATCTCGCTCACCAACACGGACGTCGTGATGCGCATCGCAGCCTGGGTGCGGCCCCTCATCGGCTACACCCCCTACTGCAAAGAAGAAGTCGACAAGGCACAGCGCGACACGGCCAAGGCGATTCAGATCTTCGAAGACCACCTCCGCGACCGCAAGTACCTCGTCAGCGACCGGCTGACGCTGGCGGATATCATGTGCGCGAGTCTGCTCACGCTGGGCTTCGCCAAGGTGTTTGACCGTGAGTGGAGGGAGGATTTCCCGTACTTTACGGGGTGGTATATGATGGTGACGCATCTGCCTATCTTCCGGGCGGTGCTGCCCGAGGTGCCGTTTGTCGCGGTGGGATTGCCGAATGCGCCGCCGACGGAGCCGTTTAAGGCGCCGTGATTTATTTTGTTTGTCTATTTTATCTTATTCTTTCTGTTTCTCTATTATCTGTTCTATGTAGATGTTGCTATGTGGTTGCATTATTTGGTTAATGGTTCTGTTTAATTATAGTATGTCAGTTGCGCAATAAAGATTCAGGTTAAATAGTTCCTCTCTTGTAGACAGTAGAAAGATGGAAGGAGAAGACAAAAGTCAGTAAAGCAGTAACATTATGCTAATAGCTAGAATAAAATGCAGTATCAAGTACTAGGTATTATTACACCAGATCTATCATTCTCATAATCATCAACAATCAACGACGAATCGCCTGATCCCACAGCTCCTGCGTATGCTTCCATACCAGCTCTCCCACTCCCTTCTCGCGATACTCCTGCATGACCTTCCTAGTCGGCCGGACATCTCCCTTCCAGTTCAACAGATATGCGCCACTTCCAGTCTCCCCCGTTGTACCCTTTGCAATCTCCGCCGTGTCAACCGGCACACCCTGGTTCTGCAGACCGTTCTTCGCCGGATACCGCGCAGAGCTCAGATGGAAGAGATGTCGCTCTCCACTCTCGCCCAGATTGACAGACAACGGCCACATCAACGGCCACATGCCGTAGTTGTAGAATGTGGAGATCGGCGCGGGAAAGCTGTTGGTGTAGATGTTTGTCCCCACGAGACCGGGGTATGCGTGGATGAAGCTGACGTTGGGGTGTTTCTCGGCGAGACGCTCCATGCTGAGCGAGGTCATGGTGATAGAGTGCTTGTAGGCGTTGAGGAGGGAGAAGTTGTGCTTGAGGTCGAGGTCGTCGGTGTTGATGGAGAATTCGAAGCCGCCGCCGTAGATGCTGACGACGCGGCTGGGGCCGGCGGATTCCAGGAGGGGGAGGAGGTTCTGGACGAAGCGCATGCGGGAGTAGTATCGCAGGGCGAAGAGGTGGTCGATGCCTTCGATGGTTTCTGCGTCTGTTAGCATGGCTGGGATCAAGAGAGGTGTCGGACTCACCGTTTCTACCGCCTAGAGAAATCCCACCCGGTGTCATGAAGAGAAAGTTGAGGTGCTTCTCCTGCTCTAGCACTTGCTTGCACGCCGCGTCCACGTTGCGAATGAGCGACACGTCCGCCTCGATAAAGTTGAAGCGACCCTTGGGGTTCAGCTGGCGCAACTCAGCCAGAAACGGGCCTGCCTTGGACTCGTTGCGACCGACAATGTAGGCTGTGGGAGTGTCTGCCTCGCGAGCCAGCTGGCGCAGGGTGCTCTGGCCGATGCCACTGGTGCCGCCGACAAAGAGCGCGGTGATGTTGGGGAGAGCGCGCAGGCCGGCATTGGACGCCTGGACTGCCTTGAGAGAGACCATTGTGTGTCTGTGGTGTATGTGGTGTGGTGTGGTGAGTGTGAAAGTTCAAGAAGTAAAGATAGAAAATAGAAAATAGAAAATAGTGCTGACGGTGCGATAAGGATCTTAAATCCCATGGCAGGATGGGGATCTGATCTTGTTTGTCGGTCGGTGATCCATGCCGAAGGATCAACAACGTGCGGATCCTTCCGAGCGACAGCGCCGATCATGAGCTTCACGATGGAGAGCTACTATATTAAGGTCGACAACATGAACAATTCATCAGAACAAGACAGCACAATCATCATGGTTGGCATTCAGAACGGAGTCGACGCGTGGGTCAACTACTACCAGCCCAATGGCAGCCCTCCAGCACACAACGACATGGCCATCCTGTTGGGCTCCAAAGACATGGTGTCGCACCGCATGCGCATCCACGATCTGCGGCCCGCGATGGACCGCTTCGCGCTCGACGCCAACGGCTTCCAGTGCGCCACGCTCCACTCGCAGGTGACCGACTTTGGCGACGAGAGCCAGATCCGAAATGTCTATTTCAAGGAGGTGGAGCAGCTCATCAAAGAGACGTAAGTTGCTTTTTCTTTGTTTGTTTATTTCTCACTAAGTCTGTAGAACGGGCGCATCGCGCGTGCTCGTCTACAACCACACCGTCCGCTCCAAACCCAGCAATGAATTCGGCGACCAGGTCAAGGGCCGCTATCAAGGCATCGACGGCCCTGCGTATCGTATCCACGTCGATCAAACACCCGAAGGAGCACAGAACACCGTGCGGTTCATGTTCCCCGAGCTCGCCCACGAGGTCGATGCCGGGAACTTCCAGCTGCTGAACGTCTGGAGACCGCTGAAGAAAGTAAACCGGGATCCCCTCATGGTGGCGGACATGGCGGTCCTGCCTACGGAGGATCTCATCCGCGTCCCTCGATCGTACTACGATGGGCTGCAGTCGTCCAACTACGTGGTCAAGTACGACGGTCGACCCGCAGTGGAGGCGAGTGACCCTGTAGCAGATGGCATTAGTAACGGTGGCGAGCACAGCTGGTGGTATATTGATCAGCAGGAGGCGCATGAGGCGATCATCTTCTCGTGCTCTGATTTGAGGCCTGGGAAGAGACCAGAGGGGACAGTGCATGGGTCGTTTCTGTTGCCGGACCAGGATGGGAACCCCCCACGCCAGAGCGTTGAAGTCCGTGTGGTTGCCTTCTTCTAGAAGTGGAGATGTTCATGTACATTCCTGCATATTAGTTTAGATTGTTTCAGCTGTCAATATACGATCTGCGTTAGTTACATTCCACATATGCTCCACGGAGGGATGTAAGGGAGGAACATTCCAGAAGCTGTCACATTCTTCAGGAACCTATCTGCTAGTCTAATTCTAATGCAAAATAGCCTCTCTAGCCCCATGTATCTAGTTTAGCATCCCACGTGGTAAGATAAGCTGTGCCGTGTTTGAGTCGTCGATTTACGTGCATCTTATCTATATGCGCACGTGGTTATATGCATACAACTATATGCCCACGGGACTGAAGGATAAACAGAGTACATCTTTTAATTGAATAATCTTTCAGCTATACTTAAGTTGGTATATATATATAATTAAATCATTGTGTGGATTGAATGATCATTGTGTTGGATATATATATTGCCATCACTCCGCTAGGTTACACTCTACAACATTTCCATCATCTACAAGTAGTGCTGTATCTATTATGAAATATATATCCTTAGCATCAGTATTATAATTATCATTATATGTATATATATATATAATGAAAAGGTAGCGATATAATGGCTGATCACTGATGGTTACCAGTTCTAGTCTACACTTCTTTTACAGCTGTCATCCGCAGTACTATACGACCGACAGAGCTTTGCACCTCAATAGAATATCTACTCAGATAGATGATAGTGATAAAAATATATTAACAGCCTGACATGGCAGCGTAAATCGTATCTATCGTAATCTGCCCCAGCCTAGGCAGCAGTCTATGTAACGGTGCGTTGATTGCAACTCCAAGAATAGAATCCGCCTCCCATATAGAACATCAAACATCGGGCTAATCTTGCTACCAGAGAAAAGAGATTTCAAAAGGAAATAGGAAATAGAAAGAAAAGAGATAAGGAAAGCGAGAAAGAAAAAGAAAAAAAAAAAATCACGGGTTCCGACAACGTCGAGCTGCCTCGTGGGCGTTTCGGGCTGAGCTCCGGGAAAACACCGCATCGCAAAACGAACACCGCAGCTTGGCCGTTTCACCCCGTCGTTCTCGCTGGTGTCGGATCAAGTTGCTTTTATTAGAAAAGAGTCGTCCTTTGCAGCACGACTCCCAGCAGCGGAATGACTCGGGCTGGGAAGGGTTTTGAGCTGGCCGTCCGGAGGGATCCGACCGGAGCACAGATGTGATCTGATCCAGCCGGGCGCTCATCTGGGTCATTGCTTCTCGGGGTTCCTCGACGACGCTACGGTATAGGAGTCAGTTTCCTTTGCCTAGATATTGACAAAGAGGTCAAACGTACCCGTTGTTGTTTTGTAGCTGTTGGAGTTCATGTCGTAGCCGGCGGAGCTCTACGAATAGCTCTTTGTTGGGGATGGAGGTGCTCTGTTCGGAACAGGTGGAGGCAGGAGTGGGAATTGGAGAGAAGCTGTGGCTGGAGGAGCGAGAGGTGCGGTTGAGATGGGGAGAATCATCGTGAATCATGGAGGGCGATTGATCGAACTGGAAGAGACCCCAGGCCTCGCTGGAAGGGTGAGTGGGCGGACATGAGAAGAGGGAGGGGAGCTTACCGATATGTGATGGACATGGTGATGTGATGGAAATTGATGAAGAGTCAAGATTATGAAGATTATTGTGATGACCGAGGATAAAAAAAGAAATGAGAAAACACGAGTGTGAGACGGAGAGGAAGAAGAGAAGAAAAGACAAAGGGCGATCAAAAGAGGGGAAAGCAGCCGGGGGCGGAGGGTCTCTTAGTGTGTTTCTGTATGGCTTCATGGCTCATGCACTGCACCGCTGTCCACCAAATTATCCAGGATGCTTCATCCGCTGAGGCTCATGCTCCTACTCCCTTGTCGACTGCTCCATCTGACTCTTGTTCCTCATCCCAGCAGCTCAATCTGACATCTTACCTGCTTCGGCCGGCCATGATCAATCCACCGGCGGTGATCCTGCCTCCGACCGCAATCCATCAAGGGAACACTGGATGACTGAGTGTCTATCGCAATGGAAAAAATGAATATATATACTGGCTTTGATCTGGTCCAGATTCGATTATCCAGACAGCAAAACAAAGAACAACAGCAGAAAAGCAAAGCAAGTACAACAAAAACAACAGCATCCATAGATCCATCGCCATGGACGCCAATACCTCCACTTTCTCTCCCCTGCAGAGTTTGAATCACATCAAACTGGCCGATCCAGCGTCTCAGGATCGCTCTCAGCTCTATCTGGCTCTGCTGGGTGTTCTGGCTGCCGTCTATCTCATCCAGAACTGGATTGCTTCTACCAAGGTCTTCAAGGCACCCTTTGTCGGTTTCCGATCTAAATGGGAGCCCAAATGGCTGGTCGGACTTCGATTCTCCCAGGGCGCTTTTGCCCAGGTCAATGAGGGCTATCAAAAGGTTTGTTCTTTGACATCATCTTCCGATCATCGCTAATCTGGATAGTTCAAAACCGGCATGTTCAAGATTGCTCGCAACGACTCTGATATTCTCGTCATTCCCAACAAGTATGTCGAGGAGCTGCGCTCTATGCCCGATGCAAAGATCAGTGCCATCCAGGCTCACATCAAGGTATGTCTACGACTTCTAATTTGTTGGATCATGCTAATTCCTGTAGAACCTTCTCGGAAAATACTCCACCACGCTGATTCTGCTGGAAAGTGACTTGCACACTCGCATGCTGCAGACCAAGCTTACCCCCAACTTGGGCTCCTTTGTCGGTGTCATCGAGTCTGAACTCACCTTTGCCATGGACAAGGAGATCCCCAAGGATCTGGATGTCTGGAAGAATGTCTCTCTCTACCATATTGTGCTCCGCATTGTCTCTCGCATCTCCGCCCGTGTCTTCCTGGGCAACCCTGCCTGCCGCAATGAGGAATGGCTCGACACTTCGATCCACTACACCGAGAACGTTTTTGGCACTGTCATGCTCCTCCGTCGTCTACCCAAGTTCCTGCACCCCATCGTCGCTCATTGCCTTCCCAGCTACTGGCGTCTCCACTCCAACCTGCGCACCGCCAAGCGTATCATCAGCCCCATGGTCAACCAGCGCCGCGCCGACCAGGCAAAGAACGACCCCAGCTACGAGAAGCCCAACGACCTGCTGCAGTGGATGATGGACGCTGCCAACGAGAATGATGGCCAGCCCGATAAGCTGGCCCACCGCCAGCTGCTCCTCAGTTTGGCTTCCATCCACACCACCACCATGTCCGCTGCCCACGCCATGTACGATCTCTGTGCTCACCCGGAATACTTTGAGCCCCTGCGCCAGGAAGCCTATGACGTGCTCCGTGAAGATGGTGGCTGGAAGAAGACTACCCTGAACAAGATGCGCAAATTGGACAGCTTCCTCAAGGAGAGCCAGCGAGTCAACCCCCCCAGTCTGTGTAAGTTTCCTCTCCACTCTAAACCAGACTCAGCAAACTAACGCAGTGCAGTGGCCTTCAACCGCATTGTTTCCAAGGATCTGACCCTCTCCGATGGCACGGTTCTTCCCAAGGGCACCCACTTTGGCATGCCCGCCGCCGCGATCCTCCAAGACAACGAGAACGAGCCCAACGCCGACCAATTCGACGGTTTCCGCTACTACAAGAAGCGTCTCAACCCTGAGGAGGCCAACAAGCACCAGTTCGCCATGACCGACAACAACAGTCTCCACTTTGGCCACGGAAAATACTCGTGCCCGGGCCGGTTCTTCGCCTCCAACGAGATCAAGATCATCATGGCCCACCTGCTGATGGACTACGAGTTCCAGTACCCAGAGGGCGCGACCCGACCCAGAAATCTGACGGCGGACGAGAATCTCTACCCGGATCCATCTGCACGTCTGCTCATGCGGAGAAGAGTGGCGGAGCCGAACACGCATGCGGTGGATTTGGAGACCGCTGCTGCTGCACCCACTCCAGCTGCCGTCTCGGCATAAAGGTTGATTAACAAAAGGATTGATGGATGAATGGGATCAGGGGGATCGGAGGGACTGTCGATAGACTTGAGAGGGATATGTCTTGGGCAATTAGAATAATCGGTTAGAAATCATTTGTTGTTTAGTCTACTGTTTAGTGTTTCATGAATCATGTTTTTGTTTCTTATTTTTAACCACCGACCAAGCCATAAGCCAACTGCCCGGAAGTACGAAGCGACCCAATCGATTCGCCGCACGTAGTCTGACGAAATAGAGAAACGAAGATCATTAGTGCCTCCTGGCTATCAATTTAGGTTTCATCCAGCAACTGCCTCATTAGGACAAGAAAATAGCCTCCAAGATTGGCCCCAAGATGAACATCCAGCGTAGAAGATTCTTTTATCCGCGCCCAAACTCGTATTCATATATTAAGAACTGGGATTGTTCGATAGTCGGGCTCCACTTGGCTGCTTCTACAAGATGACTACCTCATATATATATAGATAGCTCGGTGACGAAACAGCAGTTGTACAGATTGGGGTAAACCAACAGCTCGACACACCAGCCATTGGCCAACGATTGATAAAACGCCAACAGGATCATTATCCTTGGGACTAGCATTGTGGTTTATGAATGTGGTGATAAATATTGTGCTCGCTCGACGTTAAGTCCGATCCGAATTAACTTCTACTGTCTGTGGGATCAGTAAACAGACTTCGTCTCGGCATCCTGACGAGATAGCTGGTGATCAGGAGATTGAGTTGAATCTTGGCATATGCGGTGTGATACAGCCACACACACGCCCTGACAGTCAGATAGAGTCAGCGCTGCAGTCGGCAGTCACCCAGCACTGTATACGGCAGTATCTGGCAATAGGGCAGATATCGTGGTAATCGGCGCTGCGTGAGAGGCTTTTGGCCTGAGGCTGTCGCGATTTGGAATCCAAAAAGGCCCCAATCCGTGGCGCCAGGGGGTCTTGGCGGCTCCACTGCGTCTGACTCAGCATCGAGATGCAGTGGGTTTGAATGGGGCGCTCTGATTGGCTCGCAGCATGGCTGTTTACGAGTCTCTCGTGCTGCGGAGAAGAGCAGCAGCTGTTCTCCGTGGCCTGCCTGAAGGCGCTGATATCGCCCCCATGAGCCTCAATTCGAGTCATCTCACCAAAAGGTCCCAACGGCCGTGAGAAGATTACCGGAACTCGTCCGTGGTGAGACACCGATAGGAGAGAGTTCCCTCAGTAATACGGGATTTGCCGCTGGCGTCGTTCGCAACATTGTGCAAATCCTTTGTTCTGCATGGGCGAAAGTGGTGGGAATTGGGGCCAAAACCCGCTGAGCCTATCGAGAGCATCGCCATAAGCATGATGGAGCCGGCTCTGGACTCATGACGTTGTGGGCTTCCTGGCAGCAGACAAACGTACCTTTACGAGGCGCGGGTTATGATCCCCCAAGCCTGTGTGAGACATGCGCTTATGCAGATCGTCTCATTTGCTCGTTTGATCTTTTTTTTGTCTTCTGCTTCTTTATTTCCGGCTGTTATTCCGGTGATGGATCGCTGGTCGGCCGGCTGTTGTCGTTTAAATCTGCAGTCGTCCTCGCATTTCTTTGTGTAGCCTCCCCCACCTCCTCAATTTCCCTGACTCGCCCCGCGCCTTGCCCAACTTGCCCCTCCTGAACCACCACTTTCAAGCGATGCGAATATGAACTACGATGGACAGACCATGGTGATGACCAGCGACGATGAAAATGCCGACTACGACGCGATGGACATGGGGGACCAGCAGCTACAGCTACAGCAGCAACAGCTCCAACAGCGACAACAACCTATGCAGAGCATGTAGGCAGAACCCGTCAGAAATATGTGAAAAATATTGATGGGAGTATTAGATCGATAGATGGAAACACTCGAGCCTGTCAATCATGCCGTGCGTCGAAAGTCCGATGCGATCAGCCAAACCCAGGCATGCCCTGTCTGAGATGCCAGAAATCCGCCAAACCGTGTATCCCCGCTGGCCAGTCGTGGAAGAGCCAGCGCCACATGAACAGTCGGATCGTCGAGATGGAGTCCAAAATTGATAAAATGATATCCGCCGCTGCAACGCAGGGTCAAGGGCCGGACAGTAATGGCGACAGGAGTCGATCGCTGGATTTCGCTCAGGACCCGATGATGAATCCTATGATTAAGCCCGCCTTGCCTTCTGGTGAGGATTGAATGCATACTCCATTTCTCCTGCCAATGCTAACATTGATCTCTGCAATAGTGGCTTCGAGCTCCGACGACAACGACTGGAACCCAAACGGCATTCCCTTGGGGCTGGAAGAGACCCTCACACTGTATATGGACCACTTCACAATGGAAACCATCTTCAACCGCTATATGACAAATATGGCTCCGACGTTCCCCGTCGTGATTTATCCCCCTGGAACCACTGCTACGGAAGCACGTAACGCAAACCCCGTGCTCTTCTACGCCATTCTTGATGTTGCTTCGTCTGGATTTTGCGAGCTGGAGGTTCAACGCCGTTTGCGAAAATTGATCGTACAAACATACGTCCACTACATGCTCCGAACAGATCTCTATAACCTTGGACTGCTACAAGCACTGATTGTCTCCGCGACGTGGTATCGGTCGATCGAGCCGTTGCAACCAGGAGAGCAGATGGACATCTACCAGCTCAGTCACACGGCAGCCAACATGGCGTTGATTATGGGGCTGGGAGAAAGTCTCAACGCAAAATCCTGGGGAGGGCCGATGTTTCCTCGTAAGCTAAAAGGAAACGGACCTCAAAGTCCTCACCAGGTAGAATCCTTCGATGCGCGGAGAGTATGGTTGGGATGTTACTATCTCTGCTCAAAGTAGGCAGCCACTTTTTGTTTCCCTCTCCACTTTTCATCAGCATGAACTGACGGTTCCAGTACCTCCATGTCTTTACACGCTCCGAATGTCATGCGATGGACCCGCACCATGGATGAATGCTTGGAAGCACTAGAAACATCCACCGCGGCATATCCGTCTGACAAGGTTCTTTGTCAACATATCAGATTACAACATATTACCGAAGAGTTTGCCCTGCAACTCTCTCTCGAAGATTCTTCTGCTCCCATGCCAACCCGCGCTATTCAAACTCAAGTCACCCATCGCGCCTTCAAACGTCAGCTGGCTGACTGGCGAACCAACATGCAAGATGGCGTTTGGAACGGTAATGAAGAATCCAACCAGACCCATGTCAATCTTATGCTAACGTCAGATGGCCACGTTTAGGTGTACTTGAATTCTCGTATTACTTCTCATGGCTGTACATAAGCGAAGTCGCCATGTGTACGCCTTATTCCAATATCAGCCCGGATATAGACCCGGTTTCTGAAGAACAGGCCTTACATGGTATCAGAAACCATGGCCCGGTGTTCAGTGAATTCCTGGAGACAGTAGACAATATCTTCCGCGTGTTCACGTCGCTGGACATGTCTGCGATCCGAGCATTCCCCGCGATGCATCTGCTTCGCATGATATACACCGTCATCATCTTGGTCAAGCTCCATTTTGCCGCGGTGAAAATGGGCAGCGAAGAAGCCCAGCAGCAGCTCGACCGGGCTAGCGTCGCGAGACGCCTAGACTGCATTATCCAGATGTTCGCCGGATGGGGCACACTGTGGCCCGCGACCAAACTGACGACGGCATTTTTCAAAATCCGAGCATGGTTTGAAAAGTGCGAAGACGGCCAGGCACCAGCACAACACGATGGGCCGGTGTTTAGTCAATGGCGAGTCAACGCCTTGCCCGTCCCCGAAATGGACTATTCCGATTCTTCCTTCCACCCTGTTTCGTCGGATGACGGCTCGGGATTCTTCTCCGGGTCTCACATCCCGGCCTCGTGGAGTGGCTCTCTGGCGTCGGAGCACATGGAAAGCATTCCATTTTCATTTGGCTCGCCTTTGGGTATTGACTTTCCTACTGGCCTCACCCCGACGAGTAATAGTGACCTGTTCAACTATCCCCTCTCCTTGAAAGATTTACCACCGTTGATGAGTAGCGATACCACAAATGACCCGGCATAATACGGATGATACAATGGAGCAAAGGCGTTTATTAAAGGAGTCGCATGAAATGTACATACTATTGATACAATACATACCCACTACTACATTATTTGAATTCGCCACGGCATCTTATAACCGGACAGAGACCTGCTTACTAGAACGACACCTGAATCAACCGAGAAAGATCCGCAAATTCCTGGTACTTTTACTAGCTTCCTTGTCTCCGATATGGTACTTTTGTTCTCACCTGCCTATTTCGGGTTGCGTACAGTAGGCAGCCACGTGGTATCTGATATGATTATCTATTAAAAGGGTCTAATAAGAACTAACAGACGTTGTCAGATTATAGCGTTGTGAGTAGAATCTAGGATTCGTATTGCAATAGTTTATGAATATTGATAGTAACAGTTAGCCCAACCAGACCTCTGTGAGGTCTACAGTATATATCAAAAAACGTAGAGGATATCTACAATAAAACAACTACTCGAGTAAAGTAAAAAGCAAGCTATGAAAACTCTCATTCAATCTATTAAATCTATCACCCACAAAAAGCCAACGCACACCACCTAATTCTTCTTCCTATTATGCGCCAAATGGCTCTTCACCAACGACCCAGCCGCCAAAGCAGAACACAAACTCAACTCGCCGGCCAACACACCTGATGCAACCATCAGAGCAAGCTTCTGGGCGTTGCCGCCGGGGTTTTCGTAATCGGCACCCTGGACGCCCATCATTCCTAGCATGGCCTTTTGGGGACCGAGGACGGTGCCGCCGCCGACTGTGCCGACTTCGATGGAGGGCATGTAGACTGAGATTTGGAGGTTGCCATCGACGCTGGGGTTGTTAGGTATCTTTATATATGATGAGGGGGATTGGAGACTTACTTCTTCATAACAGTTAGGGTGTTACTGCTTTGCACATTCTGTGCGGGGTCCTGACCGGTAGCCAGGAAAATCGCCGTGACGACATTAGCAGCGTGAGCGTTGAATCCGCCCAGAGCACCAGCCACGGCACTTCCGATGAGATTCTTGGAAGTGTTGAGCTCGACCAAGCTCTCAACGTCTGTCTTGAGGATCGTCCGGACGACATCAGCGGGGATTGTCGCCTGCGCGCTGACGGTCTTCCCGCGTCCTTCAATCCAGTTGATGGCTGCGGGCTTCTTATCCGAGCAGTAGTTTCCAGACAGCGAGATGATTTGCATATCGTCGAAGCCGCTCTCCACCATCACTTCGAGGACGCGTTCGACGCCCTTGGAGATCATGTTCATGCCCATTGCGTCCCCCGTGCGAGACTTGAAGCGGATGTACAGGTCCGATCCGACGACGGTCGTCTTCAGGCTCTGGAGACGGGCGAAGCGGCTGGTGGAGTTGAATGAGGACTCGACGAGCGCGAAGCCAGCTTCAGAGTCCAGCCATGCCTTGGCTGCACCGGCTTGCGCGAGAGAACGGAATCGAACGAGAGGAGCGCGTGTCATGCCGTCGTCCATGAGGACGGTGGAGACGCCCCCGCCGGCGTTGATGGCCATGCAGCCGCGGTTTGTGCTGGCGACGAGAGCGCCCTCTGTTGTTGCCATGGGAAGGAAGACGTTTCTGCCATCGACGTTGATGGGCCCTGCGACGCCGAGGGGGAGGGGCATGTAGCCGATGACGTTCTCACAGCAGGCGCCCAGCACGGCTTGGTAGTCGTAGTGCTGGTATGGGAGAGCGGAGGACTCGAGGGGGAAGTCGATCTGCTTGGTTGCTTCGTGGTTGGCGACGATGGAGCGGCGGAGTTTGACGGCGCGTTCGGGGTCTTGCAGGGCCTTTTCGAGGGAGTAGAGGGGGATGGTGCCTTGGGCACCGAGTTGGATGATTTGGGATTCGGGCATTTCACGGATCTCTGCGTCGGTTGGGCGTTTGCTGGTGGTTTTGTTTTGAGATTCTGGTTTGGCTGGGCTGGGAGTGTCTTTTGATGTCGTGATGGGATGGGGAAGTGGCTGTGTAGCTTTTCTGACTGGCTTGGAGAGAGACAGACTGGGCGGTTGTGAAGCATTGCTACCGGGAATCCACTGTCCGTAGACCATCCCCAGTGCCAGAACAGTCGCAGCAGCAAGTTGCACCAGCAGCTTCACGATAGTCGTGCCGGATACAGTAAAGGAAGGTGGACTCTTGAGAGGCGCACCCAGGATGATATTCTTTTCAATGGCATCATTCAGCCAGATCTCAGACCGGTTCATCACATCGTTAATATGTCCACATTGAAAGAGATATCCTTGCTGGACAGCGTCGTCTGTGGCTCTTGGAGATGACACTCGGGCAGGTGTAGAGACTTGAGCATCTCGCTTCATAATGAGGACCTGATTGTGCGCCGTGTCGGTGTTGCTGCATGCATGACGGAGGGCATTGAGCCATCCATGGCTTCCGTGATGGTGGGGAGGAGAGGTTCGATGAGTGTTGCTTGCATTCCACGTCTATACAGTTAGCATCGTCACTTTACATAGTATAAGAAGACTTACAGCAGAAACATGCGAATCAGCATGAGGATGAGAGTACAGTCCCCAAGCCTCATATTGATGAAGATCCGACTTTAAGGACAGCGAGTTGAGATCGCGAGCTGGTCTGGATACTGTCCACGACAGACAGGCGTAGAGAACAGCGGCACTGGCGACTGCGCGAACAGTCTTTTTGTGCTTTTTGATAGATTCGATAAAGACCTTTTTGGAAGTAGTGAATCCAGAAGGCAAAGGCAAGATAGACGGACTGGAAGTGTCCATTGTTGATCTATAAAAGCAGTCTAAACACCCAAGGAAAACAAAGAGTGGAGAGCAGTCATTAAACAAAATAAACAGAACATGAAGAAATGCAATGATAGATTAATTAATTGTATTCAATATCCAGCTGAAGCAATTACTTATACCATGTTGTATACAAAATGCATAAGCCGGGGTCATCCACGTCCTTCTCCTTGGAAGGATTGAAGGATCGCTGGGATCCGAAATGGCCCCCATCTGCATCCACAGGGACTCTGCATGCTGGATTAGCAATAGACGAGTCTAGAATGTTTCTGGAAGACTTGAGGCTGTCAAATCAGTAGTTTATTTGTGAGGAATTCATATCCAGAGTGTCGTGGTGGGGGTTTATTGGTGTGCCTGGGGCTTATCTCCATCCTAGCAAAATGTGGGATTCAGTTGATTTATAATCGAATACTATATGCAATCTATTATCTAGAAGAAATAAACAAACATTATTAGGTAGAATAACTGATTATACTATCGGTCGCTTATTATGAGTTGGATAGATAGTATTTTGTATCATTCCGAGATTTATCTGAGATATTAATGAGAAGATAGATAAAGCCATTAAATACTGGTTTATCATTACATTCTATACACTGTACAATATAATATTAACGCATAGAGTACTGATAATGGAATATTGTCAATAATTGCATTAGAAAACGGCATATTCAATCTATATATAACATAACAACCAACAAACTCCATAGCAATCTGCATAACCAACCAATACATCATATCATCTATCCACATCGCTCCAGACTGTTCAGCATCAAATCCAACAACCCCTCCACCTGCGCATTCGGCCGTTTACTCTCCGCCAGCAATTCTCGCGCCTTTCGATCCAGCCCATACAGAACTTGCTTCGTGTACTCCAGACTGCCCGATCTCTCCAGAATATGCACCGCCTGTTTCTTCACGGCCATGTCTTCCGTCTTCATGCGCATCATATCGATCAGGTCGTCTTTGTTGGGGTTTTCGGCCCAGATGGCGTGGCAGATGGGGAAGGAGAATTTGCCTTCGGTGAGGTCTTCGAAGAAGCCTTTTTGGGAGGCCATCTACACATCACATTAGCATGAGTATAAATGAGGATGGAGGAGAGAGACACCTTTTCCTCTCGGATATTCTTGTAATCATCCAGAATCTGAAAATACAATCCCAGCACATCAACCAACTGTCCAACCTCGACTGTGTGTTTGCTAGCAGCCTGTAGCAACCGGTTAATCAGTCTGAAAAGGCCACCTGTCTTGTTTGCAATCATCTGCAGATAGTCCTCCTCAGATGGGGGGAGGAGATTGTCTCGCCAGAATAGCTCCATGCCCTGGCCGCGGTGGAGATTGAGCATTTCGTCGTTGAAGACAGACACAGCCTGCGGCCAGTTGCGCAGACCAAAGAGTAGCTCTTGTGCTTGGAAGTAGACGTAGTTGGCTGAGTTGATCGTTTGGGCTGTGCCGTAGACTTCGTGGGCGCAGGGCATGCCGCGGCGGAGTTTGGAGCTGTCTTGGATGTCGTCGATTCTGCACTGTTAGAATATGAACAATGGAAAGAGGATGGGATAGAATACAAGAGAGATGCATTGTGAGCCATGGTGACTGCATCGGCAATGAGCTTGCTGGCCTTCTCATCAACCTGATACCACACATTAAAGGCATTCAGAAGCTGTCGTCGAATCTCCTTGCCAGGAATACCGGCAACATAGTCGTATGGTTCTCGGACAACCTATACAAGTCAGCATGACAGATCAACACTCAATTAGAACCTACAGTCTCATTCTCCTCCTTCCACTCCATCGACAGCTTCTCATCAATCGACCCAACATTATCATGAAACTCGGGCAGATGAGCATCCGATGTCGAAGTCACAGAGTGGTCGGCACTGTGGGCGCTCGACAATGAGTCGTGCGATGCATGACTGGTGTGACTGGCTTGAGAGAGATATTCCTGAAGCATATGGTGGCTCTCTGGCTTTTCGTAGAGGCCATTCGAGTAGATGAGGCTATCGTAGAAATCGATCAAGTTGGACTGCATCGTGGGCTTGAGGGGGGTTGTTGTGTCGGACATTGTGTAAAGATATTTTGATACTTATAGATGATACTGATAACTGATTAATGACTTATCGATTAGGATAAACTCGAGATAGATATGATATATATAATGATATAGATATATGTATAGATATTGATGTAGTTGTAGATGTATAGATGTTGTGACATAAGCCGGAGGGAGCGAAGGATCAACGTTCGGATCCACACCAGATGGACTCTTCATCCTCATCCACTTCCAGGAATGAGGAGATATCGTATTCTATCTGAAGTCAATGGATTATCGGCTGAGTCTGACTTTCATGTATAGATTGTCGAGGCATAAATAGAAGGAGACAGGCCACAGACAGACAGACATCAACAAACAATAAAACAAAGCAACAAAAGAACAAAAGGACAAAACCACAAAAATCAATCAAACAGAAAACACAATATCTTCTTTATCTAATATTATTCATAATTAATCAACATGCCCATTGCCACCGCCGCCAGCCCGACTCTGAGCGCTGCCTCTGCTGGCAGTTATCTCAGAGCCTCCCCCGCCAACGTCGGCATCAAAGCCATTGAGATTTACGTTCCCAACAGAGTGAGTCATATCCACTTCTACTTAATAATATTCTAACAGCATAGTGTGTCGATCAATCCGACCTTGAGGCCCATGATGGTGCTGCACCGGGTAAATATGTCATTGGCCTGGGACAGAAGCGCATGGGTTTCTGCGACGACAGAGAGGGTGAGCTCAAGTCTTCCTGTTTCAGAACACCAGACTAACAACACAGACATCTACTCCATCACTCTGACTGCCGTATCATCTCTTCTCAAGAAATACAACATCCACCCCAACAGCATCGGTCGCCTCGAAGTCGGCACAGAAACCCTCATCGACAAGTCCAAGTCCGTCAAGAGTGTGCTCATGCAGCTCTTCTCCGAGCACAACACCAATATCGAAGGCATCGACACCATCAACGCCTGCTACGGTGGAACTAATGCACTGTTCAACGCTGCCAACTGGGTCGAGTCGTCTTCGTGGGACGGTCGCGATGCTATCGTTGTCGCAGGAGACATCGCCATCTACGGCCGTGGAGCTGCGAGACCAACTGGTGGTGCTGGCGCTGTCGCGATGCTGGTCGGGCCTAATGCACCTCTTGCTCTGCAGCCCGTTCGGGGCAGCTTCATGAAGCATGTGTATGACTTTTACAAGCCGAACCTGCAGAGTGAGTATCCCATTGTGCAGGGACACTATTCTCTCGAGTGCTACACCCGGGCTATCGATGCGTGCTACAAGGCGTACAAGGAGCGGGAGCAGGCATTTTCCACTCTGGAGGATGCTGAAGAAAAGGAAAAGACCATCGAGGATCGCTTCGACTTCATGTGCTTTCACTCGCCCACAGCCAAACTGGTCTCCAAGTCCTTTGCACGACTCGCATACAACGACTTCAAAGCCCAGCCAGACGCACCACAGTTCGCCAACATCGACCCTGCCCTGAAGGATATGGCCTACGATGCCTCTCTCACCGATCGCACCGTTGAAAAAGCCTTCATGTCGTACACCACCAAGACCTTCCAGCAGCGCGTGGCTCCTGCGATGATGGGCCCGACTCAGTGCGGCAACATGTACACTGCCAGTCTGTACTCTGGCCTGGCCAGTCTTCTCAGCAATGTCAACTCGAAGGATCTGATGGGCAAGAATGTCGGCATGTTCAGCTATGGATCGGGTCTTGCCAGTACGCTGTTCTCGCTGCAGGTGGTGGGCGATACCACCCAGATGCAGTCTGCGTTGAACTTTAACGAGCGCCTGGACAAGCGGATTGTTGCATCGCCGACTGAGTATGAAAAGGTGAGTTATCTTCTTCTATATAATTGACTTGATGCTAATGGATGCAGGCCATGTGGTTGCGAGAGAAGATCCACCTGCAGAACAATTACACTCTGTACGGCGACATTTCCCACCTCCTGCCGGGCACATACTATCTCACCAAGATCGACCAGGACTACCAGCGCCACTATGAGATTGCCTGATGTATATAAAAATGCATATACACATACTATGATAGACATGTAATAGATTTCCTTGATGATTCCTACAACTGCTCCGGAACAGGCGATAGTAAATCCTCTCCCAACACAGCCCTTCTCGCGTTCTCCATTGCCCATTCCTCCATCTTCCGCAATGTCTCCACCGTATGAGTCCCAAGATGAGGAACCATCAGGGCACGATTATTCTCCAGCAGCTTCTCGTTCACCACCGGCTCCTTCTCATACACATCCAAGCCCACTGCGGCAATCTTACCCGAATCCAACCCCTCCGCCATAGCGGCTTCATCAATAACTGCTCCCCGGGCGGTATTCACAATCACAACACCATCCTTCATCTGAGCTATCTCCTTCTTCCCAATAAGACCTCTCGTATGCTCATTCAGCGGCACATGAACACTGATAATATCACTCTCCGCCAGCAACCTCTCAAACGAGACATACTCAGCCCCCACGGCGTCGTCCTCAGACAAGGGCCTGCGGTTATGATATCTCGCCACAACACCAAACCCCTCTGCCCTTTTCACAACCGCTCTTCCAATCCTCCCCATTCCCAAAATCCCCAACACCTTTCCCTGCGGATCATGGCCGAAGGAAAGACCTTTCTTGAAGTTTCCTTGACGGAGCGACCCAAGCGATGGATTCAGCTGGCGAAGCGCACCTAGCATTAACCAAATCGCCAAATCGGCCGTCGCGTCTGTGACTGGGTCCGGGGCGTATGTGACTGTGATACCCCGTGCGGTACATGCGTCGACGTCGATCTGGTCGTATCCGGCTCCGTTATGGCAGATAAATTTGCAGGTGGGCGGGAGGTGGTTTATAAAGTCTGCGTCAAAGGGGCCTGCTACCTGTTTCCGTTAGAAAGAGGATGCTGTATTGTCTCTGTGGGTGTCATACTGCGCCGCTCGCTGAGGTCCTGTATATGATGGATACAATGTGGTATTTTCCTTGGAGGTCGGCGTAGAATTCATCTCTGGATGTGCTGGTGACGACTTCTGTTTGGGCTATTTTCTGGAGTTGTTCGTAGGTGGATGTAGCATGTCGGACTGGATTGAAGAAGAGGATAAGTGGTGACATTTTGTTTATTTATTTATGATATCGAGATTATTTAATTGTGGTGGTTGAATATATCAATGAGCTTTATAGTATGTGATGTCGGGTCATTGTTCAGCCTATACTATCTATCCTCTATTACTTTAGCCTGAACAAACTCCCAACATCCATCATAAATAAACTTTTCTTCCAGTAAAGAATAAAACAATCTCCAGTATAATTTACAGTATCATTTACAGTATCATTTATATATATCAGCATGAAACTCTCTCTCATCGGCGCAGCAGGCCAAATCGGCACTCCGCTCAGTCTCCTCTGCAAATCCGTAATTCCACCACCACTATATCCGATCATCACTAACATTCTTTAGAGTGGCCTTTTTGATGACATCGCTCTGTACGATTTGGTTCATGTCCCTGGTATCGCGACTGATTTGAATCATATCGATACCAAGGGAAAGGTGTTTGGATATCTTCCTGATGACGAGGGATTGAAGAAGGCGCTAGATGGTGCGGATATTGTTGTCGTGACCGCGGGGATTGCGAGGAAGCCGGGGATGACGAGAGATGGTAAGCCGATCTATACTATCAAGTCAACTTATGCTGATATGCCTAGACTTGTTCAAGGTAGGCGATTCCATGCTCTAAAACAGCAGTCACTAATCTCTCAGACCAACGCCAGCATCATCCGGGATATATTCACACAGGCCGCTCATTCCTGTCCCAAAGCCACTTTCTGCGTGGTTACAAACCCAGTCAACTCGACTGTCCCTGTCGCAGCCCAGGCCCTTCGCAAAGCTGGGGCTTTTGACCCTAAACGCCTCTTTGGGGTGACTACACTCGATGTAGTTCGTGCGTCAACCTTTGCGTCCGATGCTCTTGGTGGCGACGACCACGGCACTATCAAAGTGCCAGTCATCGGTGGCCACAGTGGTGCCACCATCCTCCCTCTATACAGCCAGGCTCAGCCACCGGTCAATCTAACCAGCGAACAACTCGCCACAGTTATCCATCGTGAGTCAATGACACTCTCCATGCATGATCATATCTAACACACGCCAGGCGTCCAATTTGGCGGCGACGAAATCGTCAAAAGCAAACAGGGCGCAGGCAGTGCCACGACATGCATGGCATACGCCAGTTTCCGATTCATCAAAGGCATTGTGACGGCCAAGTCAGGAACGCCTGTTATTGAGGAAGCATATGTCTATCTCCCTGGTATTTCAGGAGGAAAGGACATTGCAGATGAAATGGGGGTGGATTACTTTGCAGTCAAGGTTGAGCTTGGCGAGAGCGGTGCTGTTGGTGCTGTTCCGGTTGGGGAGATCTCAGACGAGGAGAAGAAGCTGCTGGAGATTGTTATTCGGGACTTGAAGGGGAATATTGAGACGGGGGAGTTGTTTGTGTAGAGAGAGTCGTGATGTCAATGAGAACTGCCATCTCAGGGCTGGCCAGAAAGCACTGACATATCTGACTTTAGTAGAGTAGAAGTGAATTCAGGCAGATAGATGGTGGGGAGGCTATGCCGGCCCAAAGGCAAGCCACTGACAGGCAGAAAGAGTCGAGATTGCCGAGTTTATGGCGCCACCCAGCAGGCCAGACGTGGAGGTCGGAATAGATAGAATAGGAAGAGGCAAATACAGATAAGATGAACTGTAATTCATCTTGTCAGAGTATCATCCTAGAATGCCCAAGCAGTCATTGTGCATCCTGTAGCCGACCCGGAGAAGACTCCCGACGCTGTGATTGGACGGCAAGAATCCCCGATATTTTCCCGAACCCAGTCGTTCAAGTGGGGATGGAACAAGTTGATTTGCTGAAAAAAAATTGGATTTAGTTTGGTGGAAAGTTTAACAGAGATTAATCCTCGCTGTCATGTCGGCTCCCATGGCTGTCTGTGTTGGGCTGATGAGGGGAGACAGACTTACTCGATTGGGGTTGCGGTCAACATCAACATCTCCATTCCTCTCCATTCCCCACGGGGATTCGACAATCTGGAGAAGCTGGAGATCAACTTCTTTGTCCTGACACTCCAATCGACAGTCTACAGAACGAGATGGAATATCCCGCATTCCCACTCATGATGACATCCAAGAAGCCAATGCGTCTCGGCTTGCCCCTCTTTCCAGCAGGACTACTCCATCCCGGACATTGTCTCCATAATCCATGGGTCAAATACAGCCTGTGCTCCTTGACACTTATTACCTATTATCAGAGCAGGAATAACCCAAGGTATTGGCAATCTAGGCACTTCCACATTGTACTAATCATAAAATACGTTTTGCTTCGTTCGGTTGGCCGATTCCGGCTTCTCTGCCTGTGCCACCCCGTTTTCGGCTTTCGACTCGACCTTTTTCCCTCTTCGGCTTCATTCAACAGCATTCCCTCACCACCGCCACCACTATTCTCATCAGCATCATCTGACAATATGATTGTAATTAATCACTGATAATTCCTTCATCTCGCCGGAACCAGTCCTCCTGCAGCCTTGGCCTGTAGAGACTGGCGAACCCTGAGACGGACGATCCCGACCGAAACGAGTCTCGTCCCTGAGCGAGACCCTGTTCCTCCGCCGTATCAAACCACCGTCCTCGTTTTCCAGAACCTTTCGGTGATCGACCGTGGTTACACCTCAATCCGGCCATCCTCCGGCCTTTTTTGCCTCCCCATCCTCGTCTCTGACTGGCTGGATCTCGGAAACCCTCGTGAGATGCACTCCACCCCTTGCCGTCAAAACGCTACCATCTCCAGACTGGCGGTCCGTGGAGTCGCCCTCGAGTCTTCTGGGCAGACTGAGATCCCGTCCCCTCAAGACGGGGTTCAGGCCTAACCCCGTACGGTAATATCGTGGATTCATGCTCATTTCGGCCTACTTCATCGGCCGCCATGCTCATTTCGGCTGCCTCGTCGGCCACCATGCAGCCCATGGCGTCCTTTTCCCCGTGTTCTCCGCATCGTGGCATCCCGTCCGCAAAACTACAAAAGCTGCTCGATGCCCCCGGGTTGCTAGTTCAGTTTTTGTCTGTGTGCGGTTTCTTCTGGCATTCATTGTCTGTCCTTGTCTTTCACTTCGACCCTCTGCAGGCTGTGCCAAGGATTCCCATACTATCGCACAAGAAATTTTCACCCCCTTTCTTTTTCTGTTCTTGATACCCTCTAATACCCTCCACCATGGGTTTCGCGTTGAAGAAACCAGCTGATGCCGTTGGGTCGGCGGCCCCAGCCATCATCATCGGTCTGTTCGTTGCGTTTGGTGGTGTGCTCTTCGGGTATGTTGCCTGGTCCTTATCAAGATATCACACATACTAACACCATTGCTTCAGCTATGATACCGGAACCATCAACGGAATCCTTGCCATGAAATACTGGCGAAAGCTCTTCTCCACCGGATACATCAACCCCGCAGACAACTTTCCTGATGTGACCTCTACCCAGTCTTCCATGATTGTGTCTCTGCTGTCTGCTGGTACATTCTTCGGGGCTCTGGGTGCTGCACCCGTCGCAGATTACTTTGGACGTCGCATTGGTATGATCATTGATTCGGCTGTCTTTTGCTTTGGTGTTATCTTGCAAACTGTGGCTACCTCGATCCCGCTGTTTGTTGCTGGCCGATTCTTTGCTGGATTCGGCGTCGGTTTGCTCTCTGCAACAGGTATGCTCCTATCATCTCGAAAATATATGTCCTATACTAACATGACCAGTCCCCCTCTACCAGTCCGAAACCTCTCCCAAGTGGATTCGTGGTACCATTGTTGGTGCCTATCAGCTGGCCATCACCATTGGCTTGCTGGTGGCTGCCATCGTCAACAACGCAACCAAGGACCGTGATGACACTGGCTCCTACCGGATTCCTGTCGCTGTCCAGTTCGTGTGGGCTATCATTCTCGTCGCTGGCATGCTGGTGCTTCCCGAAACCCCCCGGTTTTTGATCAAGCAAGACAAGCACGAAGCCGCTGCGAAATCCCTCGCACGTCTCCGTCGCATCGACGTCGGTGATCAGGCTATTGTCGAGGAACTCGCAGAGATCCAGGCCAACCACGACTATGAGATGAGCGTCGGCAAAGCAACCTACCTCGAGATCCTCCGCGGATCCATTGGTCGCCGACTGGCAACCGGTTGCGGTGTTCAAGCCCTTCAGCAGCTTGCTGGTGTCAACTTTATCTGTATGTCACTCTCACCCCTATCCCTCTTACCATTCACTAACCCAACCAGTCTACTATGGCACCACCTTCTTCGAACACTCCGGCATCAAGAACGGTTTCATCATTACCCTCATCACAAACATTGTCAACGTGGTCTCCACCTTCCCCGGTCTCTACATGGTCGAGAAGTGGGGTCGTCGTCCTCTCCTCATGTTCGGTGCCGTCGGCATGTGCGTCAGCCAACTCATCGTCGCCATCGTCGGCACCGCCGCCTCCTCCGACGTCGCTAACAAAGTCCTCATCGCCTTCGTCTGCATCTATATCTTCTTCTTCGCCAGTTCGTGGGGCCCAGTTGCCTGGGTTGTGACTGGCGAGCTTTACCCTCTCAAGGCTCGTGCCAAATGTTTGTCCATCACCACCGCTACCAACTGGTTGCTCAACTGGGCGATCGCCTATGCGACACCATACATGGTGAACGCGGGACCAGGCAATGCCAATCTCCAGTCCAAGGTCTTCTTCATCTGGGGCGGTTTCTGCTTCCTCGCCGCTGTGTTCGTGTACACCTGCATCTACGAGACCAAGGGCCTTAGTTTGGAGGAGGTTGACGAATTGTACCACAAGGTCCCTGTGGCTTGGAAGTCAAAGGGCTTTGTGCCATCGTCCAACTACGCGGATATGATGGATGGTACTGAGAAGGAACGTATTGACCACGTTGAGAAGGCATAGTTGGTTGCGGATGTTTTTGTTTTTCTTTTCATGTTTGGAAATATTTGAATTGGGGCGGGGATAGGCCTATATAAGACTCGCTGGACAGATTATATTTATATGGCTGAATGATATCATGACATATGCTTATTCGATCTAATAATAGCCGTAGCCTTGTTGCCTAACACTGCCACATTGAAAATACCCACGGCAGGGAGATACTTCGTGCTCTATATTTCCCACTCATATTGGGTTTTCTTCAATCAAATCATACAATAATCATTATTGATATAATCACTACTATTAATTCCTCCAAAAACAATTCAACAAGCATTGTGAAAAATATACCACATACCCAAAACCAGGACCATGTCCTACCCGCAGACCCCAGAGGAAATACGCATATATGAAGCCATGAATCGCGAAATTGAAGCTTGTTCAGCAGAAGCATTTATCAACTCAGGAATTCCTGAGCTATCGCCCGAGCAGCAGGCTGAATTGGATGAACGGCTCCGTTCCATACAGAGACGTCAGCGGAGTCTTATGTGTCTCTCTCTACTGAAGAATATAACGAAAAAGCCTTTTTTGTGGATTATGATATTTGGTTTTTCGCTTTTCTTATACTGGCATCGGTATTTCTTTGCTTGAGCTTTGCATGGTGTACCTTGGTTTTATATATCAGGCAGCACTGCTCTACAAGGCTGCGACAATGTCTTTCATTTATATTGATGTGCCGTTCAATATCTCCTACTACATTAATAATTAATACACTTAATATTGATACCAACATCCATTCAATGGTCATCGACAAAATATATAATAACGAACACCCTGTCCAAACCTCAGACCTCAGAGGAACTATGCAATCAAGTTGAAGCCATGCGCAGCAACATTCACGCTGTTGCAAAAAAGAAATTGCCTACTTATTTATAATTCCCGAGCAACCACAAGAGGGGGGGGCTGAAATTATCAGAGGGCTGTGTCGCTCCTCAATGCAGCGTAGTCTTTCTGGCGGATTGGGAATGAGAATGTCTTATAGCCTCGTGGCTTGGATATAAGGCAGAAATATTCTACGAATCAAATTGAATTAAAGCATTTGTAGTTGGCGCAGCATATAAGACATCAGATTCCTAATTCTATTTATCACTTATATTGATATTTGTTTGAATTTATCCAATTATAAATTAAGTATTGCCCCTTCAATCCTTTCAATGGTTATTGTCAAAATACATCCCTTACCCGCATATACTAACGACATGTCCGACCCTCAGACTCCAGAGGATGTGCGTGAAGAAATGAATAACAGACTGCTTGAAGCTCTTTCATATGGAAAACTCTGCACACTTGGCAGCTACCATCCCGAGGTCTCGCTGGAGGAGGCGGGAATGAATGAATCTTTGATCTTCAGTCGCCGTCGGGATAGGATTTATGACTGGATGCGAACGAGAAAGTCTTCCTTTTGGGTCTTACTTTTGGTTTCTATCTTTCTTGTCTGGTCTTTTTGGTCATTTTCGTCTTGATCCATGGATGTGACTGTGTGCCTTGTTGCCTTATATATCAGGCAGAAATGCTCCACCAATCATGTTGGAGTTGATGATTTTCACGTGAAAACACCTCCTGGTGTCCGAAAATAGAAAAATGCCGGGGAAAAGAAACAAGAAACAGCGACGAAGACAACACCTTGTGTCACTCTTTTCATCTCTCGCTGTCGCGGTCTTTGCTGTACACTATTTGCTGCTTTTTGCGATACTTCTACGCTCATTCTCATCTTGAGTCATTCCTTCAAACCGTTCGCGAACCATGAGACAGGGTTGATTCCCTCGGCATTTTTGCATCCCCTTAATCCACCATGTTGATAACCTCCACCCGCCACGAACAGTCCCTCCCACTCGACATCCCACGCACCGACGACCGACTCTCGCTATGTAACGACGCGAAACAGAAGGATCCCTTCAGCCCCCAAAACGCCGACTCCCCCGATCTCATCGTGACCGCGAAAGGCGGGACGCAACTCGACCCCCATCGCGACGTGGAATTACAAAACCTGGACAAAACATGCGGTGAGGTTGAAAAGGATCATGCGTCAACGCCGGCTGATGGACTGCTTGGGGATAAAGAGAGAGAGAAATGGGCCGAGTTTTCGACGACGCACCCGCTGTTCCCACCCCTTCCGTCGTACGGGCCGCCGTCGCCGCTTTTCAGTCTGCAGTGTTTGGTGATTCGGTCGGTTTCGTTTGTGTTGTCGCTGGCGTTTTTGGGTGCGGTTGTTTTGGGAGCTATTATTGGGAGTGTGAGGACTTGGTTGGTAAATGCTTTGGGTGGTCGTGCGAATACGGAGAGGAAATTCGATGCGGAGGAGCGAGCACGTGCAGCGGAGAGAAGAAAAGAAGCAGGGAAATGGAAGCGTCGACAAGGGAAGAAGCATGTTGATGATGAAGAAGCCCCCGATGAGTGTCCCCCGTTGGAAGGCGGGAAGGACCCGATTGTGTGCGACGTTGGCTACTACGCAAGGCGAGTCGGGCTGGACGTGGAGACGGTGAAGGTGCAGACGGAAGATGGGTTTGTGATTACTTTGTGGCACGTTTATAACCCGCAGGAGTACACGCCTTTGACTGTTGAAGAGAGACGCCATCGCGGACCGCATGTGTTTTCCGGTCAAGGGAGAGGGAAGTCGTTTCCATCTTCCAATCGTCGATACCCGGTTCTTCTTGTTCATGGGCTGTTGCAGAGCGCTGGCGCTTACTGCACCAACGACGATGACAGTTTTGCTTTCTATCTTTGCAAGTCTGGGTATGATGTGTGGCTGGGGAACAACCGCTGCGGGCTGCACCCAGAGCACACCACGCTGTCGACGTCTGACCCGCGCATGTGGTCGTGGGATATCCGACACCTGGGCGTGCTGGATCTGACGGCTCTCGTGTCCCGCGTGCTGTATGAAACCGGCTTCGAGAAGCTGGGTCTGGTGTGTCATTCGCAAGGTACCACAGAAACCTTGGTGGCACTCTCTAAAGACCAGCGACCGGAGCTTGGAGAACGAATCTCGGTCTTTTGTGCACTTGCCCCTGCCGCGTACGCCGGCCCACTAGTGGAGAGGAGTTACTTCCGCTTTATGAGCAAGATTCCATCCTCTGCGTTCCGCGCAGTGTTTGGTATCCACGCCTTCATCCCTTTCATGATGACCATGCACAAGGCCCTGCATCCCCGCATCTACGGCACATTGGGGTACTACGTGTTTTCATATCTGTTTCGCTGGAGCGACACCCGCTGGGATCGGGGCCTCCGCGACCGAATGTTCCAGTTTGCCCCGGTGTATGTGAGCAGCGAGATGATGCGGTGGTGGCTGGGGCGCGGGTGCTTTGCTACCCAGAAATGCATCCTCGCCACCCAAGAGACGACTCTTCGCGAGGCAGAGGAAGATCGCCGTCTGGAAAACGAGGTGGGCAGTGTCAGCGCACGAGACGAAGAGTCTGCCTGGTATGGGCCGCAAGTTCCGCCATTTGCCCTGTGGATCGCCGGGTCAGATGAGCTGGTCGATGGACGGCAGCTGCTCCGGCGATTGGAGAATGGGCGCGAGCCTCATGTGCAGGTGGTACATGCAAAGGTTATTGAGGAGTACGAGCACCTGGACGTCCTTTGGGCGATGGACGCGATAGACCAAGTGGGGAAGGAAGTGAGGCAGGTACTGTGGCGGACAATGCCGGACGACGCAAAAGCCGTATGCCGAGTGCCTCTGGGAGTGACTGATATGAGATATGAGCTATGATTTGTTTCTGTATTATAATCCGGGCGCCTGGCCATCGTGCATGCACAGCCTTGCACGTGTACAACAGGCGGTATATAGCATTGCAGCATTAGAAGGCATTTCTGACTGCCAGGATGTTCCAGAAAAGTAAGCACCAACGGACATATTACTCAGACCGTGCTCGCCACAATTCCCGTCGATTTGACACGAAACGGACTCCGCACGCGGGGTTGATGCTCCGAGTGCAGCACAGCGGGCGGTATAAATAGAGCTGCAGCGATGAGCTGCAGTCACATGGTGATCATCACGCTGTGGTGCATATGTTCCTATCCATTCTTCAATCCTCGCATCCTGACGAATGTCGGTGTGGGTAGGCATCTTCATATCTATCACTTCTCTATAATTATCTATAATTGCCTATAATTATTCTCTCACCACGCTCAGTCCCATCGGCTGACAAGGTCCTTGCACTAGTCAGTCTTATAGTCGACCCAATCGACCAACCCAGCCCTGTAAGGCAATTTATAATCCCTGTCCGGGCATCATCTCTGACATATTTAATTTATCGTGCGGAGAATGCGTCCATGGCAGTGGGTCCAGCAAGTCTTGATTTCTCCCGTCGGGTTTGGCCGTTTGCTTGGCCGAAGCTTAGCATAAACTGATTCGATGCATTATCCCTGCCACTGTATACTTATTATACTAATTATATCCATTGTCTGGATATCTTGGTGGTGGGGCTCCCCTCATCTCACGTGTGAGATCGGAGATAGATACCAGTACGAGGGTAATCGGCATTCGGCACTGTATACTTGATTTAGGCGTGCTGCCACAGTCTACTATAATCCTACTGAAATGAGGTATATTCATGATATTTCCGGTGGAGATGTCATGCGGAGATGAAGGGATGAAGATGCAACCGGATGTCCATCCGCCCTTGTTTGCCTCGCCAGCCTGGCTTCACCCGATGAGAAAAGAAATACGCAAACGGCATGCAAATAAGAAAATAAAAATAAACTGTAAGGAAAGTAATTATTTCTTTATTTGAATAATTATTTATCCATGCCTTGCTGTTCTGCCTGGAATTCGCATATATATCAATGCGTCATCCCCCGTTTCTATCCATCAACCAGACAGCATTCTGCACTCGATCATCATGAAGCCTCAACTTCTTCAAGCTCTTTCTCTTCTTCTAATTCCCTCTGTCTATGGAGCTCCCGCATCCAGAAGCAATGAGGGAAATCCTCCCCTTCGAGGCCCTCAGAGCCTAATCGGTTACTCGGAGTCCAACACCATCACGGATAAATCCACCGACGAGGGAATTAAATATACACTCGTCCCGGGCCAGAAGGATGATGCAGATGATGGAATTTATTTTGATTTCGAGACTGCTGATAACCCTCAACTGATTCGGGGGAGTACGGGTGGGACTGATCCTGGTCCGAGTATGTCTACCTGCCCCGATGGATGGATGGATGCTGATGCAGATAGGAAATGAATATTATGATCGCATTAACAGTGACAAATTGGCCCCTCCGGGAACTGACGAGGGACAGACGATCAATGCGCAGTGGCCGATGGGGTTGAGTCACAACAGGTATGCTCTGTTCTGTATAGGATAAAGGAAATATTAACAATGATCTATAGACTTGGAAAGGATGGCTCCGGATGGGCTCGACAGGAAAACACCGTCGTGATGCCGGATGCCACTCGGATGGCTGGTGTTGATATGCGCCTGGAGGCAGGAGGCTATCGTGAACTGCACTGGCATGTTGCGGCTGAATGGTCGTTGGTGTTGAATGGATCGTGTCGGATTCAGGTATTCTTCTTCAATTTAATCGTGCATGATGATGGCTGACAGTATGGTTATAGGCTGTCAATGAGAATGGAGAGACCTTTGTGGATGATGTTTCCGAGGGCGATGTTTGGTTCTTCCCTCCGTATGTCTTCATCAACTGTTATATGCCATATACTAATTGACGTAGGGGCATTCCGCACTCCATCCAAGCACTGGATACTGGAGTAGAGTTTCTTCTCGTCTTTGACGATGGCTCTTTCTCAGAAGACAACACCTTTCTTGCTTCTGAAGTCTTTGCCCACCAACCGGTATGTCCATCCCCTATCATACAGACATAAGCTCATCGTCAACAGAAAGAAGTCCTAGCCAAAGACCTCGGCGTCCCCGTGGCAGCCTTTGACGACATTCCCGAAGACGAATTATACATCTTCCCCGGCACTCCGGCCCCCAAAGACATCCAGGAACAAAACGTCACCACCTCTTCCGGCCAGATCAAAGGCTACTCGTACCACTTCTCCGAACAGCCTGCCCATGAAGTCGCAGGAGGATCCGTCAAGATCATCGACCCGGTGTCTTTCCCTGTGGCAAACAACTTCTCTGCTGCTGTTGTTACGGTTAAGCCTGGTGGCATGCGTGAGATCCACTGGCACCCGACGAGTGATGAGTGGACGTTCTTCATCAAGGGTGCTGGACGAGCGACGCTCTTCTCGGCGCCGAGTACGGCGACGACGTTTGACTATCGTGCGGGTGATGTGGGATACTTTCCGCAGTCGAATAGTCACTATATTGAGAACACGGGCGATGGGGACCTGGTGTTTTTGGAGGTGTTGCAGGCGGATAAATTTACTGGTGAGCTTGAATATATCACTGGATATGATATACATGCTAATAGACTAGACGTCGCCCTCGGTCAATGGATCGCTTCTAACCCGCGACAGATCGTACAGGATACGTTGAACCTGAGCAACAAGACCATCTCCAGCCTCAAGACGGAGAAACAATATGTTGTGGCTGGATCGAGCCCGACTTCGATTGAGAATTGATTGATCATCCATATTCAGTCGTGAAGAGGCCATACAATCATTTTAGTAGTGATTAGCAGCAGAAGGCAATATGTAAATACTAGTGCGCAGTGAATTAGATGAGGTGAATCTACCAGCACCAGTACCTCGTAGTGTTATCGACTTAGATATACAGAGTGGAAAAACCAGCTTCTGAAATCTGTAAACCCAAATTATCCAGAAACATCTTCAACACCATCGTGCTGCTCAGAATTCTGATAGAAAAAGCTCAAACATGCCCTCGATCTTCCGTCCAGACCCGGCGGACATCCCAGGAACGGTACCTGCTTCAAAGTTTCGAGATAGACAAAGAGGATTTGACTGCTAACAATGCAACAGTACTACGATTTGCCCAGCATAAGGGCTAATATCGACGAACTTCATGCCCATTCTGACCACTCGATTGTTTCCGCTGTCTGGCTGGACATACTGCGGGAGCAACTTCCTGTCGAAGACTTCTACCACATCCGCCCAGAGGAGGACACGGAGGCTGGGTTCGCAGATCTGATTGTCCATCAGAGAACACCGCCGGTGGCAACCGGAAGGAACAGGGCATTCTTTGTTATCCCGTCGAAGGGTGCCACATACGAACGCGACCAAAGGGAGTGGCAAAAAGGCGTCGTCCAGCTTGCTGGTTATCTATCTGGGATGGTTGGAAACAGGCGGGGGGGCAGCGAGAACACCAGCCTATGGAGCGATTGCAGTTGGTCGTTATGTTCGTTTTTTGAGATGGTCGTATGAGGAGAGGACTGTTGAGCATTGGGTGCCCGGAGATTGGTCGCCAGCGTATTGTATTGGACGCGACTGGCGTGAGATTCAGCATGTCCTTGATGAGATTCTGGCGCTGCACTAGAACGTGCATAGTGTTTTGTTTCTGGTGGGAAAGAAAGACTTCATCATGACGCTTCGACTGGATTGCGTAGTATAAAAACCTGCGGAGACAATTTTCATTCTCTACCTGGCACTGCACAAGCAACATGAGGGATGCTAGATGCTCTCTATGTGGAGAGTTGATGCCTGGTGATTTAATCCCCGACATTGAATATACATCATCGCTCGAGATTTTTAAAGAAGATGAAAAATGGAAGACAGATTTTCGCAAACACAAATATGTGATTGGGGAAGCAGAAGACCTGAATCGAGTCTACTTCCAGCTCCCATGGCTCTGGGGTCGTCTATATAGGACAGGTGAGTGAGACTACACAACTGCTGCATTTATAGGCTAATTATCAGTCTACGAAATATGGGACGGCCTGAACGGAAGCTTGCACCTGTCGGGAGTCTCGCTCCAGGGTGATTGGATGTCAAGGGCACTGTATGCCCCCAGGGATCCAAGCCAACTCATCATGGGCGACCCAAAAAGAATCCCTGATGGATTGCTCCAGACGCTATCAATTGGCGAGGTAGGCCGCGATAGGCGTCCGTTATACTCCGCCCGTGGATACCCGATGCATGAGCGGTGCTGGCAACTATTCACGCGGATACTGGATGTCGACCTGATCGCAAGCCACCTCCGCCTATTTCTGGAAGTGCTCCATCGGCGCGCAGACCAGTTTATATACAATCCAGAAAATCTACACCATGAAGAGGGTGAATGGAAAAGCATGGAGCAACGATATGGTGACGCAGCTCTGGAGGACCCGCAGAGGTATATCAGGCGCTACGAGAGAAGGATGGAATGTTCTGAGTTTGTCTACTCAACCAGAGATCCATTCAATATTCCTGAACTCCGGGAATGTGCTCCAAGGCAGGAAAAGCATCAAGCCAAAGGAAAAAGTCAAAGAGCCTGTCAAGGAAAAAAAGACACCAGATAAACGCACACCACGCAGTCACCGCATGTCTCTACGGGCCTCGTCTACATCCAACGTTCGAAGCATCGTAGTACCCACGGAGATTATCCTCACGATCATGGACAGACTACCTGATATCGACGATATACTATCCTTGCTATGGGTCTTTCCACACTGGAAAGGATTGATTCCCCAGGGATACTGGCGAATCCGGTGCATCAATGAGCTTGTGCTCGATGAGGATCAAGTACCGGACAGGGATTCGTTAAACTGGGGCTATTTGTACTTTAACATTGACGACATTCTTGCCCGTTCGCACGGATGGAGGAATCGACGACGAATTATGACGATTCTGGAGGGGACAAAGGAGATGTTTTTGAAAGAGTTGGCGAAACATAGAATGGGCAAAAATGGGCATACTAGATGCTGATGCTGCTATTATCCAGGGGTTTAGATAAAGTACCGTTATAGTGAAGAGAGATACTATCATTTATCTTGCTCTGGCTACTTTGTATTAACCAGGACTCAGCCGTGGATAACTGGATTGAATCTGAAGCCTAGTATTTGATTGATCGCACTTGACCCGTCAAGCAGACCCCGATTCTCCCAGCTACCAGTCTGAGACGATCAATAGAGCTCTTTGCTAATTTCAACGCTTGTTCATCCAGGAAAAAGAGGCCAATCCGTTCCAGACGAGGCATCAACTCTCCGCGGAATTTGATTAGCTCCCCAAGGCCGGATATCAAAACTGGAACAAATTCCCACCCAATCTCTGTGATTTCGAGCGATTTGAGCGATTGGGGCAGTTGATCGATGATAGATGGTGGTTCCTGGTTATGTGCATTCTCCTGAAAATGTGAACTTGATTCTGGGAGCTTCACAAGGTTTGGATGTCGCATAGACAGATGCTCTAGGACGTGGAATGCTTTGAAGGAGCCAAATGGAAGATCGTCAGTGATTTCGGAAATATACACATCGGGAGAATCATCGCGATGATAACGATGATTATGATAGTCCGAATCGAATCCGATGCACAGTGTCTTGAGAGTTTCTTTGGATGGTAAAAGGCATTCACGAAATCGACTGGCATTGAATGTATAATCATTGGATCCATATCTCATGGCTCCTATGCCAACCTCGAAACGCTCGAGCTTGCTACATGCTGCAATCCAATCGCGCATTCCATAGCAATCGGGTGCCTGTGACAGCACAATTTCCCTGACTGGGCAGTCGGGGTTTTTGACTCCATCCAGGTCCGACTGTCTTGCATCTTCCATATTCTCGGTGCACTCGATCAGTCTCTCGCCTTGGATCCTGCGCACAGATGGGAGATGAAACAGGCCAGGTGAGAAATCCGAATATGTGCCTGCATCTCCGCTGGTGCACGTGTGGTTGCAGTCGAGTGCGACTGTTTGAAGGCGTGGGAATGGAACGGCCTGATGAAACGGTCGCTGGCGCAGTCCTGCTTTATCCAGAATTGTCGACATCAGATCTGCAGGTCCATCGTGGTCGAATGCGATGCTTTCCAAGCGGCTCAAGCGAGTGAGTAGCACCGCTAGCCAGGCCTCTTCGCAGAGATTCCGGAGATGCATCCTCCATTGGCATTGCTCGTTCTTCGTCTCGAATAGCTCTTCCAACATCTGTTCAACCAAGGGGCTACCGCGGAACTCGCCCACCTCTGGGTCAAATTCCTCTAAACACTCGCAACAATTCCAAGAGAAATGAATATGCCTGACGTGCTGCGCCAGGTCGGGACGACGGCACAGGTGCTTAATCAGAGCGATCTCTCGTTCCCCCCTAAAGAAGCCAAATCTAAAATTTCCAATCAATGAATAGAGGAGAGGTTCGAATAGAGACTGGAATCGATGGCAGCACTCAACCAACGCACGAATCGTGGGCACGTGATCGATATGTTGCCCAATACATAAGAGTAGCTCACTTGGTAAATGATTCATTGCGCTGTATGGTACACATCAGACCAGGATGTGCGATCTTTAATATTTCCAGCCATCGGATATCTTTGGTTCGTAGGCAGCAGCAGGACAGGCAGCAGAGGTCTATAGCCCGGAACGGAAATAGTGACTGCATACGCGCACCCCTTGCTGGCACAGTGTGGTATTGCTGCAGCACCAAGGAGAGACAGTTTGCAATTTGGATGGAATCCATCATAATTATCGGAAATCTGAATGATATTTAGCCAAAGCATCAGGATTTACAATGGATTTATCACTGGAGAGAATCATACAATATGACTCGAAGTTACAGGATAGTACTTGTGCCACACTCCTATACCTCTGTGGATCAGATACACCCTTCCCATTTAAGCTTAGGGGGTGGTGTTACACTTACAGATTATTCAGATAGTGGTGGCTGTACAGTGAGAGATGAGTGGAATCCTGTGTAGGAAATATCAATTATCATGATTTTATAACTTTATATACATCCAGCTCCACCGACTTCATCAGGACTTACATATAGAATCTGAAGAGTGAGGACCTGTGAAATCAACACTGACCTAGGCTGGAAAAGCCAGGATATCAGCATGCATCTTTTGAATGTGATGAGCCCCGAGTTGGCGTAGCTTTCCAATATAGCGGAAAGGCTATCTTCTAAATGGGATTTCAAACTGTCCCACGCTATTGACGCAGTCAAAAAGTCCCAAAAAGCACATGCGGAATGCAAAAGGTACTTTTGAACTTCTTCATACACTTACGTCCTTCCTTGTCCTTTCTACTCGGCTTCGCCTTGTCCCTCGACTGTTGGGCCTCGCTGAATGTCGAGTAGGCAAACCGGATCATCTCCTCGTTGCCTCTGGAGAGCAATCCTACGGCACTGATCATCTCCGAGAGAAATCTGGCCGTGTACGCGCCCCGCGAGAACCCAATAACATAGATAAAGTCCCCGGGCGTATAGTACCTCATGAGGAACTCGTATCATATGGGTGCACTAATGGAAATCACACCATGTCTGAATGACTAATAGGCTCGCTCCCAGCCGCAAATGTCTGTTGATAAAGTCACGTGACTGGAGTCTACTTTAACTGCAGCTTGCTGTCAGATAAGAGTGAGATTTCCATTCTCTTCCCCAATTAACACTATTTCCTTATCACCGCATGCGCCATGAGCGCTACAATGAGCGCTGAAGAATTCCTGGCCAATGTTGAAGGCGGCATCCTGCCAGTGAACTGCCATGAGGATGTCTTGCGGATCGCGTTTAATTATCTGTACGAGGTGCTGTGGACCGAGAATGGGGTGTTCGATGTTATAGAGAAGCTGCACGCCCATGGCTGGTCCTTTGGTGAGGGCGAGCTACGCTTCAATCGGTAAGCTACGTCCTGCCATGGTGATCCCTAATAGCACTGTATAAATAACAAATAACAGTTCCCTAGATATATTCTACCTCACCCAGCTAGCAGCAGCCATCTACCGCTCTTCCTCCCAACTAGAAGGCAACTTCCCCTCCTTCTCTGATTTCCCTACCTTCTATAAAGCCCATCACGCCCTCCTACACTCCTCTGTCTGGCGCTCCTACTACTCTACCGCCTTTCTCACCCAGCATACCACAGCATGCTTCTACCGCCTGCCTGACCTCCAGGACCTCCCTGATTCCTCCTCCCCACTAGGCCTGCCACACCACAGTCCAGTACCCACACATATCCTGAAACTCCCCCGCTGGGCCTATACTGTTTGGAAAACATACCGCAGGCAGCCTTTTCTACCTTCTGCAACTCTTACTGTAGTAGCCCTTAGCACACTAGAGGCAACCATGACACGCCTACACACAGCTTACCCTAGCATACCACCCTATTCAGAATCACATGCGCGCTTTTGGCTTGATAAATTTACTCCTGATCCATCTCGCCTGGCAACAGCAAATCTCCAGGAAGCATGGGGGCCTAATAGCTTTGGGATATTAGTCGCGCAGGGATGGTATGATATACATAGCTTAGAAGCAGAGTACCTTGCACAGGTATCAGGGAGGGAGGTTGTTAAGGGAGCTGATGAGTCTGAGCAGGTGATGTGGTGCGGGTTGCCAGATGGAGGGATTGGACTGTATGCGTGGTGCAGGGGCTGGGAGGAAGAGGTTGGGAGTGAGGAGGAGGTAGAGTTCCTAGCTGCTATTGCAGTGGAGGAGACAGTTGGACTAGGACTGGAAGGAATTCACATGGATAAGTTAGACTTATCAATCCAGTCACATATACTACTAGCAGTCATGGAGGCTGCATTGAAGGACACGCAGGAGAGGGAGCAGTTCCTGGGGGAGCTGGAGAGTCAGATGGTGCAGAAGGGGATTATTGACCAGGAGAGGGCAGAGAGATGGGTCAGGGAGGCCTTAGGTATCATGGAGCCGTATGTACGCGTATGGCAGGGCGTGTGGCCTGGTGCAGAGGAGAGAGGGAAGATGCTGCGGCAGATCTTGATGGAGAATGCGCAGCTCTTTGCACGCTGGAGAGTGTCACCTCTTTTGAAGCAGTTCACCTTTGAGCTGGGGCCGAGGAGTAAGGAATTTAGACGATACTGATTCTATTCAAATCTACAATATAGCTCTGTGCTCTATGGCGTATTCTCTATCTATTAGATACCAATTTAACTAAGAAGCATTGATGGTTGGTTAGTCGTATATAAACTAGAACAGAGTCATGACCCAAGCTAGCATTCCAATTTCATACCCATTCACTAGGTAGCTGCAACGAGAATAGCCACGGAGCATTTGAGCTCCCATGAGAACTTGCGTTCTCCACCTTCGCGCCGGAGCAGCACCCAGACCAATGTCCATTTCAGGAATTTTTCATTGGTTTGTAAATCTTACCCAGCAAGACTTTTTCCTGGCTCTACTTAAGTGCGGAATTCTCTAAGCAGCTAATGGCAGCTATATGACCCATGTGAAAATCCTTAGAATGTGTTCCCTCATGCTTTACTTAATCTATTATTAGATAAGAACTTTATTCTAGTAAGTGTCACACCCTGGGATCTCGCAATGGTACCCAACCTGTAACCTGTGACCCTAATCTAAGGATGTCAACAGTAACTGGGGTGCTCCTATAAGCTGAGAGTGCTTGAGAACGCGGTAGGATAGCTAAGGAGAGAAGTAAGGCTAAGAAGTGTATACACTTCTTGATTAAGCAAGAGATGTGTGAACAAGCGGGTAGAATGATTAGATAAGTAATTAAAAGGTGACTGTGGAATTGTAGACTGTATTAATCATGAAGAACTATCTAAGTGTCCTTATATATCCTTTACTGAGTATACTATCCTGTATACTATTTATGGTATTCTGTTAGGTACCTATATACCATATTATATACCATCCATGGTATGTCAAATGGTATTCTTATTACGTGATGTGGGTGGTTACTAGATAGTGGTTATAAAGAGTATCTTATAAGTAATTTATAATTCTCTATAATAAAAATATCCATTTCCCTGACGGCCTGAACGTACCAGTCCCGCCCCAGCAACTGTACCCTGAGCTCCTCTGAAAACTCCTCCCAGGTTAGGAGAAAAGTGCGATTGAGGCACGGTGCCAGACGGGGACGGATACTGCTTGGTCTCCGTTCTCCGTCACGCCCACCTGCGCAGTCGGCACCCCCCGGGATGGCAAGTGTGTGGTGGACACTCTGGTCTGCGATGACAACACCAGACCCGAGAATGGACTCTGTGTCAGCGAGGTGAAGCCGCGGTGTCCAGACCCGGAAACCTACACGCTCATCAACGGCAAGTGCGAATACAAGGTGCAGCCGTGCGACTCGGGATTCATCCCCAAGGACGGCAAGTGCGTTTCCCTTGTCGAACCGGATTGTGGCTCCAAGGGCAAGTTCAACGGAACGGCGTGTGTGGGTGAGGAGCCCGCCTGCCCGGATGGCACGACGTATGAGCCCCCCGACGGTGTGTCCAAAAAGGACGTGCCCAGGTGTCCGGATGGATCGCCGCCCAAGGACATGAAGTGTGTCGTCAAGACGGATCCAGATTGCCCGGATGGATTCTCCAAGGATCCAACCACCAAGGAGTGTTTCTCCTCCAAGCCTCCTGCTTGCCCCGAGCACCAGGTCTTCAAGGACGGCCACTGTGTTCTGGAAGATGGCACCTGCATGGACTTTGAGTTCGAATACTGTCCGAATGTGCCTTCTTTGGTGGCCGGGTAAGAGGGCTGTATGTCCTAGCCATGTCGGTATTAATGGAAGTCCTGTGCTGTGATTTTGAGAGTCATGTCAGTCTAGAGCAATTTCAAAACTAATTGGCAAGAAAGTAACAAGATCTGGTAAATGGCATTGAACTATTATAATATATACATTTCACTCTTTCGATATAAATCTTATACAACACTCCCGAACAATCATGGATGTAGTTCATAGCGCGGAGAGACTGATGACGACTGTATGTCATGAGGCTGCCGGGCATCCAGATTCTCCAATTCCGTCGGGATGTGGTGTGGAATACGGTCTTGAGAAACCAGAGTGCCACCAGGGCCCATCGAGCCAGGGTCTTTTTCAGGAACCAACGTAGGTTGGCCCTGTTGGCCGCGTCTGCGACGGAGGATCATTACCCAAGCAAACGCACCGATCAGAATCACTCCGGCGACAGCAACACCAACTCCGATTCCTGCCTTCGCACCGGATGAGAGGCCGCTGCTGGGTTTGGACGCTTCGCTCTCGTCGGCTGCAAGCCCGTTCCAATGTCCGTCCCAGGTACCTTCGAACGTATAGCCCGACTTTCCAATATACTGATCTTCCACATTGATGTTTTCGGGAGATGGAATTGAATAGCTGGGACCTGGGGCTTGGGCGAGGAACCAGTATCCCTCATTGTTTCCCTTGACATAGTTCGCGCCGAGGAAGGCAGCCTGGAGGAAGGCTCGCCCGAGAATGTATGTGTTGTCGTCGGATGCGAAACATGGGAAGTAGCTGGTGTTCTGTGCGACAAGGGGCTCTTGTAGAGTGAGATCAAGCAGTTTGAATGGGACTTTGATGGTGGTGTTGTAGCTGCCGCTGTTGTTTGCATAGAAGGAAAACGACAGATAGGCTGCGGACGAAGTGATGTCCTTATACTGGCTGTCGGATTCATTCCAGAAATACAAGCCCAGACTTTCGTTATACGTGACGGGCAGCCAGGTGGCAATGGAGTCGCAGGTCGACTTGGGAAGGTAAAGATAGGGCCGTGTAGGGTCGACTTGAACGTGCGCAGGTGAGGGGAGCATATTGTCTTTGCGGGTGAAATTCCATGGCGATCCTCCAGTCGCGACGCCCAATCCAATATCCTTCATCTGGATCTCGAACTCTCCGTTGGGCAAAGCGACCTTTTGACTACTCACATCGCCGACTACGCGGTTCTGGTCGTATCCCCCCAGTACGAGGGAGCCGGGAATATTCTCCTTCACCGATCCGATATGCATGCCAAATGAATATGAAGGGATCTTGTTCGCGCCGCCATCAGTGTAGAGGTATGAAGCAATCATGTTCATCTCCTCCCCAGAGCTGATGTCGGGGATGTGCTTCAGCTTTGGTGCCCCCAACGCCAACGTTCCCACCTCCACTGGATATGCCTTTCCGTTCGGGTATGTCTGGTAGGTATCATAGGTGGCAGTCATACTGACGTTCGGAACGATCGGGCCGAATTTCATATAATCACCAAGAACGCCTTGTTTGCTTTCTCCCGCCACGTTCCAGTTGACGGCGGTCCAGTCACTTTCGCCCTCGAGGTAATTGGTATTGGTATTGGATGCGCTGACGTTGAATGCGCCCGCGCGTTGGGCATAGCAGGTCTTTGATGTAGTTGTGTTCGAACAAACATTGCTGAGGAGGATATTGCTTGCCCAGGACGCACCGGGATACAGGTCGACATCCTGTTCCTGGCTGCCCAGCTGCATCTGGACTGCTTGCCATGGGCCATCGGGGCCGTATGTCTTCGAGGACCAGTCCACATTCTGTGTGCCGGCTGCCCGAGCGCCGGCCGCGAGGGCCAGAACTCCATATAATAGTAAGTGAAGTGGTGTACTGGCCATTATGTTAACGATAATGTGGCAACATCTGCAACAATCTTCACGGCAGGAAGAAAGCAGCACCGTGGGAAAATAAGAAAAAGGAGAGGCAGACTTGAGGGAAATGAATGAGGCTGTGGGCTGTGGCCGCTGACAGAGTGATCGGGCTAATTCACTTGGGGCTCAGTGACAGGGCCTTTGTCAACAGAAGCTAAATAATGAGAAGGAGTGATGGGCTGGCACAGCTGGATGGATTGGGCAGTGATGTACATCCAAAGCGGCAAATGGGTGGCTGCGATTGGCCAGGGGTCCATATTCCGGTCTGGTCCGACGGCCAGATTGAGTGAGCTTGGTAATTTCTAGATAAGATCGCCATTGCTGTCTCCACTGTTGTTTATCGTGGTCAATGGGATGGTTCATGGTCATGGCTAAACGAGATGGGTTGCATCACGTACCAGATACTGTTCTACTACAGTCTAGGATACTCCATAGTTTCAATAGCTAACTCATCTAACGAAATATAAGCAATATAGGTTTTTATAAATGTACAGCACCCTCAAGCTGAACACATCTTAAATGACGCTAAAAATGACCCTGGTGGGGGCCAAAGCACTGACCGTCAGATTATGAACTGCTCTCAGATTGAGCTCTAAAGGCTTAGAGCCTAATGCCTCGAACAGGATGGATATGAGGCTATGGCGTTTTATGGTTCTAAGCTTCTCAAGGCTGATTTCACATGAGGCCATAAATCCAATTGCAAGTGTCCCACTCTCATTTGCGAAAATTCTGTTGGTCTGGGCCATTGACCAACTGTTTTGATCATGACTTGCAGTCGCGATTTAAGCATGCAGATGTATCAAATATCCAATACAATATCAGCTATACTTTCTCATTTTTGGTTGGGATGTGAATAAAATAATGTAAAATGCATTGATTCTTGAATTGTGATGGTTTTGAACTGAGATAACTGTTCGGCTGTGGCCTCCGCCAAGGGTGGGGCAGTGATGGCTTAACCAAAATGAACGCCCCAACGAGAAAATGCATCATCTCTTATTTTTAACCACCATCACTACCTAGATAGGCAATCTTGAAGCTACAATGCGTCACCTTTAGTATCCATAATATATAGAGGCCTAGATTTAAGCTTATCAATTTACTAGAACGCGCATACAGTAATCTCGCACTATTACAAATAGGGTAGTAATAAAACCCACTTTTAACAAAGAAAAGTCCCTGTTTGATTCAATTGCCCATATAAATTTTGATATTCCTGGCTATTTCGTTTATTGTAAAATCTACCTAAAAATTTGTAATATGTAGCTGATTTGGTATGGGAATGGTCTAAAGTAGACGGAAAATATGAGTCGGGACCCGTCGCGTGCATGTTGTAGATATATATTTTTGAGCATAGATCGTGTGTCGGCGAAGACACCAAACTACCAGGAAGAAGATGATTATCTTTCTGGATAGTTTCTTATAGCACGAGTTTATGGTAGTATAACTTGTCATATATCCTATTAACTTCTGATATGCATTCCATCTATAGCCCTCTTTATTCTGATTATTCTACTCTTTATCTTGAAGGAGCTGTTTGATATCTCAAAAATACAATGGACCAGTTATATTGGTCGTACATAGGTCGAACAGAAATGCATATTAAGTTGTGTCATATTCAAGGTCCGGCCCGCAATCTGGAGCTCCCATGAAGCATGGAGACGCGCCAAGCGACGGAATTATATGCATACAAAAAGTGCGTCCATAGAAGTGTTTAACTACGTACGAATAGTAAAAGTGGGAGAAGCTGGGGGCTCGGAGTAATCCAGATTGAGTTGAACGGACCAATTGACATGCTCATGACAGTGTGATTGACATGGGTGTGCTCCACTGATCTTCAGAGATGGCTGCGTGACCTTCAGCTGACCATGCCTACCATAAACCAGGCCAGCTTGATCAAACCTGCCTTATCTACGATATCAAGCTTCTATTGTCGAGTATAAAAAAACCAGCTGTTCTATTGTGGAATAAAGATAGCATTAAGCCTTTTGCGGTTGTTTCTTCATGTCAATGTGCATTAAACCCCTCTTCGTATTTAAGCACGGCCTGTCAACGAATCAACAGCCCTCAGACGGGCCCAGTGAATTTCGATCAACATGTTTGTGTTCATAGTCTGCATGATCTCCACCACACTAGACATGGTTTTGCACTCAGCTCTTCAGCCTTCCGGCCTTCCAGGCGAGGGTCATAAATACGCTCTCAGGATGCTCTTTCGCAATCCCAAAACCGCCGTTCCGCACATAATTTCCCCGTTGGGTCCTGATAGCTCCTTCCCATCATGGAGGACACCCTGCCTGACCATCGAGAAATGCAGGGAGCGACTGACACGGACACTGTTTCTCCCACCCAACTACAAGCGACCTACGCGAACGAAGAAACCCAGACTGTCGAGGATCCCACAGCCAGGCATGACGATGACGACCCATCCGAAGAAGCTCGTCCGACCAACGATCGCATCGATGAACCACCGATAAATGAGTCTGACCGACACAACACGCGGACAGAGCGCTCGGGGTCTCATTCAGAGGCCAGCTCCCCTGGCAAAAGCCAAACCCTAATATCGGAGCTTGCAACAGCAATTAAGAACGGATATGTGGACGAAGTGAAGAAGCTGTTGGATGCTGATGGGGCGAAGAGCATTGTTTTCCCGAGCCCACGCACGGATGAAGGGGTCACGCCTCTGATGATTGCTGCTATACATGGTCGTGGACAAATTGCAGAGCTACTACTGGACACAGGTGCCGATATGGATTCAGAAGATTCAAACGATTGGTGGACAGCCCTTCACTATGCTGCTCGATTTGACCGGGTTACAATTGCCAGGTTGCTTCTCGAGCAGGGCGCCAGCAAGGACTCTGTCAACTACGGTGGAGGAACACCACTAAGCATCGCAGCACAAAAAGGCCATCTAGCCATGACGGAATTGCTGTTAGATTACGGTTCCCGCGTGGACGAACCTGATGATGACAGGATGCCTCCTCTTCACCATGCAATTGCAAATGGTCATTACGAAATTGTGGAGCTTCTTTTAAAATACGATGCGGATGTTCAGCAGGATGACTATTATGGCCGAAATGCGTTGCACCATGCCTGCGAACAGGAAAGCTCTAGGTTTACCAGGCTCTTGCTCGGGAATGGTGCCGACGATCCAGATATTTTGAACAAGTCGGACAAACATGGCTGTACCCCTCTCCAGTATGCAACCTATGGAGACCGTGAGTCAACTGTGGATTTGTTGCTGGCCCAAAGAAACATCGATCTTAAACACCGTGACTATGACGAGGATACCGCTTTGTCGGAGGCAGCGTACCGGAAAAACTATACGATCATGATGAAAATCTTGTCGCATGAAACATATATGCCCCTGAATCCTGTCCGTTCGCGAGCTTTTTCTGCCAAGAAATTTGAAGGCGAGCGAATATCAAAAGTGCTTATCGACTGCCTAGAAAAAGATGAGAATAATTCGTCGTCCGATCTGGAGGCAATCATGTTTTGGGCAGTGGTGAATGGGAATACCGACCTGGTGAGGGATTGTCTAGGCAGAAACGAAAGCCTGTCATCGTGGAAGCAATATAATGCTACTTGGATACACATGGCTGCCAAATATGGCCATCCTGATTTGATAGAAAAGCTGATCGGCAAGGGTCTTTCTGTTGACGATGTTGCGGATGGTGGTATTACCGTTTTGCATTTCGCAGTGGAAAGCGGAAATCTGCCAGCCGTCCAAACGGTTTCTTATCAGAGCTTGAAATCGAGAGTATCGTCAGAGTATGAAACGCAGCCTAAATCAGTCGAGATGCGTGCCCTGCATTTGATACAAAAGTTTATCCAGGCCAATGACCAGCAAGAAAAGGAGTCGCCCTTTTCTCTTGCAGTGAGAGGAAAACGCAAACATATCGAAGATTTCTTTTGGGAGACTCTCACGACCATTTTACGCCTTGTTAGAGGCGCTAAGCCAAGCTTCTGGGTTTCTCGTGAGCATGCACAGGATGGCCAGCGACTTCTCGCAGTGGCAGCACAGCTTGACCGACCAGGACAGGAAGATAATTTAAAATACCTGCTGACAACCATGTTCAAACATGGCGATGATGCTCCTGAAGAGTCCGCAACGGCTTTACAGTGGGCAGTCTATCACTTACAGCCAGTCCCTGTCTGGTGGCTTCTATCAAATGGTGGACATCTTCGAACGAAGGAAATAAAACGTGCGCTTGAAATTCTCAAGAAAAGGGACACTAAGTCCAAGTCCAGTAATATTATAGACCAGCTTCTGCACAATCCTCCCCCGGTGATCGACCATTCAGCCAACCCATTTGACGATGACCAGGTCGAATGGCAAAACGTTGCACCCGAGGACGTCAACGTGCTCGACCGTTACGGGACAATTTTTGACTTTTATCGCACGGAGAACAAAAAGGGCCAGATCGACTTTCAATACAAACAAGAGATACTTCGGAGTATTATCTATACGCAAGGCCCTAGTGCTATTATGTCCCAAGCCAAACAAGAGAATTATCGCGATTTGAGTGTCCTCGAGAGAGCCATGAAAGACGAGCACTGCAAATCAGAACCAAGCCCACCTACACAGGCCGAAGCTCAGTCAGTGAAAGCCCAAAATACTGCATCATCAACTAAGGACAAGAAGGGATCCAACCCCGCATTTCGATGGATACATGTGCCAGCCAATGATGTAAGGATAAGCATTGTGTAGACACTCTTTGCGAGGATTATGAAACTAACATTATGACCAGATGAATCTAGTCAAGGTCGATATTATTCCGGTCCATTCCCCCTCTGGTGACTTGATTCTAAACTTCATTTCTCTGTAGGATCTTGTTACCCGTTTGTCGAGCGATATGCAGAAGACCAACAAACAACATCGTTCTCTCGTCAGCTTTATTGATCGAAGCTGGACAAAAATGGATGCCGGCGGGCGCAGGAGATTTATGAAACCTCAGTGCCTAGTACGTGCTCAGATATATTTGAATCTCATTGTGCTAACAAGTATCGCTAGCGCCATGTCGAGAAGCATAATGCGGGAAAGACCGCTCCACCCCAGAGTCCAGATACTAAACCAAAATTGGAGGAGAAAGGAAAGCATGATGACTCAAAGGCCGAGCAGAAGAAAGAGTCGAATGAACCGCGAGAAAACGATAACCCCACGCCATATCCCGATGCTAATATCTCTGGGGCAGAGAAGAAAAAGACCAGATCGGCCACAAAGCCCACTGACAATATGAAGACTGAAGCTCAGCCGCGGGGCAGTATAGCGCTCTACGTATGTCGTATATTCTGATTCGAATATGATGGGGAAATTATTGACGGCCGTTGCAGATGCCATTTCTATCTATTCTGAACAGAGACACTCCATCATTGAATAAAGATGCTGCTACTGGTGATTTCAGCGAGACAAAGGACGAGAAGAAGGAAAGCAATGAAGATGCGGGATCAAAAGAGAAGCCCGTTGGCGACTTCGATTTCCTGAAGAAAAGTTTTGTTAGGAAGTGGGATGAGGAAATTGCACACTCGCGGATGACGCTGGATCAATTTTACTACGCAACTGTACCGGACACCAAAGATCGTGACAACGACCAGGTGCTCTCAAGATACTTGCAGATGCAGAAAATAAAGGTCAAGTATGCGAAGGACCCGGAAAGGATGGATCAAGAAATCAGGAAACTGCGTGCAAATGAAGGCAAAGGAAACGAAAAAGAAACGATTCTGACGGTTGACCAGTTATGGCTGTGGGTGATAGACGAGAGCACGTAACCCATTCTATCTTGAGGTTACATTGCTAACTTTGGTACACAGAGACAATCATCACAGCAACCACAGAGTCATCCCAGGGAATCGACGATATTGTGTTTGAAGATGTCGTTGACAATCTGGTAATTGGAGAGCACGATGGTGCCTTTCACCGACCAACGACTGTCAGTGAAATGATGGAGTTGATTATTGGCGCTGCAACAAGATTATTTGTCAAACAACATAGTTCACTTTCCGAGGGAAACGGCCTGGGCAAAAAAGGAGTGTTGGATGTCTTTGATGAGTCTATCCGAGATGTGGTATGTAAAGTATCGGATATAGAGACATACAAGACCGGTTCTAATCCTTCGCCAGGCTGATCGCGAAATGAGGCTCTTTGATCGATTCAGGAAAAGTCTTGCCAGAGCAGAAGAAGGGAAAAGGGCCACCTCAAAGGACCTAACCAAAGACCAAGGCTCTACTAATGAGACAATGACCTCGAATGACAAAGGCCATCTCCCTTCTGAAGAAGCCGAGGTGAACTCCATCTCCGAAGAGACGAAACTTCTGCGGGAAATCAAGGATATTTGTGATGAGCTGAATATTCTGAAAACCCTAGTCGAGGCCCAGGAGACTGTGTGGAAACAGGCGTTCCGTGTCGAAAACCTAGAGAATGGGCGTTTTGAGTATAAGCATTCTTGTACACCGGCTACTGTTAGGGCTGAACTTGAGGAGACAATTCATAATGCCCAGGACGTACTGAAATCGGTACGTCTATTATGCGATTGGTGTTCTTGAAAATCATGCTGACCTTCAAACCTAGATTTATACTCTGCTGGACTTGCGACAAAAGCAGGCCAGCCTGAAAGAAGCCGAATTCGGACGGAAACAATCAGAGGCAACTGCCCAGCAGTCCGAGGAGACGATGAAGCAGTCCAAGACCGTCATGGTTTTCACTGTAGTGACCATTGTCTTTGTGAGTGGGCTCATTCCAGCAGTATTACTGAATACTAACCTTTCAACTAGCTCCCTCTATCATTCTTGACTTCACTCTTTGCACTAAATGTATCCGACTTTCCTCACCGCGGTGACAATGTGGAGTATCGCGGCTGGTGGATATTCCCTATTCTCTGTAAGTTTCATCATACCCCTGGCCGTACACTATAGTCTAATGCAGAGCTATAGTCGGCACCTCTGCTGCATTGTCTATTCCATGTGTCCTCCTTGCATTCAAGGTGAACTCGATTGAATATTTCTGGAACAATCCTGAAAAATTCAAAACGTTAATCAAGGATGTCACAAGCGGGATTAAGCCTCGGCTTGCTTCTACCACCGCCAGAGCATCTAGAAAGACTTTGGGAGATGAAGAGAAAGGGACTCGATCTAGTGATTCTGTGTTGAAAGATAGTCATTCATCATAGGTCGTTTAGAATTTGCATATTATTTACATGTACTCGTGACATGGCGGTATACTATAACATGGAAACATATCGGCCATTCCTAGCGGATGTTACAAACATAGGTAGGTCAATGAAACGAGATGATATTGAGAAACGATGCCTCAACTGGGCGGAGCCTCAAATTTGTGATCAGCTTTTATATTGATTGACGCCTACCTTTCCTACCGATCTGGCGCTGGGATCTAATGGAAAAACCTGGGGTCCATATGAGAACTCTTCATCGTAGAGCCGGGACTTTCGCGCTTGCAGTGGTTCTGGTGCTGTCCATGCATTTTCGGGATCCCGAAGCCACAGCCGTAGAAGGTAGCGCCTATTTTGATCAGAACGTCCATATCCTAAGTATATATTGGAACTTACGTATGATTCTCATCATCCTGATAGCTGTTTCGCGCGTGGATCATGCTCATATTGTTGATAAACTGCATATCACCTCTTTGCAGCTGCATGGAAACGTGGAACTTTTCGGCCAGAAAGTGGAGGGCGTCTAATGCCTCTGCCTGCGCGGAGTTGAGTAGATTTCTCTGCGAAAGAGAGCCAAACCCCGCAAAAGAGCGTCGGAGAACTGGAGGATCACTCGTTCCGGGGCATCGCCTGCAGGAGGCTGGTAGAATAAAAGCGGCCGGTGGGTGACGATATCAGGTTGTTTTCCACTGCACTAGATGAGCACTGGGACTTTTCGCATGTTTGATGAACTTACTTTGGAATAGGCCAGTCCTCTGCCAGGACACGAATAAGATCAGGCCGGTTCTTGGCCAGTTCGTTATACACTCTCCACCCACTGGCCAACAGGCTTTCGCCGCCAGACGCTGCTTCGTCCAATGTAAAAAGTGACACAATATCCCCCACATCAGTGTGGAAGATGACTTCGCCATCAGAGTAAGCGGCTAGGGAGAAATTCTGCTGCTTGTCTTCCAAGCTGCGAAGGTCTGTGATATGGGCAATCATGACGTCGGCAGGCTGTCCCTCGAACTGATGAGGCCCCGATTGGAGGCGATATGGGCCGAGACACCAACGTAGATGATCATGTTCTCTTCCCGAGTGTATTGGGTGACTGGGATTCCACGGATCAGGGTGAAGCCGTACCCATAGTGTAGATTGTCCGATACAGCACGGAGAACAGGGTGCAGTGAGGGGGAGGGGAAAGTGGATGGATCAAGTTCATGCATGGACTTGCTCAGTGCTATCATGCAATTAGCGGGTGGTTTCCCTCAACAGTAGACCAATGATTGAGACGAACTCTGAAAATAACTTAGAGCCGCATCAATCTCAGCCAACTGCGAGGTATTCAAAACCATGAGCTTGGTCCGGTTTTCTTGGGCAGATTCCTCTAGATTCAGATCACTTCCTTCCCAGACCATATCCGAGTCCAGTTCTGCAGGAAAGCCAGCGGGAAGAGCTGCCTGGGCAGGTTGCCTCTGCAAGTGGTCAAGAACCCGAGCATCATATTGTGCACGGTCTGGATAGTAGGGTATGGATTCAACGGGAGACATGTTGGATACCATATTGCGTGGCTGTATATTGATAAATTTGGGAAAAGTCTATTTCTCTCCTATCTGGTACAGCAGAAATAAACAGACTGGACAAAGAAATTGTCTGCATTTCTCAGCGAATGCTCAGCTGGGTCCCACGTGACATAGAAGTTGCGTAGAAGGTCTATATGGGCCGGAGTATGATTCAAAACTTTTTTTAAGAATAAAGATAAAACAAAATGGGCTATATGGGTAGGAAGTATAATAGACGTTGTACAAGATCTTTTTTCCTTTTCTCAAAAACTGTTACGCTTGAGTTGGCTAGAATCAACACAATATGGGTTTCGGGACATGTGAAAATAAGAGGCCCGAATCACGTGGCATCCCGTTTGAGCTTGTCGGCTTGGATATGAGCCCTTTCAGAATCAATTAGCAATTGCACCGTGGCCACGGTAGTCACCATGGATTTATTCTTGAGGACTAAAGACAGATAGGTAAAATATTTTCCACCAAAACACGCGCAGTGAGGGATCAATATATCCCCAGAACGCCATTCCATCATGGAAAGAATTTTCCGGGATGCCGGGAATTCTGCGAGATCACGTCAATCTAAGTCAAGCTACGCCTAGTCCGGACTAGGCTATCTTGGCAGCAAACAAGATTCAACCGAAATGGACCATATCAAACACACATATCACGCAGGTAAGCGATGCGCCAGAGCACCTTTTTGGCTTAGGGGTATGTCTGCTGACATCAGAGAAAGTAAAACAAAACGTCATGGCGTTCGCTTGACAGTTGGTGCAGACTGAAATCCCGACGCTCAGGCCGGCTGATAAACCGATGACAAGGCCTCGACTCAGGGATTTCGGGAGCAACAGAGAGTAAACATATCTACCATATTCTAGGCTTTACGTTTCTTGAAGTACTGTTAGTTCTCGTTCAGAAAATCCGAAAGTCCTAGACCAGCTGTGGGGTGGCATGATTCTTGAAGATGGCGAGTAGCACGGTAACTTGGTACAAGGTATTTTTTCCTCCAGAAGTAGGCCGATGTAGTTTTGCATTATGAAACTGTCATCTTTATATATAACCCCTTGCCATGTCATACGTGAAAAAGCCAAGGTATGTTTTAAGCAGTATATTTGGGTGTAATAAATATACTTCTTGGCGCGGAACCATTATATATTTTCAGACTGCGGGGTTTTCCAGCTAAAATGATATAAACTCTGTGAGATGCATTCCCGCCCAAAAAATCGTAATCCAGCTACATCATAGCAAACAAGAGACCAGATCCCGTCCAAAAGTGTCCGAGGTCAAACCTTGCCGCAAAAATCGGTGTGACGGGTCAATGGTTAGGCGCTCTATTAGGTAGATATAAGGTAAGACCCTGACCGTCCCGACACGGCCACAAGCGATATTTACCCGAAAGGGTGTAGGTTTGCCGAAGAAGAGGAGAATGGGTCGGTATGCCATGCTCCGCCTGACGTGATTGGACGCAATCTCTTCCCCGCCTCGTGACGCACCTGAAATCCGGAGAAAATCCGTCGGTTCGCCCCCACGCCCCCCCACGCGGACCCCGCAATCCCCAAATTGTGCCCCCACGCTCCCACGCAAGGTGGGATGAAAAGTTTTCCCCGACTCGACGCTCCCGATACAGTATACAGAATATGGGGATTGTGTCGCTGCAGAATCTGTCATGTATGGTAGCACTAGCTTGTAATTAATCCTTCTTTGCCGAGAACTGTGCCGGCCGGGGGTAACTCTCATCAGCTCTACGCAATTATATGCCGGATCAGGACTTGGTACAGCGTTTTGCCCTGACCCAATCCGACACTCCCCGGTATCCACACGGATGGATTTGGTATCCTAAACCTTCCGTCGCCGACCGAGATCCCGATGAGCTGGGGATGCTGGGTTGGAAAAGCTAAATACCCCTCCCTCCCCCGTACCCCACGGGGATTCTTGATTCCAGGGACACTTCGGGGAAGGCGACAGTTCCGGACTACAAGCAGCACCAGCCATGGCGGACGACATCTCCAAGCACGGCTTCGATGCCGGCCACTTTGAAAACTCGACTGCGGCCATGGATAGACCCAAAGGTCCTGAAGTGAGCGCCGCGTTGTCAGACCCGGCAACGCGTGCCCGGGTAGAGAAGACCCTGAGGCGCAAGCTGGATGCTCGCTGCAGTATCTTCGTTTTCATCTACATCATGAACTACCTCGACCGGAACAACATCTCCGCTGCTCGTCTCAAGGGTCTCCAGGAAGATTTGAACATGGATTACAGCCAATACGCGACTTGTCTGAGTATTCTCTATGTCGGCTATATCCTGATGCAGGTCCCGTCCAACATCTTCATCAACAGAATCCAGCGACCCTCTGTCTACATTTCCGTCGTTATGCTTATTTGGGGTCTTATCTCGACCTTGTCTGGTATCGCTACTAACTTTGCCGGATTGGTTTGCATTCGATTCTTCCTGGGTTTTGTTGAGGCTGCTTTCCTTCCCGGTGCTCTCATGATCCTGTCGAAATGGTATACCCGTCGCGAACTCACAACAAGAAACGCCGTCCTATTCTGTGGCAACCTTATTTCAAATGCCTTTTCCTCCCTCATTGCTGCTGGAGTTCTGTCCAACATGCAGGGCGTTCTTGGTCATGCTGCATGGCGCTGGCTCTTCTGGAGTAAGCTCGTTTCCTTGTCCCTGGCATTATAATGTTGACTAACCATTTTATCTTTTAGTCGAGGGCGCTATCACAATGGGCATTGCAATTGCTGCAGGCTTCATTCTCCCTGATTTGCCGACCAACACGGGCGGTTTTACAAAGGAAGAGCTGGAACTCGCTCAGCTCAGAATGCTCGAGGATGTTGGCGAGGCTGATGTTGACTCCGAGGATCAAGGGCCTTTCGATGGCTTGTGGATGGCCCTCAAGGACGTCAAGATCTATATGATGATGCTTTTCTTTACTGCCTACGTCGTCGGTCTCTCGTTCAACGCCTTCTTCGTAAGTTCTTCTCGCCGTCCTGTCTTTGTGCTGCCTCTGACTCGGTGGATTCTAGCCCAGCCTTACGGAAACTCTTGGATTCAGCTACGTGCCGACTCTCCTCATGAGCGCTCCCCCGTGGGTGTTCTCCTGTTTCTTTTCGCTGGCCGTTGCCTGGAGCTCCGATCGACACCAGGAGAAGGTTTGTCCACCTTATAACCAGGTCATTGCCTCTGTGGCTAACTCTATTCTGCTTCTAGTTCTGGCATATCGTCGGCCCCATTTTGGTCGGCCTGGTCGGATTCATCATCTGCATGGCCACCATGAATGTGGCAGCTCGATACGTTGCTCTCTTCCTCCAAGCTGCTTCTTATGCAGGGTAAGCTCCCTATCACCCCAACTGCCTACCAGCCAAAAACGACTCCTCCTAACCGCATCCAAACTGCAGATTCATCGTCTTCTACTCCTGGATCAGTGTATCCTTCCCCCGTCCCCCCGCCAAGCGTGCAGTCGCAATTGCCATGATCAACGCATTCAGTCAGCTAGGCAACGTGGCTGGCTCGTATGTCTGGGACCTCAAGGACAATGGATACCGCAAGAGCTACGGTATCGTCACAGCCATGTTCGGCGTCACAATTGTTGGATGTCAATTGTTCCGCATGTATCTTGCTAGCCTGAACAAGGAGCTTGAGCAGGCTGAGACTAATGCCAATACCCAGCCTGACGAGGACGATGTGGACAAGTCGGTGATCAAGGGCTTCCGGTATATTACTTAGGTGGATTTGGCTGAGGCAATGTGGATGCATGCATATGTGCCTGTATGTTTATAACGATGTTTATGGTTTAACAATCTACAAGTTAAATGAGGTACTCTCCTAGGATGAGTAGAATGTAATTTTTGGAACACAATTACTAATTGAGCTATTTATACGGTCTACCTTACGATTGACTTTTCAACTACAAGATGATTATTCAAATATAGCCAAAGTAGTAATATTGTGGGTCTGTCAATATTTCTCTTAGGTAAACTCAGAAATGTGGGTGATTGTTCTTCCATTTATCATCCACTCAACCAATTGTCCCAGGGGCACCCACCTATGACTGCGTTCAAGCCAGCCAGCGGGTGGCTAGTGTGCAGGTTGATAGATGATCCCAGCGAATTGCTGCTGTTGTATGTTTTTCTTTTCCATATTCTTTTTCGGTTTTCGGTATTTTTGGTTGCTTCTGTTCGGAAAACTGTTCAGCAAAGAGGAATTGGGGAAACAGTACCGTACCCAGTGTCAAAGGCAACTAAAGACCCCCTCAACGGCGCAGTCCCCAGCTAGGATTATACCGTCTCGGAAGCGCATACAGCCCACTGGCCTGACGACCTGCATTGAGATTAGCCGCATAAGCCTCAAGAGCAGCCTGCGCGGCGGTCACAGCCGAATCGTTAGTTTCATCGCGATCACTTTGAATAACAACCATAAGGTGATTCTCACAAAGAACAGCGTCGATTTCCGTCGTGACATGGCATTCGTACCCGGATCGAAGAAAGTCGATGGCTAGATTGAGGTATTCGAGTTCGTTTGGCATGGCCATTTCGTAGGGGCCGACGTAGATGTAGTATGTGGATAGGTTCGACATTGTGGTGGTTGGATTGTATTGGTTGGATTGAAGAGAGAAGCTGATGTGGGAATTGCTATGATGGATGGGATTGAGGTGGTTAGATGAGTTTGAGAACTGTATAGGATGGGATATTTATGTTCGAGATAGCAGAAGCGGGCTATACTGGATGCTTTGTTCGATGAAATCAGTGTTGCGATTCTTTGTCTATCATTGTTACATGAGCTCCCATTGCACTGATGTTTCGGTGGACAAAGAGGTATGTCTTTGATGAGACTGTTCCTTTTGATTGATGCACTAACAAAGCCCTTTCATGATCAAGGAGTCGTGAATATAGATAAACCCCATTACTATATATCCCCTTTGTTTACATGTATTAATCTCTTGTTTCTATCCATTTCAATCATATAATGAAAGCAAAGAGATCTAATTAAAGAACACTAATCATTTTGTGTTCAACAGCCAGTCTCTTCAGATGATCAGTGGGTGTGGAGGGCCGTGTTCTGGCATGATACCCGGTTTTTTGATATGGAGGATGAGTATTTCTTTGATAGCATCGTCGACTTTCTGGGTTGGTATTCCAGCTGGCCCGAGACAGTCAATGTGAGGCAGTAGACCCGTATTTATGATGGGATTCGCCTTGCAACGGCAACTAATAAAAGCTGCGCTCCAGTCAGCATGGATGTTTTCAGTCCCTATCTATAAATCTGTTTATTGACCCCTTCATGGTTTTGGTTTGGATAGAGTATAATAAGGTTATTCCGCAATAACATGGTTAATACATCCATTAAAGTTCATGGACTTATATCGATGACGCACTCATGACATATGTACAACAGCACCATTTGCCACACAACAAACTATTTTAACCAAAGATGAAAGTCGAGCATACCCTGGGAGGATAATTATAGATATTCGATTCACCATCTTCTTACCCCGTCATCGATTTCGAAAATTCCTCCAAATGGCCTCATCAAGAGCAACCATCCCATCTACCTCGTGGATTCTACCAAGAGCCACCGTGCCTCAGCCACACCACCAAACTACAAGAAGAAGCATCTCGATGGCACAGTCAGGTTTCAAAACACCCAAAAATGGCCCCCATCGCCGACCGGGATTCCCGTTTGGGTTTTCTACCTGCATCGCACTTGGTATCGCTCTGTGCATACAGCACTCCAGGCCGATTCAGCATGGATTTGAGACAGGGCACGCTTCGGGGCCTGTATAAGAGAGCTCGAAAAGAGGGGCTTTCTTTATCTTATTAATTCTATTCCATCATTGATGTTTCATGTCCATAACATGCTTTAAGGGGACACCAATGAGTCTTTTCGGGGCATTAATCTGATTTTACTGCCCAGATGTATATCTACCTGAAAATATCAAATGACTATCTACATACCTGAATCTATGGTCCGACCGCTTCCTCCGAAATTCTACAGCCAAGAACCTCATTTCAAATCCCTAAAACGGACTATCAACACGGCTTTATCAGAGATAAGCATGAAATAATATATCTATTCCTATTCGTTCATTGACAATGTTTCTGACTCAGGCCATGCATGCTGTCGTCTTCAAATATGGGTTGTGATGACTCGGATGGATTGATGTCGGATCCTTCAATCCATCCTTCCAGCCCGACAACAGACACCCATATAATCCGCGTATCCCATCATCATTCAGCATCGTAAACCAGTTCTCCAGAATGGTCGCATTCTATCTTGTTTCTCTCCTGCTCCTATGCGTAATTTATGCCTGGCATCGACAGAAACAACGTCTTCCGCCCGGCCCAACCCCACTGCCACTGATCGGCAACATCCTCCAACTCCCGAACAAAGCACCATGGGAAGCCATGAAAGAATTGGGTGCCAAATATGGCCCTATAATGACCGTCAAGTTTGGTTTCCGCACCGTCATCATACTGAACACCCGAGACGCCGCCCGCGATCTGCTTGAAAAAAGGGCCAATGTATACAGCAGTCGACCAAGGATGATATCCTTTTCGGAATACCTATTCAGAAACACCATCCCCGTCGCAATGCCGTACACCCCAGAATGGCTGGCCTTGCATCGTCTCCAGCTGCGGATATTGAATCCCCGTGCAGCTCGGGCATCAGCGCACATCCAGGCTCTCTCTGTCAAATGGTTCATGTCCCAGTTACTCGATGGGACTGCCATTGCTGACAAGGTCGCTTGGCTGGCTGTGAATGCGTCGTCCACTTTGGTGTTTGGTACACCCGTGGGCTCCGCTACGTTGAGCGAGGCCCATGAGATTGGGTTTATTGTGGCCCAGATCATTGATTCTATTTGCATCGAGAATATCCTCGTTGACCTGTTCCCCTTCCTCGACCGCATCCCAGGCGTGAGACAGGCTGGCATGAAACGAGGCGATGCTGTCCTTGACACCGTATCGCGGACTATGGACGATAAACTATACAAGGCTGTCCATAGTCCCTCGTGGAGCATGGCGCGTGGAGTCTACCAGAACCAACCAGCCGATATGACCTGGGAGGGATTCAGGATAGGAGTGGTGGAGATGCATCTCGCGGCCAGTGCAGGCACGCCACTAACACTGAACGCCATTATCCTCATGGCTGCCTTGCACCCCGACGAGGTGCGCAAAGTACGAGATGAGATTGACCGGATTGTCGGCTCCGATCGTCTCCCGTCACTGGAGGACTGGGACCAGCTGCCTCTCGTGCATGCTTTCATTGCCGAGTGTCTTCGATTCAGAACAACCGTGCCCTTCTCTATGCCTCATGCCACCACCCACGACGACGAATACATGGGCTACCGAATCCCATCCGATGCGCTGATCCTCGCAAACCAGTGGGCTTACAACAATGATGAAGATGCATTTGACGAGCCGCAAAAGTTCAACCCCCAGCGCTGGATCCACAACCCAGATCTCCCCCGACCGTCCACCTTTGGTTTTGGAAAGAGAATGTGCCCCGGTCGGCATAGTGTGGAGAAGGTCATGTTTCTCGTGGTGGCTTCGATGATGTGGGGGTATGATCTGACTGCCAAGGAGGGGGTAACGGATGAACCGGTCAAGGGTAAGAGTTTGGTCTTTCAAGCAGACCTATCCGGTGTGCGGTATTCGTGTCGCAGTGCAAAGTATAAAGAGGTGATTGAACGCGAGTGGAACGATGTCAATCCAGATGTGAGTTCATTACTCAATGATCTTGGCGGGGACTTGGGTATGTAGCAGTGCATGGTAGAATGGTAATATGAAGCATACTTGGTTTTTTCTGTAATCTAGTAGGTTATCTGGACAAATATGTAGACTCTAAATGTTATAAGAAAAAATCCCTAAGAAATTCAAGATAATTATTGTTTGAATGTCTGAATATAAGTGCCATTGATGTATATTTTCTTTTGCTAGACAACTTGTTGAACCCGTTTATTACTATGATTTATATTCAGGCCATAGCCAATTATGAACAATTAGTTACTTGCACCATAGAAGCAGACGTAGAAAAAAATAAAACTCGATTCAATAAGAGCGAAAATACAAAGTTTAACATCAACGGCCCGAACCTTGAAGGCAATCCGGAAGGTAGGCGGGTGCAGATCACACGCAAATCGAGTATAGGGTCTCATGCGATGGCCACGTATACATCTCTTTGGGACTATATGGCCTCCGTAGGATGTGCTGGTCAAATGGATCCATATATTACGCTTTTCTATATATGTAAGTGTAGTTGATACTGCCCAAAGCAGGGAATTTAAACAAATTAGAGACCTTTTTATATTCCAAGTACTTAAAGGCTATAAATATATGATGTTGCCGTCGTTGACGTATCAGGAAGTGCTCTCTTCATGAGCAATAGAAGGAGGTGCAGCGGATGTCGGATGTCGGATATCGGACATCGGAGTAGGTATAGAGGAATGTATGTACATATAAAGCACTCTAAACATCTCCCCTGCCCATTGTCATCTGTGGATCTCAGACAGTAATGCACATTGGGATGCTCCCTTGGAAACATCTGTGTAAGGGAGACTGGTCATACATATTCAAACTCCGACCTCCAAATTAATCGGATGCGCAAATATCGGCTAGTTGATGTATGTAATTTTCAATGAACGGACGGTCCATTATCCCTGCAAACGATCTGCCTTGTATGTGGATGATCACTGATATGGTATTCGCATCATAATGCGACATTTTGTGATTCCATTATTAATAAAAGCTATGTATATAGTACAGCTGCTAAATTCACTGCCTTTTACACTGAAACTCCATCTCAAGACATATGTGATGCCGATTTTCAGTGTAGTACTTCGCTACCAGGCCAACCCAAATGACAATGGTATTGTGGAATTGATTTCCAGCCATTTCCGGGGGATATTCGGGAGTATCAGAGTAGCCATAGCCCATGTTACCCCTCTGATACGATACTATCACTAGACTACTGCAGTTCGCCATCCACTATATCTGTCTAATTCATGTTTTTATCGGGAGCTGAGAACTTGTTCCACCCCTGGACAGATGACTCTGTATTAAGCTATGGCTCCGGGCCGATCGTTGATAATTTTCCACGAATGGTCCACCGCGATTGATGTTCCACAGATTTGATCTTTGGTTCGTGCTACCTACTATGCCCACTGGCGCTGCAAATGGTTGGTATTCGACAGATTCAGCAGCACATATCCACCTACCGAAGGACGCCGCCAATGATCGACTGCCAGTCACAGAGCAAGAGGAGTGAAAGTTCAGGATGTCATCCGATTATCATTTCCCTTCTATTTTTTTTTTTTTTTGCTACTATTGTGGCGTTCTATCTGTACTTAGTTATCCTACACTGGACTATAGGGCGCCCACAGTCTGGCTGGAATATCACTACGAAGGACGGCGAACTAAAGTCCACAGGTGACTCTGATAGCAAGCATTTCCCTTTTAGCAACTACCGTATTTAGAATTGACTGGTCCATACAAATTGGCCGATTACCTTAGCCCCATTTGTATGTATTAATGCTGGCGTTGCCAGAACTAGATGTTTTCTTTTTGCTTCTTTGATTCTTTCCTTTCTTTTTTTATTTTTTGTTTTTATTTTTTTTAAATTTTCTCTTCCCTTTTCGCTCATGTTGTTTTCTTTTGTTGGGGCGCTGCTACGTGACACAGGACGCAAGAGCAATATAAAAATCCCTATTTTCTCCGGTGTATCTCTTTCCTTTCCATCATTCTTCTATCATCTCCATATCATCTTCCCTTCTCAATATCTATATAAGCCACCCCATTCCAAAACAAGATGAAGTTCCTTACTCTTGCCATCACTGCTATTTCACTTGGTACGGCCAGTGCGGCCAGCATCCCCCGGGACCCAAATGAAATATTCTGTCAGTACACAGAACCGCACTGTCAATATTTAATGTAGCTAAATACTAAATGAACTATAGCGAGGGGCGAATGTATTCCAGAGGGCTCTTACTGCTGCACATGGGAAGGCTGCAAGGCCTGCTGCAACGACTGGTTTAACTTCTGTGATCTGAGCATCGACGCTGCACAAGGAAAATGCGCTTGGCAATATATTGAGTGATGGATGATATTGAATTATGAGTACGAAGCAGTTTAACCAATGCCGGAACGGGACGTTTTCTGACTCTTAGTCTAGGTCCAACAAAGGCTGAATCGCTGACCTAGTATATGTAAGAGGTCATATGGGATCAATAAACCCTCGTTTATTTTATACTTTGCGCCGTGAAAGATTGTTCATTAGTATCAATGGTAGTTAAGATTATATTACTCAGAGACAACCATGTGGTTTAGTAAATAGTCATAGGATTATCGCATGTCTTCTCATCCCCTACTGGTAGTTTTGACATAGTATTTGCCTTTCGGACAGGATAATAGTATGACTTGACAGGGGAAATTCAGTGAATCATCAAGATTAAGAAAAAAGAAAAGAAAAGAGATAAGATATCACGCGGGCTTCTCGAGAAAGTACACAGCCAAAGATATACATTAATCTTGCATATGGGTCTTCAAACTACAAAATCTAAGGGCTATGATTGAGTACACAGGCATTAGCAGAATGTCGATCGACCTCTTGTGTCAAAGCACAGCTGAGGGAGGAACTGCGATTGGCCGTACCCCGCAAGTTCGGGGATCCAGTGGCGGTAGCTTGATCAATTTAGAACTTGTTCCGAGATACATGAACCACCATGGTTCATGCGCCTACTATATCCGACTAATGCAGAGTGATGACTGGGAATGGACCTCTGCCTATCGATAAGTCTCCACAGTTGATCCCTTGGCTGTTTGCTATTTGGTGGGATTGGAAATGTCCCGCCTCAGTAATATGCAAGGTAATTTACAATCACAGGTAGTTCGATGCGGTGGCGAGAAGGATAAGTGGCGATTGGAAGACAGGAGGATTAGGAAAAGGCAGACCAAAACCTGTCACATCTAGCGGAATCAACTGGCCTTTAGAGTACTTGCTTTTTCTTAAGGCAACTGACTGTTGTGTGATTGGCAAATGTTCACTTTGGTAATATACACCCGCCCACAGCCAATAGGTGATCAGTTTCGTTTACAAATACCCAACAAGCAAGAGAATTCCCCATTCTCTATTTCAAGTTGTTTTCATTTTCATTTTATTCCTTTTCATTCTCAATCTAATTTATCCTTTTCACTTAATGCATAAGGTATACACCAATTGTTCGGGCTGAACGATATTCAAATGAACCATATAGCCGTCAATGAAAAATCAAGCATCCTCACTAAAAAAGACTCGTTGAGGGAGCCAGTTATCCTTGCTAATTTTGGACCGTTTCCCAATACTGAGTAGAGCGTTGATCTCCTCATCTGCCAGTTGCCAGTCGTTGAGGGCAAAGTTGGCGATGATTCTTTCTTCGGTGACACTCTTTGGGATGACGCTGTAGCCTCTCTGGAGGCCCCATTTGATGCTGCGACTTGTTAACGCGCACTTCTCTTGACATACATGAAATAAATACTTACAGTATCTGTTGCGGTGTTTTGTTGTGCTTTTCGGCAATATCCAAGAGTGATTTCTCCTCATACAGATCAGACATTTTGCCTGAGCCCAGTGGAGAATAAGCCGTGCAGTGGATGTTGTTCTGGGAGCAGTATTGAAGCAGGCCCTGCGATGGCCAGTACGGGTGGAGCTGCTTTGTTAGCATTGGAGCTGGATAATCAGGGATAGTTATGGTACCTCAATTTGATTAACAGCAGGAACGATTTTGCATGATGGATCGTGGCTCAGTCTTTCCAGGTTGACGATGTTGAAGTTGGAAACGCCGAGATTGCGAACTCGTCCAGATGCGGGGAGTTTTTGCATTTCCTCCCTATGCGTGGTTAGTATACATGGATCAAATGAAGAATGAGGGTACATACCATGTTTTGATAAAGTTCCAGTCGGGAATACTCTTCAACGGATCATCGGGAGAAGTGGATGATGGCCAATGCTGCAAGAATGAGTCTGGCGGAATAGCACTGAGATGGAAGAACATACCATGAGATAGAGGTCCACATAGTCAGTCCCCAGCGAATCGAGAGAGGTAGAAATGGCCTTTTCCACTCGATTATGCCATCGGTTGTCCAACTTGGTGGTGATCCAGATTTGATCTCGGGGAATGCCAGAATCCCTAATAGCCTGCCCGACCTGATGTTCGTTCTGGTAGGAATACGCCGTGTCAATGTGCCGATAACCTGCTTTCAACGCGGCCAGAACTGCTTGGTACACCTGGGCAGGCTTCTTGGGCTTACGAGTGCCCAGCCCAATTGCAGGCATTTTGGCGCCCGTATTCAGGGTAAAGCGCTGGTCGGTGGCTTTGGGCTTGGGCTTAGGTCCATGGCCATTGACAAGTTGTTGCTCCTTACGGGGACTTGGAACAGCACCAGGCACTTTGGGGGAGAATGAAGCGACGTCCACGACGCTGCGATTAACCAGAGACGCTTTGGCAGACTCGACAATGGCGACGGTATCGGCGAGGTTCGCCAACGAAGTGGGATACTCAGCCAAACCGTATGCGTAATCGCCGAATTGTTCACACATGTTGCGGATGATGGCGGTCTTATCGAGCGAGTCGGTCAGCTGTAGGGTCTGTTTGGCGTGGGAATCGAAATGCGTGATGGTGTTGTCGTCCAGACAGAGGGTGCCAGTTGTGCCGGCGACGACGATCGATTCCTCCTTGCGGTGCGCGCGTCGGGAGCTGTATAGGTGCCCGACGATGTTGGTTTCATTCCACTGCATGATGACCTGGGAGACGTCATCTCTGACGGTTGGGCGATGGGGGGTCAGATTGGATTTGTAGCCTACGAGGGATGACGGCTTGCCAAAGAGCCAGACCATCATGTCCAGCATGTGGCTGCCCATGTCCTCCTGCTACGATTAGCAAGAGACCTATAAATTGTAGGAATGAATCTTACAGCAACGCCAACCTCATCCTCAACTCGCCAGTCCGCGTCATCTGGCTGCATGCAATTCACAGCAATAGTCGCTCTGACCGAAACTACCTCGCCGACCAGCGGCAGGAAGTTACGAAAATGCACAAAGCGAGGCTCAAAGCGCTTCTGCAACGTCACTCCCATCCTCACTGGGAGACTGACGAGCTGCTGATATTCCGCCAGCGAGTTTGAAGCGGGCTTCTCCTTGAGGATCGGAATGCCCGCTTGGGCAAGGGTGAGAGTGCAATCGGCATGGAAGCGATGGGGCACAGCGACAATGGCAAAGTCAGGCTTGTGTGTTTGGAGAAGTTTCTCGAGCGAGCTGTAGACGGGGATCTTGGGGTGCTTTTCAGTGACGACTTGCCGTTTGACCGGGTCCACGTCACATGCGGCCGTGATGGAGATGGATGGGCTGTCGATGAGGTTTTTGAAGAAGGTCTTGTAGCCTCGATGGCCTAATCCGACCACGATGATGTTGTAGTGGCGGTTGTTATATCGCGGAAGAGGGGATGCGGTCTTGGGGATTCCTGCATCGGCCGCATAGGTTGCCAGGAAGTCATTGGTGATGCCAACCATGATGGGAATGCGATAGTGATGGGGCTGAAGTTGATAGTGGTCTTGCGGTTTTGAAATGGTTGATAGATAAGAGATAACAGAGACAGATATGCCTTTTTAAGTGGTCGAGATGGCGTCAAGAAGGCATTTCTCACGAGTCTACGACACCGTCCATTAGAGAGGCGGCATTGCCAGTCAGTGAGCGCAATGGATTGCGCACACTGGAACCTGAGAGTTGAAAGTTGGAAGTCGGATACTACTTCCCTCACTGTTGACTCCATCGCACCGCGTTGATGAGGATGTGTAGTTCTAGTGAGATGTCACCATCTGCACATGGATGACGAGTACTGTGGGGGACGTGTTTTAGGCCATAATGCCTCACCAGATTAACCATTAGGGTATTTATACAGCGTGCATTCTCCGCGTCATCAATGCATTTGAACAAAGCTAACATCAGGCCCAGAGCGGGCCGAAACACCTGTATATATATATGCAAGGAGTCGCCATCAAGGGGGCACGCAAGGAGTGACAAGCAAAACCAACTTTAAGAAGGGCAGCAACTTTGCATTTAACTGAAGTGCATCTTACCAGACAACCATCTTCCCCAATCCATCCAACACGACCATGTCTCCCTCGCTTTGCCATGAAACCACCTTCGAGGTTCTCGAAAATGCATTTTCTCAGACCCACCAAGATGTCCTCATCAAACACCAATCTTTGTTTATTTCCATTACGGAATCAGTGAGGGAATACATGTCCAGATACGATCTGTCGCACGACTTCAACCACGTCCTTCGCGTTCTGACACTTTCGCGCCGCATCCTAGACTGCGAGCAAACGCAGAGTGGCCCTTACGACCCAGTCGTTGTATTCCTAAGCGCGTAAGTCTGCCAAAATATAATATAGGTTCATCCACTGAGAGAAAAAGCCTCGTGCACGATGTCGGCGACCACAAATACCTCAAGCCAGGGGAAGACGCAGCAACCCAAATGGCATCAATGCTAGTTAAAGCCGGCGCATCAGACCAATTGATCACCCAAGTCCAAACCATCGCCAACAACGTTTCATATACATCGGAAGTCAAAGACCCGCAACGTCTACAGGGGATTCTGCGTGAGAATCGAGAACTGGCTATTGTGCAAGACGCAGATAGGCTGGATGCCATTGGAGCAACGGGAATTGGACGGACGTTTGCTTTTGGAGGTGCCAAGAGACCTCAATACGGACTGCAATCTCCGAGGGAGCATATCAGTGAGAAGTTGGAGACACTGGAGGGCTTGATGAAGGTGAGATGCACAGGGCGGTAGACGACAATTACTGCTAACAGCATCTAGACAAAGACCGGCAAATGCATGGCCGCTGAACGGACCAACAGGTTGAAGATATTCAAAGTGTGGTGGGATGAGGAAATGTGCTTCGAGGCTTGATTCGGTGAGGTGGCAGCTGATGGAGAAGAATAATGCAACATTCATGCAATGATTGAACAGCCGAATGATGTACTTGCTGCTAATAGTCGGTGTATCAACTTAGGGTTGTACAATTTCATGTCACCGACAGAAGAATGCAAGGCTCGTTCACCGCGTGACCGCCTTGCCTGGTGTTTATATGAACATCAAAGACATAGGTGATTGAATTCGTGTACTGATGAGGTGCTTAGTCATCGTGGATGTATTGGGATACTGTATAAAGAAAAGTAACTATACCTCTCATGTCTGAAATTATTCATTGCTGCAGCCATTTTCATTTGCCATAAGGTGTTCCTATTGTACAATACGATAGATCACATTATCAATGTCTAAATAGTCTTCCGGCGTCATTATCGTCACCCAGTACTCCACTCGGAGACGTATTCGCTCCATGTAAAACGAACAGGCACAACACTGCCTCAGATTATACATATCCACACACAGTACAGGACTCAATCAATAGCATCAAAACTTATGCATAACCCCCCATCCACTCGACATTCCCCGCACTAGGCAAAACAGCACAAAGGAAACCACATACGCCAATCCACAAAAGAGAATCACTCCCCAATAGTCACCATCCTGGGACTGCAATATCGCCCCAGCTATAGGCACCGCTACCAAGGCCCCGATACTGACAAGGGAATAAGTTGTCCCGTATCGCTTACCATAATCTTCTGTTTCGCATAACTGGGCGATGCAGACGGGGGGAAGGCTGATCGCAGACCCACTCCAGAAGCCATATAGTACGGTATACGCGACTATACCAGCCGTGTTGGATTGAATAGGCAACCAGAGGCCAAGGGTGAAGACGGCGCAGAAGAAGGCTGTAATGAGTACCACGTTCAAACGTCCATACTTATCGGCGAAGTAGCCAGGGAGGGCACGGCCAAGAATGGAAGCACCGTTCAGGATGGATGAGAGTTGGTATGCCAGGGATGGGTCCATGTCATGGTCGAGAGCATACGAAGGGAGATATGTGAGTGGAATTAGCAGACCGAGGTCAATGAGGGTTATAGCGACCGACAGCATGGCGAAGCGAGGTTCTGTCAATGCCTTGAGATCCATTATAGCATCGGCCTTTTTTGGGGGAAGTCTGGTCCTCAGAAGGAGGCAACAGACAATGCCAAAGGCGGCAGCAATAAACCCGATGATACGTATAGCCCAGGGAAATCCAACTGAATGGATGAGGTTGTGGATGATAATTGGAAAGATGATTCCTCCAAACCCGCCCGCAGTTGCTGCTAGGCCGAGTGCAAGGCCTCGTCGGTGATAGAACCAGTGGGTGATGCAGGCAATGCTGGGAGTGATAATCATCGATGCCGTGGTGCCTCCAAGTAGACTGAAGGCAAGGATGAATTGGTAGTATTCTTATTGATTAGTATGTATTTGATAGATGACGAGATAGACTGACCATGGCAAAGACTGAACAGCATCAACGCAAGCACCAGTCCAGTGCATCCCGGAATGAGGATATACTTGAGGCCGTATGCGTCAAAGACAGGACCTGAATAGTCAGCAATCACGATCATTATAGCCCGAGGATATTTTACCAATCTGAATGCCAGTGGCATAGAGGAAGAAAGTGAAGATGCTGAAAATCCAGCCAACTGTTCCTTCAGAGTACTGCTTCAACTCATTCTTCGCCAGCCATGCCTCTAACACACCAATTGAATTAAGCAGCCCAAAGGCAGGCACCATGCCGCACCATGAGCCGAATGCAACACTCCATGCTCTCCATCCGCCATCGGGGAAGTCGGATGTATCGTCGTCTTCCCTGGTGTGGTTGGTGATTTTAGGTGCGGATTTGGTCTCATCAGGCATGATACAAATGGGCAGGAATGTTAGATTGGATAGTGAACAGTAGTCGACGATAGAATCTGATTACTTTGGTCGATAGATGTAATGATGGTCTGTTTACCGCTAAGCATCCCTTGGTAGTACTGTGGAATGTGATCCCCCACCGCATGTCTCAAGTACCCACTATTCCACATATCATACGCAAGGTTCATCAGGTTAATGCAGATAAATACCTCATCGAAGTACGGATGGCGTCACTGACAGGGGTAAGATCATATCTGATGGATAACTTAATTGCCATCCCGAATATCGATGTTGGATAAATCCCAGCCGATCTTCCCTGAAGTATTTCTTTCCCACGTCATCACTCCACCAAGACTGATCTATCCAGAGGCCGTTGTTCCAGAACGCCCGCATTAGATGGAGGCCCTCTGCTTGGATGTGTGTTAGATGCTGTTGAGTCCGAAGCGTTGATAGGCAAGACAGGGCTCAACTGCGATGGCTTCTCACTTCTCTGGGATACAACATAGAGTATTCTTACTGCTGATCTCTAGGTAAATACCACGGAAAATGGCCCGTCCACCCAAAGGACGCGTGGAAACATTATTACGATGATCCAGTCTCGTCAGACATCTTGTGGACGTATAGCGATGTGTATCAAAACAATAATACAGCGCTCACCGGGCAGACTGCGATGGTGAGGACGGTAACGATGTGTACAAATTCGCCATGCTAGACAGGCCTAGAGATATGATGTCGGCCAACCGTAACGTGGACCCTGAAGCCGATATTCAGGTGAATGCCATACCCTATGGTGATGTATACTGGAATCTACAAACAGGAATAAAACAAACTATTGTTCTCTTCATTAGAAGGATGCTCAAAATTAACTGCCCCTATCCAATCCATCCTGGACCGTCTCAATGCAGCTCACTCTGGAAAAGGACGCCCATATCCCACCCCGGTATTCTCAATGCCCTGCCACAAGGTATACTGAGACCCCTCACCTCGTTCCACCTTCCAAAAGATGTGCCACGGCATGTGTTTCGAACCGTTGTGTAGTACATCATCCGCGATATGATCCCCCTCAGTACTGCTGATAGCAAAAATCGGAGTCCTATGACTATCGTATCCAAGCTTTTGCTGATACAACTCGTGCCATTCTTTGGCCAGCTTTTCGAACCGCTTCTCGCTCCACTCGGCGGCGTCCATCTTATTCACAGCGACCATGAGCCGAGCGGTGCTGTATTCCCTTTGGTCTTTAAGTACAGAAATAAATTCCTGGGTGCTGTATGGATCGGCTTCCTCTCCTGGTGCGGCAGAGAGGCAGAGAATGGCTCCATCATGGCCAAGACCATCATCATGAAGCGCTTTGAAAAAGGCACTGATATCGGGGATTTCTAGTACTGTCAGCTGCATGGGAGAATATATATATGTGGTATGTGAAACTCACCATTGAGAGTAACATCGTATTTGCCCACTCCTGCAAAAGTGTATGAAGTGATACCATTGGATTGGGATTTCACGCCCCCCTTTTTGGCCGCAAGGTGTTCTAGCAAGGTTGTCTTGCCAGTACCCTTGCCGCCAAGAAAGTTGATATCAATTCGGGTTTGTCCAGACCTGATCAATATTAGCATCGATGAGGATGATGTGAGGTGAGTATAGACTTACATAACGAGTGTTGGCTCTATGGGATGAAAAAAAGATGATGGGAAGCGATGAGAAGAAGGCGGTGGTTAGATAAATAGTCGACAGAAGCCGGGTGGTGAAATCATCAGCTCGCTTCTGGTGAGTGGTGACGTGTGCTGAATGGGTTGTTGATTGTAGCATCAACAATGGCATTGTGGAAGCTGATAGGCACGAGCCTTCAGCTGAACCCTCAGCCCAGCCGCCTCACTAGTATGGCCAATGGGAGCAGGCGGAGGGTAACACAATTTACATATCACATCTATCACATCTGCAGGAATGTGGGGTAGATCCACAATAGCGAGATCGGCTGAGTTGATTTGCAACCAGATTCTTCTGGCAGAATGGGCGATAGATACATATGACAGGGACTAGGTATGTTTTGGCTTGGTCGTATTGGTTCAGATGCAATCTCCCACCAGGAGAGCTACCTGTACACATGACAGACCCTCTTAATAATCCCAGCGTGCATCGGACCGTCCATTGGGTACAGATCTTGCCGAGTGGATGAATAATTCATTCAACGGATTAAAGAGGATGTGGCTTATTCGACATCCACAACAATATTTTCCTTGGATCTTGTAAATACGCTCTTACCGGTTGCTACCAAACCCCTAGGGGATCGTGAAAGGTTCGACCGCCCGCCTTCTACGGATATCAATGACAAGACGGATCACAGGATCGATATGACGGAGAGAACAGAGGGCACAGTCAAGCTTTGGGAGAGCTTAAAAAACTCAGTTATGATGCAGAGCAGCTTTGCCCTGGTCCTCGCCCCACCCACACCTCGGCTCTCATGTAAGGCTATACAGGTTTGCAACCGAAAATGGCAGAGAGATTGGCTCAACAATCCCTCATGTCCCTCAATCGGTGTCTCTGTGTTCCCACGCCTCTTGGGGATGATTCAAGTATCATTATAAATCTTGTCTTCACTATCTACGTCGTGACTGACGAAGCGTCCCCATTGAGAGGGATAATTATCCACTATATTGCTTTTTATGCAGAGCGGTTTGTTCAGGAATATAGGTTTAGAGAGATACTGAAGCTGTATGAGTATATAGCAATTGGGATCTTACCAGTGGTGCTGTGATAGGCTACATGTGTTCAAGGCTTGCATGTTTGTTTTGTTCGGCTTATCAATCAGTTACACAGTAGGATAAAGTTCTGACACCATATTGTTATTCAATATTCCCGGTTTGAATCCACCAATCGTAAAATACATCTAATCTAAAACTGGTCCATTCAGGGAGGATTCAGCATTCGAATCGCTTCGGATGGCTTCGAGTGTGGAGATGGAAGTGCCAGCTCAGCCTTGCCATCTTATCAACTGCCAGCTCACTATTTAATTCAGCCCTGCTCTGCTTTCATCTTACCCAAACCAATCCTTCAATACAAAGAACTACAAGATGTCCGACGACGAAAAGTGAATAGACCTACCCATTTTCAATGCCTTGGCTGACTAAAAACAGTAACAACAAATGGAGATACGTTACCTTTCTGGTCGGCGAAGGCCACATCCCAATACAAATCCATGCTGCAAAAATTGAGAGCATGTCTCCTACACTGACGAACCTGATGAACGATACATTGAAGAAAACAGGTCTCGAATCTGTTCCGCTCGACTGGGTCGATACGGATACCTTTCAAGCATTTCAACAATTCGCCTACGCCCGCGCCTACGATACACCCAGTCTTCCACCGCGCTCATATCCCGGACTGGAGTCTGACTCGGACGTGGATGACGAGGAGGATGAATTTGGATTCGATTATCCGGAGACAGATGATGAAGGCCTCCAGCACAAGTTTGATTTCCTCAAGTCCTGTCGAACGGACGCTGATGCGACGATGAAATTCATCCGGGACCAAGAGGAAATCCAGGATAATCTCAATGAACGGCTTTGGAGAAGCTTCCAGGACCTAAGGTATGATGGAAGCAAAGTCCGACCCGTGCCTTGTGCGGATCTGAGTTTCCATGTAAAGCTATACGGCTTCGCAACAGAGCACTTTATTGAGCCATTGCGTCAAAAATGCCTAAAATCCCTCCATCGAGATCTCTGTTGTTTCCCATTTCATAAGAAGCACGTGCACCTTATTGCCGATCTCCTTGTTTCCGCCTACAGAGAGGATTGGCACCCAGAGACTCCATTGCAAAAGTTGGTAATTCACTATGTCGCCTGTTATGCACGGATGCTTCTTCCAGACGAACAGTTCCAGCGTGCCCTCCGACGGGATGAGCATATAGGGGCGGATCTCTTATTGAAGCTGGTGATGAGTGACTGATATGATATGGGTTGGGATGTATTGATGTTCATTTGCGCTGGAGATTATTAAAGATATAGTTGAATTTTATGGAACTGACAAAAGTATACACACGTGAATGAGATATCAGAAAGAAAGACCGGTGCATAAATTATGTAGTAGACGGTTTTATTCTGTTGGTAGAGATCACCTGGTGCACAGGTCAACCGGAATCAGAGAAGACCCTATACTATAAGAGTGGATGTTGTCTATTGTTAGTTACGGCATCAAGGTATATATTTTGCCCTGAGGAATCCATCGACCTGTAACTGGTGTTCTGACTACTCTCGAACAAGCATTTACAACACAAATAATCATATATCAATTACACAATATCCAGTTTCTCTTTATCAAGACCATCACGATACGCCTCCAACAACCTTCTTGCCTCAGAATGACCAGGAGTATTATCCTCTATTGCACCTAATGCGCACTCCACTTCCTTGCGACGACCATCCAAATTCCCCCAAAATTTCTCGAGCAGCAATTCCACAACGACAGAATGACCCTTCTGTGCCGCAGAGTAAAGAGGCCCACAATGATAATTGTCCAGTGGATGCCAGGCAAGAACGGTCATCTCGTCCTCCAGCAACCGCTTAACCACCTCCACATGACCATAACTCGCAGCGAAGTTGAGAGCGGAACGAGGGATTTTCACATCTGGTGAGTGCTGATGATAATCTCTTGTCTTTTGCGAGGCCAGAATCTCGTTGACGGTGGAGAGATCGCCATGTCCAGCAGCGTCGATGATGCTCTTTCTTGATTGCTCCATTAATGCCGTTCGGAAGAGGGATTCGAGAGGGTGTTTACGTGCGTCTAAGCGAACGATAGGGTCATAGTTGATGTATGACCGTAGTAGCTCTCTCAGAATCTGGGATGCTTCGTCTCTATCGCATGGTGAAGAGGAGTGACAGTGGTACATGTATGCTGCCAGTGGATCTTCGTACGGTTTGTTAGGTCTCCGTGCAATCTCCCAAAGAAGAGAAATCATATTGGCGATTCCCATGATCAGGACAAGGATCTGCCCAGCGGAATCGGACAGTGCACCGACGTTCAGCTGGTTGGCATGAATCATCCGCTCGGCTGAGATAATCGCTGCCAGTGGAGGAATGAAATTGATAAACAGCCAGTGAGTCACTCTCAAGGCTAGGATAACGATCCGTCTGGCGTATGGTTTTTTCCACTTGAACCTTGCAATTATTCTCGGCACCCGAGGTCTGAGGAATCCCCTGGACATGGCCGGGATAGAGGGAAACGGCAAACCGCAGTGTACGCCGCGCCTCCTTGCCAGGTCATACTTTTCTACCTTCTTCCCGTTTTCACTCCAGTATTCAAAAGTATGGATCATGAGGAGAATGAAAAAGAAGACCACTGAGAGAATCGCCCAGGCAGTTGCAAATGATCGCCAGCGATGATCATACAGATCGAAAACGCCAAAGAAGGCAGCTTTAGCAGAACAGGAGGTAGGTTCAGTATGGTGGATTCCTTTCAACCAGAACCATGCCCCCAAGACAGACACTGCGAGACAGATCAGATTATATAGGATAAGTGGTATATCAGGCAGAAGAGTATATCTGTATCCGGATCGTCTCTCCCCGTTGCTCTGTCTGTAGAGATTATACCCGTCAGGGTAGAATAGCACCACAATCAGATAAAATGTGATCAGGAAATCCAGAGAAAGAGATCGTGAATGTACAATGTCAGAAACAAGTTTGGAGAATATCATGCAGGAAATTAAATTGACGCTCATCCGGATGCGGGACAGCGTGCTCCATGACCCACGGCCCGATGCACGGAGGATCAACAGAGCAGCCCAGTGGAGGTACAGTCCGAGTCGGATACCAATACCGTAGAGCTCTCCCGATACATGGTTCGTACAGTCCATGATGACTACCCTCTGGATGGACAGTGAAATGAAGATGGAGGTTGAAAATTCAGACAAGGCTGACCCTTTCACGTGAGAGGGTGTGTTCTGATTGGCTGCGAAATGGGGCCAAATTGATGATATTCCGTTTCATCGCCAAAAAAGATATGCGATTAGGTAAGATCATAGCCTTATTCCACATATGGCATCAATAGTGGCCGGATGTGCTTTTGGGTGATGCAACTTGCATTAGGCTAGGTTAGCCTGGCTGAAGGTAGCCGCTCAACCTTTCTTAACATCAACAACCATCATCATGAAATATACATAGACCGTCCTTTCTCTATACTTGATCAATAATGTCGAGCTCTACTACTTCAGCATCATCCCGGAGGCGCAGCATACGTAACCCCCTGCACAACCCCCTACCAGCCTCGCTATCCAGTACGTGCCGATCACATTACCCCGCGCCTGGAAATGTCTGACCTCACCAGGCGAATGCAAAAAGGCAGGCGAGATATTAGAATCATTCGTCAATCCGCAATTCTTCAGCCTTGACGTAGGAATCCCACGCAAAGTTCTTGCTCACGCCAAGGTTCGTCACATTTTCCTATAACAGACCAACTGCTAAATATCCCAGGGCCTCGCCATCTTCACATCCCTGAGAATAGGATTCTTGGGCTCCGCACGCTTTGGATCCGGGCTTATCGTCGCTCGTCTCTCCGATGGCAGCTGGTCAGCCCCGTCTGCCATGGCGACCGGTGGACTTGGATTCGGAGGACAGATCGGCATTGAATTAACTGATTTTGTGTTTGTGCTGAACGACGAGCAGTCAGTAAGAACTTTCACCCAGGCAGGGTCTGTCACACTAGGCGGCAACGTTTCACTCGCAGCAGGCCCGTTCGGACGCACTGCCGAAGTGGGTGGTGCCTTGGGCAAGAAAGGGGTGGCGGGCATGTTTGCTTATTCCAAAACGCGTGGACTATTCGGCGGGGCGACCATTGAGGGTGGGATGATTGGGGAACGGCCAGAGGCTAATCAGAAGATGTATAAAAGGAGGGTAAAGGTGAAGGAGTTGCTCAGCGGTGCGATTCCACCACCGCCAGAAGCTGAGCCCCTGATGAGTGTTCTGAACAAGGACACTTTTCGCGCTGAGTCGCCTTCTCCGCCGTCGATGATTCGGTCGCAGGATATTCACGACTATATGGCGGAATTGCCTGCGCAGAAGGCGACTGACCCACCGGTGGGAATTCCCGAGTTGGATGCTGGTGAGGATACTCAGGTACATCCCCAGGTGACGGGGCTGCCAGCTAAGAATCCGCTTGGTAATCCTGAGATACCGCCGGTCGATGACCAGGTAACTCCTACACAGACTTCGAATAAGTAGGTATATGTTTAGGGTCTACCATGAGACGTGCGATGGCAACGGCAATTTTTATCAGCGTAAAGAAGAGATTGACGGGGTGGTTGGTGTATAAATGCGCAGTCAAGACGATATGTTTAATGTGAAATGAAGATAATGTCCTCTATATATGCACTGCTCTATTAGAAACAATATATACAATTTAACTGAATCATACCTCGTCATAGATTTACAACTCACACTATACACTAACCACCCTGGGAACTGACTGCACCATCCCAATATTCGAAGCCGTAGAACTAGCCTCCCTATCCCCACCATCCACATTCTCTGCTTTATCAACCTTCGCGCTCTCAGCATCGAGTATCCCCTCTTTCATATACCGCTGTTGCCGGCGATACATGCGCCAAAAGACAAGGCTGCCGTGGATCTGCGCAGCAGAAAATGCAATATGCAGTAATGGAGTAGCCACCTTGAATGCGATTTCCCATTTATTCCACAGACTTCCGAAGAGCCACATTGTGACGATTGTCTCGCAGAGTGTCCCAGTAGCGGTGGTGATGCAGGAGAGAATAAAGACACGAGCAAGGAAACGGTGACGGGTGGGAAAGACGCGGTAGAGAACGATGGCGACGTGAGGGAAGAATTCCGAGATGATGTCGAATGCGCCTTCATTATACTGTTAGTATTCATCATCTGTCGAGGCTGAAGGGACGTACCCCAAACAGTGCAAAGAATAAACTCGATATCTGCATCTGGCTCTCTCGCTAACCTTAGGCTGATTGCAATCGCAGACTGTCCAATGAGGATGGTTCCGACATGGTGCATCACTGCGACCGGCGACAGTTTCACTCGGTAGAGAAGTTCAAATATATACATGGCGATCAACATCTGAGCGACAATAATGAGAACATCGCCCATCGTGACCGGGGAGTCTTCGACGAACGGTGTGTGGAAGGTCGATTTTCCAAATGTGACGCAGATAAACGGATAGGCAGCGATGATTAAAATAATAATTTTGGTTGTTCCGGCGATGTGGTGGTTGATGAATCCCCGACGGTTTAACTCGTTCATGTCTGTGAAGATGGTGCCGTACAGTCGACGGATCAGGAAACCTTCGAGAATGTAGAATCGTATGAGGAAAAGAATGACTAGAATGATTGAGATAATCAGGCCGGAGAATGGAGCCAGTTTGGAGATGGACTCCAATGGCTTGTTTTGGAGGTAATGGCCATGGCGAGTAAAGATGTTCATCTGGATGTGTAGTGTAGCAAAGAGTGGCAAATAAAGATTTGATAAGATAGAAGGTAAACGCTAATAAGGGAGGAATGGAAGTCCGAGACAATCAACTGAATGCCATTGAGATGAAAAAAAAAAAAAAAAAAAATACAAAGGTAGCAGCAATGCTAAAATCCAGCAGAAAAAAGGAGGCTCACACGACATTTAAGAGAGATTTCCATCTCGCCACAATCTGCTTCTCGAAAGAGGCCAAACCACCAAACAGAGTTTACACGAACAGTCCTACTCAATTCAGGTTAAACCACCTTGTCGTCCAACATGTCAATCAAGGGTCCTGATATCTGATTGGCTGTTCTATATTAAGCGGGGGCCAAGCTTTCGGGGTGGGAAGCTTCGCTCGGATCGCTTGTCGCTGATTGGTCTGTTTTTCCGTGTTTCAGGGACGGTCAAGGGACACGTGGGGGCTCGTCCAGGGGCACTGCCAGGCAGCAGAGTAACCTGGATCATTCAAGATGGGCCATTGGTTGCCTTGGTCGATCTGCTGACTGTGCAGGTAAGGCTATCAGGTCTGCTTGATTAAGGACTTCAGGAGCCGAGGGAAGAAATAAGAGGGCTGTGATGGTGATGCAAATTACTGCTGGCATGAGGGAATCGATCATTTAAATTAGAAGGGCGCTTGTAGCCAATCAGTCACGAAGCCATGGTTTGCCTCCCCGCTGTAATCTCCACCTGTCGGCAAACCTCTCACTTCAATATGATTGAATTTTACTGTACAGATCGTGTCCTCTTTCTAGCTCATTCCGTCGGCTGTATTGATTTAATTCAAGATATTAGTATTTCCAGCATCTTCAGTAGCCTCCCAGGGTAAATGAATTTAGTCTATCTAAATGAGCAAGCTGATCAGTGAGTCCGCCCTCTAACCGTCCCCTCAATCCCATACAAATCACTATACAATCTCCATTCATAATCCATACTAGGGTCATTAAACCTTGCCTTGGCATCCAGCGTCTCAATAGCCTTCATATCCTCCTCTGCCAACTCAAAATCAGCAGCCAGGTTCTCCTCCATCTGCCAGTCGACCACACTCTTCGGAATGACAGATCGGCCATTGTTGATGCCCCACGCGAGGACAATCTGCACCGGCGTCTTTCCGTATTTCTGTCCGATCTTCTTAAGTAGCGGCTGGTCGATCACCCGCATCATGTTTGCAATGTCCTTGGCCCACCCGGTTTGGCGGTAGAAATCGTTCATGTTTCCGAGTGGGCTGAATTGGACGACATGGATGCCTTTTGAACGGAGCCATTCGTTGAATTGCTTTTGTTGGAGGTAGGGGTGGACTTCCATTTGGTGGACGGCGGGGGGCTGTATACCTTATTAGTATTTATATATCGTTATGATAAGTGTCCCTACCGTAGTGCATTCCCTTAGCAAAGTCTCAATCTCCCCCTTGCTAAAATTCGACACTCCAATTGCTCTCGCCTTTCCAGTCTTGGTGAGCTTTTCCATTGCCTTCCACGTATCCACAAAGGTCGTCTCGCCATGAATCATCCTCCCGTCGGCATCTCGGGGAAACCGTTCTGATCCTCGAGCAAACGTGCACGGATAATGCATAAGCAGCAGATCGACATACGGGGTATCAAGATCTCGCAGAGAATCATCGACAGCACGCTCCACATCCTCGGGATGGTAATCACTGCACCACAGCTTCGTGCAGAGGAACACGTCCTCGCGGGGAAGACCACTCTTTTTAATTCCCCTCCCTACTTGCTGTTCGACATTGTAGACTCGAGCAGTATCAATTAGACGCATGCCATTTTGCAAAGCGAGACTGACAGTGTCTTCCTGGGACTCGGGATCTTGGAAGGTGCCGAAACCCAGAGCGGGGATTTTGGCGCCGGTGTTGAGGGTATGTTGGGTTGCGCGGGTTGCGATGCTGCGGACGAAGGATTGGCCTTGCATTGCTCGTGAAGGTAGGGACTTTCCGAGCATGGAAAGTCGTGCAGCGTTTGCGGAGAGGGAAGCCATGTTCAACGAACTCCAACGGTTGGACCTTGATTCGCGAGTTGTGTTCTGGAGAAGAAAATTGATCGAGGATGTTCAGATATAGGTATATATATATGTGAGGGTTATTATTTGGTCAATATATTCTCAGTCACAGCAGGGAATCAATCGAAGGAAAAAACATTATCAGAGGAGCAAGACAGGAAACAAGATAACAAGTAGCGTGCTCTGGAGAGATGCGGGTTGGTATGCACAGTACTGCGGGGGAGCCCTCGCCTCGGGGGCGCCAAGAAACACACGAGGCGAGGGCGTTTCCCAGCTATCACAGCTTTATGGTTTACACTTGGCAGATGCAGCCTTATGATAGTTTATCACAGGATGTAATGTTGATTAACGACAGGATCTCTTTGCCGTAGGAGATGGTCTCGCCAAACATAGGGTGGAGAAGAAAGGTCTAGTAAACCATGATGTGATTCGCACAGCACGCATCGCCTTGTATGGCGGAGGTATGTTGACAAGTCTCTCTAAAATCTACATCTAAGATGGTCAAATATTTCAGTATACATAGTAGCCAACGACTGCTCAGTCAAACACCAGAGCTGCCTTGATAACGCTTTTATTCTTCATCGCATCAAGGCATTCCTGCCATTCTTCAACTTTGAAAGTCCTGTTCACAATCCCTTCAACCCGGACTCTGCCTGTGTCTACAGATTATCAGCTTTCGTTCTCAGAATTAGCAAGGATATCGTACCAAGATAGTCAATCGCAGTCGGGAATTTGTGCATCTGACTGAACGATCCCAGAATCTGAATCTCATCCTTGAAGATCTTGTTTGGAGATAGAGAAATTTTGTCTTCATCCTTGTACACGCCATACACGACAAGCTTTCCTCCTCTCCGTACATAATGAATAGCATCTTCAAGGATTTGAGCGCTTCCAGTTGCCTCAACCACAATGTCGAATCGATAAGGATTCTTATCCTGTAGTCCCTGAAGTACTACTCGAGCATCCTCCCTTCCACGCGGCAACTCAATATAATCATCACCAGCATTGAGAGATCTCGCAAGATTCATCTTCAGTCCTCCCGGAGCCGCAATAACCACCTGGCACCCCCCATTCAATCGAAGCAGCTGAGCCAGAATCAGTCCCGTTGGACCAGCACCAAACAAAAGAACCCTGGATCCAGGCTTGGGGGCAATCTTATCAAGGCCATGCGCCGCGCAAGCAGCAGGTTCAAGCAATGTTGCATCCGTGTCAGACAGATTGCGAAAACCAAACACCCTATGCGATGGATACACAGCATACTCGGCGAACCCGCCATCGACCATGACGCCGTGGGCGATGAAGTTCTCGCAGAATATCTCGTCGCCGCGACGGCAGTAGAAGCATTGCCCGCAGAGCTCGGAGTTTTCTGCCACAACGCGATCTCCGACCGTGAAGCCTTTGACGTTGGCGCCGAATGCTGCCACTTCGCCGACGGTCTCGTGGCCGGGGACGAGTGGGAACTGTGATATTAGCTATCATGGATGAAATCATGTGGGTGTATCGTACCTGCGCCCCGAATCCACCGTCATGGATGTGCAAGTCGGTACCGCAAATACCGGAGGCCTTGACTTTGATCTATACCATCATCAGCGACTATATCTGAGCAGCAAGGGTCAAAATACCAATATGTCATGGTCCCGGATGTTTGGAAGAGGCAGTTCAGCAACGCTGAACTTGGTGGCTTCGGAGTATTCTAGTTTTCATTTAGATCAGCACTGGTTTATTGTGGCAAATATGTATGGGATAAATATTACGCAGGGCCTTCATCTTGGGAGGTAGGTTGAAAGTCGTCATTTTGATAGACTACGCAAATGACTGATTGATGTTGGTTGCAAGACACGGCAAAGACATTCAGTTGTTATCAATGGAGATGCGGGGAATATGGGATGTTCTCTTATAATTCTTCCAATGTTCAGGTTTTATTCGTGACGGGCCATGACGAGGTCAATGCTATCCGTATTGGACCAGGATGAAAATGCTCGACTCGAGGCATCCCCACCTTGGGCAATGCCAGCCAATGCTGAGATATATATAATCAGCAGGACTCATTCATCTACCATATGTATAGGAGGAGATACTAGCTCAATTGTTTCTTGATAAAATCGTGTCCAAAATGACCTGGCGCGACTCCAACATCCACAACCGCATCCTCCGCGACGCCGAAGCCGGCAAGTACGGCGTCATCGCAGCGATCGCATACAACATCGAGCAAATTCTGGGCCTCGTTCAAGCAGCCAATACCGCCCGGTCGCCACTCATTATCCAATTCTTCCCATGGGCGATCGAAGCCTCGAATGGGTTACTCGTGCGCACTGCAGCAGACGCCGCGAAACACGCAGATGTGCCCATCAGCATCCACCTCGACCATGCGCAGTCGGAAGCCATGATAAAGCGGGCTGCCGATACGCTTCCCTTTGATAGTATCATGGTTGACATGTCGCATTATGAGAAGGAGACCAACCTGGCCAAGACGCGGGAGCTGGTTGAATATTGTAACCAGCGAGAGATTGCGACTGAGGCCGAGCCTGGTCGTATTGAGGGAGGTGAAGATGGAGTCATGGATACGGCTGGCTTGCAGGCATGTATGACGACGCCAGAGGAGGTGGAAGAATTCGTGGGCACTGGAGTGGATGCTCTGGCACCGGCTTTTGGCAATGTGCATGGCGAATATGGACCTCGGGGACCAGACTTGGATTTTGAAAGGTATTCATTATTTCCCTTTGATTACTTCTATTGGATCGGGACTGACGAAAGATGAAAGGTTCAATCAAATCCGCTCCCACGCAAATGGAAGAGTGCGTCTAGCCGTTCACGGCACGAATGGATTTGCTCCGGAGCTGCTGCAGCGTTGCGTGGAAGCCGGAGTCACCAAGATCAATGTCAACCGGCTGGTGCTGGACGACTACTACGATCATCTACGGGTGAGTGTGGGCAAGATGCCGCATACGCAGCTCATCGAGGAGGGCATTCAGAAGGTGGCGGATCTTACGGTGAAGTGGATGGAGATTTGCGGGTCTGCTGGAAAGGCATAGAGAGAGATAGACAATAGATAGATAGAAGTGAAATGAATATTACTGTATATATCTATCGAAAGTTCCGTCACGTACATGATGTAGTACACATGAAGCACGACTTCCAATAAGACAAGGAATTTTAGGAATTTTCAGAATAATCCAAACCCTTCATATCCATCTGGTGTTGAATACGATTCTGAAACGGTCGATGCAACCTATTCGCAGCGCATGTAATTTGATTGAATCCTTTCTGTGTGACCTCATCTATCCACATTTCAGCTGTCTCGTCACGAACTCAACCCCGCGCGACATCGCGTCGAGGTCGTTTCATCAGCGATCGTCGGAATATCTTCAGAAATAGAACGTCATAATAAATAAATGGCTATAAATATGATGGATAGCACTTGAATCACTGTTAACTATCACCAACAATCCTTCATTCATCATCATGTCTCCTGCATCCACTGAAACTCCCTCCGCACCCCAGACCCAGATCACCCTGGGCTCCAAGGTGATTGCGAGTACGGAATCAAATGACTTTCTATGTGAGCTCAGCTAATTGCGATTCTCTAGTCACCGGCGCCAACCGTGGAATCGGCCTCGGAGTCGCAGAATGCTGCCTCTCCAACGGCGCATCCCGCGTCTACTCGATCGACATTGGCGAAACCGGCGAGGAATTCGCCAGCCTTTCAAAGCGCTATCCAGGCCAGCTTTTCGCAGTGACTGCCAATGTAACCCAGGAAGCCACAATCACAGCTGCGATTGACCAGATCATCGAAGAGGCCGGTGCATTGCATGGAATGGTGGTCAATGCAGGACGGACGCACCACAAGGCAGCGCTGGACTTTACCCAGGAGGAAATTGAGAACTTGTTCAATGTGAATCTCTTTGGGGCGTTTTATTCAGCTCGAGCGGCTGCGCGCGCATTCATCAAGCTGGGCATCAAGGGATCGATTGTCTTTACGGCTTCAATGGCCTCGTACCGTCCCAACAAGGTATGCTTCCTTCACCTTATTACCCACAGCCACAACTAACTTGATAAGCGCGTCCCATCAACCCCCTACGGCGCCTCAAAAGCAGGAATCCGCAACATGACACACACCCTCGCCATGGAATGGGCGCAGTACGGCATCCGCGTCAACAGCGTCTCCCCGGGTCTCGTCAAGACAGCCATGACATACTGGGTGCCTCAGCAGCCAGATTGGGAACAGCAGCTCAAGTACTATGGAGGATTTCCCCGTCTGGCCGAAGTACAAGAGTTGGGTGGTGCGTATGTGTACTTGCTGAGTGAGGCAGCCAGCTATACGACTTCGATTGATATCCCGGTTAACGGGGTCATTGGCAGTAAGTGTCTATATTTTTGTACTTGGGGGACTGTGCTGACTTGGCAGTTTGTTGATTGTTGGTCGGTATATAGACGAGATAGCATATTCAATTCTAATATTTTTGTTATATATTGTACAATTGGTCCAGTGGTTCTCATGTAGGGAGACTAGTATCAATACACTGTCTATCGTTATTCAATGATAGACAGACAGCACATGACACCGGATACTTCATTGATCGAATGAGGAGTACAAAATAATCCACCTGGACTCATGAATCACAATAGATCTCATGTTAACTAGCACCTCTGCAACAAAAACTGTCATCATTAATTTTTTTTTTTTTTCTTTTTTCTTTTGTCTCATCAATCATCCTATGACAAAAAAGCGACTGACACTTGACGTTATCAAAATTGCAAATGAACAGGCCTGGTGCTTTAATTTCCTATTTACCAGAGGCTTTCAAGTCCAATCATCTAGATCCCAGCAGAGAACGACGTTGAGACCCGATAATGGCTAAAATCAAGGCCGGCCAGCCCTCGTTTCGTGGGCTCAACACGGGAACCCCGCATTCCCGCCAAGAAATCCACACCAGCAGGACACGACACGAGCAACAGCTGAACTGATAGACACATGGCTAATGATGGCATAGGAAACCATCCCGGCTCGAGGGTACTTTTTCATACAATTGCGATTTGAATCTGATTAATGTTTAGAAAGACTGGATGAGAATCGATGGCGCACTGCGCTCTTGATATTCACTCGACCTCCACGGAGTAGATAGACGAAATTCAGCTGCTAAGGAAAATACCCAATTGGATGGTTTCTATTTTATTCCAGCTGTGTTTTAAGCTGCAACCTACAGCAAGTGTTCATTTTCATCGAATGCTTTCGATTGGATGGTACGTCTTTTGCACAGCTACGTGAGAAATATGTATAGGAATGAGAACGTGAATTTTTACACATCATATTTTTTGTCTGCCCATTTAGCAATGAATACACCGGACGAAGCCTTCAGTCTAACATTCTAAGGCAAAGTGAATCCTCCATCCACCACAATATTCGACCCAGTCATATAGCTCGACGCATCAGAGGCACAGAAGAGATACACCTGATACTCCGTTAGAATAGTTCCTGCTTGAAACATCCATAACTTACCCCTTTCAACTCAAACGGAGACGCAAATCGATGAGCAGGAATCTGACCACGAGCAACAAAAAAATAGCAGCAGAATGCATACGCAGGATGGATTTCCACAGTCGGTGCAAAGGTAGAGATGGGCATTCAAGCTACTCCTGACGATAGAGAACATGTTGTGAATCGACTTGCAGTGGTAGCTGGTACATCAACCTACCATCCCGCCATGTCGCACGATGAAGTCTTCGTGCCTGGCGTTTGCGGCCCATATCGTGACGTCCTCCTCCCGGATGCCTTTATGGCTGAGGGTGGTCAGTCAGCGACAGGGGAGATGATACGGCATGTACTTGAGAGCCATCCCTCATACCAGACTGCAAAGGAAGCGGCAGACCAGGCCGATGTGAGTGTCTATGACTACCTCAATGGTATGATACGCTAGCAGGCCCGGAGAGAGCAGGCATCATCCATTCCGTACATTGCACGGTACTTCTTCTACGGCGACCTCTGGGGAAATCGGTCTCCAATCGCAGACGCTCGCATGACAGGGGCTGCCATCGGACTGAGAAGCGATAAATCTATTGACAGCCTCGCGCTGCACTACTACGGGGCACTGGAATTTATCGCGCTACAAACTCGCCAGATTGTTGAAACAATGAACGAGCACGGCCACCAAATTACATGCATCTCCATGTCTGGCTCACAGACTCAGAATGATGATCTTCTGGTTGGATTGATTGCGTCTGCATGCAATATTCCGATTGTCGTTCCTGAGTACGAGCATGCCGCAGTGTGCCATGGAGCTGCAATGTTGGGAGTCAAAGCTGCAAGTGGCAGTGATGGAGGAGAGCCGAAGGATTTATGGAGCATCATGGGGGAAATGAGCAGGCCTGGTCGATGTGTGCAGCCGAGTACAGATATGGATGAGCAGCGACTGTTGCAGGTCAAGTATGAGGTGTTTCTGGATATGTGTATCAAGCAGCGTGAGTACCGCAGCCTAGTTGATGGACGGCTTAAGGGAAGGGCCTAGCTAGTTTGGTTCATTCTCGAAATTGGTGAGATGATGAAATAGGTGCATATGTTAGTGTAAGGAATGAGATAGATTGTAACAAACATAGCCATGCATTCACAGTAAACCAAGGTCTGTTCGCCCAACCAGGCAGGAGTGTTTATTAGTAAATAGGATCGTTAAATCTGCCAAAATAGGAAAAAATAGCCATTTTCTATCTTGCTTCATCGCGATGCGCTCGACTCGAGGGATACTTACAGTGTGAAATAGTCTTTCCCCGCAAGACTATCCCCACAAAGCTTACGGCTACCCCGGACTCGATCCAAGGAATGGGATGTTGACGGCATGGCATGAGCAGGTTCCAAAGTTCGGGCTCGACGTGCGGGAAGAAGAAACACTATATATAAACCTCCCTTCTGCCATTTTTCATGCTCAGATTCACTCGCCATACTTGCCTTTCCAAATAGCCAGGATGATCGACGACGAACGAGCAGGATGGAAGATTACGAGCAAGCTGCAAAGGGGGAAACTGCTGGCAGGTGTTAATTGCCTTGCTGGGTTGGCTATCTTCTTCTTTGGTTTGTCTTCCATCCTGGCCTTTCGCTATGACAAGCAAACTGACAAATGAAGGATATGACCAGGGCATGATGGGTGGAATCAACAACTCCAACGCATACCTGCAGCAGATGGGCATCGGACACGTGGAGAATAAGGAAGCGGTGGTCAAGAATAGCCTCCTGGAGGGTGGCATTGTGTCTGTGTATTACCTCGGGACATTGGTCGGATGTTTCCTGGGCGGATCAGTCAGTGACAGATTCGGCCGGATAAAATCCTTTGCCTTTGGTGCAACCTGGGGTATCATCGGTGCCACGCTGCAATGCACAGCGCAGAATCCAACCTGGATGATCATAGCACGATTGATCAATGGTATTGGTACGGGCGTGTTGAATGGCACGGTTCCAGTGTATGGCTCTGAGATAGCGGAGTATCATTCACGAGGGCAGTTCATCGCGATGGAATTTACCCTGAACATATTTGGTGTTGTCGTGGCGTACTGGCTGGGATTTGGGCTGAGCTACGTTGACAATGGCCAGTCCGAGTTCCAATGGCGATTCCCAGTTGCATTTCAGAACGTGATGCTGTTGACTCTGCTGGGTGCTTGTTGGTTCTTTCCAGAGTCCCCTCGTTGGCTTTGCATGGTGGGCCGTCGTGAAGAGGCACTCTATGTTCTGACCCGTCTGCGGGGAGAAGGTGAAGCTGCACAGACAGAGTTGATGGAAATTGAAGTTGTTGTTGAACTCGAACAAGAAGCCAAACACACCTCTTACTTCCATATGCTCTTTGGCTTTGGGGGGGAAAACTTGCATATTGCCCGAAGAGTGCAGCTTGTGATTTGGTTGCAGATTCTGCAAAGCTGGTCCGGAATTGCAGGCGTCACCATGTATGCACCGAGTACGTATCCATCCAGACATCGATCCCAGTGACAAGAGACTAACGAGTTATAGCCATCTTTAGCATTGCAGGATTTGACTCGCAAAAGGCCCTCTGGATATCCGGTTTGAACAACATCTTCTACACCTTGGCCACTCTCATCTGTGTCTTCACATTGGACCGCATTGGTCGTCGATGGACGCTCTGGTGGGGAGCCGCAGGACAGGCAATCACCATGTTCCTTGCCGGCGGACTTTCCCGTGGGGGTCTGAATGATACTGCACACCAGGAAGCGTGGGGAATTGGCGCCACGTCCATGGTGTATCTATATACCTTCATCTTTGGAGCCACATGGCTTACAGTGCCGTGGCTCTATCCGGCGGAGATCTTCCCGTTGAAGCTTCGTGCAAAAGGTAATGCGTGGGGTGTTGTCGGTTGGAGTTTAGGGAATGGGTGAGTTCTAGTAAACAGTTTATGATATTGGAACCATGCTAAAGAATAAGCTCACTCACTTTGGCCCTCCCGTACATCTTCAGTGCCATTGGAGAGGGCACATTGTATGTGTTTGGAGCTGTCAATCTAATTAGTATTCCAATTGGTATGTCTAGCCCTAGATATGATCCTACATTTTCTGACGGGCGAAGTCTGGGCTCTCTATCCCGAATCCAGTCAACGCACTCTCGAGGAAATCGATCTTCTTTTCACTGCCAAATCGCCCTGGGTCTGGGCGGCTGAGGCCAACTTCGAGGCTCTCAGGGCGGAAAACCCAGAGTTGGGGGCTTCCAGACATGGCGGAATCTCCGATAATGAGAAGGTGTATGGGTCTGCAGAGCACGCGGATAAAGTCTAGGATATAGTATGGTGGATGAGAATATTTTCGAGCAATTTAGACGCCACCTCGCTTTCAGTCTCTCCAATTCTTCCTATGAGCTAAACAATTCTCCGTTTTCGATTATATCCTCTTCATAGCTAATACAATCTCGAGTCCCATCATCCTGGCAATCGTCCCAATGATCATTATAATCATCATTGTTAAAGATATACCATGACATGCCTGGTATCGAAGGGGGTGGAATAAAAGTAATATCGCTGATGTGATATATGACTGACAGTAGGCAGCACAGAAACCTCTATTTTCTCGCTCTCTATTTCTGCAAAATACAACCACCAAGACGAAGTCTGAAAACTCCATCCTGCTTTTAGACGTGCTATATGACAGTCTGGAGTAAGCTGGAAAATGTCCTCACGCAGTATTAGTACAGAGAATAATAGGTGTGGGATGAACGATTCCTTATTCTGTGGCGGATGTTTGAAAGGTTTCTCTGTACATTCTATCATTACCCACCACACGATGGGCAATTCCCGTTGGCGTATATCTACTGACCGAACCAATTAGATTGCTTACGAAATACACTAAACTGTGTGGACGAGATTAGGCTTCCGGCGTCAAAGTGAAGACGAAGATACCCGAATCAGGCAGCTGATAACGAGGCAAGTGGTTCCGGCCGCGTGAAACCCGCAATCTGCGGGGCTCGGAATGACCTGCCTTTTCCGCTTATCTCAACGCAACGACCACATTCCACACGACATTGGCATATCGTTCCGTCAGCATATTAGGGGTGGTAGCCATCATGAGTCGACGCGTCCACTCCTTGGGAGGCTGCAAGACCTGCCGTCGGCGCCACATCAAATGCGACAAGACCCGTCCCGCCTGTCGCCAATGCACTGTTCGCGATCTCCCGTGCGAGGGATACCCCGTAGACATTCGATGGATGCCAGCCTCGAGTGATGAGAATAGTAGCAGGAGGAAGCAAGAATGTGACTCTGCTGAAAGCCTCGGGATCCGTCATTATATGTACACTGGCAAGTCAACCATAGACCCAGAAGGACTACGTGCTGATTCGGATAAGAACATGCCAGGCGTTCGATGAGCAATACGACAAGCAATAGTCTCCGCGATGGCTCTGTAGATGTGTCTCTACGGGAAATTGATGCACGTTCTTCTGACCCTGGCTTTACATCGAAGGAGCAGCATGCGGTTGGCCCCTTTGCTGTGTTGAATTTCTCAAAACCTCCAGATGAGCCAGAAAATGAGCCAGAAAATGGGGCTATCAACCCCCCAGGCAGCGATGCAGATGGCTATGCCCACTTGAATGGTTCGAATGATGGAGTATCGACAACTGCCAGGCTTGACGTGCCTTGCCAGGACGGTCTCCTACAATGGTCCGACCTCTTCAATTTCAACGACGATCTATATAGTCTGGCATCTGATCTCTTCAAGGATGATCAGACAGCCCTTGACCTGACATGTCCGCAAACATACCCTCCCGGGGACACCATTATCGAAGGCTCAGATCCGTTTCAAAACATCCCCGCGACACCGCAATATCCCATCGTGGACCTTTTAAAAGACGCTGGATTGTTATTAAAACATTTTCACAAGGCTGTCACGCCGCAATTAACGGTTGTTACGCCGAAAAAGACCCCCTGGGAGATTCTGAACGTTCCCGCTGCGATGGAAACATTGGGGCAGTTGACAGCCCTGGGATCCGACGGCATTAGCCATGCTCGGCTGGCGAACTTTTACAGTCTTCAGGCCTGCAGTGCTATTCATTTGACAGGGATGGCCGAGCCCAGTTCAAAGGACTATTGGAGAAGGATATCAGATCAGGCCTATACAGAAGCAAAGCATCATATGAAGCTATCACTAAGCAAGGAGTCCGAGGGCCCAAACAAAGCGAAATTCAAGGACCAGATGATGGCACTGTACGGGGTAGCGGAATGCGCAGTAAGAAGCTCTTACCATGAGGAATACCATAGGACTAACTCTCTTAGATATTCTCCTGCCAGCAACGAGACGCGAGATGCTACCTGATGGATGCCGAGCGGCTATTACGTTCTCGGGGCTTGTGTAAGAAGAGAATATCGAGAAAGGTCCGCCTATTAGTAAATGTTTACACCTGGCTTCGCATTGTCGGGGAGAGCACCTACGTCCTGCACAACTATTCTTCAATCGAATCCTTTGTCGAGACAATGAACGAGCGCTGCCGGCCGCGGGAGTCAATCGTGAGAGACATAAATTCTGGTATTCGGTTGGATGACTTTCTCCTTTTCGAAGATGTCGAGCATAACCTGAATATCGATGAACCTAAGGACCGCCGCGTGGATATACCAGATATTCATTTACAAGACTCGCGAAAGTCTTCGGAAAGCCTGAGTTACGAGGTGTATGGAATGTCCGAGACATGGCTCAGTCTGGTGTCACAAACAACGCGGCTGGCCAATGTCCTGGACGCCTTGAGAAGCGCACAGGACGCAGAGCTGCCAGTGGCTCATCATGTCGTTGCAGCGGTACAAAGACGAGAGGTCCGCCTAGAGAATGTGATACAGTCTTTTGTAGCTCGCTCTTGTGCAGATAGTAAGCACACGCATATTATTCGGGCTCTGAATTCCGGGTTGGTCATCTTGTTCTACAGACGGGTGCGCCGTGTCCATCCGGCTATTCTGGGCGGCCAAGTTGATAAAGCGATTGCGGCATTGGATGCATTCTACTCGAGTCGGGATGATGAATGTACTCCTGGACCTGGGACTCTGTGGCCCGCCTTCATGGCCGGATGTGAGGCAATAACAAAGGTGCAACGGGAGGCCATTTGGAAATTGATCGAGAGGGGAGAAGCTAAAGGTAGAACTCCCCCGTATAGGCAGCTCAAGGATATCCTCTCTCAGGCCTGGGTCCATCAGGACGAAAGAACCGGCGACTGCGGGCAGCCCTTGCCAACATGGATGGACACCTTAAGGGCAAGGCAAAGCTGGCCTGTTTTTGCCTGATGCACATGTTTAATGACGATTGATATGATATCTGTTCGATATGTAAAATACTTCTAGATTAAAAACCCTGTTGGAAAAGGATCCTCAGGATCGAGCCGTACTTGTCGCTCCCCAGTGATCCACGCCCTGCCCCGAATAGTCGGCAGCACCATATCAAGATCGTCCACTTTCTGCACACCCCGGATGCTGCCCACAAACTCGGTATTGATGATGCTACGGAAAGCAGCGCTTTCCCCGACCTTCAATAGCCCCCGTGCATGCAGTACTGCGAGGCGAGACGAGCTTCCCGTGCCACATGGACTTCGGTCTAATCGGCCGGGTGTGACGATGACTGTATGTCGTACTGACTTCTGTCCATCTTGATTGGCAAGGGGCTCGCTGATGATGACATTGTTGATACCGCGGATAGCTGGATTCTGTGGGTGCGTAGGCATGCATTCAGCTAGCACTGCCTGTTTCAGTCGATTTCCCAGCTCGATAAACCGAGCACCATTTGACGTCTCCACCGCGATATTCAAATCTTGAGCCTGTGCAATCACATACCACTGGCCTCCGTATGCAATGTCCACTGCGATTGTCCCAACTCCAGGAACAGTAATCTGCTTGTCCAGGGCATACACAAATGCCGGAACATTATCAAACGAGACCGACTTGCATTTCCCATTAACACACTCAGCCGTTGCCTTGACCAACCCAGCAGCGGTATCCAAATTCAGCTCGGTGACGGGCTCTTTCATCTCAACCATCCCCGTCTCCAGCAGGACTGTAGCCGTACATATCGTATTCGACCCCGACATTGGAACCCAGTCCCCGGGGGCCATGATGAGGAAGCCAGCATCGGCTCGAGGCTCGCACGGGGGCAGCACAAGCACGACGCTCATTTCTGGTCGGCCGCGGGGCTCGTGTAGTAATAGTTGACGCATGCCATCTTGTTCTGTCATGAAATGGACCATCTTCTCATGCATTGTTTTGGCTTGGACGTCGAGGACACCGCCCACTATGACATCGCCTGCTTCGCCCTCGCAGTGAGAGCAGACGATGGATATGTTGCGTTGGGATCTCATTGTGTATATTGTGGGGAGACCGTCATAGGTTGAGAATAATGGTAGAGGTGGTAGATGTATAACGGTTATTCATGAAAAAGTGCCATTGCTGATATACTTGTCTTACGCATCTCTGCGGGTGAACATTCCAATTCGGGAACACTTGTTCCGGGGTTCTGGACGATTTCTCTATACGTACTCGATTCAGCAATTATATAATTATCTCTATATAGATAGTAGTAGGTTATCTTATCATGGCATCTTGTTCCGTGGATATATCCGTGACACATGATGATAACTGCGGGGTAGCATTTACAGCTTCAAGAACGGCAGGCGATTCCGCCGAGTACATACACCGCATCAAGCCAGCAAACTATGTAAAGACCTCAAATACGCGCCACACAAGCATCAGCAGAGAAACAGTTCAGCTTCAAATTCGTCGCAATGGAAGTTGGCATTATTGGCTCAGGCATTATTGGCCTTTTGTCGGCTTTGACCCTCACCGATGCGGGCTACAAAGTGACGATTGTTGCGCGCGATCTACCTGGAGATGAGAGCCAAGATTGGGCGAGTCCTTGGTGATGCTTTTCACTTCGTATTGGCTGATCAGACGGCTGATTTACCTCCCAATGTAGGGCTGGTGTTTCGATCTTTCCTCATCCAGACGTTGGTGGTCAGTCGCTCCAAGCGGAGAATTTCAAGTACTTCTGGGCTTTGGCGCACAGAGATCCCACGGCTGGTGTTCAAGTGAGTCGACATCCATCACTAGAACATTCAATTCTAACCTTATTTTCTACTCAGGTCTTGAAAGCGACAGAATATTACGACGACCGAGACGATGATTCGAGTATCTGGTATAAAACCCTCGTGCCGCGCTATCGCCGAATCCCCAAAGAGAAACTCCCCGAGGGAGCCAAAATGGGATTCACATATACCTCCATGACGATCAACCCGGCCTTTCTGCTGCCGTGGATAAAGAAGCAGCTGGAGGCCCGGGGAGTTAAATTCCACCGAAAGACGGTGGGCTCAATTGAAGAGGTGAAGAAAATGACTGGATGTCGAATCATTGTACACGCATCGGGGCTGGGGGCATACGCCCTTGCCGGGGACAAGAATGTCGAGGCGATCCGGGGACAGACCATGTTCGTTGAGACGGACTTTGACGAGTTGAAGATGCACCAAGGTTCTCACTACACATATGTGATTCCGCGAATGTTCACCAACGGGGCGATTGTCGGGGGTGTGACCCAGCCGGGCAATCTGGATCGCAGCGTGGATACGAGATTACGGTCAGATATTCTACAACGAGTGAAGGCTCTTACAAAAGGGGATCTTGATGAAGTCAGCCTGGAAAAGAGCGTGCAAAAGGACATTGTGGCGTTCCGACCGGGACGAAAGGGGGGATATCGGCTGGAGATCGAGGGGAATACGGTGCACGCGTATGGGTTCGCGGGTCTGGGGTATATTTTCAGCTACGGAGTGGCATTGAAGGTGCGAGAGTTGGTGGACTCGGTGGCAGCGAGAGACCGAGTGGCAAGAAGCCATCTGTGATGCATCCTAGACGATTGAACTAAATGTGCTGCTATCTGAATTGCCACGTAGATCTCAGCTGCCATATCTTGCTGGGCTGACTTGCCCTGTGAACTCCGTCTGATAATGGCCAAGACTAGCGCGGAAACACTTGCCTGTCCAGCATTCAGGAACCAAATGCCGGCAAGGAGTATCAGGGGCTACAGTTAAGTAAGACTCAGTTAGTTGCCTGTCAGCACGGTGATAAGCAAAAGGCTACACATGATTTGATGTACTCTATATCGTGCATCACCAGGATTCGAGACCCAAGGCTATCAGCGGCCCGGGATGACTTGCTTCAATTGCGATGATACAGTCTCCAGTCCCACTCTGCGACGTCACACAGCTGGTGAAACACGCTCAGCTAACCATGGCCATCGATTCTTGGGTAAAGATCGTCTATTCTTATCTGCTTCCCCGCATTTCGGATGCCAACGGGCGTTGCGGACTTAATTAGCGCACCAAAGGTCATATTATTTACTTCGCCCATACCCAGTGTTTATTGTGCTAGTCTTGTCAAATTGTGATATCAAATTCAGCCATTATGAAGAAAGACTTATCTCTCAATCGTGATCCAGAGAATGTCACGCCTACGCAATCTCGTACGGGTGAAGTCCTCGATTTCGACGGCAAGGTCGTCGCAGAAGATGCCGTCTTTGGAGAAATACAAGAGGGCGATGTCAACTACCGTGACGTACGTTCTTCACAATATGCCTTTGAATTGAACCAGGCTGACACATCTATCTTAGGTCGGCTGGATGGGAACGACTGCCCTGATGCTGAAAACCCAGATCGGCTTGGGCGTTCTTTCAATACCGAAAGTGTTCGACACACTTGGGATCATACCAGGGATTATACTTCTTCTCGTAATTGCCGGAATGACCACCTGGTCGAATTGGATGGTGGGCGTCTTCAAACTACGCCATCCCAGTGTATATGGCATTGACGATGTGGGAAAAATGCTCTTTGGCCGCTTTGGCTTTGAACTGTTTGGGGCTGCATATACATTATGTAAGGCATCATCACATGCATCTGCCTCTTATTCTAACATCCTCCAAGACTGGATATTCGTCTCTGGATCTGCCATGTTGAGCATCTCAATTGCATTCAACGCCCTCTCGGACCATTCGGTCTGCACTGCTGTCTTTGTGGCTGTCGCTGCCATCATCGCGTTCTTGTTCTCCAGTATACAGACACTCGCCCGTATCAGTTGGCTTGCCTGGCTTGGGGCAGGATGCATCATTGTTGCAGGTACGCATTTTGCAGCCCCTGGTCTTGCTTCCTACTAACTAGCTGAAAGTCTTCATCGTCACTGTCGCTGTCGGAGTCCAAGGACACCCCCCATCAACATCCGGCATTATTCTCGAGTCCGATTACAGACTATTCGGAAACCCAAGCTTCACCGACGCCATGACTGCCATCTCCACCATCTGTTTGACGTACGCGGGCACTCCAGCCTTTTTCAATATTGTGGCTGAAATGCGGGACCCGCGGCTCTATACTCGATCCCTGGCAGTCTGCCAAACCACAGTCACTGTCATCTATATAATTGCTGGCACAATTGTATACTATTACTGCGGATCGCATGTTGCATCACCCGCCCTGGGTTCAGCAGGACTATTGATCAAGAAAATCAGCTATGGCATTGCCTTGCCGGGCTTATGTGTTTCTGCCATTCTACTCCTTCATGTGAGTTATCCTCTTTTACTTACTTACACCTTCCAGACCTGACCTAGATACAGCTACCCGCCAAACACATCTTCATGCGAATCCTCCGAGGCTCGAAACACCTCACCGCGCAGTCTCCAATTCACTGGATCACCTGGCTGGGATCCACCTTTTCCGTCACTTTGGTCGCATATATCATTGCAAGCAGTATCCCCGTCTTCAGCGGTCTTGTATCACTCGTTGGTGCCCTACTAGCAACCTCTCTCTGCTTCCAGCCTATGGGCTGCATGTGGCTGTATGACAACTGGGGGGCCGGTAAACAGGAGAAACGTGTAGGGTGGTGTTTGAAAGTCGCGTGGAGTCTGTTTATGATTCTGGTGGGTTTCTTCTTGACGATTGGGGGCACGTATGGCTCTATTGTGAGTATCAGCGCTTCTTACAAAGAGTCTGGGGGGTCTGCTGCCTGGTCTTGTGCCAATAATGATGTCTAGCGAGTGCTATACTCAGGGCACCATTATCAAGGTGGAATTGTGAGAATTAGTTGTATATTGTGCTTTATTTCTCGAATTAAAAACCTATCTTTTGATGAATAAATGAAAGTATCTGTGGAATAGACGGATTAATAGTACTTGAAGATCAGACATTGCTATCAGGTGCGGGAAGTCTTAATGGGACTGACGTGATGTTGTATAATTGACCTTAAGCGGCACCCCCATCCTTGATTTCTCATTCTCTCATCCGCTTATCCCTCTCTGATCACAAAATCAAAATGGCGTTTACAGAGTCAGAATTCTTCTCTCATCTACCAGGGGATACCCCATCGCGAGCAGCAATACGACCTCACGCCATAAGCAATTCCCTCGAGAAGAACTTTCACCCAAACGGAGACCCCAAATCTGCCTACGTCATCTTCACCTCTGTCCCTCCAGAGACAATCCAAAGACTAATCCATTATCCTCACCAGTACATCATCCTATCCAAGCGCCTCTTCTACAATGAGGATCTACGCACGCTCATCGTCAAAATGCCCTGGCGCGCGCACATCACTGCTATCGAGGAGTTCAAGTCGCTCATACATCGGAATCTATTTCACAATCCTGCTCGTCATGGTCTTTCGATGCTCGGTCATACGACCTACGAGATACCCCCATTCGCCAAAGAGGCAGACGACTCATATGCCCCAAGAAGAGTGTTGGAGGAATGGCCGACGATGGTCATCGAGGTCGGCCGTTCTGACTGTCTAGATCGTCTACGGTTCGAGGCAAACTGGTGGCTTGTGAGGTCGGATGGAGTGGTGCGGATCGCAATAATCATCGTTGTCAATCATGACCATCCTGAGATTGTCTTTGAGATGTGGCAGCGTCCTGCCAGCCAGCCCGAGCATTCGCATGCCTTGCGAAGCTTGACGCCACAGGTGACGAAAACCCAGGAAGTCAGAATATCACGCTGTGGAAACGACACTGTCACCGTGGGTGCGCCGTTGACTATCCGATTAGAAGATGTCCTGCTCAGAGCTCCACCTGGGGATGAGCGCGGTTTTGTGTTTACGGCAGAAAAGCTGGAGTACGTTGCTCATTTTGTTTGGGAAACACAAGGCTTCATCCCCTTGTCTGATATCAATCTGCAGGGTGAATAATAGAAACTGTTCAATATGATATTGCTATCTTCTAGACTAATGTACTGCAATATCGCATCTTCTCGCCTTCAAGGCAGCTTTCGCCATCCCATCAGCAACACCGTTCCTTTATGGAAAATGCCAAAAATTGACAAGCACCCACCTTTCTCCGGATTTCTCAACAAGTTCTTCGATCAACAGGAAGAATGTCAGGTTGGCTACGAGTGATCCTTTCTAGGCTCTTCATCCATTTCTCCTCCATTTTGGAAGCCACTCGGTCATCCCGCGCACGACATACTTGGAGTCCGACTTGATTAACCCAGGATAACCATTGGCCTTGTCCTTCCGACTGCTTTTGAAATTTTCATACAGTCATCAGGTCCAGCACGCAGGCTGAAGGCTCAGCGATCTGGTTGGTGTGATAAGCCGCTGGCTAGTTCAGAGTGCTGTATTCAACGCATTGCCGTAACCGCGGAGAACGCCGATCGCCGAGCGCGCCCCATCTTTTCCACTGCTCGAGCACGCACCGTCTACTGCGATGACGAGGCAGTCGATATGAGCAGCATGCCGGCCGCAATGCAGGCACATTTCCGATCCCGGACATGCAAGAAAGACCATATCGTCTCGTGGAACCTCGATACCCTCAGAGTTGAAATGGGCCGGATCGAAGACCTCGGGCCAACATCGGCGGCCAGGGCTGCAGTTGGCGTCAATGGAGAGCGGCAAAATGAACGAACGACTTCCTTCGGTGTTGGAGATTGGACTGGGGCTGTGGATAGTGAACCTGTGCATGTCGCTGTGGCAATCCTGGGTATGGATGATTTGTTTAGCTTTGGCCAGTCTATCTGAAATGGAAATATTGAAACAACGATAATCGTCTCCGGATTACCTGGCGAGGCCAAGGGTTCCTTTCTCGGTATCGCATCGACATGGTATCGAACCTGGCTGTACTGGCAGACAAGAGGGCAGCCACATCTGCCATGTGATCCAAATGAATAGAATCAAAATAGAAGATGGAGTGTCACATTCTGCGGTCATGGCTTGCATTGACTTTATCTACATCATACACCCCATTCGATCAATCATAAATCGTCAAAGAGTCGGTCAACCCGCCATTCCCCCCACACTCCCCGTCGAAGTCCCCATACAGCTCCCCTCGCTCCTCCACAAAATCCAAAAACCGCCGAGAAGAACAACTTTGCCCAGGCCCGTCTTGACAATCTACAAGGGGCTGTGGGCCTTCATTCAGAAGAAGTCGGTAGTAGTCCCCTTGGTCGTATCCGTAGTTGTTACAGGACATTCGTTCGATGGCGATGTTTGTCAAGAATGGGAGGATGGTACTGCTTTTCCACGCGCGGTGATAGTTGACCTTATCCAGCGGCATGGTAGCGTTGATATTGTTGGAATTGGTGTAGGCGCTGTTGTTGAATAAACCCAGCGCAGTTATTACTGTCGGCGGAAGTTCGCGATGCGTAAAGGAAACGTATAAATGTTGCGAAGGCGATGGGCTACTAAGTGCAGCAACACTAGCATTTATCCATGGATATCCAAGACTCGGTGAGAGGTCACGTCCATAGCCCGTGTTGTAGAAGTACATAATGTCGTTTGCATATTCAAAAGACAGCCATTCATTCTGCGTGAAGAGATCTCGAGAGCAGAAAGGCGATGAGCCGCGGATGACAGTTTCATACCCGCATAGCTGAAACATGGCGGCGATGTCGGTTTTAGTAAAGTTGAACGCCGGTGCTTGTGCATGGAGGCGAGCGATGATGGGCTTGGTGTAGTGGTTTGTGTATGTCTGGGCTGTTAGTAAACTTCCGACTCAAGGCAGCAGAGACATACCGTAGATTGATCCGAGCCATAGGATGGGCTATACGCAGGACAGCTTTTGTACGGAGTCAACGAATCAGCGCCTGTTGATTTACCCTCCTCAACCTTCTTGAGATCAACGCGGCTTGTGTGATTATTTGTATAGCCAGAGATGAAGCCCTGCGCAGTCTTGACAGTTCGCTCCGACGTCGATGACCAGATCTTGGCCGGTGTTTTCAAGTCTGAATATCTCTTTTTGACGCTCTTTCCCAAGGTCATAGCCTCTTGCATTCCAACGCGCGTAATTTTCTCAAGATGCTCCTCATCAATAGGTGCAGTCCAGTTACTCAAAAACTGCAGATCAGTCGTCGAGGACCAATTTTGCGATGTATTGTGCAACTTCTCCACAAAGGGCTCAATGTACGTTTCGTAGTCAAAGTCATTGGCGTAAATGGCGGCATGACGGATGAGATAAGCAGCACGAGTCACTTTGCATCCTTGAGGGGGCGATGGATTGAGAGGAGGATCTTGAGATGTGAAGTAGGGGGAGATGCCAGCCAAGTGCTCCAATGGGTTGAAGGACGCTGATAGACATGGAGCTGCTAATGCACTGAGAGCCAAGAGAAAATGAAGAGAATGCATTTTAGGCTATATTGAACATGAAATCTCATCACCTATTAGGTAAAGGGATATGTGCTTTATAGCATCTCCAGAGCCTTTCGGACAGAAATTGACCGATAAAGCAACTCCTCATTTCTGCCTCGATTGTCAGGTGGAGACAGAATATGTTGAGCACGTAACAGACAATCTTATTCGTTATTTGTAATAGATCGACGCTGACAAGGATCAAGTGCATTGCGCTATTGAAATCCGTGATAAAACAGACCAATCCTGAGTTAATGCAACAGCCGAGATGAGCAGTTATGCTATATATGGAAGGTAATACCAAGCCACCTGGCGAAATTAATTAGTTAACAGTCGCATTTCTTTCATGGTTACACGAGAATTCTTGATTGTGGAGGTAGCTATATATTCCCCTTACTCTAGATAAGTTTAGATGCCGCCGACTAAGACTGGTCGGATAATTTCCGCGGTCACCGTTATCTCCACTCTACCGTCATATCCAACATCTAAACAAGAATATCAAGTTATTCGGGATCTCCTTTATGCAGCAACCCACGTGGCCATCGCAGAGTGGAAGTTGGTTTAACTGTAATTCAATAACAAGGAACGACTAGCGCATACATATGCAATTAGTCCTCATCCAGCATTCGGATCCTTGCTATACCGGTGGGCTGCAGGATATCATCAAAGAGGTCCTCAGTGAAATGGCTGATCAAATTTATGTCCTTGCAATGAGCAATCTCGAAAACCTGTTCAACTTTGGATAAATCAAGGAACCTGTATCACCTGGTTTTACAAATGGCTGCCAACGTCCAACTTAACAACTTGGCCACTTTGCCACCGATGTTTCGTTCCGCCACATGTATCGGCCTTCTAAATACCCGAAGCTATGGCCATCAATGACCAGTATGTTATCTTTGGAGTCATTATGGCCAGGTGGTGATCTAGTCCCCCTGCTCGCATCTCCAGATAGCCTGAATCGGTAACTCTAGACCCTTATTGATGCAGGCATCCACATCAAGTTCGATGAACACGAGATTAGTTCATTGATCTATACAATATTATCCCAAATATGCGATACTACTTTTTACAGCATGAGATTGGAAATATATACTTATAAAATATTGATGTCGTGATATGGCACATAAAAAATCAACTCCTAAGAGCAGATTAGATATAATATCCTTGATCAAGGGGCCAAATATAATGCTAGTCTCGGCATTTTTGGGGCTGAATTGGGCACAAAAGGTATAAAAGGGTACAAAATGGCAGCATCCCGCCTGAACTCGTATACAATCAACCATGGCCCCAAAACATAAAAGAGCCAGCAAACCAAAGACGAAAACAGGGTGTATCACTTGCAAGTACGTGTTCTGTACTTTTATCCTCAGATTAAATCTAATCGTATAGAATCCGACATGTGAAATGCGATGAGCAAAAGCCAGAATGCAGACAGTGTACAAGCACGGGACGGAAATGCGATGGATACAATCAACAGACAACCACAAACCGCATCACGACTTATTCAGGTCAGACATTTACAGTCAATCCCGATAGTCGTATTGTGCTTCGTCCAGGAACGAGAGAAGAACGACAATATATCCACATCTTCTGTACGCAAACGTCTCGGGCTCTGTCAGGGCTGTTTCATTCTGACCTGTGGAATCACTTTCTGCCTCAACTGAGCCAGTCGGAGCCAGTTGTTCGACACGCCGTGATTGCAGTCAGTGCTAGTCATGAGCGCTTCCTTGGTCGACGGAGCGAGGTGGATGAGCAGTTTTCGATACAGCAGTATAACAAAGCTATTCGGCATCTGATGGAGTATCTGGCGTCTCCGAATCAGCCACTGGATCTGACGCTGATCACTTGTTGCCTGTTTGTGTGCTTAGAGATGTTAAATGGGAATATCAAGCAAGCATTAGATCATTTAGAGGCTGGGTTGAATATTATGCATGCTCGACGAAGGAGCAATACACTGCGATTAGGAGACATCGATCGGGAATTGACACATTTATGTCTACGATTGAATATTCAACTATCGCTTCATGGACGGCCGATGGTTCCTCTTGACCTGGATGATACGACTTACTCATGGACGAATATCCTCGAAGCTCGACACAGTCTGGATAGACTGATGAACAACGCAATGGGCTTCATTCGACAGGCAGGAATAGAAAGAAGTGCAGAACGCGCTTACTTACAGCCACAACAGCAGCTGCTCCTCCAAGACTATTCCATCTGGATAGCTTCATTCGAAGCCCTCATGGGCAAGTCATGGAAGAGAATTAAAGTCGTCGACGGTCGGACCCCGCTGGTACTCCGCATCACGTACCTGGCTTCACTCATATGGCTCGAGACATGTCTGTCCGTGGACGAGATGATATTCGACCATCACAACGACTCCTTCGACCAGCTTGTGCGCTACGCAAAGGAATACATCGATATCAATGATAGTCTGAACCAGTCGAGCAATGGCACTCCCCCAGACAGCTTTACCCTCGAAGCCGGTATCGTCACGCCATTATTCTACACCGCCGTACGATGTCGCAATCCTATCACTCGTCGCGAGGCTATCTGTCTTCTGTCTAGCTGCCACGTGAAAGAGGGGCTGTGGAATACGAAGCAGATGGTCAGCGTGGCTGAAGCTGTTCTCGAGATGGAGGAAAGCAACCTTTTATCTTTGCCAGTTGAGCAGCGGATTCCAGCGGATCGAGACCGTGTGTATGAGGCTTTGATGCCGAATGAAGGGACTCCAGTCGAGGTGATCTTTTTGTCGCGACCGGATGGGAGGGAATGGTGTACTCGGACGAGATTGGTTTACTGATATAATAATAGAATTTATTGAATTATACAGATATAAGAAGGATCTATATGCATCCACTTGGCTGCATTTGGCCCCCACGTCATGTTGAGATTTTACGACGCAGCCAATCACAGGACAGGAACACTCTTGGGCTTCAGGATCTACCTACTGGGCTTTGGAACTGCACTGTTTATGAGAAAATGCCTTATTATCTTCATTGGCTGTATCGTAAGTTTAGCAAAATGATCAAATCTGAGCCACAATCAGAGCGGAACAGTCGTCATCAGAAATAATACTATATATTTCTCAACTTCCCATCCTAAACATGAAATCTTTCATTCATCCTTGTTCAACATCAACATGTATTCCATATTACTTCTCCTTATTCTCCCTGTTACTTTGGCATCCAGCTACTGTCCTCTTCTCGGACCAGTCTTCCCTATCCCAAAGTCCCTCTGCAACAATGCAGCCATCACTACAGCAAAACACAACATATCCTCTATCCTCGATGCCACTACAAAGGGGACATCGCCTTTGAACAGCATTCTAGATCTTAACTCGACTTCATTCTCCCTCCAGATATTCTCTACCGGTGACAGCGCACCTCTAATCGAGTACTCGTATACCTCTCCTGATATCCGCAGTGCCACTGTGGGTGTGAGGGAGGTAGATGGGGATACCATCTTCCGGATTGGGAGTGGCTCGAAGCTGTGGACTGTTCTACTGTTGTTGATTGAAAAGGGAGACGCGGTTTTTGCTGAGCCTGTCGCGAAATATGTGCCTGAGATTAGAGATGCGGTTAAAGAGTTGAGTCGCAATACAACAGAAAAGCGTGATGGGATTGATTTTCCTCGCTGGGAAGAGATCACCATTGGTGAATTAGCTAGTCATATGTCTGGGATTGGGCGAGATTGTGGGCTTTCCACAATGTCCTTTTATTCTGTATACTGACGATACAGATGGCTTTGGTGATTATTCGTTTCTCCTTGACGATCCTACCGCGTATGGTCTTCCTCAACTATCCGATACAGACACACCTCCATGTGGTCGAGACACAGCTTGCAGCAGAGCTAGTATGTGATCATCCCTGTATTAAAATACAAATCTGACCAGCAGATTTCTTCAATGGCTTCTTAAAACGACATCCCGTTGTCCCGAGCGCATCCACGCCTGTTTATTCAAATGCTGCATTCCAGATTCTCGCATATGCATTGGAGACAATGACGAGCCAGACATACGAGGGCCTCCTTGTCAAAGACATCCTACGTCCACTTGGACTCAATCATTCGAGCTATAGCAAGCCCGATGATAAACTCGGCGTCATTCCGGGCGATGTGAATTCGAGCTACTGGGCTCTCGATTCCGGGGATGAAACACCGTAAGTCTATTACTATTCTTTATAAAGCACATCTAACCGATAGATACAGAGCCGGAGGCCTCTACTCCAGCGTCAAGGACATGTCCGCTTTGGGTCGTGCCATTCTCACCAACAAACTACTCTCTCCTGCTCTCACCAGACGATGGATGAAACCAGTCACTCACACTTCCTCCTTGGCCTACTCTGTCGGTGCCCCGTGGGAGATTTACTCTTTCCCAAGCTCCCGTGTTATAGATCTCTATACCAAAGCCGGTGATCTGGGCGGATATTCATCTGTACTCGCCCTATCTCCAGATCACAGCGTAGGCTTCACCATTCTTGCTGCCGGAACCCAAGAAACCACAAGCACGACAGACGTCGTCTCGTATCTTTCCGATATGATATCCACAACACTCATTCCCGCCCTGGAAGACGCAGCCAAGATCGAAGCAGCAGCCAGATTCACTGGTGTCTACGCCTCCACCAAAACCAACTCTTCCCTCACACTTACAGCAGATGATGGGCCCGGCCTGAAGGTTCAATCCTGGATAAGCAATTCAGACAATCTTCTTGGATCTCTTGCCCAGTTGAAAGGGTATGGGAATCTTGATATCCGTCTGTATCCCACCGGACTGGAAAGTACCAACCATGTCTCGTTCCGTGCTATTATTCGGGATCTTTCGGCATCGCGTGGTATTGGGCCTACTACTAACTCATGTATTACATGGGGGACGGTTGATGGAATGCTTTATGGGAGTGTCGGTCTAGATGAGTTTATGTTTGAGTTGAATCAGAGCGGTGATGTGGTGGGAGTATCTCCCGGGGCATTAAGGATTTCGTTGGCCAGATTGGTATAAAGGATGTGAAGCAATTTCATTCTTCATAGATACACAACTACCCATCGCTGCTTAATAGAACTCTAAATAAAGTCCACAGCCTCAATCAAATACAGCACAAAAACATCCGGGTTCTCCGTCGCAGGAAAATGGCCCAAACCAGACATGCTCTTGAACCTCGCCCCGGGGATCTTTTTAGCAGTTTTCTCTGACATCTCCGGTGTGTTACTCCAGTCGTACTCGCCCGTGAGGAAATACATCGGACACTTGCTCGTGTCAATCTTTTCTACCCGTCCACGACCGTCCCAGCCGTTGAAGTAAAAGTCCGGATCGCCGTGAAAGATGCCATAGGCTTGGGCGCTGTATGTGTGCCATAGCAGCTGGCGGTTCTCGAGTGGGCTTGTTGGGGATGTCATCTAATCCAAGTCAGAAGGGATCAGCCATGGATAGGGACAGCTTACTCCGTAGATCCATTCAGGGTTGAGAGTTGCGCTGTTGACAAGCGGCGATTTGTCGTGCCATTCGCGGTGCATATCGATATACTCGCATCTACACTGTCAGTATTCTATATACGAACCCATAGCAGACGAACTCACCCCTGAAGAGGAATCGAACCACAAATGCCAACCTCTTCCGCACGAATCGCAGCAGCAATACAGACCTGACCGGCCATCGACGCTCCACGGAGTATTGGTTTATTCAAATTCAAAGCCTTGATGACAGCGGCAATGCACGCTATATAGGCATCTTCATTGTTGAAATGTCCACTGGCAGGATACGCAGGACTAGGAAAACTCCTTCCATGCGAAGGTAGATCAAACGCAACCATCCTGCATCGGTCTCGCATCCGAGAATCGTTCATGACGCCGTGGTATTGTCTGCTGTCAGAGCCAGCGGTGTGCAGAAAGAGGATCTCCTGTGAACCACTTCCGCTTGTCTCGTAGAAGACTTTGCATCGTCCCCAGGCCTGTGTTTGAATGAAGACATACCGACCTGTTATATGGTCTTCTTCTTGGTTTTGTTGAGTAAAGACGTCGTTCGGCCCGCAGTAAACATCGTGGAGGACATCGAGCATGCTGCGCCAGATATGGGCGTACTTGGCGAATTCCAGTTGATCGCCGATCACATCTACTCCCTCCTGGCGGATGTTTAGCCCACATAGGGCCCAGAAGCTTTGATACGGAGCTGTAGGGTTCTTTTTGAAAACATTCTCTCATTGAAAGGGTAAAGCTGTGAGGGAAAAGAGAGCATCTGTGTAGGTGCCTACTCGTGCGTGGCCATGTCCTTTGCTGAAGGTGAAGATGATTGCATTATCGCTGCCGACCGATTTGATAGCGAAGGATATTGGGCTTGTTATATGGTCGGTGGTTATGAAGGCAAGGAACTGTCTGTCGTGGTTGATGGTTTCGTCGAAGGTTTCGAGAGCACCTCTTAGTTGGAGAGGAAGATTGAACCATGGATGGTCAGACATTGTCAGGATGATTGATGAAGAATGAAATGAAAAAGCGAGGTTTATAAGATGTTAAATTGGGGGTAAGCAGATGCATCAGCCCCTCTTCTCCAATCCCCAATACCCCTCATCTGCATCCATGTAAGTACTTTTGACATGGGTGTACCCCAATATGAAGTATATTCAGTAATTGAAAGAGTAGTTTCATCATTTCCATTAAATTCAGTAAAATCTGCATAATTAAGAGTAGAGCGTTATATAGTCATATCAGTTAATATCCCTCCAAAGCCTTCTCAGTCCAATCCCACAATTTCAACGCCAGCGCATCATCCTTGGTCAATTTGCTCACATTACATTTCGGAACCGTCCCAACGGGCACATAATACTGCCCACTCTGAATCTTCTCTTTGTCCACCGTCGAAGCCCAAAGCTGGTTATGCGTTCCCTCTTCGGGTTTCTTCATTTGCCACCAAGTCGTCATGTAAACAAAGGCGGTATTCATGGGCCCCGAGTTATCGAGTAGACCGGTACTCACCACTCCAGGGTGAAGTGATACAGAGGTGATGAGGGGATATCGACGGGCGAGTTCGTTTGCGTAGAGGATGTTGGCCAGTTTGCTCTGGGCATAGCGGATCCAGGATCCTCCTACACCCATATCCTGGACGGTCCGGAGGTCGTCAAAGTTGATGCCCGTTTTAGGGTGGAAGTTGTGGCCTTCGGAAGCGAGGATGACGATGCGTGCGTCGCCGTCGCTGCGCGCTGCAGTTCGTTCGAGTAGTGGAAGCAGTTTTTTGATGAGAAGGGCATGGCCGAGATGGTTTGTGCCGAATTGGATCTCGTAGCCGTCGGCTGTGAGTCCAGGTGGCCGAGCCATGATGCCGGCATTGCACATGAGGATGTCGAGAGATGGTGTTTGGGCTACGAATTTCTCGGCTGCTTCTTTCACGGATGATAGAGATGAAAGGTCGCATTGGACGAAGGTGACTTGGGTGGTGGGGTTGCTGTCGTGGATTTTGTTGATGATTGTTTCGGCGGTTGTTGCATTGCGTCCACTGATGTAGATGTGCGCTGGGTTGTGTTTGGCGAGTTGTATAGCGGATGTTTCACCCAGGCCACTTGTTCCTTTTTGATGTTAGATCATATACAATATAGTTGGAATACTACTTACCACCCGTGATGAAAATGGATTTGCCAGAGAGGTCTGGAATGTCTGTGTCGGGGTTGAACTTGGAACGAGGCATCTTGAAGTATTGGAGTATATGTTCTACTATCAGCTACAGTCGGGAGCGAGATCGATCGGCTGTTCAAATACGCAGATTGACTCATGGATTTACACGGAGTTAGTCGGATGGATGTTGGGCCGTAAGTAAGCACTATTGCGAATGGCGCATCGCAACAAATAGAATGTCGAGGATCAGCACCAGGATGCCACTGGATATATTTAGATAAGTAACATGAATCACACCGTATCCGGTGGTTGTGCACCTTATGCTACGGATTTCCCATAAGTGCACTTTGACGTTATCCATGGTCCTTCCGTATACAGATTCGCTAATTCGTTCAAAGGCCTTCGAAAGTTTGGCTCGTGATGAAGCGCATGGGCTGGATCGAGTCGAAGCCGTCATCGTGTTGTACCATAATACGAGGCGGAAAATAGAGAACAGCTCTTATTGGTAGGGTAAAGTGATCCGCCAAATGGGAAATCGGCGTGGAAGAACCATATGGGGAAAGTTCGGTGTTTATAAGTCACGTGCTGAGCAACGAAATCGGTATATCACGTGAACTACTCGGGATCGTTGACTCGATTTCTAATATATATTGGGTTCTTGTGAACGGATTATGAATTTGATATTCATTCATGGTACTATGTAAATCGATTATACTGTTAGGCTTATACAAAAGGGAGGAATTGATTCGTTGCCGGTGTTGGTTGCCAAAGCACCTGTGACAAGCTTCTTTGGTTGATAAGGCAAAGATGTGCTGGCTTACTCAACAAGATCCGATGTGGTGTAATGGCTAACATCGCTCGCTTTCACCGAGCAGCTCGGGGTTCGATTCCCCGCATCGGAGCAGAAGCATTTCTTTTTTCTTTTTTTTTTGGCCATCATATTTTTTTCATTTCAATTGTGTGTTATGTATGGGATAGATAAATATTATCACATGTGCTATGCTACAACCTCATTATATACCCCTATCAATTCGTCTCATCATCACATATTTACTTCCATTCACTTCCACACCAGAACCGGCTTGATCACACTTCCATCTTTCAACTTGTCCACTGCTTCCTTATACTCGGCCGCCTGATCTGGTTAGATATTGCCAAAATATTCCGAAGTCTATATATCACTCACCGGAAAGTAGCTAACCAGCTTTTCAATGGGGAACTTCCCATCCCGATACCACTGGATCATGTCTTTCAGGGCCTTTTACGCGTTAGCAAATATTCACACTGGCATAGTGAATACATACCTTTTCTGGGACACTGTCACCCTCCATACAGCCCATGACGGATTTTCCAGTCTTTATGATAATTAGAAAAGTTTACATATAAGGCAACGTTCAACTCACGGTAAGGTGCTTGCCTCCTGCAAACGGCAGATTGTAGCCAAATGGAGGAATTCCGACTATGACCAACTTGCCTCTTTTGCCGAGGGCTTCAAGTGCTTCCTCGAGGAGAGCTGGAACGCCAGTAGTGTCAATCGCGATGGATGGTCGAATAGATGGGTCTTTGTCCAGCGTCTCCGAGATGCTTATCTCCGCCGTGTTGATGATGTGTGTGGCACCCAGCTCTTTGGCCAGTTGCAGTCGTTCAGCGACTCGGTCGACGGCGATGATGGCTCTGCAGCCTTTCACTTTGGCAGCCTTCGCTGATGTTAACATTGGTCGTGGGATAATGTCGATAACGCACCATGATGGCCGCAAAGCCAACGCCTCCCACTCCTAGCACCATGACCGCATCCTGCTCAGTGGCCGCAGTGACATTTAAGACTGCTCCCACGCCTGTCTGGAAGCCACAGCCAAGCGGGGAAAAGAGCTTCAACTCGTCATCATTCTCGACGAGCCCTTTGGCGTTGACGATACTCCCTTCGGAGACGATGCTGAACTGCGCAAAACTCGACTGTCCGAAAAAGCTTCCCCAGACTTTCTCGTCACCCTTCGTAGGTCCTGGCCGACCGACGTAATTCTTCACGGGGAATGAATCACAGTACGCCGGATGGCCAGCAGAGCAGTGAGAGCAAGATTGGCACGAGTCAAAGGAGAGAAGGACAGGGTCTCCCACTTGGACGGCGGTGATGCCAGGGCCAACAGCACGGACATGGCCAGCGGCTATAACGTCAGTAATTATATATAAAAAAGGAGATACCAGAGTGGATAAACACACCCTCATGGCCTGGGATTCTCGGATATTGAATGCCCAACACACCCGGCGGAACACTGGTCAAGGAGATGTCCGTGTGGCAGACTCCCGAGGCCAACATCTCCACCAGAACTTCATCGTCTGCGAGCGTGTCTGGCACACTGACCGTTTCCCATGACCAGTTGGTGGTTCCGGGAGGGGAGGGGGTATTGGCGACAATGGCAGTTGCTGAGGGCATTGTGATGATGATCTTTTTGAGATGGAGTGAATGAGGAGGGGAAGTGCAGATAAATATTTCTTGTTGATCCACTCTTCAGCTCAGCTGAAGAGTGCAGATCGTGCGCCACTTTGCTTGTCATCTAGGAAGTAGCCATAAAGACATGACAACGATGAATCAATTCAGATAACTGCATATTTCTACAGACTAATTTGGTTCAATTAATGCCATAGTTTATTCCACAAGGTCCCAGTTACAGTAAACCGGCGCTATAACAAATCGGGTAGTAAGGAAAACCGCTGTAGATATATATATTTGAGCGGGCTGGCCTATGTATCGGCGAGTACACCAAACTGCCATAATTAAATCATCGCCCTAGCAAACAAAGTGATTTGTCCAAACTAATTCATTATAGCATCGAGTTTACTGTACTGCAATATGATTCAGGTCAGTTTTCAAATGAACTGTTGATCGCGATCTGTGTGGGTCATGACCTTCTCCACATGAACATCGAACATTTACTCCGAAATCGGTATAACTAAAACTGGAATGGGATGTAGTAAGTAGCCTTGAAACCCGTTGCAAAAAGCGAGAGATGCTGCCTCGAGATGTCATAATACCTGAAGCACAGACTACTATCGACGAAAGAGCCCTATGCTGAGAATATGCAAGGGATTCAAAGCGCCCCACCCCAGAGAAAAGATGCCCGACGAATAAGAACCAAAAGATATTTACAAGTGCAAACGTAATATCTGACTGAGATGTAAGCTTGAGGAATCCCGCTAGACTGGGTATATCGGGTCATGGCTATAAGTAGCCACCACTTACACCAGACCGTTTGCTGTCGTATCAAGTATTTTCAAATCATCTTATCACCAGAATATTTTCAAAATGTCCAACGCTGGCTTTATTCCATCTTTACTCTTTACTTGTGCATTATCCCAGGCGTCATATCTGTTAAAACGATCCTTTGAACGCCCAAATCCAGACCCTAATGATACCCAGAAAGAAGACTCCATGGGCAAAGCCGTGGTAAGAGACCAACCGTGCCAGCTCTAGTATCCTCTAACCAGACGCAACAGTTAATATTGTATGGGCGGTGCATGAGTCTGCTATTGATCAGCATCGGGGTAGCCCACGGCCTCTACGTCCTCTTTCCATCAACGGGACAAGCCATATGCCCTTCCGCATCTTCTCTGAACCCGGCCTTGTTTTCCTGGTCACTTCAGGCGACGATCATACTCTCCGTGTCGCTGTTTGGAGGATATCTCCGTCTACTCGCATACCATCAACTGCGCGAGAACTTCACATTCAAACTAAGCCGTCCCTCACAACTAGTCAAGTCTGGTATATACGCGTATGTACAGCATCCATCGTACATTGGGTTTTTGGCAGTCATTTGCGGATACTCTGCGTTGGTACTGCGAGTTGGAGGTCTACTGAGTTGCTGGACGGGCCATATTCCTGTGAGTGGTGTTGTTTATGGCGGTTGGACTCTTATCGTCGCACCACTTCTGGTTTGTCTCCCGGCGAGGATTCTGGACGAGGAGAGGATGCTACGGCGGTGTTTTGGAAAGGAGTGGGAGGAATATAATCGTTCGACGGCGAGACTTGTTCCTTGGGTTTTTTGATTGAACAGGTATCTGTTTGGTGCATTCACAGGAGACACAGATGGTGGGACGAGGAAGGATGTGGCAACAGATATACACTTGATCTTACTCAATATCCATTCGACGATCCATATGATATACAACGGGCAAATACCAAATCAACTGCTCATAAAAACCACCTTCTTATCAGTCTGGTTGTACACCTGCACCGCGAGTAATTCCTGATAAAAGTTCGTCGCATGCGGTACATTCTTCGCCATGAGCATAACCCGTCTCAAATTCGGTATCGAATCGACCATTTCCTTGATGCATTGTATCAACCACTTTCCCAGACCTTTGCCCTGATGCTGTGGGATGATGAAGACGTCCGCTAGATATGCGACCGTTACGTAGTCGGTTATCAAACGGGCCATGCCGATTTGTATGAATTGAGGTGTTATAGGGATATCCGAATGATTTGGCGTGGAAAGTCTGGGAGACTTGATATAAAGGCCAAAGAAGCATGACCTTTCTATCATAAGTTGAAGGCTTTCTGAGGATACTGGGGTTGCCCAGTACATGGCTGGGCTGGCGAAGGATGTTTGGATGAATTCATGCGATAGAATGTCAGGATCTGTGGAGATGGTGAAGTTTTCGTCGCCAAGTTGATAGTGCCATTGTTTATCCATTTTAAAGGATAGAAAGATTATGATAAAGGAGAATGTGAGGATGAAACGTTGCCTTTAGGATCTATATATACCTTAATGTATGACTCACACTTCCTATTCTAGGGGCTTTAATGTCGATGAACTGCGCCACAAAGGAATATACCTAGATCCATCCGACACAGCCATATTCATAATATTTAAATAGTGATACTCTTCTTTATTCAACAGTCGACTATATCTTCTCTTCGTTGTGTTGTCTGTATAGCCACTAAACCGAAAAAGGAAACGGAACCCCGCATCAACACCGAAAACACAACAAACACGAATACGACAACAACGACAACAACACCATCAAAAATTGGAAAAATGGTCAGAATGGTCAAGCAATCTCACGGAGGTAACTCCACGAGTGACGCCCTGCTGCAATACTACCGAGACCGATGCAAAGACCCCAACAACCCGTTCGTCAGGGGTGATTCTTTTCTCTTGCACACGGCGGTTGAAAATGGCCACGAGCAGATTGTGGCTTTCATGCTCGACAAGGGATTAAGCCCAGAATGTGAGAAAGAATGGACTGGTCGGACGGTTATTTATCACGCAGCAAAGCGCGGGCAAGAGTCGATGGTCCGGCTTTTGCTGGATAAAGGAGCCAACGCCGATCCCCAGGAAGTCTGGGACGGCTCGACTGTATTGCCAGTGGCAGCAGAGAAAGGCCATTTGGGAATTGTGACGATGCTGCTGGATCATGGAGTCGATACTGATTGTGCTACTGCATATCACCACACGCCATTATATGGAGCGGTACAGACAAACCAGGAAGCTGTGGTGGAACTTCTATTACAACGTGGCGCAGACTTCCACTATGTGTGCGGCAATCCAATCGATGAACCTCGCAATTCACCCCTGACGCTGGCCGTGGAGCTAGGCCGTGACCATATGGTGCAGCTGTTTCTCAAACAAGAAAATGAATTCGGAGCATCCCCATTTATCGAGGCAATACGCGACTTTGAAACAATAGCCATGATCCCCCGTCTAGTCGAGCTAGGCTTTGATCCGAACAAAGAGGATCCCGAGGGCGACAGCGCACTATCAGAAGCAGCAAAGCGGAGGCAAATCGACTTTATCGAATTACTACTCAAATATCTGACGCCAGAAGCCAAGGCTCGCCATGCGTATAGAGGAATAAGCGATATCATGAGTACCACTTCCGCCTGTATTTGCGAAGAAGACGAGCCCACCGTCAAATATCTTCTCGATAACTGCGTCGAGCTCGAATACAAAAATCCCGAAGACGGAGCAACACTGTTATGCAATGCAGTATGGTCGCGCAAGGTAGAAGTGGCCAAGGCACTGCTGGACAGAGGCGCCAACGCAGACACCCAGGATATCAAGGGCCGCACCCCGATATCCATCCTTGCAGAACGCGAACATGAAGAAATGATGCACCTGCTTCTGACTGATGGGTTCAAGAATGGGTTGAAAATCGACACCCCCGATAAGTATGGCCGCACGCCCCTATTCCTCGCCTCACTGAACGGCAAAGAAAATATTGTCAAGATCCTACTCGATCACGGCAGTACCAGCCAAAATGCCCGCACTAGTGCAAATAGAACAGCAGTATCAGTTGCCCGTGAGCAGAAAAACCCTCAACTCCTGCAATTACTCGGCGAGAAGCTGGATGAAAACATCCCATTAAGCGAGATAAAGTCACCGTCAACGACACCAGAACTATACGGATATGTCTGGTGCGATAATTGCAACTCATGGATACCTCGCTGGGACCATCTTTTCTGTTGCAAAATATGCGACGAAGGAGATTATAACATTTGCCATGAATGCTTGGCAAGTCGTGCGTTTTGTCTGGATAAATCGCATCCTCTTTATAAACAGTGTCTAATCGACGGCCAGTGGACCGATATTGGAGTAATTCAACAATCGCGATAGTTGGCGTACTATAATATTGTATTGTATAGCAGAAATATTATTTGATGGCCATTGCAGGCTAGGCTATATCAACCCCGATATTGCATTGCGTGTCGTATTTCTATTTAAATGCAATAATAGATCACACGAGTCATGCAGTTTGAACAGGTGTTCCAACGTGTTCTAGATAGAAACTGGCAGTTTCACCGTGTTTAAGAATTGATGTCGTATACCCCTATATCACACCATAGTACCACACCACATTAAGTTATTCATATCAATATATTTACTGACATTTCGAATATAATTTAAGTAAAAATAAATAATATAAGATTAATCATAGCAAGTCAATAAGAAAGTTGCCCCGTTGGGCGGAGATGAAGCTATTCAGCCCTAATGTTTCAGATTTATACAAGCTTGTTTCCGTTAAACATGAACCCACCATGATCCTGATACAATTATCCCTGAGCACTTATATATTCGACTCTTCTCCTAGAAGTATTCTACAGTCATCAAATTCTCTTAAACCATCCAAGATGCGTTCCTCTTCTGCCATCGCTCCTCTGGCTTTCGCCCTGCCCGCTACCGCTGTCGCCAACGACGTCTGGGCCTTTGGCAATGGTTTCTACTCTGGTCCTGCGTCGGGTGCCCACATCACCAAAGCTACCTGGTCCATTGTCCCTCCTACCGTTCCTCAGGGTGTGACTGTTGAGTCGACTGACGATGAGGTCTGGGTGTCGCTGTGGATTGGTCTGTCTGCGACTGCTGGGTCAGACGATGATGATCTCTACCAGCCTTTGCTGAACTGGTCGCCTGATCAGGAGTCGCAGTATGTTTGAATTATGAATGGTGATATTGAGATGCTAATGGCAATAGGGGCTGCTCTGCTAGTTCCTCTGAGTGGTGTGTTGCTGCTAGCACTTACACTCCTAGTCAGTTTTTCTCATCCATCAGGAGGATTCTTGCTAATACGAGCCAGATGGACAAAACGGCCAGGCCTATGTGACTGTGCCCAAGAACACCCAGGTTGACTTTGATGGTGTGTAATACTTGCTCATATATATGGGATGAAGCTGACTCTGTAGTTACCGTCGAGGATAACAAGGTCATCCAGACCGTCACCATCGACGGCAAGGTCGTTTCCAAGGAGAGCGACGGTAAGCCAAATCTATCTGATATATCTGTATAATATAGCTGAGATTTTCAGACCTCGTCAGCGACCTGCTGTACCTCTACTCTGGAGACGAATGCTACACTGGCTCCGGAACCTGCGGAACTCTTGAAGCTTACAGTATGTCCTAACCCCTTCTTATATACCGTGAATCTAAATTGACCCGAACAGGCTACACCAACTTGACGGTCCATCTCAACACCGCCGATGAAAACTACGGCAAGACCCTCAACCTTTACAGTGGCTCCAACTCCAACGGCCTCACTACCTCAGACGGCGGCAAGACCTGGCACACCGATGCCATCAAGATTTCTGAGGATACTTTCACCAATGTGGACCAGTAAATATTCTCTTAAAATGGGAGCATAGGTCTCTAGATTGTATCTGTTTACTCTTTCCCCTCTCGATTTGATTGGAGGGCATCAATGTATATAACTTCCCTTTGATTGTACCATAACTTAAGAGAATTTCTGAGACTTCAAAGCGTTTCTCTATATTGCATATGCATGATTATTTATCTTGAAACCCGAATAAGGATCTATCTTGATAGCATCTTCTTTCGGACTCCTTGACATGATGTAGCATGACAAGGCTGTCGCGTCGGACGTGTCAGTCAAGTGACCACGATAAGCCACAGTGACTGGACTGCCAATGAAGCAACAGAAAAGTGAGAACTAATGCACTCAATCATTAATCTGGTTAGATGGCCTTGGTGTAAGAAACGCGTCTATCGTCGAATATCCGACGCGTTTTCATCAATTTCAACATCGACCGGGAAGATTGCTTTCGTTTGTGCCCGACTCTAGACTTACTGATAACGAGGCAGCGAATGATATCATTACCTATAATATTCCTGTATAATATCTGAACGCACGTAAGCGTCACGAAAGCGGAAATGAACCTATAGCACGCCTGGTCTGACACTGACGACAGGGATACAAAGAAAATCCTGACTCGTAGACAGCATCGACAAGTGAGGCATCGAGTAGAAACTTGATCCTAATCCCTACCAGAGCCTTGTAGAATCCCTTCGAATATATCTGGCGCAACAATGAGTTGGCAAGTTCAGGTGCATCGATGGGATTTATAGACCCCTCCCCCGCAAATATTTCTCTCCGACCATATCATTTACATCCCTCGCTTCACAAATATCCTTCTCAATCTACGTCAACACCAGAAATCAATATGATAATTTATCGGGTTACCGACGAGTTTTCCAATACCCACTTCGATGAAGAAGGGATTTTCGCTGGAAACCCAGATATTGATGTGTCTCTTTTCCCGAAAGGCGACAGACAGAGGAAGAGAACAGTATACTGGATTAAAAAACATCTTGACTGGTACAGCCGTGTGGCAACCCCTTTCATCTCCGCATACACCGATTATGATGTTGCATGGAAGGAAGCAGAGAGGCGTGTATATGCCGGCCATGGCGATGTGGTCATTTGGACAATTAAGATGATTCATGAGTATGGCATCGAGTGTAGGGACATGGATCGGTTGAAGAACGTGCTCGGCTTTTGGATTCCCGATAAAGCATTCCACAATGCGCGATCCGAGTATTTGGTTCTGCATCATATTCCGAGCGAGGCGATTCTTTTTGGGACAAGTCTTTCCAAGAGAAATGGTATGTCTGATTGATGTAGACTGCATTGATTGCCATTGTTCATTGATTTTTAGGCTCCATGAAAGAAAGGATTATTGAGTATTGAATTCTACTCATCCTGCCTGCAAGGCCTCTTTCCATCATCATTCATGGTATCTGGATTAATGCTTGAATTGCACACTTGAATTGTCTTGGTAACTGCCTAGATAAATGTTTCATCGATAGAATGTCTTGTCCTCAATACATAGGGAGCTTTCAAGGATACATTTAGCCATAGTTAGTTGATAGTCCTCTTTACTATGAGATAATGGACGTTTCTGAGTCATTGGTTGATGATGAGATGGTGTCTATGTACATAACTCTTTCTGTTGTATTATGAAAAGGGATTATCAGTACTAATATCGTCAAAGTATCAGACCCCGTATGACTATAGATCCAAGACCTGACAGCACAGCATTAGCAAAGGCCTCAGATAAAACCATGGAACTCACCATATCAAACCAACCTCCACCCCCAAACTGAGACAAACTCCTCCCCCGGTTCTCAAACCCCGCACTCTCATAAAACGGAATCAAATAATCGTGACAGAGCAAGATGATCTGCCCTGCCCCCACTTCTGTACTGCGGATATACTCCACATAAGCCTTGACAAGAACCTTCCCAACCCCCTTCCCCTGATACTCGGGTGAAATAGCAACGGAATGAACGGCAACATTGGCACCTCGAGGGTCATTACCGATAACCTGATTGTCTACAACAACGGTACTATCTTCAGACAGAGACTGCCAGTTATCCGGCATCTGCATAGATCCATCCGTGATGGTTGGCGCGGAAGATCTGTTTGCAATGATATGGCCGATGAGTTGTGCCTCGTTGTTGGTGCTGGTGAAGAGGCCGAGACAGAGGTTAGGGGTTTGTTTGAGGCGATATACAAACTATTTTATTTAGTGAGCCAATGATGGCGAATAAAGACAATGCATACCTTTTCCTCTGAGCATCTTTCGCGCTCTACGAATGCACTCTCGACATTCACACAGGATTTGACGTCCGCTGGGGATAGAGGACGGGTGAATACATTTTCCCCAGATAGGGTGGGGAGCTGGATATTGGTGAATGCCATTGTAAATGCTATTACTGGTTCCTGTTTCTTCACTGATTGTCTAGAATATTTATATCCTGTCAGCCTGAGATATCAGGCATGACTCACGGTGCGCAAGTGGGTCTCTAGTGACATCCAGCCAATAGTATACGAGGGAATCACCGCGCCCTGCGCCGACGCCCTACACCCACCAGTGGATCCACTGTGGAGATCGCATTTGGAGATTCAAGGGGGAGGACTGAAAACATATATGGTTGACTTGATATTCTAGATTGTAGATCTTCAAAAGTTTACATATGTATAGTCTATCAACCGACAACTCTTCCCGAGAGCCCGCATAACTTCGACTCTGGTCATGCAACATGCCCTGCATAAACAACACATGGTTCAAGAGACAGCCAAAGATCTCCATCAATCTCATCAATCAAAAAGAAAATCACACCACTGCATACACAACATTAGATAGAATCGAGGGGGAAGCAACAGTAACCGCCGACTATGATACAGACTTCAGCCATGTCGAAATCACGTTCGAAGGTATAATAGACTGCTGGTATTCGCAAGAAGAGTTGTGTTAACATGGCCAGGTACTGCTCGGGTGTATACACAACGAACTGGTCCTCCTCACGCAGCCCCCGAACTAGAGACGAAGCAAACATTCCTGAGGATTCGGCAACATATTGACGAAAGCGTCTATTCATCTCCACAGGTATTAAGACGAGGCCAAAAGTACACATTTCCATTCAGCTTTATTGTGCCGGATCGCCTCAACCACCAGAGTTGTGAGCATGGAGACGATGAAAACGCCCGCCAGAGACATACCCAACTACCCCCGACCTTGCAAACTTCCAAATTCATCAGCCGTTGCAAATATCCAGTCGATGATATGACGCCAACTGCATGTCGTGTTTCATATGGGGTTAAAGTCGCAGTGTTGAAACGTTCCTCAAAGGAAATGTTGGTGAATCGCACAAAGAAAATACGTTTGATTCCTGCCTATGAGGAAGAAACACCATATACCGCCTGTGGTGATATTGAAAAGTGTTCCTGGCGGAGAATAAAAGACATCCAATACGGTATGATGAGAGATAAACTGGGGCAGCTTATCGTGACTGCATTTCAACCAAAACCGCTTCGCCTATCTGCACCGGAATGCAAAATATCTGAGACTGGCAATTCGTCTGCTGTGGCGCACATTCGCTTCAATCCAGTTGGGGATGAGACACCACCCTGTTTGGGAACCCTATACAGCAAGCTCAGAGTTTCGACCTCGTATTCATGCAATCCATGGACTGACAGTCCTTCTCATTCTATGATGGGGTATCCTCAAACGGGTACTCGCGTCTTTGCGAAGAGTCTTCCATTGTCTTCATTGTGCGTCGAGTCTGTTCAATGGACGAAGCACACGGTGGAAGACAGCTTAATCGATGATTACGATCAAGTGGCAGCTTCGGAAACGGCGACAAAGAATTCGACAGCCGGTATTTTCTATACGGCTTCTTTGGTTGTCCCGATCACACTCCCACAAACCAAGGCCTTCGTTCCGACGTTCGAGTCGTGTATGATCTCTCGCGGCTATGCCCTTGAGCTCCGTCTTTCATATCACTCTTCTAATACTTTCTTGCCTTCATGGGTAGAAGTGAAAGTGCCTGTCCAGATTGTGTCGGCAGGAGGAACAACACATGAGCCATTACTACCGCCATATACACCATCCGCCGAGTCGCCGGATAAGCTGATCATCTGATGTGTCGAGATACCCCATATGTTTAATATAATAAGATTCAATAAAATCTCACGAACCATTTCCAGTATCAAGGTTGCGCGATTGAAAGACCATTAAGTGTAGACAGCGCCTGCTCATCTATTTCAGCATTTGGCTGCTCAATGTGCTGACGGCGAAATGCAGCAAGCCACTCGGGATTATCGAAGATTGTCTGATTCCATGAGTCTTCGCAGCCGTAGACAATTCGTCTCGACTCTTGCTGGAGCATCTCATCTGTAGGAATGATCCCTTGGTCTATCTTTTGTCGTGTAAACCGACCGAGATGTGTGGCTAATACTTCCATCAACGATGCTAGCGGGTTATGAGCTGTCTGTTCCGATGGTGATATTTGGGTCTCTTCATGTGGACTGTTATTCTCAGTTAGGGCCGCCCGTGATGAGATCTGATCCACATGGTCCTTTGCATGGATATCCGTGACGGAGAAAGGAACGAGACAGCGAGAATCTGACCCGATGTAATAAGGCGGCAAGGCATTTGTAACATGCATCGCGATTTCCGGCGGAAAGTCATGCTCTCCCTGCCAATCTTCCATCGTCGACCCGTTGCGGAAGTGACTGGCTAGATGCTCAACACGATCTTCCCAGGAGGATAGTCGTCTGTCGCAGAATCCACAGCGTGATGTCACTTGGGGAGCTTGTGTTTTCCAGTCGTCTATCAACGGCATGGTCTCAAGGTAGTGTGTGAGCCGTAGATGCTGTACTAAATGGTCCTTGCGGCGGAATGTGCGTGTGCCACCCAGACATGCGTCGTAGTTGTGTTCATCGAGGTGTTCCGGCTTTGGTTCCAGCATGTTACAGTATGCGCAGTGTTTCCTTCCAGTCAAAGGCGACAGTACAGAAGCCCCATGTGGTGCACATATCCAACTCTCAAGGTTCAAATGAAGCGATTTCTCATGTCGTGCCCAGTCGTATTTCGTCCTGAATTGGTCGCAACAAAAGGTACAGCAAAACCTACGGCTCTTATCCTTGGACTGATTGGGCTTCTTGCTGCTCCCTTTGCGTACACGTCCACCAGACCGCTTAATCGGAGCCGTCAATGGATCCTGCGACTGTCTCGAAGTTTCGGACCGGCTGGAAGTGACAGAATGGTGCGATGAAACACTGTGGGCGCTGCTTTGCGAGCTGGTTGTTGATCTTGCTTGACGGAATCCTCTGAACTGATCGGACCCATGGAAATCGCGAGTGCTCGATGGAGAATTGCTTGATCGTGAGCTTTTCAAAGTGTCCATAATCGCAGACAACGATGCTGGCTCATCCTCCGGTGGCGATTCCTGCCAACGCTGCATAGGATCAAGAGCACTCGATGGGTTTGGGATAAAGGTAGGAGTAACGCTTGATCCAGTTCTTTTGATATGATACCGACTTCTTCTCCTCGGGAGACCACGATAGGTTGGGCTGATTGGATAAGTGCTCTGTAGGCTTGTCTGCGAGGGCCACATGTGCTCGCTGCTCATATTTTGATTGGGGTTTTCCCATGCGGCAGGTGGAGGAGAGTGTAAACCTAATGACTCATATGAAGAGCCAGGCTGCAGTTCGCTTGACGGGTCGTCGATGTTCTGCAGCCACTGCTCATTGTGGGCAGACCATGCGATTTGTCCTGCTGGCAGGTATTGGCTGGATTGCAACGATTCCTGAGAACCGCTGCTGAAGTTCTGGTCATAGGGAAATCGCTGCAGTGCGGACAGTCCATCATGGGAAGATGCATGGAGTTGGGCATTGTGGTCAAAAAGATAAAAATCAGAAATTGACGGGTCGAATGAAGAATTGTGTTCCATTGGAGAAATTCCTGAACCCGTCAGTTATAATGTCTGTAAATTAGATTGAAGATATACCCACCTTTCTCCAGATCGTCTATCGTGAACTCATCTGGACCCTCCCAGGACTGAGGCCCCGCCGATTGCGGAGTTGGTGATTTGCTGTGCTGCATAACGCTGGACGTGAATATCGTTCAATCTGTAATCTGAGCTGTCAATTAGGTAACATAAGTCCACTCGTCATTTCTCAAACATCATCCCACCATGATGAGGGAATTGCATGGCGTGGAATGCTAAAAATGGTTGCCGAAGATTCCTGGCAAAAAGTCGGCGCGATTCAACCCGGTCACGTGCTGATATCTTATCTGTTAGATCTGCCACGTGATCTACTGGCCGAAAGTGGAATCGTCTACTTGGTATGCTATCTTGTTTATTCGGGAATATCTTCACGACATATGATACTGTATAAGAGAAAGTTCAGTAGTACCCTATTTTTTGGCATGCAATAGAAAGCATCTAATAGGGCCATTGGTAATGCACCTTGACTTTTATCTGCCATGGCTCAGTGGCACCCGAAAATACACATACGGACGATAAAACACAGAAAAGAGACTGATTCTTTTTCAATGGCAGTAATTTCCAGTTTGTTAAATGCTCCATGTATAGAGGATAGAAATCTGTGAATAAATATGAATGTATTTTTGTATTTAAACCTCACTAAGCCACAAAGATCTGTTCAGTCGATCACGATGACCTCCAGTTGCCGATATGAGGTTCAAGACCACCCCAATGTCCAACGTCTCAGTTACATGTTGATACTATTACAGTTCAAAAGCACTTCCTCTACTGCTTTTCAGCGAGATGAGGAAAGAAGCCAACATAGTAGTCCCGCTTACCCAGCGGCACTCCCTCCTTTCGCAGAATGCCATACGCAGTAGTAAGGTGGAAGTAGACATTCGGCAAGACAATGGTGTGCGCATACGCAGCGCCACTGATGGGAGCCTCCATACCCGGGCCCATCTTAGTGACCTCAACGACGTCGCCGCGCTGATTGACGACGTCCTTGTCGGCCTCGTTGAGCGACTTCAGCACCGTGTCAATGCGCTCATAGAATTGAGCAAAACTCGTGGGATTGCCATCAAAGGTCACCGGCTCCCGACCGGTCAGTCGTGCGACGAGATTCTCCGAGAACTGGGTTGCCAGGCGGATTTGGTCGGGCAATGGGTACATGTCGGCGTGCAGACGGGCCTCGAGCAGAGAGCTAGCGGCGGGGTGTTGTTGCTCGGCCAGGTGGAGGATGTGGGACAGCGAGCCGAGGATGCCCTGGAGAACCACGATGGTTCCGTCGTAGAAGGTGTGAGTCATGCTTGGAGGAGTTGTAGAGAGGTTTGGAATTGTGAATTGAAGCTTGGATATTGCGAATTCAAGCTTACGGTCTTATAGCTGTGCGAAATTACCCCGCGTTGATTCCAACGTCAGACGGAGGGCGTCCGCAGACACGTGATGTCAACATTATACAGTGGGGGCTATTTATATTTAAGGAGAAACAGCCCTTTATCTGCATCGACGGCAGGCCAGTTAGTCTCGCAGACATCGATAGGCGATCTGACTCCGCTGACAGTGACCTGTGACCAGTAACTGGGGCAGGATGAGAATATGTGACAAAAGGGTGTGGTGTATGTATCTTTTGATACGCATTCCTGGTGGTACTTCATCTCGTATTCCAGCATTGCCGCGATGTTTCTAGAACATTCAAGACCATTATAGCATACTGAATACGATGCTGCCTACCTGTCAGCAAGGCTGTGCTGATCATCTTCAATTTTGACTAACAGCCTTATTATTGTATTAATACACTCGTCTCTCCTGAAAAGTTAAATAAAAATCAATTTGATACTTTACCCATATTGATCAAAATGTCATCTTCCAACTCAGGCTCCTGCCTATGTGGCGCCGTCAAGTACGGACTCTCTGATGCCCCAGAGGTATGCTACATGTGTCATTGCAACAGCTGTCAAAAGGTCTCAGGCTCAGCCTTTACGGCAAATTGCTTGTACAAAAGAGAGGTATGTTATCACTTTTACTTCTGCTTTTGAAAATATTTATTCTAACGCCCCATAGAATTTGAATATTATCCAAGGCCACGGAGTGATCAAGACATACAGCGACCAAGCGACTTTCTCCGGACAGGCCCTGGAGCGCTCATTCTGTGATACATGCGGGTCAAATCTATTCCTACAGAGCAAATTGTTAGGAGAAATGGGAATGGTCGCTGTTCCTTCGGGTACGATTGACGATAGAACTGAACTCCGTCCGAAAATAGAAGCCTGGTGTCAGAGTCGGCGAAGTTGGCTTTCTGGGGTGGAGGGGACAGAGCAGAAGGAGAAACAATGAGATGGAGTATCTTGGGGTTTGTATCATCAAAGCGAGCAGTCTGTAGTTGATTACACAGGGCAACTTGATTTTTCTGATCGAGCATCAACACAAAATTGGACATCAAATGCTAATAGGAGACAGAATATCTGATTAAATTTTACTCTTCCCCTCCACCTTCTCATGAATATGCGTAGGCTCATCTTCAACAAGCTCCTCATCCTTCTCAGCACGACCGTCATACACCCCAGCCCGAGATGCAACCTGCTCAAACGAATAGCCCTTCTCTCTAACATACCGCATATTACTCGTCGGCCAGATTGAGCATATAACATAGTAAGAAACAAACGATGTGACAAACGCCATAATCCAGGCAATGTCCATCATATGCGAAGCGGCCGTAGTCACATTCGCACCAAGCTGGCCACAGAAACCGGGAAAGGGAAGTGCGATACCTACTATGTAGGATATGGCGGCTTGAACGTTCCAGCCTCGATGGTAGTAGTAGTTTTTGTTTGCTCTGGTGGGGTTGTATAGTGAGGGGATGAATATGTTGCCTTTGGTGAGAAGGAAGTCTATACAGATGTTAGTCTGTCATCTCGTTAGGCGATCTCAAGACTTACAGTCACAGAGCATAATAGACACAACACTTGCCTAGGCTAGTTAGATACCAATGATAAATGGATAGAAAAGAAGGTATACCATAAAAAGCCCATAACCACTCAAAAAAGTCTCAAACTTGGTAGCCGACGCCAGAATCTCCCAGGGACAAACCGCCCAAGCCAGAAACTCCACAATAAACTGGCCGCGACGCATATTGATATATGCAGGAAACAGCATGGCAGCGTCAGCTCCAAAGGACATCATATTCGCGGCAATGTTGGTGCCCAAGATCTGCACCATCCAGGCAAATGCGCAGAGGAAGATGGCGAATCGGGTCTTGGGGGACCAATATTCGTCGAGAATTAGATTCATCATGTCCCATTGATTCCTGCAGAGTGTTAGATTGACCAGTCGGTATGGGGTGGGCATAGATACCAGATGTTGGTGTTGTATTTATAATTGACGGCGTTGGTAGACAGAATACCGAGACTAGCAGATAGGGTTACTGCTAGAGGGTTGACCAGCTATTCATGTCAGAATCACATATACGAGGGAGTAGAGGCGGCCCACTAGTTGAGTCCAAATTGGACCGCTGCGATTGCGTGTCCAGCGGACATAGTCTGGCTGGTTGGTGATTAAATTCGCGGTGTTTCTGAGGTAGTCTGGTTAGAGAAGAGGTCACATATATAACTTTATTAGCATACCCAAGGCCACTGTTTATACCAGCAAGAATAAACCATGCAGTTCCACTCGATGATCGCGAGGTTGAGCTATACAGACTGCCCAGCTGACCCTTGGTGTCAATCATGGCCCAGATGAAAAGACCAAACATCGAAGGAAGAGATACAATAGTCTTGAACCAATAGAATCCGCGAAGCTGGTACGGCCGAAAGTAGCAGAACGGAAGATGCACGAGCCAACAGAGAAAAAAGGACAGCATGAGGGAGGTTGAAATGCCGGCACGTTCAGGAAGACCATTGGCAATGTCGGTGAATTTGTGGCCGAATATCGCACGAAGGATATTGTACATGTACTCGGCGCCAAAGTACACTTCACGGTTAGTTTCATATCACAAAGGTATAGTATGTATACGACTTACTCTGGACTGCATACCAAACAACAGCCATGATGGCTCTTGCACCAACAAAGTAATAACTCCCCCACATCCCAAAGACACTCCGAGCCACGCAGGGATAGCCAATGTGGTAGACACTCGCCGAGCGCGAATTAAAGGCCATCGCGATGGAGGAGATAAACTGCGAAACGAAGATAACCACAATAGCCTGCCACCAGCTGAGGCCTATACCGACCATTGTCTGCTTGACGTGAGCTTAACACTGAGCGACACTGGTAAAGCACTTACAGATCCCAGAGTCCAGTTAGTAAAAGAGATGGACCAGTAGAAGGTGATGTAATTCCACCAACGCCATGCTGTCGTTTGATAATCAGAAAATAAATATCAAAAAGTGATTATCAAGCTCACACTGCTTTTCTGGTGGTGTTGGCAGAAGGTCTTAAGGTAGGAATGTCAGTAGCCTATTCAGATTATTGCCAGATGATGCTTACCTTCATTCACCCATTTTGTATGCTCTATCTGCCCTTCTGTTTCTTCAAGCCTGATGCTCTCCTTAACCCATGTAAAAAAACCGAGCATATTTGAATAAAATAAGGGGCAAGGATAGGTTCAGAAATGATAGAGGTCGCTCTCCGTACATGTACCTTCATATATCCGAGGGGTTCTCTACGTGGTGCCAAACAACAGGCCGAGTTCCACGCAATCGAAACGACCGGCAGCATCCGCTTATCGACAGGGATATTGTTTTAGTTGCTGATAAGTAGGATCAAGCAATAATATAAACCAATCGTATTTATCAAAAGGCTGGAGCTTATGCGTCGCGACTCGGAGATAAGAGAAAAGATGATAATGCGGGGAATTGCGACTGTCATTTGCCTTTCTGGAAACAAACCAGAGATCATGTGAGACACCGGATAATGTATCAAGATAGATAAGTACTTGGCTTTTAATTTATTATTTTACAATCTCGAGATATTACATTAATCGATAGGACGTTGCTATTCATCCCACCGAGCTGATACTGTCTTGGTGGTTGTAAAAAAGGGCCAGTATGTCTTTCCTGGTACATGTCGGTCTATTCCATAGATATTAGCGTGATATTTTGACAGTGGAAATGTATTTATATATGCTCACCTCCCATGAATGAGTCCTTATTGCTGGTTCGTACAGCAGTACCGTATGGAGCTAAGAATATCAGCAACGAATTGCAGAGCTTGGGTGAGAACGAAATACCAATTAATGGAATATTGATTCCGATTTGTCCCACATTGACCTGCCGTTGAAAGGTTTTGGCATGCTTACCACTGGTGGTGAAGATCGAGCAACCATTCCCATCTATCATCATTAGCGCAGCTCAAATGTCGATGTTTATCACCTACATCTATTCTGATTGATCAATTCAATCGCTTCGTCAAGTGTTTCGACCTCCATACATATGAGGACTGGTCCGAATATCTCTGTTTGATAGCATTCCATATACGTCTTCACTCCAGATAATATGGTCGGTCCAAGGAAATTCCCATTCGGATAGCCAGGAACCTCCACATCCCGCCCATCGCACAAAAGTACAGCACCTTCTTCTATCGCACGATCAATAAAGCCAGTGACCTTTGCCTTGGATGCTCGGTCAATCAACGGACCAATCTGGGTGTTCGTATCGCCAGTATCGCCCACGACCATCGAGGTTGCGATATCGACCAACTGTGGTATCCACTCTCTGGTGCTCCCAACAAACACAGCGACACTCAGAGACATGCATCGCTGCCCAGCAGCACCAAAAGCACTACCAGCGATGGCAAACAGTGTTGGCATCATACTCGCATCCTCCAAAACAACCCCGTGGTTCTTGCCTCCGCATTCGGCTTGAATGCGCTTTCTAGCTTTTCTGGAGATATCATGGACCTGTTTTGCTGCCGACTCAGACCCAACAAAACTAACAGCCTGCACGTCTGGTTGCAGGATAAGCATTTGGGAAACAGTGTGGCCCCCATGGACAATGTTGAAGACGCCCGCGGGGAAGCCTGCCTCGAGGGCAGCCTCAGCCAGGAAATGTGAGACTGAAGGCGCTTTTTCGGATGGCTTCAATACAACAGTATTTCCGGTGGTGAGTGCATATGGAATAGACCATAAAGGAGTCATGAATGGGAAACTGAAAGGGGTGATTGAGACACAGACACCCTATAGACATTCCTATCAGCGTCTTGGAGAATGGTAGTTTGAAGGAAAAGAACCCACCACTGGCTCGTAGAATGTCTGCAGAAGAGTAGGATCAGATCCAAGATACATCCCGGCCATTTCAGGGCCAATGGAACACGCAGCATGAATGCAATCCAGACCCCGGAATACTTCTGATTCTGCCTCTCCGGTAGTCTTGCCTAATTCACGGCGGAGAATTGAAATATGAACACCTAGATTAGTTAAGGGAATCTCATGATTTCAGTGATAGCTTACAATATCCGAAGACATCTTCCGCAGACGGTCTATGAATTTGAGAAGATACTCCCGTCGAGATTGAAATCCCAGTCGCTCCCATTCATCCTGGGCAGCAGAAGCTGACTGGACTGCAGTTTGGACCTCTTGGTGAGTGCACGAAGGCACCTTGGAAAGGGCTTCTTGTGTAGCCTTACTCAAGTTAGCTGTAGCAAAACCACTTCCACCACTGGGTTGCTCACGGGATTGAGAACGTCAGTCCAGTATCTGGATGTGGATATAATGTTTTTATTATTGATGAAGAGGTGTATCACTGCTGGGCTGCTGGCAATATTCGAGTCCTCATCCAGCCTGGATAATTGATCGATTTCCTGAGTATTCTATTCACCCAAATTTCAGTTCCATGTCAGCGTATTTCCTGTTTCCATATTTTCCGAAGCATACCTCGTAAATTTCAATAGGAGCATCATCTGATGATAAGGATATATTTGCATTGTTGGCATTGTTGGCATTGTTGGCTGATGAGCGGTGAAATGGGGCAAATCGAGCACGATGAGGCGGAGCCACAGCTTTGGGCATTTTAATTACTTTTTTTATTGTTTTTTGGCTTGATATGAAGTGCTTGTATTAATATCAGGCTTGCGAAAAGTATCCATATATGCGGTTGGTGAACTTTGGCACTGAGTCTCGATAATGATATAAAATTGCAGTCATGATCAAAATGTGGTGGCTACCTTTTAGCCATCATGATTGGATGGCGCTGGCGGTGTAATTGTGGGGATTCATGGAACGTCGGTCTTTTTATATAGATCTAGAGATAGGTTGAAGATAAATATTTGTCCAATGTCATGGATAAACAAGTTCATTAATTTTGGTTCGTCTAACTGTTAATGCTCAACATCTTCCCAGTTCTGCCATCCACGCCCTTTGACCTGCGCCAGTTCTTCCTCTGTGTACTTTTTCCCCACAGTGAAATAACCAGCATTGATCTTGGCATCTATTTCAACACGAGAGTCTTGAGGAATCATATCTATAATGACAATTAGCAATTTGAAAGGTGGAACAAGATTGCTGCTGTGGTGGACTTACGGTCCGGAATAGGAATTCGCTCCAGAATGGGGATGCCCTGTTGTACTATCGCGTCGTGCTTCATGTTTGACATTGACAGCATGCGATCGATCTTCTTGATACCCAGCCATTGAAGAATATCAGGCATTAGTGCCTGGAAACGCATCTGTTATAGCAGAGAGGTTAGTTTCTTCGGATGTATATACAACAAACGCAAATTGAAAACTCACATCTCTCACGCCTGCAATATTTTCGGTACGGGCAAAGTACTTGTCCGCAGTATCACCACCACGTTTACGCGCATTATAGACCAGATATTTCACAACCTCACCCAGTGCTCGTCCCTCTTTTCGGAAATAAATTACAACGCCAGATCCACCGTTTTGGGCTTCCCTAATTGCTTCTTCAATACCAAAGGCGAGGTAGGGTCTGCAGGTGCAAATGTCAGACTGGAAGACGTCTGACCCGTTACATTCATCGTGAATGCGAAGGGCAAGTTTGACATCTGGATTGGAGATCTTCTCCGGGGAACCAAATATATAGACAGTCAGACCACCGATTGGGGGTAGAAAGACTTTAATATCCGGTCGGGTAATGAGCTCTGGGAAACTTCCACCACACTGTTCAAAGAGAGTGCGACGCAGAGTGCCTTCATCAATCCCGAATCGCTCAGCCACACCGGGGAGATACCAGACAGGTTCGACAGCTGCCTTTGTCACACGTACATCCCCGTCCTTGCTAATGACAATATCTCCGTCGACCTCGAGGCGGTTCTCTTTCACAGCGTCGCTGATCTCAGCCAAGCGCATGGTAGCCCTAGTAACGGCAATGGTTGGTCTCACGTCTAGACCGTCATCGAGATGCTTTTTGAAATGCTTCACAACATTATGACCGAATGGATCCATTGAAACAATTTTTTTCTTGTCTCCCCATGCTTGTTGAGGAGGAAAATTGAAGATGGGTTGAGTATTTTCGAAGCTGGGTTTGAAGTCTGATGGAAGATCACCGGCTGCAATCGCCAGTGCATTGTAGATTGAATAACTTCCACCATGCGCTCCGATGGCATTTCGCCTGCTCATCGTCTTCGAACTGCGGGAGACTAGAACGGGGCCTCGTTCTTGGGGGTCGATTTTGCCCCATTCCAAAGGTATCGGATCCACGACACTTTGGCCCGGATATGTCGTTAACTGTCTCGTTAGTCGGTGCCTCTTTTGGGGTGTCAGCATGGAGACTTACAATGATGCGTCCTCCATTCCTTGGGGGGTTGTGTTGATTATCTTTGTCTGTGTTTGGGACAGTCATTTCTTTGAGAGTGCTGGACGTTCGTGATATGAATTGTGATACAATGAGAAGATGTAGTCTGGAATTGGAGCATGGAGGGTTTTAATAACTCATGGAGTCCGTCTGTCTGCTAATCGAAGTGCCATTTCCCCTACATTGCTGCTATCGTGCGCGATAACAAGATACGAGAGACGATAAGATTAGAGGCGGCGATAAGGTCTTATCTACTATCTGTCCTGTATTTTCGATATCTTATCGCTCTGGATAGACATTATCGGGCGTTATCAGACATATCTTATCGGCAATGTCGATTATCATTTTTTCGCTTAAAATCAGGCCCTTTTGACTGAATCAGAATTTTTTTATAACATTTGTCCTAGTGGAAAGATTCGGGAAGCCAATGGTAAGCTCTGGCGTCTGTACCTGAAGCGGTGATTTAGATTTGCTCGACATTACAATTTTGCTCTCAATTCAGCATTTTATTGGAATAGTCGTCGGCCGTGCTATCGAAGGAAATTACCATGGACCAGCCCTGTCATCAGAAACAGATCTTTCTCTTACCGCAAGGGAATACTCTGCTGAGTTTAATGACGATACTTCGCGACAAAAACACTAGCTCAACAAGATTTGCCGAAATAACAGAAAAAGTAGGGGATCGACTTATTAGTGCAGGTAGGCTATTCCCTTCCACGGCCTCAATACCCGACAATTCTGATATAAAATTTTTTCCAGCGTTGGACATCCTCCCATCTGAGAATTTCAATGTTGTCAGCCCAACAGGCACTGTATACGAAGGAGTACGACCAACCGCAAATGTATGTGGCGTGAGTATTCTTCGAGCTGGTGCGAGTCTCGAAAATTCGCTGAGACGGGGCTATACGTAAGACGACCTCCTTTTTCTTGACGAAATCAACACACCGATTAACCTGCCTTCAAAGTGGTCCTCTCAGTTTCGGTAAAATCCTGATACAACGAGACGAGACAACCGGACTGCCGACTCTGTTCTATTCAAAATTTCCATCGTCAATTGCTTCAAAGAGTATGATATTCTGCCCAAAAATATCCTATAGTTATATCACTAAGCTAATCCCAACTAGCAATATTGATACTGGAGCCAATGCTAGCCACGGGAGGCTCAGCAAGTGCGGCAATTGACGTAATAAAGGCACAGGGTGTTCCTGAAGAAAACATCATCTTTGTCAACATCGTGGCGTCCCAGCAAGGAATCAAAAATTTATTCGAACGTTTTCCTTTCATCCGCTTAGTGACTGCAGCGGTGGATAAAGAACTCACGACAAATTAGTAAGTCAAGTTATCAATACCTTGCACGAGAAAGGCTAATATAAAGTAGTATTATAAGCCCAGGGCTGGGAGACTTTGGAGATCGGTTTTATGGGACCTGTGATTGAACCTTCTGTTATTTTTTATTATTATTACTTAGTTCCATGACATCACTGTCAATGAATCATTATTATTTTTATGCATTTTTACATTTATCTTGGAAATGTCTCAGTACCACATTGAATGTAAGGAAGACGCGTTCATGTCTTAAAAAGACCTAATCAACTGTACCTACGTATTAAATCCACCACCCCAGTCATCCATTGGTTTACAATATTATAATAGAGATGGAAATCCCAAGAGATCTTCTTGTGCAGGCCGATGCATTTCCTATTATGCACTACTAGGCTAGTCCAAAGGTGTATAATGCTATACTAAAACAAAGTCCCATCTCCCTCGATGAGAATGGGACTCGACTTGGTGTTAGGCCGAAACTTTGCTGCGAGCTCTCTCCCCAATTTCCAAGTGCCAGCTTCCAGCATTTGGGCCATACTCAGATTGAAGTCCTGCACGGCATAGAATTCACTAACAGGGCCATGAAGTTTGTCTAGCAAAGCCACTGTCATTGCTCGCCATTCCACAATAACGTCACTGGTTGCTTCGAAGCTCGGAATATCTTGACCTGAACGCCGTTGGCCCTCTTTCAACGTATCCTCTTTGAGTTTTAGAACGCCCAAGTCCACAAACAGACCTCCATTTCGGTACTCTGGCAATCCAGTTCCAAGCTCGATGTTGTCCCATTGATAGTCCAGGATCCGCATGAAAGGCACGGACAGGGAGTAGGCAAGCCATTGTGTGAGCTTGTGGAAGGGCTGGATGTTAAGCGTGTTGTTGTCACTTTGCTTGCCCGCATTGACCCTAGCCAGGGTTTCGAGGGGCCATGAATCTCCAATGGGAACGCCAGCAATGTGAGTCCGGTTCTTGGGCCAACTGGGCAGGAGGGTTTCCTGTAGGACGAACCAGAGAGTTCTGAAGTTCAAACGTTGTGACCCTCCCCCCTCTTTCATGAGGTAGTCTGAATTTATTTATAAGCCAGGATACATAGCTATATGTTGATAGGAAAACTTACCGACAAGCTGTCCAGGTCGGCCATCGTTGCCGAAAATTCTCGTTTGATTCAGCAATGACTTGCCAACACTGTTGAGCAGGCTGACACGCGATGCATCACTAACAATCTCGTTTTCTGGGGTAATTTGGAAGTGCTTTCTGAAGGTCTCCACGTTGAGATCAGCCAGTCCTTTGCCTGCAAACTGTCAATTCATCTGAAAAGCATGCCATAATATTCCTATGGCTTACCATCAACGTGTTCTGGCACTTCAGATTTCTGGCTTGAAAGGGCACCAGATTTATACATATACAAAGCTGCCACCGCTATACCTTCACTTCTCCCATAGGAGTTGTTGGTTCCTGGCTCGGTGAACTTCCAAACATCCCCTGCTCCGGCGTCCAGGAGAACGGAGACGAAGAACAGATCAATAAGCCGGCGAGCAATTTCGACCTTGTCACATCCACTTCCCTGCCACTGCTTGATCAGGTTGTCTACCCGAGGGATGCCACCGATGTCAAAGTGCTGCCATCGACCGTGTGGAGGGATTTTGTCAAAGTTATCGGGGCCAAAGTCTCGCTGGGATTCAATTTAGCCATGAGGAAGCAACCTTGAATTCCATTTCCTATATTTCAGACTTACACTGATAATCCCCACAACCTCAGATGCAACTGCTGGTAATTCGTCGGGATGGTAGGAAAAGTGAGAGAGCTCTCCTTTCTCGGCGGCAGCAAGAACCAACTCTGCTCTTTCGCGGACAGCCTCTAGACTTTTGAGATACTCGATATCAGTCATTATGGTTATATTTGCAGCAGCTGAGGAAAATCCCTTTTCAACGTGGTGATCAGTAAGTTTCAAGAAGATAGTCAAAGAAGAAAGGGGATCATTCCAAGCTCTTCCTTCATTGTAACCGACCCCGCTTGTCCCCGCACAGGGGTCGGACCGTCAGCATTAGCGTGTGACTTATCATATGTATCAGTGCCTGATACGATAGCCGATAACCGATAAGATAAATATAGCTTGGTGTTATCAGCTTATCAGCTTATCCCCTATCTTATCGTGTTCATTATCTTCGTGGATTGATAGATCCAGCAACAGGTCAGTTTATTCACGCTGGTAAAGTATAATAACTAGAATCATGTCCGGATTCTCTTTTCCCAATACCCAATGCACTCCACTCAACCATCGAAATGCCCTCAAACATCACCACCGTCATCAACAGCGAAGCGTCCCAAATCCTCTCACAACTCCGTGACCAGTCACTCCCTCCAGCCACTGTCCGTCGACTCGTTGGCAATCTTACATCAACACTGACAAAATATGCGCTCAAAACTCCTACCCAAGACGAGCAAGTCGCAGTCATAGTCATCTTACGTTCTGGCCTAGCAATGGCCGATCCATTCCTCGCAGCCCTCCCAGAAGATGCGAACACAGTCACATACCATCTCGGTCTATTTCGTGAAAAGGAATCTCTTCGACCGGTTGAGTACTATAATAAGCTTCCAGCAAAGAGTCCGAAGATTAAGCGTGCCTATGTTCTTGACCCGCTCGTGGCTACCGGTGGAACGGCAAAGGCTGCAATTGAGATTTTGAGGTACGTTAACGGAATTCTGTAAAGGTATCTCATTTTATTAATATACATTAGGGACTGGGGTGTTGGCCACATCACATTGTTCTCTTTGCTAGGTAGTGAAAAGGGTATTGAAAACGTTGCTGGTGTTTGGCCAGAAGGCACTGATATTGTCGTCGGGGCGATTGATAAAGAACTTGATGATAGGGGATATGTCAAGCCTGGCCTTGGTGATATTGGTGATCGTCTGTATGGAACTAGTCTGGGTTAAAATAGGAATGATCAAACTACAATGGGCTGAGTGTGTCTCTCACTAAATCGGTAGCTTCAAGACGAATAAATATATAAATGAGGAAGCTGGGGCTTGAAGATGAAGATCATTTGATTATGGGTGAGCGTTATGACAAGTATTGGGTATATGCTTCATTGCCAGAGTTGTCGTTGTTTATTGATTGGGGAGAATGTGAAAAAGAAGTTATGTGTTTCTCAGTTATTACATGCTGTTACGACATGCTGGTTGTAACTGCTCTGCTATTTTGCAATTGATGGGGTATATAATATTAGTAATTCGAATAATACACCCAAAATCTCGATATAAATATCAGTGATCATCTTCATAATATTCATCATCATCATCTGGTACCGGCACCAAGTCCGAGCAGGACCAATACGTATTTTCCCGTAGATGCAAAGCCACACCCACTTTCACCGCTTCGACAGCCAGCTTGTCACATTGCTCCTTGTATTGACTCTCTGCGTCCGAGGGACAGGATAGGTGGATCTCTTCAAGAGCAGGCGTATCGGAGCACTTCTTGGCGGCGAAATCATAGAATAGGTTCTTGATAGCCTTGTACTGGTTGCCCTTTCCATCTGAGAATAAAGAAAGCTGAGAGACCGAGGCGGGTATGATATCAGTAAGAACAGAGTTGAGATAATCTGGATCGTTGCTCTCCAATGCTAGAGCAGGATTGCACAGTACAACGTCGAGGGGAAGCTGAAGTCTTCGCACAGTCTGAAAGCCGCGCAGTGATGCCTTTCCAGGAAGGATTGCGCCGTATAGCCCCTCAGTGCAGATGGAAAGCTCCTCGAGGTGACTTCCAACTGCGTGCTCGATTGCCGTGATAAACTGGCATAGATCCCAGTCTTGGGCGTTGTTAGTATATCTAGTATTCCAGTACGACAGTTGTTTCAGGCGTCGTGTGCTTTTAAGAAACTGCGCAATGGCCGCTGCGTCAACAGAAGCATTGTCCATCTTAACCCTTTCCAACGATGCATTGAAGTCACTGTCTAGATATTCAGACTGAGTATTCCGTTGTCTACCCGTGCCCACACAAGGTCGAAGCGAGAAACAACGGACGTGCGGCAGGGCCAGGAAAGGAATTGCCCAGGACATATCGAGTAGCGGCAGCAGGGTATTACGCACACGCCGGAAAGGCCGTCCCTTCAGTTTAGTAACTTGGACAAGACTGGGTCTGTCAATATGGAGACACTGGTGTCTTGTGTTGCGAATAACAAGATTAAGGAGCTTGTCGGTTGCGGGGACCGGCTTCCAAAAACCCGGCAGCGTTATCTTCTTCACATTGGGCAGGAGCGTGAGGATGAAAACGGCAGCATGCTGCGAGTACCGAGCCTCATTGAGGTCCTCCTTTATCGCTGCCCAGTATTCTTTCCAGTCGAGCCCTGCTTCCCTTAGATAGGGAGAATTGGCGAGCAGTGCAATGATAGCGTCATCACGATCAGGCTTTGTCGCCAGTTCACGGAGTATACACTGAGTACATACACTGTCTTTCCTAAAGTCCGCGATTTGAATATAGTGGGCTGCAGCCGGCTCAACGGCGATGAGCCCGAGCAAGGTGAAGGCTGAGGTGGCTGTGTAGTAAGGGAGATCTGGGACCAGAAAGCATGGACCTTTCGACACTGGGTCTGTCTTGTAGTAGTGGAAATCGTGGAAATGATAGTGCAGTTTCTTGTGGTGCGTGATGAATGGGGTGCAAAGTGCATGCATATGTTTGCAAGACAAGGCGAGGCTCTCAAATCCTTCTGGCATGGTGTGTGGGACGACCATTTTCAGAATCTCATTAGGTAACTGCTCAAATGCCATAGTTATGGTTACAATGATCGTGGGAGATGAAAATTAGAAAGGTAATCAGGCTCTGATAATCTGAGACCAACCTGCTTCTGTCATTTCTGGGTTAATGCAATGTGTTCACAGCCTGGGGTCTTTATCAATCATACAGACTAGTGAGGGGCTGTGCAGCGCCTTTCACACTATTTGGTTTCAAGCCTAATGAGGCTGAAACCCTGTGAGAGGCCTCATCGGGCGTCGGGCCCGATCGTCCGATAGAGCGGACTTGCCCGCCCCCATGAGCATGAAAATCAAGATCTTTGCCGTGATGAGTCACAAGGATCCTGCTGTTAGTAAGCTTAGATATACCCTGGAAGACCATGGACATGGATGCGGCGTGAATATTAGTTTGTACATTGATTCTGAAATCAACGTTGACCATAAAATACCCTGTCACTGATTGAGTTATTCAAGAAAAGTGCTATTAATGATAGACATTTAAAGGTGCCGTTGGCAAAGCGGACGCCAAAGGCACTGTAATAAATGTCTACGAAGCCCAAGGACCAATGTTTGATGCTGTGAAACCCATATAGAGATACAAACCTGGCGAACTACTCGTGTCATCCAGGATTCGGGCCATCGGAGTCCGTATCTATTGAAAGAAGCGTGCAATTCCTTACTCCCCATGTATATATGTCCATGCCACGAGTATATAGCTACTACGCCCCGTAGTGAACATATGGAACCCAGAAGAACGAGCCAAGTGGTTCCTGTCTGCGACGGCGAGATCCGACAGGCACTGCATCTCTATCCTCGACTGACCCTTCCCGATCATGAATTTCAAAAGCCTCAAACTCTCTTTCTAGATCGCGTAGTTTCTCTTTAGTATTTTGATCCTCAAGTGCATCTTCAGCTGCGTCAGTAGTGGAAGCACTTCTTGTGATCATGCTCTGGGAGCTGTCTCGTACATGACGAGTTGCTCGGTGTAGTCCGCGGGCCACAGCCTGATCAGTCAAACCGTCTTCCTTCAATGTCTCATATACAATCCTAGCCACATCGACGCAATGCTGATCCGAAACTTCCCAAAGAGCCCCGATGGCATGTCGAAAGCCTGCAAGTTGACAAGCACTGATAAGGTGGATGGCCTCATCAGCTAGACTATGATCCTTGATTGCTCCTGTTGAGCAGGAGGAGAGATATGCAAGAAATGGCGAATGTTCTTGTAGACTCTGCTGACGGAGCTTTTGCACTGTTAATGGATTGGTCTCCCAGTCCTTCGTCAACAAAGAGCTTTTGGTCGGATCGAGAGGATGCGATAACCCATGACCTGCGAAATGCATGATTCTGCTGCTTCTCATGTGCTTTAGTACTTCCACTGTGTGACCCCCACCGTCTACTGGCGCGAGACCAATACTCGCAACCAGAGGTTTGATGACAGCAACTTCTTCTGTTGCGAATGGCAGGGATGTCTGAGATGGTGTATCCGCCATGGAAATTAGGAGTGCATGCTGTGGATCAGCGACGCTGAGTGTGCTCCGGGCAATCTGCTCACGGCTGTGGATAAGCGATCTGATTGAAGATGTGTAGGATGAGATTGCTCGGTCCATCACTGTGTCATGGGAACCTTTACGGTGAATCCCAGCCGCATGGATGGGGAGGTGAGTAACTGCCCCAGTTGGAATCCACCATATGTGAGGCCATTTATCATCCTCTGGGGGGGATGTTATCCCAAGACTGTTGAGGACAGGACGAGCAATTGCCACCCACATCCACTCAAGAAGTGGCATAAGGAAGCTGGGGGAATGAGACTGGAAGGCGTTTGGGTTGGTTAGAGCTTTGGCTATATCCTCAGCCCGCGCATATGAAAGATCACTCAACGGTATAGATCTGATTTGGTGCCTCTCAATGAGGATTGCGTAAGACTGGGGAACGCTGATATTGACCACCACAATGGGTCCAGAATCTGCGGCGGCCATTATTTCACCATCACTTGGAGGCAAAAGAAATCCCGAGAGTCCTCTTTGCTGGCGTATCTCTTGTACGACTTCATTAAATTCCTGTTGCAAATCGATCCTCCGGTTAATTTGACTCTTCTCGGGTTGCTCGGACATGAATGCAGCCCCGAGGCTCTCTTTGCCTACATCCGGGTCCGTGTTCAGCTGTTCTCCGTCGAGATTTTTGTTGCTGGTGCTGCGTATGTTGTTTAATCCCCTTTGATGTTAGTTATCTTGGTGATGGTTGCTAATGGTGTGAGGTAGCTATGCGACTGTGTTGACTGTTTTTATCACCGAGGGCGGAAGTTGAGGCCAATCAGTCATATAAGAACTTGTCCATGTATAAGAAATCAGCAAATATATGTCAGTATACAGTTTTTTCAACTGTGCATGTCTTTTGAATCAAATCCAAGTATCTCGGGTGTTCAATGTACTTGTATACTCGGCCCCGCCACAGCAACTATGAGTCTAATTTAGTGCTTATTAATGCTAATCATCTAGGCTACAGCCATGTTACAATACGTGGCTTCTGCTTACTGCCACCTACTATTAGATATTTGTCACTATTCCCTTTCCATCGGATTGTCTTGTGCAATCTATTCCCACCAAGGCATTTCCTATTATCAAAACATCATTCTCACCATGAGCGACATACACGGTCACTGTGATCCTGCATTCAGCAGTGTTCGCGATCTGCTGCAGAACCGACTGAGTCAAGGAGATGAGCTGGGTGCATCACTCTGCGTTAATATTGACGGCAAAAATGTCCTTGATCTCTGGGGTGGCCATGCAGATACAGCACGCACGAAGCCATGGAACGAAGACACCGTTACAGGCGTCTGGTCAGTGTCGAAAGTGATCACCAGTCTGGCTGCCCAGATCCTCATTGATAGGGGCCTGCTGGATCCCAAGGAAAAGGTATCCAAGTATTGGCCGGAGTTCGGTGTCAATGGCAAGGAAAACATCCTCGTATCCCACATTCTCAGCCATTCATCTGGAGTCTCTGCCTGGGAGTCCCCAGTGACAAAGGAAGACATTTACGACGTCAAGAAATCGACTGAGAAGCTCGCACAGCAATCGCCTTGGTGGACGCCCGGCGAACACTCCGGATACCATTTATCCAACCAAGGACATATGATCGGTGAACTGGTGCGGCGCATAAGCGGGAAGTCACTGACGCAGTTCATCGCCGATGAGATCGCCAATCCCTTGAACGCAGACTTCCACCTCGGCCTCCCAGAAGAGCACTGGCATCGCGCCGCTGAAAACACGCCTCCACCTCATCTGCCGCTGGACGGAATCGATCCCCAGAGTGTGGCAGGGAAGAGCCTTTTCGGCTCACCACTTCCAGCCGACGCAGTCATGAGTGCTGGCTTCAGGAAAGCCGAAATAGGTGCCAGCAATGGCTTCTCCAACGCGCGGGCTTTAGCTCGTATTGGGTCAATGGTAGTACTGGGGGGGACTGTCGATGGAAGGCAGTATCTCTCTCCGAGAACCATTGACGGGATGGTCGAGGAGCAGATCAGAGGGCTGGATCTTGTGCTGGGTATGCAAATGCGGTTTGGTCTTGGGGTCGGGTTGCCTGTGTCTCAGACAGTTCCGTTCATCCCTGAAGGTCGCATTTGCTTCTGGGGGGGATGGGGAGGATCGATGATCATCATGGATTTGGACCGGAGAATGAGCATTGGCTATGTCATGAACAAGATGGGGATGGGTACGTTGGGCAATGAAAACACGGCGGCGTATGTCAAGGCCATTTACGAGGCTGTTGATGCTTTGTGATGCACTTTCTTCTTGCCAACGTATCTCGTATTCATAGCTCCAATAAGAGTTACCAGTCTAGAGTCAGGCAAATTTAGACAACAGGCGCTAAAGAATTGACTTCAAAAATATTTTCATTTTTATTTAAACTCTTCAAGTCGCAAATAGGAATTGATGAATCTCCATCTTTACCCCACCCTCATTCCCCCCAAACATGCTGTCATTTTTTCTCTCAATGGCGAACGCGGCGCTCTGTGTGCAACATGTCCATCCACCAGAAATACAGACGCATCTCCATTACCCCCAGCGTTGAGCTAACGTGGGGCCTTCACCATGCTGATGGATATCTTAAAACAGCCCAGTCTAGGTTTGTATGTGCGGCATTAAATACGACAGATCTCCTATAGATGACGCTGGATATGTTAAAGGCCATCGACAACGGATGGGTGTCGCAGAAATTCGGCTGCTGCGTGCTGCATTCGCAGGTGAACATGAGGATATTATGATGGCCATGCTCATGCAGAACACATCCGAAGAGGAAGTAGGGTGGGATAACAGGAGGTGAGGGCTCTATTTCTGAAGCAGTCGTGGTCCGACATGTTAATTAGACTTGATAAAATACGTGTAGTATGCCTCGCCCAGGCTCTGGCAGCGCTTTTGATCACGGTATCACCTCATATTGAGTCAATAGTCATGATTCCACGGTTTGGGTTCTACAGGTAAACCTATTATTTCCTAGAGCCAGGGACCATACCACCCTTCTTGCCACTTGATATGCTCTTTCGTCGGGTAAACGCAAATCCCGCAGAAAGCCCGTTTCTACAGAACCTGCGTGACGTCTATCTCGTCAATAGGCCCGAGGGCAGCATAGATGATGACAGATTCTACAGGGCCATGGACTTGGTTGGGTGTTTCCTCTGTTCCATCATCTGCCATCTATTGAATCGGTCCGTACAGACGTTCTCGAGGAGGACGAAAATCGGCTGCCAGGGGTAGAGGCAGACTCATCCAACGTCAGTCGGATTGCCATACACCACTCATCCCTGGATATATTCTATCTTGTTTCAGTGCTCAGTTGGTGCAAGGTTCTTCCGCAGTTCGAATACTCCATCGGGCGGAGGTCTTCTCTCATCGGAGGTAACCCATTTCTCAATCCCAAGACCTTTATCCTGAACCTACTACGGCACACCCAGATCCTAGGGGTGTTAGATATAGATGTTGAGGCACATATATCTGAGTTCACAAGGGAGGATAACGAGTACCCCGACTTTGAAAGACACGGTGGACAGGCTGACTTGTTGGAATTGGCCGAGTTCAATTCTTCGATAATGGTACCGCCAGAGTCCTTCTGGAAGCAGAATGCATCATTGCAAAATTTTGAGTCTCTCAAGCGATTGAGTATCGGTGTCAATTTCCTCATTTACTGTACATGGACTGTCAATGCAGCTAGGAATAATAGTCCCAGTTTCTGCCTGATTGATTCCCTCCCGCCGAATCTAGAGTATATTTGCATTCGAGTTTATGAGAAAGGCAAGAAATAGAGGCTTGACGCTCAATTAAATGCTTTAATTGCTTCCGTCAAGGCCGGTTCGTTGAAATTGCAAGTCATAGGTGTCAATGAATTGATTTTGAATGCGGAGGATATTGTGGGCCACGGTGAAGAATCGAATTTGCTTTGGGACTTTGAAGAGGATGATTGGTTCGAGAGGGAATAAACATATTTTTTTGATTTCAATTGGGCCATCTATATAGCCCTCTCTTATGCTCAGTCTAGTACATACGACCACAGGGTGTGGAGAACAGGGCTTCCCGTCCGCTCAGCCGTACTTAAGCCACACGCCGGCAGGTTAGCAGTTGGGTGGGTGACCACCAGCGAATCCCTGCTGTTGTATATCTTTTTGCTGTTTCTATGTTTTTGATCTTTTTAAGATCTCTTTGTACTCATAATTGGTGTTGGGCGCCGGCAAACAGAGATCCGCAAACTGAATGTCTGGTAGCCCACCAGATATGCAATGGCATTTTTTCTACTGTGCATATCAATCGATACCTTTTGGTTAAGAAATCATTCTTGCTGCCTTGGTAATCCATCTAATAAAATTTGAATATCTGTCTTCTCTGCTATACATAGACGTAATACGGTGGACTCGGGTTCGTACTCGGATTCGGATGGCAGTCTGATCCCAGTGTGTTCGAAACGCAATAAAGAATTCTTAAGCCTCAACCACGGGTGCGTTCATATTTATAGATAAGAAATCAAGTAAAAAGACACTATATATAATGGATAAGAGGGCCATGTGTGGTCGAGAGGACAATAATTCCATTCAACACCAACAAGAACCTGAGTATTTAGCTACGAGTTCAGAGTACTGCCACCATGGCTTCCTCAAGCAACGACTATAACCTCTATCAATATACACCCAGTCTGGTGTGCGCAGTTATATTCGCCATCCTCTTCTTTCTCGCCACGGCTTTCCATCTCTATCAGCGGATCCGAAGCCATGCGAAATACTTCAACCCGTTCATCGTTGGAGGAGTTTGTAAGTATACTCTGCTTCTCAAACTTGTTATCTACCTATTAACTCTCCCAGTCCAAATAATTGGTTACGCAGCCAGGGCTGTCACTCATTATCACCAAAGGTCGACCACTCTCTATGCTGTACAGACTCTCCTTATTCTACTCGCGCCAACGCTTTACGCAGCGTCGATTTACATGGTGCTTGGAAGAATCATCACCTTCCTGCATGGCGAGCATTTGAGCTATATACCTGTTCGACTGATGACAGTCATCTTCGTCTCTGGCGATGTACTTTCGTTCATCCTCCAAGGAGCGGGTAAGCTAATAACCGTATCCCACAATCAGCCTTAGGATACTACTAACTCTATACTTTAGGCGGTGGCATCATGGCTAATGGATCCGAAAAGACTCTCACAATTGGCCAATGGGTCATCGTAGCCGGACTTTGCGTCCAGCTAGCTTTCTTCGGGGCATTTGTTTCTGCATCCCTCATCTTCCATTACAAGATCACCCAAAAACCAACAGGTGAATCCAAGGAAACAATATATGTCCGAGGGATAGTCTGGCCGCAAGACTGGAGAGGACTCTTGCTCGCATGCTATGCTGTTAGCGTGTTGATCCTGATCCGATCGATATATCGTCTAGTTGAATTTATCCAAGGCAATGATGGTTATGTGATTAGCCACGAGGTCTTCATGTATGTTTTTGATACCGCTATGATGTTTATTGTGATGCTTGTGATGAATGTGTTTCATCCTTCGGTTGTTTTACGCAGTGAGTCGAAGCATACTCGATCAGGATTCCAGTTGGAGGAGCAGCGAAACTAAGTGACTGGTGTGCATGTGATGATTCGAAAGGGCTTTCTGAGACGTTAGGCTTTTGATAGATAGTACTGTCTTATGGAGCGTCTGTTACTGCGGAATATATATTATTAGCACATCTATATGTCTTTCTCAAATATACCCCTAGGGCAATGATCGTCAGTATCCCAATTGGGTTAGTGTCCCCAATGACGTGGAAAGATGGTCCGCTGAGGTAATCAAACTCGCCATAACGGGCAGCTGAACCCTCAGCTGAGCCATCTTTCTAGATAAACACCCCGCATTTCTCTCTTGACAAAAGGCGAATCTGTTGTCTCAAACATACTCAACATGGATCAACATACCAAAATCCTCGTCACTGGAGGCACCGGGCTCGTGGGCAGTGCTCTTCAATGGGTTGTATCCAATGTTTCTGGTGACTTTGGCAAGGCAAGTGGTGAGGAGTGGGTGTTTCTCAGCAGCGCTGATGGTGATCTAAGGTAGAACACACAATTGTATTCCTCAGTGACAGTATAATGACGATTTCAGGAACTACAACGAGACAAAATCTATCTTTGAAAAACATAGACCGGACAAGGTCATTCATACAGCAGCCCGCGTGGGTGGTGTTTTCGAAAACAGCCTGCGAATGGCCGACTTTGTGCGCGACAACCTCGCCATTGACCAGAATGTGCTGCGTGTTTGCCACGAGCTAGGTGTATGCTTGAAAAGACAAATCATTTAACACGTTTGCTTATATACATTACAGGTTAAAAAAGTTGTTTCCTGTCTTTCAACCTGCATCTTCCCTGACAAGACGACCTACCCTATCAGTGAGGGAATGCTGCATGATGGACCCCCGCATCCATCCAACTACGGGTATGCCTACGCAAAACGCATGCTCGACATCTCCAGCCAAGCGTATCGCCAACAATACGGCTGCAATTTCACATGTGTCATTCCTACCAACCTCTACGGACCGAATGACAACTTTAGCGAAGGCTGTCATTTCATTCCGGGTGTCATTAAACGAGTTTCGAAGGCCAAGGAAGAAAGATCCTCCGCAATGATAGTTCCAGGAAGTGGACGTGCATTGCGCCAATTTGTCTACTCTCGAGACCTGGCCCGAGTGATGATCTGGACACTTCGGAATTACAATGAAACAGACCCGTTCATCATTTCTGTGGATCCTGAACAGGAGGTGTCGATCAAGGATGCCGTGGTGATGGTGTCGGAAATCAGTGGACTTGAAGGGGCTATTCAATGGGATACAACCCAGACCGATGGTCAGCTGAAAAAGACCGCAGACAATGCCAAAATGCGGGCTCTTCTGGGAGATTTCCAATTCACGAGTCTGGAGCAAGGTAAACACTTCTCTATTATTGAACGTCGATGTATCAGCTGACAATGATCTATAGGATTGAAAGAGACAATCGCCTGGTACAGTGCCAATCAAGGAAAGGTCCGTGGCATGGGCCCTTCAAAGCTATAAACATCGTTTCCCACGGTAGAATAGGATCCGAGAGACAATGAAACATATATACAGATGATCTATGACTATAGCTTGCTTGTAATCCAAAACTCCGCCGGCTTCCCTTGAATCAATTCTTTGTCTGCCTCGACCATCTCCTTCGCCAATTCCTGCAAAACATAAGTAAACTTATCCCTGCATCGTTTTGTTTTCAAAATCTTACCTCCAACGAAACTTTCGCTTTCCAACCTAGAAGTGTAGCAGCCTTTTCTGCAGAGCCACGCAAATACCCAACCTCTGCCGGCCGGTATAGCTCGGGGTCTATACGAACTCTAACCTGCCCAGTGTTGGCATCCACACCGATTTCCTTGTCTCCACTGCCTTTCCATCTATACGTCTCACATTAGCTTCTTTTTAATATTAGCGCCTTGATCAGACTTACTGTAGCTGAATCCCGACATTTCGAAAGGCAATCTCCACAAACTCTCGAACAGATCGTGTCTCTCCAGTCGCCAGCACATAGTCATCTGGGTTAGCCTGTTTCATCATGGAGTAAATGCCTCGCATAAAGTCCCGGGCGTGACCCCAGTCTCGTCGCGAATTGAGGTTCCCAAGAGTAAGACATTCTTTCAAACCCAAGTGGATCTGAGCGACGCCGAAAGTAATTTTTCGGGTGACGAAATCAAGTCCTATATACACGTCAGTTGTACTATTTGAATAATTGGTTTGCCAGAGTGTCATACCTCTCCTAGGAGACTCGTGGTTGAACAGGATTCCATTAACGGCGAAGAGGCCGTGTGAGATGCGAGCACTTGCGGTCATCCAGTAGGCAAAGGCTTTGGCAGCCGCGTAGGGAGATACAGGGGTGAGAGGAGTTGATTCATCCTGGATGTCATTCTTGGTCTGACCGAATGTCTCTGATGAACATGCCTAGGGTTGTTAGTCCTGTCTAACAGAAAATGGTCAGAGTAAAGCTCACATTATAAAACTTGATCTTCTTTTCCAATCCTAGAGTCAATATTGTCTGTAGGAGTCGCAGTGTTCCCAGTGCATTGACATCACATGTATACATCTGCAGCTTGAAGGATGTCCCCACATGGCTCTGCGCTGCAAGGTGATAGACCTCGTCAAATGCATGTTCCCTAAAAAGACCCAATAGGAAGTAAGGGTCCAATACATCTCCATAATGCAGTACAAGTTTGTTCGCTAGAATGCAGTGTTAAAACAAAATAAACAGCGTTTGGCTGTCTGACTAAACTTACGGTACTTTTTCCCTGCAGCTAATACATGGGATACAGCTACTTGAACATAGTCATCGGTTGTGCGAGGTCGTAGTATGCCGTGGACTGTATATCCTTCCTCAAGCAGGAGCTCGCAGAGATAGGAGCCATCTTGGCCGCCAATGCCTACTGGTTGTCAGTCTTTTCATCCAGCTGAAAGGATCTTAACAACTGACCTGTGATTAATGCATTTTGTTGGGTCATTATATCTATTGCTGTGGATAGAATCTGGGGTATCAAGATGATCAAGATGTCTGGGATAACAAAAGACTCGAATGGAAGCGCAATAAATACATAGGACAGCCTGGCTGGCAGAGTTACTGTACCACGAATACACAGACATTTGGAGGGGTAGTATGGTAATCTACCATCCAGTCAGGATGGCCTCTTCCATAGCCCTAATGCGCGCCCGAATACAACTACCCCCTTAACAGCAAAGCGCAGTGGGCTTATCGCAACTGATCAACACCAGCTGAAAGTGAAATCACGTTTTATCTCCACAGCAACTGCTCTCATTGCGTCATCCGATCTGTTGGTCAATCTGAATAGGCCAATCAGGCCATCTGCTGTGGGCCGCATCCCGCCGTAAACCGCTCTTACGTTCAGCTCCTCCTCCTCAGCTCATTCAGCCCCTTCGGCTGCCGTTCAGCTCTCTCGATTTGTTACTCATTTTGACTTTTTCAGTATTGCGGTGTACCATACAAGAATCACCTCTGTATTGAGTACCTTATTGGGATACGGGTGGGAGAACACATCCGCTTTCAACCCAACCTCCCTTCGGATGTTTGCGGAGTGGCTTCAAAAAGCTAATACACTGCCACTACCGTTCGATATCGGTGTCGCCGAGGACCTACTGGGAAAAAGGTTTTTCGTTTTATATAAATATACACGAAAACAATTTGTCCAAAGGATTATTCATGTACAAGATGTAGTGGTGGTGAATTTGCACGTGTTATTATGGTCATGTGACCCCGATCACCTGACCTTTGCAGAATGCCCGCATAACTTCAGTTGAGAATCATGTATGGTTTGACACATAAAATAGTTGAATCATTGATGACAATTGTCCTTATGAAGGCGTGCTCTACAAGAAGAAGTATTGTATTTTCACAGTTAATCACTAAACATGCATGATATTGCTATAATGAAGTAAACGTTAATCCGATATATATCCACTACTTATTCAGGTAATCTCCCATACATCAACTCTGTGTCATCCGATTTACCTCTTCGAGACACAACCTGACTAGGATGGAAGATCAGGAACACTACCATGACCTGAAACATTAAGAGAGCATCAAACATATAAGCATAATACTCGTGGCTTTGCAGTACACCTGTTTGTCCCTGGATGTACTCGGCCACCCGATATATACACCGGACCATGATCATGACACTCGCAAAGTACAGCACATACAAGTATCGCTTCCAGTTGACAGAAGCCTCCATGGATGCTGCTGTAGGGGATGTAGTAATCCGCCGATGAAAGATGACGGAGACGATGACGAAAAAGCCAAAGAAGACGATTTGGACGATTAGACCGACTATAATCACGTTTTCGCCGAGCTTCATCTTACTTGCTGATTTGGCACTGGACATGATTGCGCCGCCTGTGGTTATCATTAGCTTCAGGTCAATACGGAATTGAGGGCGTCATTCATACCGCCGCTCTGGATAAGAAACGACAAGACATCGCCCAGAACAAAAATCTTGGTCAGCAATGATGCACGGATGAGTGCTCTCGAGCCACCATCTGTGAGCTGTATGATACGGCCGAGGATCATGTATATAGATGCTGCGAATAAGGACGGCCCGAGGAGGATGAAAAGACTCTGCAGTGCATATGGCATTGTAGCATAGTCAGGTGCTTGGTGAGCATTGACTGCTCGTGCTGCGTAGCCAACGACTTCGAAAAGCCCCCCAATAATGAAAGCCAGAAGAAACTTCATTCTGTGCTTGACGGCAAAGAAGACATGAGCCAGTGTTGCGATGAAGAAAACGACGGCAACGACGATTGCAGCTGCCAGGGACGGCTTATAGTTATATAGAGTATACTCAGGCATTTTGTCAAGAGAGGTAGAAAGAAGGCAATGAGCAAAGTAGGAGAATCTGAATTGATTTTGTTGCTCTATTTCATATGAGGAAATCCATCTATATATGTTCCACTTGGTCAAGATTGAACAAATCCAGAATAGTCATTCGAACCAAGGTCAAGTGTCGTATCCTTAAAATAGCATGCAGTCCAGGCAACTATGATAACCTTACACTGAGATGTCCAGACTATTTTGGATATGGTTATCAACAAATGCTTAGCAGTACAACGAACCCGAATACGAAGACCCACTATATACGATCAAGCAGCAGCTAAAAATGACATGAGTGGATCTTCAATAGAATGCCTCTTTCTCCAGAAGAAAGAGTAAGCCTTAATAAAAGCATTGCAAGATTTCTACTTGGACAGAAGGTACTTCTGGAAGCATATAAAGCCATAGAACAGTCAACCATAAAACCTCTGTCTATGTCTATATCTAATGCAGTAAACTTTTAGATTTGAAGTAGATATTTAATATACACTAAATTTTGATATAAAAACATAACGCCATAATCCTAATTGAGCAAAAACCGCGTATCGCCCTCTCGGGACTTGAGCTCCAGCGAAGCGTCGGCCGATATGCCTGGTGTAGAGTTATTGATATGGGGTTTCAGCCCTTTATGGAAATTATTTATACACATCACTGTGTTGATGAGTGTGACACCAAGCAGCAAGACTACTATTACGGAAAATAGTGTCAGAGAAACTCGGACCATGCTAAAGACATCGCTACCCTGTGGACTGTGGATTTGGATCAGCATCATGATGAAGCATGCCATTAGAACCAACATGAAAGCCTATTATACTGGTTAGAACAGGTACAAAAGTGTTGGTGGATCGCCGTTACCATAATACACAGCAGGGACTTGGCTTTCTCTTTCCTGCAGAAATGACCAGCCAGAAGCAGGGTTACAATAGTAACGGGAATCATGGCTGCGTTTATAATGAAATCGTTGCTGTCGGCTTCTATAATAACAAGAAGGATTTGAAGCTGACTGCCAAAGATGAAGAAGAAATCAAACTTCAACAGAGCAATGTAGACCTGCAAGGATTAGTGACTGTTTCTCCTCATCATCATATGTACTGCAAACCTGATATGTGATATACCGGCGTTTCATTTGAATATCAGCGCTGATATTTTTATATATAGACCATGAGAATTCAGCACGCAACTTCCACGTCAGGAACGACATGAGTACAGTCCCAACGGCCAAAAACACCGGCACCAGAATGAGCTCGATTTTATATGTAGCCCACACATGATTGGCAACTGTCTGATCCGTGATCACGCTGTTGAGCGTCGCCTTGATTTCCCTCATCTGAAGAAACCCATATGTCAACAGCCCGCCATTGCATATACAAAGTCCAACCAGCTGAATTGTGTTCTGTCGTCGCAATGCATCATATGATAGCAGGAGCTCGTACAAGAGGGCAAATATATAGAGACCCAGGAATGACCGAAGGCGCCTTGTTGTGTCTTCCTTTTGCTGGTCATCGCGGCCTTTCGAAATGTCGATCAATATCCAGCTGTTTTACTATCAGTCGAGTCCACCACACCTAATTGATCGAGCCATACCTTTCAATGCCGACCGTAAGAATAGTCTCGATGATCACCGTAAAAGCAAACGCTCGCGTCCATCGTGTAGTTGGAAAGTAATAACGACGTTGGCCACGGGGAGGAGCAGATGCTGCATTTTTATTAAAAGTCGGACTAGGTCGTGTGGATAAATGCCCAGGCTCAAGATCTACCGGCAGTTGGACCGCCAAGGGGCCCTTTGTGTCGACATTGTAGTCGTGCTTGGAATATACGGGGGGTGGTGCAGCCACTGGTTCGCAGTCCGATCGCATAATTATCCGGGATAGGTTTTGGTCATAAGGACACTGTTTTGAGCGAGGCCAACTGTCTTATATTGCGGCGATAAAATATTTATATACGCAAACTAGCAACGCGGCCCCAATAGTGTCCCCCTTAGTGCGGATCATTCTATTGGGGAATAGTATCTGAGACAATAATCCCTAGCAGGAATAGGCATTCGTATATAAGCCTAATACAGTCATGCTATACGAAAGATCTGCGCAAACCTGCGATTTGTCTTTATTTTATATGGTGTTCTGCTGCATGATATCTAAAACCTAGAGATTCTTTAATGGGTGATCCCTTTTATATGTAGGACTGTGGAATCAAAGATACGCATGCTGTGGATGAGTGCGTATTCCGCAGACCACCCCTTTAAAACTGCCCAAGCGACGAACGGCTGACCGTTTGGGGGCGCCATCATAAGAAAGAACGTGCTGTCAGATTCAGTCTTAGAGTAGTTTGTATCAGTTAGTCAAACTCACTTTGTATCATGGGCAGTAGTATAGCATAAGCTTATAATCTCCCTAGGTAAGCATACACAGTGTTTGACATTGTACTACTCATTATACGTATTTATAGAGGGACAAATACGGAATCGTGATGACAGCAGAAAATCAGGTGGAAGGGAAAATCATTTGACGCCAAGAGGATCAAAAAGAGTACATGGAGAGGTACCAAAATTGAGTGCCCAGAGTTTTATTATTGCTGGCAGCGTTGATGGGTTTCAGGGAGCTTTGGTCGTATTCGGGTCTGGGGCGCAGTGTTCATCGCACAGGAACAGGACTGAGAAAATTTAATAAAATATCCATGAATCAAGGAGGCAGCACAATAACCAAGGATTAAGGTTTAGCTCAGGCTTTTCAATTAGAATGGAACGATGCAGATTGTAGCATAGTTGCTTGGCCTGTCCAGCCCAGCCTTACTCAACGGCGTCGACAGTGGAGCAAAACGGCAGCGTCGAAAATGTTGAATGAATAAAACTGATCAGATAATTTAGGCATCAATTTAAAGCCCCTATTATTTGGCAGTCTGCCATTCATCAATGGGGAGTAGCGGCAAGTTCTCAGTCAATGGATAACGGGCGCTCGGACCCGAACCCGAGTCCGAACCCGAATACGGTATGCCGAACTATGGCTCCACAAGGCTTGGGATAGGGGATGGTGGATCGGATACACAAGGTCTAACCAATCGAATCATTGAACTACTTCGAGATCTACATGTCGAAACCCGTTTCTATGAAGAGCATGCTGCCTAAACCTTATCCAAGGATGTTAAAACGTGGAACTGAATAGTGTGTTTCAATTGCCGTGATAGACACGGGTATCTCGAAGTGTCTATATAAGGGCAGGGAGAACGTCAGGAAGACTGTGAATGACCACTCTACCTTTATCCTGTCATTCAACGGTATTTTTGTCAGAATGAAGTACCTACTGCACTTTCTCGGGTTCACCTCTGTCCTGGGTGTAGGGAATGCATCCAATTTCTTGACGGGAACATCCCTTGGGACGTCCAACCTCACAGCTGGTGCAGCTTGTGCCTGCAAGGAGCTCTCCAGCATATACTCCAGCCAGGTCATCCTTCCCGGCTCGGAGAACTACACAGCACAGGCAAACTACTACTGGGACATCCGGGCTGATCTGAGTCCTGCTTGCGTTTTCATGCCGAACACGGCCGACCAGGTTGCTACGGCTGTTAAGCAATTTGTTCAATGTGATGCTCAATTTGCGGTCCGTGGTGGTGGACATATGAATGTAAGCAAGATAATAGACAACTTGCGCAAGTTTACTAATGGGTATATAGTTCCCCGGATCGAATAACATTGATGGCGGTGTCGTTTTGGCATTCAACAACATGACAAACTACAAAGTCAACAAGGATACAATCGAGGTGGAGCCCGGAATGACATGGTACGATGTGTATGCGGCACTTGATCCATATGGTCGAACAGCAATCGGGGGTCGCCTCAAGACAATTGGAGTCCCTGGACTTACTCTGATCGGCGGAGTCTCCTACTTTATTAACAAATACGGCTTTGCTATGGACAATGTCAATAGCTATGAGGTGGTTTTGGGGAATGGCACCCAGGTTACTGCTAACTCGACAGCCAATCCTGACCTTTTCTGGGCGCTCAAGGGTGGTGCCAATAACTTTGGAATTGTCACAAAGTTCACCTTGAAGACATACGCCATGCCGCACATTAGTACCACCATCCAGGTCTTCAACGAGAGCTCTGCGTATGCCTTCACCAAGGCAGTCTGTGACTGGGCTGTGGGTGACAGTGAGAGCCCTATTGGCGCAGGCTCTGTGATCACCATCACCTACAATGCCACCACTAAGGAGATGTCATCCACGCTTCTGGGTGTCCAGGAGGGAATCAGCAATCCGCCATCAGAGTTTGCCAACTTTACTGCTATCCCAGGTGTCTCCAAGATGAACAACGTTACAACTGGCAAGCAATGGGCCTCGGGCCTTGATTCTCCCAAGCAGATGTTCCGGTAATTAGTCACTCTTATCCCACCAATTATCAAGAATATTATGTAACGAGAAACTGACTCTTCAGGGTCATGTTCGCGCATCACTCAATGATACCCGATACTGACGTCCTCTACTCAATGATCGAGACATGGAAAAACGCGGTCAACGACATCGCCGACGTCCAAGGTTTGTACCCAACATTCGTGGCGAATATTTCCCCAGCCAGCGCCGCGAGAGTAGCCAAGACGAATGGCATTGGCAATGTGTGGGGTCTCGATGAGGAGCCTTTGATATGTATGGCATCCCTCCATTACCATTAGACCAAACATGCTAACACAGCCTACAGGGTGGCAACTTAGCACCGGCTGGGGCCTGGCACAGGACGATCTCCGAGTTCAGGGCTGGGCTCGTCAGCTAACTGAGCGCCTGCACACATTGAATAAGCAAAACGGCCTGGCTAGAGAGTTCGTGTACATGGGCGATGCGGGTGAATGGCAAGACCCGTATGCTGGGTTTGCCCCAAAGAATGTGCAGCGGATGACGGAAATCAGAGCGGCTTATGATCCCAAGGGAACGTTTTCGAAGTTGAATTGGGGTGGGTTCAAGCTTGGGTACTGACCGGGGAAGACATGCGCTGCCTGTATGCTGAATTTAGTAGGTCTATGTACTAGTAGATATGAATTGCTCAGTGATATGAAGTGACTATATAAGGGTTGAAGTATGCGGCGAATACTCCTAGCTTCTGCAAGCAACTCCAGAGGTCACTGAATTAGCGATATGTTACTATATAATGATAAACAGTTATCATAGAAGCTCTACATAAATTCAGCCACCTCAGACATCTGCCTTAAACACAACCTTCAATGCCAACCCGGCGATGGTAGCAATACACCACCCCCCTATGACGCCCACCTTGTCAGCGATTCCACTGGAAGGAACTATCGCAAAAGCGTCTGGAGTAAGCCTTAACGCTGGATAAAACCACCAGGCCATCGTACAGCACAGATAAGAGATAACCCAGATATAGCCCACGCACTTCGCCAAGCGCTGTGTCTCAACACCTGGGAGCGCTCTGCGCCAGCAATATATTATAGCATCCTCAAAAACCACACCGAACGCATTAGAAGTAAAGCATAGCATGGCCCCCGAACTGCCCCCCGTGATGCCTGAAGCGATGTAATACACTACGTGGAGGATGCCGGAGAGCATGAAAACCAGCGTGAGGTGGGTATAGCGTTCGAGGAGTGATGGGCGAGATAGGCCCAAAAGAGATAGAGTGACAAAAGTGCAGCAACTCGTTAAAGGCCACCGGAGGAATTGATGCCAGGATGTTCTGTTTATTGGTCAGCTATTTTATACCTCGACCGGAATTTTGATGTTGACGTTATAAAAGAGACGGAGAGAGGTTTACCCCCAAAAGTGGCGCAACGTATAGGCATCCCGCAAGCTTCCAAATACTGGCGGCCATTCATCAATAGAAGTTGCACCCGATAGGACGAGAGGAACAGCACAAAGACGAGTTGAAGAGTCAAGAGCGACTCGAAGAAGAAGTAAACAGGGTACAAAAACCCCAAAGATGCGAGCTAGAAGCTGCTTCCCGGAAAGAGTGAGGAGCCTAAACTCCATGCCATTCCCAAAATAATAGTCGCGGTCAGTTTGAGTCAGCTGGTGCATAGCGACCGCAATGAGGTCTAACAACAAACATTGCCAGGCAATAATCGCGGTTTGCCGTAGCAGGAAATAAGCTCTGGGCCATGGTGCTGAGTTGTATGGCACTGGAAAAGGAGGTAATTTGCTGATTTGGTATTTTGTTCCCACCCCACGGAAATTTATGATGTATCGAACTGCATGTTGATATCGCTCAATTCGGGACATAGGGTTTGGGTTTCTCGTAGTCTTTTCATTTTCCAAGTCACTTTGAGCCGGGAACAAGTCGATCGAGGTAATGAAAAGAAGATTCAGGAGGTGCAGAAAGAGAAGGAAACCTGCTCCCCCAACAGCGACATTCCACATAAAAGCAGTGCTAAAATTCGGGCCGGTGATGACTTGGAAATATGTCAAAGCCGCGATGAAGGGAAAGCATAGCCAGCGTATAGGGGAGTTAGATTGAGTTTCTGCTAAAAGGACTGTTCCCAGGAGAGTCTGTATAGTCCCAAACAGAGACGGGGCGAACTTAGATAACAAGATATCCATATCGGAGGGAAGTGGTGGAGGAATAGAAGAGCAGAACAAGATAGGAAAAGAACAGCGGACTTATAAGAGGTCATTTCTTGATTTAATGGATGAAATGTAAAACGTGAGAATAATGCATTTATTACATGTATGGGATGTGTCACTTGCTGAATCAAGTTAATGAATGAAAGGTAAATATCTTGGTGGGTCTTAGTAGAATTACTATCCCACACACCCCTTTCTTTTGAAGATTTATCATCTTAATTTAATCTCACTCTGATATATAGCCAGTGTGTGGAAAACCCCTTGCTGATTAGTTAAAAGTGGTGTGTTGAAATAGTAGTTCTAATAAGACCTTTAGTTTCTTTCAACATCAGCATAGGGTACTGCATTGGATTTGATAAAAAAAGTAAGAAATAAGCAAGGGTGTATGTCCTAGTCACAAATTTCTGCATATCCACCCCACTTATCAACGTCGGTGGGACATTAGGAGGGATTTGACAGATGGTCAACCAACCAGAAGACATTAGTATATAATGATAGAAATAGCATGCGTTTCCAAAGAATGGTTTATCAACCCCAGATAGTGAGCAGTCAGTCGATGGACAATTAATTAAATCTAAAGATGAAGTTCTAGAAGATCTATATAGGTATTGAAATAGCGGTGAAGCTGACTGAACTTTATTCGTTGTGGCTTTATAATATTGCGTAGACACTGCATACTCGATATGGATAAAATTGATGTATCATATAGCATCGCAACTCAGTGTTCCCGCGAATAATCAGACTTGACCATAAATTGAAACAGTAGAAAGATTGACCGGCTGAATTCAAAATGTGTTAATACTGACCAGTAAATTAAAAGACGACCGGCCACCTCGGATTGGCGATGATAACCTGGATATCTTGCACCACAGGTGGGCCTGTCAAGTTCGGGTTCGTCACCAGGTCGATCATGATGTTTGTGTATGTGGAGATTAGCCGTTACTTGAAATTCATAATCTAGATTCTATGCTGGACCGAGAGTGAATATTATGTTTTAGATTCTTTAATGATGAGGCCCTCTTTGTCTTACTATATGGTGACGATCTAGTCATGGTGATATTGTAGCCAATTCCCCTTGCACCATCTGATACCTCGCCCGTACCTGCCCAAGATACACCTTAAAGTCAGATTGAAGAATCCTATTCGACTTCATTGTATCCGTCGCCAATTGAGCATTCTTGATAGCCTCCTCGAGAAGCTCAATTTGTCCAGTCGTGTCATAAAGGCCCTCCAGCTGAACAGCGAGGTTCTGAACATACACCGGCTGGAATGTAACAGGCCACCCAATACTAACAGCCTTCCGGGCTAAAGCAACCGCCTCCTTGATATCCTGCAGACTATCTGTATCATTCCACTCGACGTGTTTGTGTCTTTCACCAAGCCAGTATGACAAGCTGTTCAATATAAATGCTTGGAATAGGTGGTCTTGAGGCAGACATGCCAAACCCTGTTCACAAGCGTCAACAGCCCGGTTGTTATCCTCGAGCTGGCGTAACTCGGCATATCGGCTGAATAGACAGACAGCGACTGTGTTGAGGAAGTTTGCCTGATCTGGATGTCCGCCTGGGGTGTCCTTGACGGCATCCACCGCTGCCTCAATAGCATCGATTGCGCGGTTGATATCATCAATGTTCTTTTTGGCGAGATATCTCATTCTCAGTGCTGAAGCGAGTCGAAAGAGTACCAGACCGCGGTCAGGGCTGTGTTGTCTAGTAGAAGCGCTTACTGCTTCGTGGGCAGCTGCGATGCTATACTATAGGTCTTCCATATTGACGGTGCATTCGTATCTCCACAGCCTTCCTTGACTGAGGACTCCCAGACGTCTTGCAAGATGGGGATGGTCATCTACCGTTTGATGCCGGACAGCCTCAGCCAAGTTGATGCCATACTCCAGATCAGATACCCCGCCTATCAAATTATACCGCTCCAGAAGGGACTGACTGAGAGCACTAAGCACATAGTTTCGGGCTGGATAGTCGACTGGTAATGCGCGTTTAAATTCATCAGCTGCGATATGAGACAGTAGAGCACAGGAACAGAATATAGACACGACCAGGTCGAGATATGGTCCAAACTGCTGAGCGATGTCAAGGGGTGCTGGGGGGGACTGTTTCTCCTGGCTGTCTCTCATATGAATAATACACATGGGAAATGCATACTCGCCAAAGGGGAATTTTTTGAACCACTGCTGATACTCGAACTGAATGAAAAGCGGTGCCTGTGCGTATTGCTCGGCAGTCATGAATCGCTCTGACTTGATCATATCTGTGACTGGGGGCTGGGTGAGGTATGCAGTGCAGCATTTGGCCAGTGTTTGATGGCACTTCTCGATGCTAAAGCCTTCCAGCCAAGCAGGTCTCTCGTTTGACAGGAGATAGTCTGTCACAGTCAGGTGGATGAAGTAGATCCGATCCTCGTATATATCCAGAAGAAAACCACAAGTCTCATGGATGAGCTTTTTGAATGAATCATCCGACATATAACACACATCCGCACTATATTCGTCAAAGTACAGTAGAAGTGCTGTCTGCATCTCGCGCAGATGAAGTGGTCGTGTTGCTGCGAGGGTAATCTCCAGCATTGCTCGGACCTCTCCACGTTTGCTTTCATCGACACCCTTGAGTAGCTCATGATAGGCACTCGATACTGTTTCTGGGACTTTTTCAAAAATCCCAATCCACTTTGCCTGGTTTAATGGACGGCTTCGGCTTTTCAAGTATTGGAAGAGTAAATTCATGTAGAGATATGTACTGTCGTTGTGTCGTTCTAAACGCTCGAGCAGTTTCTTTCTGATCCCCTCATTCTCGATTCCTTTTGCGTCGACAAACTCGAAGAATCGATCTCGAGTTACTCGATTGATGTCTTTCGAAATGGACTGTCGGCAGATACTATCCTTGTCCATGTCGAGGATGATTGCCTGGTCAAATGCCCGCACAATACTCGGTATCGGTCGAGTAGTAACCAGGAACCTGACTTGAGGCTTCGGATTACGGGCATGATATCGCTTAAGCTGCTGGAGGAGAGACTCAATGTGCTTTGGATCACATTCATCGAGTGCATCCAAGACGATAGTCACGCTGTGATTGATGGGACCACTTGTTGCCATGCTGATGAGATTCCAAACCGTGTCTGAATCATGCCGGATTTCCTCCTTATCCAGCGTCCTGAGTGTGGGTTTCAACATGTCGATCTCTGGAAGCTGCTTGAGGAATTCATGAAAAATCTTCCCAGCAGCAATATCAGGGCGATTCTGTTGGTGTCCGGTTCGCTTGAAGAAGAATGAGCACACCACTGTGCCTTTGGCTTCTGACTCGGCCACTGCCTTTGCCAGAACAGACTTGCCAGTTCCTGGATGTGCGGCTAATACCAACAGGCCTTGCTGACTGTTCTTCCACTGTTGGAACATTGGGTGGCGATAGATGCCCTGCAGAGTATCCGCATGTGGTCGAGATATGAGTCTGTATGAGTCTGCATAGCTGGACAGGTTGAGCTGCGTAGGATCCGGCTTGAATTTGCTGATCAGTTCATGTCTTTCCTTGTCTTCCATCAAGTCCATCATCTTGTTACCGATGCCCATGACCTGGTTCGAGATCTTAACATGTGTCTCGAACAGGTGTCCGAGGATCTGCCGGGTGCTCATTGTCTCCCTGACCAATTCATCGAATTTAGACTGAACACTGGTATTGTGGTGTGCCTTTATCCCCTTGTCCAGCTGAAGCTCAGCGGCTTCAATGTCCTGTTTCATCTGCTTCCAGTTGTGGTACCGGACGGTGTTCTTCACCAGCGTTGCGACGGGGTGGCGATAAGAACGGAAACTCTGCAGTTGATACAAAATGAGGGTTTTGTACAGATCGACGATTTCATCGCGAATAGTCCGACTCAGTCTGCGAAATTGGTCTGAATGGTTCCAGCTGCTGGAATGGAGGAGGTCGATTAGTTGAATGTACCAGGGCAGCTTGGATACCACGTAGTTGAGGCCTTCTTGGTTTTCCACGATTTGGTCGATATTGTTGCCGATTGCCTGATCATCAGCATACCGAGTGTTTACAAGATAATATATCATAGAGGCTCACGGGAACAATAGTCATGCAGACTGCCGACCAAGCAAACGAAGCAGGAGGACAAGCAGCAAGTGCCCCTCCCACGACCGATGTGATCTTGTTGGCAGACCCAACTACCGCTTCGAGCACTTGCTGGCTCTTGGAATGCTTCTTAATATCCTCCAGGCGTTCATTCGCGATGGTTTCCAGCAGAGTCTTACGGTCGGAATCATCAAGGTTGGCAAGTTCGTTGGCGACATTTCCCTTTTCGTCTAGACAATATATTAGCCTTCGATTACATCATAAAGATAGCATATAGAACATACCACTGGTCTTGGTTACCTGCGGCCGATTAATCCCCAAGGTCAAGAGCCTTTTGTGCAGAGTATCCTCATATTCATCAACGAGGCTTCTGGTCGATGCATCCGCCCTGAGCTTTTCATAGGCTTCGTTCCAGATCTCGCGAGCAAGAACCAACGAGCCTTCTTCGGTGTGGGTGTCATCTGGCAGAAGTAACTCGTGGGGTTCGGATGCCGTTTGAACTGGCTTTGGAGGTAGCTCGACCTCTTTTCGTGGTGGTGAAGATGATCCCGGTTGGCGAGGTTGTTCATCCGCCTTCGGAGTCTTCTTTCGCCTCAAGCGGGCAAACCAGCTACGACAACCCATATTCGCGGTGGTCGCTGCAGAGGGGGAAAGAAGGCTTCAGACAAGACTTAAAATCAAGCGGGGGAAACTCTCGAAATTTGACCCTCCACGATGGTGGCAAGCATCTTACACTAACAAGAATGAGGGTGATGGTGGTTTGCATTTGTGCAGACAACAAATCAGAGCCTACGATGGATGGATGTGTGATGTGTACATACATGCTAGTGGAGTGTTCATACCCCATATCTATATCTGACATCGAATAATTTGGCTGCTTGTTACAGCCTTGTTGATGTGATGGACTAGCATTGCATAGGAGTAACGTGTCTCGCCAGAAAGGGGAGGTGATCCACACGGGTCGACGGTAGCAGCCGAGGAGCTCAAAGTGTGATAAGATGGAATATTGAGAATGGCATTAGATATTGAAGGTATAGTGGAGTTTATTTGGAAGCAAAGATGATATTCATGATGATCGGAGCTTTGGAATGTGACTGCTCATTGTAAACCCCTGGGTTTCTATGCAAGTCACCAAATGCAAGTCACCAAGCCGTGTCGAGAACAGATCTTATGTCCTGCAGCTCGTATTTTGCTATATGTCTAGCCTTGGAGCTTTGATTTTCACTTTTCGACTGTTCTAAATAAACTAATGATGATGACTATTAAGATGTTGTGGGGATTTTAAGATATGGAGTCTCACCCCCTTGGCCACTATAAATATATCCCCGCTAGAAGCATCAAACAACACAAGCCAAAAAAAAAAAAAAAAAGAAGAGACCGTTAAATATTAAAACCCATTCTAGTACCGAATATATACACATCATTCATAATAACGCAAAATCCAAATCCCAGCCCCAGCCCCATTATTCTCGTATTTGCATAAAACGCCAAAGCCCTGGCCAACACTAAAGGGAACCCCTCGAGCGACCTCCATCAGTATGCGATGCAGACCCTGAGGAAGGCATCCCCGACTCTTCCTGCACATGATATTCTGTCGTGACCTGGATGGCATTCGGCCCGCCCTGCCCAGCCTCAATAATACGTTCCTGGCTCTCGCTCGATGACGTGCGCTTCATCTTATTGCGGAGCTGCCAAGTCGAAGACAGCTCAAACTGGCCTTTATGATCTTCGGCCTCGACATTGGTAAAGGTAGTGTCATTCGCACTTTTCTGGTTGTAGGATCGCGGAAAAGTGCTCGGACCGGTCGTGCTGCCATAGTGATTGTTGGATGTCTTCTTGGACGAGAACCAGCGGGACTTGTTGAAGAGAGGCTTGATTCCGGGGGCGGAGACGGCGAGGGCAGATACGAAGACTTCACGGGAGGCCCATCCCAGCGCGACCGAGAGATCTTGGATATTCCGTACGGAGTAGTAGGCGCGGAGGATGGCGCAGATGATGACGAAGACGCCGGAGGAGAAGAGGCCGGATAGAATGAGTTTGCGATGGATGGGGATCTGGGCGGCGAAGACGATGGGCATGGGGATGGCGATGACGAATACATCGGTTCTGCATTGATCTCACTGTCAGGCTTTGTCGTGTTTGAGTAGAAGAATCGAGGGAAGAAACTTACATGATGTTCAGAGTCTCAATGACAATATAGTTCAACTGGCGTTTGGTACAGTTATCTGCAACGAGGCTGTTAGTCTCATGATACACCGCGAACGATATCAATATCCACCTACCTCCTGGATAAGGCTTGATCTGCCAGGCTTTTTGGATTGGCACGCACGTTCCAAAATGAAGCAGGATGGACGCCAAAAACGTCAAGACGGAGAATACGCTGACAAGTTTGACCAGACGATGCTGCCAAAGACCAGTCCTGTTGCGAGTCAAAACCTGACCAAGATGAAAAGAATGGGGAGTATATACGTGATTCTGCTGTAGAGAAAGATGACGACTCCTTTCAAGGACCACACGAGCAGGATGTAGAAGATCCAGGCGGCATACGCATGCTTCGACCCTTTTACAAGCTGAGGGACTTGGCTGTCGGGGATGGCGGCGGCAGTCTCTGGATTGAGGCCAATGTTGTTTCCGAAGAGTGCTGGAATATGTGAGTTGGCTATTCAGACAATGGGAAAATAACGGCGGTCGTACCGCAGGTGTAAAGAAATGTCGTTTCCAACGTCCAGAAGATCTATAGCTAGCATCAGCAAGTGCCCTCTAACGCTGTTGTAGGGGGAATAGGAAGACCGACCGCAGATGTCGCACTGAAGAAGTCATCCCAGGAAAATTTCTGCAGTCCAATTGTGTCCCATCGGGCGTAGAAACGGACAGCAAAAACGATCATGCCAATGGCAAACTCGGTCCACAGTTCGGCGTTCAAGTTGTACGCCATCTTGCCGGTGATGCCGCGAAAAACAGCAAAGAGCAAAATCTCACAAAACCAGGCTCATTTTTCGTGCACCCAGCCACTATAAATCGGCTCCGTGCTCTGGGAATCGGAGAAAAGGGGACGGCAGGAGACGTTGTAATCGATATTAACCTTATTTAAAGAGAAGAAAGTTTCTCAGGCATGAGCTGCAGGATGGCTTCCATGGATTCTGAATGCTGATCCCAGACAGGATCATATTGGGATGTACATGACCCATACTGCTAGATTCTGTGAGGACAAACATAGCAAAGCAGCATCTCGAGAGACATCGGAAAACCAGTCCGTGTGGAGAATGAAACCACGGGAAGAGGACGGACTGTGGGGCGCGCAAGAACAAGGATGCGATATATCGACCAGACTATTGGTGGTAAAGGAGTGGGGCCTGCATGCCAAGCGCCACTAACCATGGAAGCAAGTGTCAGTTGGGGGCCAAGGTTCGATGGTTCAGGAACTGATTTGAAACAGGAGCCACTGTCGTAAGCGCAAACCTTGCTGGGCTATTTATTCTTTCTGTGTCTTCCAAGGCAGAAAAGAAAGCATCCATGGATCCTACAGATAAACTATTTAGCTGACGAAATGCCTCTCATCTTATTTCAGGAATGCAAGATATGGTGATGATCCTGATTTGCTAGACCTCCTTGCGTGGCAAATACTCAAGTGCACGTGCTTAGGAACACCCTTTGTCTGGACGATGACTTTTAGACGATGTACCTACGGGTCGGAATCTCGCCGAGATACCTAAAAACTGAACAAAGGGGGGTTCACTTCCCTGTCAGTGTCATCGCGCCAATTTGGGGGCGGGGCCACTCTTTCTTCGAAACGAACCGAACTAGCAATCGATAAATAGAAATAAATGTTCGCTGGAACGTCTAGGCTTGGCTCAAAAGCAGTTCTCTACATGCACACTTTGCAAACCTCTATCTCTTCGAGATGAGGAAGACTGCAGAAGGGCTCTCGTGTCCAGTACGTAATTCATGCCTGCCCTAAGTGGATCCCTCGTGCTGACACTAAATAGAGTTTGGATTAACTCTTTTCCCTCCTCCAATCGGATCTCGCGACTCTCTCTTCCGGCCCGGCCGGTCATCGACGCCTGTAGATCGTCGTGGTAATACAAAATTTGCAATAATAGTCTAATGGCTATAGATTAAACAACCAAACTAGCATTAATGGCCCATATTTACCTTCCGTACGAGTACGCCCTTTCCAGTCTGGGACCAATGTTGCCACCATGTATGTCATCGAAGAACGGAATTTGTCAATCTGCAGTGTCCCAAAGGCTATTGCACATTAAGCTTATCAAGTGGCTGCTATTCGAAAGGTTATTCGCTCTGCTGGACCGGCACGCTGGGACAGACTTTCCATTGCTGCGGGAAAGAGGCGTCTTTGTTCCTTGGTAGTCGACGCCTCTTAAAGTATTTGTTCACACCCCTTAACTTGACAGAACCTTATGAGATACAATCTGGAGTTGTGGGGTAATCTGGAAATCCCTCACTACCTGTCCAAGGTGGTATATGTAGTATCCCCTGGAAACTCTTCTGTCGGTCCCAGATAAAACACATATAAGGAGCAGAAAAGCGATGTAGAATGGGCCGGTTAGGATATGTCTTATCAGCTAGATAATTCTGATCTTATCAGGTTTCTACAGAGATAGATGAACAGAGGAGGTCAGATTTATGAGGAAGAAAACGTGATCGGAATGGTGAATGGACAGATCCTTTCTTTATGGATAAAACCTGACCTGCCGACTCACTATATAACCCAAACCACTAGTTTGCATCTGCTAAACTCTAGATTAATATCCAGTAGAAAACCATGAATATTCTAGCGGTAATAAGAAGATACAGCCCACAAAATTTATTTCGCTTTCCATATGGGACTTAAGAGTGCGTGGATGCAAGAAAAACTACCCCCTATTCACATTCATCTATCTATAACAGTAGAGGATAAATTGTTTGAAATAGACATTTGTCAGTGTCTCATGATCAACAGATTTAGCCATTTCAGTGAAAACCACTCCAACTTCTTGCTTCATCCGTTCGGCCGCGCCAAACTCACCTATTTCCTGGAAAACCCGTGACAAAGTGACAGGGGGAAGGCAGAGTCATGGCTTGATTTTTGCTCTTCTCTAGTAGCTGACACCGGTTGATTGTGGCTTTATATATATCCTTTAAAGCCCACTAAGAGCCCTAATAGCGGTTTGGAACAAAATTTTACTCTGGTTTATTTCCATACTATGTATAATTTATATAATGGCACATCGCTGCTTTAGTAGTACCTTTTGCAAATCAAGTAGAACACTTGATTTGAATTGGTTTATTGTGAACGACTCATAATATACCATGCTAGCTAAAAACAGAATCAACAATAACCCATTTAGTGACGCGAATCCACATGATTGCCGTTAAGGACATTGCCAATGCTGTCCAGTTCCTTCTGCCACTTTGTGCAATCTAGCTTCTTGTCGGCGTCGATCTTGTCTAAATTGGGCCCGGCCGCATCAACATCCACGTCCAGACCGAGAGTCATTTTACCCTCGTACATTGGACCGTTGTCTGGGTTCTCCAAATCCTTCAACAGGCCGGGACCCTCAGCCTCAGCGGCTTTGGGATCTTTCCAGACCTTAACGTCATACTTCCTGTTGCTTCGGAAGAAGAAGGATGGTGGCAGGTCTTTGTTACTGCTGGGGAAGGGCTGCATTGCTGCTTCGGGGTATTTGGAAAGGGTTAGAATCAATCCGTTGGGGAGTTCATTCTTGGTGTCAGAATCAAGCGGGGGGTCGAAGGTGACACCGTTGGCGGACAAGGCGATGTTGGGAGCCTTGAGGAGAATGTGAGAGACGTGTGCTTCCGGTGGCTCTTGTTGCTCTCCTCCCAGTACTTCCTCTGGTTCATTCTTGACACCGTAGAGATAGAAAGGCGTGTTGTTTTCAGGATAGTCAGTGTCTCGGTTGAGGGTGTTGAGGGGTCGGCTCTTGACGATCTTGGTTAACTTGACCTCTCCTTCCTTGAAGGATGCCCTGTATCGTGTTAGTATATGATGTACATGAAAAATGTTGAAGGGACATACGGATTTTCCTTGCTATAAACCTTGACCTTGAATTGCGCCGTACTAAGATCACCGATCATAGCCTTTAGATCGATCTTTTCAGCAGCCTCTAGGATCATTGTTTCCTCCGGCTTGTCATCCACCAGGGAGTCATAGTGAGCCTTCAGGTTCCCGAGGAGGTCTGCAGCAACAATAAGCTGCTGCCGGAGAGTCGCAGTGTGGAACGAGGTTTGAAGGTCGAGATAGACTTGCTTGGTTCCCCTGATGATGAACTTGGCATCGTGTGCATCTTTGCTGTTACGCTTGCGGCAGTTCTTGACTTCGTCTCTGACAACCTCCTCAAAGCACTCCATCAGCTCACCGATGAAGTTCTGCTGAGTTGGGAATGGGCTCATGACGACATTGCGCAGAACAAACAGATCCTGCTTGCAAGGCTTGACCCCCAGTCTGCTCATAAAGTTCTGAGCGCATTTTCCGTACAACTTGGGCTCAAACTTGGTCGAGGTTAGATACAATGGGATCTGGGATGGATCGGTATCGGCGGAAATGATAGACAGTCTGTCAACGACTCTCTTCATGAGGTAGTTGGCCTCCTCCAGGTCGGTGTTGAGTGTGCCATCCTCATAGTACCAATTGAGGGCGAAGGCGTTGATGTTGAGATCAGACCCCAACTCACGCAGTCTCTCCATAGCATCGTTATTCTTCATGATTTCACCGTTTTCTTTGCCCAGGATGTGTTCTCGAATCCAATTTCTCTCTTCTTCGAACTCGGGGGAGCTGAATGGCTTTCCATCATCTTTCTCGCATCTGAGCCTGTTGAAGGGAACGCAGATGAAGTCTTTGTTATATATGGGCGTTTCCTGCTCCACACCATGGACAACGGTCTTTTCTATTCTATCGAGCTTGTTGGTAAACGTGGCCCATCTGACGGACAGCTGGTAGATGTTAGCGTGATAAGTTAAGATAAGCAGTGATACATACCCGGGCACTTGTGAATGCGGCCTCACCCAGCAGCATTCCGTAGCCATGTGGATCAAGTCCAATGGTCTTGTTGGAGAGCCACGTCGACATGGCTGCAGCTCCAGGTTTACTGCGAAAGATCGTTTAGTGTCGCAATATCAATTAGGCAATGGGGGATGGTAGTAAGCTTACCTGCCCTCGACACCATAGACACCAATATTTTCAGACGATCCCTGGGATAGGTACGGACTGGACCATGTTACCAGATGCCTCATTCGACCATCACGGTACACCAGACTTCCAGCAGGGTACGGAACATATCCAGCTTTGTGCGGGTCAACAGTGATGGAATCCGCATCTTTAAGGGCAAAGAGGTCCTCCTCGGTGTCCTTTTTCAAGGTCAAGGCAGGCACTGGACCTTTCTTGAAGTTACGGTACTTTGTTTCCTTTCCGATCAGCTCCGGGTGCTCTTTGTCGATCATTGTGGAAAAGTAGCCTCCCCAGGCGGCATCGGCGTGGATGAGGAACGACATGCCGTATTTCTCCTGTAGCGTCTTTCGAATTTTAACAATTTGCGAGAGACGATCGACAGCACCTTCTTCGGTAGATCCAATAATGGCAACTACTGCATAGACGGGGATTTTCTTTTTGGCATATGTATGCAGCTGCTCGTCCAGCTTCTTGATGTTGATGTGGGCGTTGAGGTCAACCTCGATTTCAGTGAGGTTTCCTGATCCAATTCCGGCAATTGCTGAGATAGTTAGTCTTCACCGAACAGCATACTTTGATGATAACATACCAAGTCCCTTGGGCCACGAGTAGTGGCGAGTGGTTCCTAGCAGGTATTTCATCTCCTTCATCTCCTTGGGAAGTTTGTGGTACTCCTCCAACGGCCCCCGTCCACCCGTCTGGATGTTATATTCCTCCAAGGCAGACTCGAGGAACGGGGTGGAAATGCCAAATTCTTTGCCCAGAGCCTCTGGCAATCCGAGGACAGTTTCAGGGCGCAGATTAAGAAGCGTCCAGTTGTCCATTTTGACGAACAACTCTTTTTCGTTGGGATTCTTTAGGTCACTGGAGCACGGATGCACCTTGAATTCGTCCTTGATGAACTGCAGTTTTCCCTTTTCGATGGCCCATTTCAGAGCGAGAGGGTAGAACTTGAGGTTTCGTGCTGGTATAATTAGCATTTGAATTATCAACGCGGAGGGTGACGAATGCATACCGACCCAGATGGACTCCAGATTAGCCACTGTACCGTCGCAGGTGATATGGCCCCACGGTAAAGGCTCATCCTTGATGTTGTATCCAAACAGCTCACACAGCTGCTGTCCGACCTTGAGTTCCGCGACGGTGGTAATGGGACTAGCTTCAAGGGCAACATTGTTTGGGTTGTAGATCATGGTCATAAAGTACCCCAACATGGACGGCATGGTCAAGTCGGTGCACATGTGGCCCTGATACCGGGGAGACCAGAACGGCACCGAGTGCTTCCCCATCAGGGCTGCGACCTTTCGGACGGCATCGCTGACATTGTCTCTGACCCGACGGAACTCTTCTGACGTGCGGACATCTTTGGGGATGAATTTCCGATGCTGTCGGAGTCAGTTATAAGACAGAAAACATTTGCAAGAGGGCATACATTGTCTGCAGGCCAATAGTCCATGCGGGCCTCGAGCAATTCATCAAGAATGGTGTTGATGTTCGCTCTGAAGTCAGGCAAATTGGCCGCTTTGGGCCCGATGAAGTAGGAGTTTATGACATTGAACTGCTTTGTGCCTTCAAACGACATATTGGCGGTTTTTAACTGTTCGACTCTCACTCAACTCGAGTCTGGAGATGACTCTGGACAGCTATGAGGGATGGAATTTTACCAGTATATATAGCCATGAACTTCGCTCAGCTCGCTTACAAGGGTTTATGATCGCCCATTCGGCTGGCTGTGGTATACAATATGATGGAGTCACTGCCTTCGGTTCTCCACAGGCCAACTCATCAGATGGAATTCAGCAGGTCCCCTTAGCCTCAGCGGAGGCTGTCGATCATAGATTATTTTACCCCTCTGTCTTTTCTGGCGGGTTATATATAGCACTCGTTGCCCTTCATGTAGAGTATAAAGATGTTTTTGATACTATATACCTTCACTCTAATTTTCTTTGTTCTTTTACAAAAACTTCGTGGAAGTAGAACCACGAGAATTATGCCTTGCCGCCGTAAAGACGACATGAAGCTGTAGCTGAACAAACCGAGGCGGGGTTGTGATAGTGGCTGGCTGGCAGATTATGATCTTTTCCCTATCTAGTAATGCGTGCAGAAAATGTCTCCACAATATGTCCCAATTCCGGATGGTTCGACAAATGATCCATGTCTACGCAATGTGATTGGACGAGAACATCCGGGTGTTCATGCAGCCCACCATCATACCCAATGCGTTGGGGGCCTTGATGCAGAATAATATGATCTGAGTGGATAATTCCCTGCTGTTCAGACTTCAGCTCGGTTCCACGTACATACCATGTAGGCTATCACTGTGGAGAAACTACACGCTGGCAGGCATCCACTACACACGATGGGTTTCGATTGGGTTGTGGTCGAGGCCGAGCTGAAAATCATTTCAGCCACTCTCGGACGCATGGCTGCCTTGGTGATGGAGATGCATCTCATCCTGATTATGCATTGTAAGTGTTCCGTCACTGTGAGGAAGATTATGATAGGATTACTTACTGGTTAGTAGACGAAAAAGGGCAATGAATGGGGAGATAATATGTCGTAAAGGACTGATTTCACAGGCGATAAGAGACGGTCTAGTAGTATGATTCTGACTCGATTCATTGCTAGTGCTGGAGAATTAATTCTTAATAGACCATATGACTGGTATCTAGAAATGGAATCTCTTAGTTCCTGTCCTTGATCGTCAGCCACAACTTCAATTCATCTTTTTGACTTAAACATATACGGGACCCGAACAAATCCATTAGAGATTATTCAAGACTTATATATTAGTAGCCCCTTGAAGCCCCATTAGGATGTTCAGCATTTTATCAACAACTATATATGACATCTTGAGGAAGATTCGAGTTTTGGTACGAATAAAGCAACAAGGCCAGACATGTCTACCTATCAGAGAAAAGTGAAAATTATATCCATCACCTCATCCATATGAGCTTCCTCAATTTTGACATTCCAACCCTTCCTCCCAGCAACTGTCTATGCCTTATCCAGGTAAATGTGTTTCTTTCCTAGGTCAAGTTCTATGGGAAAATTGCTAGGGACTCCCCGCTCTCCACGGCCGTCCAGCGGTAGTTGAAGATGGCCTTGAGTCAAGGTGGCAGATAGAGACGAATCTAGAACACTAAGTATTCTACTATTAAAGCCACAGAGGAGTAGGCTATATTATCCTTATATTGCTTCGAAAATTAAGCATGAACTACCGTTCCCACCGCGATCGTTTCATCTTGTTTCGACTATATCACCCAGATCCACCAAACTACCCCTGAGCGATTTAAAAAGAAGAACCGCGAGGTTTCCCCATGAAAAAAAAGAAAGAAACCCCCCCCCAATATTGATCTCCATTCCAACTTAGTCATTCGCTTTCATCATGTTCTTCCGGTCAGACAAGGCCCTAGCCCTGGTGGTACTGCCATTCGCTACACCTTCTCTTGCTCTTCCCACTCTGTCTCAGCTCTGGAGCCGAGCTCAGCCGTCTGCCAATCTCTGTGGTGACTATGACTATACCATCTTGAAAAACACACCATGGATTGTGTACAACATGCTCTACAATACGAACCAGATTGAGGGCTCACAGTGCACTTACTATGACCAAGTGACTACTACCAATTCTGGAACCAAGGAGGTCGTGTGGAGTAGTGTTACTGGTATCGACTATGTCGAGAGCACGTAAGATTCCATCATCTAATATTAGATTGTTAACCAAGTACTAACCTTTGGATAAATAGCAACAACGTGCCCAAAGGTTACTCGTTCGTCGGACTCACCCAGAATCTCGAGACGAAATTGTCCACCATCGATTCCATCCCCACCACGTACGACTGGACTCGTACCAACACCACTGCCTTTAAGGGTATGAGATACATACTACACAGTTGATACCATCATTGACAATTATTCAGGCAACATCTGCTTCGATTTTATCGTCAATGACATCAAAGGCGACTCAACCTCTTCGTCTTCTAACGAGCTGATGCTCTGGCTTCAGTATGAAGGAGGTCAACTCCCAATCGGATGGGCAAATGGCCCTATTGCAACCATCGACAATCTCTTTGGCACCTCCTGGAAGCTGTACGAAGACACCAACACCGACTCTGGTGTCACGGTTAGCTCGCTACTCCCGGATACTCAGTTCGAGGGCACCTTTTCGGGTGACTTGAAGAACTGGCTGGTCGCGTTGACCAACGTGGGTAAATTCACCAACGAAACATATGTCAACATTGGAAATGCAGGGTAAGTGTCAATTGATTTACTCTTGTTGCGTTGTGCTGACAGTGATAGAACCGAGTTCTTCTACGGAAATGCCGTTATGAATGCCACTGTGGCATTGCAGATCGACCTGAATTAGATGTGGACGACGTCTAGGTAGATTGTCTAGATCTCAGCAGATATTGGATATGTATTACCCTGTAGATTAATATCTAGCAATATGTATGATATCTCCATCAATTCAGTAGTCAAAAATTCCACCCTGCTGCCAACCGCAAACATAAAGGGACGTACACTGTCTGTATATATTTAGCTAGTTATCATTCCACCCACTCTTCAGCGCTCGCACATTCACATGGGCAGTTGCACCACCCAAACCAGATGCAGAAATGCTCAACGTGTCCAATGGAGAATTGGGGAAAAAGCTCATGGTCCCAATCTGCTTTCCATGGTCCAGGAACGTCTCGAACACGGATCGGTCAACGATACCCGAGAACATAAATCGACCATTCGCGGATGGTGAAACAGTAGTGCTGAACAAAGGGGTAAAGTCTTTGTTGTTCGTGGTGTGGAATGCTCTTGTTCCTGCACGGCTAATCCAGAAAACACCGGTGCCGATATCAAGAGCGCCATCGAGGTATTCGCCTGACTGAGAAGAGGTGATGTTAAAACTAACTTCTCCCGTTGCAGCAGAACTGGGGATGCCTTCAATCTCAATGTCAAACGTGATCGCATTGGACTTGACCTTGGAGAAGTCCACCACGACATTACCGGATTGGATTGACTTCTGGGCAAGCTGGCCTCCCAGCACTGAAGAGAGGCCCATGAAAGGGTTAGTAGTCACAGTCCAGTCTCCATCAACCTTGGTAAGCGTGTTCACTCGAGGGACGGAATTCGCACTGCGCCAGCCCTCGAGGGTTCCACTGGGTACTTCCTGGCAATACTCCCAGTTGCTGGCCCAGCCGATGGAGACCGGATCTTGACCAGCAGGAATACCAGACCACCACTGAGAAGCGTAGTTATCTTTGGCAAAGTCATAGAGCTTCTCGGATGGTGTCTCGGAGATGAAGTGCGTTCCGTTGAAATTCCCGACCACATAAAAAGTACCAGATCCTCCTAGTGGTGCGCCAGGGTTGACGGAAATAAACAAGACTTCCTTGAATTCAGAAGGACCAACAGAGAACTTGACGATATTGGGACATTCGAACTCTGTACCCGGAAGTCCTAGCTGGGTGAAATTGGAAGCATGCACCCATTCCTTGAGGTTGGTGGAGGTGTAAAACCCAATAACCCGGTCATGGGCATACGCAACGGACAGAATCCATTTTTGAGTCTCTGGATGCCAAATAACTTGCGGATCACGGAAGTCATCGACGGCGCTATCGATAATGGGGTTGCTGGCGTACTTCGTAAAGGTGAAGCCGCCGTCTGTTGAGTAGGCCAGATTCTGCGTCTCCTTGACCTCATCGTTCAGAGTGTAAATGGCCACCACGCCATTGGTTTGGTTGGGGAAGAAACCCGATGTGTTATTGACATCAACCACGGCTGCGCCCGAGAAGATGTGTTCATTGGGCTTGTCACCACCAATGGCAACAGGCTGGTTGGCCCAGTGGTAGAGATCATGGCTGGTGGCATGTCCCCAGTGCTGGTTGGCCGCGACTGGCGCGGAAGGGTTGTCTGCGTCTGTTAGATGGAGAAAGATGGATAGTAATTGGTAAACGTACACTGATAGTACAGATGATATGTACCCTCTGCGTCAAGGAACAGCCCGTTGGGGTCGTTCATGAAGCCTACCGGGGGCGAGAAATGAACCTGTGGTCTGAGAGGTCCATCGTAGCTAGCAGCCTGGGCCACAGTCGCGAGGGCCGGAACGAGAGAAACAAGATTTGAAACTCGAAGATGCATCCTGACGATAGGTGAAAGCGGCTGGTCTATTGCTGTCCCTCAATGCAGCAACGCGACGAATTATTTATAATATTTCCGCTGTGTGCAGTGACCATCTATGATGTCCAATGGACAGGTAATCGGTTACTGGAGTCGATATAACAGCCAAGAGCATTTCTCCGATGGCCAAATACCAATGGACCATCGTAATCTATTTTGCAGGGTGAATATACCTCTTCAACCCACTTCGAGAACTCGAAACCAATAATGCCGGGCATAGCTCCGAGCAAGTAATATTCAGAGTGAAGTGTCCACAAAATCCCCGAAAGAAATTCCCGAACCTTCTCCAGGCCAATGACTCTCCCGCGGGGATTTCACTGTTAAGTAATGCTTTTCGTCCTGTAAAAAGGGAGACAGAAGATTGATAGACACAGAGGCCTTCACACTAGCCATATTGGGTAAATTTGTACGTCCCACCTGCCTAAAGTGGTAAATATCTGAACCCCACCACTAGCCTATCTGACGACATAACCCGTAATCAAATTGCCAATAAGAGTATCTGGACTGAAAAGCCTACGGCAGAGAGATTCTATTACGCAAGCAATGTTTTCTATGTGGCTGTTCAACACGAGTCCAAAGGTCAATAGTGGGGACGGCTTAGCAGGTTGAGAGACACCCCTCCTTCACCTACACCTGAGGCTTTCCTGCGCTCTAAGACACCATGTAGTAAGATTGCGAGATATCTAAAGCTCTTATTTGCTGAAAGTGAGTCTTTAGTCCCAATAGAACCCTCGAAGGCAATAACTAAGCACAGGATGATGGTGACTGTCTTATTCCCTCCTCTTGTACCCTTACTTAGATAATATATGTATGATCAATATTGAGGTTATATTGGTTAAAGAAGCGTTCTGAGTAACTTATCAATTATTTTGAAAGCGAGTCTAAAGTTCAACGATACAAAGACAATGTATGGAGATACATAACCCAAACCAATACAAAACAAAGCCAGAAACATCAATTCACCTCAACACGCCGCGTCAAGGGCCAATTGAATTCCAGCACCTCGTCCATGACCATAGCAAGAATACCTTTCAGATGAATCCCAGTTGCAGTATGAATGTCCGAATCATCAAAAAAATAACCCTTCAGATCAATAGCAAAGCAAAGTCCACTTTGACTAGAGGGTGGCAATCCGACAACGTATTCTCGGCGCTTGCACATCTGAAGGAGGACAATAATCACCCCTTCAGATGTCAAATACGGGTGGGGGAGGTTGAAAAAGACCGTGTGACAGGATAGAGGGTGGTTGCCCGGGTCGGGTCTGGATACGAAACGAATTTTGTCGGGAATAGGCAGGATGAAAGTGCCATGTGGTTCGGTCAGGTTTTCTGTGAGCTCTCTGGCAGGGAACAGCCAACGAGGCTTTCTGGGCGTGGGGGGACGGCGTGGTCTTGGGATTGGAGTTGGAGGCGGGGGAGTCTCATCGTTCGTGGGCATGGCGGATGGGATGGACAAGGATTGCTATGAAGCTGCAGTTGTAGAAGGAGCACAGATAATGGGATAGGAGCAGTTGATGGAAGATGAAGTTGTCGTTGGAGTGAATGGGGAGAATTTATATGACTATATTGTGTTTATATTAAAAAAACAAGAACAAAGATATTTCCTCTCGATTCAGTGGTGTTTTCATGTTGAAACAAACAAAGAAAGCGCCTATCATTGAACATCGAGTCTTTGTTTTCGAGTGTCAAAGTATTCATTAAAAGAAGTCAAAGACCTTTTCCCACAAACAAAGGAATTGCCCGAGGGGACTTTCATATGACATGCCAATGGATTTCCTTTGTTGTGGTACCAGTAATGGATGCAACATGTAATCATAATACTCTTGACTGTTTCTGCGCACGATACTCCACCTAGTCACTGGCGACTAAACAATGGACTGTAAGAGATATTCAAGGTAAACAATATATTATTCCCACAACGACTCAGGACAGATGAACTAAAACTAGGGTAGGGAAAGGGAGCACTCATATCACAATAACCTAGGAAGCAACAAGCGGATATCGAAAAACAAGCCGTCCTTGCTCAAACAATTTCTGTATAAGCATAATATTCGCCTTGGCCGCGGCATATATCGTTCCCCGCTTGGGGAAAAAGCCAGCGACATGAATTCCAACAGAAAGACTATTTCGAACAGTGGACTCATCGCCAATTTCGCCTCCATTATGCTCGGATTGACCGTAGAGGTATCTGACGAGGTCAGTGCCGGTTTGGAAAGTACCAGGAAGATCGAAAAAGACAACACTTGACCTGCGGGGAAGACGATGGGTATAGGTGACCTCTCGGGGAACCAACACGATCAGAGGACTCTGGGGAAAGAGATACGTTTGGCTTGTTCTTTGCGTACCTGGCGTTGGTGGGAGACTGGGAAAGAACATGTGATAGCCAGATCTGTCATCACTGAGCCCTGGACTGATAACCGAGAGGGGCTGTTCGTTGCGGCGAGGTTTGCGGGATGGGACTTGGACTATGGTGATCTCACCAAAGACGTGTGAGGATGTGTCTGACATGATGATGGTTATTGAGTAAGGGGTATGTTTGGAGTTGTGTAACGAGGAGTTTGGCAATACAGATAGGGGTAGGAAGGTGTATTTATATCGCAAAGTCACCTGGATTCCTGTCAAAGTCATTGTTACAAACAAGGGTAGATACAAAGCATTGTCTTGTACAGTAGTTCTCTTCATTCTTTGTTCAACATATTAATCCACTGTTCATTAAGCCAAACATATCAAAGATATTGTGCAGAAGACCTCGTGTAGTTTCATATCCATTGTTAGTTCTTAATGGTGACAATATAATGCCATCGTGCTGATAGTAAGACATAAAGTCTTTGTTCAACGTGGATCAGTTATGCTAGGTCTATAGAGCACATGGTCTAGCATCTGATTCTGGAAAAGAGCATCGGCAATTTGTTTGCCGCCATGTATATCTCGTTGCTAGGATGACTATTTTCTTAATCAAATTGATGCCTTTACCATCTCCCAAAACCATCCTCGGATCAATTAACTATATATCAAGTAGAATACCCACTTGATGCAAGAAACATGAAGTAAGATTTACTTCCAATTCTCCCAGTGAGAACGCGGATCCGGTTTTATGACACCAGGCTTTGCTAATACCCATCACGTAGATCACACCTTACAATTTTTCGGCAACGAATTGTCGATTCGACTGGTCATTCTCGCTTTGATATATCTAACATTCTATCTTAACGTCAAGTCAAGTCATATTCAACGTCAAGGTCTGCACTTCGTTGAGGCCTCGCATTATGGATCAACGACGCCAAGTCGATTCTGGACCACGGGCCAGAATATCCCACCCCACACTCCTGGCCAATAGGAGCCCCCGCAGTCAGCTTGAATGGTCTACCTCCACTGCATGGACTGCCGCAAGCTACCTAGTCCGATAGAATTTATGCATAATGGCGTCATGATATCATTATAAACTCACCTCACCGACTTAACTATAATGAGCTGTGATATAGCCATGTCTTCAGGGAGTTGCTGCTTCTATCTCATTCTGATTATCTTTCATCCTACCAGGTACAACCCACCAATGTGAATTGCATCCCACGCGGCCGATATATATTGTGGCCTAACCAGCCCCAGGCGTCATTGCATATGCAACCATGGAGATCTACATGAGAGCCGACAATCTGATTCGGCCGTTCAAGATTGACGTGGATATTTAAAGAACCATTCGCAATAAAACGCACACATTTTGCATTGGCTGCGTAGAAAACGGAGACTTATCATGTATTGAGGGATTTTTATAGCCTCTCGAAAGTCGGTATACGAAAGTTCACGACAGTTCATCGAGTCAGGTGATTTATATATATAAACTGGTCGATGCACAGGGACCCTGTTACTGGTCAGATGGATAACGGCAACTCCACACCAAAAGCTATAAATGGAGCCGAAGCTCCCCGCAAATAGGGCCTAGTAAAACCTTACGGAGCTTATCAACACAACACACATTGTTTATAACATCACCTGAATATGGCCGACCACTACCCAAAGCATGTTGCGCTTGTCGCAACCAACCCGAAAAAAGCCCAAGGAAGCGATCTAATATGCTTCTACGTTGATGGGGGGAACAAAGTGTTGCAAAGTGGCTTTTCCAAAGCAACTTCAGAATGGAGCAAGCCCATAGAAGTTGTTCAGTCAGAGCACCCGATCGAGCGAGTGGAAGCAAGTGTTCTGCACAATGAGCATGAGGTATGGTCAAGGTTGATTGTCTTATATAAACATGAATGGAGCTAATGAAAGTAGCCAAGTGTTCATGACTATCAGGCAGCGGTAGGCTCAGAATATCCAGTATTGACACAAATGTATACTGATACAAACAGAGGCGTTTCGCTACAAGAGGAGAACAGGTAGGCTTAAACGCCATCTAGCGATGAACTTAAGCTGACGAAAGCAGTGGTTTGATCCTGAGAGAGATGGACAGGTAACATAGAGTATGCCACGGCATTAGAAACCAAGCTAATAAGTCCAGATTGGTCTGATTTACATATCCGACGGCATTGCAAAGCAAATGGGAAGATCTCTGGCAGAAACTGAATGGATGGAGCGTGACATGCCGGTTATCGCCAACGTCATTCTGGCTTCGTCAACCAACACATCGTCCGAAGTCTCTTTTTGCACTAGGTATCATGCGACTCCTTCAATGTGGATGTTAACCACAAGCTGACGGAGGTACAGACAAAACGTTCGAGATAGTGAAATGTGCTGGCGATCTGATGTAACTGAAGATCTTGATTGGAGGACGGATTTCCGAGTGGACTGGGAGGGGCTCAGCTTCTCGACATGCATGAACAGAACATCTGTCAACTTTGTCACGAAGAAGCTCAACGATGCCAAAATTACAAGGTATAACATGGCAATTGGCGAGATGAGACGTATGTTGACCAACCCCCGACTGTTACGATAATCTTTCGCTAACATGCCGCTCATTTAGGATCTGTGTGGGGCGTAGCCGAGTCTTTCCCCGATTCCAGGCTCGAGATTGCAGCGAGAGACCCTCACAAACCACGTGTTTTTCTCTTCAATGAGGACAGGATTGTGGAATGCCAGCAGGGTAACAACGTCATCGACACTATTGTTGAGTTTGAAGAGAAGATACCGGATGTAAGCGTTGCTGCTGTTGCCCTGGAAGAGAACGAGTCTGCGCCATTCCCAATCATGCTTGTTTATGGGAACAGCGGACTCACCAAGAGTATTCTGTGGACCCAAAAGGGAAGATGGAAGGAGACGCATGATGTCAGATCATGATGCAACTCGAAAATGCTAGCATGAGGTGGCCTATTGTTCATAATGAACGCCAAGGTGTTTTTGTATGAGATATGAATATGATTTGATTTACAACTCCTCGAAAAAATGACAGCATTACTATATAGTAACTATTGTAGGCTCCAGTTGATAATCACAGGCTACAATTACTTTCTGTGTAATTAACAAGGCAGAGGAGTTCTTGTGATCATATTGATCACAGATCTGGTAATATTTAGGCAGTCACTGTGGCCACTATTTAAATCCTCGATTCAGAGCATTTCGACATTTCTTTTCCTTCTTCTTACAACTTTCTTCGTTCTTCTACTACAGTAATATAATAGTTGTACTGCATCAACTTTCAACAAACAACCTTCCAAAAACATTCTTCTTGCTAAACACCATCTGCCTTCAACCATGTCTGATATCTGTACTACAACTGGCAGAATATATTCTGCTACATCTACTCAACCTGGCCACAAGCAGCACGAAGGCCCTGCATCTGAAAAAGACTGTTTTCCCGAAAGAACTCACGAGGTTAGGCCTGTGAAGCCCGGGTACTCCCAAAATGTCATCTCACATGTAGAGAGCACCGGAGAAGGCATGTCGTGGAGGTTAGTTCTACCCCCATATTAGCTATGAGTCTACTAACAAGCAATAATAACAGCGTCAGTTACAACGCTGCTCTTCAGACGGTCCGTCTCGTTACATCTCGAAACCCAGTTCATGACACCCCCCAGGCGTGGATTCAACAGTGGCTGGAGGATATGATGGCCACGGATTCTCTGGCCTTGTCTGATAGGGCACACTTGAAATTAGACGTGGGAACGAGTAAGTACCTATCGCTTGTGGTATCCAGAGCGGAAGTTAACTCTTATTCCCTTGAGTAGCATTCACCAAATTTAGTGGCAAGTATGCCGCTTCGTACAAAAAGTCAGATTTCTGCATCACGCCGGTGTGGATGGACTTTCCAACAGTCGTTATAGAAAATGGATGGAGCGAGTCAAGGGACCAGCTTCATGATGACCGAGATATGTGGCTGAAGGGAGGTCATGGTCTCACCCAGATTGTGATAGTCCTCAAGTGGAGCGAAAACGACGACAAGGAGGTCCACGGCGATGTGGAGATATTCGAGCTGGACAGAAATGGAGTTGTTAGATCAACCCAGAAAGAGGTATGCTGGTAATCCGAGGATGGTCATGTATAGTACTAATGGTTGCCTGTTATCTAGACTGTCTTTCCAGCACCAGCTTGCCCTGAGGTAGCAGCCTCGCAGTACCTGACAATCACAAAGGGCCAACTGTGGGGGCCTGTCGCCACTACACAAGAAAAGGACCAGTCTTTGAAACTAAATATCGACTATTTGAGAGCGATAACGACAAGAAAAATCGAAGCCTATGGTTTGACGCCAGCCAAGTAAGGCTTACTTCAACAAGTGCATTTTCAAGATGATGACTATCAGTGGAGACTTTGTACTGAAGAACTCGTGCTATCAAATATCAACAATAGCCGAGGCTATCGCTGACTTCAGATATCAGAATGTATACAACTATTTCTTGCTATAACTAAGAATGTTACAATTTCATACGCTTTTTATGCATGCAGCATCGTACTATCCCAGTGATTTCAATTCGTAAATCAATACAAATCCACCGCATGAACCTGCCGCGCATCGATCCTATAAAGTATGAGGAATGCCCTAGTTTATAATAGCGAGCCACTCACACGTTATCATTATCCTCACCGCATGCATGATGTAGGCTTGCTCTAGCTCATACGATAGGCTAGCTTTGCAAATATATATCTATTTAATAATTACGCGGTTAGCGAAAAAGACCACCCTTTGACTCTGGTTTAGAAGGCATGGTAGTTGTCCAGGGCCTTGGTATTGTATCTCTGGCTACGACGTCTGCCTTGTTATTTTTCGGCTCCTGACCGTGTCCTGGTACCCTATATATATATGCTTCAGGCTTTCAGCTTTTTAGCTGCCGACGTAATGGCGTATATGACCCTTTGTGCAAGGGCCGCAGAATGGAGACATAGGCAACTAGGTCACAGGCCTAAAATAGACACAGCGGTGGCACGCTGACTCTATAACCCATATTGTGCCCCCCTCACTACTGGAGCAGCCGGAAACACTTGGCCTTCCTCCTTCCCGCTCATGCCCCCAAAGACTCCTTCCCAAACTCCCTTCAGCGGTGCTGGAACTTCCCATCCAAACTCCTCATCCCTCAGCCAAAGCCTGAGCAAATGTCGACTGTTGCTCGTCAGAATAAGAACCAGAAACGACCCTAAGAAAGAAAACAAGACAAACGAATTGAACATACCGATTCTCTGGCTCATCTCGAAAGCCCTCTCTGGCATGGACCAACGCCACGTTATTGATGAACTGTATATCTCCCTTTTCCAGCTGCATTGTCAACTGGTGTTTCATTGCGGTAAAGTGTAGCGCGTCCAAGGCTTCGGCCTGCGCTTCGCTCACGGGCGGCATGTAGTCTGAACGTTTATAGGCAGCGTAACCGGTGAAACTGCGACGTGAGAACTGGAGCGACACCCTCTCCGGGGTAGTATCCGTTGCAGGGTGGTGGTAGAGGAGAGGTCGCAGATAGTAGGGTGTTGACGATCGCTTGAATCTGGATACATTTAGCTGATGTGCACTGGTTCGCATGTAAGTATACTCACCCGTCAATGGCCCAGTCGCTTGCTAGTGTGCGTACCAAGTCAGGCCGGGAAGAAGCGAGCTCGTTGTAGATTTTCCACGTACTTGCGATACAGCTCTTGCCTCCTGCCGCACCCGTGCCGATCATGAGCAGGCCTACAATGTCACCAGTGTCGGTATGGAAGCCTTGAGGGTCAGCCGTGAAGGCAGGGGAGCCAATAGCAGGACGGCCAGCAACATTGTTCAGATCAACGACATGCGATAGGACGACGTCCGCTCGCTGGCCATTGTGTTTGGAATCTTGGCGACCACGGAGCGATCCGATGTAGCTGGATATTCCAGCGTAGACAATCACAGTTTCATCCTGGGCGTATTGATCGACGGGAAGACCGCGAAGAACAAAGAATCCTCGGCCGGAGTGGATAGTTCGTGATAGGTCGCGGAGGGTCGGTCGGAGGTTTGGCAGAGGGAAGGTGGCTGGTGTGATGCATCCCAGCGGCAGTTTGAGGCTTTGGAAGTGCCTCAATGCGGACGTGATCTCGTCAATCTCGGGACTAGAGAGGGAGTAGGTCCAGCTGGAGGGGTCAGAGAAGTCATTGCCTTCCCAGACAAGCGGAGAGTGAAGCTGAGCTGGAAATCCCTCTGGCAGTGATGTTGGCAGGTCTTCCTCTGCTTGTCTGCGCTTCGCACGCAGTTGGTATTCCTCAAAGTTCGGCACGTAGGAAATTGGCAATTCGGACGATGTCGCCATGGCGGGGACTGATTTGCTTTTTCTTCGTAAGAAAGAATATCGAGGGGCTGGAAATAGAATTGTTGGATGCGTCCCTCTTATGTTGCGTGAAAACAACCCCGCCACGGCGCATGTTGAGACGCACAAACACGTGTACACGTTACACAGCATCAAATACACAGTCACATGCCCATTTTATTCAATGCTGTATATAAGAAAGCAGTTTTTCCATCAACCTGAAGGGTCAATTGCAGCTAAAATCTACCACCATGACTTCAATTCCGTTGAACCCACCACTCGCCGCAGATCTCTCTGCGGACCCTGTTCCTCTCTCCGCACCCACCAAACAATCGCCGCACATCCTCATCATCGGAGGCGGGGTAACTGGCCTAACCACCGCCTGGTTTGCACTAGACCGCGGCTATCGAGTGACCATCATCTCTAAAGAATGGGCTAGCTACGGCCAGGGTCCACGACTCGCTTCCCAGATCGCCGGCGCTCTCTGGGAGCTCCCTCCCGCTGGATGCGGCCCACAAGCCGTGCAGGGAAAGCTTCAAACCTGCCAGAAATGGGCCTTGGAGAGCTTGCAGATTTACCGGACGATGGCGGAGTCCGATCTGGGAAAGGCATTTGGTGTGAAAATGCGAATCTTCACCTCCTTCCATACGAACCGGATCAGCGACGACGAACTTAAATCCAAAAAGATGGAATTGATCCGCACAGAGCAGCTCGCAGACTTTGAAAAGGGCACCCACTTATTCCAGAAGTACGGGGTAAACCCACATTCCCACGGTGGACTACACGATGCATACGAACATCAAGCTCCCATCATCGACACAGACGTCGCTATGGCCTTCTTGATGGAACTGGTACGCAACAAAGGCGCAACGCTACACACGGCCAGTATCCAAGGCGACATTCTCGACCAAGAAAACCATCTCTTGGAAACATACGGCGCAGACGCAATCGTCAATGCAACAGGTGTCATGGCCCGTGAGGCTGCTGCAGACAACGCTGTCTACTGCCTCCGCGGCGGTCTTCTCCGGCTCATCAACGACGGCACAGCCTTTCCCAAGGTCAACAATGCAATGCTTGTCTCTTCGGAAACCAAATTCGACGGAGACTTCCACGATATGGCGTTCATCGTGCCTAGAAACGATAACACGTTACTCCTTGGGTCAATTCTACACCAGGACACGTGGGAGTTGGATCTCACTCCGGATTGTCCTGAGGTATTGGAGATGCGGGGCCGCTGCGAGGATTTGCTTCCTGCCTTGAAGAACGCAAAGGTTGACCCTGTGTTTCCTTTGGCACAAGGGCGGCGGCCGATGAGGAGATCGCATGTACGAGTTGAGCGGGAGGAGAGGAGAATGAGTAGGATTGTGCATTCCTATGGCCATGGAGGTGCAGGGTGGTCACTTGCTTTTGGGTCAGCAAGAGAGGCGCTGAGGCTGGCGGAAGATGTGATATCCGAAAATACCCTCAGCACTGAAGATATTAAAGCAGCTTTGTAAATATTAGTTCAAGCTGTGTTATTCTAGAAATATCACTCTGTCCTGTTACAACGGCCGGAGGTCTGCGAAATGAACATGGGAAACAAGTTCTTTCTCTAATAAAATAAGAATTAAAACAGAAGCTCGATAGGATCAAATACTGGAACAGTTGCCATCCTCGTATGCCCTTCTTATCGCAGCACGAAACTCGATCGCCAGGTGTTCCGCATGCTCCTTGAAAAGAACCTCCGGCGCAGCATCAGGAAAAAGCAGTCGCAGAATAATATCACATCCAGACTCAGCATCTCTAAACTCATGCAGAATATAAAACAAAACAGCCCCATCATCAATTTGGCCAATTGCAGACTTCTTCTTGGGATACTTTGCATCCCCATAATCCATCACCCACTCTGGGACTCGATCGGTGGTGATGATTCGAACTCGTGCCATATGCCCACCAATCAGTTCTACAATACCATCTGGATAATGTGGTATGGTGTAGTGCTCAGGATGCATCGGGAGGAGACGTTGAAGCGCCATCTCCTCGGCTGACATGCGAAGCCATTGCATTCGGGTCTCCAGAATCCGCGTAGCTGTAATCCCGGACACTTTCAAATCCGTCCGGCATTCTCTGTATTTACCATTTGACGCTGCTACCAGCGAGTGAAAGTATGCATCTCCAGCTTCGATTTGGGGTTTGAGGAGATCCAGCATTGGTTGTTGGAAGAGGAAGGTTTTGATATTCATCAAAGCGCGTCGGGAGGCGTGGAGTTCCCAGCTGTCGACGGTGGAGTCGGAAGCATGCTGGCCATTGGCGAGGAATTCAATCTTGAAGGGTCTAGACATTTTGAGACTGGTTTGAGAGACTTTGAATGTTTGTAGTCTTTCCATTTTCTCTGCAGGGCGTTATATATTGCGCGTTTCGGGGTTTACTAAAGGCCGCTCGCCGTGTTCAAACCCGTGTGTGCGGGGGTTAAAAGCCGAGCATGAGTTGACTACTGGTAGTAAGTATGGTCGTAATTAATAACTGAGATACAGTACATTATTAACGACTAAAATTCCATTTCGATTTATCATAAGCGAGAAGACTGGTTGAGGAGCGGTGGAACAAACCAATGACATGTGTCCGTCAAACAATACCAGGTTCATTCTGAGAGTCGGCAATTCAGCCCAACTGATGAATGCAGAGTGCGAGTGGTTTGAAGTTATTAGATGTGCGGAGAAAATAATAGACGCCATTTTCAGTATGCCGTTAAACGGATATAGATTTGTTGGTCAATTGTTTATTTACTGTTGTCATCATCCGATCAATCTCCCTCGCGATCATCCTGAATCTGTTCAACTGGGGAGGGGGACTTTCCATCGCTGTTATCATCCTTGAAAGGTTCATCCATTGGCAATCATCTAGATGCTTATACTCTGGGCCCTCTTCTTTCCGATTATCATGCTGAGGGCCCACCTCATCTCTGTGTCTCCAGCACTTGAGCTATAAAAGGAAATACCCATTGAAACAATCCGTACACATATGATGCGTACCAAACGTACCCTATGTTATGTGGTTAATTCGAACTCATTCAATCTGGGAGTGTATACAGACAGGAAATAGGCAAACGTCGCAGTATGCAAGGTTGCAGCTTGACAGAATCGGCATCCGCGCCTTTTTGTAATATCGCCCTGGCAAAATCGAGCGAGTACCACCTTTTATACCGACATCAGCATTAGTCTCGTCCAGAAGATATCTGATCATCCGTGTGTTTTTATCTTGAGCCATAGCCGATGCATTGAGAGCCACATGGAGTACACTTCCTTCCAGTGGATCGACCAGATTCACATCGCCTTCCCCCTGGATGAGCAGTTTGAGTATATGTAGATTACCCCTGAAAACTGCGAGGTGTATAGGCCCACCCTTATAGCCCCCAATGATGGTCGCACGGCATTACAAGCAGCGGCGGAGAACGCGCATACGGACATGGTGGATTTATTGCTTAAGGCTGGCGCGAATATCAACATACCAGCGATGCGGTATAAAGGGCCGACGGCGTTGCAGGTTGCTGCATCTGGAGAACACGAGCATATTATGCAGATGTTGCTGGATAATGGAGCAGATTTTAATGCTGCGGGGTCTTACTATAACGGATTGATGGCTGTGTCTGCTACTGCCGCATGCGAGTATTTGCATACAGTGAAGACATCTCTGATCTCTGGGAATAAAAACTGGAGGCCTGTACAGATTGCTGCTTTTCGGGACATCCTGAAATTTTTCGTCTTCTACGACAGGTTGAAAGGAACAAAAGTGGCTACTTTGGATTTGTTTTTGTATGTAACTCTCCCTCGAAGTATTTCTATCTAGTATCTATAAGTAATTGTTGCGTGGAGAACCCATAGACTACACCATGTCACAGGCTAGGTATCATACCACGATGCGATTTCACCCAATAATTTACGTACCGCCAGGATGCAAGACGAGGCATAATATTAACAATCTAAATGAATCAATTGAAGGTTGGGGTTGCATATACAATCTTGATTTGCATGAGTCAGAATGCAACCTCGTATTCGCTCAGTCATCCACGGATTTGTATCGATTTGACTCACGAACACGAGAACCAGTGAACCAGTGGGTCTTGAGCTCTGGAGTTGGATGATGTCTTGCCACCTCAATGTCTCCCCACATGTGCATATTTAACGACAGATGAAGCCTAAGGAAAAGGTAGATCAAATTCTCCCATACTATTTCTAAAACATCATACCAAAGTGAAACCTCCCCAAAGAAAAATATCATTCAAACCCCCCCTGCACAATCATGTCTGAGGTCCACGGTCACTGCGACCCAGCATTCAGCAAGGTGAAAGAAATCATTGCACACAACATCACCTCAGGCGAAGAACTCGGGGTTTCGTTCTGCGTCAACATCGACGGCAAGAATGTAGTCGATCTCTGGGGCGGATATGCAGACCGAAACCGCACAAAGCCTTGGACAGAAAACACCATCACAGCCGTATGGTCGATGAGCAAATGCGTTACCAATCTAGCAGCTCTCATTCTCATAGATCGCGGCCTCCTCGACCCCTCAGCCAATGTATCGAATTATTGGCCTGAGTTTGCGGCAAATGGGAAAGAAGACGTCAAAGTCTGGCATATCTTAACTCACTCTGCTGGTTTACCTGCGTGGGATGCTCCGATAAGCATTGATGATGTCTACAATATTGACCAAGCAAATGAGCGTCTGGCTGGACAGGCACCGTGGTGGACGCCAGGTGCTGCGACGGGGTATCATGCTGTGACTCAAGGGCACTTGGTTAGCGAGCTTGTGCGGCGGGTTACGGGGAAGAGCGTGAAGGGTTTTATTTCAGAGGAGATAACAGGACCTCTGGACGCCGCTTTCCACATCGGCGTCCCTGAGAAGGACTGGCCCCGTGTGGCGGAGCTGATCCCTCCTCCTCCATTTACGCCCCCGCCAGATTTTGACTTCAATTGTATGGCAGCGCGAGCGGGTATCGCGCCTGTGATGAAAGCCGAATATGCTGAGACACCTGAATTCAGCAATGCGGAGATGCCAGCAATCAATGGGTTTGGAAATGCCAGGGGGATAGCTCGGGTGCTCTCTGCCATATCTCTGGGCGGGACGGTTGATGGCAGGTGTTTTCTGAGTCCTGAAACAGCCCAACTGGCTGTCAGGGAGCAAATCAGTGGAACAGATCTTGTTTTGATGATGCAATCTCGATTTGGAATGGGATTTGGGATTCCGGGAGAGACGGGCATGATGTCTTGGATCAGACCGGACAGCTGCTACTGGGGTGGCTGGGGGGGTTCGATAGCCATCATGGATGTGAAGAACCGGGTTACCATCTGCTATGCTCCATCCCACATGAAGCCGCATAGTACGACTGGTGACTCTCGAGCTGAGTCTTATGTGAAAGCAGTCTACGAGGCGATGGGGGTGTGAACGTGATAATACATTTTTATAGATATGGGCTTAACCGACATTAAACTACAACAAGTGGTCTATCAAGTCCTTTTGAATGCATTAATTACTTGGAAATAACAAGTGGTGGATATATTAAAGCAGCAGTCCATCCTGCAGGCGAGGACAGCTAAAATCTAGATACAGAGTGTACAAACACAAACAGTATTGTCAATATCAGTATAAACGTTTATATACGATTACACTGTTGATATATTTAACTACTTCTACCATGAGCAACTCCCTTTCTGTAGCCAGCAGGATCCTCGCACCAAACCTATATTATCCCATATACAGAAGAGATCTTGACGGCGTTTGTTAAACTATCGTCCATGAGAGGGTAGCACTCCTTTCCTTCGTCGCAGAGCCCGATTGCGATAGCTGCTACGAATTAGCCTAACATTGTTACACGGCCATTCCTCCTAGTAAGCCTATGAAAGCCAGAGTCAAACTCAGATATTAATCCCTGTGTCTCCCAGCTCAATCACAAGCCAGGATACCATCACGCTATCTACCAGATGATGTTGACTCGACCTTCAGACACGATCTGGAACAGCTGGAAAGGCTGTGCTTCCAGACTGGTGGTGGAAGTGTATGCTTGCAGTTCCCGGAATACCAGTCTCATCCAAGGTCCAGGATTCAGGAGAATACATATCCTCCCGTTTCCAGCAGATGACGGATAATTGATCAATGAGTGCTGTTTGGTCTGCTTCTAGGATATATCTAACGATCACCGTGTAATGTTTATCGGAACATAAAGAAGGATTGCCACGGGACACAAGAGAGCAGCTGACAGGGGAACAGGCCCGGGGTGAATCTGCGTACAATCCATAGATACATGATTCGATGATTGAAATTGTATGCTTATCGGAATATCGGACTTTTCTAGGGTCGGGATCGAGGAGCAATATGACGAGAAAGGTGGCAACGAAGGAAGAAGCTAAGAATGCAGTGTTCTCGATGCTATCTCTCCGAGAATTATCTCATGCTACATTGAATTTCCCAGTCCATTCCGGATTGGACAGCCCCTGCTCTGTCTATGCAAGAATGCATGCAACCGTGTCACCATCTCGCTGCCGTAGAGAAGACAGATCCGAGCCCGAGTTTTGTTGGGTGGCCAGACCACTTCAGCTGCATCGATTGATCCTGTGTCACAACGCTCAGGCACCTTCAGTTATCTAGCTCTCTTTTTGATGATAATAGAATAAAATCTATATATATTGATGAGCAGTTTATCAAGCACACAACCGACATTCTGACCACAGTATCTGCATCATGCCACAATACCACTGCACAGCCCTCCCCCATGACGAGATCAGCGTCCGACAATGGGCGCCCAAATTCGTCGAATTCCGGCTCAACGCCCTTCGAGAAAGCCCGGACAGCGCCTCGTCCTCCTACAAAGTCGAATCCTGCATCACATTCGAAGAATGGATTGCAATGCTCTGCGAACCCGCATTTCGCGTCATCATCGCCGTCGCCGAGAATGATAGTATCGATATCGACACCCTCCCCGTCTGGGAACACGATTGGGTCTGCATTATCAGCCTGTACGGCCCTCGCTGTCTCCACCAGCCCCAACACCAGAACCACGACGACTGCATGGAATCCTGCTGGTACGTGGGGGGTGCATTTGTCGCCCCTCATCACCGGGGCCAGAATATCCTGCGCGACGCCTGTTTCCGGTGCGAGCAAGAAGCGGTCAGAATCGACAAATCCCTGCTGCAGCGACGGTCGGGTCGATTTCGAACGCGCTTGTTGGCGTCGACCTTGTCCATGAATCGCGCGGTCTGGGAGCATTACTGTCGTATTTTCAATGCGGAGATGGTGCAGATTATCACGGTGGGGGAGCGTGCAGCATGGGGGATGAATATTCTGGTCTGTCCGGACAAGTTGGACAGGGAGATTATGGCCTTTCAGAAGATTGTGGTGTGGGAGGCGGATGGCATGGCTGTGTCTGCTCTCTAGTATTTAATTATCGAGTTAGCTGCATAATGAAATCGTTATTTGTCTTGATCACTCCCTTATAGGATGGATGAAAAAGAAATCAGTGTCGATGTCAGCGACAACAACAATGAAAGCCCTCCCCTCGACTGGCGCGTCTGGTCGATCTTTATCTCCCTTGGCCTGCTGTCCTTTATCAGCTGCCTCGAGTCGACCATTCTCGTCCCTGTTCTCCCAGTGTGTCTCCCTCCCATCTTTCTCTATCCTTCACTGACGCATCCAGTCCATCTCAAAGGCCCTGAACGGCAGCACCAGCAGCGCACTATGGACCGGTTCCGCATATCTATTAACCGTTGCAGTCTTCAACACCCTCATCGGGGGCTTGTCTGAAGAGTTTGACCACCGGAAACTGCTCCTCATCTCCATCTCTTTGTTCTGCATCGGCGCTCTGATCTGCTCTGTATCCCACTCAATGACACCGTTTCTCGTGGGAAGGGCCATCCAAGGAACGGGCGGGGGTGGGATGCGCGCTCTGGTCAACATGATACCCACGGCCATGGTCTCCCTCCGACAGAGGCCCGCAGCCATCATGCTCACACAGGTGGGATACATGGCCGGCAGTATCCTCGGGCCAATCGTGGGCGGTTTCATTGGGGAGTATACTACCTGGCGATGGATTTTCTATCTCAACTTTCCTCTTTGTGGTCTTGTTCTTCCCGTTGTAGTGTTTGTCATGAAGGATAGAAACGACAAGGAGCGCTCTTTTGCAGACAAGATCCGACGGTTAGACTGGATTGGAGCCATTTTATTCCTGGCTAGTATCTGCTCGCTCTTGATTGGAGTTATGTGGGGAGGAGAACAATTTCCCTGGCGCAGCTGGCACACTCTGCTCCCGATAGCCTGCGGTGCTTTTGGGCTGATTGTCGCCCTGCTGTGGGAGGGATACGGGTCTTCTGCTCCTTTTATCGATCTCTCCTCGTTCAAGGTACCGTCTGCCAATGCCATCTATGCTGGTGGCTTTCTTCAGGGACTCCTGGTAGGTATGCCCAGCCCCCTGTTACTACAGACGACTGACAATACAGCTTTACTGTCAATTATACTATCTGCCCGTGTACTTTGAGGGCGTGAGAGGATACTCGTCGAGTCATACCGGCTTAGCCTATCTACCAGTCACTTGCACAATGATCATCGCCAGTTTAGCATCAGGAATCCTGATGCGAAAGATCCCCCGACTACGCTGGATGATCATCGCCGGCTGGACACTAGCCGCCCTTTCATCCGGTCTCCTGTTCCTCTTCAACGCCGCCTTCGAAACCTACAAATGGGTTCTGGTCTTCCTCGTCTCGGGCTTCGGCCACGGTATATTAGTGATAACACTCAATTATGCCATTCAAGTCGTAGCCGCGGGGCCTCGGATCGGTCTAGCCGTGTCGATGTACACTTTTCTCCGATCGTTGGGGATGTGCATAGGCGTTTCCACCACGAGTACCCTACTTCAGAACTCGCTGCGTTCTCACGGTTCGCAGACTGGAGTTGAAAGCTCGCTGATGCAAATGACGGATCTTGCTGCGCATCCGGATCTGCCGCCTGCTCTGCTGAATAGTTTTCAGTACATGTGCGCTGTTGTCACGGGGGTATCGGCATTGGGTCTCGTACTCTCGTTTGTCTTTGCAACACCAAAAATTGAACGGATTGGACAAGCTTGAAGCAAATAAAAAGAAACAACAAAGGCAAAAAAAACATACAACAGCAGGGATTCGCTGGTGGTCACCCACCCAACTACTAACCTGCCGGCGTGTGGCTTAAGTACGGCTGAGCGGACGGGAAGCCCTGTTCTCCACACCCTGTGGTCGTATGTACTAGACACAATAGAATGGGGAATTATATAGGGATGATTTAATAAAACGACTGCTTCGGCTAGGAATGTGTCTGGTTCGTCACAGTGGAGCGCGAAGTTATCATCTTGATATCCCGAGCCATAATAGAAGCGGGTTGTTTCCGCTTCTGCATGCGTATCACGTCATAATTATTAATCAGGAGTGGGCCATGGCGTTATCTGGGCAATTCGCCATTTTCTGGAGAGAATGCGAAGAGAAGAGATGCAGTAGTTACTTATAAAGGCATTCTCCCATCGAGCTGCATGGCAAACCAAGAAACAATCATGGCCCAACCTCACATTCCAACTATCCAGCTGAACGACGGCAGTTCGTTCCCAATTGCAAGTACCCCGCATTCCGGACCGTCAACCACAGCTAGGATTAATAGATAATATAGATCGGATATGGAACCGGAACAGCCTGGTTCAAGAGCGGCGACAGCACTGGACTCGATCACACCCTCGTCGAGGCAGCCAAAAGCGCCATAAAGCTGGGCTTCACCCACCTCGATGGGGCCGAGGTTTACGGGACAGAGCCAGAGTTGGGGCAGGCGATCCAGGAGAGCGGGGTTGCTCGCGACCAGCTGTTTGTGACTACCAAGGTTGGGCCTCAGTCTGTGCGCGATATCCCGTCGGCCATCGACGCGAGTTTGAAGAAGCTGAAGCTTGAATATGTGGATCTGTAAGTTCTCTTCACTTGACTATTGAATTCATCTACTATGAAACCAGACTAACATGTATACAGATTCCTGATTCACGCTCCCTTCTGGGCAAAAACAGACGAAGACCTCCAGCAAGCCTGGGCCGCCATGGAGCAGGTCAAAGCATCCGGAAAGGCCCGCTCAATCGGCGTGTCCAACTTCCTTCAAAGCCATCTCGAAGCCGTCCTTGCGACCGCAAAGGTCATCCCGTCCGTAAACCAGATCGAGTTCCACCCCCACCTCCAGCACGGCGGCCTGGTTTCTTTCCACGAGGCCAAGGGAATCAGGACCGTCGGCTACGGTGGACTTATCCCAATTACCCGTGCTGTCGGTGGTCCGTTGGACTCTATCTTGGCGAATCTGGCGAAGAAGTACGGGGTGGGCGAGTCGGAGATCTTGCTGCGCTGGTCGCTGGACTCAATTGGTGTGGCGGTTACTACGAGTAGTAAGGAGTCGCGCCTGGCTTCCTATCTGCGTGTGCTTGGGTTTAACTTGACCCGGGAGGAAATTGAAGAGATTGCCCGTGTGGGCCAGGAGAAGCATTATCGCGCTTTCTGGCTCAATCAGTTTGCGCCGGATGATCGGTCCTGATTTTTACCAGTACAGTGAGATTTTCTGATAAATGTGTGTAGAGTACCTGCATTTGATAGAATGATATAACAGTTACCACGAATGAAAGAATAGCGTCTGTCTATCTTCAACCCCTTCATCAACTCCCTTGCCTTTGACCACCTGCAAGACAAGCCAACACCTCAAAAACAAGGCTATCCAGACAATCAAAACAGAATATGGTTATCCCTAATGCCATTCAGAATGCCCTGAACCATCTCGCAATCATCCCCGATATGATACGGCCTCTTGCGCCATAGTGTCTGACATAGCAACCAACATAAAGAATCCCATAACTCCGATTCGCAAAAGCAGTTGTCCGATGGAAGCCGCAAAGCTTCAGTCTAAGCATCTCGCAGGCCCTAGACCACATTCCTTCGCTATGTTAAACCCGCACACTGTAGCAATGTGTCACTAGAAACAGCAGTCTCATGCTCTCCTGTCGCGGTGGGGTGTCCAACCAATGGACCGTTCGTAGCTCCAAGCATCGCCCCTGTGGGACTCATTCTCTGTGAAGTATCCATCGATGGAAGGGAATTGGTAGTAGATGATTCCTGTGTAGGCGCCATTCATCGATCTGGGAGGGAAATTGAGGGCTACGTTGAATTCGCGTCGGATTGCTCGGGAGGAGTAGTACTTTGCTGCTGGTGAGTTTGGTTTAGCAGGGAGGAGTGGATGCGGTTGACTCACGGTGTTGGTGTTTATATTGGAGTCGTCGTCATCTGGATCCATTATGGGTGAGGATTCAATCAGAATGGCAGATGGTTGAGGTTGGAGGAGGGAAATTGAGATCGAGATAAGAGAGGGTGGTTGGAAGAAAGGGAAAAATAAGATGGGGATGGAAGACGAAAGAGGCTGAGGCTATCAAAGACAGTCAACTTCCATTCACTGAGTCCAACCCACCACTCAGTCTGGGCGATGAGAAAAGTAGACAAGCCGATTTGTATGGCCAAGGAAAAAAGGGAGTTGGGTCTTGAGCATGGCGTCAATATAAAGGGATAATACTTCTGCCAATTTATAATCTTCATCTGTACTAGAGCTATATTGGTGCATATTATAGACAAGAACACTAATTAATTGTTTGTGGGTTGCATCGAAGCCATTCATAGTTATCAATGGTCAAAATATATGAGCATCATACACATCAACAAGCAGCCCGACAGTCTGATTGTCACTGTTAGTTTCATCAGGCTGGAGACTGAATTCGACTAATCATTTGACTGTCAATGCCAAATAGGTATGCGGGGGTTTCGTTTGCTTTTTGGTACTACCTATGCCTGACTCTGCAATTATATATCAATATGCAGAGTGCAGATCCACAGCGACACTGTCACTGATCACTTTGTTATAGAGGTTGACTGTTTCATTTGCAATCTATATATATTTTAATCACCTAAAGGAATAGACCATTTGTTTTACTGAGGCTCCAAGTTACACTTGCGTTATGGGAGCACTGAATTAATGTCCGCATCCCTCGGGATCGGCGCCATTTCTCAGTCTTGGGTTCGGGATGCTGACTGGACATATTGACCATCATCCCGTCCATATGTTCTTTTTGCATCTGTGTTAGGAATATTGATGGTCGATACCAAAATGGCTATACGCAAAATCTTCCTGGTCTGCATCGGTTATTTTCTCTTGGCCATATTCTATCGATCGATCAGTGAACGGACCAACAGTTGTCATCCCGGCCGCATCGGACCGCGTTTTAGCGTCGGTATATTTCCCCGATCGGACGCGAGTAGATGGGATGTTGAATCGGGGGAGAGAGAAGGGAGAAGTTCATGTCTTTTGAATTGAATTTCGAATACTATATACCTCTAGGAAGAACTCGAGATCCTGGACTAGCTGTCTAAATGAGAATATTCTGGAGCCCAAACGGCACTCATCGGCGTCGAGCATTGGGAACAGGAGAAATGTTACTGGAAAAGCCACATGGATTGAACGTTTAAGAGATATTTTTTGGAAAGAACTTCTCTGGGGATGAATCTGATCTGGTAGAGCAAAGGGAGAAAAGCAAATCCTTCTTGTGTGCCGTGCCTAGGGCCGTGAATGACTGCACCAATTTTACTATGCCCTACTTTGATATGTCTTCTGCCAATCAGCGCTCTGCAGATAGGATCCTGCCAGAGAATCCCGCCTTGGCCTGTTGATAATATTCCATTCACTGCTGGTGATAGAGCTCACGTGTGGCCTTCTCACTGGGTCTTTGTTTTTCCCCCTTCTCTTTCCCCTTCGTCTCTGCTTTTGCTCTCGTAAGTTTCTCTTCTCCTCGGCCCTTGTCAAGTCCTCATCAGACTTCCAGCGTTGACCCCCAAGATGCATCTCAACTTCTTGAAGGTCGTCCTTCTGGGTCTGATTCTGCCCTTTGCGGTAGGCCAGCAATTCCAGTACGCCACCGGAAAGTCAGATGGAAGCTGCGATGGCAAGATCCCAGTGATCAATGACTGGATCGAAGACGCTAGAGAGCTCTCCAATGCCTTCATGCATGCCATCGACAATGTCGGGACCAGCATTGTCGCCCAGAAGCTTTTCTCCTCCTGGTTTCGCCTCAAATTCGAGAAGAAAGGTGATGTGATGGAGCCTGGCGACTCGTCCAAGGACTCCTGGAACCGTCTGACGAGTAAGTCATGCCTCCTGTGGTTGACGGAGACTCATATAGACTGACCCCTCCTCGCTTCATAGCAATCGCGAACGAAGTCCACAAATTTCTCGTTCTCGACCAGCCATACAAAGGCATGCAGGGCGGGCCCAAAGTTTTCTGCGACGACAACTTTGTGCAAGAGCTCGACTGGGACAAGGTTGTGTTAGACGATAACGACCAACCCGTCATGTATCAAGGACACCCGTTGAAGCTGAGCGAGCAGTACGCGAACGTTGAGCGAGACCTCGAAGGCTATGTTCCCTGGTACGCATGGGGCAAGAAGGGATATTTCTTCGCTGCCGAAGAGAACGGAGGAGCTCTCTGTGATTCCACAACCCTGGGCGTGTCCATTGCGGGCTATCGCGCGAGGGAGGAATTCGATTACCCTATCCCCCCAAGCGACTTGATCTTCAACGATATCATCATCTTCTGTCCTGAGCTCTTCGACAATCGGATGAAACTCGTTCCCAAGCTTAAGGATATTTGGTACATTGACCCCTCTGAATACTGTGAGCCGGTGTCTATCAGCACTGTCCTCCCTTGGAGCGGCACGTTGTACCACGAGATGTTCCACACGGCAAGCGGCCATGTTAATATGGATCCATCCAATAAATTCAAAGATCCCCGAGGCTGGCACGTCACCGACTGGGAATATGGTATGTCTCCCGAAAAGTCCCTTGTTTTGGAACGTGTCCTATGAGCGTTTACTAACATGTCTCAGACCCTAGGATGGCCCAAGACCTCATCCGCGAAGATACCGTCGAAAATGCCGAAACCTACGTTCTTTTTGCCCTGTCCTACTGGTACTACCGCAAGAACTGGAACGACCCCAGCCTCAAGCCTGTCACGTTCTATGATAGCTTTGCTGGCTTCTGGGATGCTTAGGTGGGCTGCGAATCGAGTCATTACGGCAGAATATTTCCGTTGGTCTCCCTCATGAAGGGTTAGCATTTGGTTGGAAAAAATAATTCGAGTACGGTCCATTGTTGAATGTACTTGGTGGTATTTGGTTGTAAACTCCGTTCCTTGGGGTAATTCCTTGCTCTTAAAGCAGAAGCTAGAGTAAACCAGTACACTTTTATCCATCTCAAGACTCATCCAGTGTGCGTGCGCCATATAACATATCCAGAGACAAAAGCTTTGTTGCATACATAGTGATGACGTTGCCGTCTCTGTAGCCTAAATAAACTGTAGGACATAAGATGCCAATAGACTGAAAGAGATGCCAGATATTCCTAGTAGCCTAATGTAGCCAGTTCAAGGAAATGTCCAAGTCAGGATGCACGCACTTTAAAAATCAATCTTGTCTCCATACACATATCAACAGAACCAAGATGGCGCCCCATGCTGCGCTCCAACTCCCAGAACTTCTGGAGCAGATTCTCTTAAACACAGACATGCGCACACTCCTATTATCCCAGCGAGTCTGCCAATACTGGAAGAACGTAATAGCCGAATCCAAACGTCTCCAACGAGCTCTATTCTTCGAGCCAGCAACTATCAATCCGCACAATCACACGCAGCGCTGCATCTGAAATCCACTCCTCGAACAGCTCTTCTGGAACCCTAGGATCTGCCCTGAACCCTGGAGACATCACCGCGTTGCCTGTCAAGATAATATATATTACAAAAATGCCAGCTGGCGACGGATGCTCATTCAACAACCCCCAACCTCTACGATCGGGTGCGTCCTGGGCAGTGATAACAGGAGTTTCCCTGATGGCGATAGAGATAAGAAACTTCAACTGATGGATTTATATGACTCAAACCAGAAGCATCTTCGAATGGGCGATCTTTATAATCCACTCCGGGGGCAGGGGCTTGAATGCTCTTCTGAGAAATGGGTTTTCTTTAATCGAGATCCTGACTACCATGAATCGGTGCTCGGAATGTGGCACTATGGTGTGAGGCTGCAGAGAGCACTGGGGGAGTGTGATATTGTTCTCGCTGCGTCGTGGATTCCCCACGTTGGGGCGCCTCGAGTTCGGCGGAGAAATACAGATAGCCTTGACCAGTGGATGGACTGGCTTTTGGATGAGCATCCGGACTACAAACCGAGGATTTCGTGGGTGATGAATGGTAGGTAAATATGGAAATATGAATGGTGACTTTGCTTTGGAATCATTGACTACCATCCATATCTAATTAGATTAGACATTATATAGCTATGTACGTGAATATCGACTAACACCCCGTCACCGCAGCAACTATCCTCGACAAAGCTTCAGTCAGGTACGCATCTGGATGTGTGAACACAAGTCCAAACCAGCCTGGCGGTGCCCCGTCAGCTAGTTTCACTCTATGCCGTATTAGCCCGTCCTTAATTACTCCATGTAAGTCCCCTTCTTCTTGCCTTTCCGGATGGAGTTGTAGAAATCGCGTCTTGAGATCGAGCCAAAGAAAGACACCCGCGTTGCATCCGTCTTCGTATGGGATTCTATGATGGCGGAGGAAAAGAGTGACGTATTCAAATGCTGATGTCGTTCGTGAGGCTTTTAGTTGTAGATATCTGTCTATCGATGTGTAGTCTTCGAGGAGATTGGCTATTGGTGAGTAAGAGCCATGTCCTGTTGTCGTATGAATTCTGCGCGTAGACTGGGAAATGATTGCTTCCACTCCATCGTCCAGATGATCGCCGGGCGAAAACCCCCAAACAGCGTGGATGTAATTGGCATCCACAATGCCCTCCGTGTTGACAGATAGGATGGATATAAATGGCACCGAAGCAGTATCGTCGATTGTGTTCTTCCATACGGAATGCCAGTGCCGTTCATCACTGACCAGATGGAGGTCATATTCCCGACACAACTTCATGAGCTCGATGATAGCTGAGATGGGATAGCACCGTCCAAGTAACGGGTGGGGATTGCGAATTACAATCGCCCGGGCTTTCCGACCCGTGCAGTGTTCGAATATGGCCAAATCGCGGCGATATGAAGCCACCGCGGCCAGACTGAGGGGGTCAATCCCGTCGACTTCAACGGGGATAATCGATGCTGATGTTGGTAGACTGAGTGGCTGGAACTCGTGCAGAAGCATCAAGATGCCATCATCCCGATCCAAAAGGGCGCTGAGAATGCCATCAAGAGCAGAGTCTGTCTCGGTCAGGGCAACGTGCTGTGGTTGTATTGCTGTAACGGGTTTCCAGCGGCGGTTTATGAAACTTGCGATGCTTTTCTTCGGATTACGGCAGTCAATGGACGTGGGAAAAAGATGCTGATCTTGCATGAGGTGGTTCTGCGCAACATCCATCCAGCACCATTCATCCGGATGGACTTCTACATCTGGCGATGCATACAATGTAGTTGAGAATGTATCATACTGAGAGTAAGTTGTAGTGATGGCCATTGTATTGGTTTTGGCATTTGTCAGGATGCAGAATGCAAGGAGAAACTGACATCCATGGTGATGCAGAAAACTGCGACTTTATGGTGATGCCGGATTTGATAGATCTCATGAATGACGCAGCTTCAAGCCACAATTATATACGCCACATCCCTTGCATGGGCTGATCAGCGAATTCTATTTTTGCAGCATGATTCCCCAGTCTTGAGGGAAATTGACTGAAGATGCAATACTCACGATACAACCTTGAGGTTGATGGCTAAATGTGGAACAATTTTATTTGAAAAAAATATAGATCACCGCATACCATGAAAGCGGCATTTGCTGCCTATCCCATTGCAAAGAAAAACTCACCAGAGATATCTACGGATGAAAAATAGTTTATAACAAAATAGGCTTTAGAACAGACACTGCGAATGTCACATGTCTTGATTATCTCGTTTACATACTCATCGAGTCTACCGAAGCCCGATCGATCATTATCTGGCTTTGAGTGGTGCGATTCAAGCACCCACTCCATGAGGTGTTTGTCACACCGCAATATCGACACAATTCTATAGGATGAAGTTTGATTACTCTGGATATAATGGAGGCTTTTCCAAGATCGACAGCAGCTAGATCGGTGAAACGGCATGCCGAATAGGCAGATGTTTCAGATGCGGTATGTCGATTTTTACTCATGTTAATTTTCCCTAGTGCTTGAATGAAGGATAGATGATGATTATCTTGATTTTAGGGAGTGTCGGTCCGGAGATAGTGCATTTCATATGAAATATGCATCGAAGACTGGAATGACTGAGGTGGAAATAAAGTTCCGTCCAGATCTCCATGCATCGCAGCCTGCATAAAAGACGCTAATTTCGGCGTCGTTTCGATTACAGCGATTGATGGGTCCTCCTATGAATCTAGACATATACATAAGAAGGCCATTCCCCGCGGTATCCCTGATTTCAACCTTCAACTTTCTTAACTCCATCTCAAGCCAGACATCACAAAGCCCAATCATCATGACCGTCACAGAAATCCTATACTTTCTCGATCTGGGTTCGTATTCATACAGCTGAAGATTGCCCCTCGAACGAGAAAGCTGTATTGGAGTGACCGTGAACGAATGAAAATGGTGCGAGCGAATATCGATGGCAGCGATGTTAAGATACTCTGTCGCGCTGGTAATCCAGACCAAGGGAATGACTGTTGCAGGTGGTGTGTGGGAATTGCAGTGGATGAAGAGAGGGACAAGCTCTATTGGTCTCCGAAAGGTCCTTCTAAAGGGGACAGTATACTGGACAGATCGAGGATCCCCACCAACTGGTAATTCAGTCAATGCAATCAACCTCGATGCGCTGCTCAGCCCAATATGAAACCGACTATCCTGGTGCGCGATTTGAATGATGGTATTGGGATATCGCTCGATGTGACCAAGGATCGCATGTTCTTTGGGAATATTTCTGGCTGCGCTTATATTGCTCGACTGGATGGGGGATAGAACGGGGATTACTTTTGTCAGGAATGAACATGTGTCTATACTCGATATCTTCATGATACTATATCTTGTTTGTCCGAAGTTAGCTAAACCTCATGCAGAATCCTCATGAAAGCCCCTCTACACGTGATCGCGTCTCCTTTCAAAGATGATTATCTCCAATCAATGCCAAAAATTCAACGCTCGGAAACCCTCAAAAATCCTGGCTGTGCCGAAATGAAGATTCTAATCTGCGAAATCCACGCTGATTGGCGCAGATGGTCAATCCTTACTTGGTTGGGGTTGGAGTTGGAGCCTTGTCGAACACGAGGCTGTTTGTGTCCCGCGATTTAAGCAGTCGTTCGTCGACGGAAATCGCTCCTTCTTCCATGATGGAGATATCCACGTCATGACTGCTCCCTGGCTGGATGCTGTCTTTTCTGTGCCAGTGCGAATGGCACTGGTGCTCGTGGTTGCCGTAGCCTTTGCTGCCGGCCACCACGCCTTCTACCAGAGCTTGAACGGGCAGACTGTCAGCGATTCGCAGTCTGCCGTAACTCGCAAACTGCCTCTGAGGGTCTCAGACCAACAGTTCAATGTCTCCGTCGGAACATTCTTTGCCTTTCTAGTCAAGGCATTGTTATCTGTTGCTGTTTCAGATGTCTTTAACCAATTTGCGTGGCGGAAATTGATGCGAGGCCCTCCCACGAGAATCGCCGTCATCGACAACCTCTTCGACACGCTCCAGAATGGCTTCGTGCTGATCAATTTCGGCCTCTGGAGGAAGCATCCATCCAGCATGGCCCTGGCGACGGTCTTTTGGCTTCTGCCCATATCCTCGATGATCACACCGGCTACTTTGAACGTGAAAATGGCACCATCCTACAACTCCACAACGGCTCGTGTGCCTCAGATCGACTTTTCGAGTTCGAATTTTGTCACGATGACTCCATTCCTCCTGGCAGGCCTCGATCTCAAGATCCAGGACGATCAATATGTCGCGGCTACACCCGAAGTTCAACGTCTCGTCACCAGCACGGCCATGGAGGGCGCCATTCTCCCCATCCAGCCGCCATCGCCCAATTCAGCGTGGAAGTTGCAGTTCCATGGCCCTGCCCTTCGTTGCGACCCAGTCAATCAGACTCTATCCACTGCCATCGTGCACGACGTGGAGAGAAACATCAAGAACTCCACGTCCGGCGATCCAGGCCTCGTGACGGGCATGGCATACGGGTTCATCTCGTGGGTGCCGCACGACAACTCTACCAATGGCTCAACACCATTCTATCAGCTGCCCTCGACCGGCGATCCCATATCGAGCTCTACCCCTCGCAACGACTATCTCGGCCCTCTCCAAGAGTTCCGCAGTTTCCAAGTAGGTGACGCCGAGTTTGGCGCCGGCTGGTCCCCTCTGTCTGTCTTTCTCGCGACATTCCCGCACATGCTGGAGGAGGACTCTGGGGATCTAGGCGATATGTGGCGAACTGCGCGTGACCCAACCATTACCCAATGCAGCTTGTTCAATACTTCCTACACGGTTGAATTCAACTATACCAACGGCGAGCAGACGGTGAACATCTCAGACTACCAGTACTTGAACTCTGTGTCGCACATCCACGACGTACAGTCTAATCAAGAACATTTGCCGGACCTCCAGAGCGCAACCGGGGCAGCGGCATCGATTTATCAGACCGCGCTGGAAATGTTCGCCTACCAGGCTGTTATGGAGCAGTTCTGCCGTCTCATGGTTGGTTGGATTAGCGAAGCACCGTCAATCGAGAATTATACCGTCAAGGGGGATCCCAAGCATCAATGGAATGGGTATTCCCTTGACATCAAGAATACGAGCATCATGTCCACTGCTCTATCGAATGCTGCCGAATTAGGCACCATCAAAACTGCCATGAGCAAGGTCGGAGCCGCGGATGGGTTCCAGAATATGTGGAATGAACATTCAGTCACCCATGCCAACCAGAAGGTAACGGGCTCACTTGCAACCGCCGTGGAGGAAATGTTTCGGAACATCACCATCTCATTGATGAACTCCGACTTGCTCCAGTATGTTTCCCATCCTCTATTCGTTTCTCATGCTAACGACCATAGACCCAACTATACAATGCCATCGGCACCACCCAACGTCAACGTCACCCTCGAATCCCACCGCAATATCTACACCTACTCCGTCTCAATTCTCTGGACATCATACGGCATCGCCATCGCCGTGACCCTCGTCAGCGTCGTCTTTGGTGTAATCGCCCACTTCTCAAACAACGGCTCTTACACGACGAGCCTCTCTACCTTTTTACGAACCACACAAGCCGCAACCATATCTACTCAATTTCGCCCCGAAGACTGTAGCGGAAAATATCCCCGTCCGGGCTATATCGGTAATGCCACCATTGCGTTCGGGGAGATGCCTCCGGAGCAAATCGCAATGGTAGACGGGGCAAAGGGGACTGCTTCGTCCCCGCTCATCGAGGAAATGCCACGTCGTTCGGGCGAAGTGTCCCCTGTTTCGAGTCGGCCTTCTAGTCGAATGGGGTCGAGGCCGGTTAGTGGATTCATTTTCAGATCTTCGATTGATGGACATAGATAGATGGCTTTTTTCATTTCTGAGATACCATATAGACTTATAGACTTATAGAATACCATGACACCATAAGATGGACAGAAAAGCTCAAAATATTATTTGGCTAATGATTACATGCAAATCTACCATCGCAAGATAAGAAAGAAATACCAAGCCAGCACAACCATGGCCACATATTTGACATCGTCCGTAAACGCGCGCGCAATCCTATGTGTGACTGACAGAGACTCTCCCGTCCTGCTCCTTGAGCTCTTCCATTTCGAGGTATCGAGATTATCGTCCTCGAGATAGGGTTCGTAGTATCCCTTCGCGGGCGGGGAACGAGAAGGGCCGTTACTGCCGCGGCTAGCAAGCCCGTCTGGTGATCTGTGCTTCGAGCTGGACGTACTCGATGTTGTGGGGTGGGAGGTCATGGGGTATTCAGAACGGTTTTCAGAGAGAGGGAGGATAGGGCTGGTGGTGGTTTGTTCGGGGAAGTAGATGGTGATGACTATCGAGTGCATGAAGAGGGCGACTAGGGAGAGGCCCAGGATGAGGCCGTAATAGATGAAAATAGATAGTTGGTCGGGGAGGAGGCATAGGTGATTCTGGACGGTATCCCCGAAACCGGTCTGTTGGAGAGACTGCCCAGTGGTAGGGTCAATTGGATTCCACAGGCTTGTCAGGACGAAGCCCGGACGTCGGACACCCATGGCCCAGGACAGACTCTTGACTGTGATTTCCTTTGGGGAGCCGTTGAATTCACGGTGAGAGATTTCGCAATAATCATGGTCATCTCCGGAGTATATATGAACGAGGTTTGGTCCGGCTTTCGTAACCAGGTCATTCGAGATGGCTTGCGTGAGCACATTCTGGTACTGGTATCCGCCACTGATTTTAAGAGCATTCGGCTCATCCTGCTCCAATTCTTCATCTGCTGACGACGGGGGATAGTGCTCTCGGTAAGGTCCACACGGCGTAGCTGCCTTGCGATACAATGGCACATGCGACAGAAGAATCGTAGGAAACCCGATAATCTGAGGCTCGGGTTTGTAGTACAGTGAAGGCTCGTGGATATCGGCAACCCTGTGTTGGAATAGAAAATGGCCTTGACTCTGATTCTGTAGCATTCGCAGTGCCTCCATCTCTGATTTACCGCGGTGCTCTTTCATCGTATTCAAGAAGTTCTCTGCGTCCTTCCAAATCTGCTCATTCGGCCGTTGTCCATCCCCAGACCCAGCACCAGTACTACCAGTCTTCGGATCCGGCTGATCCATCGCACTCAATGACACCGTGTCAACGGACACGAACGAATGATTCCCAATAACATCCACCCGATTCCCATCTCCAAAGAACGACTGAAATCGATCCCGAACCGGTATTTGAATACCCGATCCGAATCCCAAATCATGGTTCCCGGGCAAGCTAGCAATCATCCGTCGGCCGCGGGGTTCGACAGAGTGCGAGTCTCCCTCATTCCACTGGTTCGAGAATATCTTGGCAAAACGGTGAAACTCTTTCTTCCAGAATGAATCTTGGTACTTCTTATACTGGTCCTCAGGACTCGACGTTGTCCTTGTTGCCCACTCTCTGCCTCCGTCGAAGAGGTCGCCCAGAAATAACACCGAGTCTGGGGCAAGGTTTTGTTGGATTTTAGAAAACGATCGTCGCATGTACTGGTCTGTATATTTGACGGTGAGGGAGGAAAGAGGCCACGGTCGACCGGGGTAGGTGTGGGGATCGACGAGTTGGGGGTCGGCGATGAAGGCGACATGATGCGGCGTGGCTCCTTGAGGCTAAGAATCCATAATCAGCATACCCTTCCAGATAAACAGTAAAATAACCCAAAAAGGAAGAGGAAAACTCACCCACTTCTCCCAACTCTCCCAAAGACAAGTCTCGAAGCTATCCTGAAACACAGTCCGTTCTCCCCACCACAAGGTAAAAACCCACAACAGAATCAACCCATTGGCGACAGTAAACATTCTTCTGGAAGAATTCCTAGCAAACGATCGCACATCATTCCTGCTTATTTCACCCAGCTGACGGTATCGGTGAATCTGAAGCCATTGTCCGACCCATGGCGGTAGCGCCTCCCGTACCCGCTCTGATAGACTTGGATGTTCGGCGAAGGGATCTCGGTGTGAGGGGCGGAAAGGAACAGCTCCTTGGTTATGGGAATATGCGTAACTCATGGCTCTGTTTTGGAGTTGGAGAGGATATGGAGTAATGGAACTGCTGTTGGCTACTTCATCGCTTGCCGCCGGGATAAGGGAAGGTGGAGACGATCAACACGAAGGCAAGTGAGAGGTCATGCTCTCACGGGGTGTGAAAGGTTTAAACGAGCGACTTGAACAAAGAAGATGGGCTTTAACGAGGTCAGGTCATAATTGTCAATGGCACAATTGATGGCATTGCCGAAGTTGTCCTCAAGGGTTGTTTTGGATCTCCGCGAAATGCGCCGATCATAGGTCACGTGTCCAGTCGCCTCCTTATCGTGATGCGCCAAAAATATCATCTTAATTTCCGAGGCACAACTCAGCAATCTACTTAATCCGAGTCATGCAAAACTACGGCAGGAAACCTCGAAGCAAGTCTGAATTAGGAATAGATAGGAATACATGACCAGTCAAACACGTCAAAGAACGCAGTTGAAGCCCGTCAACTGAAGAGTCAAATCGCATATTGCGCCATAGTCATCAAGCTGCCTTTTGCGGCAAAACCTCTTTCTATATTCTGCATCGCCGGAACCAGTGCCAATGCAGCAGAAACAACCGTGGTATACAAACAGCGGGTATGAGAGAATCAAGACGGATAATGAAATGCTTTTAAGGTCGATAATGATGGTGGAATACATGATTAGAAAGTGAGAAAAGGATAAGGCAATTAGGTGGATCGCTCTAAGGGGATTTGGTAGGGCAACATTGCCCACCTCGCGCGCATTCTTCGCCGCACTCTAGGAGGCATGCTCGAGGGTCATCTTCACGAACGCTGGCGGCACGACTAGGCAATTTGCTAGAGGCAGCAGTGGCATCGTTGCCTCCCTGGGAAGACGAGGGACCGGTTTGGTTGTCTTCCACATCGCTTTCGGGTGCAAACTCGGGCTGGATGGTTGAGGAGTGGATGCCATAAGCATGCAGACATCTCCTTACTTGCTTGGCGAGACGCATGTATCTGTCAGACCCCTCGCCTTTAATGTCGGTGTCAACCTGGATGTGGATCGAGGCCACGATCTTGGTGTCACTCAGCTGCCAGACATGCAGGTGATGAGATCCAATAACACCGGGAAGTGTTTCAATATCTTCCTTGATGTGATCAACGCTCATGCCCTGGGGCGCGGCCTGCAAGAGAATACGCGACGCAGCCTTGCACAGAGGAATGGCAGAGCAAAGAATAATAATGGTGATCAAAAAGGAGATACCGGGGTCGACATAGAATCTCCAGTCGTAATCTGTCAACCAGATGACCAATGCGGAAACGATAACCCCAACATTACCGAGGGCATCTCCCATTACATGAAGGAAGACACCACGCATGTTGAGATCATGGTTATGACCGCCATGGCTCTTGGGCTTCGGCTGAGCGTGGTTGTGAGACTTGTGAATGTCATCGTCAGGCGATGTAGCTGGCAGACGGGTTGGTGTGCTGTCGTCATCAGTGTAGTTGGATGCTCGGTCCTTGTGTCGTAAGAGTCCAGAGCGTTCCGATGGCTCGAAGTCCCCTCCATCCTGCTGGTCACTTTCCGATTCTGAAGTTGGTTCACTAGTGTATTGGTTGCGAGAACCAGCGGCGATAATCTCCTGTCTCATTGTAGCCGGGTGACCACCAATCTCACCTACGTCATATCCGCGCCCAGTAGATGTGCTATAGCGACGGACCCGTCTGCGAGAATAAGGCGAAACTGGTTCATCAGTGTAGGTGTCGTCATGCTTCGCCGATCCATCGGAGCGACTCTTTCGAAGGAGGTTTTCGGGCATGGCATTGGCGACAGTGCTGTGACGGTCTGCCTCGGTTGCGTGGGTATGTCCGTGACCTTGTTCCACATCCTCAATCTCTCCTTGCTCGTGTCCATGGCTATGACCGTGACCATGCGAGTGGTCGTGGAACAGCACCAGACCCAGGATATTCGACAACAAACCAAAGCAACCAACGATGCAGACCAATTTCGGGTTCTGCACTTCTTGCGGCTCCACAAATCTCTGTATCGCTTCGAGGAAGATCGTCATGCAAAGGGCGACAAGGAAGACACCGTTGACCAGCGCACCGAGGGTTTCTGCACGTTGCCACTGTTCAAAACAACCGAGGTCAGCAAAGCTCCGTTATCCCATAAGACAAGGCTGAACTCACGCCAAAGGTGTACATCTTGGAGCTCGTCTCGCGGTTTGCGACCTGCACCGCCCATAATCCCACACACAGAGATAACACATCATTCAACTATTTCCGAGTCAGAATTGTAAAGCGAAGTATCGAGCGCAAACCGTACCATATGAAACGAGTCCGCGACGAGAGCAAGCGAGTGAACGGCATAACCTATTCAGCGGTCAGATCAGCGCACTTCTGTGCATCCAGCAAGCAGATACATACCGACTGTCAGTTCCAGCAGGAAGAATGCAGTATCGATAACAAGGAGGATGATGATCCTCTGCGTCTTGGAGAGACCCATGTTCAAGGTGCCCTTGCGGCGCGCTCAATGGCGCGAGACTCCGCGAAAAGAACGACTGGCGATAATCTGAGCTGCCGGGGAAGAAACGCAGCGCACAAGTAGAGATGCAGCAGTAAATTGAACGCAGAATTGAGATGGGCGAGGATGGAGGAAGGAAGGAAGAAAGGCGAGGGGAGATAAATGGGATGGTGGGGGGCAAGCAGGGAGAAGGCAGAGTCGAAGGAACGCTTTGGGTGGAGCCGGAAAGAGGCGCGGAACAACGTCCGGTTGGGTCCGACAGTGGCGTTACTCGGATACCAGCAGGGTGCAGGTATATTAGTCTACTGGGTAGTACGTTGTGTATAACTACATTATATCATTTTGTGTCTACTGTCTATTATATGCCCTGTGCTGTATTCATGCTGTGCTCAGTGCTTGGTGTTGAGCTTTGTTTTGCTCTCGGACACCGTTAAGCTATGCGACGATCAAGGTCCCCACCCACAGGGCAAAAACAGGAAAATCTCCTTGCTGCTTCGAGATTTTCACCTCAAAGAGACTACGAAAGCTACTAACACCGAACTAATCTATTATTGTTGCTGCTGCCTCTGCTAACATGACTGGTCGACTCGCTGTAAAAATTTTCCCTGCTAGATCGTAAGCTAAGGGCAAAATGTGCTCGCTTCGAGATTCAAACCATTGCATGCAACTATACTAGCTGGATGGAGCTATGGTGGGGTTGGGAGGGTATTAATATTTGCCTGTAGGAATCCATGGCATGGGATAGGATGGCAAGAGATTAATTCAGTCAGATGGAGAATCAGTCATCGCTTATATATTTCGGTGGTAGATGGTGATATCGTAGCATTCCTGAGAGCTGTGTAGATATATATTTTCACGGCGAGTCCAAGAACCACCAAGATAAACCACAAAGTGATCAACAGTAATATTTGAAAGGGACAAATACGAATTTACCTTTGATCAATAAGACATCTTCCAAATATTGACATTATTGCCACGAAAAGCTGTTTCGTATAACCATAGCATAAAAGATGACTATTCACCCCCAGCCAAGCGAGCTGATTTCAACCCAGCAACAAGACCCGGTATCAGTGCCCAGCCCAAGGGGAAGAATGGCAGTGATGCAGCCAGCTCGAGCGCAGTAGAAGGGTCAAATTTCTCCCACTGCTCCTTCGCAAGTTTATCCGTCAAGACCTGCGAATCTAGAGCAGAATCACCCTGGGGAGCAGCTGGATCATCGTCCTTCTTTCCCGCCGTGGCTGCAGGTGTCTGTGAAGTGGGTGGAAGACCAACACCCTGCTTCCATTTGAAGAAGTTGTCTTTATCCCAGATTTGCTTGACACGCTGCAGGTCGTGACGATTGTTGCCGTAGTAGACGCTTTCGTGTTGACCTGGCGGGAGGTCGCCATCCGGGAAGTTGATGAATGCGGCACCCTTCTCGATGGAGAATGGCTTGAGTTCCTCCTTGAGCCTTTGGCAGAATCCGCGCATATCCAACTCCAGCCACTTGTCGGTCCACTCCATCTGGATGTAGGCGTGGTAGACGGCTTCTCGCCAGGGGAAGGCCGTGGCATTGGACGCTGGCCCCGTTGCTTTGCCGCCAGCATGGATGAATGTCACTTGGAGGGTACCTTCTTCTCCGACAAACTTCTGCCGGAAAGCGGCCATCTCTTTGCGGAGAGTTTCGGTGATCCTGACGAAGATGTTGTTACCCTCATCATCCCGCTGATCGGCCTTGAAACAGAGCGAGGTGAAGATGCGGTAGGATGCATTGGAGGGAAGGGCCTTTTGCGTTTCCTCGGACCACTGAGAGACGAGGTTCTCATGCAGGAAGCGCGTAGACTTGTCCTGCCAGCATCGCCGCGTGAGCTTCTTTGACAGGTGGTGTTTTTCGCCGATATGCTCGTTGATAATTTGGTCAAAGTCCTCCTTGATGCCATTGAAGTAGACGGGGAATCGAACTTCAAGCTCGCCATCCTTGTAGCCAAGCCTGCAGATCCAGGTGCTGTCGATGGTCATGCTGTTCGGCCAGGGTGTGATATAGAATTTCTTCATAGTTTCCATAAACTCCGTCATATCCTTCTCAGACGGCTTCGGAGACCATGTGTATCTTCCGGAGATGACGCCCGTCCCGTCATCGGACGGCTTCTCGATCTCGCGGAGTCGGTAGATAGACAACTTCACCTCAACGACAACACCAAAGTTGCCACCTCCAGCACCGCGGAGTGCCCAGAACAGCTTGCCTTCGTTTGTCGTGGCATCGTCGTTCTCACCAACCGTGATGAGACGTCCATCAGCAAGAACAATAGTCGCCTCCTTCAACCCATCGCACCCCATTCCAAAGGTTCGCGTAAACGGGCTGAGACCGCCACCCAAGATAAAACCGCTCACGCCCACACTGGGGCATCGTCCACCGTTAATAACATATCCATCCATGTGGTTGTTGACCAACTGCCTGTACGCATGAGCCCAGACAGCGCCGCCCTCGATAGTGGCAGTCATTGACTCCTTGTCAATCTCAACATGGTTCATCTTGACGAGATCCAACGAGATGCTGCCTCGATCCGAGGTAGAGAATCCCGCGTATGAGTGACCGCCATTCTTGACCACGATTGAAATGCCCTGGCTTTTGGCTTCGTTGACCTTTTTGACTTCTTGGACGATTTTCTGGATCTGCCAGGCAGAGTCGGGCTGAACAACGCAGTCAGGTCTGGCATAGCGAAAGAGGAGGTTTGCGTTGGCCACGGAGCGTTCGTACTCGAGCTCTCCGGCTGTGTAGACGGCAATGCGTCGAGACTTGAGGTTGCGGATGAGCTCGTCCATGGCTTTGAGAAATTGGCTATCTGAGCTCTGTTGATGGAAGAATGATACAGATAATCCAAACCAGAGGACGAAGGGTGGGGTTTATGCCCAAAGACACGCACTTTCTGTTCCAGCAGTGCGTCATCGTAGCAGTGAGGCCGGAGTTGCCTGAGAGGGGTTCGCAGTACAGCTCATCACTTCCATGTTGATCATCTGCAAAACTATCAAAGCGAGCTGAAAGACGGACCGTTGGATGGCATGCTGTTGGTCGAACCCCGCTTTGAATAGGTAAGATGGACTATGACCAAGGGGATGTCAGCAACCATCTTTCAACTCATGTTAGATAGTCCTACACCCACAGCTATCGTTGAAAGTGTTGGACCTCTCAGAGCATCTTTTCCATCTGCACTGTCAAATAGTATACCCCAGAATGCCGGAGATATGTCCTCGAGCCACGTCAATTGTCAATCCATGCAGCCTCACATTTGAGGTTATCATCTGCTTGGTTGAGACTGTCTCTGATCCCAGCCTGGTGGAGACGACAGTTGGCTAAGCAGGTGAGGCATTTATGATGCGAATAACAAATATCTGTGATACGAGATGCATGAAGATGTTGTTCTGTTCTCGCTGTTTATGGTCAGCCGCAGAGATGCTGAGGGGAGCTGAAGACGGATATGGATATCCCCGCTGCGGGTGATTCCCGGCGGGGCATGACAGTTGGGTTGACTATGCCCAACATTGTATTGACAGTAAGTGGATATTGATATTGGCAAATAATGAAGATTCAGATGATGTTCTAATATATTCACTCCCATCAAGAGAGAGTATATCATTTAATAATAGCCATCTTGAAAATATTGCTATGCTAGATTGCTGACGCTTCGGAAGTATACGGGATGGACCATGGCAATGTCATAGCAATCCAGGTATCCTTTGACTATGGATTGTTCTTGTACGTAATGGACGTGGTCAATGTTATGAGTAACTGAAATGGTCAGCACAGATTAATAGGATGTTAGATAGAACGGTACATACCCATTGGTCAAGAAGCTTCTCATCCTTCTTCAGATTCTCCAAAGCCTCGTCCAAAGGGTATGTCAATGTTGGATACGTGTCCACCAGGCTAGAGTATATTGATATCTTACCCGCTGTAAGATGAAGGAGTCTTTCTTTTTAAGAAGGTCGTCAAATTGAAAGTCGTCCATGAATCTAACTGCTTCTGGAGCATTTCCGATCTGACTAAGGTCGAACATGACAGCTACAAGAGCCCTTAGCTAAACATCAACAGAGCCTTGCGGATGGAACATACCCTTATCCTCGTACCATTTCTCAGAGAGCTTTTCAGTACACGCGACGACGGCATCTCGGAAAGTGCCAGTGTTTTCGCCCTCAGAATATCGGTGATGGTCATGATATGGATCTCCGGGTGGAAAGAAGTCATCGAGGCCGCTTTCTTGGATGATGTTGTTGATGTTGCGCTTGAACTCTTCCTTGGTTTTGGGGGTCTTCATAGTTCTATTACAAATGCAATTAGCATTTTGAGGCAAGAGAGGACGTATCTTACTTACCGTTCCAGGCGGAGGTGCAGAGCCACCGGTGCTCGTACCAGTGAGATTATACAGAGTTCTGATCGTGTTACCCAGAATATCCTTGATACCCTTCCAGTCTCAGAGGATGTCAGCGCAAACAACACAGAGTTGACAAGCACTTGAACCAGTTCCGTCTTCCATCCACCCTGCTGATCCACAGACAAAAGCAGCCAATCATGGATGGACGGATTGAATATGATCAATTTCCCGGACTGGTTGCAGACATCGTCTAGTCTGAAAGTGGGTGTTGATGTTCAGGCTGACTCGTATGCGGTGTTTCTGAATGATAATTTCATCCAATCTGTGCTGAAGAAGTATGGAAATAAGAGTATCACGCATGTTCAGTACGAGGCATCGAAGGAGCCGTTTGCGCTGACGAGGGAGTTGCAAGTGACGCCAAATGTGATGTAGCATTTCATTGTTACATGATAGCCATAAATGAATACTTTCTTCTTGATCATAATTTTGTAGCTCACTCCACTATGCTACTCTATAAATCTCCACCAAGTCTATCCTCCCATTGACTTCTCAACGTGAATAACCTCACCAAACCCCTCTGAATACCTCTCCATCCCCTCCTTATCCGGCCTGGGCAACGGCCTTCTCGCAAACCCCCCATACTGAAAATACACCTGCAACGCAGCCTTAATCCCCACAACTCCCTTGGTAACAGCAGCATGATCCGCCGTTGAAACAACACCCTGCGACTCCTTCGCCTCATCAACCTTCCCGAGATGAAACAACTCCACCAGCTTCACACACGTCTTTGGCGCCACATTCGCCAGCCCGGCAATCACACCCGATCCGCCCCGTTCCAGCGCTTGTACAGTGGCGTCTGCGGAGCCAGCGAGGCATAAGAACTCCAAGCCACGGTCGGATGGAACGGCGGGGTGGACTTCCGCTGCGATGCGGGCGAGTTTCTCCATGTCGTTGCAGGTGAGTTTGCAGCCGGTGATGTTGGGGTGTTTGGATAGGCGGATGATGGCCTCCGCGTCGAGGTCTATGCCCGTTACGTCGGGGTAGTTGTAGATGAGGATCGGGATGGGAGAGGCGCTGGCGACGTCGGTGAAGAATCCTGCGATAGACTCCGGCGTGTACTGCCCTTTGTACGTAGACGGGGGAAGAATGAGTGCATAGTCCCCTCCGGATGATTTCGCGTCGTGGCAAAGCTCGATCGTCTCGCTGGTTGATTGAGCACCACAACCCACGATTATCGGGAGCTGAACGTATCCTGCTGCTCCGATGGCATGGCGAGTGAGACGAGTCACTTTCGAACGTTCTGCACGCGAGAGATGGACTGCTTCGCCGTACGTGCCCTGGGTGATGATGCCTACGACGCCAGCTTTGGCCATTCGCACTGCATGCTGCGTGATGGTTGAGTCGTCCAGTTCTTCGGTATCTTTGAAGAATGTCACGGTCGGCACATACAGGCCGGGTTTGAGGATTCGTCGTATGGTTTCTTCTGATACACCGACTTTGGTGCTGGCATAGTTTTCGTTACGATGAGGGCGGGAGAAGATGGTCTGGGAAGGCGCAGATGAGGTGGACAGTAGCTCTCCCTCGCCATCCTCGTCGGTTCCCTCCATGATGCTGACGTGGGAAGTCATGGGAGACTAAATTGTTTATCCAAGTGGAATCAGTAGAAGCAATGTTATTTGAACGACTGCTCCGTAGGAGAGATATGGATACACAACTACGTCAGTTCGATACAGGAATGACGCAACTATAGGCAGACCAGAAGTGAATTTATATATATAAAACCAAATGTATCTATAGACCAGATGCCCAGATGATCATGTCTATTCAGCCCCAATATTCGGATCCTTCAACCTGTTCCAGCCAAGAATTCCTTGGTAATCAAGTGCTGCAATATGCGACCCGAGAGAGAGAGTAGAGGTATACGATAAACATACCATGGTAGCCGGTGCCCGGTGCCTTCAAGGACACGTCCATCGAAAACGCCCCGGAGTCGCATCTGCTTTGGAAAGTATCCTTTTGCAATTTTGTGGCTAGAGGCTGTTGCGCGTCATAAACAGAGGTCGTCCAACATCTGGCCTGGATTCCCATGGCGGGGAGTCAGTCCTTTTCGGAGAAGTTTCTCCGGGAGCCCTTTATCCTCGCTGGGGAGATTGATTCAGGAACAGGGAGAAGTCTCTCTGGCCTCTGCTACGGGTTGTGGCTGTAGGCTGTAGTAGTGTTAAAATTTCAGGAAGTAGGAGATCCATGACCCAACGTTCGTTCCCATAGAGTATACTTTGAGGCTCTCGGCCGCTGGTTGCCAAGTCCCGCTTGAGATGGGCGTATGCATAAGGCATGGTAGGCAGCTGGGATAAAACGCGAATCGTTAAGGCAACCGAATAGATGTCCTTCTGGTGTGTATTGAAGGGAAGGATGTCGGGAGCGTACTCCTTGAATATCAGTTAGCAAGATGAGAAAGCTCGTCAAAGCAAACACACCAAATCCCATGAGACAGAGAAAGGTCATAGAGGGAACGGTGGACGAAGGTCAACGAAGGATAGTTGAGCAGGTCGAATGCCCTGGTTTCAATTAGAAAGACAGCAAGTACATGGGAAGGAAACATACCATGACCGCCGGTGTCTGGCATCTTGAAAGATGAATCTTTGGAGAAATTCCACAGATATGTACGAATGATGACTGTCGTCGACAATGCTTTCGAAGTGATGGAAGTGAGCGAGTGTTGGGGGTTCTAGGATGGATTGCAGCGAGAGTGTACTGAGACAAGTCGAGCTGTAGAGAAGGCGCGAATAGAGCAACCCGCCGTGGAAGTTACAAATGCATCGACAGTGACATCAGCCCGATGATAGGATCAATAGCCCTTCAGTATTATAGATATCTTTAATGATGAGTATTAGCCAGTATAGTGGGAGTTTGTATCCTCTATATCCGATATACAATGGTCATTCGTGCTGGATAATATGATATTACGTCCGACTTTTGTGTACGCTTGGAGCTATTCGAGATATGAGATGTAGGAATGCTCTACGGTTACTCGAATGGGCTGTATTCTTCACTCGTTACAAATTATCTTATCGTAGACAGCTATTTGGCTGTGTAGCATACGACATGAAAGTTAATGCCGACTTCATTATACCAGTGGCGTCTATTACAGAGAGAAAGATTGTTTGAATCATGATGAGGACTTTTATTTGCCAGATATCCAAATGCGCAGAGGCCCATGTTTATTAGGATTAATATGTGATTATCCGCAGACATTCATGGAAATACAAATTTCTACTACATGAAGGAAGAAAAAAAAAAAAAAAGTCCCAATTGTAAACACACACACACACACACACAGGGGGAGATAGAGACAGAGAGGAGGAAGACAAAGGTATTCAAAAGTACCTCGTCGTGTAGAAATAAAAATAGGGCAAGTCGCCCCTCTGACGAGGCTCATCAGAGCCGTAAACTTGGGTGCCACAGTCCTTGCACGGGAAATTATGGAGTTTGTTTAAACTATGGCCGGGATTAGATTGAATGTCCAGCATGTTTGTCAGCTGTGACTGGACAGTTCGATGGGGGCAGCAGGAGACTGAGATATCAGATGCGCCCCCAGTAATCGTGTAGAAAGTTGAGAGTCGGAATTTATCGTTGAAGATCTCGGCGATCTGTCTTATTTCGATGCGCTCGCTGCCATATTCGTGGACACAGTGATGCTGCAGGCTCATGAAGTAAGAGGTCCATGACCCGACCCCAGATCCCATCGGAGGAAGCCCTTTGCGGAGAAGTTTCTCCAGGTGTGCCTTGTCGTCGTCTGTCAAGTCGAGGCATGGGCAGAGAGGAGTAGAGACGGCCTTTTCCAGGCACGAAGAGGGCCCTTTTTTCGAAGCGAATATGTTGTTGATATAGTTGTTCTGGCGCAGTTTGCACCACGCGGCGCGACAATTTTGGGCCAGCTTGCTGGATAGGTTTCTGAAAGGCGTAGTTATTTTCGTATTGAGGGAGTCAGTAGACTCTGCCAGCTCAATCTCCCGAGTACGTGCAATCTTTTCCATTCCCTCATCGAAATGTGTCGTATCCAGGGCTTGGTCGATAAGAGCCCAGGTAATGTCACCAGGCTTTGGATTTGCCTTGTCATAGTCAACAGGCTTTCTGACAGAGGCACTAATCATGGAATAGTCCATGGTGACTTTCTGTTTTTCGTTTATCGTTTCGGTGGTGGTCGACTGGTCTTGATATTGACCAGATAGTCGGTTGTCCTTGGTGATTGTAGAGGTATTTCACGTTGGGCTCTCAAGGTTTCTTGAGAGAGAGAGAGAACAATAGATATGATATGATATGATATGATATGATATGAATGCTTTCTTATGAGTTGATCAAAACGATCTCAGCAGTAGTGGTGGTTGTAAGAAGAAGGGAAGAAAAGAAAAAGAAGAATCGGACGGCGAGGATATGATGGGGGATTCTCTATCGACCAGGCATCGGACAGAGTGCTACAATTACATCTCGATGATTCCGTTTGTATGCCTATTCTATCTCTATACAGCATCACTGCCTGCATTATACGTCGTCGAGCAGAATCTATACCAACTAGAGTAAACCCGGTATTACGAATCGACAGTAACGGACTCTTCGTTTTATGAAGAAGATTCAATTTACTACATATAATGGAAAGTTTCTTGCTATTCAAAGGTTCATGAAACCTCTCTGATGGATTGTTATATACAGCCGATTTTGTATGGAAATGGCCCAAAGTAGAAATCAGTAAATTAGGCTACGCGTATTTCTATAGGCAGGCTTGCCTATGCATGACTGGATACTACCAAACTGCCTTACAAATCTCTTCCCAAGGCTTTCTCCTTTATTCGTGAGGGTTTGTTGGACTGATGTCAAGATATCCGCATTCTCCATACGGACACATCAGACCCACCGCGGCGATAAGATCTGCAGGCGGAGATAAGAATTACCATAAGAACAGTGCATATAAAAGGCCATCACCTCGTCTACATTCTCAATACGATCTTCTAATACAATATTCACATCACCTAAACATGATGACCCTCACAGGCAAGCAGGCATTCCAAAACGGCCTAGGCCTCAAAGCGTAATTCGCCTCCCTTCTGCCTCTATTTCGTTTGAAGCTGACAGATTTAGGCCTCACTCTCCGCGGTGATGTCACACCCGACGAAGAAGCCTTCAAAGCTTCCAAAGCAGCCCTCGCTGCAGGCGTGAACGTCTGGAACGGGGCAGGCTTTTACGGAACGCCAGAGAACAACTCGCTGCATTTGATGGAGAGGTATTTGCCAGGTACTGGGAACGACATGGTTAAAGCTGAAGTCAGTCTCTGATCTATGGATGTGTTTGAGAATGGTGTTGCAGAGACAGGCGCAGAGTTGGGCATCGTTATGAAAGCACATACGCCACTCGGTGCGGGAATGCTTACAGGGCGACTGAGGAGTCCGGATGGTCTACCGGCAAATGAGTATCACCGGTTCTTCCCTCGCTTTCAGCCTGAGAATTTTGGAAACAATCTACAGCTGGTTGAGAAGATCACCAGGTTGGCCGAGGAGAGGAAGTGCATGCCAGCGCAGTTGGCATTAGCGTGGATCAAATCCAAGAGCAGACAGCCTGGGATGCCATTTATCGTGCCTGTGGCTGGTGCCAGATCTGAGAGGAGAATCATTGCAATGCAACAGATGTCGAGCTGACCGAGAAGGATTTGGATGAGATTACTTTCAATCTAGATAGCTTCACCGTCGCATGGGGGAGATATCCCGAAGCTGCTGCCAGTCTCGCAGAATACTAGAGCTAAGTGATTCATATTCCATCTATACACTGTCTACTCAACTTCCCAGCAACCCGGATTCTCTTTCCAAAAACATAAAACAGAAAAGGCACTGGTATCAGCAGTCCTGCAAAACAGCCAAAGACCGTACTCGCCCAGTTCACGCCTAGGTTATGGTACATGGGCATCGCGAAGAGGGGGAATACACCGGCAGAGATAGATCGTAGGAATGTATTGGCTGCACCGGCACTGGCGCTGAACAAGATAAAGCTGTCGACGATGTAGCTTATGGTTGCTGGAAAGATGGCGTTGAAGCCAAATCCGATCAGTACGGTGCCGATGATCGATGGCCAGTAGTTAATGTGTGGCGATGATGTCCCTGGTCAGTCAGTATAGATCAAGCAAAGCAGTGGAGCACATACATCCGAACAGAAAGAAACCAGCGCTGAATGCAATGCCCCCGATCATCATCGGAGGGAGTCGTGCTTCCGGGACTGGTCGATTGTTATTTGCCTGTAACTGTTTAAAGTAGAACTTGTTGCTGTAGACGTTGAGTACAGCAGCAAGAAGGACGCCAAAGAGGAGGGCGAGAAAGGGAAGACTGGCTGCTATAGGGCCCCATTTGCGGATTTCCTGATATTCAATTTGGAAGCTTTCCAGATTGGCGTAGAGAATGCCTGGATAGTCAGTATTATCCTGGTATCAAGCGTGCACAGGCTTACCATAGATGAATGATGTATAGATGGTCATGAGCAGGCAGATCGGCGTCCCCAGCAGCTTGAATGGACGGACGAGGTATTTCTGTGCCACTTCTGCCATCGACACATTCCATTCCTCGTGCTATTCTCGTCAGCTACATCCATATGAATGAACAAGATATTCCATACCTCAGCATGCAGAGCCCAGTTCTTCCCCTCCAACCTCATCCTCCGCGCTTTATGTACCAACAACACCGGTGGATAACTCTCATCAATCACCAACACATTCACCACCAACTGCGCCAGCATCACAATCCCCGCCAGATACTCAGTCCATCGCCACCGAAGATAACTCGACGAGATTGCCGCCCCAATCAGCGGCGCCAGCGTTGGTCCCACGAGGATCGTCGTCCCGTACGCAACGATTGCCACGCCTCGTTGTTCCGCCGGCCAGATATCCGCCATCACGCCCCCGGTGTTGATTAGTGCCCCGCTGCCAAACACGCCGGTGAAGAAGCGCGTGATGAGCACGGTCTGAATGTCTTTCGCGGTGGCTGTTCCAAAGGTGAAGATGGCGCTGATCAAGTATGGCTGACAATTAGCAGTCATCCCTATCCCAGGAAACATGAACATACAGTCAAAACAACCCACTTGCGCCCATAAACCTCACTTAGCGGACCCCAGATTAACGGGCCCAGTCCGAAGCCAAATACCATCAAGCTAATCCCGGCCGCACAGGTCTCGGTCGATGCGTGGAAATCATCGGCGATCTGGTGCATCCCTGCCGAGTAGACGGCCGATGCAAAACTGATCCAGCATGTCGCCAGCGTGTATAGCACGGTAGTCACGACCTTTTTGCGAAGCGGCCAGTTCATGGGCCGATATGGATCGTCGCTGCCATCAAAGTCGACGATATCATAAGGGGTGGGCGGGCATTCGACTGGATGGGATGATGGCTTCTCCGGAGACATGATGGCGTTATCCAGTCAGTTATGATGGAGGACAAGGGATTAGGTTGTTTTTAATGGACCCAGAAGTCATGCAAGGGATTATTTGTTGATATTATGAGTCTCAGATCCAGCCTGTGCTTTCCAATAGTTGATCCCGAGTAGCGCCAATAGATCTATCATACTAGTTATCCGGCTGCTTCAATAGTCGGGGATAATTTTATGGATCTAGAAAATGTCCGATTCCTTCGATCGGAATGCCATTTTAAATTGCTAACATCCATTCGATAGAATAATGTCCTAATGGTTATGGAAAAAACAGCCCATCCATCCCTGCGTTCCAGTCAAAGCCCGACGCATCGTCTGGAATGCTACAGAGCAAATCAAATATTTCCGCTTCACCCTTGTCCATCTGATTGTTCTCGGGGAATAATTGCATCAGTGGATCTTGTTCCATCATAGTACTGGCATCTATATTGCCATCCCCAGTCGATGGCGTCGCTGTTGTTCCCATCCTCCCTTGACCTCGAGACTTCCCCTGCATATCTCGCACATATTGTGCCTTCGCCATTAATCGCTTGACAGGATACCTCAACGTCTCCTTCTTTTCATATTCTTTGTTTTCCCATTTATTATACACGGTATTCACACACTCCCACGCATGGTCACACTCACTCGACGGCGGTCGTGAACAAATCTCCGACAGCGGCAATGCAAGAAGATGCCACTGGATGTGTGTTCGCGAATGCCATGCAAATTTAGCAATGTCTTGATTCGTGAGTATCACAATGAAATGTTCCAGGAGCTCAATCGATGCCGCAAAGATACGATCGCGAATGTCTGGGGGTACGTTTGGAACGCCGTTCTGGCTGGGCGAGTAGTGCACCATCAGCAATGTTCGGGCGATGACGACACGGGCGACGGTACTCGCGACAAGGAGAATGGGAACGGATGGATTGCAATGTTTCAGGTATTTGTCTTCTAGACGGTTGCGTAGTTCTTGGTTTAATTTCTCGCGGTCTGCCATGCTTGGACGGTTTTTTGGCTTTGCGTGGCTAATTTTCCAGACGACGCGCAGGACTTCGCATCGGATGAGGCAGAAGGTCATTTCTGTTGCGCCTTCATGTTCGACTGGTGCTTCTGCCATTACTGGGGTGATATCGCTGTCGTTGATGTTGAGTGGCAGCTTTGTGTCAAAGACGGTGTCGTTGACGATTCTCTCGCAGCCGTGGTATTCAGACGAGCGGGTGTCGAGCAGACATATGTGCCACCAGAGTCGTCTTCGCAGTTCTGTCTCGAGAGGTCGGAGGCCAAAGGCTGTACCGTCTCGATGTAGTCCCATGGCCTGTGCGATATGGAAGATGAGCGCTGTCATGGACCAGACAGTGCGGGAGTCGTCTTCATTTCGAAGAGCAGTGAGGAAGAGCACTGCTGCTTGGAGCAGAATGACGCTTTTTGTGTCTAATAGATTGGCACGCGCCATTGCCTGCTCGACTGCAAACCGATACGTTTCCTGGGCATTTGCTCTTGGTACACCCAGGATGCTTATACACTGCTCCGAGTCTAGGCTGATAACGGCCGAATAGTATATCGAGAACAGTAGAGCTTCAGTATTTTTGTCTACTGAGTCCAATGAAGCTATCGCATCCCAGAACACACGAAAGAGTGTTGGCATATGGAAGATGCGCACAAGAGGAGCGACATTTTCCTGGAATATCTGCAAGAGAGCAGCAGACTGGGATAAGGGAGGATGATACTGGTGCAATGAATGGGCCAGAGAACAAAAGCCCATGATGGCAGCGTTTGATCCCAATGAAGGATTCTCAGAGACTGCTTCGAAGGATGCATCTTCTGTCTCTTCTGCTTGGAGCAGATCACGCAGTTCTCCAATCTACCCCAGTCAGTATTTAATATAGAATATATGGCATACATACTGCATCTCCGAAACTGGCCCAGAGAACGTTGCTCACATAGCAGCTTCTGCCTTCGTCGATCAACAGAAGACCGAACTTCTGCTCGACCTTGTCTGTGTCCGAAGACTTTTCATCTTTGGATTCATCCACAGTATTCATATTATTCGATCCTTCAGCCTGGCTCTGAAATTGCTTCACGATCTTTTCCATCCGCGACAATCTGTCCAGAACTCTAGTATCAGCCACTCTCCGTGGTCTCTTCGGCGCTCTCCCAGGGCCAGGCGGATAGAGACAATCCGCCCCATTTCGAATGCAGTTCGTGCAGGGCCGCTGCCGGTCGCATTTTACCTTGCGCTGCCGACAGACAGTGCAGCTGCGTGGGTGTGTATAAGATAAGGAGTGATCTGTGTTATTGACTGTAGCCATGACGATGTGATTGTTGGATGATGATGGAAGAAAATATCAGACGAGGCTGACGCATCGTGAAAACGCCCCGCGTCATCATCGGATCTCGGGCAGCCTTGCAATGCGATCGCCATGCACATCATTTTTATTCATATATAACCACGATAAGCCTTACACTGTTTATATATACGTGCAGAGTAATTTGAAGTAATTGTTCCTTGGAACCGTAGGTGGGATCGGGATGGGACGGGCCGTCAGATACATATTTTTAGCTTAGTATGTAAAGCCAAGAGAGGAGCTGCACCAAGAAGATCAATCAAGACTTGGCTAATATGATGAATCAAAGCCATTCAAACAATTTATTCCAGAATATCTTTGCCAGAATATTCTCTAATCTAAATCAGGCGGAAATCCCGGATGAGTTGATGAATTGGCGATACACCACTCAATCCACCGTTCGTGCAGGTAAGATGAAGTATGAAAAATAAGACATTCTCCGAATCCTCTAATAATCTCATTAGAAATTATTTGACTAGAATATATTAAAGACTCGCCCAGACCACGAATAGCCAAAGCTAAAGGGGGGAAGAACAGGGTTGAAGCAGATGGCAACGGCATACGCAACGCCTTATCAAACGAGATAAATATCCCTGCCAACAGACACACGGACATTTAAGCATATCTGTTCATCTTCTGATTGGATAAAACTGAAGGATCGGAAATGTCCGACGTGAAGGATCGATAGAATGATGTTATTCCGCGCTAGTCGGCGTGATATGCGTGTTGCCATTATCGTGCAACTATCGTAACTAACGTAACCTCGCACGCCATCCGCCACTCAGCATCCAGCAAATTCTATCTTTGTGTCGTTAAATATTTACCTCTACCTACCGCTTTGAATGTTTAATTCGTCTGTATTTGCATGATAGTTCATCAGCCATGGCGAGCATTGAGTCGGATCCCGGCAGTTCCAGCCGACAGGCTCCTCCTACCAAGAAGGATAATATCGAGACCCAGGCGGTTGATGTCGAAGCAGACTTGGCCGATGAAGATGACGCCCTATACAAGGCCGCAAAGACAACAGATAAGAAGGAATTGACTCCAGTCGAGGCGTTCAAGTGGAATGTCGACGGAGATGAATCGCCATGTAGGTATAACAAGGGATAAACAGGACAAAACTGACGGTCAACAGTCCCCGAAGTCGCAGCATGTGTGGCCAATACAGACGATCCGACGATCGCGTGCAACAGTGAGTGATCCTGATTGAGCATATCGGAGTATCTTGAAACTGACAATTTCAGCTGTTCGCGCATGGATTCTCACCACCATTTTTGTGATGCTCTTTTCGGGTGCCAACCAATTCTTTGGTTTGCGATATGTACGTCGTCAACCATATTGATATATCTATGCTAACCGCTCAGCCCTCCCTCTCGATCGGATATGTCGTCGCGCAGATTCTCGTCTTCCCAATTGGTCGCGCATGGGAGAAGCTGCCTCGATGGAGAGTGCCATTGGGGAAATTCACGTTCGACGTCAACCCAGGCAAATTTACTGTCAAGGAACATGCTTTGATTGCTATTGTAGGTCCAATACCATGCTATCCTGTGTTTATCTAACTTCTCAGTGTGTCAACATCAGTGGCAGCATTGCCTATGCGTCAGGCTCGTTGGTGGCCATCACCAGCCCCGTCTTTTGGGATCATGATTTTGGCGCTGGCTTTTCGTTCCTCTATCTTTTAACGACGCAGATGCTGGGGTATTATCCATCTATACCTTATAATATCCTTCGCTAACAATAACAGATTCGGCCTTGCTGGTCTTGCTCGTCGATGGCTCGTTTATCCTGCCGCCTTGATTTGGCCATCCTCTCTATCCTCGACTGTTCTATTTCGCGCTCTCCATGAACCGCAGGACAATTCTCCCGCTAATGGATGGAGCATCACCAGATATCGCTTCTTTGTATATTTCTGCCTCTTCGCTTTCGTCCTTTTCTGGTTCCCAGATTATATCTGGACGAGCTTGAGCACGTTTGCCTTTGTGACCTGGCTTGCGCCTCACAACCAAAAGGTCAACACTATCTTCGGAATGAACTCAGGCCTTGGATTATTGCCGATCAGCTTCGACTGGACGCAGATTAACTATGCGGGATTTCCTCTCATGACGCCGTTTTATATCACTTGCAATGTGTTTGCGGTTGTTGTGTTGTTTTATCTCTTTCTATCGCCGATTCTATACTATACCAACGTGTGGAATAGTGCATAGTGAGTATCTCCATTCTGGATATTGATATCATTCTAATATCACAGCCTCCCCCTTTTATCATCAGGCACATTCGACAACACCGGCTCTTCCTACAACGTCTCCCGCGTCGTTGATTCCAACCTCAACTTCGTCTTGGAGAAATACCAGTCCTACTCCCCCATGTACATCTCCATGTCATACAGCCTCACCTACGGCCTCTCCTTTGCAGCCGTCACCTCCGTCTTCGTCCACACATACCTCTACAACGGCGGTGAAATCTGGGCGAAACTGAAAAACTCCCGCCACGGCGGCGAAGACATCCACCGTCGCCTGATGCACGCGTACAAAGAAGTCCCGGACTGGTGGTATGGTCTTCTTACTCTCGTCGTGGTGGGTTTGGGTATTTTCACCGTGCGATATTGGGATTCCGGATTACCGGTTTGGGGGTTCATTGTCGTATGTTTCGGTATGGGCGTTGTGTTTATCGTGCCAGAAGGCATTCTGGAGGGAACGACGAATCAGCGGATTTTCTTGAATATCATCACCGAGTTTATTGCGGGTTATGCGTGGCCGGGAAAGCCGATTGCCAATATGATGGTCAAGTTTTACGGGTATAATTCTGTGAAGCATGGGATGGACTTTGCGCAGGATTTGAAGCTGGGACAGTACATGGTATGTGTCTTACCTATCAACACTGGGTAATACTAACGAGATAGAAAATTCCTCCTCGCGTCCTCTTCTTCGGACAGATCTATTCGAGTGTTCTGGCGACAATGACACAGACTGGCGTTCTTCGATGGATGATGGGCCACATTCCCGATCTATGCAAGTCGACGAATAAAAATCGCTTCACCTGCAATGGCTCCAAGGTTGTCTACAACGCGTCGATCATCTGGGGAACCATCGGTCCGCAGAGAATGTTCCAGTCGGGACAGGTCTATAACAGTCTCGTGTATTTCTTCCTCATCGGGGTGAGTTTTCTGGATTACCTAAACATGAACCAGAGCTGATAATGTATAGCCTGTTGTCACCGTGTTGGTCTGGCTGGTCTATCGCAAATACCCCAACAGCTGGGTTCGATACATCAACGTCCCCATCTTCTTCAACGGCGCAGGAAATATTCCTCCTGCCAATACCACTCAATACTCGCTCATGTTTATTTTCGGCTTCATCTTCAACCATCTCATTCGAAACCGCGCTCTGGATTGGTGGAAGCGATATAACTGTACGTCCCTCCTGCCCTATCTATATGTACCTACCATCTAACGCTGTATAGACCTCCTCCAAGCAGCAATGGACACCGGAACTGCCATCGCGACCATCATCATCTTCTTCGCGCTGAGCTATAATAACATTAGTCTGAAATGGTGGGGTAATACAGTCGGATCCAACACGGATGATTCGAATTCGGTGCCGTGGCTGACAGTGCCGGATGGGGGGCATTTTGGGAAGGGGCCGGGTGAGTTCTGAGTAGATTTATCATCGGATAGATCTAGATTAATGGCATTTGGATTCGTTTGATTGCTTTCTTTCACGACATGCTGTAGAATACTCTGGATGTAGAGCGGTGCCGATTCCACGATGTCGACTGCGCGGGATGTTCCCATCGTTGGTATTTAAGCAGACCCGTTTATGGTGGTGTAATCTGGCTTCGAGAGATCAGATACTGAACCAATTTCTGGACCGGGTCTACTACACATGGTTGTAAAATCATCGACAACCTGTCCATGACTGTGGACATGCCCACCGCACTGGCTAACCAACGCATGTCATCGCCAAAGTTGGGCTTATGCGACTGCACCATGCCGTCTTGTGCCGGAGGCATCTAGGACAGATATTCCGTCCGACACTTTGCCTGCCACAAGATGGATCTACGGTAGTTGAGGATAGTGCATATCAGTGGCAGTTGTGACGGCTGCTGTACAGCAAGAGCCGCCAGTACTGTCTGTGTTTATCCATGGCATGCTGGATTTGGCTGCTTCTGTGTATATCCATCCACGATAGAGTCTGCAGGGACAAAGTTGAGGATGCAGACAAACGACTCGAAGAAATACAATAATTACTAATCTTTGTTTTTCATATCTTGAATGTTCACTTGAGTTGCAAGGCTGTGATGGCTGAGCGAATCATGTCTTTCCTGCCCACAGGATCGACAGCCTGATTTTGCTAAGACTGATCGACGCAAGGCTATGCTCAGCCTTGTACACCTCCCTATCTTTAAGAACCAGTTGTCGCACAAGGGACCCCCCTTTTTACATTCATTTCAACTGACAATTATTGTGAGCAAGTTAGGCACCATGGCTAACGTGGAATATACCCCGGTGGAACTCGACACACAACCATCTGCAGAACACGCAGTACCTGACCAGCCGATGATCGACACTGCGGAAAATGGTGAAAAGGAAGGAAAAACAAAGAAAGGGGTTGAAAAGTGGCGAAGAATCCTCTATATCGGATCGATTGCGAGTATAGTCGTGCTGTTGTTTAATCTGTCATTTGTCTTGTGGGCAGTCACGCACCGGACCCTTGAAGACGGCCGTGGGATACTCTTTACCGGTGAATGCGACAAGGCACGGAACATAAATAGAGGCCTGCATTTCCTCATCAACATACTGTCAACTGTTCTTCTCAGCGCCAGTAATTATGGAATGGTAAGTGCCGATTTTCGACCCTTTTGAGTCAATAACTAAACGTCATCATTCCAGCAATGTTTATCCGCCCCCACACGAAAGGATATCGATCGGGCACATCGAAAATATAAGTGGCTGGATATTGGGGCCCCGAGCATGCGAAACCTATTCAATATCCCGCGGAGGAAGCTGCTAGTATGGATATGTCTGGTTCTATCTTCCCTTCCATTGCACCTCATGTATGGAGACCCTGTTTCATCGTGGATTTCCTACTAACTATTTAAACAGTTACAACTCGACCATTTTTCTGACCATGTCTTCCTACGGATACTTTGTATATGCCAGTGACAAGCCTTTTACCAGCTTAGCCACGGGGAGTCCTAGGCTTCCCAACACAACTCACTTTGAGGAGTGGTTTTCTACCTACTACAGGCTGCAGGATAAGGCAGCAAAAGGACAACTCGACCAGCTGAGCAATAAGGATTGCATCTCGGCCTACGCCACAGCTTTTCAATCAAAACATGGCAGTCTGTTGATACAGACCGATGACTTCAACTCGACCGCGGTGGACGTTCGCTTGTTAGCTTCAAATGACGACCTGCAGTATACACCTGGATATGACCCATATGCATGGATCTGCACTTTGTACCAGACAAGCGAATACCAGACACATTTATGCTCATCTTTGCTCCCTGAAATTTCATCCGATCTCAACTCGTGGAGCGTTACTTACACCAGGGGTGGCGACGATCTAGACAATAAGTACACCGTCAACAGCTGTTGGAGTGAGCGATTACCCGACCTCTGCAAGGTCGACTATAGTCTTGTTTGGACGGTGATCGTGATTGTTTGCAACGTGGTCAAGGCCGGGATTTTATGTGGCATTTCCGTTTGCATAAAGGATATGCCCATCCTGACAACAGGTGATGCTGTCGTTTCGCTTCTTCGAGACCCAGACTTGGCGACAAAACGGGACTGTCTGTTATCGAGAGAGTCGATAGATGGAAAGATTACAGGCCAATTGAAATTCACCAAAAGGCCAAGACGATGGGCATCTGCGGCATCAAAGCCCCGATGGTGGGCATGCATGGCTATGATTTTATTTTCGATTGGCGTGTGTATCGGCCTTCTCTTGCAAGGTGTCCTGGGGCGAAGCGCTATGAAGACAGTCTGGAAAAGCGGGATTGGGACGGTCAATAGCCAGACTATCATCAAGTCGGATTGGTTTCCCACTACATTGTTGCCAGTTACGCTCATCGTCAACACGCCTCAAACGATCTTTTCGCTGATTTATTTCACCATCAACGCCATGTTCAGTATCATGGTTCTTTCTGCGGAGTGGAACGACTATGCCCTGCATAGAAAAGGCCTCCGCGTATCAACTGCTCCCAAAGGCAGCCAACGGGATACCTACTTTCTCTCGCTGCCGTACCGCTATGCACTTCCTCTGCTAGTTCTGTCAACACTCCTCCACTGGCTTATTTCGCAAAGTCTATTCCTGGTTAACGTCGAAATGTACGATGCCACACTTACCCGAGATCCACAATTCGATATTATTTCCTGTGGATATTCACCACCTGCTATTGTGATCTGCCTCTCCGTCAGTGGTGTATTGATAGCATATCTAGTGGGTATGGGTTGTCGACGATTCAAGTCCGGAATGCCCATTGCAGGGAGCTGCAGTGCTGCTATTTCTGCAACGTGTCATTTTGACGTCAAAGAAATGATGGAAAGTGCCCCGAGGAATGATTCTGATAGTCAGGTGTTACTACATAAGAGCCAGCCAGTGGAAACTCTTCCTCTCCAATGGGGGGGTTGTCCCCTTTTATGGCGGAGAGGTCGGTCACTGCGCATTCTCGAGTGTCGAGGTCGAGACCCCCAAGGACGGCCATATCTATGAGTGATGCTACAAAATATCTCCTAATAAGTTGTGTTTCATGAATTATGAATTCAAATTCAGCTTTTCAACAGCCAACATCAGATCTCCAACCTGGCTCATTCCTGCCTGGTCGAATGTGGCGAATGCACCCGCACGTCCGCGAGAATCCTCAGAAGGCCGTCCAAGAAATTCAGTCCACTCTTTCGGTGAGAGATAGGATAGCTCGAGATGGATACGAGCTAGGATGGCAAATTCGTCTGCGTGTTGCATAAAACCAGTTTCTTCGTGCGATGAATGTCGATTCGACTGCCATGCCACTTCCCATCGGTCGAGTGCTTTGTTGAGTGGGTTTGCGGCGAAGGGGAGGATGTATAAAGCGGATTTCTGATGGAATATAAGACCATGGAGTGCTGGATACAGTTAGTAAGAGTAGTTGAGGAGTTGACCGAAGCTTACCGGTTGCAATTGTAAAGAAATTCAACTTGCTGGCACCATCTAGAAAGTATATATCCTGATTCGGGTCGTCGGTGCACAAGCGACGGACAGAGTCCACGAGGGATATAGACTTGTCTGATATCCCTGGATTGGAGTGGACAGCAGATATAAAGTTACCAGGAGATGATGCCTGAAACCAGGATTCAGGACAGGTTAGATCGATCTCCATCTCTTGCAGTACCATCCGGGGCACGGAATTGTGGAATATCACAAATGCGGAATCGAGCAGGAAGACGTAGTTAAAGGTCCGAATGGCTTCTTCTTTCTGAATCCACGCACGCCATTGCATGTCGTCAAAGTCTGGAGGAAGAGTTGAATGGCCGTGTGTTGCTCCTGATAGTCCCATTGCTCTGGTTGCCTGTACTCGATTAGAATATGGAATGACATCATTCGGATATACATACCGAAACAAATCTCGTAAATCGATCTCGCTGGATGCGGATTTTTGACTCATCGTTTCCTTCCCATTTCTGTATAATACAGATCATATACGTCGCTTGTAGTAGCGGAATAGCGACAATATTTTCGTCACCAGAAGCTGTTGCATTCATTGAAAGCATCGGCTGCGAAAAGATAATCCCTTCTGCAATATCCAGAAGCGATCTCGCCATTATAGAGTCAGCGTTTGCCGAAGAAGTACAGCCTCCCATAAGAACCATTGTCATGAGTAGTATCGCAGGACAGCTTCGAACATCGAATGTCGGTTTGTGCATAAATGGGCAGTGGGGATACCATCGGTTCCAGAAGATATCCAGAAGGCGGAGGATGTTTTCTTTGGAGAAGAAAGACACCACAGTAGTCATTGCGACAGATGTTTCATCACATAATGGAAGAAACATGTCCCAGATGCGACTGCACTGGAGATTTAGAGCATCATCTTCAGGTCGAGTACTAGACAGGCTGTCAAATGCTGCCAGCGATTCGTTCCCCTCTGGCCATGATGGAATCTCGTCAAGGAGATAATTCCACGGATTTGACGCGGTGACATTTTCATTCAATGGTGTCCAGCTCGTCATGAATGAACGATTGCAATTATACCCCTGGTTAATCCCAGACGCGTGGGTGAACTTCAACAGGAACTGAAACTTGCGCCGACTGGAAAGAATAAACCCAATTTTGTCGCTCAATCTGGAGGTTTCACCAGGTGAGTCGACAGTTTCGTCGAAGTAAACCGCTCTTCCAGAAGCCCCTGTGTTTTGCCTCTTGGTGCGATCGTATCTGCATTCAACCTCTTGAAGAGCACATTCGCCACAAGGATCGCCTTGGTTGCAGGCTCTTTTACGCTCTGCACAGCGATCGCATGCTTGTTTTCTCTTTCCCGATATACTACGTTTCGGGATTTGATTGCCGGATGCCACCCGGGCAGTGCATGTCTTCCAATGCCGGCGAAGAGCGTCGCTGCAGTAATATCAGTGAAAGAGAACGTTATACGGAATATTCTTGAGTAGAGTTACCTGCGCTTATACTCGGACCCACAGAACTCGCAGGGATACGGCTTTTCATCAACGTCTATTCAGTGGTGGTTAGGTCTGATGTCATAGCCTCGGTAGGTGCACATACGAGTCGATGCATGCCGTTTAAGATGCTGGAGTTTTGCGAATTTCTGTGGACATATAGGGCACTGTAAAGGTGTTGTGCCTTCTTCCTGATCTTTCGTCCCACCATGTGTCTGCATTTCCTGGCGTTGATTGACTGTTTCGCCGTTGGAAGAAGGAATCGGGGTGGATGTGGGAAACGCGGGGAAGCCGAGTGACTGCGGTATAGCGGAATTTCTATAGTCTATGCAGACACTGTTATGCTACGATCATCATGCATAAATATCTTGACTGGATAACATACGTATCTATATATAATACTTCATCTACTTCAAAGAAACTGTACATTCAAAAGACCCCTGCATCTCTCCAATCCCCGAGCTACGGACTTTCACCTCCTTTTGCTCAGATACTGGCTGGAACTCAAACTGACTGACCAAGGTAGTAAGTGTCTTGAGGATATTTGTCATGGCCAGATTCTTCCCAATGCACATGCGGTGTCCGATACTAAAGGGAATAAGATACCGACTCCGGTTCGGCCCGTCTTTGCCCAACCATCTGTCCGGTCGGAAGGTTGCGTGGTCATCGCCCCAGATGTCGGGGTTGTGGTGGAGGACGTAGTTGGAGATGCAGACATGAGTCTATGTAAGAAATGTTAATACTTCCCAAATACTGAAGGACAAAGACGCTTACACCGCATGGAACGTCAAATTCTCCAATTTTTGCTCCGTTTGGTGAACTGACGAGTCGCCACAGGGGCATCGTGAAGACGGGGTTCATCCGGAAATTCTCCCGCACACATGCCATTGTATACGGCAATGAGGCCTCGAGTCCTTTGATGGGATAGGAAATACTCCCTTGTTCTAATGGTCCAATGACCTCGGAGACTTCATTTGCCACCATGTCCACATCCGGGCTGTGGAAGAGATGCCAAAGTAGAAGTGTCAGTGTACCAGATGTCGAATGGGATCCTGCCACACTGAGTTGAGTTAGTATACTGTATCAAGGATTTATGATGATATAGATGCTCACAGCATAGCAAAAGCCTCAGAATTGATCTCTTGCTCACTCAGACTGGCACCGGTTTCGGCATCCTTAGCAGTAACCAGACTCTGCAGTAGATCCCGACGATCGGAAGCACAGTTGATCTTGTTCCTCACACACTCAGAACATTTAACTTTGAGATTATTCCTGCTCTTGAGTAGTCTTCGCATCCATGGAATTGGCGACCATCGTGCGAGTAGCTTCGACACGGCCTGGAGCGGAAGCTCGCCAATAACACAGGACAAGAGAATATGATCGTTAATCGCATGGATCTCATCTGCCTCACCCTCAATCTGAGCATTGAATGGTCTACTGAATGCAACGTCACCCAGAATATCCAGGACGTAATATGAAATGACAGACTTGAGATCAAACACCTCTCCCGTCTTTGCAAATCCCTTGAGCTTGTTAATCAAGATCTCCATTTGCCCGTTAATCAGAGGCTCAAAGTTCTCAATTGAGGCTTGCGAGAACCCATGCGATAGTTGCCTTCGGCGCAGGGAATGAATCTATTATATTAGCAGCCATCACCAACGTAGGAAATGAGATACTTACATCCTCATCCGTCCCCCCAAACAAATTTGGGTTAAATGCAGTAAACGCATTGTAAAAGCCCGTCTTTCCCATCTTTCTTCCACCCTTGTAGATGGCGGAAATGGCCTCGCCATCCCAGAAGTGGAGATGGTTAGGGCCGATGCGGACAACGGAGCCATACTGTTCGTGCAGCTCCACCAGTTTCTCATGGAGAATGAGTTTGTAGACATAGTAGGCTTTCCAGGTGTTGGTCAGTGAAGCTATTGCTGGCCCGGGGTATCGTGATAGTGGATGAAGACATCTCATATAACAGATATATCCAATGGCGAAAACACTGGCCACGAAGCTAGCTACTTCGAATGGCCCAATGGATGACAACATTGCGAGTGAAGATTGAATCATGATGCCTATGCATTGATTGAGTAAGGTTCCCTGTCACTTGCAAGTGAGGTCTCCTATTTAATATGTCAAGTGGCATTCACACACACCGCTAACCAAGGTCAAGGTAGTTATGATTGTTGATTTCCCCTGAATGAGTATCGGTTAAGCGGTGATGATCCACCGGATGGATGGCCCGCGGGATTTCCCCACAATGCGGGGTTAAGCATAAAGCATCATTCTTATGCTACACTCGTCTTGAATAAAAAAGCCATCCAAAATAGAAATACAAAGAAAACATTCCTTAAAATCATGAGGACTCGCTGGAGTATTGAGGTCAACAGAGAAATATCCATTGTTCCTGGTCGAGAATTGACTCCCCACCACCTGAACGGGCATCTATATCCTTTGGTGGCTTTCGATAGATTTCGCTTCTCGGTTCATTGTTGATAAATCCTAGATCCTCTTGATGTTGTGTTTTTGTTCTACCATTCTCTATCATGGCTGTATCTGCTGATTTTGTGTCAAAAAGTAACATCTTTCCTGCCACGCTTACTTGTATATATTTCCCTAGACAACATCCTAACCATAGCATATCGAGATTATCACAGCGGCACTTTATCCAGGTATGTTGTGATGTATGAGCGTAGCACTTTTGATACGAAAATACGATCCTCGCCGGCGAAGAAAGCCAACCCTTTGCCACTCGGCTTCATGATGCTCCCAAGGGCTCATTGCGGTGAAAGATGTTCAGTTCGATGATAGTAATAATTCTCTTCGTTTCTCCTAGTGGACCCCTGTGCAACTCGTCCTATATCGAACTTTCAAAGGCAACGGCAGAGGCAAGTGCGCCAAGGGTCTTCCATAACTTGTTGTAAACCCATTCTCCGAGCGACGTAGATGCAGCCATTGTCATCTACAAAAGTAGACACGTAAGCTATAGTGGTAGGAAAACCGTAAAGTTGAATGGCAAGAGTGTCTAGGTCGCCATCTTCATGTACTAGAAGAGGAAGTTGGTCATCCATGGGTCATCTTCCAACAGTACCTTTATAGATGCTGCAGCATGCATGTGTAATAGATAAACTCAATTAACTTCACTAGTGCTGCCCTATTGCCAGAATGTTTTTGTTTATCCTGCTGATCCATCTGGCACCCGCCACTCGACATTGCATACAAAACCCCGCACGAGCTGCATGGACAACACACACATAGGACAGGGGATTGTTCCACTTGAGCAAAACTGTCTTCCATATCATCGGATCGATTGTCCGGTTGAGTGGTTTTTCGTGTCAGCATGCCCTCCTTTTAGCTCTCGACGTGATCTGGATTGATCCAATTTGTGCAACGCCTGTCCAGGATGATATAGCTGATTAGCTGTGGACCATAGGACGGCATATGCGGTGGTCCAATTCCCATTGTGTACTGGATGATAACCTCTTTACCTGGTAATTATGCCGATTGATTGTCTTTTCTGGACTGTTCAATATATCCCTGGAGATATGCATCGGAATGCAGAATTCGATCCACGACCATCTACCAGACAGAGAGAGAATAGCATGCAGTATACATTCTAAAAGCCATTATTCTAAATCCGACTGACTGCATGAACCGGGACGATAATCAGCTAAACCCCTCTCTTGTCTTGGCCGGTGCGGTGATGATGATGTCAACAGACCCGAGATGAATGAGTCGACCAGCTCGAGAAGGCATAAAATAGTCCTAGAGTCCATATCTCCCAGTGTTCGTCAACACAGGCAGCAATCTAAAGAATCATTTGTATCTATCCCTTTATCAATTTTCTCAAAATTCTTTCTCGCCATGGCTGTTGTCTACGACTCCCTCGTCGAGGACTTCAAGGCATATGCCACCCGCGAGCCAACACGAGAGCAGCTCTTCCGCGACGCCATCGCCTCCGCCATACACCCTGCAAATGGTGGCGCCGAGGAGATGAAAGCAGAAGACATCGCCACGCTGGAAGACTACTTCCGCTACTGCCACGATCTGCTGCGCTGGGTTCCGACTGTGAGCACCACTGGCGACGAGCTCCTTCGCAAACTGCTCGTATTCTATTGGGTGTTTAACCAGCCTACTCTCCAAAACTACCAAAACGCCATCAACCCGGGCAGTATCCGGGATGATCCCAAGTGGCTTTCGTACTGGTTGGTGATCTATGCTCGAGAGATGGGCCGTTTCCTGGGTACGAAAGAGTCAACGGGGGGGGGGGGGGGGGGGGGGGGGGGGGGGGGGGGGGGGGGGGGGGGGGGGGGGGTTCAAAGCTTTTATGACAACATACTGTATAACCAGGAAAGTGACAAGTGGCAGGATCCTCCTGAGGGTGGATGGGAGTCGTTCAACCAGTTCTTCTCTAGAAAGTGGAAGAACATCGACGATGCACGACCTATCAAGCTCGAGGATCAAGATGAGAAGGCAATTCTCAGCGTTGCCGACTCGACCTTCCACGGCCACTGGGATGTGGTGCAGGGCGATGTCACCCTCAAGGGCGTTCCGTGGCCGATTGAAAAGCTGCTGCAGAACACAGCAGGCGAGTTCGCGACTGGATCGTTCATGCATGCCTTCCTAGGTCCGACGGACTACCATCGACAGCATGCTCCAGTCACTGGCACCGTTGTCGAGTCCCGCATTATCCAGGAGCAGGTCTATCTAGAGGTCACCATGAAGCAGGACGGTATGGCTCCTAACCGTGGCCTGTTTGTCAACAAGATCAAGGATAGAAGTGATGCCAAGGATTTTAAAGATCTCGACGCCCCGGATACTCCTGGGTACCAGTGGTGTCAGACCCGTGGGCTGATTGTGATTGAAACAGAGAACCACGGCAAGGTTGCTGTGCTCCCTATCGGCATGGCGCAGGTGTCGTCGGTTGTGCTGAAAGTGAAGCCGGGCGACAAGGTCAACAGAGGTGATGAAATCTCTTACTTCCAGTTTGGAGGATCGGATGTGGTTCTCGTCTTTCAACAGCCTGTCGGTTATAACGTGGAGCCGAACACCAAGTGCAACGTGAGGACTCGTGTTGCTACTTTCCAGTAGGCATCGGACATTACTAGAAGTAGTTAGTCAAACGGAGATATTGACATTCAGTTCATGATCTTTTGGATATATACTCTTTTCGTATGCATGAAACAAGAATAAGAGTGACACGGAACATCCCCAGATTGTTTACTTCCGCTGAGTCATGCGATAATCAAGCCAAGCAGCAGATCACTGCTATATATAGCATGTGGATGTCACTGTGGACAGAAATAGCTTATCTCTGATTGGACACATATCACACTCTACGGCGGAAGCCGAAATGCCGAAGAGCGAGTCTAACAATCCTTTGATCTCATGCTGTATGAACCTTGGGCTGCTGATGCCTAATGATGAGTTTAAAAAGTCTTGTTTCCCTTTCATCCACTCTGCAAATTCAACCTCAACATGTTACTACTCCCAATCCTCATCGCCCTCGGCGTGATCCTCGCCATCCGCCTCCTCAAAACCCCCAACCTCTCCATCCCGGGCCCATTCATCGGGCGCTTCACCAATCTCTGGTATCTATGGCAGATGAAACGGGGCGACTTCCACAAAACCAACATCCAACTGCATGAGCGAAACGGACCGGTCGTGCGCATCGCCCCCAACTATTTCAGCCTTTCAGACCCTGCCGCCGCAAAAGCCATTTACGGGCATGGGAGCAAGTATGCGAAATCGGAATGGTACGATGCGTGGACCTTCTCGCCGGACCCCAAAATCACGAATTTGTTTTCGGAGCGGAATGGGCAGCGCCATGCGGGGATGCGGAGAAAGGTCGCGGCGATGTATTCGATGACTTCGCTGGTGGCCTATGAGCCGTTTGTGGATAATTGTGTTGGCATATTTAAAGAAAGATTAGAGGAGTTTGCGAGCGAAGGCACGGTGATTGATGTAGCGCATTGGGTGCAGTGTTATGCGTTTGATGTTATTGGGGAGATTACAGTATGTTCCCAAGACTACCTAGTTATATGACACTAACCAGATAGTTCGGTAAACGATTCGGCTTCCTCGATCGAGGCGAGGATATCCGGGATGTCATGGCCTTTCTCGACCTGAGCTTCACCGTATCCTCCTATTCCGGTCTGTATATCTGGCTTCGACCGTACTTTTTGCGGCTGGCAAAGGCCATGGGCAAGAACCAAACCTACGTGAACCAGTTTACGTATAAACACGTTATGGAGGCAAAGAAAGCTCACCAAGAAAACAAAGAGAAGCAATCTGCTTCGAATCTCCCAGAGTTCATGGTGATGAAACTCATTGAACTGCAAGATAAACAATCTAACGATGCCGCTGCCATGATGGACTGGGATGTCATGTCTACTGCGGGCGCGAACGTGGGTGCCGGCAGTGATACGACAGCTATCAGTTTGTCCTCTGTGTTGTATTATATGTACAAGACGCCTGGATGTTTGGAGAAAGTACGCAAGGAGATTGAAGAGAGCAGGATGCCAGAAAAGCCGACATTCAAGGATGCACAGGCGATGGTTTATCTGCAGGCTGTTATCAAAGAGGCGTTGCGCATCCATCCTGGCGTCGGGTTTCCGCTGTTCAGAACTGTTCCTCAAGGTGGTGCGATGCTTTCTGGGAGATATTTCCCTGAAGGAGTAAGTACATCTCAATCGTATGCTTGGTCATAGCTAATGTATACAGACTAACGTTGGTGTCAACTCCTGGGTTGTTCAATACGATACGGAGGTTTATGGACCAGATGCCGCGATCTTCAGACCAGAACGATGGCTCGAGTCCGACAAAGAGAGACTCACAGCGATGGAACAGAACTTTATGCCATTCGGGATGGGATCAAGGACCTGTATAGGGAAGAATATCTCACTTCTGGAGATGAGCAAGTTGATTCCTGTCTTGGTCAGGGACTTTGATATGGAATTCAGCGACGATATCAAGGCTAGCATCGGTGTGAAGAATCGCTGGTTCGTGAAGCCTACAAATTTCCAGGCTAGAATGATCAAAAGAACTGTATAGATATACCCACAGATAAAATAACTACTCAACAACAATGGACACCTTGCCAATATGCTTCCCCGACTGCACATACTCATACGCAGCAATAACCTCATCCCGACTAAACCCAAACTCCTTATCCACCGGCATTCTCAGTCCCTTCGCAGCCACAAGCCTCACAGCATCCTGCAGCATCTCCGTAGGCCCGATATTGATTCCCCGGATAATACACCCCTTCTGTAAAGCCAGCATTGTCACATCTGGCATCTTCGACTGGTCAATATCAGCCAGGAATCCAATCACGGCAACGGTGCCACCATGGGCAATAGCCTTGATGCTCTGTTCGATTGTCCCGGCGCCACCATTCTCGAGAACATAATCCACGCCTATTCCGTTGGTGTATTCGAGAGCTTTGGCGGCCCAGTCGGGATGGGTTTTGTAGTTGATGGTGTAATCGGGTTGGAATTTGGATTTGACGAGAGCAAGCTTCTCGTCGCTGGATGAGGTGATGATAGTTTTGGCGCCCGCGGCTTTGGCGAGGATGATGCCGGTGATGGATATACCACCGGTCCCTTTATACGTCAGCAGAGTTCGACATTACTAGATGTAAACATGCCTTGGAAGAGAACCGTCTGACCCGGCTTCAGCGGAACATTCCCATACAGCGCATTCCACACCGTCGCACCCGTACAAACCAGCGTCGACCACTCGCTGTAACTCTGCGGCAGACCAGGCGGGATCTTAACCACACTCACTGCCGGTCTGACGATATACTGCGCCAGCACACCATCAACAGGTCCGCCCTGTCCTCGGTGTTTCCTCTTCAGCGGTCCGTACAAATTCCAGGGGTCGAATGTGACGATTGCCTTGTCGCCAACTGCCAACTCATCAACTTCCTCTCCGACTTGAATAATATCACCCGCTGCATCGGAGCAGGGTATGACATTCTCCTTGCATGGCAGAGGATACTTTGACGTCGCGATGGCTATATCTCTGTAGTTGAGTGATATGGCCCGTATTTTGATGAGGACTTCATGTTTGGTGATGGTTGGGAGTTTTTCCTCCGAGGGTGTAAGACCTTCAAGGGAGGTGAAGGAGGTAAGATGGTAGACAGTTTGTGTTGCCATAATGATTTGGATAATTAATTGGGATAGGATATGGGCTGTGGTTATTATACCTTTGATATTGGTGTTGATTTCTAATCGTCACGATGATCAGCGTAAGCAGACATTAATTAATAATGAATGGATAAGGGGTGAATCCTTGCCGTGTTCCGGGAATACGAGAGTTGATATCTTATCTTGATAATCAAATACGGTTTTCTATAAATCTTAGTACACTGGTATTGAATGGGATAAATACAAGAAATACCTAATGTCGCATGTCTAGTATAGGATGTACAAAGCAAATACCACCAATAAAGCCAGTAAATAACACATCCATAATATCCACGACTTGTATGTATGTCGACCAGCTGTCAAAGCAACCAGACTATCCCAATTCTCAACTGTCTGCTTCATCACATCGGTGCCTATTAAGTCAGCATCTATGTTTATACCCACAGTCTGTATAAGCTCACCCCACATGAAGTCTTGAAACTCTCGATCTGCCCATAAATCTGGATTCTTGCCTGTTCCTTTGAAGGCTGCATCTCGCTTCCTCTGCTGCTCTCCATCTGGCAGATGCAGTGCTTTTCGAGTCACCGAGGCACTATTCTGTATCCTTTCTGCGCGATCTTTCCTCACTCTTTCATACACTGCCAGCGCTGTTTTGACATCGTCCGTCAGTGACAATGCACAGGTTAATACCCCCGCATCTTCAATCGCCTGTGCTGCTCCCTGCGCAACATACGGAAGCATGGGATGGCACGCGTCGCCCATCAAGACGCATTTATTCTCAAACCACGACGGCAACGGAGAGTGCGAGTTGAGCGTCCACTCCACCACCTCGCCATCAGGAACGTAACTTAGCAGATCCCGAACGAGGTCATTCCACTGCGCATAAAACTCCATCATCTCTTTCTTGTCGCTTTTCGTCGTCCAGCTTTCTTCTATCCTTCCACCTGGCTTCTCCGGATGCAATAACACCATGTTATACACAGTATGCTTCTTAATCGGATACCCCATGATATGACCGCCCGGCCCCATCCAGCGCATCCCGATATTCGAATTCAGCAATGCCATCGCGCGGTCGTCGTTCTCCATCCTCTCTTTCGGTATGAGGATGCGATATGCTGCGTCGCCTGTTGGTTGACAGCCATCTTGGACGCCTTTCTTGCCTGCCATCTGCCGACGAATGTCGGATTTGATTCCGTCAGCACCGATTACTACATCGCCGCATATCCATTCTCCGCATTCGAGTTGGACTTTTGCTTCGAAGGTTGAGTCGACGCGGATGACTCGGGCGTTGGTTCTGATTGTTACGCCGGTAGATTTTACAGCCTCGAGCAGGATATGTTGTAGATCGCCTCGATGGATGGCGGCAAGCGGGGCGTGATATTTCTCTCCGACCTATGTATACATTATTAGCAGAGAATGCATAAACCGCTTTATATACATACCGCCGGCATCAAGGGCGCGGTCCCCAGTTCCACATTATCCGCATACCGTCGCAGCGAGTTCTTCTGCACCACAGTCGCCTTGTCCATCACTTTTTCCAGTAGTCCAAACCGACCCATGATCCGCGATGCATTCGGTGCCATTTGAATTCCTGCTCCGATTTCTTTGATCTCGCTGACTCGTTCGAGAATGACGACATCGTGGCCTGCTTGTCTGAGGCCGAGAGCGGCGCATAGTCCGCCTATGCCGGCGCCGACGACGATGACTTCGAGTGGGCGTTTTGCGTGTAGGCGACTGAAGGTGTCTTTATATGTGTCCATTTTGAGTATCTGGTGCCTCGAATATTCAGCTGAAATAGATTCGAGGAATCGAGCCGTTATAAATGAAAGCACCTCGACAACGTGGCTGGCGGTCTGATCAGGACTAGTAGGTCACACACGCATTGATAGCATCTCGATTTAGTAAATGTACGTGATGGTGCAGTGTGATCATGCAGCGTGATAGGTCAGCTCTAGCTAATCGATCCGCCACTATTATATGCTGGAGTTAGAAGGGCCGTGATTAAGAGATAATGTCTATTTAGTAATAGGAATGTTTTCAGCTGCCCGAGCCGAATGTAACTGTATATTTTCTTTTTCCAAGGTGGGCGCAATGGGCGTGTTCGGTGGCAACGACGCAGGGATTCCTAGGTATCCAGGTATTCATCAAGTATCGCTTTCATCTCGTGGAATTAGACTACAGTGATACATGCCGTGTTTATTCAGAGTTGATATTCCATTTAACTTTATTTGACGCGTTCCTGGGCTAAAATCGCCGTTCACTGCATATATGAAGAATGTCGTATAACCATGGTAGTTTGGCATTACATTTTAATAATACCACAAGGACCATTAAGCGCTGTACAATATGCACAAAAGCAAATATACCTCGCATAAGTTTTCAATTAAATGGCAGTTGCTCTGAGTCCAAGACTCGATGTGGTACCTCTAGCAGAAAGGAATGAACACTACCCTTGCCTGCAGTGGCGATGGTTCCATCGCTATTTCATATTATTTCAAATACCCCAGTCGTGATATCAGCTGATATCAAATGGCACGAGGAACGTCAGAGATGATGTCATACCGGTATCCGGGGTACCACCCTCTCCTGGCATTGAATTGGCTTTATATTATCTTAGACGGAGAATTACTCCGCAAACTACATCCAATAGTTTCATAGTTCGGAGCGTGATTCATCAATGTTCGTGTTCTCGTATCTATCTCTGAAGGCGTATCTACGTGAAGCTCATCTATACGATATCATGATGCCTAATCCGCCGTGCAGTGGATGTAATCCTATCCGAGTAATGCCAAATCGCCCATATAATGACCGTCAAGATAGTCAATGGGATGGTGATGGCCCAATACAGCCAGAAATTGTCCGACATGATCCACAGCTGCTGGCCGTTATCGTCGCTTAGATTGAAAAAGTTCATGCCGAACAGGCCCTAGTTCGTCAGCTTCATACGAAGGATAGGGGGTATGTACATACCGAGACAAAGGTAGCAGGAAGATAAATCAAACTGACCAGTGCGATGGTTTTCATCATGGCACTGTCGCTTTGGGCGTTTCGGCCGAATTTTTGCGAGACGAGGTTGAAGGCCTGACGGTTAGATTACTTCTTGACGCCGGTGTGGATGTCTTACCAGGTTGATTTCGTTCTTCATCCGATCGCTCAGTGAGCGGCATCTCGTGCTCTGGGAATGCAGTTCTTTGGCGATGAATCGCAATCTCTGCTGATTCTGAATCCATAATGGCTTCTTCTTGTCGACAGCGTATTCGACCCTCCACGTCCGCTGCTCCTGGATAACACTGTCGATTGTATGCAGCGCGACTTCTAGATTCTCGTTCGCATGCGAAATATGCCGTGCGATATCGTGCAGTTTGGGGAATTCTGGCGCTGGATTATTCGGTTCATCTCGTTGCTGATACACTCAGTACTATGCACATTGAATAGAAGGAGATACCAACCTTTTCCACATCACGGACAAGATCACGCATCGACCAGACTGAGTGGTTGTATATTTCTTTCGCCTGGTCAGCAAACGCAGTATGCCACACGTAGGGATTGCTTTTTCGATCCGAATTCGACGGTATCTGAATATCCTTCCATTGCTGTTCTGGAAGGTTCAAGAATACGACGATCTGCTGGCCTGTCTGCGGAAACCAATGGACGAGAATGGCGAATTGCTTCCAGTTGTACTTGATGTTTTCTGGTTCAACGGGCTGTTCATTTTTCTTGGTAGCGTGTTTGGTTTTAAAGCAGCTCCATGAGACTATTCAATTAGATTTTTCTGTTCTTTATATTATTTTGTAGACATACTGTGTCTGACAATCTGCTCCTCCTCGTCGGTGATGTAGTTGCAGCAGAAAGAGCCGTTGAGGTCGTCTGCGATGACAGTCCAGAAGTCTTTGAGTAATTCGGATTCGCGCAGATGATCTCGTTTGGTGATTGCGTCGGATGAGGCGAATCTAAAAATTAGTATTCGTAATTATGTTTGATGGTGTTCATACATCACTGTGGTCGAATCTCGAGGTGTCTACACTATTAGCCGTCGTTCAAATGGATGACAATGTAGCAATACCTCTATTTCCTGCGATAATTTCGAGTCATGGGTTTGCCACTTATCCGCGTCTAATACGATCAGCGTAATCCATAGCAAACAGAAGAGAAATACCATATTCCTCCCACACCGTAACCACATCGCTAGACACGTGTTTCTCACTCCATCGCAAGTTCGCCATGATAAAAGTTGACAAACAGCAGCCATGAAGAGCAGGAATCCGGCCTTTTATATACGACGGTGGCTGTACAACTAGTGTCTGGACACCTCAACAGCATCCCTGCTGCAGAGCCGATCCTGGCGGTCCATGTCAGACAAAACAAACAGCCCAACTGCACCCGCGACCGGGTAGTCTGTTTGAAGAGCGGCCAGTGGATGAGGTGTTTGAGGCTGTCGTTGTCTGCCATTATACGATATGAAACATGAGCAAAGCAAACATGAGGACGTGGTCGGGCGCGTTGGTGATGCCGTTCCCCGCCTTGGGATGTGCGGTGTGCTGGGATGGACGAGGCTGGGACAAGGCTGTAGGCAGAGATATATCGTTTATATCGTGTATCTCGTTTTGTTTTATAATAGCATTGATAATAGGACAGAATATATTATCAACATCTGTGGTGTTGCAGTTGGTTATGATGATTCGGATATATATTTCTATATGACAGTTGTCGCAACATCGGAATAATGCAGTGAGACTGCAGTGGTATATGATAATATTCCGATTCAGCCTTGATGACAGACAGACAGTTGATAAATGATGGTCGCATGATACGGCTGAATACCAGCAAGAGTCAATATGCTCACGACGATCAGATCGCGCCAATGTTGCTTAATTGATGATTCCATGTGCCCCCCTTGCAGACTGCATCGACTGATTAGATAGATAGATTATCGCCGAGGAATCCACATGAATTTCAGTCACTTGAAACGACGAAATAAAAATAGTCGTGCTCAACTTTGAGATGACATGACTCGAATTCCAGAAGATCCACTACAGTCACCAAAATAAAGCCTCTGGGGCTTATCTTTAATGATCAGTGAACAGGCCGAACAGTCACGACCGTTCGATGTTTTTCCATCGGGCTGTCACGAGTGATAGTCCGCGGGATTACCAAATGCGGAAACTGTGATTCCATTCGGCCCCTGAACCGTTCTTTGCCCCAACAAAGAATCAACACACGACAATACAATAGATAGATACATGAATGCAGGGACTGCAGAATCATCAGAGCGCAAGTCCCTGCGATAATCTAGGATCGCCTCGATCAGATGCCATATGATCGACGAACCGACCGAGGCAGGAAAGCGGGGACGTGGCCATCGCGTGTGGGTGTTGAGTCAAGCCTGACGTATCCAGCACCCCTCGGTCCCCAACGTTCTGAATCATCATATGGTCGAGCAGGAAACATGGTCGCCTGTTTGTGAAAAAGCGTGTAGACGGGGGCTGCCCACTGGCGATGCAGACTGGCCGTTTGCGAGCGATCGTCGCTGCGGTGGAGCATCTTCACATGCCGAGGACCTTTTCTGTCTGATTTTTGGGTCGTTCAACTAGTTCGTCCGGAGCGATATTAAAGCCGCCTTCCTCCCCCACGGGGTGTGCGAATCCAGAGTCCATCGTCTGTCGCTATTGCCATCACGATGAATCCCAAAGACTCGATCAAGTCGACCTGGCGCACTCAGCCCAAGGGCGAGTGGACCATCGCCCACTGGATGCTGGAGATCCTCGGGATCCACTCCGTCAACCTCGACCAGGACGTTCCGGTCCACGCCAAAGAGGAAAAGGTGCCTCATCTGCCTGAATGGTACACGCATCGCTGGGTGCTCGTGCACTCCTTCATCCCGCTGCTGCTCCATCACGCCTACGTCTCCTATACCGGCCGCAACTTCAGCGTCATCTTTGCCTTTTTCTTCTACAGCATGTCGTTCAAGCTCATCGCCATCCACGAACTGCACTCCCTCCGTCGACTCGGCCACATCTACGGCTTCCTCGACGGCGACAAACACGCCCGTGATGGTGTCCCTGATGTGGGTGTAGCCAAAGTCGTCCGTTCCCTCATCTCGACCTCGACCGTCCGGCCCATGTTCTCCGTCTTCCTCGCCTACCGCGTCTCCAAGACCCCCGACACCATCAGTTGGCTCTGGCTGCCCCTCGAGATCGGTCTCTACGGCATTGTCCTCGACTTCTGGTTCTACTGGTACCACCGCGTCATGCACGACTTTGACAGTATGTGGAAGTACCACCGCACCCACCATCTCACCAAACACCCCAACCCCCTCCTCACCCTGTACGCCGACACGGAGCAAGAAATCTTCGACATCGCCGGCATCCCTCTTATGACCTACTTCAGCCTCAAGCTGATGGGCCTCCCCATGGGCTTCTACGACTGGTGGGTATGCCACCAATACGTCATGTTCGCCGAAGTGGCCGGTCACAGTGGTCTGCGCCTCCACACATCGCCCCCCAACACTCTCAGCTGGCTGCTGCGCATGTTCAACGCCGAGCTCATCATCGAAGACCACGACCTCCACCACCGCAAGGGCTGGAAGAAGAGCCACAACTACGGCAAGCAGACCCGTCTCTGGGACCGCATTTTCGGAACCTGCCACGAGCGTATCGAGTGTCCGCCAGAGAATATCGACTATGAAAACACGGCCAGCATGCCATTGCTCTGATGGATTGCCGTGGAAATGATTTCAGATACGACTTATGCAAGGAATTAGAATGTATATACCGGTCTTTGGATACCACTGGACTGGAACGATACCCATACATATTATAAAAGATCACAAAAAAAGCAGCGAGAGGAGATGGAAGACTATGATACCCCTTTTATTTACTATTATATAAACCAAAAAAAGCAGTGAACGGAGATGGACTTTCCAGTATATAAATTAGTGTGAATATTTCAATATAATTTTTAAATCAATTATCAATATGATATCAGATGATAGAAGCCACTGCGTTACTTGATGAGGAATCAACTAGACCTCGTTTATCGGCCGCATGATATCAATGACATGAAGTCATCTGAAGTTCAAACAAGGTTTGTAACACATCTAACCGACGATACACATATTGTTTCTTCCACTCGGCGAATTTAGGAAAGCTAATTTGTGTATCGTGACACTGATCGAGATGACACGCTCGAGGTCAGGGAACAATGCTGAATGTGATGATCTATACATCACCTCACAGTAAACCCCCCATCAACCCTGATATCCGCCCCATTAATCATCCCACTCGAGTCCTACATCGTCAGCATAACCACCAACCACAAAATACAAGAACATACCTGACACAAAAAAACAGCCGCATCAGCCACCTCATCCGGGCTCGCAAACCTCCCCGTCGGAATACTCTTCAAAAACTCCTCTCGCACCGCATCGTCTCCCCACGCTCTCTGCGCAAGCGCAGTCCACGCCACAGTCGGCGACACACTGTTGGCTGTGATACCGCGTCCGCCCCATTCAGACGCCATGCTCCGCGTTAGACCTAGTAATGCTGCTTTTGACGCGCAGTACGCCCCGTGTTGGTGTAGTGCGATGTGAGCGGCTTGGGAGGCGATATTCACGATTCGACCCGGTGGGGGTGGGTTTGGTGAGGATTCTGCTGATTTCGATGCGGATAGGTAGAGCCGTGCGAATGCCTGTGAGCACAGCATCGGCCCGAAGACGTTGGTGGTGAGATGTTTCATTGTTTCGTTGGGGGGTGTGCTTTCCATATCACTGAGCGATACGTAGCCTGCTGTATTGAGGAGGATGCTCGGGAATGCTCGCTCTGTTAGAGATGAGGATGAGGGTGCTACGATTTCCTGTTCGAGGCTGTTGAACGCCGACTGCACGGATTCCGGCGAGGTGATGTCGCATTCGTATGTGTGGAGGTTGTCGGCATTGCCGTATCCTGCTTCGAGGAGTTCATCGCGACGGCATGATTCGAATGGGGCGTAGAGAATGGCCAGGCGGGCGCCTTGCTGTCGCAGTTTCTTGCCGATGCTGGATCCGAGGCCACCTGTTGAGGTTAGTATATTTTATCTTATAACTGTAGTCTTGGGATTGTAGATACCTAGACCTCCGGGGAGTATGGCTAATCTGCGCGCCAATGCCATTGTATAGGATATAAGGAGCTGTAGCTACAATACGAATGATATTTTATTGACTGGGATAGGGGAATGAAGTCTTTGACAGGCTGCTGACCCCTCATTATTAATGAAGCCCGAAGGAAATGATCAGCAATCCGAATGACATCACCAGTCCAGTCGACTGAGGTGTAGAGTAATTACTGTATGCAAGGCTAGATATCAGACTATGAAATAACAATCATTATGTCTGAACCAACCCAATAAAATAGCAACATGCCGCGCAATCTTTGTTCTCGTAAACATAGAATGCTTCTTCAAAGCTAATTGAACTTTGGGCTGAAACCAGGTGTGGAATGCGGGGTTGAATAAACCCAATCTCACCATTCCACGCGAGAGCCACTTTACCCACAAGCTACTAATCCATCAAAATGCACCATCAGGAAACGACGTAAATGATCTTTAATGTCTGATATGGTGATCTACTCATCATCCAGATGTCTTTACATTGTCGGAGACACAATCATTCTGCATATGCAAAAGCCACAGGATGAATCAGCGGCAGCCAAAATCATCCAACTTTTCGAACCATTTACTCTTTCGTGATCGTATGCAAGAGATGTACAAGACCGAAGTCGAAGTGTACGAGAAACTGAAAGATATACAAGGAAAGGATATTCAACTATTAGCATGTGTTACTCTGTCTGGGTCGTCACAACTCAACAGTGAATATGCCCACATTCCTGGCATCCTTATGGAATGATCCCATTCGGATTGTCAAGGTCATCGGGGAACGGGGAATTCTGAATAAGGATGTTAAAACAAGGAATTTTATTGTTTACCGGGATAAAACAGTGAGGTTCACTGTTTCTATGATTGATTTTGCACTGTGAAAGTTCCGCAGGGATTATCAAGATTACAAGGATTGGAGAAGATCAAAGTCAAGCCAGGATGGAGCGGGTGCAGTGGGATACCTTATGCAGAAATATCTGAAGGGGGACTTTGTATATCGCCAGTCTAATGCGTCCAGGAAACTGGATGAATAGTTCAAGATGGAGGGATGAGATGTTCTATAACTTGAATTGAGCTGTCTATAGTCGTACAAGAATAATGGCTAATATATACAGTAAGCTAAATCAAAGAAGCGCTTTCCTGCCAGAAATCCGACCCACTCTACATACCTCAAGCGCCCATTCTGGACATTCGACTTCACAACCATCCAGTAAAGTTTCAGCTCTCCTCACAGCATCTGCATCGCTGCTCTCTTCTCCGGTTCTCAACAGAGACCGCGACACCATCACCGACGCAGCCGCACGAAGCCAGTCCAGGGCCATACCTTGAAGCTGAGGTTCGCCGATAGGGCTGTGATATGTGATCGTCGTATCATCGAACTTGGCCTTGGTGACTTCCTCCAGCACCGTTTCTGTCGCTGAAAGACTGATTCCAGTTGGTGCAATGCCGGCAATCATGATTCGGCAGATTTCGAAGAGGACTGGGGGACCAGTATGGGGGGTGGCGGTCCACCCTCGGTTGTCGAATTCCTCCCATTGCAGGTAGCCACCGGGTTCTGGTATTGTGAGCAGATGAAGCCAATTGGATCTATGGGTGACATACTTAGAAGGGAAGTCAGGTTGGACAGAGCTGTTTGGTATTGATCTTTGGCAAGAGCCAAGAGTAGAAAACGGACATGGACAAGATCGTAGCGGCCATGCTCCTCGGCCGGGAATGGAGTCAGCACATTATGGACGGTGAACTTGAACTCATCGTCAGCTGTGATGGGAAACTGATCGGCTGAGATATCGAATCCATGGTATCGTCGGGGCTGGGCAGTGGGATATTGTTGTCTTAGCATTTTGGCCACATCGTGAAGCCAGATCCTGAGGATGTCAGCAGAGAATTGAAGTGGAATCCCGCGATATTGTACCCTGTTCCTGTGCCAATGTCGGCAATAGCGAATATTTCTCCTGGCGGAATTAATTCTTCGAACAGCGGTTTGGTGTACTGTTGTATGAATTCATGTTGCTTGTCCAGTCTGACAAAGTGTTAGTTGTCTTTACCTAGTACATTGGACCATGCCTATATACCTTTTGGACTCCGTTCCATCCCGCCTCAGAATATAAATCTCCTCGGACTGCGGTGTCATCTTCAATCGCAGATAATCTGCAGTATCACTGGAGCCAGAGCACGCGTCGCCCGTTATAAGCCAGCCGTTTCTCGTCATCATCCTTAGCTTCGGTTTTAGGGTTTAAGCTAGTCCTGCACAAATGCTGATATGTGAATATTGTGCTCATGCCCAGGCTTCAGCCACCTGTCAGAACCCGCCTGGCATGTAGAGTCACCATGCAGTAGTTGAACTTTGCTTATGTTTATAACGTGGAAAGAGTCCGAAAAATAAGCCACCAAGCCCACGTTGCTATCTAACGGCTTTTCATTCCATCCAACCGGATAAAAAAAATTCAAAACTCCTTCCTATGTTAGCTTAAAGCTATGTCCATCAACCCCACAGTAGCGGATATCGGCGTTGCTATCCCAGTAACGATCTGCGCGGAAGGTACAATATCAGCCTAAGCCTGAAGAAAATATAAAAACCGACCTCCAGTCCACATTAGCCAGGACTACATTCTGGACTCCTTTGATATGCGTCTGAACCTGGGCATCAACTGGCTCGCCCCAACTGCGTAACTCGGCCAACGCCAGATACCAGTCACGGTAGCAGGCGGATAACAGTTTGGCGACTTCATAGAAGGCGGTTTGAACTGGGAAGCCTTGTTCAAAATAGACGTTGATCAGTTTGTGCGTTTTACCGATAATCTGGCAAAGTTAAGGGCTTTATGCCATTATCTACATAAGGACTATAGGGCGGAAACGATCTATATCGGCATAAGGGGCAATAATCGCCACGAAGAAAGTAAAGTCCGTCTTGTGGATGACTTGCTGCAATTTCGCATCGAATCTACCAGTCCTGGAGACTCATTAGATTGTGCCCTGGAATGTAGAAAGTACATACTTGACCGGCCATCCTTCAGACTCCTCCCTCGCGACTTGGTAACGCTGATTCACCCGCGCCGTTCTAGCCAAAAAAAATGCACGAAAAAGGAGGCAGCGTGACCTTGACCATCTTATCTTCGGCGAGTGTCATATTGCTGAGCTGTCTTGATTGAACTGTAGGCTAGATTAGGAAAGAGAATTAGATCATGCATGATACGAAGCGACGGGAACTTCCCATTTATACGTTGAACATCCATATCATCTGCAGGAGACAATGATGGTGCCACATGCATATGGAAGTTCTAGAATGATGTCGATACACTTATACGGAAATGGATGCCGCAGCCGGCCCTCTGTAACGATGGTTGAGCCCTGGATATCATTCCCGTTTCTGCTGTTGAACCAACAACGCTGGATGACAGCAAGGTAGATATACATGGGTAATGCAAAAGTTGACAAATGACTATGACTCTGAGAAACAGACATGTCCTATCATCGAGTATAACTCTTTTTCCCTTTTGGAATTGTGCTACATTCCTGGTACACTCTGTGGACCGTCAGCGCTCATGCATATGGCCGGATTATGGTAACATAGCTGCTTGTCATCGGATATGGAATACAAAGTCTAAAAAGGTTTATGTAACGCGATGTCAATCACGAAGAATCATCGTCAACCCCATCTTCCCACCACCAGTTCGCACAGCCAGTATATGCGGAAGATTGAGTTATATCTAAAATAGAAGCGTCATCCTAACGCCTCCCTTGCCTGCTGCAGCTCCTCCTCGGACGGCATATTCACAATCATCAAGTAGATTACTTTCTACTCGGCGTTAGTATATGGTCATATAGGTGAGTCGGACTCCTTACTTGTTTGAACATCTTCTGCACCATACCCACTGGACCAATGCCAGTCAATGGTCCTGTCTTGTGATCCCTAGATGCCCTTCGACTCTCTCGTCCGTATTGTTCTCTCTCGCTCATCGAATTTTGCCCATGCTCTACAGGACTCAACCCTCTTGGAACAGATGCACTACCCCTGTTGGCGATCCCACCGATCAGTGTGCCTATAGGACCTTGTCTTCTGTTTTCCATAGGACCTGTGAGTACACTCCCTCTGGCCAATCTTCCATTTCTGGTCTGATCCGCTAGGGCCCCTCGTCCGGTCATGCGGAGCACATTCTCCCGCGTCACGTATCCTCCTGTGAGGAGAGCGATAGGAGAACCACTGCTTGCGGGATGGTTGGGATCTGCGTATCGGGATGTAAAGGTGGGTTGAGGGCCTTGGTTAAGGGCGCTGTCGGGGTTTTTCGCGATCTATACAGTTAGCATAATATAGTAACACAAAGCATGGACGTACAAATTTAGCTTGAGCTCTCTTGTCAAAATAATTAGCAGCAAACTCTTTCCTCCGCTTTGCCGTCTCTTTGAAAGTCTTGTTCTTCTTCTTTGTCTCTTCGTCGGTAGCAAGACGATCGACAACGGGGAAGACCAGTGGTGCGACTTCGGGGAACATCTGGTTACCGTATGAATCGGCATTCGCAGCTTTGAGTTTATGTTTTATTTTTCCCAGTCCAGATCCACCTCCTGTCATGGCTTTAGAAATGGTGTTTTTGATGTCGACTTGGACAAATGGATCGTCGATTTCAGGGTTCCAGGTCATCAGAAGACAGAATAGACCACGCGGGCGGAAGAAGTCGCGGTTGATTGCGTCAATGAAGTTATTAGATCTGTAGATGTTAGTATTATGTATCTATATGGGTATATCTAACTTGCCTTCTTCTTCCATCAACTTCAATGGCAGCTCTTGTCACCAGCTGAATGGCGATAGATACAGCAACGGAGATCGCCTCGGGCAATAGCATAGTTGGAATAGATGCCAGATTAAGCACGTTCAACCAGTTCGCACCCATACATGCAGTATTGCACTTATCAAGAAAGTCCAGAAACATGGCTTCGTTGATTCCGAAATCCTCCAGAACCGGGGCATAAGCACGCACAAAACCTCTTGCACGCGCTTTCGGTCGACGCTGGGGCAGCACAACAGGATAAGGCAGTCTGGGTGGAGATCTTGTCGCTTCATCGTAGTCTGGAGGAGGATATTGACGAGCAAATAACTCTGCCATAGCGACATCGTCGACGGGTTCATGTGTTGTTGGCGATGCGATCCCTCGGAGCTCATCCTGTGCCTCGTCTAGATCCCACTGGAGCTCGTGATCTTGATCGGGGTCCTGTCTAGCTCTGTCTGAGGATTCGTTGTGGTCAGATGGAATGATTCCTCTCTCTTGGTGTTGGGTGGTGTCTGCATTGTTGGCGTCTCGTTTCTTTGCTTTGCTGGCCGAGATGCTTTCAGATACAAGGCCGATGCCTGCACCGACATTTTGAACTAGTTTATTAACGATAGGCATGATGGATGGATTGAATGATGAATTGAAATGGACGAGCATGAGTTAGAATCGACTTTCTTATAGCTCCCGCTCTTCGGTTTCGTATAACATGGTGGGCCTTAACAGGTGCAGATCATTTCTCAATTCAGGAACAAGCATTAAGCCACCGTTAGGCAGATGCTTATTCATTGGCTCTAGTTATATAGAGTGGGGCAATCTGCTGTGCCTCACAGCCATCCTGTCCACGGTCACTTCGCTTTCGCTTAATGTATTGTTATGTTTAATGTTTTAATATTGCTATCATTTAAATCCATATTTGGTAAGATGCCTTTTAACAGCCCTCAGCTCACCCAGGTCAGCAAGATCTGCTTCGTGTGGCTCAATCTCTTCCATATTGAAGGGATCAACCATGTATCTGAGCCAGTGTCAGCATCCAGCTCGGAGCATATCGCGAAGAACTGACAATCTCCGGCTCTGAGTGTCGAACTCTATATCGACTGGGGCACCACCACCATGCTTTATTCCTTGTCTGCGAACTGCCCTGCTATTCTGAGCATAATCCATCTATCAAAGAGATGTTGAACTAACCGAAACATATCCTCAAATTGCTCTATCAACTCAGGCATCTCAGATTCGACAATGTTTCCTTTTCGGGTCGCATCAGTCACGATGTCGGGGTATTTGTTGGTGTAATATTTGGCCAGGACCAAGATGCCCAGATATCCACTCGGAAATTCGAATTTATCGTCCTGCTCGAGTTCGGTGTGCGTAATATATCTCGGGGTGTATCCAGATGGCGAAGCCTTTTCAAAGACTCGACATTCCCGACGGAACACTTCAAGGCTTCTTCTTACTGTTTGTTCTTGTTCCTCTTTACTGAGTAAGAAAGGATCCGTTCTGTATGAAGACTTGTTAGCTTCAACCATACGAAACAGACATATCGCGAACTCCACGCGTAATTTCACAATCACAGCTTCCCCAGTACCGACATTCTCTCCTTCAAATTCGCCTTTACGTTGGTTGTTGTACCAGTTTTCAGACAGAATTCTGGTTGGACGGAATCGATGCTCGCCAACTTCGAATATGGTGTTTTCAAACTTTTTCAGCGTAGACCCCGCGGGAAATTTGAAGGGGTCAACTCTCTCCATTTTATCGCACGTGTAGAAGCGAAACAAATAATACAGAGGAAAAGGTAACAAGGCGAGGGGGGTTGGAAAAGGCGTTTTATTCATGACATCACAGGTCCCGTAGTTAGCCATGGAACATTGCATCGGCATTGTGTAAACATCATGAACGCCCGGCCAAAATAACTCAATTACCTTAGGCCCGAGCCCATAGTCACTGTATTGTGCGTTTTCGATCAAGATCAAGCCATCTGCAAACGGGGAATATGCATGGCAATATGCGATCCGTCGGTACAAGGGAAGAATCCGGGATGCTAGATTTACATGGAGATCAACAACGAGTTAGTGCAAGATTCCCTTTCATCTCTAGCTATTCCAGTGCTGATAGACTCTTTGCAGATCTACCATCAGCTCCCCCCAGCTCCCCAATCATCAAACAGACATGATCACGCCTAGGCTGCTGTGTGGCTGCCGGATGCCACATATGATCCATTCGTCTGACAGTTCGAACCTTTTGGTTAGTGTATGTAGACATACTAGATCTCGGCAAAAGGTACTTACCACGGCTGGCCCAACCTTAGGAAAGTTCCACGTATTACCGGATGATATGAGCGCCAAAAAGAGCATCGCTTCGCGAAGGCTGACTTTGCCCTGGGGTGTCGAGCATTGGTCATGCTTGATGACGGGCGAAACTTCGAAGATGAATTGACTGCGTCTCCGGACGAGCATGGTCTCGTTATACGTGCTGATGAACCCGTACCTCGTGCCACAGTCGTCCATGTACCGGACGGCTTGGCCTAGAACCAAATCAGCCTTTATGCCAGTCAAATATCAGTGCTGACATAACAGAGCTTACCTAGAATGCGACGAGTATCGTAAGATTGGGCATCAAGAGGCTCCCCCGTCCAGAAGGTCTTTAGCTCGCCGACAACACGAATTCCTTCGTCCGCCGTCTGGACCGTCATGTCCTGCATTCTCGCTGCTTTTGATGTGTCCAGAATTTCGAGTTCTCAGGCAAGGAGAAACATGGACGGTCTCCAGAGTGAGAATCTGGCAGCAACACTGATCATGCTAAGTATACAGCTTCACGGAGCTTATGCCGTTAATCATAGCTAATCCACCTTGTTCGCAGGCCGGGTCTGGCTCATATGCACCTTCCGATGTCATACTTCTAGCAAAAGCTCCGACAGTCATTGCCGGAAGTATCATACCATAATTCAAACTTTTCGACGGCTCCGAGCGAGAACCCCAAGTGACGGCAGGTGCAATTGAAAATTGACACCCGACACAATCTGATACCTACAACGATGTTCATTACTGTTAGGCTTCGGAACGTTTGATAGCTTCCCACCCAGCTATGTGCGGTATGATCAATGAACGCTTGAAGGAACTGTTCATCGGCCGGTGCATGGTCTCGAAGCCCATATTGCGGGAGGACAATCTCTTGGATAGGTAATTTGTTGAGGAAGGGGTGTCAATTGGTAGAGGTCACCATCCATACGAGCCTAGGGGGTTGACGATACATCACAGCTGTGGGCGAAGGATGAGGAGATACCGTCGTTTTAGACGCCCACCATGTATGTCGACGGGCCATACTACCACCTTCCGAATATCACCTGGCTGAACGAGCCAAAATACGAAGAACCAGCATTCGCGACTAACAATGGGGGTGATGAGCGTCAAAGAGTGTTCAACTCGTTTTTTGGCAATAATTGCTGTCATTCCCGGGTGGGAAGAGAAGATGAAGATAATGAATCAACCTACAGTCTAGATTGCGTATTTCCCACGCTGGCCGTCAAATTGATTGTTTTTCTTGTACCATTCTAACCACATTATTGTTTCGAATCGTTTTCAATTCCAGCGAGAAACAGAACCACATTCATCGCCACCATATCTGCATTGTCTTCATAATGTGATGGATCGGGGTTAATCCGCTGAAGGGCAGAGTCCAGATACTCTTGCGACCATTTCAAGTTAGAGGAAAATTCCATACACATTTCCTTCATGGCAAATCCATCCTGTTCAAAGTGTCCTTGAATTGTTAGAATCCGCCCTGGGTAGTAGAGTCCTTGTATAGGACAAATGTCGGTGTATCCTGTCCTCATCCATGGCGAAGGGAGATTTGCAGATAATGCTTCATTGATGCCATTCGTATCTCTCCCAGATCTAGAAATCACCCAATCCCCATGCATCATCTGTAACGTCACACCATATGGTAACGTAGAAAGAATTGGAAAGCATTTTGCAAATGCTGGATCTGTCTGGATTGTATATAACCCAGCCTCACGCCCCAATAGAGATTTTTCAACGATAACATCATTCGGTAATAAAGCCTGAGCAATGACTTGATGTCCAAAGCACGATCCAAGCATGCGAACACATGGATACTTGTCGAATATATGCCGAATGTACTTTTCCAGATCAACAATCCAGGGATATTTATCTGTTTCGTAGGCACCTGGCGGAGCACCAGTTATGAGAATAGCATCGATAGGGTCATCTTTGGTTGTTTCATTTGTGGTTGTTCGAAGGTGCTCGAGTGGAGGATATACGCCTGCCAGCAAGTCATATGCAGTGACATGCAGTTTAATGTCGTATTTTTCATATTCTTTTATGTGACTCAGTTGAGTCACTGCTTTCTGGAGGATTTTCTCGAATTGTGCACTGTATAATCCCCGCGCGGCGTATAATGCCGGAGCGGGGATATCCGCGTCGATGATGGCGAGATGGATCTTCTTTTGCATGTTTGCTCTGTTGTGCCTTGACCAATTCGAGAAGAGGGTGATTATTTCAAGGATGTTGATTTAAAGACTGCAACATGCTGATCCTGACAATCCAATCGCGGGGAATATAAAGGGTTCGGGATTTTCCGAGATTCTTCGGGTTTGTTTCCGATCGTCTGCAGCCATTTTCGGACATTTCCGGCGGGGTATTTTTAATATATGCAGGATTATTGGCAGATAGAGTATATTGACTTTATTTAGGACTGCGTATTGCCAGGGATCGATAGTTTTATTTATATCATGCATGTCCATTATCCTGGAAATATATATCTGATCACTTGACCCCTCGAAACCCCTAGCGTGCTGATATACACGGGATACCGCAATAACAATAAATCCAATATAATTCTATAAAAGCATCAAATGCAGGTCTAAACTATTTACAGGATAATTTACTCCGGGAAGGGGAATCCATATCCAACCAGGAAGGCAGGCTCATCGATGCTATGGTGTTGATAACTGCGACAGTTAGCGTTGATTCACAAACATAATGGACAATCTCACCTGAGGACGCCAACAGCACCAGGCTCAAGCATCATCGAAAGGGGGAAATCCATGGGATATCCCAGCCAGCGCTTGGTGAATGCACGGAGGGTATGGCCATGGGCAACGAGGACAACATCGCAGGGGTTCTCGCCGTGCATGTTGCCAGCGTGGATGGCGCGAATTTCCTGAATGAGACTGTCCAGACGGTCTGTGACTTGTTGAGGAGATCTATATTGTCAGTATTGTTTATATAAAAGGTGAAGCAATACTCACTCTCCCTCCTCACAGCCATCAGCCCAAATATCCCACTCCTTGTCGGCGTCAAGACCATGCTCCTTTCTCAACGCTCTGATCTCCTTGGTCAACAGTCCCTCATACAGACCATACCCCCATTCGGCAAGTCGCTCAGTGTCAGACACCTTGTTGGCATCCCTCAGCTTCTGCTTATCCGCATCGCTGAAGGAAATGTTAAATGTCTGCTGCGCTCTCTGCCGAGGACTGATGTAGACATGCGCCAACTTGGCGGGGTCAATCAATTTGCCATCACCGACAATGATCTTGCCAGACGCGAGGACCTGCTTCTCGCCGTGCTCCGTGAGTGGGATCTCGGAGACGCCCGTGTAGCGGCCGCTCTGGGACCACTCCGTCTGGCCTGTGTGTGTTAATTACGTATGCGGGGTGGTGGTGGATGGACGTACCGTGGCGGTAGAGGAAAACGCGGGGAGTACCGGCGTCCTTGTCGGGCATTTTGAATATTTTGATATTAATTGTTGTATGTTACTTGGTCGTTGAGATTGGAATAATGAGGGGTAATTAAGATTGTGGGAATAGGCCGAAAAGGTTTTTCGGTCCCGCGATTTGATTTGGTCGTTCTTCACCGGTGGACGAGATGGGAGTTATGAGGCACCATCATGATCAATTATTCTATATTCTATAACATCTAATATACAAGAATGAGTTCATTGAATTGCAGCACTTGGACGTCTTTGATATGTTCATTGTTGATAATTGACATTGTGATGCTTCGATCTAACCCGAATCGGCATTTTTGTTATCCACTCTTTGGAGAGCCAGACAATAATAGAGATTATTATAAAAGAACTACTATATACCATTGAGACGTTGTTAATCAGTGGAACTGCGTTGGTTTGCGTAGTGTAGGCACAGAAGAATGTACTTTCCCTTTTCGGTGTTCCTGCCTATGCCATGCAGGCATCACTGCGTCATCGCGGGAATTTGGCACCATGCTGTATTCTAGTCAAGCCGCCTCTGAATTAATAAACCAGAAATCAGAATAATCTAGCAGCATGACTGACGAAATCACCAACCTAGCCCACAAAGTCCGAGCAGAATGGACAACATGCCAAAACTACAACGACTTTGCCGCCATGATCGGGCCGGATACCGTGAGAACCGATGGTTTCATCTAGCTATTCAAGCCACCCACGACTGATTTCACTGCGTGGATCAAAGAAGAAGCAAAGACCTGGTTGGAGATGGTTCAATGCTGGTTGCATCGCTTGTACTACAAAGAAGTGAGCTGGTTCGAGTTTCCAATCTCGGATGACAGACTTGATGATCTGGTCATGGTCTATGGCTGCTGTGTGGAGTTGTCGCCGATTTTTAGCTCTCCCCAATGCCCTGCATATCATCGGATCATGCAGACACTGTTTCCAGTCGAAAGAAGGGATGTCTGTCTCGGATTGACACCAGAGGAAAAGCCGGAAGAAGTGATTTTCGCCGGTGCTGAAGCTGTAGGGAGGAATGGCTGGAGAGGATGTAACAATGTCGACGACTTTGGTACACTGGCAGACTTGCGAAAGTCGACTATACAGCAGCTTTCTTTGGACTATGTAGACGTCGATACGAATTTCATTTCTTGGATCACAGAAGCGGCAGATGAATATCTGGACCAGGTGCAGTGCTATCTGAAGAAGGGCTACTGGCAAGGCGTCGGTTGGATAGCGCTGCCACCGCAAAATGACCCAGAAGAAGACCATTTGATATATACATACTCGGAACTCGTGAAAGTCAGCCCGTTCTTCAAAAAGAGCAAACTGCCCGACTATCACCAGATACTCAAACGAGTGAGTCCTGGGGACGGGTCCTGGGGGTGCTCGACCTATCGTGAGCTGTACTTCTTCCGACAACCCAGAGAGGGGCAAGACATGACATTGCCTATATACAACGAGATTCTAAAAAGGTTCCACAAGTACCACCCCCGCGGTGACGGCCTTAGGCACGCTCCTGGGCCCTATATGGCTATCGTCGGCGGTAGGAGAAGCGGCAAGAGTTTCTATGTGCAGCAACTTGCTCGCCAAGGATACGCATACGTGGTGTATAGCTGTGTGGCACATCGAAACAGCAAAGCCTTCCCGACACGATCTAAAATGGCGAATGACCTGGGGAAACATCAGCACGAACGGCACTGGGAATGCTATATCGTCGCCGGTCTCGCCAACGTCCAGATTTGTAGGCGACTCGGCATTAGCCCACGAGTGTTCTTCGATCTACAAGTGAAGGAAGAGTTCCATGATTTTCAACGGAAACTATCCCAACAAATTTCGGATTTTTACTTTGCAGTGCGCAGCATGGAAAGATATGAGTGTCCCAAGCCAAAGATGGGTAGCGGAAAACAAGAGTACGAGTATTTCTACGAAGCGCTCGAGACCTGTATCCAGTCTTACAAAGTCGAGATGGAAAGAATGTTTGTGCAAATTCACGCAAAGCTAAAGATATACCAGGAATATCATAATTCGCTCGACCCCACTGCACCCGAGATAGCTCTCAAAGAGGGCCATCCGGCGGCGCTTTTCTGCATCGATGAAGCCTGTGATCTCGCGGTGGATATAGCCGACTGGAGGGAGAAGTTCCAGAGAATAGTCGGTGCGCTGTTCTCCCGTTCGCAGGATCGATGGGATGCCAATGATCGGTTCTTTACGTTGTTTCTGGATCGAGAAATGCGCCAGATGTACAGTGGTTACCGGATGTTGGAGCCGCTCAATATTGACACGATGGAGGTTGATGTCAAGGATATCAAATAGCTGCCAGGGTGGGGCTGTCCTATTGCGTTTTGCTATACCGACAATTACTGTGATTTGGATTTCTGTCGTTGCTATTTTATAAATTATGCACATCTTATACAACCAAAGACATCCATAGTGACTTCATAACTACCAAGATCACGGCTTGTATCTGAATTCCCTCTTAGAGCGAAAGAAATGGACAATGTTATCCACCTCTCCTACGAGTAGATCCACAGTTCATGAGCGTGTATCTTCCAGGATCCCAGGATAAGGAGCGGGAGTTCTTAAGATACTGCACGTCGGCAATGAGACTCGACTCTAATGACAAATTGAGCCATCAATGAAAGGAAGAACTGTAGTGCCCTATTAAGTCTCGTGCATGAATCTTTGCCACACGATCAATTCCAATGCCTGATGCAGACTCATCACAACATCCTACGGAAAACACTCGGAGAACGGGACAACCACATCAAACACAGCAGTCCCACTGCACTCTGCATAACTCGGAAGAAAGAAGACATCCGTATCCGCTTAGTAACTGGAACTAGGATGATTCACACTGAGGTGGGTATAGTGTCGTTTATTTCCCGATTTGGTTAGATGGGGTGTTTGGGATTTTCGCACAGATGGTGCGCACAATGTAAAATACGGACCATAAATATGGTTGAAGTATCTCCTATGAGTGTAGTATAATGTAGTCAAATACGACCGTTAATGTAGACTTTAGAATTATACACGTTGTGGTGGGATTGACGTATCTTCGCCTGTCACGACGATTGACAGAAAGCCTAAACTGCGATGAGATAGAACCTGATCTTCCGGAATCTCGGATCGAGTGACAAATTCTGACAAGCTGAGAACAGCACAGCCGATGGTGACAGCACAGATCGACAAGATGTTAGGGTGCTAAGAGAGCAACATAGACTAAACTACCTTGCCTACCAATCAAATGCAATCCATGACACAATGATTTTCATACCTGAAGACATGATGAGGATCTAGACGATCGCCGATCCACTTGGCGTCGATATGGCACTTTGTATCTCCCGATTTTGCTAGCCGCGATCAGTTTTGATAACCGGATTACCGAATGCCGTGTTGCCGGTAGGCAGTGAAGTCTCTATTGGATATATATACAGGGAAGTTATAGGATATGGGATTTACTCTGTTACTCACTGTCGCCGTAGTATTACTTGTAGTAGTCTTACTTATACTGTTTACTCAAGTATTTCCTGGTGATTCATAGTAGAGTGTCTGTCTGTGCCTGAGATTTAGTCATAATCAGATCGGGCTTTCAGGTCTACTGAATGCCCAGTCATGGCTTTTCCACATCTGGTAAGAACATAAGATCCTTCATGAACTGGCATCCACCCTTGGTGATAGTTTCTTGTATTGTCGATCAAGTGGGCCTTTTAATCGAGCATGATGAATGGCCTGAAGCTACAGGCCAAGACTACGAGCTTCCCGATCCATCCATACCGGACGAAGCTGATTGCAGTGGATCACGATAGTTTGATAGACAGTCGAAGGATGATTCTTCCCTTGATGTTCACAGGGATGTGATGCCAAGGCAAAGGTTCGAAGTGATTATCGCCGCAATAGCGACTACCGAGTATAGGCGACTGATCTTTATCGGATGCAGGATTGGGTCCCGGCGTCTTTCTATCCAGCCAAAATAGACGAACTGTGACATATCCTGACTGCAGCATACATATACGAGGGTGATCATTAATGCCCGGCTCAGTGACATTCAATAGTTCGCACTAAGATGCAGAAATTACACGATTGATATCGCCCGTCCCACTCTAGCTGTCGAGCTGAACACGGGAACCCGGCATGCCTAAACTGGGATGCTATCATTGCCTTCGTATGGCAACTACCCCTGTCTACTGCCACTCTAGACTAGAATAGCTGAGCTGGCGATATCAGCCAGAGCTGTCGAGGCCTGATCAGCTCGGACTTGATCGTGTAGTGTGATATGGATTCTCAGTTCACCTTATCTCGCGTGAATTTTCTGCTAGTGCTCCTTGCTGTCACTCATTTATATTGCCCTTCCCTCCTGGGATATCTTCATACTCAGCACCTTCTATCTATCTATCTTAATATTTAATTCTCACTTATCCCAATGAGCGAAACCACCATCGAGGCAGTCCACTCCAAGCGGCCTGCTTCCCTCAGAAAGGTCGTCACTCGTGTCTCCAGTTGGAGCCGATCCCGCAAAGGACGCCACTTCTCCCTCAAGAAGGGCTTTCGTCCTGTTGAAGTTTCCGAAGTCTCCCCTGCCGCTTCTATCCTCTCCGACGAGTCCATCCAAGAACCTACCGTTTTCTCCCCTGGCGATAGCCCTCAAGACACCCCCGACGATACCCCCGACCTGTCGCCACAGGAGGAACCCACCAGCTTCTTCAACATGGAAGGGAAGAGTGAACTGATCGGTGCCCCTGCGACGGATAGCCCGCAGACAATCATGGATCGGTTCAGGGATTGTGTGGCTCGATATCCTGATAACCTGGCCGTTGTGTGTACGCACCAGCCGGCAGGTCTGTATGGGTGTCAGAGTGTTGCATTGGAAGATGAGGTGTATAAGAATAGTCCGTATCTGAGGTGGACCTATCGTGACCTTGCACGAGGTGTGCAGCGTCTTGTTGCTGCTTTCGGTGGAAAGGAAATTACTCGTGGCACACCGCTGTATATGTTTTCCTCCAATCGTGTCGAGTACGTCATGACGACTCTCGCTGCTTATACCCTTGGCCTCGTGCATGTTCCTCTCAACCCAACCAGTTTGGAGAATGCTGCCGAGGTGAGGCATATGATCCGCACTGTCGTTGAGTTCCAAACGTCTTCATCTGCTGTCATTCTTGCCAACGATGTTGGCATTGCCAATGCGTTGGATGAGATCAAGCCTGATGACCTCACGTGTGCAAAGATAGTCATCGACGGCACCCTTGACGGATGGGACTCCTTCTCCACCCTGATGCAAGCCGACGATGCATCATATGAATTTGTCGAGAGTGGCGCCGAAAGGTCCGTCCTCTTCACGAGCGGCACTACCTCTCTCCCGAAAGGATGTCTCATCAAAGTGCCTGCCTGGGTTGACACATTGAACTCCTCATTGAGTCTGGGGACTCTCCAACCAAGTGATCTCGTGGCCGTCGCAGTCCCCAATAACCATGCCTTTGGATGGATCTGCTTGATGATCCCTCTGCTCCGTGGAACTGCCGTCGCCTTTGCTGGTCCCAAGTTCGCACCCGGTGCTACTCTCGATGCCATCCAGCAGGAGAAATGTACTCATCTCACCATGGTCCCAACTATGCTGCATAGCATCGTGCAGGTCAAGTCGGAATATAAACAACGCACTGACAGTCTCCGGGGCTTTCTCTTCGGCGGCATGACCATGTCCCCTGCTTTCTTGAAGATGTGCCAGTATGATCTCGGTGTTCCGACTATCGAGAACCTCTTCGGAATGACAGAAGGTGTCTTCTCTTGTACTGGTATCGTATCTGATATGCAAGGCATAGTCAATGAGATGGATGTCTCCATCGGCCATCCTATCCATGGCTCTCATGTCCGTATCTGCGCACCGGGTGAACGAACCCCCTTGCCCAAGGGTGAGCTCGGACAACTTCACTTTTCTAGCTCTACCATGATCGATGGATACATGGGGAAAGACAGTGATGATTTCTACGAAGCTGACGGAAAGCCGTGGTTTATCACCGGTGACCAGGCATTCGTCGACACCAGCAACCGTCTCTATATCACAGGGCGATACAAGGATCTCGTCGTCCGTGGTGGAGAGAATTTGTCTGCAGCGAAGGTCGAAGCTACTCTTGGTGATGTTCCTGAATTGAGGTCATTGGAACCGCAGATTGTGGCTGGTAAAGATCCGATTGCTGGGGAAGTGCCAGTCCTCATCGTCAACGAGGATGTGGATCAGAGTGTCGTCAAGCAGATCAAGGACACTATTCGCGAGAGATTGGGTGTTATTTATGTTCCGAATGAGGTTATTTCTTTGCAGGCTTTGCAGTTGCAGGACTATCCTCGCACGACGTCAGGAAAGATCCAAAAGTCCCAGGTTGCGGGTGTGGTTCACAAGTATCGCGATGCAAAGTCAAAGGCAATGAGTGAAGATAGCTTGGGAGACGATCTCAAAAGCAAGGTTATTCGAGAATGGTCTCGTGTTCTTGGTCTCGAAGTCAACCAGATCGACATCAACATTTCCATCTCCAAACTGGCCGACAGCATCCTCCTGTTGAGTGCCCGTGACAGAATCAGAAAGGAAACTGGTCGCAGTGTTCCTCTGTCTGAATGGACTGCGGTCGACAGCATCGCAGAGCAGATCCAGCTGCTTGAAAATGTTTCCTCGAGCCAGAATACTCTGATGGCACAGCCTAAACGTGCTGGTCCGCCGTCTGTAGATGATATTGTTCATCTTGGTGGTGATTCGGAAGAATTTGATGCGACGAAGGCTGCTGTTGAATCTGCCATCAATAGCTATGGACTGTCATGGGAAGATGTTGACGATGTGATGCCAACGACCGACTACACTGCTGCCCTGTGCAAGTCGAGATGTATGGATATGTGCCGGATTGGATCGTCGACGATTGTCAAGGATGTCGATGGAACTGTAAGTAACTTATACCTCTCCCTATATGGATGAAACTAACTATGATAGAAACTGCGCAACGCCCTCGAAGCAGCCCTGGCCATCAATCCCATCTTGACCTCTTTCTTTGTCGGCGATGAAGACCGTCTCGGACCGGATGTGTCTCTGCATGTCACCATTGGCCAGACCAAGTCCTTCTTGGATAGATGCATCTCAGACTACGGCGTCATCAACACGATGGATGAAGTGAAGAGCATGGTGTTGAACTATCCCTTCCGTGACCATGCTCTCCTTCCTGGCCCTCTCTTCCGCGCCATGATTGCTTTTGTCCCCGAGATCAACTCTCACGTTCTCATCACCTACAGTAAGTTATCTGATACCTTTTGTATACTCCATCTAATAATAATCAGTCTCCCACACCGTCATCGACAAAACCTATCACGGCCTCTTCATGGAAGACATCGACCGCGCCCTCACCAACCAGCCTCTTCGCCCTCACGTCCCCTTCAAGCACTGGGCTGACTCCTATCACACCCTGCGCACTTCTCCGATGGCCAACACCGCCGTGCGCTTCCACGCCAACTATCTCAAAGACATCCACGACCACAAACACGCTCTGTGGCCTCATCCCACCAAGACCATCACCGTCTCTCCAGACCGCAAAGACATCGACGGCCACTTCACCTCCTTCCCTGCCCCTTCCTTCCTCCGTCTCCGCGATAAACACCCCGGCATCACACCCCCCATCATCATGAAGTCCGCCCTCGCCCTGCTCGCCATCTACCACACAAACCACACCCACGCCCTCTTCGGCAACTTCGAGGCAGCCCGCAAACAATATCCCTTCGTCCCAGACTCGTACAACTTCTCCGATGCAGCAGACGTAGGCGGGCCCACCTTCACCGGCGTCCTCAACCTCGTCGACTACCAGCCCGAAGAAACAGTCCTCGCCTACCTCCAGCGCATGCAGCACTACCAGGCAAAACTCACCCAACACGCCAGCGTCCCTTGGAACGAAGTCTTCCGCAAGCTGGGCGGCTCCGCATCTGAAGTCCTCTCCGCCGTAACCAGCTCGCTCAACTTCAACTGGATGCCCGGTCTGGGCGCGATGATCCGTGGCGGAAACCCGTACGAGAAACTGGAGCTCGCGCAGGTCAGCGCCCGGACCAATGTGGGTATGGTGGTGAATTCTGGGGCGATTGGAGATGACGGCAGCCAGATTGTGATTCTGATCCAGGGGGCTGTGTCGAATCGGTCGACGCAGTGGGTGACGAGGGTTGCGGAGCATCTGAAGAAGATTGCCCTGTGGATGGCGGATGAGCAGTCGTATGATAGGCCAGTGGGGGATTTTATCGAGTGTTTGGATTATTTTTGTTCTCTTCTTTAGTAGTTCCTATTTTAGGTGTATATAATTTCTAATATTGATATCCTCATTTGTACGGTTCATGTTGACATCATGTAATTCCATCACTTTTCGACCTCAACTTCAACTCAACTTCATCAACTACAACCAAAATGCACCATCTCCCCATCGAACTACAGCTTCACATCCTCACTTCCCTTCCCCTCCCCTCCTACGTCGGCCTCTCCCTCGTAAACCACCACTTCCACACCCTCATCATCACAGAACCCAACCCACCAACTAATCCATCCCCCGTCCAGATTCTCCAAATACCTCGCATGCACACACTGCCTCCGCCTCCGCCCTGCCACCAAGTTCCCCGACACCCAAACAAAGGGATCCCAACGTCCGGGTGATCCAAAAAGCAACCACCGCTTCTGCCTCGACTACGCCATCGCAGAGCGCGTGTATAAGCCCGCCCAACGAATTCCCATCACAAGACACATCCACCATCTCTGCCACTCGTCTGGAAGGCGAGGGCTGGTATTGTCGGCAGTGTGGTCGGTGGCAGAGTTGTCTGGAGGATGTGCTAAGGGAGTTGAAGTATTTTGGCTATATGAATACGGGTGAGGTTTTGTATTATCGGGGATGCCCGGATTGTGGTGGTGATGGGGGGATGGTGCATTTGGGGAGGTTGAAGGGGGCTACAAAGGCTTATATCGTCGGGCCTTGATCAGGGGATTTTCTGAGCTTGATTTAGTAGAGTGTGTTTGTGGATATAATGCAGATTGCATTCCACTGATTAGGCAGTGTGGGATATCGCAAGGCATCAGCCCCTTGGTATGCACAACAGGCAGCATGCTCTAAACCTCAGGCATCAACCATCTCAACGGTAGATTTATATATCTCTGAAGAATCGCCGTGATAAATATGTTATAAGCAAATCACCAGAGACAACATTATTACTAGGCATTAAGTCTCGAACATGTTCTCCAAACTCAAAATGTACACTTCAAGCCTCCGCACCTCCAAGAACAAACACATACAATCCGTGCTGTCTGAACTATTGCCTCTTATTTTCTACAACCCTTCCCGCAATACTTGATTGTTCTTTATTGGAGGCACGAATCATGACTTTTACGACTGTAACGAATCCCCCGGCTTTGGCAGAATAATTGCACTTTTTCACATCCATCAGCCTCCACTGGTGTAGCATCAGCAAGACGAGAATGACAATTCTGTACTTTTACGAGTCAGTATGTATGCCATGCATGGGTATCCTCTTCGCTTTCGCTAATAGTAAAAAGGATTTATCACTACCGATGGGATTATCAAGAAACCTATCCACATAGCAATGGAAAGAGCAACCACGTCTGCAGGCCATCCTTTACCCATTCGTTAATATCCGATTGTGTATATAATTTTCAATACTGATATCCTCATTCCGCCTTATGCGCTTTCATAAATCAACTAGACACCAGCGTCATCCCCGACAGAGCACAGCAAATCACCCACAAGCCGCAAAACACCCACATAAGCCTCACGGGTCTGATACTTGGTCCTTTCATCCGTCGTCTCCTATTATGGCAACGGAAGTAACAACCGCATCTGATGGCCATTTGGACACATGATGGACACCAAGTCATTGGATAGGATTGAGACGTCACACCTGTCACACTGCAAGACCATCACTTGATTGCCAGATGGCCAGGCCCCCATCATCTCCGTCTTCATTCTTGGGCCATTTTAGTGAAATTGAGTTTGTCGTGCATCCTCGCAATCCGTATAATTTTGCCACTTTCAATCAAGCCACTCAGAACCCTGCTGGCAATGCTATTTCCAGATATTGTATGTTGATATTTGACATCACAACCTCAACATGTCTCAATAACGGCAAGACACAATCAATGATGGTATCAGATTGAAACGGCAGCTATTCTTAGTCGACAGGTGGCTGTGAAATGTGGCCACAAGGCCAGAGATCTGCAACAGCAACGATCGGCGCTTTTTCCAAGGATTCCAACGGCCCAACTCCACATTGTTTCTCCGTCTAAATATAATGCGAATCAAAGCCAATCAGGGGTGCCCATCGGGTGACAGATCAGTGCCGTGTCTCGGATAAATGGAGCCTGGTTCCATTGGATTCGAGTGTTCTTAATGAATCATTGTGTATTCAACAGCTGTAGCGTGATAGATGGTTATGTTCTATTGTAGCTATTCGTGTATGAATGATCTATCATAATGTTTTTGATGTCTAATACATATCATGGCAGAGTTAAAGTAATAAGCATTGGGGGTGATGTGGGCCGGGGCACTAACTGTTTCTGGGTGTTTCTCCAGAGTGGGTCAGACCCTGAAGATTATTGATTCTCCTGATTCTTCTTATTCTCTATTGATATTCATTATTTGATTATGATATCAGTCAGTCATTATAAAAGACCCATTCCCACCCTCCCATCACTTCATCATCCACAACCATCTTCAACACCAACTACTCATTCCAACTCTATCTCTTTCCAACTCTGTCATCATGCAGCTCAAGAACTTCGTCCTCGCCGCCTCGGCCGCTGCCACTGCTGCTGCTCTCCCCTCTGCCTCCAGCAGCTCGGCCATTCCCTCCTCCGCCGTCCCCTCCACTGCTCCTTCCGCCTCTGCCTCTGCTGCTCCCCTCGGCCAGAAGCCCTTCAACGTCCTCTCCATCCACTCCGGTGATGCCGTCCAGTACGCCGCCTGGAACGCCGCCAAGGGCAGCCTCTTTGCCGGCCTGAAGTCGCAGAACGCCAGCTGCGCTCGTCCCCAGGAGCAGTCGGCCACTTTCTACATCCAGGACGGTGCTCTCTTCCTCTACAAGACCGACTTCCCCACCCAGGAGTTCTACGTTGACCGTTCCGGCATGGGTAAGCATCCACCTACTTCATTTTATCAAGAGAATCAGAGTCTAATTCAATCTGTATAGGCCAGGGCAAGATCGGCTACACCACCGGCGCCCAGCCCACCCCCAGGAACTCCGAGCGCCAGGGATGGGCTATCGACGCCAACAACCATCTCCAGTTCGCTGGAAAGAACCTCATCGCCTGCCCCAACAGCATCGACGGTGCCTACAGCATCTGGGCCAGCGCTGGCACCAACACTCCTGGCTACAACAAGGGCTGTGTGGGCATTGCTGCCCGTGTTGAACAGGCTAAGAACCCCAACGCTTGCCAGTACACTCAGTAAGCTATGTCTTTATAAGAGAGACTTGGGGAATAGTATATAGTCGGGAATGATGGATGTTCACATACTCATCTTTCTCTCCATCTCCATGTCCATAGAAATCTGTGATACCATTGAAGATATTTGACCTCAGATTCACCCATATAAATGATATTCTACAGTTGTCTATTCACAGAAAAATAAAACGGATTTACGCGTAAAGTAGCCAAATATTATCAGCTCGAAATCAACAACAGCAGTCTCCCATAAACAACATCCCCCATCATTATCCATCTTACCCTGATTGAGTGTTCAATTTTTCAACTCTGGAGCACAGTCACAGTTAGTATATAAACCAATATAACCACTGATAGTATTAATGAAGTAGTCAACATCCCGTTCCTTATTATACCCAAAGTAGGACTTCCACCCGACAGTACCTTCATGTCTTATAGCATAAAAGTGTTGTTGTATCTTCCAGTGTTTATAAATAACAATCCAAGGACGGCTTCGGTTGTTCAGGCGGTACAAACTGCCTTAAACATGGGAAATGCCGATAATAAGGTTATCCAGCCCCATCTTAGATCGGTCTGGGCCAATCGGAATGCTGCGTTCCATCTTTGTTTATTTGTTCCCCACAACCTTCTCTCACAATGTCTAATCCCTCATCTGAGTCAGATAGACTCAACTACCCTGTGCCATGGGCAATCTAGGTAAAATAATCGGATACAGTGTACAATAGTGGTTCTATCATCTCAGCTAATGGATAAAGTCCCTGTACACGAAGATGGGGTAGTAAAATGGATCAACAAAAACATTGCACACCAACCATTCTACTAGCACGACATTGCTAGGTGTGAAGATATGACCAGTTATACTTGCATAATTAGTCTACAGATATCACCAAATCAAACACAAACGGAATCTTGTTCCAGGCCATGGATGCTGCCACATATCATCGTTAGACGGAACGGATCGGTCCAGATCGTCGATTTATCCCAATTGGATCTCTGAATCAAGATGGTTGCAATTCCACTCATCAGTGGGGTGGTCAACTGCTGTGTAACAATGTTCTCCATCGGATGCATCTCACTGAGTCGACACTATCGATCATCACATGCACTTCCATAGTCGGCGATGATCGTCAACTGCCCATCCTTGCTTCAACTTCTCATCATTCTTATACCGACAATCCATCCATCTCATTTATCTAAACATGGGCGATATCCAAAACCAGGCCAAACAGCTCACCAGGGAAATCCCCGCAGTACCCGCACCATGGTTAGGCACGAAAGGCGAGGCTTTCTTTTCCGTCGCTTTGATGTCAGCTTCAAAGGGCCTGTCGCCAGGGACGTATGGCCGTTTAGAGGCGAATTCGAGTGTCGCGGACCCTGAGATTAGTGGGGAGTTTGCTGGCGGTTTTGGGCTGTGCATGTTTGTGCGATATACACAGTCGCCTGTTGGTGAGTATTATATAAAACAAGGCAGATTGCAACTGACAGAATAGGACCATACGACGAGGTTCTCTGGGCTCCTGGATATTTCAAAGTCCCTGCGACTGGCAAAAAGCGAGAGAGGATAACCAACATCTATGTTTCCTCGGTGGACTCGGTTTACAACGGGCGCAGAAACTGGAATATTCCAAAGCAGGTGTGACTCAACTATATTCACTTCTCATACACTGGCTAATTGGTATCCAGCTCGCCAGCTTCAAATTCCACCCATCAGACACCAAATTCCCCCCATACAAACGCATCGAGGTCTCTCTCCCTGATAACACAGATAATCCTTTCATCTCTCTCGACCTAAAGCCAATGTCTTTGCTATCTCGCCCATTTCTGCCACTATCCACTTCATATATTCCCCTCTGCCTCGACATTGTCATCCCCCCCCTCCCGGAAAGCGAGAATTGGAGGGAAGATGGCCGGGTGGGTTCGCATGATGGTGAATGGAAGACAACCCGTGTTGGGATGTCTGGTTGGGGAGGGATGATGAAGGCCGGTGGACGTCTCGGAAATGGATCTGACTTTCCGGAGCTGAAGAGGGATGGGATGTGGTTCTGGGTTAGGGATTTAGATATGTCGTTTGAGACGGTGGAACATGAAAAGAAGGATTGATTGTCCCAATGCCTTGGGTAGTTGTTCATAAAGTAGGGAGCATTGACACGATGCTCTCGGGCAGAATATCCAGCATATCGTCATACATGGTCGAACGGATGTCCCTGGCAATCTCCGATTGAGTTGCTCGTGATGGTCTATATTCGTTAGTCCAGTTCATCAATATGATATTAGAGACATACGGATAAATCCTGCCATACGCAAAGAAACGCCCAGCATTGGCAGCCTCCATTTTCACCAACGCATTGCAATACTCATAAGCTCCATCCACTGGCGTTCGACTAAACAGTCCTTCAAACCAGTATGCAATTCCCTGCTGGTTGAAATCTCGAAAAAGTGTCGTTTGACACCATCCGGGAGAGACGCTGGATACCAGCACTTTGTCTGAGTCGACTCGCTGGGCTAGTTCCTGGGCCCAGAGCACGACTAGTAGCTTTGTGATGTAGTATCGCTCCTGGCACATGTATTTCTCTGGTGTATTGAGGTTTTCTAGTAGATCAGGAAGGTTGCTTTCCTTGGGGTTTGCCCAGGCATGAGCTTCTGATGACACGAGCAAGAGACGTCCTGGCTGTGGAGCCCGTGATAGCAGAGGAAGTAACAGAAGGGAGAGAACATAGCTGCTGAGGAAGTTGACCTGGATAGACTCCTCCCATCCATTCTCCAGACTGTTATATTCAGTTCGATATACCCCAGCATTCAATATCGCCATGTCCAAGTGTGACCGTTTCCCTATTTCAGCACTGAACATGCGCAGTGATTCAAACGATTCGCAATCAACGATCATCGACTCAAGCGTGGTCTTTCCGTCTGACTGCATTCCTGCTTCTTGGATTTTATCCAGCATCTCTTGTGCTCGGGGTGCATTTCTCGCTGTGAGAATCAAGCGGCAACCTACTCGGGCGAGGATCCTGGCGCATTCTAAACCAATTCCACCACTTGCGCCGGTGATGAGAATGGATTTGCCTTGGAGTTGTGCCAAGTCAATATCGTCCGATGTGAGCCCTTTTGATGTAAGGATGCGGTACGTAAAAGGAATCGGGCCATCTGGATCGAGACTGAGGGTGGAGCGATTGAAGAGGCTGAACTGCAGCATGTGAAACGGTGATGGGGTCATCTTGGTTAGTTCTTAGTATTGAGTAGCTGCCTGTGTAGATGGTGTAGATTAGATGAATACTCGGACAGATGGGTTCATGCTTGAAAGGTATTATGTAACTCTATCTCAAGATTACTTTTTTCAACCCACTATCTATGATGGGCTGAGACAAGCTAGACACTAAAGAAAGTGGGTATCTCCAAAGTCTCGTATTTTGCTGTTCAACCCTTCTCCTTGCATATGAAGCTATTCAAGTGGATCGGAGACTAAGCCCCATCGACAATGATTCTGCAAATAAAGTTGCGTATATTAAAGCCACGGGCACACCGCATGTTGACAGCCTGGATTAAACGAACCCTTTGGATCAAACTAGTGAACACTCTATAGTGGGTACAGTGGCGATTGGGCCGGCTGAATAGCCTCAGAGTGGATCTAGACGATCGAGGATCTGCAAGATGGCGAATATTTGGCATTTACGCAGTTCACCGCTACATTTCATTTCCCCAGCTGAACTTGGCAGTGGTTATAATCCGTAATTCATATTTTGCATTTGCCAATGCGATGACTGCCATCTTTGACACTCGATCATGGCAGTGAAACGAGAGATAATGGCCCAAATGGCCTCGGCAGATTTACATCTGACGAATTGGGGCACCAATTTGTACGTAACGGAGCCTGTTTGACACTGATTCCGACTGACTGTCGCAGTTACTGGGCCGCAACGGGCATTTTCAATGTCGCTGCTATCGCCTTCTTCGCTGCAGGACTGGCAAGTCGCAAGCATCTCGTCCGAGTGCTCTACTTTCTCTCTGCACTATCGTGCTACATAGCATGCCTGGCATACTTTGCCATGGGCGCCAATATGGGCTGGACCGCAGTCCAAGTCGAGTTTCCGCGCGATCATCGTCTTGAGGCTCCTCCAACCCGGCAGGTGTTTTGGGTGCGGTATATTTTCTGGTGATTCTATCATCCATACTTATTATGCGCAACACATACTGATTTAGTGCTAGGGCTGTGGTGACTCCGCTGTCAACCGTCATGCTATCCATGCTCACCGACCTGTCGCCCCAGTTGATCACCATGGAAGTGGTCATGTCTCTTCTTGTCATCATCACTGGCCTCGTTAGCGCTCTCATCCCAACCTCGTTCAAGTGGGCATATTTGTAGGTCCACCCATTGTTATCCACTCCACTTCATTTCATTCGCACACCAGCTGACTGTTCGTCTCCAGCGGTTATGGCGCCGTTCCCTGGGCGGGGGTCACGTATTTGGTTATGCGGACTGGATACCAGCACATTTCCGGCAAACACCCCACCCGCCGAGGACGATACCTGGTCTGTGCCGTTTTCTGTATGAGTCTGTTTCTGATGTATGGCGTCGTATGGGGACTCAGCGAGGGGGGCAATGTGGTTAGTGTCGACGTAGAGGGGCTGCTGTATGGGCTTGCGGATCTATTCGGAATTGGGTTTAATGGGCTTGTGGTCTGGGCTGCATCTGTGTAGATGGATATCAAGATAGATTTTTTCATCGTTGCAGCCGAGCTGAATTTGACTTCCGTATATGCTTCCCAATCTGGGGCATCTGTGGGACAGCACTGCCGCTAAGTTGCAGATCTGCAGACTAGGAGAGCGGATCAATCGACGGTGAGGGACAGGTCGTGGCATTTGGATGTGTGCATAACCTGCTAGCTCGTGAGTATTAGATATAAGTATGCGTTGCAGGCAAGAATACTCAATTAACAGTATTATTTTACCATGGCACCTACAGCTATCGTTGTTGGTATGTCTGACCATAAATAAAAAGTACATTAAACTAAGGTATCAGGCGCTGGAACCGGTGGCATTGCCACTGCTGCTCGTCTGGCAAAACAGGGCTTCCAAGTCACTGTCGTTGAGAAGAACGGATTCATCGGGGGGCGATGCTCTCTCATCAGGGACAATGGCTATGTGAGTTTGTTGCGGTTTATAGAAACACCGTCACTAACAATACCAGCGATTCGACCAAGGCCCATCACTTTTACTCATGCCAGAGATCTTCCACGAAGCCTTTACAGATCTAGGGACATCTTTAGAAGCAGAAGGTGTTGAGCTGTTGAAATCAGAGCCTAATTACCGAATTTGGTTTGCGGACAATGACAAACTCGATCTTTCCACCGATATTGCCAGACTAAAACCTCAAATTGAACGCTATGAGGGAAGGGATGGATTCAATCAGTTCCTTGCATTCATGCAGGAGTCAAGACGGCATTACGAGCTGTCCTTGATCCACGTTCTGCGACGCAATTTCCCCAGTCTCTTCAGTATGCTGCGGCTCGGCTTTATGCAGTCTGTCTTCACGATGCATCCGTTCGAGAGCATCTACACTCGCGCCAGTCGGTATTTCCATTCGGAAAAGATACGCAGAGTCTTCACTTTTGCCAGTATGTATCTGGGAATGAATCCGTATGAAGCGCCAGGGACCTATTCGCTGCTTCAATATACGGAATTCGCGGATGGCATTTGGTATCCAACAGGCGGCTTTCAAAAGGTATGTTTACCATCTGAATAGAGTCATGGCTGACAGGAACAGGTATTGGAATGCCTGGCCAATGTTGGACAACGCTTCGGAGTCCACTACCGTCTCAATTCGCCTGTCTCGTCCATCATTCTGTCAGAGGATAATCGCACAGCCACCGGTGTTATCTTGTCATCCGGCGAGAGGCTTCATGCAGACGTAGTCATCGTCAACGCCGATCTGGTCTACGCATACAATAACCTCCTTCCCTCGTCTAAAGAGGCACGTCGTCTGCAGGCCCGCCCTGCATCCTGCAGTAGCGTCTCGTTTTTCTGGTCTTTCGATCGGGTGATTCCGGAATTACAACCGCACAATATCTTCCTCGCGGATGAATACCAGGAAAGTTTTGATTCCATTTTCAAAGACCATCAACTGCCAGATGAACCGTCGTTTTATGTCAACGTGCCTAGTCGGATTGATCCCACTGCTGCGCCAGAAGGGAAAGATGCCGTTGTCGTCTTAGTTCCTACGGGCCATATAACCAACGACTCAAATTCGGACGACTATGAAATCCTTGTCGCCAAAGCAAGAGAAACAGCCTTCAACATTATAGAAACACGAACTGGAGCCAGTGGACTACGCGAGAGTCTGGTACACGAATACGTCGAGACACCGTTCAGCTGGAAAGACAAATTCAATCTCGACCGGGGTGCTATTTTAGGTCTATCGCATTCATTCTTCAATGTGCTAAGCTTTCGACCGAAAAGCAAACATCCGAATATTGATGGGCTGTACTTTGTAGGAGCGAGTACGCATCCTGGTACCGGCGTCCCGGTGTGTCTTGCCGGTGGGAAGTTGGTGAGTGAGCAGGTAATTGCAGACTGGATGAGAAGGGATACAAAAGGGGCTTCTATATGGACGATATTATCTTTATTGGTCGCAGTTGCATCGTTGGTTCCATTGTGGGCTTTTCTGTCTGTTGGTTCTTTGACTGATTCTATTTGACATATACCATCTTCTATTATGCTATAAAGTATGTTACCATGTTATGTTCAATGAAGGTTATGACCCTTACTGCGACCACGGTAGACTTAAGTTAAGACAACGCAATCCTAATAATATTCTGCAGGATATAGCTTCTCTACGCAGACACTGCTCTATACGCAACCCTCAATCTCCTCCACAGCGACACCTTTGGCTTCTCAGTTCCCACTGTCGCACCTGTCTCACGCAGCATCTTGCCAATCTCCATATATCCTTCCACAGTCACTCGAATTGGTCCTTGAACCTCGCGGGGTAGCTCCCTAATAACCATTTCCGTTGAATCGTGGCATTCATCTGCCTTATCCAGCAACCTCATCTTCAGAGAATGTAGTCTTGGATCAGTAGGATGAGCAATAACATGCGAAGGCGTCATTCCTGCCTCTTTCAGCCAGGTTGTGGGTATGTATACTCGGTTGATCTCTGCATCACGAGCAACATCACGCACGATATTCACGTATTGCAATGCCTGTCCCATTTTAGTTGCTGCTCTTATAATCCTGTCTTTGTCGGCTTCATCCTGAAGCGAGGTGTGTATGTTGCTGAGGATCAACTGGACCATGGATTCTGCAACTGTTCCTGCGACGTGGAAGGCATATTTCTCTAGATCTTCTTCAGTTGATATGGGGAATTCGTCTCTTTCGGCATCGAAGTTGAGATCGGTTTCGAATCCTTCCAAGAGGCCTTGCAATGGCTCGATGGATAGTCTGTTTATAGGAAGATGCTGAATGGCAGCCACGAGCGAAGGCTCTGTATGTTTTTCTTTCGAGATATCACCACAGAACCTTTTCTTCAACAAGACATTGCATTCCCGAATGGTGCGGTTTGCCGTCTCCCGATTCGGTGCTTCATCCACCAGATCGTCCATCACGCGGCAGAATGAATACCTATTCTGGTCAATATAAAGTATCAATAGCAGTGCAGCCAGGCTACACTTACAAGAAGATCAAATCAATCCGAAGCTGTCCCTGGAACATGGCACTGCCCATGTACATACTCTGACTCTTCTGTGCGAGTCGCTGTACAGCATCACTCAGTCCATCAACGAAATCCTCATCGACCTTTGCGCTTCTCTCTCGGATATACAATGCTATCAGCTCACCAAATGAGGGGAAAGATGCCAATTCCGAAATAGCCACTTTATACGTAGCCAGCGCAACTGCGTTATCGATGGCCATCTGTCCCAGGATGATCATTACGTTGGTGACTAGGAAGAAGAGTGCCTCTCTGCTCTCATTAGCGGTATTTATTAGAGAAGGTGAAACATACTCTATATCCAATCGCCCCCACAGCTGAATGTTTAACTTTGTGTCATCTTCAATAACCCAAGTTCCATTGCCTAATGCGATGGTATCCACGGCCCACAGATAGAAGGTTGGTAGGAAGATACAGACCAGAATCTCTCTTCGTGGAAGCTGAAGCATGAATCGGTAGGCGATGACCCTGTATACATTAGCAGTATCCAACTATGATGCCACACACATACCATTGAAGCAGCATAAACGGACATACCCAGGCCAGAATGAGACCTATGTATGTATATTTCTCCCCATAGTATATACCAGCTATCCCCAAGCAGGAACCCGTAAGTATTGTCAAAGTGCCTATATTCCGCTTTGTATTCAAACACTTTGGCACACCGAGATACATGGGCAGGACGAGTCGCTTCGTCAACATGATATATAGCAGACTCGTGTTATACGTCTGGATGATGAAGAAAAAGACCTCTTCTAGTGGAATAGACCATAGTGTTGGTCCGATGACTGCATCGGGTGGGTATGTCCAGATGCTATTCACGATAAGATACGAGTCCCAGGGTATAGTTGAGACGACGGCGATCTCGGAATGTCAGCATGTTTCACAACAGTCGCAAGGGAGCATACCGTTACAAGAGTCCATATTCTGTATCGGTCTATCTTTGTGAAAAAAGGCCAGTAGGCACTGGTCATCACCACGGAGAGTGGGATGTTGTATTTGGCGTGGCTGGGGAGTTAGCATCGAGTATGATTTATTATATGCGAACTTACACCAGCAGATAGTCAAGGCCCATTTTCAGTTTGAATCAAGCAGTATTAATGCACTGCTGTTATGTCCGGATGATCGAAAGAAATAAATAGCAGGATGGCAGGTCGATCGGCTCGTGTTATTGCCACGGACACGGTGTAACCAGCGATCGGCGTATCTCAACCTTGTCTCGCGTCGATCCTCAAACGAGATAATGGTGGAGACTATTTATGAGAAAGATTGGATCTCTTCATGCATGACTGCCTTCTTTCAATAGTCGGTGGATCACGATGCAGGCAAGTGGATAGCAGCCACAGGAGTACACACTAATAAATTATTTGTCCACAATCCATTCCGCTTTCATTGTATTGCATTAATCCAATATGCTACCCATGAAGATAAACGCATCGTCCAGCTCCCCTTGTCTACCAACATAATGCCAACAACACATCCGTAAGGAACCCATCCAAATAAGGGACGAAAACTGAAGATATCAGCTTCCAAACAGGCAACTTTGTCCCCGTCCGCAAACAGCACTCTCTCACACCATGTGAATACCACGGCTCTATTCCCCAGGAACTCCTCGGGGGCCAATACATCCGCAACGGCAGCAACCCCCTCATGGACCAAGATGCCAACCGCGCAGAACACTGGTTCGACGGCGATGGGATGCTCAGCGGTGTCTTTTTTCGACGGGGTAAAGCCGGAGTATCGCCAGAGTATGTGAATCAATATGTCATCACGGATGTGCTTCGAGAAGCATCTGCCAAGAGAGGTCGTCTGGGGGCTCCCATTCTGCCTAGTATTGCGACGCTGGTTGATCCTGCGTCGAGTGTGTTGAGGATTATGTATGCGGTGCTCAGAACAGTGGTGCTTGTTCTGTGGTCGTTTTTGTCAATGCCAATTAGAAAGATCAGTGTTGCTAATACGCATATTGTGCACCATGATGGACGGGTGTTGGCGACGTGCGAGAGTGGGCCGCCGATGAGGATGTTTCTGCCTCAGCTTCGTACAGTGGGATGGTTTGATGGATGGCAATCGGAGGGTGAGGGAGATAAAAAGACATTTCAAGATGGGTATGGAGGATCCGGGCTATCTGGATTTTTGAAAGAGTGGACAACTGGCCATGTGAGTATAGCTTCATTTACAGAGAGAGATACTGACATACCAGCCTCGCGTCGATCTGCAAACCGGGGAACTCATTCTCTTCCATTCAACCTTTATCAAGCCATTTGTGCAATACTCCATCATACCCGGTGGAAACTCAATAAAGAAAATGCTCAATATCCCTGTCCCAGGGATGACATCGCCAAAAATGATGCATGACTTTGGTGTCTCAAAACAACACACCATCATCTTCGACATCCCCCTCTCCCTGGACCCATTTAACATAGCATACAACAAGCCCGTCGTCGAATACAACCGACATGGTAAGACTCGCTTCGGCGTCTTCCCTCGGTACTCTCCTGAACAAATACACTGGTTTGAAACAGAAGCATGCGTTATCTTCCATGGCGTTAATTCCTGGGACGAATCATCGCCCATCAAGGAGTGTAGCACCGTGAACACCCTCGTCTGTCGGATGAAGAGCGCCGGCTTGATCTTCCAAGCAGGCAATATCAAACCACCACTTAATGACGATGACACTGGCGAATGTCGACTATATTACTACCAGTTCGATATGAATCGGCACATCATATCGCAGCAATGGGCACTAGCAGCTATCCCTTTCGAATTTCCGCACGTCCCCAATCACCTTTCTATGAGTGAAGCGCGTTACGTATACGGCTGTTCTACGGCGTCTGGGACGTTCGGCCAGGCACTCGGGGCAGGGGTGAAAATCGACTGTCTGGTCAAGGTTGACGTGGCGCAGTTACTCTCTCAAGCCGCTGATACTCCTCCTTTGCCGGTTACAGGATGCGTGGATACGCGATCCATGGCGGAGATATTGGATTCTACGAACCCTACTGATCCGATTCGGGTCTTCAGAATGCCGCATGGGTGGTACGCGCAGGAGTGTTCGTTTGTGCCTCGTCGTGCTGCGGCGTCAGAAGATGATGGCTTCTTGTTAACGTTTGTGTTTGATGAGGCGCAGCTTGATGCTGATGAGTGTGCGCCGGCTGATGCTCGGAGTGAGCTGTGGGTAATCGATGCGAGAGAGATGAAGGATGTCGTGGCGAGGATTGTCCTTCCCCAGCGAGTACCGTATGGTATGCATGGGAATTGGTTTTCAGAGGATGAGATCATCAAGCAGAGACCTGTTGAGAGGTTTCGGTCTATTTAAGCACTTACGGTTGAATGGGGTGTGCAATGAATTCATGTGCGTGTTCATTATCCAATGTTGATATATTGCTTATAGATTAAAAAGACCACTCCGCTGCTTGCCCCGCGGATACACAATCAACGCGGCGATGAATAGACCAACTGTGATACCAATCGATGTCTGAATCATGGTGTACCCCAGACCAGTCAGAGAGTTCTGTACAGACGTGGTCGAAGTGTCATCATTGACAGTGTTGTTTCTGACTGCCTCCGCATACGACAATCCAGACATGATGGAGCCACTCGAAGCCAGTCCCGACGAAACCAAAGTGAACATACCCGGGATGATCGCAGCAGCTGCGTGACCATGCCATAGTCGACTGTACAAATTGGCAAAGAGGCCGATGGTGAAGGCGCCGACAGTGTTTGCAACCGGCGAAGTCGACCCGAGTTTCTTGGTGCTAAAGTAATTGGTCACGTAGCCTGCCGTGCCCATGGTCACCATCATGGGAATTTGTTTCCATTTGGCTTGGTTGATGACGGCAGCGAAGAAGCAGTAAACTGCCACGAAGATAAAATGCTGGATGTATTCGTTGCCGTAGACTTTCAGACTGTCTTGGGAGCATTTCGATTCCTTGGTGGCACCGCGGTCGAGGAGACCGTAGATGACCGTACCCACTGTGACACCGTATCCCAGGAACAGTGAGTAGATGATGGTGTAGACCAGTCGAATCGAACCCGCGATTATCTGATGAGACTGTAGCTCCAAACTGCTGCAAAGAACGGAGAACCCGGGAAGGATCAGAGCAATGGACGATTGGGCCATGGCTGGGAAACAGAAAACAGTCTCTCCATTCACCCGGATGCTTCCGAAGCCACGAGCCAGGAAGGAGTTGAGCATGGCGATACTGACTTCCAAGACGTTGGAATAGAGAGCCGACCTGGGCGCCACTACATGCTGCATAACTCCGAGAATGCAGCCGAGAATAAAAATGATTGGCATATCAATTGGCCGGGCATCAAACGCCCACGGACCGACAGCCACACTTGCCAGTCCGGAGAGAAGTACCAGCAGCCACTTCTGTTTGTACCGGCGATCCCGTTTCAGAAGCGCGTCCAGGTCCTGGATGGATTGCTCTACATCGACAAGATCATGCACCACGTTCTTGTAAATATTATGTGTTTCTGCCAGACGGCCTAGGTCCAGCCCTTGGATCGTCCGGATTAATTTCACCTCCGCCGTGTGTGTCAATGGATCGTCAAAGGACATGATCATGCAGCCGGGGAGATAGAGGAATTGCCCATTGACTTCAAGCACATTGGCAGTCATCTGCATGTACTCTTCTAGTCGGTGGGTCGGGGCACCGTATGCCATCAATGCTCGACACAGTCGCATGATATATTGCTGACGAGTCAGAATCGCGGCAATATGGACGGTCAGCTGCACCTTTGTTGATTTCCGTTTGTGCTTTTTCTTCTTCTCGCTCAGTGGCGGCTTTGGCGGTTCACTCACTGGCCCAGCAGGCATCCCGATCCGACTCATATTCATCGATGCTTGCAGCAAGGATGATGTGGTTGTATGTTCTGGTTTATTAGCATACCATTTGGTTTTTGGTTTCTTCTTCGGTGCAGGTGTATCGGTGTCAGAGGCTGTTGTGGAGATACTGCTCTTGCTGGAATGTGCTGGATGGGCGGCATAGTTCTTCAGCAGCTGCGATAAAACACCCCCTGGCGGCGGCTTATTACTCGTCTCCTCTGCATGCCCATTTGTCCCATTTTCATTCTCGCACAACGACAAATTGTGGGTAGTCTCTCGTCTCCGAAGATTCCCTTCCCCCAACCCCATATGCTGAACCAACCGTTCGGCCTCCGTGCTGACAGCGACTTGAAATTGTGTTTGATTCCTTTCCCGCAGCGTTTCCTCGTCCACCACCATATTGGCCATCTGGATATCCTCAGTGGCACCGTACAATTCCGGATGCATGGCGGAATCCAGCGCCTCTGCTCCCTCCGGCGTGCGATCGAACTGTTCGTGCACACGCGCCGCCGCGCGTCGAACACTCTGGCCCGCGTTTCTCCATCCCTCGCCCAGGCTCATCGAAGCCGTACTCCCTCTATCCTGCACGGGAACCTCGGTTGTCGGCAATCCCCCATTTTCGCCAGAAGCGTCTTCTGGCATGGTGCACCCAGCGACTGTGTACTGCCGTCAAGAGGGTGCTATCCTAGCAACCGAATGTCAAAAAGGCGAAGGGTCGAAGGTTTGGCGATTCATGGATGAACCTGCGAATGAACCATTGATGATCAGCGACAGGAACGGAACCGTGCGGGAATAAAAACTCAGTACCTTGAAGTCAACCGAGATGGCTAGACTGGATCTGATACCGTGAAGATACCAGCACTGGCCTGGGGAAGAGAAATCATGACATGATCTGGGGAGCAAAAGAGGAGAAAACCTGTTTTGGCCGGCATTTGTCGGTTTTAAATCATGCCAGCGACAAACAAAGACATCCCCACTCGAATCAGGGGACTCGACGTGAGGGGAAAAGATCGGCATGAATGACACGCGCAGCCGGTCTAGCAAAGGCTTGTCGGTTGCTTAATGCTCCTGAAACAGACGTGTCCTTGATCAATTTCTATTATGACTTATTGTCTTGGATTAATTAAACAATAGATGGGTATTTAGCGGGTGCGATAAATGCAGATTATAAATAATACTAGTCGGAGTAAGTGGGTGAAAATAGCCGATTTATATATTCCTCGTGTTGTTCGGACATAAATCCTTCTTAGTTCTTATGCTTCATCACAATCTGACATCGTTATTATGACGAGTAATATAGCTTAATATTGAATCCAATGAATCTAACAGTCCACTACTTGGATAGGTATTATTTTAACCGATAGCAGCATCGTCTATCAGATGGGTGTATGACTAATTGTACTACGACGCACCGAACACAGGATAAATATGCTATTTCTTGGTAAAAGCAGATGAGGAATATACAAATCGTCTTTGAGAACCAAGAATAGCTCAATTGGGCCTATGTTGATGGCAGGTGTTGCCCAGAATATCCACAAGCTCAGTGCCATCTTCCACCGTGGATTGACCAGCCAGATCCGCCCGCAATTCCCACCCAGCCAATCAGAGAGCCACATTCCATGTCTGAATATCCTCACCCTTGCATGTTTATAAAACTTATAGTCATTGCTTCGTATATATTTTCCACACTATTACTTAGAAGCTTTGCTTATTCTAGCTGTTGTGCTATCTCCGGTTGGTACCTTAATGGTCTTGTGGTTATGTGCTTGTCCCCTTCTATGCCACAACATAGAGATATAGCATCCCTCTATGAGTACAGTTATTTCATACATTAATCGTACCTCAGAAACTGTTGCAGTCTACGGTAGTCAGGCATTGCTCTATGGCAGATACACTGTCCGCTACTTTTCCTGGCCATCAAAGTCCTTGGTGGTCATCTCAACCAGCTGCAGTGATACACTCTTCCCGAGAATTCCCGACCATCGTCTTGCCTCTTTTCGCTCATACGATACCCATCAGGTACTCTAAGTGCACATTCAATTTCTCCCAATATGTGTGTGTTGACTTGTACCATCAATTTTATCTGGAATTTGTGGAATGATTCTAGTAACACTCCATCAGCTGCCCGGCAAGATTGTCAGGGAAGCTGGCTTGCTTGTCTGGTTCCTGCTGTAAGTCATTAGGAGTAGTCGTGAGCTGATATAATTCAGACTGTGGTTCAATAACTGTTGCATTCTGCTGTCCTCTGCTGCTCTGTCCTCCACTGAGACTTCATTCAAACCGCATTTTGAGCCTTGGTATCCAACAAATGTCCACAACCCGAGAGGCGTCTCGGGTTTATCCGCCGCTGTCTCGACGATTGCCTTGGGAGGCTTTTTGAGTTCCTGTAAGTGCCTGGCCTTTTTGAATTGATATGGTGGTAAAACCAGAGGCGTATACCTTACACACATCGGTATGGGATGATGACCCCAGAACAGAACTGGCAGCCCCTCATTCCACAATGATATTATGCTGTCCCCTAGACTTTGCAACCCCCTCTCGGTAGTAATATTCATCGCCTGGCAATGGCTGTCACTAGAAGATCCCAAAGCCCGTTGGCCACAATGATGATAGTTGAGCTCGATCCGGCTTCCCAGCTGACTTGAACGAGCCCTGCACGACGCGCCACAATCTATCCAACATTTCGCACACGAGTATTGCATAGCAAACAGCATGGTTTGCAGTTTGACGATATCCTGCACCGGGTCTCTTTGGAAGATATCTGGGTAGATACCATTCAATCCTAAAGATAGCATGACGTTACATTGGTCGAGATGGTTGCGCATAATTCCAATGCTTTCGTATAATTGACGGTCAAGACTAACAAAGGTGGAAACCTGTCCACCAATACACAGAATAACGGACGAAGTGCCCGGACTGTGGCGACTGGAAGATACTTTGCAGTTGAAAACGTGCCAACGTATTGCTTAATTCTCCCACAGAGGTAGAGCTAAACACAAGGCCGCGAGGAAGTCATTGATTTGCGGGGCGACATATATTGAACGCTAGATTGGCCAATTGACAGTGGCTGAATGCAATGGCAATGGTTTCTTTTGCCCTCAACAGCAGCTGTGCCATTGACTTGGTCTGCATGAAGGTTTCTCCTGAGAAGCAGGTAGTTATTCTTAGGTCGTCGATCAATGTGACATATCATGCCAACTGACAAATGTTGACTCAGTCGATTAATTATCCCAGCTACATCCATGACAATATATACGGCATTAAATAGAAGTTTGATGGTGTAACACTCTCATAAGTGGTTAATATGGGTTAATATCTTAATATCACCTACCAATATTGACTACAGTGAGTTAATGGAAGAGAGCAAATGCAATCGATCCCCACTGCAGAACGCCCAGGTCAATAGTTTCGCTGCAGCTGCATCCACGCGCATCCAGACTCCATTCACATGTATTTAACTCGGCACTCCCAGCCCAACAACTGTCCTTCCTCCAACATCCCCAGACCCCAACACCTTCCACACCGGAACCACCAGCAAACATGGCAAAAAAGACCGTCCTCATCACCGGCTGCAGCGAGGGTGGAATCGGCGCAGCTCTGGCCCTCGCCTTTCACGAACGAAACTGCCATGTATTCGCCACACTTCGCAATCCCGCCAAAGCCGGTGACCTAGCGAGAGACGGGATCGAGATTCTCACTCTGGAGGTGACATCGCCAGAATCAATCGCCAAGTGCATGGAGGTGGTGAAGGAGCGGACGGGCGGCAAGCTGGATATACTGGTGAACAACGCTGGTGTCCCGTTCTTGATGCCGCTGCTGGATGTGCCGATTGACGAGGCCAAGAAGATCTACGATACGAATATCTGGGGGATGTTGGGTGTTACGCAGGCTTTTGCTCCGCTGTTGATCGAGGCCAAGGGTGTTGTTCTGAATATCTGCTCGGTTGCGGGTGTAATCCCACTGGCATGGCAGGGTATGCTCTACCTTGTATATAGTACAAGCCTAGCTAACGGAACAAGGAATCTACCACAGCTCGAAAGCCGCCCAAACCAGTATGTCGGAAACACTCCGGATCGAACTCGAGCCGCTCGGTGTGCGCGTCGTCACAGGCATGGTTGGCGAAGTCCGATCCCAAATCTACTCCAAACCGACCTTTGCGCTTCCGTCCAACTCGCAGTACAAATCAGCTGGGGATGCCATCGCCAATCATGTAACTGGCGTTCATGCACAGTTTGAAGAGCGAGATATCACTGCGCGCAATCTGGTTGAGGACGTGCTGGGTGGACAAACCGGGCAGGTGTGGAGGGGAGGAAGGGCGGGGACAGTCAAGTATACGACGTGGCTGTTGCCCAAGTGGTTTGTGGAGTATGTGTCGCATCGTGGACGGGGAGTCGATCAAGTCAAGCCGTGAGAAGAGTGTATATAGACTGGCGGAAGCGACGGAAGCCAAATTAATTAATCGTAATAGTAATGATAATCACCGAAAAGGAATATGCTGACATGCATATCACTCGGGCATCATCGGGCTGACTTGCTGACAAGGATCATCAACATATTTAAACCTGTACGTCCACCGAACCATCCGGATGTAAGATAATTTCTTTTCTCAATCATCCACACAATGCCCATTGCATCTCCAGACACCCTCGATAAACCTCGCATCCTCTGCCTTCACGGTGGGGGCTCATCCGCCGAGATCTTCCGCATCCAAACACAGCGTCTCGCCGCTGCTCTATCCCCGTACTTCCGCCTCGTGTTCGTGCAAGCGCCATTCCCCGCTACCATGGCGCCAGATCTCCAACCATTCTACGGCTCCATGGGCCTTGATTCCTGCCGCCAATGGTACCAACCTGGCACCAGCAACGAAACCATAATCACCCAACTTGAGTCCACCTTGCAAACAGCCATGGCAACCGACGCAGGAACCGGAAAATACACCGCCGTCCTGGGCTTCAGCCAAGGCGCCAAAATGGCCATGAGCATTCTCCTCGAGAACCAATTTCGACGAGACGCAGATCCCACTCTCGCTGGGTTTGCCGGAGTGCATTTCGAGTTTGGCATCATCCTCGCTGGTCGGGCGTTGCCGTATGCGCTGAGCAAGCGGACGCTGTATAACGGCTACTTTGACGCGCCGGGGGAAGTGCCTACGATGGGGGTGGATTCAGGGCATTTCGACGATCGGTTGAGGACGCCGACGCTGCATGTTCATGGATTGAGGGATCCGGGGATTGAATTGCATCGGCAGTTGATGCATGACTTTGCAGATGAGGGGAGTGCGGTGCTGGTGGAGTGGAATGAGGGCCATCGACTGCCGATTAAGACGCCGGATGTGAAGGCGTTTACGGAGGGGATTCTCAAGGTGGCTGGCATGTGCTAGCTATAGATACTGGCGTTTATACTATAGATTAATATTTTTGGTTTTACTGTGAGTGCTTTCATCTACTTTTGATAGAACAAATGATTACCAGGATCAATAGCACTGATTCATTTCGTCTTATTCCTCAAATCCATGGTCCTCTACTCCCGATGACCACCTATGGTGGTTGATATTCACCGCTGATCTCCCTTGCAGCTGCAAGCACACTGCGTCTATAAAAAGTCTACATCGACCGTTTATGACCACTACAAAACTAGAATGATTCTCCCCAAAGCGTTGAATATTAAATACCATCAGTTACACATCACTTCCTTTCAGCAATAAACCTCGCCGCATGATCAATCGCATACTCATACCCCCTCACCCCAAACCCCATCACAAACGCCATCGCCTTATCTGTCAGATAGCTATGATGCCGGAACGGCTCTCTCGTATGCGTATTCGTGATATGGATCTCGATGAACGGGATACTGACCCCGAGAAGCGCATCGCGGAGGGCAACGCTGGTGTGCGTGTATGCGGCGGGATTGATCACGATGACATCGACATTGCCGCGTGCTGCGTGAATGCGCTCGATTAGCTCGCCTTCGTGGTTGGATTGGAAGGCGTCCAGGGAGACGTTGAGGCTGGATGCTTGGTGTTTTGCGGCGGCTTCGACGTCGGCGAGGGTGGTGGAGCCGTAGATGTGTGGCTCGCGGGTGCCGAGGAGGTTGAGGTTGGGGCCGTTGAGGAGGAGGATGGACATTCTGTAGATATCGTAATGATTTGATTGTGTTGATGTTGATGTTGATGTTGATAGTTGTTATAGAACGGATCGGCTAAGTTTTGAACCATCGGTTAAGAACAAGACCGACCAAATAAACTTACGTAGGTTCTATGTATATAGAGTATAGTTTTGGTACTACACTTATCCATACTGTGTCATTTCATAGATCTTGTGATGATTTTCGCCTTGGCTTCAATTGAGCTATACTCTACATTTCAGTTCTGACCAAACCGGATACTAGTCAATGATAATAGTGCCGTGCCACATATGAGATCAAGGCCACATGCTCCAGCACTAGTAATATGTAAAAAAGCCTGATATCTAATTCTAAACAATGCACAACTTTGGCGGTGCAATGAAACCAAAAGCTCCCGGAAACACGGCTATCTCGCGCCACAATACTGAGAATCTAGTTCTCTTTTTCTTGCACGTTATAATGGAATGTGTCGCCTTTGTTCGGGTGCTTCATTGTCGGGCTTGACCTCGATTTCAAGGGGGACAGGTCAATGTTTGGCTTCCACGAGGACGCCAGCACAGCGAGGTCGCTCACAGAGAGCAACTGAGAGACATCAGTGCGTCCGTCCGCCGATAAACCGCCAGATTCGCCGTAATCGCGGAGGATCCGATCTATCTCTTCCCCGCGACCAGTCGCATTGAGGATGTTAGCGATGGCGGCGTGCACCGCGAGCAGGGAAGGATCTGGCAGAGGCCAGCGACCGTCGTGAGATTTTAGCTGTATGCTTCTGTTCGCTGGCAGGTGGAACTGCAAGATCGTAGGGAGGCGGGGAAAGGTTTTGATTGTGTAATAGTTCACAGTCTCGGTAGCCTCTAAGGTCCAATTAAAGGCCCCAAACTCCCCATGTAGCAACTTTTCGAGCATCATAACGTTTTCGACCTTATTCAAACTCTCATAATCAAAGCCTATACGAGACAGCAAACAGGGAAAGTATCGATGAAGGTAAGTCCAAATTGTGGCGATTCGCTGGCGCTCGTTCTCGTTCTTGAAGATCCCCAATGCAAAGGGGATGACATGCGCAGCCTCAAGATTTGCCGTGATCACGTTACTTGGTGCAGTCGCCATATGCTCGGCGTTGTAGACGCCGGAGACAGCACATCTGTTGCCCTCTCGTTGCAGACATTCTCTGCGCAGTCTCTGCTGCTCGCGGACGATGGGGTCCGTCATTGCGATACTCGTGCTATCCACGGCTTCCTGCGCATTTGATCTTGGTGACGGTGTGATTTGCGCTTTCTTTCCCATCGCCTTGAGAGGGACGAGAATGCCGGAGACGATGCTTTCCGCAAGCTGTTTTAGGTGCGTATCGGTTTCACAGCCCGTGACGTCGCTGACAAGGTTAACCCTGCCATCAGCGGGCAGGTAGCGGAATGTTTCGCGCAGAACCTTTACTGCGTCATCGTCTGGCGTAGATGGTTGGTAGAGATCGAGTTTTTCCTGCATGCTCAGCGGCATGTGTACGGATATCGTGATATCCGAGGGAGCATCGCTCAGGTCCGAACAAGGGCTTAGGGAAAGTCTTTGGTCCATGATGAATGAGAGGTTTGCTCTAAATTCAATCAGCAATTGACCACATGCAGTAAGGCAATCTAGCTAGGATGTGGGCTGATATGCACCTTAGAAGAGTCAGGTCGGTGGAACGAAAATGGCGAGATGCTGTTCTGACAGACTTCTTGCGCAGGGGTTTATTTCATTATGCTAGGCGAGGGCTTTTATTGTGCGGCCTAAGCGAGGGCCTCGCACAGGTTCTTCTGGATTAAATGTCTGTTTATGTGTTGCTGTATGATGGAAAAGTGTTACTGTTTTGGATTCTAGTAAAATCTTCCAGTCTCGCATATATTTTACTAGGAAAATCAAAATGCAGAACTGGATACATAACCATGTAAATAATACCGCCATAGTGGGTCTCTCACGCTAAACCCCGCAGGATCCACCAATTATGCCTTGTATAACAATACATGGATGTAATATTGGTACCGCCGAGTAACTGGGTACGAATGACGTAGCATTGCAATAATTCTGCCGATTCCACGGAATAGACACCCAGATATTGGTGCTGTAGATAATGATCCAAACGAGTCATCTTGGAGGAGGTATTTCTTGACGGCGTCATGATCTGATGAAGCTACTATCCCACTGCTGGCAAAGTCTTCGGGCCCGTCAATGCCGACGTCGATGCGGTAGTGGCCGTCGCCTTGACGGGAGTTGAACATGTGGCGACCTTTGCCCATGATGATCATTGAGCCTTGTCCGGCGAGGGATTCCATTTTAGGATAGAAGGGGTTGGAGGAGAAGATTTTAGTGGTGAGGTATAGTTTCGTGGAGTATACAGGTGTAGCAGTCGTCACCTATTCAGTTAGTATGAATATATCATGAATACATGGTGTATACCAATGGTCGAATCTTGCTAAACGTCCCATCAGCCCCAACAACCAGCTGAAACCCAGACGCTGCACTTCCATCGCCAAAGTACAAAACAACATCACCAGCATCATCACGCTCAGCCCTCTCAACATCCTTCCTCCAACACACTCTCTCCTTGTCAACACCACGCAGCAACACATCCCTCAACGCCCACCGATCAATCTCAGGGGGATCTCTTCCCTTCCCGAACTAAAACACCTGCTTGCCCAAGTGGTCATATACGCGGTGGATGATAGCCTCTCCATCCCGTGAATTCTCCTTGAACGCCTGGAATAGTCCTGCTTCTTTCAAGGCACGCTGTCCACTGCCAGGATGCAGGTCGAGACAGCCGCCCCGTGGAGGGACTTGCTCTGGACTGCGTTCGTAGAGATGTAGTCGATGCCTTTTTTATCGAAGAGAGTGGCGAGAGTGAGACCGGAGGGACCGCCGCCGATGATGGCGATTTTAGGGGACATACTAGATTAGGATGAGAATATATTGATGAAAAGATGTCTAGTGGTTGTTTTGTTCTGGGTAGGCGGTTTTTAAGGTGATTTGGATGCAGAGTTAAGGCGGATGACATTGCTACCAGGAAATGAGGATCTTCCTCAGCTGCCCAATTGGCTGGGTTTATCTACTGATAATATCATGTTGTCATTACTATAACAGTTTTATTGGTTATGGATTCGGAACATCCGAGCGGACTTATGGCGGAACAAGTATATAGATGATCAATTTATCTCACCCACTCCGCATATATACATTTCAATGCCATCATCACCAATAATAACAATACCCGTCTGTCAACGAAGTCTGCGGCACACACCTCTCCTCGCGATTATCCCACGGCGCAGTCGCCGGATTCAACCAGTGCATCATCCGCGACGCAAGGGCAGGATGGTCCTCAAGCAGATCCTGAAACGATGGCTGCTGCTGCAGTCTATCAACGCAGTATGCTGCATACTGAGCCAGCCAGTCGAGGATATCGTCGTATGGTGAGATACGAGTAAAGGCCGTATGAATTAAGGCCATGATGGCTTGTTGTGTTGGTTTGTCGTCTGGCTTTCCGGTGTCTGCGAGGGATGTTTGCAATTTGTTGAATGCAAGCTGTTTGAGGGATGGAACGTTGTAGATGTCGCTGAAGATGTAGATTTCAATATGTGTTAGGAGGGGGTTATCGTGACCTTCTGTAGATGTATCTGAGGATTCGATCGAGTAGTCCCCTTGATATGCCCATTCGATGAAGCAGGAGAGGGTGCCGTCGCAAGTGTCGGAACACGTATATACCCCTTTTTGGCCTTCTTGGAAGGACTTTTCAAAGGCTGCGTTGATGGGTTTGCATTTTTTGAGGAGGTCTTTGTGGATGGGAAAGGAGTGGGGGGAGTTGGAGGTGCGGAGGGTGACGGTGTTCATATTGACTGTAATGTTGGCTATGCCGGGTTGAATACAGGACTTCTTCGGTATATGAGTTCTTGATGACCTTTATACATGTCATATCTTGGAGTACGACGCCTTGCTGCTGTTCATTTCTGAATATAGCTATTTGCATACTACTTGTTGTCAACGACGGTTAATCGAGATAAAATATGCTATACAGTTATACAAGGTATTTTGTGCAACTCCAAGGCCCGTTGTGTCATGGTCAGACTCCTACGCTGTCTACCAGAGTTTACATAATAACTCAGATGAAGATTCGTAATGACATCAGAGTGGTACATAGACAAAATGAGTTGGCATTTATATCAACATAGAATGTCATCCGGTGTACCATAGTAGTACATGGTATATGCTGTTGCAACAATAGTGTTGATAATATCCATACAGCCCTAAAATTAGACTTCTGACTACTCCTTAAAACCAAGCCAATCCCTTGTTATATCACAGGCAACCAGACTCAAGTATAAGTGTAACTTTGACAACTGGAATGTTGTGTGACCTATGGCATTGTCTGTGTCACAAGCTGTGTGCGAGCATATCTAGTAACTAGCTCAGCTCCTTCTGATCGATCATCAATGGATATGATTGACCATCAGTCAACCTGAGTAATCATCTGGACCTGTTATAATAGACTATTCTATAGAGGGATATAACACCCCAACTAATCAAAACAGCGGAACACCCTACCCGTCTATTCAAATATCCCGCATGCACCAAGCGAAATCGGCATCTTAATCGGCATCTTAGACGATGACCATGTACCCTCCCATCCGGCAAGAGTGGCTATGACTGCCTAATCAGGCTATGACTTCCTTTTCTGGCCTGCCAAGAGTGCACTTCCAACATGAACCAATCAGCATCTCGGCTCGGCAAGCTAGTCTGTGTTTTTCTGGAAACGAATGAGTGAATTTCGTATTTCGGACACGGAATTCGGCCGGTTTTCTTCTCCGCATTTCCCCACAGTATGCCATGTGGGTTTCTGCAATGACGTTGCCTTTCTTTTCTTCCAACAGCGGGCGTATATAAACTCCCTCAATCCTAATTTTAGAGAAGCAAACAGTAAGAAAGACAGCAAAATGGCGTGGTTAATCCCTCTCACCCTCCTGTGGACGCTCACAGTCCAAGTCCTCGCCTTCAATCGTTCCTCTTTCCTTCCCATCCCGGATAAACCCCGCACATTCATTCTGTCTGACATTTCCAATGAACCCGATGATCAGGAGTCTCTGACCAGATATCTTCTCTATGCGAACCAGTTTCAGACGGAGGGTATCGTGGCTGTCACGTCTACCTGGCTCCGAGATGCAGTTCATCCCGAGGATATGTTGACTGTTATCAACGCGTATGGAAATGTCACGGAGAATCTGAATCGGCATACACCGCTTGACTCGCCATATCCGTCTGGTGATCATATTCGGAGTTTGCTGAGGAAGGGGGCGGAGGTACACCCATCTCTCCACATGAGTATGACTTGACTTATTAATGATTATAGACCTACGGAATGAAAGAAGTAGGAAAGAACATCACCCTCAGCGAGGGCGGAAAACTCCTCCTCGAACGCATCCAAGCACCCTCCAGTCAGCCTCTCTGGGTTCTCGCGTGGGGCGGCACAAACGTCCTCGCGCAGGTGTTGTATAAGATTGAACATTCTTTCTCGTCTTCTGAAGCTGCTGCTCTACGGTCCAAGATTAGAGTGTACGCTATCTCCGACCAAGATGACACCGGTGCATGGATTCGTCAACAGTGGCCTGATATCTTCTACATTGCGTCCACGCATGGCTGGAACCAGTACGGTCTTGCGACCTGGATTGGCGTCTCCGGCGAGGACTACTACGGTGAAGATAAAGGAGGCCCGGACTCATCCAAGGTGACGCACGAATGGCTGCGCAAGAACATCCGCGTCGGGCCATATGGCAATGTCGCTTATCCTGATTTCCAGTATACCATGGAAGGGGGCACGCCTACTTTTCTGTATCTGATTCAGAATGGGCTGGGTGTATCCGAACACCCGGATTACGGATCGTGGGGAGGCCGATATATGAAAGTCAACCCGTCTGAGATTCTCAACTTCAACCACTACGCCGACGCGGCGGATCGCGTTGTCGGGAGGAATAATGGCACGTTCATCTCGAATCTGGCGACGATCTGGCGATGGAGAGATGCGTTCCAGAATGACTTTGCGGCGCGCATGCAGTGGTCTCTTCCAGCCAACACCAGCAGGGCAAACCACCATCCTGTCATTTCCATCAATGGGAGTGCGGAAATCGCTCCGATGAACATTACTGTACTTGCTGGATCAACGCTCACCCTGGATGCCACGAGTACGACAGATCCAGACGGTGATAAGCTCACCTTCAACTGGTTCCAGTATCGCGAGCCTGGATCGAATGATTGGAACGTCAACGGCCAAGTCCCGCAGTTGAACATTACCAATTCCAAGGGTGGAAAGGTAAAAGTCGCCATTCCCGAAGAGGAGGATAGCTGTAATGGAAAGGGAGATAACCCGTCTGGCTGCTGGTTGCTGCATTTGATTCTTGAAGTCACGGATAATGGATATCATCCGTTGACGAGCTATAGGAGGGTGTTGATTCAGACGTCCAACAGTACTGTATCTTAGTATACTATTACTATATAACTCCAAATAAGTGTATTAAGAAGTCCACAAAACAGGCCATCCATCTAAACCCTCCCCAATCGCCATTTCCCCCGGATTGAGCAACTCCATATCATCCTGCGTCAGGAAATCCTGCATCGTCGGCTCCAAGAATGCCATTTCCGTCGTGTATCCAGCATCTCCAACGGGCATAGGCGGGATATTCGCCTCGGACACAACAGGAAGAGCAACATTCTCTTTCTCACCCTCATTCTGCAGCGCCAACCGCACCCGTTCCAAGTTCTCGTAGAATTCCATCGCGGATAGATTCCCGTAATCGCTCATTCTGCGCAGGATTTCAAGTGCGGTTTCTAGACTTTCAATGTCGGTTTGGGCCCCGATTGAAGTGAGTTGGCTGGATATCACCAGGACCAGGGCGGAGGAGAAGAGATAGTGCGCGTAGAAGTAGCCGTACATGGGGAGCGAGCCGGAGATCCATTCGTCGACGATGAGGGTGTGTGAGTGCCGGGCTGCATGGATGCAGGCTTCGCTGAGTGTTACGACTGCCTGGGGGATGTCTTGTCGTGTTCGTTTATTTCTGCCGAGTTGGACGAGGGCGTGCAGCAGCACAGGGCGAGTAGCGAGGATGAGGCACTATCTAGCTTAGCATCTGTATATACAGATAGATAGAGATATACAAACCTGATTAAACTGCAAATGCAACGAAACAATATGCTTCGCACTCCCCTCCCCCCTCAACCGCACATGCCCCGGCAACTCCTGCATCCACCGCTGCAACGCAATCAACAGCCTCTGCTCGCGCTGCAAAAATCCCTCCCGCTGCCTCTTCCGACTATACACCTTTTCAATAATCTGCCCGGCTATCTTGGCCAGATTAATACTCGCAATCAAATACGGTGTATCCGTTAACTGGTCCTCCCCGGCATAGGCGACGTCAGCCGGCATGTCGACATGGATTTCCTCGTCTGAAATCTGGGGCGCGTATCCGATTTTCGAGCTGAACATGCGGTCGAAGATGTAGATAGCCCACCAGATTCGGACGCGGTGTTGGCGCTGAATCGGGTCGATGTATTGGTGGACTGGGATGTTGTGGTTGAGGCCGAGAGTGAGGCCGAGTCGCATGGCGTTGCCGATGAGGATGTAGGCTGAGTGGCGGCGGTTGAGGAAGTAGGAGAAGAGGGACTGTCTGTCAATATGATGATTCTGTATAGATGGATGGACATACCAGCAGGAGTAAACTCTCGATATGAATCATCCCCGGTCGTTCTGGGAGAATCGGAATCAAATGCATCGCTCGCACATAGTACGCCGTCCCTGGGACGTGATCACCCGATCTGGCAGCAGAATAAACCTCGCCCAACGCAAAGAGCGCAAAGTATTTACACGTCAGCGCAGAATCATCAAAATTAGACGTCCTATACACCTCGTCCAGCTCGTCTAGCGTCGCCCGCTGCAACACCAGATGATACACCCGACTGATCTGGTTAAACGCCATCCGGACCAGCAGTCTCGCCTGCGACAGACTCGGCCATGAAATGCGGCCATCATTCAACGCTGACTCCGGCGTATACTGCGTCCGCGGCACATGCACCGTATCCGGATCGCCCGTGAGAAACTGGCGCAGGCGAGTGGCGAATGCCGTACAGGCTGCCTCGCCGATGAAGATGGGCGGGCTGGACGGATCATATGGATGGAACCAGGCCCGATCGCCGAGAAGAGGATTCTGGACTTCGATTTCCTGGGATTGAGAGGATCGAGAGAGCGTGTCTTGGAATGCATCGTGGGAGTCGGGGATGGAGCGGCGGTGGTCTTGGGACACTCCTGCTTTGAGGCGTTCATTTTCGGCCAGGAGTTGGTCCAGATAACTACTTTGTAAGTATATAATTTAATATACTTCATATAGAGAATACCTCTCGTTAACCTTGATCTTTCGATCACGAACGGCATATAAACACTCATTCTCACACCCGGCTAGCCGGCATTTGGCACAGGGCCGTTCGCCCGAGCATTTGACCTTGTGGATATGGCATCGCTGGCAGCTGGGATGGTTAGCTTGATCTAATGCAGATACTACATGGATTACTCACGCGACGGGTTTCTTTTTTTGGCGTTTCATAATCGGCATGATGATTATTTCCCTTGATTATTGTGTTGTTAATCGAGAAGTGCAGATGACGGGATTTTGACGGGTTGCCGAGTGGCAAAGGCATATAGCCTATTTCGGGGAGTTGGCATTATGCCGATCTATTTCGGTCGTATCCTATTTATATCTACATGATTTGTTCAGAATAGATTGCAGGATACTAGCAGAATGAAGAATCCATTCAGAAATATCTGCTCGGTGGACTTTTGCCTCAATGGGTCGACTTTCAGTATAGACGATCGCATTGAGGGACATGTTATCCTCACTCCCAATCAGCCAATCAGGCCGGAATTGATTCTTTCTTTTCAAGGTATCTATATCTCATCTATAGTTGTATATGTATACTGACTATCAGGCGCAACAACCATTGATACCGACACCACTCCGGCATCTCAAACATTCCTCAACATCCAACATCCCATCAAATTATCATCCTTCGATACAGACTCATACAAAATCCCATTTGAATTCACCGTGTCTCGTCAACTTCCTTCTCATGTCTGCCATCATCAATGCAGCCATGCCCAAGTCCACAATCACCACCTCCTCCTTCCACCGAGTATCGGCAGAGATGGACTAGATATGTCACCGGATATTGTGTCGATTGAATATTGCATTCGACTAGTCGTAAACAGTGAAAAAGAAAAGCATGAGTGGGCACATCCAATTCAAATCATCTCCCCTAGAGACGAATCCCCACCTCTCCTACCACCGGATAAAAGCAGACACTATCGTCTCTCACGCACGAAACATCTCAACGGAGGCCTTTTACACCGGAGATCCGGCTTTCTATCAGCTCAAGCTATACAACCAAGTGCACTTCATCTTCAGTCCAAATCAACCCCAACTCTAGCTGTTGACCTACACTATATCGGCACGAACCCACCACCTCTCACATCGATTCGCACAACCCTCAACGCAATCACATTCTTCGGTTCAGAGCCATGGACAGACTATCCAGATCAAATGGACTGTTTAACCTGGCATGCCCGCCAGAATTGGTGTCGGGTGAGTTTGGCGCTTGAGTCGCCGGAAGTGCCGGAGTGGAAGCTTGGGAAGGATGCAGAGTGCGGATGGGATGTGTATACTGCGTCTGTTGAGATTCCGATCATTCTACCAGATGGATATTCGTATCCACCGACGTTCTTTTCATGTTTGGTGGCGAGGGTTTATGCCCTCAAAGTAGTGGTTGGATATCAGGATCTGCTCAAGTCGCGTATTTCGCTAAAGATTCCTCTCCAAATATGTTGACTGAGCATTGTATATTATTTTATCAACTGTGTAATAATCTAATCTATAAATCAAATCTATCAAAGAAACTCGCAATCCGTCTATACATCTCCACCGGATTCGAATACATCGGAAAATGCCCACTCCCCTCAATCTCCGCCAACTCCACCCCCTCCCCCCTCAACCTTCCCAAATACGATAATCCTGCATTCTCCTCCCCATACATAAACATCTTCTTGCCAGGTAGTCTCAAAAACATCCCCAGCAAATCAACCTCATCCGACAAGTGCACCATCGACTCGAAGATCGCGCGCACCGCTCCCGCGCGCACCCTCGCGCGAATCGTACTCGCATACAGCGCACTACCGTATGACTTTGCGCTCCGCGTGCGCTGGATAAACGCATCGAGAAACTCATCTGGATGGTCAGACGGGAAGGTGAAGATCTGTCGACTGAGGAAGCAGTCTTCCGGTGCGAGGTTGCCCTTGATATCGATGAAGCTGAGCACGCGGGTGGGATGCTTATCAGCGAGGAGAAGCGCAGTCAGTCCACCCATTGAGTGGCCGATTAGGTGGAATTTATCAATCTTAAAGTAGGATAAGATGGCCTCTGCAGTTGAGACGAGGAATGGAATGGAGACGGCGGAGAGGTCGGAGCAGTGTGAGTGGCCGCAGCCTGGGGCGTCAAAGGCGATGTATGCGCGGTGCTGCAGGGCTGGGTGGATGGTTATATCGGCGAGATCTTCTTTGCAGGAGCCGAAGCCGTGGAGGAAGAGGATGGGAGGTTGGCCATTGGTGAGGTTGTGGTGGATGGTGGAGAGGGAGAGAGTGACGTCGTTGACTTGGAGGGGGACATCCTCGTATGTGAGAGTCATTTTATAGATATTCTATATTCTTTGAAGAGCTATTGAAGTAATGAAGATAAAAGCAGTTAAATACAGTTAAATAGTAGAGGATTATCAAGCATTCGGTCAAAATTAAAGAGACCGACGATTTGCGGTCGGCAAGTTGGCGAGTGGCCGTGAATATGATATAACCAATCAGATTACATCAATATTACCATCCATTCTCTGCAATGATAAACAGAGTGAAAAGGGGATGGTTGGAATGTTTGTTGAAGAGAAAAAGAAAAAGAAAAAGAAAAAAGAATGCGCCCAACCCGAAAAACGGATGGCCTCCCGATTCATCGACCCAATTGGTTGAAGATCCTGTCATTTGGATATAGCATTCTCTTTCTATATCTTAGCATCAATTCATCCTATAGAGTAAGCTACAAGAAGGGATAAACAGAAATATCAACATGGCTATCCTTTATAGATATCATTAATAGTATTCTCGACTCTATATGCTGTGCTACTACCCCCGCAAGGCATCATCGCCGCCTCAAATCACATAATGCCAACACTTATCTCCAGCCTATGGAAGTCGTATTAAATATAACAGATCTATCGAGTTAGAGCATATACACAGAATCAGAAGACGTGATTTTGTAGTGTCTCACGCGATGCGGCATCCCTCGCTTTGATCACTTGGCGAAATGATGCCATCTACAGTCGAATGAGGGGTATGCAGCATATAAACAGCTGTGTTTCTCCTCGGAGTAATTCTAATATATCTATATTCAAGCAAGATGGCGACTGTATTCTCCAGAAAAAACAAGCCGGGAGAAACATCCAATCTCCTGGCTAATCTCGAAACACCAAAGAAGGCACCCATCGTCACGGACAGTGAGATTCCCACACTGGGAGAACCATCGGAAGAACGACGGTTCTGGTTTCAGAAAGCCAGGAAATATGATCCCACTGCTGTTGCAACGCAGCCGTCTGTGTTTGACGATCCAGAAACGGCCAAACAGTACCAGCCGCGAGATGACTGGGAGAATCTGCATCGGTTTGACCCGTTGGCACGATGGACGTGGGGAGAGGAGAATAAACTCATCCGCAAGATCGATCTACGCATTATGGTCTTTGCGTGTATAGCTTTTATGGCGCTGGAGTTGGATCGCGCGAATCTCAACCAGGCGTTGACCGATAACTTTTTGAATGATTTGGGATTGACGACAGATGGTATGTTATCTGTATATGAATATGAGTATAAACTAATATGTATAGACTACAACCTTGGCAACACCGTTTTCAAACTGTCGTTTCTCTGCGCAGAACTCCCCTCGCAGCTGGTCAGCAAATGGATCGGACCAGACAGATGGATTCCATCGCAAATGACGCTCTGGTCTGTCGTCGCCATGGCGCAGTTTGCTCTTTCTGGACGGACTTCGTTTCTCGTCTGCCGTGCCCTGTTGGCCATTCTGCAGGGTGGTTTTATTCCTGATGTAAGTACTCTACTCTTATAACTGGCAAAGCTGACAAGAAAGATCATCCTCTATCTATCCTACTTTTACAAACACCATGAACTCTCCATTCGGCTGGGCTTTTTCTGGACTGCCATGTCAGTTGCCGATATCCTGGCCAGCTTTATTGCCTTTGGACTGCTGCATCTCCGCGGATTGAATGGCCATTCTGGATGGCGATATCTCTTTCTCTTCGAGGGTCTTTTGACTCTTCTCGTCGGACTGTCGGCCTTTATCTTCATGCCTCCTGGGCCAACGCAGACTTCAGGCTGGCTAAGAGGAAAGAAGGGCTGGTTTAGCGAAAGGTGCGTCTACACTACATCTATCCATCTACAAATCTAACAAGACCAGAGAAGAAACAATCATCGTCAACCGGGTCATCCGCGACGATCCCAGCAAAGGCAGCATGCACAATCGCCAGCCCATCACGCCTCGTCTGCTCTGGCGCAGCATGCGAGACTACGATCTCTGGCCCATGTACATCATCGGCCTCACCTTTGAAACCCCCATGACCACGCCCCAGCAGTATCTCACTCTCATCCTCAAGCAGATGGGCTTTGGCACGTTCAAATCAAATCTCCTCACCATTCCCACCAAGGTCTTGGGCATCTGCACGATGCTCGGCCTGACGTATCTGTCTGAAGTATGGGGGAATCTGACCCTTACCTCGGTTATCGGCCAGATCTGGGCATTGCCGCTCTTGATATACTTGAATACGGTTGATTTGACAGCGACGAATCGCTGGTCGGCGTGGGTGGTTATGACGCTGCTTTTGTGTTATCCAAATGGTGGGCTTTATTTCTTCTGATAGAGGTGTATACTGACAGCCTTAGCACATCCCATCCAGGTCAACTGGAACTCTCGTAATTCGAATACCGTCCGCTCGAGAACTGTCTCTGCAGCGTTGTATAACATGTTTGTGCAGACGTCTGGAATCATCGCATCGAATATATATCGTGCTGGTATGTCACTATCCTTCATATATCTTCACTACTAACAGACATAGATGACGCCCCTCGCTACCGTCGTGGAAATCGTATCCTGGTTGCTTTATGCTCGACTAACATCGTCATCTATCTCTTGACCAAAGTCTACTACACGTGGAGGAACAACAGCCGCGATAAGATCTGGAATGCGATGAGCGAAGAGAAGAAGTTGGAGTATTTGCAGACGACGACAGACGAGGGGAGCAGGAGGTTGGATTTTCGGTTTGCCAATTAGCTATACAGAATATATCCAATACTATTTAACATTTATTGTCCTCATTTTAAATGTTTAACCTTGGATATGAATCGGACTAACGTCGATCTGCAAATCATCCGCGGATCCGCTATCGAGTGACATCATCGTCCACGCCGTCAAAATTTTCTCCAATGCCTCCAATTTCCATCTTCACTTCTTCCAGCATCATGGTATCATCATGACATCTCATCCAGATACTCAGCCAGCTCAGTCGGAAGATCAGCCTCAGGCCATCACCAGCAATGACTGGCCTCGAGACTATCTGTCCGACAATGAGGAAAGCCGCGGCGACACCACCTTTTGGGAGGATGGGATGAACACACGAGCGCGTGTCAAAGGTATCTCTCCTATCTTCTGTCTTCATCATAAATACTAATAAAGAGGAAGGTGACGGCCGTCTCGATATCAGATTCCGCGAACACACCCCCAACATCGCCAATCTCCTCGAGCGCATCCACAAAGCCATCCCGCATCACCACCGCGATCGCAAGAAACACGAAGACCTCATCTCCTCCTCCTCCAGCCAGGCAAGCGCAAGAGAAAAACAAAAACAGAAAGACACCCACTGCCCCCTCAACCTCAACATCGTCATCCAAGTCATCGGTTCCCGCGGCGACATCCAACCCTTCGTCGCCCTCGGCCAGGCACTCCAGAAACACGGCCATCGCGTCCGTCTCGCCACCCATCTCGCCTTCAAGGACTTTGTCTGCGACCATGGCCTCGAGTTTTTCTCTATCGGCGGCGATCCAGCCGAGTTGATGGCGTTTATGGTGCGGAATCCCGGGTTACTGCCTGGGATGAGCACGATACGGAGTGGAGCGATCCAGAAACGCCGTCGCGAGATGAAGACGATTTTCGCGGGCTGCTGGCGATCATGCTATGAGACTGGCGATGGCACAGGACTGCATCATGTTCCGGAGGATCCGTGGAGCGAGACGGTGGATTATCGCCAACGACCGTTTGTGGCGGATGCCATCATTGCGAATCCGCCGAGTTATGCGCATGTCAGTTGTGCGGAGAAGATGGGGATTCCGTTGAATATGATGTTTACGTGAGTCTCTCATCTCAACTTCCTCTATATTGATACTGATGATGGTAATGATAAGAATGCCCTGGTCCCCAACACAAGACTTCCCCCATCCCCTCGCCAACATCCAACCACACAATGCCACCCACTCGGTCGCAAACTTTGCCTCGTACGCGATTGTCGAAATGATGGTCTGGGAGGGTCTCGGCGATCTGATTAACAAATTACGGAAACGAGAACTCGGCCTGGACCCGTTGGATGCGGCGAGAGCACCGAGCTTGGTGCATCGACTGGGTATTCCGTATACGTATCTCTGGTCTCCCTCTCTCCTCCCCAAACCAAAAGACTGGTCAGATAAGATCGATGTATGTGGATTCAGCTTCCTAGATGCTGCATCAGACTATACACCCCCCGACGACCTGGCTCAGTTTCTCAATGACGGCCCACCACCAATCTACGTCGGCTTCGGCTCCATCGTCGTCGACAATCCCAAAAAACTCACCCGCACCGTCTTCGAGGCCATCCAGCGCACCGGCCAACGCGCCCTCGTCGCAAAAGGCTGGGGAAACCTCGGCAGCGACGAGCTCGACGTCCCCGACTCCATCTTCATGATCGGCAACTGCCCGCACGACTGGCTCTTCCAGCACGTCTCCTGCGTCGTGCACCACGGCGGCGCCGGCACCACCGCCGCAGGCCTAAAAGCGTGCCTACCAACCGTCATCGTGCCGTTTTTCGGTGATCAGCCGTTTTGGGGCGGGATTGTTGCAAAGGCCGGGGCGGGGCCGACGCCTGTGCCGCATAAGGAGTTGACGACGGACAAGTTGGTTGATGCTATTAATGCTGCGCTGGAGGATTCTACGAAGGAGAAAGCGAGGGAGATAGGCGAGGCGATGCAGGAGGAAAAGGGGATCGCGAATGCGGTGGATAGCTTCCATCGGCATCTGGATATTGATCGGCTACGGTGTGATATCTGTCCGACGAGGCCGGCGGTTTGGTGGGTGCGACATGTGCGGATTAAGCTGAGTATGTTTGCTGCGACCGTTCTTGTGGAAGCTGGTCTGGTGCAAACTCGTGATGTTGTTCTGTATGTCACACCTTTACATCGATGTATGTTGGATACTGACAGACTAGATATCGCTCGCAAGAATACGACACCACCCGCGACCCCCGCGGCCCTCTCTCCGCCGGCGCAGAAGTCCTCTACGGCGCCATATCCGACTTTGTGACCGGCCTTGTCGACGTCCCGGGGGGCATGCGCGACGTGATCACATCCACCCGCCACGCCCACGAACACCGCCCCTTCCACCGACCACACATCCGCCGCCACAGACGATCAAGCACGGCCCATGAAGCCAAAGACACAGACTCGACATGCATGGACTCGGATGGCGAGGACGGCCTCAGATTAACAATAACAACAACCCACGAACCGGTCTCGCGGACGCGCGAAGTATTAACCGAGACCGGCTTCCACGTCGGCCAGTGCGGGAAACATATTCTCAACTGGCTGATTCTGCTACCGACGGATGTGACGCTGAGTTTGTCCAAGGGGTTTCATAACGCCCCGAAATTGTATAATGATGCGATGGTGAAGAAGACGCCGCAGGTTATTGGGGTGAAGACGGGGTTGAGGGCTGCGGGATGGGTATTCCTTTCTCTCTTGAGATGTAACGGATGATGCTGATAGTTTCTAGGAATTAACACACGGCTTTTACTACGGTATAACGGGCCTTATCACGCAGCCGCACTTTGGTCTGCAAAAGTCCGGCGCAACTGGTTTACTCAAGGGAGTGGGGAAGGGCATTGGGGGTGTTATTCTCAAGCCTGTAGCTGGTATGTCTTCCCTGATACCATGAAGATGATATACTAATAGATAGGCATCTGGGGACTGGCTGGATATCCGCTGGACGGACTACACAAGAACCTGCAACGATCGCTGTCGAAAAGCAAAACGAAAGACATCCTCTCCTCTCGCATGGCACAGGGTGTCGAGGAAATGTGCAAATCGTCATACGAAGAGCGGGTGATGGTGTTTCAGCGATGGCGAGAGATTCTCCAGACGAAGCATGCAAAGAACGGACATACATAATGCATGCACGTATAGTATATAATAATAACCTCATCTCATCTCATTTCATCTGACTCATCTCAGATCAAGAAATACGAATCTTCCCCCCATCCAACACAATATCAGCCGCCCAAACCGCCCTCCCCTGCTTCATATCCTCCCCATTCCGAAACGCATGAAACAGAATCTTTCCCTTGCCTCCTTCCACGAAGCTCGATCCTCCAGGCCCAGCCAACTTCCCATCCTCAGCGCTATCGCCACTCTTCAGCAACGGCGCGTTCGGATCACTCGCTTTCGTCCAGGGTCCTTTGATGTTCTTCGCCGTGGCGTAGCTCACGTCGTACTTTTTCGTGTTGTACATGTTCGACGAGAAGGAGAGGTAGTATGTTCCATCCTTCCCCTTGGCGAGACTAGGCGCTTCAATGAGCGGGCCATCATTGCTATCTCGGTCGAGGAGCTGGATTGCCTCGCCATCGGGCGTGACGCCGTCGGATTTCACAGGCTGCAGCATGAGAGGCGTGGGATGGGTACTGCCTTTTTTGTTGAGGCTATTCCCATCGACCTTGTACACGACGTATCGCTTTCCACCATCATTAAACCCAGCTGGGTCGATAGCACCACCCTTTTCAATCGGACAGGCGAGTGGTTTATCATTGGGCGTGTATGGCCCTGTGACAGACCTCGCCGTCGCAGTCCCAACACAATGCTTCGATGAATTCCCCTTTGCAGTCGCAGAAAAGTACATCACGAACGACCCATCATCCTACATCATCAACACCGAGCTATACACTGTTTGAAAAGGAACATACCAACTCAGCAACATCCGGCGCCCAAATCGACGGCTTCTCAGCCACCCACTCGGGAAACGGACCGGGCAGTGCATCTTTGCCCTTTTGGAGCTCCCACGTGGTGAAGTCTGATGAAAATGCAATCTGCGCATTTACCCCATTCCCCGATGTCGCGAACGAGTAGAATCCATCGTGTGTTTTGATCAGGCTGGGATCGGGAAAGTTGGTGTCGAGTACGCGATGGGGGATTGCGAGGGTGGATTGAATTGATAGTGCCGCTGCAGCTGCTAGAAGGGGTTTGGACATGGTCATTTTTCTTGATTTTCTTGATTTGTTTCGATATGAATTGTGACTGTGGGAAGTGAGATTTAAATACAACTTCGTATCTGGAATACGATAAACGGCCCCGTGGACCCTTCCGTATCCAGGAATAGATATTCAGGAGATCTTGGACCAATGCAGTCTGATAGGACGGGTGTACTGTAGATAAATGGGGCGGAAAGTGACGATCGACATGAGAATGTGTTTCGGCAGATTCCCGAAGAGGAAATTTGTATAGCATAGCCACGTCAGGTTTACGAGACGTAGATATCCATGAGCAATAACTTACAGGGTATACATACCAGTTTGTCGCTAACAGTACCAACTGACTGTTATTCAGAATGATGATTCTTTCCGGTTAGACCCAGCGATAAGATATCTGCCTGATTCCCAAGGCAGAAACTGATTTATAATCACCGCCTCAGGCATCATCTCCCCTCCATATGAGCCATCTGAATGTCAAATATCAGAACATCAACCAGTGACACGTAGAATGGCCAAAACACGCACCCGCAGCGGCTGCGCCCAATGCCGCAAAAGCAAGGTGAAATGCGACGAGAAGAAACCCATCTGCACGCGCTGCCACAAAAAAGGCTTCCCGTGCACCCCGGAAGAAATCACCCTGAAGTGGGAGTCGGACTATCACAGCCGGGGGCTGGCGTTTGGGCGGACGGGCGTGTGGAAGAGGAGCTCGAGCTCATCAGATAGACAGATTCCGGCCCAATGCGATGAGCAGCAGTGGGCTGTGACTCGGGCGGTGCGGCCGTGGAGTTTTCTGAATTGGGATGCTGGGGCGTTGGAGCAGCTATACAGCAGTGGACGATGTGCGGTGCCGGTGAGGGTCAGAGATGCAATGGAGATTGGATGGAGTCAGCCGTTGCCGTTGACGGATTCGCCGTCGATGTTTCCAGAATTGAGAGATCCTGTCTTGCTGGAGTACTACGTTCATCATGTCTGCCCGCGCACGACATCCAGTGCGAAGACAGCGTCGCCATTCGCGTCGGTCATTCTGCCCTTCTGCCTCAATGGCTCTGCGACTGTCTTGAAAGCAATCCAGGCGTTGGGCGCGTGTTCCTGGTCTCAGTCCAACCCAGCTCACATTGGGACTGCAATGCGTCTGAAATCACAAGTCCTGCAGGATCTGCGCCACAAGATCGCCCACAACCCCTCCTTTATCGTCTCCAAAGACCCAGAAGTCCTCGTGCTCATGATGATGCTATCACTGTACGACATTGTCGATCGATGCGACAAGGGCTGGGTCGTCCACAGCCAGGGCGCAAAGGAAATCATGCGACTGCGCAAACACCATCTCCCGTCCTCTGCATCTGATGATGTCACGGCCTTTGCTGAGCTCTTCTTCGCCTTCCAGGACGTCATGGGCCGGACGGCCTGCGCGAAAGCAGACCTCTTTGGTCCAGCGTATTGGGACGAGGATGATTGCGCCGTTCATCCGTGGATGGGATGTAGCCCCGCCCTCGTGTCGATTCTCTTCTCCATCCTAGATCTAAGCCGTACAAGACGACAGGCCATCACAGCCCCAGAACAGGCTGCATTCTCTATCAAAGCCTCCGCCATCAACTGCCGGTTAATCGATCTGAACCAAGTCGTGCACGACCCGGCCGATGAGTCCCTCCACGCAGCGGCTCAGCTCAAACGCCTCGCCTGTACTTTATATCTGCACTGCTCGCTCTACAACGCAGACCCATCCACTCCCGCGGTGATATCCCGCGTGCACCAGATCCTTGACACGTTGTCTTCCCTCCTCGCGCGGAAGATGGTCGTGAATGCAATGTGGGCGATATTTGTCGCGGCGGTCGAACTCAACCCGGCTGATGATACCCTCTGGCCGGATCCAACAGGGCAGTCTGTCTGTGGGCGGGCGTTGATCCTGCACGCCCTATCTAGCCTCGGCGCATCGAGTGTATCAAGTGTTGCTCGAACGCGATCTATCATTGAAAAAGTATGGCAGGCTAGAGATTTTGGCAGTTTTCAAGAGTCTGCTGATGGGTGTAATGACTGGGAGTGGCATGTTGTCCCATTAAGCGATGCATTGAGTTTGGTGTAGAATATCTATCCAATATACCCAGTCTGAGATATATCATCTGTGCACAAATTACTCTCATATCAGAGGGTAGTATGATGGCGTGCTTGATACGACATCAATGGCGATATCCCGACCCCAGATTGCGAACATATCATCAATATCTTTGGTTATAAACCCTGTCCGGCTGCGCTCGTCGCCGAGGCTATTACAGAAGAGGGGTATAAATGGCGATACCTTTTCATCTTACAGTCGAGATAGTATCCTGATAACTCTGAAAATGGCCGCCACTGCTGGTCCAATCGGCCAGCCAGACATCGCCTACGCTCCCCGACTCGACAACTACCAGGCCCGAACAGCCCGTCGGATCCAGACTGAAACGCTGCCACAAACGCTGCCAGAGGGATTCCCGGACAAGTTGGACTCGGATCTGGTGTGGGATGGAAATACGCTCGGCGAGTCTTATGACTGGAATTACCACCTAACAGCCGCGGACCTTGCGGAGGTTGACGCAGCCTTGAAGCACTTTCAGTGTATGATCCTACATCTATCCACTGATTCATGCTAATGATAGACAGCGCTGAACAAACCACTGGCGGAAATCAACCAGGAGACCTTCCCCCTGCCGACCCTCCATGCCACGCTACGAGGAATCTCCCACGAGATCCACAACGGCCATGGCTTCAAGGTTGTGCGTGGCATCCCGGTAGATAAATATACACGCGAGCAAAACGTGATCATCTACACCGGTGTCTCATCTCATGTCGCGCCCATCCGAGGCCGACAGGATAATACCTGGCAGGGCAAGCCGGCCGATGTGATCCTCGCCCACATCAAAGACCTGAGTCGCAAGGTGGACGCAAAGCATATCGGGGCGCCTGTGTATACGGCCGAAAAGCAGGTATTTCACACCGACTCGGGGGATGTGATTGGGCTGTTTGCGTTGAGTGAGTCTGCAGAAGGGGGTGAGAGTTATCTTGCTAGTGCTGGGAAGGTCTACAATGAGCTTGCAGAGACAAGACCGGATCTGATTCATACTCTGGCGGAGGACTGGGCGTTTGACGAGTACGTCTCCATCTCCATCTTACCTTTGGTGATTAAGACTGACGATACCAGATTCAGCAAAGAAGGAGATGCATACCTCTCCCGCCCTCTCCTCTACCACTCCCCCGCAACAGACACCAGCCCAGCCCGCTTCATCATCCAATATGCCCGTCGCAACTTCACCGGCTACTGGGGCTATCCGCGCTCCCCCAACATTCCCCCCATCACCGAAGCCCAAGCCGAAGCCCTGGACGCCCTGCACTTTCTCTCCGAGAAATACGCCGTCGCGCTGGACTTTCACAAAGGCGATATCCAGTACGCGAATAATCTCAGCATCTTTCATGCGCGGGGGGCGTTTAGTGATACGGAAGAGAAGCAGTGAGTTTCAACAGTTTTCTGCAGATTTATTGTATCTATATCTGACTACTTAGACGCCATCTTCTACGTCTTTGGCTTCGGGACCCTGAGTTTGAGTGGGAGAAGCATCCGGCTTTGAAGGGAAGGTTTGATCGTGTGTATGCTGGGTTGGAGGTGGAAAAGTCGATATTTCCGCTTGAGGCTACGATTCGAGGGCTGGAAGTAGGGACTTAGATTGTCTATCTAGTATTATCTGTCGATAATGGGAGTATCTCTATGCATATAGAAAAATTACAGCCATATCAGATTTACCATCTCATATCCTAGATATGTACATATCGAAATTGATTATACTAAGCAGTCTTGGACCAGACCTCATCACGCACATTCTTGATAATCCCCGACCCGAAAGTCCGTCCTACTTCTTGAAGCCAGACAGGGAATGAGCGGATGTAACTGATCGCAGTGCTGTATGTGGGCAGAATAATCTGGCCGCTTTTCTGCGCGACAATCTGGTTGACGATGGCTTCGGAGACGACCTTTGTATCCAGGACTGGTTGGTTGAATTTGTCGCCTGCGGCTGTGAGGTTGGTGATGAGGGGAGTGTCCACCCACATTGGGAGGATGAGGCTATACTGTTAGTTTTATATATATTATGATAGATGGCTGGATGGATACCTCGTTCTGATCTTCGGTGCTTTATGCCACAGTCGCAGTTCCTGAGTGATGCCTTCGTAGAACGCAACAGCACCGGCTTTGGCAGAGGCGTAGTCGACCATTTCCCCTAGACATAGATGGCCAGCCATACTGGCGACGATTGCGATATGGCCGTGATTCTTCTCAATCATGGACGGGAGGAACTCTTTCGCGGTGAGAAAGTGCGCGAGTGTATTCACATTCAGAGTTCTTCTGATCAAAGACTCGGGTTCATCTAAGATAGTCCCGTTGTAAAAGACGCCAGCATTGTTGATGAGGATTGTCGGCTCGCCGTGTTCTTTCCTGATTATATCTGCTGCATCCTTGATGCTTTCTGCGATGGTGATGTCTGTTTTGATAAAGTGGGCGTTTGGTGCTATTTCGTCAGTATAGGCAGCCGTTATAGATCGATGAACTCACGAAGATCTTTCGGCTCCTGAATATCCAACTCGATAACCTTGACACCTTGTCGGGTTAGGTCGAAAGCGAGGTTATTCCCGATTCCACTACTTCCTCCTGTGACGATGGCGAGTTCATTTTCTGCTTTCCATGGTTTGGCTGATTGCCAGTTGTTCAGGACGCCATAAGATAGACCATTGTTGACTTTTCGAACGAGATATAACCCAGCGAGTATAGCGAGAGTAGAGCGTGTGGACGGTGAAGATAGAATGTTTCTTGCTGTTGGGTGGATGTACGGAGTGAGATTGGTCAGTGTGGTGTACAACTTGTCCATGGTGTTGTTTATTTTGACAAATTGAGAAGAGGGGATTGTCTTATAAAGAAGGTAGCACCGGTCGGTTGCCTTGTGAGGGGTAGTATGCATTGTTCGCTCTTCTGCAAGGTATGTTTGTGATACTGTTGGTGATCTGCAGGGATTCTGCAACATAGCCCAATAATGTGACACAGGATGCTTTCTCCACGGAATCGTATTTCCTCTTATTCATAACTTATTCACAATGCTCCATAGACACTCCATCCTTCCCCATTTTCTGCTGCTCCTCCTGGACACATCCGAATTGCCGTACTTCGACGGCCATCGCTCTTGCATTCTGCACGGGGTTTCCCGATCGGGAAAAAATGAGGTCGATATCTTCCAGCCGCAAATTGCTTGTCTCGGGATAAAAGAAGTAGAGTATCGGCACGAAGAGAAAATTCGTCACCATGAAGATCAAATATGCCTTCCACTGCAGTCGGTTGATGATAACAGGTGCCATCATAACAATCGCGAAGTTCCACGCCCAATTGCTGCTGGTCCCGAGTGCTGTTCCTTTGGTGCGTGCTTCGAGGGGGAGAATCTCAGGGACGTATACCCACGGCACGCAGTTGACGGACATGCCGTGGATGAGCATGTAGAGGAAGAAGAAACTGACGCCGGCCGATGCGTATTCCTTGCCGTGTGGTTTGTCGGATTGGGATAGAAGGGCAGACACAAGAAGCATGCAGACTCCCAGTCCGAAAGAGCCAGCTATCATGGTCTTCCTTCGACCCATCCGATCAAGGAAGAAGGATGGAACGAGAGATCCAATCATGAACATGATCTGGATGCATCCGCCGAGAATCTGCGATAGTTGGTTGCTCATCCCGACGTTGTTGCTCAACACCTCTGCTCTCGTTAGCATCTGTGTCGTATAGTTGTTTGTATAGGAAACCAACTCGGCACAAAATAAACCACCAGGTTAATCCCCCCAGCCTGATTCATAAACTGAATCCCCCAGGCCAGCAACACTCTTGTCCCCGTTTTGATCTCGTTGTTCTTGAATATCCCCAATATTGAGCTTTTATTTGCACCATCTTCCAGCTCAATCGCAGACATGATTCCTCGTTTCTCCATCACGATGTACTCGTCATGCTCATCACGGCCATACAACGCACACAGTACCTCCATCGCCTCTCTCTCCTGGCCATGATTCATCAACCATCTCGGCGACTCGGGCAATCCAAACACCAGCACAATCACCCCAATCGCAAACACGATCTGCATCGCAATCGGCAATCTCCACGCGATACTCCCTTTGACAAACGACATGCCAAAGTCAAACCAGTATGCCACGACTATCCCAACAGCCACGAACAAGACTTCACTGGAAATGAGTCGACCACGGCTCTTGCCCTCGCACATTTCAGCCTGATACATAGGGACCGTGGATGTCTTCAACCCCGTCCCTGTTCCGGTAATGAGACGACCGATTATAAGATGCGATACTGTAAATGCAGTCGTTTGGAGAGTGGCGCCAATGATAACTGCCAGCATGGCGAGCCAGATTGTGCGTCGACGGCCGAGGATTTCGCCAATGAAGAAGTTGACTATTCGTCAGTATCAGCATAGGTGGAAGAAGGAATAACTTACTAAAACATCCTAACAGACAACCCAGATTATAGCAGCTCACGATAATCCCCTCTTCAGAATCATCAGGATAGCCGAATTGTCGATTCCAGTCCTCATTGCCCACAATCCCACTAAACACGCCTTGGTCGTATCCAAAGAGAACAAAAGCGACGAGGCAGCAGATCGTCACTGCCGTCTGCAGTGGTTTTCCTTTGCCGAACCAGCTTCTCATTTTGTTCAATTCTGTTGATTTTACCAGGATCAGATGTATATTTATATTTATATCTATATTAAAAAAAGAACAAGCGAACCGGCAATTCCCATCCCTCGTCACCCCATATCCTACCCCATACAAGATAACACCAATCCGGAGATTATCTCTTCTCCACAACAGCATCTCTAAGCGGCAATGGCTTCATCCCAATTCGGTAATTGTAGCCACCCGGCCGGGGGAATTCCGTCGGAAGCGGAGATGATCAGCGCTGCTTCGTCTGGGGTTTGCAGTTTAAAGGAAGTTGGAACCACCCGAGGTGGATATGTTACTTGGATGGTTACTTAGATGGGGTTTGGGTTATATATGTGGTATAGATGATGTCAAGCTGTTTCAATGTTAGGAGGACTTGCGCTATTAAATGGCATGATGAAAAATGATAATTCTTGATGATTCCGATCCTATAACATGACAAAATACCACAGTCCCAGCAGAATCAAACATGGCTACTCGACTGGTTTTGCGCATCCCTTGCTTCATGTATCTGAGCTTAACTTCTATCGCTAGCAATTGAAGAGGAACAAGGCAGCCCGTCAAAGTAGAATTGACGATCACTAACCGGCTGCGATGTAGCACCCGAAACAGACAATCATTTGAACAAGCCATGATATTCTCGTCAGAGTAGTGCTCGGAGAACATACAGTGTTAAGCCATGGGCACCACCTTGAGCCCACCAGCATTGTCGGTTGGCATACGCAAAGCGCCAGTACATGTAAGAGCCTATTCGATGACAGTTCTAGGAGCAATGAATTCATTTCGAAATCATACAAAGTGCGGCTCAAGTGGGAAGTCCGATTTGCGTTTGGCCTCCTGGCTTGCCGCTAGGATTCATTCGAAGAACAGCTGGCCAGTACACAGACTCTGCCGTCGCAAGGTACGAGCAGAAAGCATATGCGAGCCAATGTTGTCTTGTTGCCTGGAATTTGTTCGAAATCTTCAGATAGAGTTGATCGACCGGCAAGAATGTAAAAGGGCGGAGTGTAGAAGGTCAAGGTTGATAATGGAAATGAGATGATGGATTTAGATAGGAGATAGAGGAGAACAGGATAGGGGAGATACGGATGGAGATAGTGAGGATAGGAGAGGACTGGGCACATTGGGATTCGCTCTGTAACCTGGACTGAACGGAAAGTAGGAATAACAGCATCGATGATCCTTTCCGCACCCAGTCGAGGAAGAAAACCATTTCGCTTTCTTGGTTTTATGAGTCAATCCTCGAGTATAGAGCTTCCCCTGCACTGTCTTTCGAAGACTGAATGGCGGAACCCAGGATGAATCCACCCACACGCCCATTTGGGGAAGTCCTTTTTGTCGAAAAACAACGCTATTATTCGGCATTTGTCCTAAGTCCGTGTTAGAAAGATGGTTCAACGAGATCATAATCCTTGATATGATACGTACGTACTTGGGCCGAATCACCGAGAACATGGTAGTTGACGAACATGAACAAAAGCTGCGATTGACTTTGAATATTGAGTCTCTGCATGTCGCCAGTTCCACCAAAGTCACTGAGCCACCATTCTGCACGAGACTGGGATTCATCTCAATCATCCAGTATATCTCAAATGACTGTAGATATAATCCGACTGAGAAGCACCTCTTCATCACAAAACAATTATATACTCGTCGAAGCAGCCAAGTCTGGATCGCGAGACAATTCAGCAAATAATAAACGCAGATATTGGCCACGATAGCCGACGAGACAGTCAAATTAGAGGTATACCGACTGCGAAACCGTCGACCTGATCCTGTCTTCCATGACGTCTTCCATCTCATCTCTCTGGACGAGGAAGCGCCGCAAATGCGTGAATATCTTTGGGCACCGAATCCTGCCTTTCAAGGTTTGCGTTCCAACTTGAAGTATGCGTGTAGCACAGCATCGCCAGACACTCGCGATTTCATAGGGGGATTCCAGGGTAATGCCCAGGAATGATGTAGTGGCATATTCTTGGGGCATTCGGGCGAAGGAAAGCAGATCCGCGGGAGCATGAGGCATCGGGATCTCTGTCGAGTCACTCAGTAAGGTCGTAGAAGATGAAATACATAGACATTAACTTACTGTAACTGTCTTATATTGATTATGGCGACAATCAGCAACACGGGCCAGGTAGATTAAGCCTGGAATGCATTCTAGATAGAATTGTCTTTGAGATCTGATATCCTGAAAGGCATTGACAGAACAATTTGAAGTTGCAAGAAACGAGTAATCTGCAGCGTTGCATTTCCGCATAAACCCTGCAATTGTGCTCAGTTGTACGGGTTGGACAGTGCATGTTATATTGTGTTCCAGAGCCCAGCCTGTTCCCTCTTGGAGCACGAAAACACCATTGGCAGCGATCTTGGCCATCTGTGCCTCCAGGCCTGGTGGCATCTCGTTATGGTAGTCATGGAACGTTGCCAAATTGAAAATGAGCAGAAGATTACTGATAGTATGAATATAAGATAGTATCGGAAAGTATATATAGAAAGGAATGACTAGAAGGAGAGACGTCATATATATGAGGCTTGGATAGAGAAGAGGGGAAGAAGAGAAAGTAAGACGAAGGTTATATAACTCCAAATATTCACCAAATAGGCACCAGCATTAGACAATGGATGAATGGCAGATATTACTTCTTTGCATTCACTATTACTCTATGGGTATATCAAACATTACATACAACAAACAGTCTATACAGCTCTATCCAACGACTGCGAAAGACACATCTCATAATACCTCCCCCGTAGCCTCTGCAACTCCTCATGCGTCCCCATCTCGACTATCCTCCCACCCGCAAACACATAAATCACATCCGCCCCTCGTATCGTCGACAGCCGATGCGCAACGGCAATCATCGTCCTCCCCGCCTTGGCCGCTTCATCCAGCGCCGCCTGCACCAGTTTCTCAGACTGCGTGTCCAACGCGGACGTCGCTTCATCGAGTAGCAACAGCTGCGGATTGCGGATTAACGCTCGCGCAATAGTAATGCGTTGTCGTTGCCCGCCGGAGAAGGACATCCCCCGCGCACCGCAGGGCGTGTTAAAGCCTTGTGGAAGAGAGACGATAAAGTCGAATGCGTTGGCTTGGTGGCAGGCTTTGTGGAGCTGGTCGTCGGTGGGGGCGGTGGAGAGGCCCATGGTGATGTTGTCTTTCACTGTGCCTTGGTAGAGGACGGGTTCTTGTTGGACGAGGGAGATGTGGGAGCGGTAGAGACGGGGGGAGAGAGATTTGATGTCTTTGTTGCCGATGGCGATGGTGCCGGATGTTGGGTCGTAGTATCGTTCGAGGAGAGAAACGAGGGTGGATTTGCCGCATCCGCTTGCGCCGACGAAGGCGACGAACTGGCCGGGTTGGATCTGTTATTGTTAGATTGATAGACAGATGATGGATGATGGATGGATGCTTACATTCATCGAGACACCTTTGAGTACTCGATCCTCGCGCTGTGGATAGCTGAACTCGACGTCCGTCAGTGCCAGCGTAGTATCACTGTCTGGCCCATTATCCTTATTCTCGTCCGTCTCTTGTACAACCGGCTTCACGCTCCTCAGCCAGAATAGATAATTTGCAGCCGTCTTCGCCTTGGTCAAGCTCGTGGAGAAGCCAAAGAACTGCGCCGCTGCCTGTCCGGCAAAGATGACTCCGATAAAGATCACGTAGAACTGCTCCGTCGTGTACTCTCCATTCGCCAACAGACGAGACCCATACCAGAAGCCTAGTGCCATCACCAGGAATTCCAGAGACTGGGACAAAGCGTAGGGGATCATGATCCAGGATAGAACGCGGATGGACCGTGATGCAACGCCAGCTAGCATGTGGGTATATTGCTCGATGAAGCCGGATTCTAATGTTAGCGATGCAACCGTTCGAATGGCGCCGACGGCTTCGTTGGCAAGGCCAGCACTTTCTGCAAATCGAGCTGCATTGTCATCGTCAAGCTTTGTCTCCAGACGCACGCGAAGATATCCAGATCCAATAAGTGGTGGCAGCCCAGCAAAGACCACGACAAGGCCGAGTTTCCAGCCATAGCCTAACGCCAGACAGCTGCTCGCGACGACGTTCACAACGATAACGACAATCACGAACAGGTTGAACGACATCAGGTCTTGGAGGCTGGCAGGACCAGTGGATAGCTTGGATGTCAGCGCCCCGGAGCTGTTCTCTGGTCTGTCGAAGAACGCCATGTCCATGTGGATCATGTGTTGGAACATCTCCAGTCGATAGCGGTGCGTGACGGACTGAGCGATGATATTTGAGAGTATTCCAAGGACAAAGTAAACGACTAGATTGCCCAGTGCCACGACGAAGAACATGAGCGAGTAAAAGTTGGCTGTGTTGTTGGCATCCGGATCGATGGCGATGGCATTGATGAGGCGAGAGAAAAGCACTGCCTGGCCGGGGAATGTGCCAGCAGCAGCAACACAGGCGATGAGGGCGATGGAGATAGTCAGGAAGAGCGACTTCTGCTCGAGGAGCATCAGGAAGATGCATGTTATCAGCGACTTGTCCTTCATCCCCTCGTCAGCCTGGATGGCGTCCGCAGTGACCGTTTTGCTCGACACCGTCTGCTTGACAGACAGCATCTCCTCCTCTTCCACATCCTCCGAACTACTCCATTCATCGCCATTCGAATAGTTTCCTAAATCCTGCGCTCTCACCAGCTTCGCATAATGCCCATCTCTCGCTACGAGTTCGTCATGCGTCCCCTGCTCCACCACACACCCATTCGCCATGACGGCAATACTATCCGCATCTTTGATTGTCGACAGTCGATGCGCAATGGCAATAGTCGTTCTTCCCTTGGAAACATGATTGAGTGCTTCCTGCACCACCTTTTCAGACTTGGGATCTAAAGCGCTGGTTGCTTCGTCGAGGAGGAGGATTGTCGGATTGGATACGATGCTGCGTGCGATGGCGATGCGCTGTTTCTGGCCGCCGCTGAGAGTGCCGGCTCTTTCACTGACGAATGTGTCGTAGCCCTATACATTATCAGTCAGTATTCATGCATATACAGAAAAGGAGAAGAAGAGGTACCTTTGGTTGCTCAAGGATAAAATCATGCGCATAACTCGCTCTACACGCCTCCTCCACCAACTTGACCTGTTCCTCACGCGACAACATCTTCTGCTCCTCCACCAACCCTTTAGCCACATTCTCAAAGATTGTTCCCCGGAAGAGCACAGGCTCCTGCTGCACCAGCCGCACCCTCGTCCGCAGCCATTTCGTATTGTAATCCGCAATCTCCACCCCGTCCATCTTGATACTCCCGGATAACGGTGTATACCAGCGCTCCAGCAGCCCGATCATGGTACTCTTTCCTGATCCACTGGCTCCAACTAACGCGGTGGTCTTTCCAGCCGGAATGGAAATGTTGAAGTTGTGCAGAACCCGCGCAGCAGGTCGTGAGGGATAGGCGAAGTCGACGTTGGATACTTCGATTTGTCCAGTGCAGCTATCGTTATCCTTCTTCACACCACCCTCAGCTAGCGGATCTAATGAAGACTTCTTATCCATAATCCCAAACAACTCCGACGCAGCAGCGGCTGCATTCGTGAGTGCCGTGATCTGCGGCGCAAGAACCGTAATCGACGACGACGCAATCATCACCGACAGCACAACCCTAGATTACCATCAATATCACCATCTCACCTCACATAGTAGGCGAAACTCACGTAAATATCTTCCCAATATCCTCGACCTCCCCACTCCGAAACATGCGAAAACCCTGCCAAAACGCCAACGCCGTAGCCGAATACACGCAAAAGTACTCCACCGAAAACATGACACCGTAATTCAGCGACTTTTTATTCCCCTCTTCGCGCGCTCGACACAAGTACTCATCATACGAGGCGATCATCCTCTCCTGCGCCCAGAGCGAATGCACGGTCTTGATGGACGATAGCACCTCCTGTGCTAACACCGCGCCCTGCGAGTATAATCGCACAATCTTCGTCTCCAGCCCGGCATCGATAGCGATACAGATCATCGTGATGATGAGGATGACCGGCACAGCGCTGAGTGTAATCAGCGCCAGCTTCCACTGAATCACAATGGCGATAATAAACGACGCCCCGAACATCGCGACAGCCTGCACGGCCAGCGACAACTTCTCCGCAATACCCGTGTTAATCCGATTCGCATTCGTGGTCACCTGTGTCGCGGGCGCCCCGTTGCCGGGTAAATCGAAATGCCAAATCTCCATGCGCAGCAGATGCTCCAGAAACGCCTGTCTGATTGACCTTGTCGTGCGGATCGCGGATATCGTGATCGTCATTGTGGCGATATAGCTCAGCACGGCCTTGGCGATGAAGAGGTAGATGAACCAGAGGGAGAACCTGTTGACGTCGGACTTGAATTGGTCGGGGTCGGAAGAGCCCGTCGAGAAGTTGCTGAATTTCGTCGTGAATTGGCCAAAGACGATTGTCATTAGGGGCATGACGGAGCCGGACGCGATGGAGGCGATGAGCGAGATGGTGTTGAGCGTCCAGTCCCATTTGTCGGCGTATTTGAATATGCGCTTTCTTGTTAGCTGTTATCGCAAACTACTAGGTATAGATTGACAAACCAGATAATCACTAAACCCTCCTCCCTCCACATCCTGTGTCTCATTCTCGCTCTCATTCTCAGCTGGATCAGGGTCTGGCTGTGTCGGCTTTTCCTCACTTGACGTGCCCATTTTGACACCTGCAGATGTATTTTCCGAGTGATGAAAACACCATCGTGCTGACCTCGTGTTTCTTATGAATAAAACTAGATTATCTGGTCGATCTTGGGGCTATATGCGATAGTCCCACTGCGCGTCCCGCGGACCCCGACAGATCTCCGGTCTTGAGGATCTCTCGGGTCCCGCGGCCTCCGGGCGGAAATGCCAGGCTTGGCTGAGGTGTTTCCGTGGATTGGTGGATTGGATTGATTGGTTAAGGTTATTTAGAGTGTCTTATATTCTATATGACACATAATGAGTCTAGTTGACAGCTTCGGTGGATAATTATGAGTCAAAGTGGAGATTCTAGAACAGGCATCCATCGTTCAATGCTATATTATTATCATCGCTACTATAAACACTAAACATCGCTCGTATACACGCCAAAAACAAATTGGTATCTCAATCTGAAAGCAGAAACGCCATCTAGCTCGACAACTCCACCGGCTGAGTCGCAGGCTTGGATGATCCAATCTCATGCGCCCCAAACCACGGGGCAGGATTTGAGGTTGTTTCCGCAGGGCTGGTGCTCATCTCGACATACGGCTTTGGTTGTTCAGCTGGGACGGGAACAGGTGGCGGAGGGGTAGTGTAGTCTGGTTGTTGCTGTGGAGGGGCTGCGGCGTTCTTTCGTCGTCGCCAGAGGAACCAGAAGAGGGCGAGAGCGAGGATGGCAAGACCGCCTACTGCGACGCCAACGCCGACGCCGATCTTGCCGCCTGATGAGAGGCCGGACGAGGATGTGTCTGTCGCAGAGGCAGTGGCGGATGCGGGGGAGGTAGAGGAGGTCAGGGAGGTGGTTGGTGTGGCGGAGGATGTAGTGGTGGTTGTGTCATTCGCACGACCGGTGATCACGCCGTCCGTGAGGAAAAAACCGGCCTTGTCAACGCAGCAGGTGGTATCGTTGTCGCAGCAATAACTCCCGTCGGAGCAGACGTTGACGCGGGGAAGATAGCCTCTCTTATCATCTGCGGATATTAGAACCACCAATGCCAGCTGCCAGAAGCGATAGATAAAACATACCATAGAGACAGATTTGAGCACAGGTAGCCAGTGTCCACGGTTTATAGACACAGACTGCTCTGACGATGATGTCGCGGTCGTCGTTGGAGTTGCAAAGCCGATCATCGCGACATTGGGCAGCCGTTGCACAGCACGAGTCGGAGTTGGGGCATTTTACGTTGTTATCATAGGCTACGCCGTTGTAGCTGTAGCAGGTGATGGTGTCGTTGGCCATGATGATGCTGAAAAAGGGAGAGACAGAGACAGAGAGAGAGAGAGAGAGAGAAGGGAGAAGAAGGGACACGAGAAAGCCAGGGGTGCGGAGAGGAAGAGTCTGCAGAATCGCTGTCAGCTAAGGCAAGCGGCCATCTTAACGCCTGGGCAGCGGCGCTGATTCGTCCATTCGAGATTGTTGCACGCCGCCGCTGCTGGGGGCCGAATGCCTGCTCTGCTTATGCGGCAGTTGTTTATATTAAACAAATATAGAAAGCTACTAGATAGTATGAGTCAGTCAGTGTATTCAGTATACTATCTCAACAGATATTGCGCCCCCATCAAGGGGACTGTGGGAGATTGTGGGAATCCAAGAAGCACAATAATAACAATAATAACAATTGGGCTCAGGCTGTGCCAGGGTCGCAGCACGCTAGCCTATTCCAGACTAGCATATATCCCTTGCACGAGGACCCTCGTTCATTGGCTGTGGGGTCGGACAAGTCCCGTTGTTTATTCAGGAATTCTGGCTGTTTGGGGGTGAATCCCTGCTAAATGAGTCAATACGAGATTGTCTTACATTCTTGCTATTTATATGCCTATCAGCCGTTATTGCTGAGAATATCAAGTCAGAGAATAATGCAGAATGATAGGATAATACAGCATAATGGATAAATACTGACAGGATCTGCAGCCTAGACTCGGCAGATTGGATTGCCATCCCAGCTATCTTCCTTGTGGGCCCAAGCCTAAATAACCTACTTTTTGCAGAAACAAGCACATTGTGCATCTGTTACCAAGCTTATTCATATGATAAAGTGTATATATTCCATGTGATGTGAAGACTTGCATACTCACTGACTAAACCAGAGTTCTAATTGTTTGCCGATATATAAATGGCACTATCTCTTCATACCCCACTTGTAGCGTGTAGAGATGACTATCCCATAAGATGCGAATCGAATATAGGATGTCACTAGGAAGAACGAGGATGCTGTCTATAGATGATACTAGTATTAAAGAGAACCTTTAATGGAATTCAAAAACCGGGGTATCCCTTAGTATCCCAACCTTTATGTTCGCCTTAGCAACTCGGATGGAAATGCCGCAAACATAATGGGAAGGTCTACAGCAACTATGTGACGGCGTTGTATTCCGACCTTTAGGATATTTTCAAATACATCTTGAACTCATACCAGATAAGATAAGTAGGATCTAGACCATCGCTACCATATTATATCTATGCTCAAGATGAATCTACCCCGCAAACACGCAAACGCATGACAAGTAGGGCTGATAATCTAGGCCTTGACTCGGTTCTATTGGATCTAGACCTGCATTTGACAGACATCCACGAACGCCGCGTGGAATCGGCAGGTCTGGCCCTGTCGATTGGCCTGTGGCTGGCAATTAAGTTTGGTAATCCATGGTTCATCGTTTGGGGCCTTGTCTGTCAATTCTGGGGATAGAGATCTACTGCTACAGTATTGAAGAGAATTAAGTGAAGTGCATGAAGTATTCGTTTATTCGTGTATCATCTAGTGCTCGTTATGCATATGTGAATATCTATCGATATCTTTTTCTCTGGCGTGCCCTGAAAACCACCAGTGGCCTTCGTATGACTCGGTCTGAACTGCTCAATCTGTCTTGAATCTCTGATCCGTTGATCATAATTGATCGTGTAGAGTATTGGTAATGGAGTCGAGTGCAGCACAGTCGTATCCTCTCAGCCCGCCGCGCTGGCCTGCAGAACCGGCGACGACCACACCTTCCGGCTGGGCACCAACTTGGCCGCGTACTTGCGCAGCACGACATTCTTCTTATCCGACGAGATGACACTGCCATGCGCCTCGACACGTGTAAGATTGTTCGCCTCCCCACCCTTCGACCCCTGCGATCGTCGCCGGATCATGGCCTTCACAGCGGCCGTGATGTGTTCGCGGATGGGAGAAATGTCGACTTCACTCTTGGTAACGGTGACGGGGACTTCTTCCTCCTCCTCCTCCTCCTCGACCTCCTCCTCATCGAGATGGAATGAGTGCATCTGCTTGTTGATGTCACGCTGGGTGGTCTCGATGGATTGCCGCAGGATGCCGGCGTGGGCGATGCAGCGTCGCAGATTGGGTGTTTTGGAGTCTGCCTCTTGACGCAGTTTGCTGTGGGAGATGGTGGCTAGTTTGTAGGGGGTTTGGAGGGAGGCGTTCTTGGCCATGATGGGAGGAATGCGGGTGTTGGGCTGAGAGGGGCGCCGGGAGATGGGCTCAAAGGAGCCAGACATGGTCATTTTGCAGATGTATAGAGATTGAAGGGGAAAGGTTGAAGGTAGAAGATAGAGATAGACAGTTCTGCAATTTTCTTTGTTTGTAGATTGAAGATGAAGACAAAGAAACCCCTGGCCATTGTCCTCATATATGTTTCCCTCCGTCTCTCAGGGCCGGCCTGGAACGACTCCATGATGCAAAGGCTTGTGTGGCTGGATGACGGCCATTTCCGTGGCAGGGCGGGGGAAGCCACGTTTAGGGTTTGGGCTGGATTGCCACCAATGATGTTCTCGATTGGGACAGAGCCAGAATGATAGGCCTAGATGCGTTCCACTCTTCCACCCAGACTGCTTCGGCCGGGTGGCGATTTACTTGTTGCTCTTACTGTCGAGTGTCCGTTACGTATTGTGGGATATAGGATTTGTTATGAGAGATTTGTCTGTTAATCTATTATTATCTTCTCAATGCTATACTACAATAGATCATATAGATTAATCGCTGATAGTGGTATGAACATCTTAAGATCTCCATTAATGCCATTGATACCGTCAAATAAAGCCAGCCAATCACGGAAACCCCGTTACCCTTCCTGCCCCACTTACTCTTTTCTGACACTACATGCTGAGCCCTGATTGGCCGGAACTCCCAAGTCAGTCGGCAACAGCCCAATCGATATCATTTTGTTGATCCCCGAGCATCAGCGATCCAGTTTTTGATCTTCAACTAGTCGGCTAAATCAGATTTTATCTAGAGCTATGGTTTTGACAGTTGACCATGGGGTATACGCTTATCAACGTGGATTGAATCATGTAAGCTATCCACCTTCCCTTCTGGCAAAGCTCGCAGTCCCTAGCCAGATTGGGAAATCCATCTATCCAGTTCGTTCGACTCGCTAGCTATCTCCATCTTCATTCTCCTCCATATTACCCTATCATCTAGACCGTCTTGATATGTAGTCTGTATCATACTTCATCATATCACACCACTGTCCACCCACCATCAGACCCTCTAAAGCATCATAGAAACCTAGAAATGAAAATCAAGTGATAAAATACAAATCCTGTCTCACATAACCCTGGGACAGATAGTCCATTCAAGTCGTTCTACATCGGATTTTCCCCCTCCCCTGTCTCCCCTGTTCCTTCTGTCCTCCCCGAGCAGCCTCCTGCCCTTTTGGGAATTGTGACATCACCATTTCTACAGTGGCAGAATATCCCTACGTTGGTTAATCATATCACTGAAACAGGCATCTATCATGGAGATAAACCAAGAAGTGTTTTCCATGAATTTGGAATCGAATGATTTATTTATTTAATTTATTTTACTTTTGTTTTTTTATCTTTTTCGTTCAAGTAATGGCCTGTTGACCAGAGAACACGCCTTCACTAGGAAAGGTCTATAAATGTTAGAAAATAGCATTAACACAGTGACTTCTACTGATCTAAATCTGTAGAGCGTTTATTCCCACACAGCGATATACTCTCTTACACTAACCCCCGCATTCCTAAGCGAGGTTGACATGACATGACATTGAAAATATCAGTTTCGAGA